CCCCCCAAAAAAAAAAAAAAAACCGCGTCCCGCCTCATTGGCTCTCTCTCTCTCTCTCTCTCTCTCACGTCGTGTACCTGAAATGCGGGTTTCCCAAATCGGTGACGTCGCGCTCGCCCATCTCCCTGCCAACCGTCTCCTGCTCCTCGGCGCTCACGCCGCTCTCGCGGGCGAGGCGGTCGCGCTTGGCGTTCTGCCAGACGTAGTAGATGCGCCAGGCGCAGATGAGGACGAACTCGGCGCCGAGGGCGATGGAGGCGCCGATGGTGCCGGGGATGTAGCGCGGCGCGTCCTTGGCCTTGAAGATCTGCGAGCCGCACATGTTGCCGACGCAGTAGCCGAGGAAGGTGGCCGACGAGATGATGGTCTTCTTCGTGCGGCCGGCGACGTTGGAGGGGACTGGGTGTGACGTCAGCTTTCAGTGTTTTCTTTTTTCCTGGATTCTTTTTTCGCTGTCTGTGTGTGTGTGTGTGTGGAGGATGCTCCATAAGAGAAAAGGATAGGACGAAGGAGGTAAAGCTTACTTAATGTCCAAGCCAGGAAGAGGGAGAGCACAAAGGGTACGGTCATGAAGTACATGCCCCATTTAACCCACCGGTTCTCGTACGTGTTGGGTAGCAGCGCCATGGCGAGCATGCCGATGAAAGGCGGGATTGTGGCAGCGGCCATGATGTACATGCGGCGGTTGGCCACTTTGCGCGTGTAAATGCCGACAATCACGAAGATGACCAGGGATGCCACTGTAGGGGAAGAGGAGGATTGCAGGTCAGTGAGAATGTAGCAGAGATGAAGGGTAAGTCAAAGACATACCGGAGCGCGGGATCTCAATCAGGAGGACTTGGAGTTCCTCAAAGCCGAAGGACTTGTACATGATTCCTCCGAAGGTTGTCAAAGCGCTTGAACATGGTGATGTCAGCCTGTAGCCTAGGAAGTTGTTACGGATCCGACGAGACAACATACCCGTTGGGCACGGAGGAAAGGAAGGCGTTGATCATGCTGAACCACAGTTGCGGATCACGGAAAGCCTCTCCAACCTGTGGCCACGACCACTTGACGCCAGTGACGTCACGACCAGCCTTATTCTTAAGGATGCGAGCAGCGCTTTACGGGAGAATCGAACAGTCAGTTTGGAGTTCTTGCGTCCAGCGCACGTATGGGGAAAGGACTTACGCCATTCGCTTCTCCTCTTTGGTCATCCACCGCACCTCCTTCGGGCTTCCGAGCAGGCCGAAGCAGATCAACGACAACACGATGGTGGTGCCGCCCAAGAAAAGCGATATGCAGCGCCAGGGTGCCAGGCCACCGTACTTCTCGGCGTGCGAGCCGATGCCATACATGACCAAGTTGGCGATGATACCGAAGCCGGCGTTGGCCGATTGCCAAAACAGAGCGCGTGAGGAGTGCTCCTCTCTGCGATACCATGAGCCAACGACGAGCACGAACCCCGGAGAGATTGTGCACTCGAAGAAGCCCTGGAGCGCACGGATGGCCATAAGCTGGGACCAGTTCTGCGCGGCGGCGATGCTGATGACACAGACGCCTGGTTTAGGATGTCAGTCTCGGCATGGGGGAAGAGACGGGTTCGTGATTTACGCACCCCAGCAAAGCATGTATATGCTGAGCGACCGGCCCAGAGCCCAGCGCTGCAACAGGAAGTTGGATGGGAACTCTCCGCAAAGATAGGCAATGTACTGAATCCATGTTAGCCCATCTTTCCTCCAGCCCCATGGATGCGCCGACGTACGAAGATGGTAGTCAGCCATGAGTACTGCTGCCCCACAAGGCCAGTGTCCTCGCGCAGGCCGAAGATGGCCTGCGTGCTGAGCGATGTCTTATCCGTCTGCTGGATGCCGTAGCAGAACCACATCAGCGGCAGCAGGTACCTGTCGATCTTCCGCAGCAACTTCTTGTACTGCTCTTCCGTGTAGTCCGACTCGCGGATCTCGTCGCCATCCTGATAGACAGCAACGACTTCGATGTCTTCGTCAACCGCGGCGGTGATGTTCTTCTTCTCGTCGACGGCCTTCTCGTCGCTGCTGCGCGAGTTGTCCAGCGACGCGCGTACGTCGGCTTCAGCCACGATGTGGGCCGGATCGGACGTCGAGGTCATGGTTCGAGAGGAGAGGAGAAGAGAAACAAGTGACGCAGAAATCCAAGCTGAATCCACGGCGGGTCAAGCACCACACCAAGCCCCGCTCTTAAATACAGCTATGCAACACGCGTACTTTCGCAGAAGTCCGGCTGGGAATCCCGAGAGTATCGGCAGATAGGTTGCATCTGGGGCAATCGAACGAGCTTGGCGGTCCAGATAGCTTGGTTGCCAAGGTGGTATACAGATAAGAAATGGGAGACCCAAGTCTGCCGCGCCGCACAAGAGGCGAGAAGCGTTCAGAAGGCCGTGTACCGAGACAGGGGTTGGTGCTTACTACCGAGCAAGATGGCCGAGATAACGAAGCCTTGGCGCGCGGCGACCACTCAACCACCGTGGATCAAAAGTGGGAGGGGGAAAGCTGGGGTAAGCTGGTGGGTCTAACCTGTCTTGGCAGTTGGCCCATGTCATTTCATGTATTCAGAGGCTCGTTTCCGATAACCTTGGGCTGTCCGCACAATAGCCGTCCTCGATTCGTTGGTTTTTAAAATGGCTAACGCTTGCTGCATCTTACCGCAACTTGGTACAGACCCGCTTCCATCCACCAATTAAGAAGAGCAACGTCTTAGAAATACATGTGTAGAAATTAAATCTCAATATTAAACCCACAACCCACACTCAGCTCCGCAAGAATCCAACAGGCCGTAGAAAATATAGGGCTACCACTTAGGAGGCAGTCCTCTTCAGGTGATGTGCCGGTGCTGTCCAACTGCCGTCAACTCTGGGGCCGGAGAATCAGGGAATGACGCCGCAATAACTCGGCAAAGTGATGACCTGGCCAGGCTGCAGCGTGTTCGGGTTGACTCCCGGGTTAAGTGCCAGGATTTGGCCTGCCGACGTCAGGTACTGCTTGGCGAGTTTCACGAACACGTCGCCGGCCTTGATTGTGTAAGGACTGATGTTGCACTGTGTACCGGGGCACACAGGAATGTTAACGACCTGGCCAATCTGAATCAAGTCCGGGTTGGGGATGTTCTGGCGGTTGGCCTGGATAATCGAGTCGAGGGTGATGTTGAACAGGGTGGACAGGGCCGACAGCGTGTCGCCGCTCTGCACAATGTAGAAGCCCGGTCCACCCGGAATGCACGTGGCCGTCGGCGTAGTTGACCCCAGGCAAGATGTGTTATCCGGGAAGCACACCTGCGGGGGAATTACGAGCGTGTTGCCGGCGATGATGACGTCCGGGTTGGTGAGGTTGTTCGCATAGAAGATATCGCAGATGCCGCGGTTGAACTGGCGCGCAATGGTCGTCAGGGTGTCTCCGGATTGGATGACGTATTGCTGGGTCGAGCTATCAAGGGTAATGGTGCCATTGCACACTGCAAGACATGTCAGCATCGCTGGAAACAGATGTGGCGAGCTGGGGGGGTGGGGGGGTTTTACGCTGGCGGGCCGTCAGCTGGGCCCCTGGCAGTGCTGCTGCACCAGATCCCAGAAGAGCTGCCGCTGTGGCAAGAATGTATTTGAAAAGCATTTTAATGGAAGTCGGCTTGTTAAGGAGTGTGGAGGTTCTGAATCCTGAAAGACGAAAAGAATGTACAGAGGATGTATCGAAGGTATTGCGATGGCCTGCAAAAGTATTTAAGAGGTCACGGTTTTTACGCGGTACCGGATGAGTGCGGAAGACAAGAAATGAAAAGACAGGGGTTTTGGTGTGAGTGATAGATGAGATGTAGAAGAGACATCGTTTCTAAGATTGCTCACAGAATTTTAGCCTGCGTATTCAATGGCATTTTAGTCAGTTTCGGTGAATGGAGTCAGTTTAAGGTTTGGTCGAGGGCTAATCCTGTCAGCACCCTGCGTAAGCGAACATAAAGTTGCCGAAAAAGGACTAATGGTGACACTGTTGCGCGGATACGTGAGTGTGCAATTAGCCTTGAGTCGCGATGCTACGAAGCACGACCGATGGCGGACAAGAATAGCTAGACTGCCGCTTGCGGTTTCCTCTCGTAGAAAGAAACACTGATACTTCGAAAAGAGCGGTCTTGTATTCTGAGCGCAAGAGAATCGAACCAACATTGCCACGGCGCTGGCCGTCTCAACCAAACTGAGCAGGAGTAAACACAACATGTTGCGGACACAGCGGTCCTGGGCAATCTTGTGTTCTGGGAAGTATCGTAAAGCAATGCTCTTGGCAAATACCTTACCGGCGGAGTAATTGAGTCAGAACCGGAACACGCTTCGGCCAGATGTTCGGAAGAGAATGTTGGCAAAAGAGACGGGCAGTACCCGGCCCTTTATGATGCGCCACATAGATTGACGCTCCTGCGATTCTTGGCTAGAGCGGGCTTGAGAGGCCTGGGAGGCGCTTGCTGGCGCCGACGCATGAGTCAAAACCGATCAGTACCAGCTTTGAGCGGCCTTAGGTAGTGGATGCTTGGTGGCCGTATGGATCGGCTAACCCCGCAGCCGTGGCTTGCCGATCGATCCGTGACATCATGTTGCGTGCGTCCGGCAGCAAAACGAGTGGAGTCAGTCATACAGACCCGCAAAACAACAGGCCCGCGGAGGGCAAAAAGATGATTCCTCGGTATTATGCGACACCTGTGAGATTCGAACTCACGCTCCCGAAGGAACTGGCTAACAGCTGCTTCCATCTCGAAAGTAGCAGGCCAGCGCGTTAACCACTCCGCCAAAGTGCCTATGAATCATAGCCACTTCGGAGATCTGGGATCTCCGGAGGTTGATGGATGAGGACGGAGCTGGAGGAAATATAATCGTGAGGTGGTGGGTGTCCAGACCAGCTTGGGCTGTTGTGCGTTCGCAGGACGGCGGGGGATGGTGTGAAAGGGGTGCGATAGCGCAGCAAAGAAGATGCGGGGTAGTGGGACACGTTGCCTTCCAGGCGCCGAGATGTTGACGCGCGCGAAAAATTCTGCAAGGGCTTCCTGTGGAATGGGGTGCCCGCTGACGACGAGACGAGACTGCGGATTCCACGCGAGAACCGGGTCTGCAAGAGGTAAAGGCAACTCAAAAAGAGCTGGGAAGGGAGTCTCACTTGAAGGGAGCAGGATGGCAAGGTCATGGCAGTGGGGATGTCGGGTAGGTTTTGCGCGGACGTCGGCCGAAGGTTTGGTTTAAGCGAGGCAGCCAAGGCAACTAGCCAACAACACTTTAGCTTCAGGGCTATTTTTACATCCAATAAAACCCAATACTCAACAACAACAACAACAAGCTCAAACTACTTGTTGAGACAACGAGCCATTGAATGTCTATATTCTTGCGAATTCATCCATCATGTTTTGCACAGAAACTCTACGACCCAACAACATCGGTTCCGCCGTCACTTCTGTGTTGAACGAGACCACTATCGCTTTTGGACATCCTTCCCCGTACTTTATTTTGTTCTGGCATTCGCAACGATCCCGTTGTCCCTGATGTAACTTGTCAGAGAACAGGCACCTTGGCAGATGAGCCACCTAGCTCAATTGGATACGCTTGAGAAGTTATCAGCCATTCTCTTCGCTTTGAAAAAGCGTCCACTATTCGCGCAAGCTTCAGTCACGAAAGTCATGACCGCGCAGTCCGCGGGTGCCTGTCGGGGTCGGCCACCACTTCTGATGATGCTCCGGGGTCCAAACAAGCCTTGAGCTTCGCTGCGGCCGGAATCCGACTTGGCAACAGCTGTAAATGGTCCGATCTGAGACGGACCGATGGGCCAGCACTTCCGTGGAGATTGTAAACGAGCGGTACATTTGCCATCACCCCTAGAATATAGTATTCTGGAATACGGCAGGCTCCGCTGTGGGGATGCGGGCGATGCGTCTTACCACCCTTCGCCCGCCAAGTCGGCTGAAAGGCACACACAACCTGCCCGTGGAACGATGGACCGGGGAGCACGGATGCATCACGAACAGCATCGTCTGAAGCCGCTGAGAATGGAGGGATCGGTAACGGCAACCGCAGCCATGAACGGCATGGATTCCGCCGGTTGATAATTCCGATGGTTAGGAGCCTGCATCAGCCCTATACTACTACTTGCCTATGTATTCCCGTGCAATGAGCGGCACCGCATGTTTGCTGACTCCCCCTGCTTATCGTTAGTGTCGTGGTTGTTCATTTTGGCCAGCGTTTCAAGTTGATCGGTTTGCCGCAGATGCGGGGCCTGCTCGGAGCCGTGGGCGACCCTGTTACGGGCGCAGCGCCTTCTTCGGCTCGCGAGATTGAAACGCCCGCCACCAAACCACCCATCACCGCTCCGCCCCGCCCGCCGCCCGGCCAAAATCCGCTCCCCCTTCGGCAAGTCACCGCTCTCCGCTTCCCCTTGTGGCACACGCCCCGCTCCTCGCCTGACTTCTGGAAACACCCAGCTCTCCCTTCCCTCATGCCAAGGGGCACCGGCAAGCCAAGCTTCCGTCGTTGAGCTTGTCTGCAGAGCAACCTGCCGTGTTCCGTCGCCTGTGGAACTTCTCCTGCGTGGCCGACAGAGATGCCATCACAACGTGTGCGCCCCTCCCGTCATGTGGCGCCGCCTTCCGCCGGACCTTCGAGAAGCTGGCGCCGCATTTCGCTAAGAGGGGCGGAAGGCAGTCAAGTCGAGAGGCAAGCGGCTGTCGGTGCGGTCCCGTGCGTCACCATCCATGCGCCGATCTGGTCTTAGCAATCTTAGTCCTCATGGCGTCTGTATCACGGTACGAGGTCGGCAGCAACCTGCACACCAGCTGTGCTGGTATAAAAGTCCATGTCGACGGCGCCCAGAGTCCTGTTTTCGCTCCATCGCTACATTCATTCTCTCCTTCTCACTCCAGCATTCGCTCTTTGCAACTCCACATTCGTTGAACGAATTACCACTCTTTCAAAATGGTCAAGGCTTCCACCCTCCTTCTCGGCGCCGGCGCCGCCTTCGCTGCCGCCGCTCCCACCGAGCTCGCTGAGCGTGCCAGCTGCACCTTCACCGATGCCGCCTCCGCCATCAAGGGCAAGAGTTCTTGCAGCACCATCACCCTCAAGAACATCGCCGTCCCGGCTGGCGAGACGCTTGACTTGACCAAGCTCAAGACCGGCACCCACGTCATCTTCGAGGGCACCACCTCCTTCGGCTACAAGGAGTGGAAGGGTCCCCTCATCTCCGTCTCCGGTACCGACATCACCGTCACCGGTGCCTCTGGCCACGTTATCGATGGCAACGGCGCCAAGTGGTGGGACGGCAAGGGCACCAACGGTGGCAAGACCAAGCCCAAGTTCTTCTACGCCCACTCGCTCAAGGGCAAGTCGACCATCAAGGGCCTGAACGTCAAGAACACGCCCGTCCAGGGCTTCTCGGTCAACAGCTCCCAGGGCCTCACCCTTGACAGCATCAAGATCGACAACTCGGCTGGCGACAAGACCAACGGTGGCCACAACACGGATGCCTTCGATGTCGGCAGCTCTTCCGACATCACCATCAGCAACGCCAACATCCAGAACCAGGACGACTGCCTTGCCATCAACTCTGGCACCAACATCAAGTTCATCGGCGGCACTTGCTCTGGTGGCCACGGCATCTCCATCGGCTCCGTCGGTGGCCGCAGCGACAACACCGTCAAGGGTGTCACTGTCCAGAACTCGACCATCAAGAACTCCCAGAACGGCGTCCGCATCAAGACCGTCTACGGTGCCACCGGCTCTGTCTCTGATGTCACCTACGAGAACATCACCCTGGAGAATATCGAAAAGTACGGCCTCGTTATCCAGCAGGACTACAAGAACGGCTCTCCTACCGGCACGCCCACGACCGGAGTCCCCATCACCGACCTCACCCTCAAGAACATCAAGGGCACGGTCAAGTCCAGCGGCATCAACGAGTACATCCTGTGCGGAAAGGGTTCGTGCTCGAACTGGTCTACCTCTGGAGTTTCCATCTCCGGCGGCTCCAAGAAGAAGACTTGCTCCAACATCCCTAGCGGCTCCGGTCTCAGCTGCTAAGCGGTGCGCGTCATATGACCATTATTACATTCTGTACATACTTTGACTTTTACCACGCTTCTAATCAAATAGAGCGATTTGCTGCGTGCAGCGCATACAAAAAAGCTTTCCCATGCATCTTGAACGTGACACCAATCCTGAAACCGTGCATCGCCTACAAAACCCCTCCAACCATGCCACAGCACAGTGATACAGCCCCCCTCTTGCAGCCGATGGCTAGCGTGGATTTTTGCTCATGTCATGGGTAGTTGAAGCCATCGTCCGGACGAGAATGTCGAATTAATAATCATACACTCACGTCCGGATGATAGCTTCAGCTACCCACATATGTTATTTTTCTAAGAAAATAGCTGGGGTATAGTTATGCCTGGGGCCTTACTATTCTTCACGCTAGCCTTCGGCTGCGAGACCCCCCTGTAGATAAGAAGACAAACCCACGCTCATCAAACGTCTCTTCATTCGCCTGAAATCTAGCAAAACAAATATTGTGGCGTCAAACATTCGCCTCCCAAAACACCAAACATCTACGTGCCGACCTACCCGTGGAATACGACATTCCCCAACTGGGCAGGTCCTCAACGCCAAGCTTTACGTTCCGGGAAGGTTCCGACTTGCAAATTAGAGCTGAGACAAGCGAGGACAAGCTTCGGTCGATCAAACAACCTGTGCCCCCACACCCTCTGGTCCTTGGCTATAATAAATAGACGCGCGCGCATCTCTTGTGACGGCCAAAAATTAGAGCGGTTGTTGCCGCTGCGTTGCCGGATTTTCCGTTCCGCTTGTACCGGTCGGATTTGCTGGCCGCCGTCGTGTAGATCCGATGGATGGTGTCCTGTGCGCATGCTGGAAAGGGGCCCACCTACAGTCCCCTCTCGCAGTCCTTGGCTAGCGGCGTGAATTTGTTTTTTTTTATTTTTGCTCATGTCATGGGTAGTTGAAGCTATCGTCCGGACGAGAATGTCGAATTTTTAACTACCCACGTGTGTTATTTTTCTAAAGCAAAGCTGGGGCATCGGCGTGGTTTCGGGATCTTGGCTCGAAGGAGAACTCTCTCTGACTTTGGCTTTTCTGCCGAAGTCTTGCATCCATGGCATATCCAAATCTCGCGTACACAATCCCACCGCCAGCGGTCCTTGAAACTTGCTCAGGGGTTCCTTGCAGTCAGGGCACCTAGTAGGTCTTGGGGTCGACTTCTTCTTGATGAGCTCCGGTGGACGAATCTGGCCAGTGTCGTGGAAGTATAGATAACACCGCGAACACCAATAGGACGCGTAGAAAAGACCTTGAACCTGGGCATAGACGAACTTGGACGAGCTTATCCCACAGTTGCAGCAGTGCTTAAGCCAGTTTCTCCGGCGGCCAATACCCTGCTTCATCGAGAAGGTGGTATTCAGGCCCTCCCACGACGGACTTGGAAGCGTCGGTGGAACGCAATGACTGAACAATTGCAGAGAGTCTCCAGTCACCTATTCGGACCGGAAGTTGTTGTCTTGGACAGTACGCAATAGGATCATGCATAAGCCCTCGCATACCGAGAACATAGCCGTGCCAATCTCTGACTACTCAAACACCATCAGAGCCCGGAGATTCATAACCGCGTCTGGTGAGGAGGTAGCGGCATGCAGACAACGTCTCGAGCGTTCTCGACCACTCTTCCCGGTTTTCGTGTTTCGATATGTTGCGAATCGTAGCGAGAAAGTAACCGCCGATCCGACGTGCACACCGTCTGGCCAGTTGTACTCTAGACCAACCACCAGTCCTTGAATGACATCGCAATAGATGCCTCCATCGGTGAGGTCAAATGCTGGAAGACTGCATATGTCGTTTGCAGTGTACGTCCGGGAACCGAGAAGCATCTACACTTCCAGCGGCATTCGAGAAAGAACAGAATCAACGAAAGCCTCTTTGCCTAGCCTCGTCACGTCTTAAAAGAAGATATAGATGTTTCCTGCCCAGGCCAGAGATGGATTCACGCCTACCAGTGAGGATGGTGCAGATAAGGCGAGCTCCGGGTTAACAAAGATGGGAGTCGTAGTAGCGAAGGCACAGAGACGATCCACGATATACAGCAGGTCATCTTTCAGATGCGCCCGGGTAATTCCAAGCTCAGGTGACGGCAGTAGGAGAGTAAAGAAACGTTCAATGCCGAGGTTGAATCCTTCAGTTGACGTCAATATACTGTACGTCCGGCGCTTGTGCTTCGTAATGCGAACAGATGCAGGTTCGCCATCTTCGTTCTCTTCAAGTTCGTCATTCAGGATGTAGTCAAATTCGTGGCCCGTATAAGCCGTGTATCTCGGGCGATTAGAGGCTTTTCTCTCCTTCCTCTCCTCTTTCTCTCCGACTTCATCACTTCCGTTGTCGTTCTCTGAAAGTCCATCATCCAGAATGTAGTCGTATTCGATATCGCCAGCGATATTCCGTGAAGGTCTGGTGTCTAACCCTTCAAGCTCATCGTCGAAATCCGTAGCATCTGCCTCGGACTGGCTGTCACCATACGACGAGGACGAATCAATGTCCATGATGTAGTGACCTTCGTCGCCAGAATGTTCAATTTCCAAGTCGTACGCGTAGTTGCGTGAGACGGGAGGGCGCTTGCGGAGCAACATGGCGAAGCTCAAGTAGAGATTGGAAGAGCGGCAAGCGATGAACGGGAGAGCAGGCGGTGACGCTTCCAGTAGCAATGGGGCCTTCCAAGTGAGCAGTGAGAGAGCGAGCGGCGACGCTTCCAACAGCGGTGGGGCCTTGGGGGCTAAGTAAGCAGCGAGAGAGTGGATGGTGAAGTAACGAGTGTGCGGCGATAAAGAGTGTTGTTGATGGTGTAAGAGAGGATCCGAGAGACGGGAGTTGAGGGCTGAGAGCTGGTGGTGGGTGTGGTAGGTACGTCAGCGACCTGCACCTACCTTCTTAGCCCTTAGCTTCGCGCGGTTCTACACGACGCGTCTTCTCTCTTTCTTCTTCGTAATAGCTCGTCGTAAAACTCTATCTCTATTTGGTAATGCGGCTTTAATTCGTAGCACAACTCCTCCCGCTATACGACACCATTTCTTGGCTACTCAATGCGGCATGAACTCTTCGTTTCGCCGTATCTCCTCTGCTTTTCGCCTCCATTTCCACTTCTACTACTACCTTAGCTACTGTCGTAGGTGGTGAGGATCGTGTGGATTTTAATCTTATACCTGTGACCCCTTGCAGCGTTGATTTTGAATAATACACTCGGCTCGCAACCAGGCTCTGGTTTTAAAGCAACCTGCCGGACATCTCGCCGGGGGATGACGAGCAACACATGATAGAATTTACCGCCATCAGGCGTATCAATAAAAGAATATATAATTCTTTTGTGGTCAAAAGACCCAGTCCAAAGCAACCCACCAACGCCAGGCTAACCCAACCAGTACTATTCCAGTACACTCACCCTCCTCCGCGAACGCCCTGATACCCAAAAGAACAATTACAGATCCATCCGTATACAAGTCGTATAAGACAAGGGAGCGAAATAGCAAGAGCCGCCTTAGGAATAAAGAAGAAATAAAGTGCCGTGTCCTTCATCAGATCTCCCCTCCCCTCACTGAAGCCGCGCAGCCCAGACTGCACGCCTTCCTCAGGAACGGCAGGAAGGCGTCGTCGCCGGAGCAGACCAAAGAGTCCGGTACGTAGTGCCAGTACTCGATCCATTCAGCTCGCGGGAGAATATACTCCTTCTTGCAGACGGAGCACTGCTGCCCGCCGTTTTGCTGAACCTTGACGGCATCGTCGAGGGCGCGGAGGACGGGGTCGGGGGTATCGACAGGCAAGAGGTCATGGAGGAGTTCGGCATTGGGTACGGCGCGAGCGGCGGAACGTAGGGAAAGCTCGAAGAGGGAAGGGACTCGGGAAGCCGACGTAGGGAGATCATCGGCAGGCGTGTGTCCGACGGAAGGAACGGGGAAGGAAGTGACATCGTAGGAGGTGGAGGAAGGCTTCTGGGGCGAGCCAGACAGAAGACGGCCGTCGAAGTCCATGCGAGAGACTGAAGTCGAAGCGATGAAGATTGGCTCCTGCTTCCACACCGGAGGCTTGAACGGCACCTGCGGCGAGGAACCTCCATCGGCCGAGTTTGCCTCCTCCCGCATCTTCTGGAGCACGGATTCGTGAAGCCTCAGTGTCCAGACCAGCTTCTGCTTCTCATCGTGATCCTCAAACTCATCCTCTTCCAAAGCCGCTTTCATTCCGTCTACCACCTGCTGCATCTTCACCGGATCGGCAGGCAAATCAAATCCTTGATAAGTGCGAAGGCCCCTTACAAATGGATTGGGCGAGACGCTCAGCCGTGTCAAATTTCCCCTTGGCGGAACGAGCTGCAAGAGCTCCCAAGGTAGCCAGCGCAGCCTATTACCGGCCAGGTTGAGCTCCTTCAAGTTTTTGAGATTAGCAATGGCTGGAGATAGTTCAGTCAGCTTATTGATGCGCAGGCTAAGGACACCGAGATTTTCCAGCTCCCAGAGGGCTCCCGGCAAGCTGCGCAGCTGATTACTCGAGAGATACAGCTGCAGCGATGGAGTGAAAGGCTCATAAGCTTCCTCGGACGGGACCTCGGCGCCGACCTTAGGGTGCCTGATGAGATGGGCCAGGGGCTCAAGAAGATCATCGGCAATGGAACGCAATTGCAGGGCACTATCGCAGTCAGAAGCCCCGTACACAAGTCGTTATAGTCGCAGCAACTCACGAAAGATCGACTCTCTCGTTTCCTTCTTCAACGCACTCGTGCACCTTTGCATGAGCAACGGCGTGCTCTGTCGAGCGCGGCTCCGGCACGTGGACAGGACGCGCGACGGGAAGCTCGTCAGGCTCGCTGGGAGCGCTGAGGCGCGGGACCTGGCCGAACAGGGGTGGACCAGTGCTGGCGGCGGCCAGCTTCTCAATCAGCGAGTCATCCGACGAGTCGCTGGGCAGCCAGACGCCACTGTCTTGGTTCCTGGAAAACTCAGCCTTAGCTGGGCTTGTCCGGTCGGACTTTGGCGTGTGGCCGTGTGCGAACCATGTGCCTGTGTACTGCCGCTTCTTGCGTGCGGGGCTGTTGTAGTTCTCAACATCGTCGGCGGCGTCATCGCTGGAGAAGACAAAGGGGTCGCTGGAGGTGTGGTTGGACGAGTCATTGGCGTGGTGGTGCTCATGCAGCGACTGGGAGCGGGCGCGCTTCTTGCGCGACGCCGACGTCGTCGGCAGCAGCGGAGGGGAGCTTGGGGGCTCGAGATCCGGGAGCGGCGGGCTGGAGTCGCGCGACATGGCGGGCAATGTTGTGTAGCGGATGCGACGCGAAAATGAGGAGAGCAGGAAGGGTGCGGGAGGCGCCAAAAGCAATTCGGGAGGCTGGCGACGCGACGCGCAGCGATACCGGGAGCACAGGAGAACGCGGCGGCGGAACGCAGTCACGCAACGGAGGGGCGGACCGGCGGCCTGGTGGCACGCGCGGGCGATCGCAGGCGCCGATCGCGATAGGCGATGGATTGGAGTTGCGAGGGCGGGGTGGGCGATGTTGTTCGTGGCGTTGGCGGGCAGTCGCAGCCCCTAATGGTAGCGTCATAGCCTAGGCCAGGCCCGGGCCGCATGGAGCGAGCCAGCGGCTCTCGACACCTGCAGGCTGAGGCGGTCAGGCACCTCAGCACGAGGTGGGCGGCACGCAGTGTCTTGTCTCTCCCTGTGGCAGCGTGGTGTCGAAGATGCGGTGCACGCGGTCCAATCATGCTTGCCGCGCGCTCACCTGCTCCTCTGGGCAGGCGGCTGCTGCTTACAGCCCCCGACCGTTGATGCGGATCAAAGCGCTCGGCACGCCCACCTATTGGCCGCGCCACCCTACCACCTTCTCTATACATGCTCGACTATGGGCCTGTTTCAACCGGCGCCCTCGCTGATTGGGCCCCGGCCCTATTGCACCGCCCGACTTTTGCCTCAGGGACCATGTGTGAGCTGGCTGCGTGCAGCGGGGCCGCCCCAAAACCAATCCACGAGCGCATTTTTGCCCATGCCGTCCAAACGCATAAAGCCTCGCCGCTGCCCGCCCTGCAGAATGCATCGTCGAGCAATTCACCCTCTCTAACCCCCCAAGACAGCAGTCTCTCGCTTTTTCAACCATGGGTCAAGGTATGCCGCCTCTGCTAACCACCTCTCCCGGCGCTAAATCGTCTCCAGGCGGAACTATCGACCTGATAAATGGCACTCCCTACCCATGGACTCTCAGCGGCCAGAGCTCCTATCAGATGAAGGCCTGGTCCTTCCCGTCGACTGTGGCATCCGGTACGTATCCCCAGTCACGTGCCCGCAGCTCTGGCTGATGTGGTGCAGGCGCCTCCATCCCTGTATATGTCGAATGGGACCAAGACCCCGGCAAAGACCAGAGGGATGACGGCGGCGAGGCTGTGTATTCAATGGGTGGAAGCTCGGGCACTTTTCAAGTCCAAGCCAGAAACACCGATGGTTTCAACCTCGAGGTCTATCTCGAGGCTGTCGAGACCGAAAACAATCCGGTTGGGAGCACCATCAGCCTTGGCTGGAACCACAACGCTGCCGTCAACCTGGTCTTCGGTGGTGAGCAGGGCGCTTTCACCTCAAACAACCCTTCTGTCGACTGGATGCATCAGAACCTCGCAACTCTTGGTGACCGCAAGCTGCGCCAGATTTGCATGCCGGGCTCGCATGATGCGGGAATGAGCGAGTTCAACGCGCACACTGGCCTGGTCAGAGACACCAATACTCTCACCCAGAAGTTCAGCATCGCCGAGCAGTTGACTGCTGGGTCGCGCTGGTTTGATGTGAGGCCGGTGGTCGCCTCCGGGAAGTTTTGGGCCGGCCATTACTCCGATACTAAAATTGTCGGCTGGCAGGGAGCAAACGGACAGTCACTGAGCGACATCATCAACAACATCAACACTTTCACTTCCCAGTACAATGAGCTGATTATCCTGGACATCTCGCACACCATGGACACGGACAATGACTACACCGACCTATCCCAGGCCCAATGGAACACCCTCTTCACCCAGCTCCAAAGCATCAATCATCGTTTCAATGCAACCGGCGTCTCGACTTCAGAGGACTTGTCAAAGCGCACCCTCAACCAATTCATCGGAAACGGGCCATGTGTCTTGATTGTTGTCGAGCTTCCCAGCGGAATCACACTCGGTGATTATTTTAGCCAGGGAATAGTAGCGAGCTCGCCCAACTTTCCTTTCTACAACAGCTATTCAAATACGGACGATTTGGACACCATGGCTTCCGATCAACTTTCGAAGCTCTCCAGCCAGCGCAAGACACCTGACGACGAATTCTTTCTTCTCTCATGGACGTTGACGGAAAGCGTAATTGATACCATCTGGGGCAGCGTCCCTATTCCCGGAGACTTGAACTCCATCTTGGAACTCGCCGGCAAAGCGTACCAGCCACTCTTTGAACACTTTGATAATTTTACCTCTCAAAGCTACCCCAACGTTCTGTACATGGACCTTTTCGGGGCCTTTGACCAGGACGCGACCGCTCCGTCCACAGAGGTTGCGGCTTTAGCACTGGCAGTGAACGGTATTGTGGGCCGCAATTAATGATACATGGTAATGTCTTTTCATTTATCGTATTAGCTCGAGCAAGGATTCACTTCGGTCTTTGGAGCTCGATCTTCATGAGTTGTATATACCCCAGCATAAGCTCGATATGTCCTCGGGCATGTTTGAATGTCATCTCAACTATCTATCATCCGCCAGCTGTAGCGTTCCTTTTTCTTGGGGCTTTTACTCCTGGCCATTTGCTACAATTACCCTGCCACCGTCCACACACACACAGCGCCCGTCAACGTATGCCTACAATTGTTATTAGTGGTTTTCTAGACACTGCATTTCAGACTTACCCCAGCTTGACTACACAGATATAAAACCGTCCCGGCAATATCTTCCAGTCTTCCCGCCCTCCTTGCCGGCACCTTGTCAAATAAATTCGCAAACATGTTCCCCTCCGCACCTACAGGGTTCATATTGCTTGGAACGACTTGGTTTGTCTCAAGTCAGCACTTCTGTTCCCACTCCTTCGTTTCACTTATATCCTCAGCTCAACGAATGGCGCCAAAAAAAAAAAGGGAAAAAAAAGAAAGAAAACTCACAGCCCGGATTAATTGCATTCACCCTGACATACCACCTAGCAAACTTGGCCGCCAGCATCGCAACCAGATGGTCCGTCGCAGCCTTGCTCGCGGCATAGCTCGTCAAGTCGACATTGGTGCAATTGTGCATGCTCGCGCACGAGCTTGTCACGACCACACTCCCGCACCCCACGTCCCTGCCCTTCCTCAGGCTCGGTCCACCTTCCGTTCCCGGCACCGTCGCGACTTCGACGACATCCCGGTCCGCCGCCGCCGCGAGCAGGTGCACCAGCGCCACGGCCAGGAAGTAGTGCGCGGTCGTGTTGATGGCAAACGTGTCGGCCCAGTCGCCGTGGTGGTGCGACCACATGCTCGCCTGGAGCGTGGGCAGGTCGGCTGTCGTGACCTGGCACGGCGTGGGCGCGTCGCGCCGGATGCCGGCGTTGGACACGAGGATGTCGAGATGCGGGAGGTGCAGGGTGTCGGTTAGATGGGTAGCGAGGGCGGCGATGGACGTCTTGGTCGAGAGGTCGGTCGGGAATCTAGGTACGTGTCAGGCTTGTGGTTGGGTGGGCTGGGTGGTGGTGGTGGTGGGAGAAAGGGAGCATGTTGGGTTTACCCTTCTGCTGTTCCACCGCTGGGTGAGCCGAGGACATTGAGTTCGTGGACGACATCATCGATGGGGTCGGTGGGGAGGGCGGTGATTATGACGCGGGAGCCGTTGGTGACGAGGCCCTGCGATATTGGACGATGATTAGTCAGAAGGGGCTTGAAGAAAAGCTTTGTTGGCCATATTGGTGTTTCTGCCATGTCAGGTCGACCGCCTTTTCCCTAATGTTTATTCTCGCCAACGTACGAAGGAGGATGATAAGAATTAAACCAAGTGATTGAAGTAGTACGCAATAATAGTGTCCTTTGGTTTTTCTTGTACAAAAAAAGAGGCATAAGCTGAAAGAAAAGTTGCGAGATAGAAATAGACACATTCACTCAAAGCACATGCATACCTTCGCGATCATCAGCCCTATCCCACTGCTACCGCCGGTAATGAGAGCAATGCGGCCCTTTACGTCGAAGAGATTCCCAATTGCCGCAGCCATTTCACCGGTTGTGGGTGAGGTCAATGGCTCGTACAGAAAAGTTTGGCCCTCAAGGGAGCATGTGTTCGTCGGACACGAAATGGAAGATGCCCGCGTTTAGTGTCGCAGCATCCGCGCTATTGTCGGCGTGTCCGACAAAGAGTGGGCGGAGAGGGGTAGCGGCCATGACTTTTGATCATCTTCACGGTCAACTTACATGGGAAGTGGAAGCTATCGCCTGGACACAATCTTACGATTTTTGATTCTACATTTACTTCCGGATACCTGCTTCAACTATCAATAAATATCGAGATGGCTGATATGGCCCATCGGGCCTGTGGGACTGGGGGCCCAGCAATGCCTCTAACCGCATTACAACATATACCATCGGTTAGATCACATGCTGGAAGGCTGCAAATGGCTTTTGCCGCATAATAACATTTCTGTAAGAGAATCTAGGCTCGAGATAAGCTCTTGGGCTTTTGCATGGCTGAAATTCTTTCCCGCACTTCCAGAACCGCAATTTCGTGCTCTTTCGACGTCCGATGCCATATTCAAGTGAAAAGGCAGGGGTCAAGCTTTCATAAGACGGTGGGGATAAAGCTGGAGGGACGCACAGTGCTGCATAACTGGAGAGATGCAAGTGTCTTGTCCACTGTTGGTTGGAGTGTTGTGCTATGCGTGATCCTTCTCCATGCAGTATAAAACGCTCGTCTGCTTGCCGGCTTGCTTCACGTTCACTTTTGACGGCGAAAAGAGGAAGAAGAATTCCAAGCAACTGCAGAGTCTTTCAATTCTTCATGGCAAAAAGTGGCAGAGGAAGCCTTGACCATACTATGGCTCCGCATATCATTTCCATTTTCCTCTTCGGCAGAGGCGACCAACACACAACACGGGAAGCGGGCCGAAGCAGAGGCACCATGCTGGCACCTGCCTCCTTCCTCCGTTCTTCTTCTTCGAACCAAAAAAGAAGGGGATACGGCAAGGGTGGGTACCACTTTCCAATAGAAGGTGGCGTGGTCGGATTGGATCCCCAGAAAAAAAACACGTGATTTATTATAGGGATAGGCGCAGGAATAGCTAGCGTCATTTACCTCGTTGGGAAAGACAAGGTCAAAGATTGCGGCGTAGCTGGGCTGACGGGTAGAAAAGACGGCAAATTCCCGAGCTGTCGGTGGGGAGATGTAGCTTTCCCCTGTGTCGTGTTGGCGAGCCTATACAGGAAATATGAGCTTGGACATGGCGATTTCCACGCGCGTGGCTTCAATGCTTTCTCGTATCTAGGCCGGGTCTCGTTTTCGCTCGAGAACTCAAGCATTACGTAGATCCCACGTGCGCACCGTATACGGTACCGGATCAATGACCTGCAGCGGAACATTTTGACGAAGATCGCGCGGGCATTGTTATCAGACGGCGGAAGAATGAAAGCGGCAAGTGGGTCTCCGCGTAAAGAAACCCAGGTGCGGCGCAGCAGGAAGAAGACATCCACATGCCGAGTTCTTTGTTGGGGGCCGCCTCCTGGGGCGAGAAACTTTTCGACGGCCTGCTGTCTCGTCAGGAGATATCTGTTCCTGTCCGCACACTGTCGCAGACAACGCCACAGCCGTGTCGCGGTGGTGCGACAATGTCGCGACTCGCGCCGTCCAGAACTTGACAGCTGCCGGCGGCGGACGGACGGCCGGCCGGACAGACGGCGTGGCCGGCACCAGAGAGCGGTCCGTTGGCAAAAAAAAAACGGTCGACTACCGGCTGCCAACAGGCGATCGGAGAATAAAAAACCAATGTGGAAACAACTTCGAAGCCGGCTGTTTCACGGGATGACGAGATCGCAACTCTCCAGTCCTCTGGGCTCTCGTCAACTTGGCCCTCTCTGGCTCGGGTGCAGCCGGCAGCCGAAACACGCTCCTCGCGCCGTTCCTCTCCCTCCATCTGCCCGGCGACCAGGATCCTCTCGATTTTGCCTTCTTTCCCCCTCGTCCCTCGTGGCGATTTGGGCAGTAATGGTCGCGCTGCCGAGTCCCGACGGGGCCGCCCAAGGGCCCCGGCGCCCTGAATCCTGCCGATATGCGAGCGCCGACTCTCATCAAACCCAAAAAAGCGCCCCCGGCCTGTTAAAGTGAGACGGGCAACAGAGCGTCGAAGGGGAACCTCGACAAACAAGCGAAGGGATGGGCTGCCACGAGGCAGACAAGGATCATCCTTCCTCTGGCCGGGGGGGATATGATGACTGCTCCTACCTTCGACGAACCGGCGGGGCCTCGTCATCCATCATACGCCATACGCGTGCGTGATCCCCCCCGTCGAGGCCTTCCAGCAGGAGAATGCGCAAAGGACGTCTGCTGCCGTCGTTCGCAGCGGTATGTCTCTTGGCCTGGCCGCTCTCCTCGCTCAATCCCGCTCACTCATCATCTCTCCCACCTGTTCTCTCTTCCCCTGCGTCTCGAATGTCACCCCTCTGTCCCCATTCGTTCCACTGCCATGACTCGCAGCCCAGCCTCAAGACCCTTTTTTTCCCTCCAAGCCGAACTTCGGACGATCCACCACGCTCGCCCCGATCTCCATAGCGTCAGAGACGTTCAAGGCAAGGCGTCATGCTGATCCCGCGCCCGTTGAGGACGAAACCAAGGGGTAGCACTGGCAGTGGCGCATATGAAGGAGCGGTATCGTCCAAGGCTAACCTCCGCCCGAAAGGGTGCCTGCGCAAGCCACAGGTCATGCAGCAGTGAGGGGATCACTGCTGACCGTGTCGATTGCCATCTCTCTGCGAGGTGGTGATGTCTCAGACTCGCCGATGAGGCAAGACAAGCGTGGACCAGCCGTGAAGAACAAGGAATGATCTCCCTTGGCCGATTGAAGCCTGCCGGGGAGATCAGGCGCACCGTAGCAGCAGCACCGCACCACACCGCCCGTCACTGACTCGGGGTGCATGCCGTGCTCAACATGGTTGTCCGTTCGCTGTGGTATATTCGCGCGCAGCCCGGGGGCCAGGGCAGAAGACTGTAGAACCATTAGCCACGTGAAGGGAGGGCGCGCGCTAAGGATCCTGATAACCGGTTTGACAGCAAACGCGCTTCCTTCGCGCGCCAGTCAGACCTTGATTGAACGCATGAAGGAAGCTCATGGCCGGTCCATTTTTGCCCTCCCTTCCTTCGCTTCTGGGAGCCGCGTCGCAAGTATACGTCGTATCTAGAAGGCTGGTGCCTTTGATATCGCAATTCCTTTGCTTACTTTGCTGAGAGATGAGGGGGAAAGATTACTAAACCGGGGCCGAAAAGGGGATCAGAGCACGTTTCGGCCTGGTGGGGGAGCTTGGGCCGCCTGTCAGTCTTCAAAACTTGAACGATGGAGTGACGAATGCCTGTCGCCGGCTATTTTCGATGGCCGCGGCCGTTGTCCGGTCCTGGTGCGGCCAACGACGCGCGTGGTGACAGCCAGCGGATCCGCGTCCGTGCTGCTTTTTCCCAATCCGTCGGTGAAGGAGTCTGGATTCGTCAGTGCGCCGTCCCCGAAAGCCATTGCACGTGTGCCACCGACGGTCGCTATATCGTGGTATATTCGCCCTCGCTCGAACGTAGGGGTATTAGCTATAGGCTGTGGCTGCTAAGCCAGCGAGCGCACGTACACGGTCGTTACGCATTTTTTGGTAGGCTGATGCGGGAGAAGAGGAAAAAAAATAGCACAAAAGGAAAGAAGAGGTATCTGATGCCCCACCACCTGCGCCAGAGACGCCTGAAACCCTATGTGCGTGCGCATCCTTTCGCGCGCAGATCAAACCCAAAATATCCACCACTTTTGCCAATACACTGTCGCCTCTTTTCCATTACCTAACCCTTATACGATGCTGTCGTCCGAACGCCGCCCGTTGTGCTGAGAAGGCGGTGCCGACTCTGTGATATGCGTCACCTCGACGCTTTTGCTGATGTTCATGGCCCCGGCTCTTGATTCCGCAAAAATGTGCTCCTCGGAAGACCCGTCGCTTTGCGTACGCCAGTTCTTGCTTTCGCCGCCCGTGACGGTGGTCCTGGTGCCGGTGCCATCGGGCCGAAGCGTGTCCATGCCGTGAGAGTAGCTCGGGCTGCGAATGTATCCTGACTGCTTCTTGGAGCCGAGCTGGTTCGCGGAGCTGCCCCAGTTGGGCGTGAAGCGGCTGGGATGCGTGCGGGACGGTGTGGACAGGCCGGTCTTGTGGAGAATCTTTTGCAGGAGCGGGCGAAGAGTGGCGACACAAGCAGCCGTCATACCAACACCGGGCTCAATGGTAGACCAAATGGCAACGTCCGTGGACTCATCTGCGAGGCGGTCAGTCAAAGAAGCCATTCCTAGTTCAAAGCGCGCACATACAGAGAAAGTTGTCGAGGACCTTCAGCCCCTTGATGAAGGGGATGCGGACAAGGGTCGCCGTGCTGCCAATGGCTGCGAACCCAAGGATGATGACCACCACTCCTTTGGTCCTCGTGTTCATGTGGAGATCCCAGACGATGAAACCAGGAAGGATTCCTATTGCCTGCTGTCAGCATTACACGCAAGCGCTGGCATGGCCCAAGGGGTACGCACCAAAGGTCCAATCGGCAATGGCGGCGAGCGCACTTGCGGCGTAAGTGATGTTTGCAACCGTGTCCCGCGGCAAACAGTGCTCGTTGTTGGGTTTGATGGTCCAGAAGGTGTGGATAGGAGAGCACTGGAAGGTGACAACGCAAAGGTAGGCGAAGCCGAAGACGATCGAGGCGCCGTTGACAAAGTAGATGATCCAGATGTGGAAGCGGTTGACTGCGATGCGGAGCAGGAAAAGACCAATGGCAACCTTGAGCGTGGACGATGCTATTACATAGAACAATTCACATATGTACCAAAACTGCACAAGTGTCAGCGGACGCGCGAGTCGAAGGCGGAGCGGATGGAGGCGTACCCGTAAAGCTCGTCTCCTATCGTTTGGATCTAGGTCTTTATCTAACCGGCCGGTGCCGTAGTAGACGCCGCCGAGCTGGGAAACGAGGTAGACGGTGAAGCAGGCCAGGGCAAGCATCATGACCCAGTCATCGATGCCCCACGACTTGATCATGTAGGCGCGGACATAGATGCGGAGCAGGACGACGAGCCAGGCGAGAATGAAGAAAGTGGTACCGATGGCCAGCACCTGCTGGCTTCTGTCCTCCATGGCGGCAGATGGGAAAGGCGGAGCGAGGGGAGTGCAGGAGACCCGAGGGAGGGGACAAAGGGAGCACTTAAGCTCGACCACGCCGAGTGATGCAGGACTAGGGCAGGCCAGAAGTGGGTGAGGTCGCCATGTAATAGCAGGTTGGTACGGGCCATGTTTGCAGATTAGCGCAGCCGTCCAGCGGGCTTAGCGTTCGCGGGATGGCTCAGGAGGTAGGGATCTCTGCGGGAAGAGGTGTCGCAGACGAACGGGCAGAGTGGAGCGCGGCTTTCGGCTGTGGCATGTGGCAGGCGACGTGGAGGGGTCGTTCGCCGGCGGCGCAATGGCTGGATGTGCACGCAGTCGACTAGCAAGGCAAGGGCTCCGGTGCCTGGGCTCTGCTAACCGCTTCCACGCGGACGCTCTTGGGGGATCCAGGCAGCGGGCGGAGGCAGGGTCAGATGCAGGGGGCGCTGCCAGATCGTGCGGCGCTGGGCAGCGCGGAGATTTGTGAGGCCAGCAGGCATTGCGCCCCGAACAGGCAGCTGCAGGCCGGCACTTCTGACCCAGCGCCCGTTCGCCGGATTCGCCTATTTGCGAAACAGCGCTGTGCTTGATAACTTTATCCCCGGCATGTGAAGGCTGCCGCAACGGTCGGCCACATGCCCGCTTTTCGGCATCACGCAACGCAGGCGACGGTGGTGGCGGCCGCATTTGACAGGAGGGCTGCCCACCCTCGCCTGGACGTCGACTGCCCCCGCAACAGCTCCATTCTGGGAGCCGGCCGCCAGAATCTCGGGCACGACGAGCCGATCATTGCTGCGCTAGACCCAGCGCACCCACTCGCCGTCGTCCCGCCAGCGATGATTGCCTGTTGCCGACGACAGCCTGCCGCACGGGCCGCCGCGCGCCCCCGCGCGGAGCGCAGAAGGACGCGAGAGCATCGAGAAGCGCAGCTAAAAGAAGGTGCGTGTGCGTGCGCGGAGCGGTGCGACGCAGCTAGCGTTGGCGCTGTTTCCTGCGCTTCGGCATGCAAGGAACCCGAACGCCTCACGCCAACGGCGCCCTCCCCCCAGCCGTGCTGCCGCAACTGGCCTCGCTGTCGCGACGCGCCTGCGGGGCGATCCTGCCGAGGGGTGCAGAGCAGGTGCGAGTCCCCGCGTTGTGCTGGGTCGAACAGCCTCGGCGAACCGCAGCGCCGGGCTGCTGTGATGCGAGTGACGCAAATTTGCTTACGTGGGTCTGCCCGAGTCAGGGCAGCAACGGCAGCCGGGCTCCCCATCATCCCTCTTCCCAGCACAGCCCGGCAGCGCTGCGCGTTGCCTCTCATCATTCACCACAGACTGACGATCGCCAGCAGCAATGTCGCTTCGAGTCAGCGTCCAAGCCCGTCGTCCTTGGCGCCTGTGAGCACGATCAGCGCCTGGGTCCCCGCTGCAGGCGCCACGCCATCACCAGCAGATCCTCTTGCTTCCTTAGGACCCTGTCCCGCGTTCCTGGATTTGACAGCTGCCGAGTCGCCAGTCTCTTCTTGCCGGCCGCATGCGGACGCAGTACGGCTGCATTTCGCTCCTCTGCAAAGCCCATGGCCAACACTCCCCCGTGGCGCAGCCCGCTCGCACTTCGGTGTTTTCGATAATAATGGGCGCGCTTCCTCTGCCCTTGGTGCTTACGTCCAGCGCCACGCCCCCTAGCCTGATGTCAACGCTACCAACGCTTTCCGCCTCATTTCTTCGGCAATCTCGAAGCACAGTCGCTGCTCCCAGTGCCCGCCCAGCTGGATGCTCAACAGTCGATCTAGCTCCGGATTTTACTTGTTCGTCGGCGCCATCAGCGGAGAGCTGACCTTCCGAAGGATCCGCCTGCGCAATCCGATTGCCCTTTTGGGCTGTCGATCTGGCTTTGCTACTACCCAATTTCTATCCGCCGGGCCAAATTGGACGGCCCGCGGTGTAGGCCCGAAATCCGATCCTAAATCCTGCGCGCGTGGCATGCGACTCTGGCTCTGGTGTCCAACCCCCATTTACCGCCGATCATCTGCCTGAGCAATATCTGATCTGCTGGCCAACCGGTGGTCTGAGCAAAGACGAACTCACCGCGAATTCTTTGAAGTGTAATAGGCGCAATAGGGTTCCAGCCACGCGAGTGCTCTCCAATCCGACCGATTGGTAAAAGCAACCACAAATCGTCGAAACCCCACGGGCTCTGCTCTATACTGCTTTGCTGAGATCCAATATTGAGGCTTCAACCGGGGTTTGCTCCGCCAGAGTGCAATCATTGCCACGTGTGAGCCCCAAGCTTGAATTTGCCTGACCGCTCACCTCCAGCCCAACCATGCTTGCACCTGCCAATCTAATTCCGCACAGCGGCGAACAGCAGGGTATTCGCGACCAATGGTCTAGCTAAGCTCATTAGATCAAACGAGTCTGACCGAATTAACCTTGTCAGAGGCAAGCATCCCGGGTTGAACCTTAACGAGTGGAAGTGGCCTCCCGTCGGCGACATCTGCGTGAAGGTTAACAACGGCAACGCGTGCCTCACACCTCGCAAACCTAGATCCTAGCCATAGCTCGAGGTTGGAGTGCGCAGGTCTGTCCAAGGGGTTCCTGCTGCTTCCACCGGCTGCTCCCGGATATACCACCGGCTCACCAAGCTTAGTTTCTTGTCGATCAGTTCGAGACCCCGACAATGCATGACTCTCCCCCAAGTAGAGAAGAATTTTCTGACTTGTGTCACACAGCATATAATCGAAGCCCATGACTAGACTTGCACAGCGGAACGTCCAAGCGACCGGCTCCCGACCGTTGGACCGTCGCCCAGGGTCTCGTATAACATGCGCGCCATTTGTCTTTCGTAGTGGGGTTATAGGGGCATGAATCATTGAACTAGATTTCTTATCAACAGAGAAGCTCGAAGGCGTGGGGTACGTAGGATCAGATAACCCGAAAGCGCTTGCAGGCGCGCTAACCCCGACGACTCCTAATTGACGAGGGCGCAAAGGGCATCGATGCAACGTAGCAATGAGCATTTTCTACCGGGCACTTGTTGCCACCGGCTGCTTCGGAAACCAATGGCTGTCGAGGGTGCGAAAAAGAAAGTAATCAGGGTGGAGAAAGATAGTTGCCACAGCGCAAATGCATCATACAATTCGATGTTGAGTTTTCTGGGCAGTCAGGTATGGGAGAGCGAATGCATCAAGAGCGCAGAATACGCATAGTTTGGTGCAAGGTAGGGTTGTATGTACCTAAAGTACGGGCAAAGTTTCTGGCAGGTTGTGTAGGTAGCAATTTTTTTGGTAGTATATATTTTTAAAAAGCGAACGCATCTATTGCCTTCGGGCATTTGGTCAATTTTGAAACGATACAGAGAAGATTAGCATGGCCCCTGCACTAAGGATGACACGCTATACAAAGAGAAGCTACCAGTTTTTTTTTGCAGATTCGTAGTTCGAATCTGACGGTCGCCACCACGATGCACCCAACCCAACGGTAACGCGAAGGCTTTAATCTGACTTGCGGTGTTTTTCTTTTGCTCCTCGCGACGACATGCTTGCTTAATATTTTTTTTTTATATTCTCCCCCGGTAACTGTCGATCACGTACCAGCTGTGCGGGTGCCCCGGGGCGGGCTCGCTTAGCTTGCTAGCTTTGTCAGCAGCGCCGCCGTCAGCCTAGTCTTGAGTCCACGCCGATGCGTCTGAGCGTACAACTTCGCGCACCATGCCCAGTGAGCAGCGCGTGTCGGGGAGAGGCAGTCGTCGGGTGCCAACGTGCACCGTGTGCGACCGTGTTTTTGCACGCAGCGAACACCTGCAACGCCACCTTAGAACCCGTGCGTCCCTCATCCTCTCCCCGCCTACGAACCGACGTCTGAGCCGAGGTTGGATGCAGATACCAAAGAGAAACCGTATGCCTGTCACTGCGGACGCTCATTCACTCGGCGCGATCTGCTCACTCGCCACGAGCGCATCTACCACAGCGCTTCGTCGCTAGAACGCGCAACTCAAGATGCACGTCTCAGCCCGCGTTGCTCCTCGTCCGACACTGCTTCGCATCACCGCCCCGCGGCTGACATTGCAGCGGCGACCTTCCCAGCAGGTTCCGAGGGTTTAGCAGGACATGCTGCCTTTGAACCGTGGAGCGTCTCGACGCCGCAGTTCGACTCTCACGCCAATCAACCCACCTTGACTCAGCAAGCGCCGCTTCCTGTCGCCCACCTCCACGGATATGATGGCGCTATGCTTGATTTTTCAACCTTCATGAACACCGTGGGCCTTGACTTTGATCTAGGTATCATCTCCGAGCCCCTCTGGAGTAATCAGCACGGCAGCGAGTCAGCGGCAGTGGCAGGGGCTACCAGCCCTGGCGATCATTCAGCGGTGGAAAAGGAGCATGGAAAGCCACGTCGAATCCCCGACGCTTCTATAGGAGATGGTGATCAACTTCGTTCCGGGCCATGCTGCATTCGACTGACTCTCGCCATCGCAGATGACTTCCATGAACTAAAGCCGCTGCTGCATCCGTGGCAAGTGACCGAGGAGCACAGGCGGCAGTTTCAGCTTTCCCTAGCCCCGTTTAGCGACGTGTTGGGGAATTTCACGCTACCATCTAGACTATCCCTGGCCCGGTGCATCGCGGGCTACGTGGACGGCTTCAGTAATCACCACTCATTCATCCACGTGCCCACCTTCAGCATCACTGCACATTCCAGAGCTCCCGAGATGGTCCTTGCCGTTCTGGCCATTGGTGCACAGTATCGATACGAAAAGCGGAATTCGTTGGTGCTCTACAATGCTGCCAGGTCGATTGTTCTTGAGCGCATTCGTAGAAGGGATCCGTGCCCGGAAGGGCCCGGCAGCGAGAATGGAGCTAACCACCGGCAAGCGAGTCATCACCCACAGTCGGGACGTATGGATATTGTCCGGACACTTCTTCTTCTGGCAACCTTTTCCACCTGGCAAAGGGATCAGACGCTCGTCCGTGAGTCGTTTGAGTACCAGGGACTAGTCGCAAGATACATTAGGGAAGACGGGCTGTCTGAATCGATACAGGACGACGGAGATGACTGGCTCGAATGGTCAAGGATCGAAGTCGACCGGCGCACGAAGCTCTGTGCCTTCGGCCTCCTCAACCTGCAGACCTTAGCATACAACCTCCCCCCTGCGCTCCTGAGCAATGAAATTGACCTGCGGTTGCCAACTTCATGCGAAGAGTGGTCGGCCCGTGGGCCCTCGGAGTGGCTCAAAGCCAGGGAAGAGGCACCACGGATGATTCCGTTCAAGGAGGCCTTGGCGGCACTGCTAAGAAGTACGAAGCAGCCCACAACAGAGCCAGCACTTGTGACGTCTCCCATGGGAAACTTCATACTCATTCAAGCGTTGTTGCAGCGCATGTACATCACTCAACAACTCTCTGTAGAGCCAGAGGATAGGCCATTCCGTGATCAGGATGTGGGTGACTTTGAGGAAGCGCTCGACCGCTGGAGGCACGGGTGGCAGAAAGCACCCGAGTCCGTGCTGGACCTGAAGAATTCCAAAGGCTCAATGTCGTTCGCGTCAACCGCTCTCCTGGGCCTCGCCCACGTGAGGCTTCACTTTGAGCTGGGCTGTCGACGGCGGCTGCAGAGCGGGAATCCGGATATCGTAGCTACGGAAGCCTTCAAGGCGCCCCCGCCGCAGCGGTCGCCGCGTTTGCTGCAGGCCCTGCTGCACTCTGCTCACGCACTCAACATCCCAGTCCAGCTGGGCGTCGACTACCTGACCAAATGCCAGGCCTTCTTCTGGGGCGTTCAGCACTCGCTCTGCAGTTTCGAGTGCGCCGTCTTCTTGAGCAAATGGCTTTGCGTGCTGTCCAGCACCTGTGCAGCGCAACCTCTTACAGGTGCGAACATTCTACAACCTACCCATCCTTTTCACTAGTTCCACTTGCTAACAATACGAACAAAAAGAACTCGAACACCAAATCATCCGCTGGCTTGACAGCATTGTGCAAGAGGCCAAGACGTCGCTGGATCAGGCCGACGAAATCATCTACACTGGCGATGAGACGCCTGGCGATCGCTGCTCGCAAATTAGTATGGATCTGTATCGCCTGAGCATCGCCGTCGTCAGGGTGTTTGCACACATGTTCAAGCGCTGCAACAGCACATGGCCCGTGGTCGAGGTCATCGGCCAAAGCCTGGAGCGGTACGCAGATCTACTGCAAGAACGCCGTGCCCCCCAGAGTGGGTGATGGTGACTGTCGCAGGAGGGTCACGACGAACAGGCCCGGGAAAGCCAGGGTGAATCAGAAGAGGGAATAAAAAGATACAGGGAGAGCATTTCGAGATTCTGCGGGGTTGTAACGGAAAAACGATTCAGCAGCTTCCTGACCGATCGGGTTGGTACATTGACTTTTTTACCCTGGTGTTCAGGTTGTTTCATCCCCGACGAGCAGACCCCTTCGGTGTTCTTGTGAGTGTTGCCTCTGCCAATCTACCCTCGAAAGAGGATGGACGGTCCAAGATTCGAGAGTTGTTGAGCGCGTAAGTGGCCGCTTGAAAGTTGTTTCTTTTTTCTCTTCCCGCCTTTGCCGGGGGTGTAGCACTGGGATGAATCGTGGCGAGTGGACAGACGCTCATACAGAAAGTCGATACACCCGTCTACCTCTGAAATTGAAGACCCAGCCAGTGTAGATGACTCCCAAGGCGTAGTGGAACTGGAATCACGAATATGGATGACCACGCTTGCGACGCCACAGTTGGCAGCAGAAGATCCAAACCCTACGTGCCTCCGCTGAGGATGCTATCTTGCCAGGGCCGTCTCCATTTCGCCTTGGCTTCAAATTCTCTATTACAGCTTCGGAGGATGGAGGTCGTGGCTTTGAGTACTCGGGCGAAAGGCGTGAAAGTGCAATCGTCGGGACCAGGGTATGCGAAACGATGCTGGAAGGCTGCACTGGTGCCAAAAAGGACTGTCAACTAAGCACGATTGCGCTCTTCCAGTGGGAAGAGAAAATGCCTTCCACTCGTCTTATTCAACCTCGCTCGTTGAGTGAAGAAGACTGTACGCTTCTTTTGTTGTTCCTGGATCGCCGGAGGTCGTGCCTTCTTGGCGGACGCCGCTGGAACGCCATGGCCGGAGTTGAGTCAGGCTCCCTTTGCCCGATAGGTCGTCTTGCATAACAAAAGCCACTCAACGGCGCCGTTTGCCGGACGTTGGGCGGGCCGTTGACAGGAATCCGCAGCAACGCAAAACCTCAGGATCCAGAGAGCAACAAGAAGGAAAATAAGAGGAAAGGCAGCAAGAAAGAACAAGACATGTATGCATGTACTTTGGTGTTGGGCGAGGATCGAGCTGAAACCCCTATTCACTGCCAATCGGAGGAACATAGATGCTATCTGGTCTGAGGCCAGCATGCTCGGACGCACTCGTCATAGTCGGGTCGAATTCGCCGAAGGTATGCAGCTCGGGGCCGATGCAAACCGCTCAGTTGGGTGTGGCAATGCCAATCAGGGGGCCAATGATGAAGGGTGCTCTCTACCAACGCAGTATGAGATGTGGAGCTGAAGACGTGCCGAATGCGGACGCATCATTAGTTATGCGGATCATTCGCTTACGACGGCAACGGTTCGTGGGCTGGTCCTGTGGCGGCCCCTGAAGATTGGCAGGGCTTGACTGTGATGGGGCAGGGCCTTCTCGACGGCGGAACCAAGTTGATTCGTGCAGGTAAGCATTCCCGAATGGTAAAGTTTAGAGGCTGTAGTCGCAGTCGGCCCGACAGTGTAGCCCCGGAATCCTTCGCCCTCACCGAGCTGCACGTCTCCCGCTTGCCACCGCTGGCTCAACTGCCGTCGTTGACTGATGGGGAACGAAGAGCCGCCATGCTGGAAGAGCCGAGGCGTCGTTGGGCAGATGCAGTGCTGTGGGACACTGCGCCGTGCTTGCGGGTAGTTGTCCGGGGGATCGACACGGTGCACATCCCCCGGATTGATGTGCCGGTTGTCAAGGAACCCCGCAAATGGACTCTGTCATCGGGCCGCACGGGATGACGAGTTTCCCCGTAAACACCCCATTCCTTGAGGATGTACCTATTGCGGTACCTGGGCCCTGCAGATCGCATACGCAGTTAATCGCCGCCCTGCCTTGCGGCTCTCTGCATGGCCAAGTATCGACGAGGCCTCCAACAGGCATATATACACGCAGCCGCTGCCATGGTCCGCTACCCATCCACCTTCTCTTTTGCTTCGCTTCGCCATGTCGACCGGCCCATCGTCCAATGCGGCGACCAACACGCAGAGCAAGACGGGCGACGCCGCCCAGACAACCTTCGCCTTGTCGCTGGTCATGATCGCCTTCCTGGCCATCGCTTTCTTCAACGCCGCCGAGCTCGTCGTCCTGGTTCTGATCACCTTCAAGCGCTACAGCGGCCTCTACTTCTGGAGCGTGCTGGTAGCGGCATCCGGCATACCCATATACTGCCTGGGCTTCACCCTCAAGTTCTTCGTGACGGACGTCCCCAACATGAACTACATCGGGCTGGCCTTAGTCATCGTGGGCTGGGTCCCCATGGTCACGGGGCAGTCGCTGGCGCTGTACTCGCGGCTCAACCTGGTTGTGCACGACCACCGCAAGCTGCGCTGGGTGCTCTACATGATCATTGTCAACGGCTGCGCCTTCCACGGTGCGACGACGGGGCTGGCCTTCTCGGCCGAGGGCTCCGTCCGGATGGCCAGCATATACTCGGCTTACGAGAAGGCCGAGCTGCTTGCCTTCGCGCTGCAGGAGTGCATCATCTCGGGCCTGTACATCTACGAGACGTGGAAGATTCTGCGGCCGACGAGCGCGGCCCAGGGCAAGCGCATCACCGCCGTGCGCCGCAACCTCATCTGCGTCAACATCATCGTCATCCTGCTCGACGTGGCCCTGATCGGCATCGAGCTGGCCAACCAGTACAAGCTGCAGACGACCTTCAAGGCCTTCGTCTACAGCGTCAAGCTCGGCCTCGAGTTCAGCGTGCTCAACACCCTGCTGCGCGCCATCCAGGGCCACTCGGGCAGCTCCTACGACAACGACCCCAACTTCCGCTCCGGCGCCCCTGGCACCTCGCACGGCGACACGTTCCGCGGCACCACCAAGACGCGCGTCGGCGACTCGGAGCACGCCACCACCTTCTCCAACGTCGGCAGGGGCGACCGCAGCGCCAGCGCCTGGGAGCTGAACGACATCGACATCATGAAGACGACCGAGGTCTACGTCGACTCCAGCGCCAGCGCCGCGCCCGAAGACGACGAGGCGGGAAGCTCCAAGGATGGCCGTCGCGCCGAGTCGAAGACGTCGTCAGAGATCCAGCTGACGGGCAGCAGCACCTACTATTCCAGAGGTGGCGACTGATGCTCTTCGACCATGCCCCAGACACTGGGAATTTAGCGTAATATTTGGCCCTAATCAAGAACCCCACTTCAATCCGCCGAGCACCTCCGCTCCATCTCCATGGCGTTATTCCCCATGCAGGATACGCCATCACGTGCCCAACCCGGTCCCAAAGCTGCTGCATCTGCCCTTTGCCATTTGCAGCATTCTTCATGTCAGAGCACCTGAAGATTCACGCGTCGGGTATGGCGTCATGCGAGAGATATATTTAACCTCTGAAGCGGCCGTTTCAGAAGACGACGGCAAGTCTAGACGACGCGCGCCTCGACCACCAGAGCCTCCATGCTTCGGCATAACACAGGCTGCTGTTTTGAAACCGCAATTCCGCGTAAGACAAGAGATGAATCCGTCCATTTGCGTTTCGAACTGGCGAGGCAGTCCCGCGACCGAGCCAAAACAGTCCATGTGCGAGAATAGACTACGGACGCACGCAAAACGTTTCAAAACGAGCCTAACGGCCGCCTCTTTGATCAACGGCGTCGCCGTGCGCCCGGGGGTTGAAACCGCTGCCTCAATCAGCCCTACATCCCCAGGAAAATTGTACTCGGCTTCCCGTACTTTGGACAATGTAAGAAGAGCTCTGGCCGCCCCACCGCGACACTTCATCTTCTCCACAGCTCGCATCCGTTTAAGAAGGATGCATCCCCGTTTCTTCGCCACCAACCCGCCCCCCTTCTCTTCATGATGCCATTCTGCTCCTTTCCCAAACGCCGCGGTGATATGCTGGTCGCCGTCGCAAGCACCCCCCGGGCTTCGCCGCTGCCCACCAGACCACACAAGACCTGGTCCTTCCTGGGACTCCCCGGCTGCGACACGCCGCCTCCAGAGCACCTTTTGAGCCAATTCTTCCCCGAATATCGCTCGGCCGATTCCTTTCGGGACGAAATCCGGATGGCAGAAGAGTCGGATTCCAGCCAGGACGAGTCCTTCAGCGAAGAGGAGGAAGAGAAGGCCCGGATTCCGGTTGAATCCCAACTCTTCCCTTCGCCCCTCCCGATCCCGACCGTCATTCTCAAGTCCAACCGCACTCCTCCTCCACCACCACACCCGCAGTCGCAACAGCGCCAGCAAGAGCAACACCATCACGCATGCCCCAGCTCGCTCTTCAGTAGCAACAACAGCAACGCCTCCAGGAGCAGTAGCATCAGCAGCATCAGCAGCCTCAGCAGCATCAGTAGCCTCACAGGGCCTTCCTCCCCCAAGATCCTCTTTCCCAACCGCACTCTCGTAACTCGTCACCATCGGCCACACCGCCGCAGCCACCTACACGGCGCGTCGCGGCGTCGCCGTACAGCGTTACCTTGATCCCGCAACCTACCACCGTCGTTTCCCATCTCCAAAGCGAGAAACTGAGAGATGGTACGTCGCGGTTAAGTGTCGATGCCGCGATGCGCGCGCGTTATCCTATCGAGCGCGTCGGGAAGGTGAGAGCTGCCGGGAAGCTCTTTTTGGATTGTTCATTGCCCTTTTTCTCCCCCCCTTGTACAGGCTACAGTGGTTCCTTCACGACGGGTGCATGTTGCTGTGCGACGTTGCGCAAAAGTGGCTCGGACGGGGCGTAGTACCGGCGTTGGGAGTGTTCTCGGTTCACAAAACGATGATGAAGGATGAAGGGTGGTGTTAGAGGCGTTCACGGCGGGCTGGCAAGCGAAAACTGGCTTTCTTAAGCCTTTCTGGAAACACAGCATCCACTTGCATGGGCAGGTGAATCCGAACTCCGGGCGTACATGTTGGCTCGCCAACTGCATGTACAAATACGTCCAGACGTTTGCTTCAACTGAGAAGAGTTCAGCGTCCTTTGTGGGCTCGAATCTTCTGCAACCCACTGTGGCGTTGGTTGGTGCGAGCATTTCGGCGTTTTGCGGAAGATCCATCTCGGTTCGGATGAAAAGGTGGCGTTTCGGATTTTCTTTGATTCTTTTTTTACTTTGCGCTTTAGATGATGGTTCATGTAGATATATATGTGATCAGCGCCTCCGATATACAGGCCGCGCGCCCCACCTGCGGCCCTTTCATTATTATATACAATATTTTCGAGCGCTGTTGAGAACTGAATTGCCCCCAATCCTCAAATGCCCATTAAACTCGGTAAAAACACAGAAGCCTGCAGCGTCAGCCTCACCCCGGTCAAACAACATACAAGTCCCAATATAAAATAACACCCGACGGAGGAGGCACAATGCGCGTAGATTCGGTAATTTCGTCCATAAACGGATTTACAGTATTCTCGTACAAATACATGTATTAACATGGCGGGACCTTCGGAGTCCAGGTACAACAACAACTCCAATCTTCGGTTGGAGTCTTTCGAGCGCGAATCAAATTTCGAATGAGGCTGATCCGCCCGGGGGAATTCGCTAAGCAGGGCATTCCAGCGTGGAGGTGTCCAGCGCCGGATATGCCGAAAAAAAAAAAGAGAGGATCGAGATCGAGAGGAATTGAGGAGAGAGATGGATGGCCTGAGCACATCGAAATCAAAGCGCCCACTCATCCTTCAACATGGCGATCCACGTCTTGTAGTGAACCTGTTCGCCGTCGAGGAGAACGTGGTCCCTAGGGATCTCGTGCGGGGCGGGGCCGCTCGTCCGGAAGAAGTCGTGTATCGGACTGCAAACGCGGACCCGCAGCGTCGTCTCTTCCAGAGACTTGTGGCAGGAATCGCAAAGGTCGACCTTGCAGTACCTGCAGGTTTGGAAGTGGCCCCAGGAGAGCTCGTTGTCGCACGTCTCGCATGCGCCGTACGTCTGCGCCTTGGTGACGGAGCTGTTGTCGCCGTCGTCGTTCTCGAGACCAAGAGCGTAGTGGTGCTGGAGGAACAGCGACATGGCTCTCGTCGCGTTCTCGTCGCCCTCCACGTGGCCCCCCCAGTTGTCGGCGGCCGTCATGAGCGTCTCGGCCAAGAGAAGGAACCCGCTCTCAGCATTGGAGCGGTCCCTGGCCTCCAGCTTTCCGATGGCGCACTTGGCGTTGAATCTGAAGTTCTCCAATGCCCTGTAAGAGTCTTCGTCGTGCATCTGGTGCCAGGCCGTAAGCATTAATGATGAACAGTGGGCATCCCACCACATGGTCGTGACGGAGTCCGCGCCCCTTCCGGCCGCCTCCTCAAGCTTCTTTGCGTGCTTCGAGGGGTCCTCGCCGGCGATGTGAGCTTCCAGAGCCTTGGTAAAGTAGATGTTGCAGAGTGATCTTGTGGCATTCGTCCTCGCCCTGTAGACAAACTTGTCGCTGTCGCCGTTGGCCGAGTCGCCGAGAACCTTCCTCCAGAGCCTGATGGCCTGTTTGTCTTTGTGGTCATCCCAGTAGAAGTGAGCCAGCTGCTCGCGCAGGATGGGCAGAAAAACGCGGCTTTCAGTCAATTCAGCTTCGCTCAGGCAGTTCTCAAGCATGCGCGTCATGATGACCTTGGTCAACCTGGCAGCGGAATCATCCCCGTTCGCAGTCGGCTTGGGGAGATACTTCTGGAGGATCTTCCAGTCGGACCTTCCGTTGATGATGTAAGACTCGATGACCCTCTGAAGGATGTTGCCCTGTCTGTTGTTGGGGAACAACCGGGGCATCGAAACCTTCTGGTCCGAGCCCTTGGGAATGACAGAGTCTTCTCTGGTAATCCCAGGCTCCGGGGTGTCAGTGGTGTGCGATGATGCGTCATCTTCAGAGTCAGTAACCGTGCCGGAGTGAGCTTCCGAGTGCGTATCGTCGTCCTTGGTCAGCACAACAGGAGGGTCAACCGGAACCACCTCGCGCGATTGAACAATGGATTCTTCGGCGGTAGTGTTGTCCTCGGTCTTGGTGACAGGGCCTGCGGCAGACTCGGGTTCCGCTGTCGAGTCCTCGTTCGCCTGAATAGTGGCAGCGTCGTCTTGGGCGGACAGAGCCTCGTCGAGAGCAGGAGAGATTTCGGCCGGCAAAACCTCTTCAGTCACGCTTGCTTGGACTTCGGGCGTCTCCTCAGCGGCATCCTCTTTGGCGACGACCGGCTCCTCTTTGGCGACAGCGACTGGCTCCTCTTTGGCGATATCGACGGCCTCCTCTTCGGTAGCAACAATAAGTTCATCCTTGGCAGCAACAATGAGTTCTTCCTTGGCAGCAACAACGGGTTCCTCCTTGGCAGCAACAGCGGGCTCCTCTTCGGCGACAACAACGGGCTCCTCTTTGGCAACGACGACAGGTTCCTCTGTTGGCGGATGGTCGTCTACCGGCTCGGAGGCCGCTGGGGCCGGGATAACCTCCGCGGTCGGCTCGGCAGGGGAGTCTTCGTCTTCGGCAGTCGGCGACACTGGCGTCTTGACGCGCGACTCGGACTTCTCTGGGATGGCCGGGACGTCGACAGATAGCTGAGGCTCTTCCGGTTTTTCCTCGGCCGGAGTGAAGAAGGCCTCGACAGGCGACTCGATGTCTGCAGCAGTCTCGTCGACGGCAATGGCGGGCTCCTCCGGATGCTCCGCAGTTGTGGGCTGCTCAGCCGGCGACTCTTGTGTCTTCTCGACCGAGGCCGCAGGGACCTCGGCAGCTAGCTGCTTTTCGGCGGCGTTCTCGGTGGTGTCGACGGCAGGACCCGCGGCGACTAAATCCTCCTTTCCGTCGGCTGCAGTAGTGAGGGCGGCGGGAGCATCGGCTCGTGCATGGTCCCTCACGACGTCTCCACTGGTGGGAACAGGCGTTTCAGCTTGCTGCTCCTCTTCTGTGATCCCTTCCGGTTTGGTCGTGGGAGCATCCGGCTTTTCGGCGGGTAAATGGTCCTTTGTGGCCTCGTCCTCGCTTGTCGGAATCGCACGCTTTTCCTCCTCAGCCTTCTGCTGCTGCTCCTCCTTCTTGGCCTTCCCGCTCGACGTCACCCCCGATCTGTCGGCCTTCTCGGAGACCTGCTTCGCCGGCTTGACTGGGAGGTCCGCATCGGCCTCATCCTTGGGTCCGCAGCAGAAAAACCGCCGCATGCCTCGGCGCTTGGGCGGCATTTTGGTCCTGGACAAGATTCAAGAAGTTGGGGTAACAGTAGATGTCTCGACAGGGGGACGAGGGACTGCGCCGTTTTTCAACTTCGTGGATTGCGGGCAGCGCTTTGGCCCCCCACTGCGCTCTGTCCGTATATGCCAATATAAACGCCCCACCAAGCCTCCGATTCGTAAGCGCAGCCGCCGCTGCTGTGGCAGAGTCTCGAGAGAATCCTTAAAAGCGGTGTGGATTGGGTGTAGATCCGGGTACCTGAATCGGTCCCCGCATAAAACTCTGCTTCCGCGCTCCAATGACGAGTATGCGAGAGGGGTTGGTGGCTTCGGGCCGGGGTCCCAGCGGTTCTGGCTTCCTCAAATGCGACGTCGGCCCACGTAACCAGGGGGGGACAAATGCCGCCGGTAATCGTACAAGCGAGCAACGCCAATGAGCTCGCGGCCACAAACACTGGTTGGACCCTTCCGCGGTAGTTCCGTTGCCAAAATTGACTTAGTCAGCCTGGTGATTGGTCCAACGCTCCGCTTGGGCTCTGTCTCTGGTCACCGGTCAGTGGTCGGGCCGGGCAATCGCAATACTGGGCTGATTGCAAAGGAGGCTTGTCTTGTGACCGCCGGCACAGGCTGGACAGGCGACGTCTGGCGCGACGGGTACTTACAATGATTCTAGAAGCTGGCAGTGGGACGACGGGAGAGAGTGGGAATCAATGGTTGCACGTCTGGAACTGAGGTGGTGAAGATTCTATGTCAAGAAAGATAGCTACAAGTAATATGTGCCTTGTCATTAATTGTTTCAACGTTGTCTTAAGGGGTCTCCGTCATCCAATTCGTGAAGTTACTCTCGTTTCAGGTCGTAATATCATCGGCCGTCGCCTTGTTATTGTCGTTGCAATGCAAGGTTGATCATGATGGCTGTTTTCCGCTTGGACCATCCGTTCACAGCAAGCATCGAAACCTTGGATCCAATTGCACCGAAGCCTATCTTTTTGGCGCCGCCGTTTGCAGTTGCCGTTGTGAGAAGGGGGCAGCACAGTAAGAAATAAGCCATGGGCAGTCCAAGCAATTGCCGGGACGTAATAGCTCCCGCTGCCCGTGCCGTTCCTTCGCAAGGGCTCATTTCTTTTTGGCAACCACCGTGGCCGGTGGAATGAGGCTCTGGCACGCGACCGCCCTCCTGAAAACAGATGATATGTGTCCTCACGCGGGGGGCCGAACGTTCCAGAAAGCCTCGGCTGCTCGAGGGGAGCCCGAGCGGCCAGGAAATGAACACGCTCCGGATTGCGTGCAGCGGGCGGGCCCGCTGGCGCGCTGCGGGTGCGCACTGGCATGCCGGCAGTCGGATGGCTCATTGTCCGAGGGGGCAAGGCTCAGATGAAGTGCTTCGCCAGGCTCGCCAGGCTCATCAAGCTGCCAAGGTTCAGGCCCTCGCTGCCTCTGCCGTAGTCATGGCCGTAGCCAGAGCTACCGTAATATCCGCCGCTGTAGCTCCTTGCACCGTAGCCACCTCCCATCGGGGCACCACCGAGAGCAGTGTTCAAGGCGCGCGGCAGGCTGATGCCAAATTGTCGCAGGACGCCGTGCAGAGCGCCGCTGCTTAGCAAAGGCATGATTACCATGAAGAACAGCTTGGCGGGATGGCGACGCGCATAGTCGTAGAGCTCGCGCAACAGCTGCTTGAGCTTGTACAGCAGGCGGTTGATGTAGCCGTCGCGCGGGCGGCGCTTGTAGTATGAATGCGACGAATAGGTGCTGGCAGGACGTCCCCAGGTGGACTTGGAGTAGTAGTTGCCTGAGCTGTAGGGCGAGCGCGACGGGCCGAACCAACCCATTGTCGAGTCGCGGTGGTGATGGTGGGTCGTCGGGTAGCGATAGAAGGTCGAGGTCGATCGCACGTCGCTGGGGGTGTGGCGGCTCAGTGGGGTATGCAGGTAGTCGTTGCGGCGGTGCTTGCGAGCGATTCCACGAGGGCGTGAGACAATCATCGAGGGTGATCAGGGCGAAAGAGTGAACAATACCTATACGAGGATGCGCGCGGAGGCCAATGTGCGCTCGGAGCACCGTGTGCGTGCGCGGGCTTTGTAGGGCGGACGCGGCTGCTACGGGACGCACAGATTTCTGCGCGGCAAGTGGGGTCGTTTGCTGTCAGTGCATGCGGCGACGTGCAGCAGACCGGTCAAATGCTTTGGGCGGGACGCGCAGGAGCGAGAGTTTGGTGGTGAAGAATGGTAGCGCAAGCAGGGAGAGCGTGTTCTAGCGCAGGGTGAGCTGAGTGGCTGACCGCAAGTCGATGGCTGGGAGTCTGCCATGCGAACCTTCACCACCTGCAGTGCTGATCCGCCAATCGCGCCTCCGCCCAAGATCCAGACCAATCGTCGATCGGCTGCCCTGTGGACACGACAGAGGCATTGCGTGTGAGCTATCAGACAGTCCGGCCTGCATCGGCGCCCGTCTCCAATGTACATTAGCATCTCCGGAGCACTCCACCGCGGCCAAGACTCCGCAACAGCAGGCCCGTTTTCGTCCCGTGTCTGGGCTCTCGCGCCAGCCAGGATCGCACATCGCGCCGTCTCGACAGAGGTTGATCATGCTGGGCTCGTGCGCAGCACTGGGGCTCTGGACCGCGCGGACGGATCCCTTGGAGCGGCTACGGCGGGTCAGTCCCCGCCGGCGTGGGTTGAGAGTCGTCCGGCCAAAAGAGTCATCGTCACAACATCTTCCTGTCGAACGAGGAACGGCCGAGCAATCTCCTGCGTGACGTGGGCTGTGATTTCTGGCAGATTTCATGATGAAATGAAGTTGATGCACCGTGTGACAGATGCCGCCCTGATACCTACCTGGCGCAGTGGGTCGCAGAGTGCTACACTATGCTCACGTGGGCAGAGGCCCGGACGTTAATGTGAGCATACGACTGCATCCAGGCCTTGGCCTCAACTGCCCATAGAAGCAAAATGCTATACTTTCCATGAGGAAATTTCTCCTGTCATCAGCCGTGATGCTGCACGTGAGTAGACCCTGACCAGATCAGCCACTGGACAGGTTGTGGCGGTGAAAGCTGCTACGTCATGCCCCGGCCAGACGAGGTCCAGGCAGCCCAGTTTCATCGCTCCCTCACTCCCCTTCAACGCACCCTTTCACCCTGTCCGCAGCAAACAGCACCTCGAACACCGTTGAGCTTCGATCTGAGTTCCGAGCCCATTGCTGCTTCACCGCGATGTCGAGTGAGCTTGATTCCCCCGGCGATGTTGTCGTGACGCAAAGCTAACATATCGCAGCGCCAGACTACTGTGGGTTCCGACCAAGCCTATCGAAAACGCAGCCCAGTTGATGCATTTGTGACTAGATAAAATCCTCGACATATCACCCAAAGCAACCCAGCAGCAGATCCGGGATGCATACAAGAAGGCCGCGCTAAAGCACCACCCCGACCGCGTCCCTGCCGACTCCCCTGAGCGCGCGTCACGGACCAGACGATTCCAGCAGATCAACGACGCGTACTATACGCTGTGCGATCCGACTCGTCGTCGTGACTACGATGCTGCGCGGACCTACAACAACTACACTGGAGGGTTTGATGACAGTGAGCCCGAGGAAGAGATTCCCCGACCTCAAGCGGGCCAGGAGGGCACCATGCCCGGCGGCTTCCCCTGGTCGTCGTTCTTCGGAGGGGGAACTTCGAGCTCGGACAACAATGGTGGGGCCTCGGCCGCCAACGAGCACGAGCGCTTCAGCAATGAGCAATTCGGTAGCGTTTTCGAGGAGATGCTGCGCGAGGAAGGCTTAGCGGAGGGCGAGCAGGCTCAGCCAAACGGCAAGTTCTGGAGTCTGGTCGGCGGACTGAGCGGCGGCGCCATGGGCTTCATCATCGCGAACTTCCCAGGAGCGGTGGCGGGCGCAGTTGCAGGGAACAGGCTCGGTGCGGTTCGAGATGCGCGGGGGAAGAGCGTGTATGCGGTCTTCCAGGAGCTGCCTCAGGCCGACAAGGCTCGGATGCTCAGCGATCTAGCGAGCAAGGTGTTCGCGCATGCAGTGAGCGCCTGATTGGACACGGGCGGCTCACACCCGAGTCGGGGGCGAGCTGGCGATGACGATACTGTTACGATTGTGATATCCCTCGAATATGTTGTTTGGGCTTTCATCAGGAGTTGGATCGGTGCGCATTTCAGGATAACTTAATCAGGTATGGGTTCGTGGGTGTCGTCAAGTCAAGAAAGATACAGCGGGGATGCTTCTTAACATTTGTTCGCGCTGCAGAGCGACGTCCTGGGCGCACTTTTCTGCCTAGGTAGGAGAGAGAATACATCTTGCAAGCCACACCCGACAAGGCGGTAGGCCGCAGAATATCTTCCGAGAGGGGACGGAACCTTGCTCTGATCGGGTGTCGCGCAGCTGGGCTCGCTGATTCAGGCACCCCGAATGGTCCGGGCCGACGAGGCGCCGGGTTTAGCGATGACGATAGTCTTGCCCGAGGCCCTGGCCGCCGCTCTCTGCTCCAATTCTCACTCCACAAGCTCGCTTCTCCGTTCTCTGTGTGCGCGAAGACGCCCAAGGGGTCCCTTCGTCGCTGGCCGTGCTGCTGACACATTGCGCCGCGCTTTGCCCGAGTTCCCCGCCGATTTCACTCTTGCTCCATCACCGCAACACACAAACGCGAGCTCCCTCTTCCACCTGACGTGCTGCTCGTTTTCTTTCGCTTTGCATGCCCCTCGGCCTCCTCACCCCCCAAACATCCCCTCGTGAACATTGCTCTTTGGCCCGCTTGCTCCTCACCAGACCATTCTAGCACTTCGCAATCATGACGAACAAGACGCGAGTGGCGTACATGTACGACCCGGACATAGGCTGCTACGACTATGAGCCAGGCCACTGCATGAAGCCCTTCCGTATCCGCATGACCCACGACTTGGTCATGTCCTACGGTCTCTACAGGCAGATGGAGGTCTACGTGCGTCGGCCTCGCTCCTTGCAGCAGCCTGCGGATATGTCGCTAACACAACCGTCTCGCAGCGCGCAAAGCCGGCCACGGCCCTGGAGATGACTCAATTCCACACCGACGAGTACATAGAGTTTCTTCAGCGCATCACCCCCGACACCATTGGCAGCTGCCAGCAGGAGGCCTTGAAATACGACATCAGCGGCGATTGCCCCGTCTTTGATGGCTTGTTCGAGTATTGCTCCATCAGTGCCGGCGGCTCCATGGAGGGCGCCGCGCGTCTCAATCGCGGTCGCTGTGACATAGCAGTGAACTGGGCCGGCGGCCTGCACCACGCAAAAAAGGGCCAGGCCGGCGGCTTCTGCTATGTCAATGGTATGCTTTCGCCCTGTTCGACGCCGGCTGCGCTTGGCTAACACTCGCAGATATCGTCCTGGCCATTCTGGAGCTCCTGCGCGTGTACCAGCGCGTGCTTTACATTGACATCGACATCCACCATGGAGACGGAGTAGAGGAGGCCTTCTACACCACTGACCGCGTCATGACATGCTCATTCCACAAGTTCGGCGAGTTTTACCCCGGAACCGGCCATCTGCTGGACATCGGCATCGGAAAGGGCAAAAAGTATGCTGTGAACGTGCCTCTCCGCGACGGTATCACCGACGAGGCGTATCGAGGGATTTTCGAGGCGGTTATTTCCGACATCATGCAGTGCTTCCGCCCCGAAGCTGTTGTTCTCCAGTGTGGCGCCGACAGTCTGTCTGGAGATCGTCTCGGAAGCTTCAATCTTTCCATGGAGGGGCATGCCAATTGCGTCAGATTTGTGAAGAGCTTTGGACTGCCAACTATGATGGTTGGAGGAGGCGGTTACAGCATCCGCAATGTAGCTCGTACGTGGGCGTATGAAACGGGGAAGGCAGTCGGAGACTCGATCGGCAAGGTCCTGCCATTCAGCGATTACTACGAGGTAAGCTCGTCGAGGCAGTCCCCACGCGACCTTTACTCACCATGATCAAGTACTACTGTCCAGAGTATCTTTTAGATGTCCCTCCTTCGAACATGTCCAACGATAACACCCCCGAGTATCTGGAGAAGATTCGCTCCACAATTGCTGAGCGCCTGCGTCAACTACCATTTGCGCCATCGGTCCAGATGCAGGATGTTCCCCGTCGAGGATTGGGCAGCTCCGAGGAGGACGATGACCTGCTGGCCGACATAGATGCTGACGAAAATATGGACGTTCGCATGACTGAGCTCCAGGAGGACAGAGGCGTCGCCAACGAGGCAGAATACTATGACAGTGACGCGGAAGATGAGAGGAACAGGCATCTTGCTACTAATCCCGAGGAAGCCGAGGCATTGGACGAGGACATGGCTGACGCTGAAGACCACGAATCCAGCGAGGAGGAGAAAAAAGAGCAGGCCGAAGCGGAGACAGCAGTCCCCGATGAGGAAGGTGACGAGATGCGCGAAGTTACCAATGGTACTACTGTCGTTCGTCCAAGCGAAACTTCTGCTGTAGTGCTGGACCAGACGAGCGCCGAAGAGTCGTCAATCCTTCCTGGCACAGGCAACACGGCAACACCTCCGAGGAGCCCTGGAACGGAAGAAGCCTCGGCTGTCCAGGAGAGTACAGTAACAGAAAGCGCTGCTGGCAATGCTGATACGACAGAGGGAGACGCAACGGAGGCAACAGCTACAGTGAGTGAAACAGCCGAGCCCACGACTGAGACAGCAGCCCCTCGGTCACCAAGCGGCACGCCCCCACCGACAGCCGAATAGCAACGACGAAGGTGTGGACGGCATTCACTCTTTTGTTTGTAGCATTTGCACGGCAATGGCGTTTGGCAAATTGGCGCGTTGGTTCCAAGAGTTGCATAATTGAGGCGTTGATATAGGGTGGCAAATGATTTGCACCTGGCCGAGTAGGTAGTTAATATACCCTCTTGTAGTGATGCTTGGATGAACCCCTGTCCTAGCGACTAGGACGCCTTGGTGAGCAACTCTCTTGACGGCAGATGGAGTGATGTGCCGCGCTTCTCCAGATGGGGCAAGGGCCGGGGAAGGGCTTGGCGTTTCGACGTGCCGGATCAACTGGTCGGGCCGAGAGCGTGGAAGGCGCGGCCTGGGGATGGCGGCGCCGCGTTGTCAGATGGTCGAGCTCCGCGAAACTTGCATTCCTGTCCTTGTCCTGTTCCAGCCTCAGCATTGTCGCACGTCGGGATCGCCCTCCATTCGCATCGCTGCACCACGAAGCCATGGTCCCGTGATTTGTACCACTGATCCTCCTCCAACCCTCAAATCGCAACTTTACCGAACCAAGGAGCTCTTGGAAGCTCAGCACCTGAAACCCATCATGTCACAACTCTCGACCACCTCAGCACCGCGCTCCGACGAGCCCGATCCCAGGAACAGCCTTCGACACGTCCTCGCTGCCGATCCGCCCAACCAAGACATGGTCGACGCGCCTACGCCCGTCAAGACCGAAGCTGGCCAGCCGTCGGCCCAGGACGACCACGATACCACCGACGACCCCAAGTCCAAGCCCACCGACGAGCAGCCCATGTACACCGCAACCACGACCACCACCCGCCGCAATGCCAACGGCAGCGTGTCCTCGGTATACTCGGGCAACAAGATCCGCCACCTGAAGAAAGAAGACGGCGTGCCGCTGTGGCGCAAGGACATCCAGTACGACTTCCTACGCAACGTCTTCGACGACCAGACCCGCGTTTTCCACAAGGTCTCCGACGGCACCTCTGGCCATACCTTCGCCGATATATACCTCGATGCCATGGCCAAGAGCAGCAAGTGCAGCAAGATCCTCAAGGATAAGCTTTTGACAGAGCGCGCCGCCGCTATCAACATGGCAATGGTGTGCTTGCTGGTCAATGTCGGCCGCATGAACACCACTCTCAACTGTACGTCACAGTGCAGAGAAGTCTCTGGACATGCTGACCATTTCTAGTCTTCCCTGAGATGCGCGCTCAGCTCCGAACCTATCATTCGATTCCCTCGCTCCAAGCTCACCAAGACCCTAATGCGTACAAACAATTGCAGGATGCACCCCGTCTCAAGTCCATCCTCAAGGGTGCGACAGAGGATACCCAGCAGCCCAGTACCATCGAAGAGATCAAGAACACGCCTGTACCGCGCACGAATCCCGTCAACCTCATCTTCGTTCTCGCGCAGTATGCCCCCAAGATCTCCGAGCTACACTTTTTCCCCCCTCGGGATTTCTTCGACCTGGTCATGCGGAGCGCTTTGAGCTCCGAGAGTCGTGCAAAGGCTTTCCTGTGGCTGATGTGGTGGTACTTGGAGAGCGATTTTACCGAGCAGGATGCCTTGAACAATCCGTTTGGCGCAGGCCAGCCAGGAACCGCCGGAGATGCCACCAGCGGAATGCCCATCAAGACACCCCCCTTTAAACATCTGACAGAAGAGGAGGCAGCGCTAGAGAACGTGGACACGGAGGAAGAGAAACAGTTCGGAGAGGAGAAACGGAAGGAGAGAATAGCCATCCTGGCCACCGACATGGCACCTGTGGTGACCGGACCTAAGCGAGGAATCAAAAAGGGATTCACCAACAACCCCGTCTTCTCTGTCGCATCCGATGACGGATCTTTAACACCAGGCAGGGACCATCAGTCTCCCGGGCCTGGCTCATTTCGATCAAGCGGCCGCGCGAAAGCACCTCTCAAGGCACTGCAAGCTGACTACGGATCTGACACCGACCGCACTCGGTCAGCCAGTCCTCCCAGCGTCGCAGGTTTTCCACCAAGGATTACGCCCAACATGCGCATCAACAATTTGCTGAATGATGATGGACCATCTACTCCACAACCGCCCCCAACTAAAGGTCCTGGCAGGGGGAACTGGGGACCGCGCAGCAAAGGCACTCCCTCGACTGTCGGCGGTAGTGCACGCCATCCATTCAAAGCGCACCTCGATGCTGGCTCCCCTTCTGTGGGCCTAGGCGGCAGCGGACCTCATGGCTTCTACCTCCCCCTTAATGGCACGGATCCCAGCATCAACCGCAAGCGACCTCCCACAGCACACCAGATGGCTGTGGAACAACACCGCAAGAAGCAAGTCGACTACATTCTTGACCGCAAGCTCCGCAACAGGCACCGTGAAGCCGAGCGCAGGCGCAAGCGCGAAGGCACATTTTCCCGGGCGTGGAAGCGGCTCAAGCTAATGCCCGATGGCTATGACAGCGAAGAGGAATTCTACGCGGCCGCGGCGCTGGCTGCGGAGAACGGCGTGCTTGAGCACTCGCCAGTGCGTCGGCCGATGCTCGAGGCGACGCGCCTCGCGGGGCTGACGCCGATCGTCGGCCGGCTTGAGCTCGATGACTGCGGCGAGGAGATGGCACACTGGGCGCGCATTTTCCGCCAGACTGGCCGCCGGCTCGATCGCTGGGATGGCAACCCGGACGCCGTGCCCATCAAGAAGCGCAAGGACCGTGACGAACGCGAGAAGGAAGCCGCCGCCGCTGCTGCTGCTGCGGCTTCCGCACCGACCCCCCAGCACGACCTCGTCTGGGTTGGCGAAGACGCCAGCAGCGGCCCACCCGGTACCGGTCCCGTCCCTGCAGGCAGTAGCAGGGCTGCAGGTAGACGCTCAGGAGGTGTCGGCGCTAGCAGGAGGAAGCGCACCGGTGTGCCGTCGTCGGTCGCGGGTTCGACAGTGGCAGACGCGTCGGAACGCGGCGACGCGGAGAGCATCGCAGATCTTCCTTTGGGTGGCGGCGGGCGGGAGAGCAGCGCGGTACCTATGGAGGACGACATGGACGATGTCGATGAGAGCGTCGTGGGCGGACCGCCACCGCCGGCGGCTGTGTTGGCGGATGATGAGATGGAGGTGGAAGATGACGGCGAGGCGGCCGAGGGAGAGGAGAGCGAGGAGGACGAGGAGATGGGTGGGGCATGAGGGCGGCGGAGCAACACGGAGGGCTGGTATACCTAATTGGTGGATGAAGGGTTCAAAGAAGAAATTGTGCGGTGTGCACGAATACATGGCATGGGCGTTTCGTCTTCACCGTTTTGCTACGGATGGGAGGTCTGGCTGACTGGCTAGGGTAGAATGGGGCACGCTTTTCATTCTGAATTATCTGCTAATTCCTTAGGTACTTTATGTAGAACAAGTAGTGTCTAGCGTCTCTATTAGAAGATGTGCGAGGGCGAAGGCGAAAAGAGTCGTCTTAGCTCATACTTGAAAGAATCCCATATCTGAGTATGGTCAATACGTCCGGACTTTTTTCCTCGACTGCCCAATCTTCCGAAATCTCCCGTAACGTGATGGGTGAAGGAATTGTGACACCTGGACTCACATGGTGGTTTTACCTCTTCCCGTGAGGCAGACGGCCGGCTCGTTCATGTAGCTGCTCCAAGTGCGCGCGGACGAAAAGCCGGGGGCTTCCGATGGGCTGAAGTTGCAAACAGCAATCCTTCACGGCCAATATACTTTCAGACCACACGAATGGTGTCTTTACCTTGAGCCGATTTCCGGGAACGCATGATGCGGAACCGCTGACATACACGGCACCAAAAAATAGGTTCTACAGTAATAGACGACACAGTGCACGGAAGACATTATTTTCCAGTTGTCATGTCGCCATCCGTGGCGGTCACCGGGTCTTTCCCTTATCGGGCCGTCAACTTGTCGTGGGAAGGGCGCGCACGCCTTTGACACGGTCCCGTAAGCACTTGGAAAACCATCAACATGGTCGTCAATCCTACACCTTCTCTCTCCCCGAAATGATCCTGAACTTAAGAGAAGGCAGCCTGCCACGTCGTTTCTGTCCGCGCTTACGAAGCCAGAATGAGCAAAAGCGGGATTCCCGCGCCTACGACCCGTCTCCTCGGAGAAGCGCGCGCAGCTCACCCACGATCCTCGGGCGTCCCAGGCAACAAAACGGAATGCAAAAAAAAGATTCCGGCCATGAGCAACCGTTGCTCATAGCCAACATGCGCACACTATACTTCATCTGCTGGCCTGTTGCAGGTGGGAAGAAAATGGAAGCGGAAAAGGAAGGCCTTCCACGCCAAGTCACGAACGAGCAGTGTGGAATCCTCTTGGATCCGTCCATCCATCGATCCAGATGTCAGCCGCTCCGCACAGTCTCCTGGATTCAATCTGGGTGAAAAGCCCGAGGATCCCACTCTTGCCTTGAAACTGCCACACCGCACGGAACACGCCTCCCTTCTCAGCCACACGCAACGACGCCCAGCCAATCAGTCTCGACTGCGCCCAATGTTCTAATCTATCCACACTATCCGATAAAGCATGCATATGGAGCTGGAGAGATAACGGCACGGACGTCGCTGGCCGACTTATAAACCCCCGGCCAGAATCCACCCGGCCAAGCTCGCACTTTTCTTTCCTTGTATTCTTCCTTTTTTTTTTTGGTCGTCTTCTCTCTGGCTTGGCGCTTTATACTCCTCCCGGATCTCTCCCTCCTCCTTGTTGTTATACACAGGGCGACCCCGGGCTCTCCGGCTTCATCCGCCCTCTCCCACCTCCCCCCTTGGAGCTCCAGAAGAGATTGGGAAAAGAAAGGACAGCCATGGCAGTCTCAAAGCTCTTCCTTACCGCCATGCGCCGAGGGGCGGGAGAAGAATGGGCAACAGTCAGATGTCTGAACCCGGTGCCTATTTTAGAACCCTAAAAGCCGACAAGTTAAAGTCACGAAATATGAAGAGCAGGGATAGTGACTACCCAAGAATCCGCCCAACCCCTCACCCAATTTTTCCAGGACCGGCTACCAGGACACTATTCCAAAATGGAGCCAGAGGGAGACTCGTCCAAAGGACCGGGAGATATCACACGCATACACAGTCACCAAGGAAAAACCAATGTGAGTACATGCGACCAATTCATTTTCGTTTCGAGGTATCAAATCAACTCTGGGCTTACCGCCTTCATATTTTTCCCTCCCCACACCATCCATTTCATGGTATTAGTAAAACGTTGGAAATGCTAGACTCGCACAAGCTGAAAGGAGATGACCAAACGCTTCCGTCTTTCAGGTCTAAAAGCCCAGTGAAATTTCCTTCGTCTTGTATAATTTTTTGGACCATACCTTCAACGAAGGTCCTTTTTGTTTCATGTACAGCGGAAGGCTCATGTGGATATATTGAACTGACAAAAAAAAAGGAACAAACAAAACGATAAAGCTCTGGTCTGCTCAGCAGAAAAACTTGTACACCTTCTTCCACTTGGGCCACTCAGCCTGCTCAGCCCTCTCCTGGGCGATCAGCTCGGCGACGTCAAAGTCACGGCGACCGGTGTGGAGGTCCATGTTGTGCGAGCGGACAATGGGGGTGCGCTTCCAGATCTTGTAGAAGACGTAGAAGCCAACGACGATGGGGAAGGCGAGGTAGACGGAGAAGAAGTTCTCGATGAGCTCCCCGGTCGTCATGTCGGCATAGCCGATGGGCGCAAAACCAGTCCAGAACTGGGCGATCAGGACGAGGATGTTGAAGATGAAACCGATCCACGAGCCGACGACGCCGGGCTGGCTGCGGAAAGCAAGCTCGTCCAGGGAATGGCCCTGGACCTTCCAACCCTTGCGGAAGCGGATGTGGCAGAAGCAAATGGACATCCAGGTGAAGATGGACGACAGACCGGAAATGGCAAGCATCCAGGTGAAGGCCTTGTCCTCAGCCACAGGGTCGGCGGCGAGGAAAGCCAGCAAACCAAGGACGGATGAGAGGATGATTCCAACCATAGGACGGCCCTTCCGATCAATGTAACCGAAGATGCGAGGAGCTTGTCCCTGCTCGGCAAGGGCAGCAAGAGTACGGGAAGAACCATAGACGGACGAGTTACCGACCGACAGGACGGCAATCATGATGACGACGTTCATGACGGACGGCAGGACGGCGATACCGGCGTTGTTGATGGCAATGACGAAGGGCGAAGCAGCAGCATCGGCCGAGGAGCTACCGTTCAGGAGACGCTCGTCGTTGTAGGGGACAAGGAGACCAATTAGGGTCAGGGAGACGATGTAGAAGAGGGTGATGCGCCAGAAGACCTGCTTGACGGCAGTGGGCAGCGACTTGCGCGGGTTCGCCGTCTCGGCAGCGGCCAGACCGACCAGCTCAGTGCCGGCGAAAGCGAAGGCAGCTGTAACGAAGACGCTGCAGAGACCCTTGAAGCCGTTCCTGAAGGCACCGGGATCCTTCCAGTACTTGCCGCCAATGTAGCCGCCGTTGGGACCGCCGCCGACATTCAGGATGATGCCGAGGATGATGAAGCCAATGACGGCAATGACCTTGATGATGGAGAAGACGAACTCGGCCTCGCCGTAACCCTTGACGCCAAACAGGTTGATGCACACGATGACAAAGAGGAAGATGGCGACCCAGGCGGAGTTGTTGATTTTGCCCTCGTTCCAGAAGTTGACGGTGATGGAAGCGGCGACGATCTCGAGCGGCAGGACGATCAGCCATTGCAGGGCATAGTTCCAGCCCATGGCGAAACCCCAGGCGGGGTCGACAAAGCGGGTCGAGTAGGCGGAGAAGGAGCCGGCGACGGGGAACAGAACAGCCATCTCACCCAGAGCGTGGACGGTGCAGTACAGCATGATGCCGATCAGGCCGAAGGCGATCAGCAGCGAGGCGGGGCCACCGTTGGCCAGGGCCTTTCCGGAGCCGACGAACAGACCGGTACCTGGCGGAGCGCGTTAGCGGAGGCGAGCAGCAGGCGGCGAGATAAGGACATACCGATGGAACCGCCGATGGCAATCATCTGCAGGTGACGGCCCTTGAGCTTCCTGGCGAGAGGCGACTCGGCAGTGGCAGCAGCGGCATTCTCGAGGTCGTAGTTCTTGTCGTCGCCGCCGTGCGACGTCGGGGCGGTGGCGTGGGCGTTGGGGTCGCGGCGGAAGCTGTCGACGACGCGCGTGGCCCACGAGGTCTGGTGCTCGCTGACATCGCCGTAGTTGGGGGCGGGCGTCTCGGTGGAGTTGGAGTCGTAGACTCCCTTCTCGTCGGCGGCACCCATGGTTCGGCAGGCGACTGAAACGGCAGAGGGAGGATGGGCGGGCGCTGGGAGCTGGCCGGCGAGAGGGCGTGCAGCGGCAGACTTAAATGGTGTCGCTCGGGGTGAGATGCAGCTAGCGGCGCGGCGATGAAGCACCCCGGCTAAGGCCCGCAAACAACGATACGATAGCAGCGCCAAGATCCCACGCCCTCTCTTGCTCATCCCATTACATCGCGCTGCGTCTGCACCACCCCGAACAAGTTAGCCGCCCGCGGCGCGACCAATTGCCGCTGCAACCCTCAGGCTTCGACACGTTCTTATCTCGCGGCCAAGCAGGCTTCGCCGCTGGGCTCGCACACGCGAGAAGAAGACGAAGAAGCGGCCTCGCTCACCAACATGCTGTGACGGCGTGGCGACCTCTCACGGCCGTTAGTAGCACCCGGGGGCGCCGTTCGCAGCCATCAAACACAGACCTTCCTGATAACGCTAAGTGCGTAATTGGCCGACCGCGACTCGTGCTGATCGCCGGGCTCGCCGACTCGCGGCCATGCGCCATGTCTTTCCAGAAGCCTGCCGCATCTCACCCACCATCCCACTCTTCAGCCACTGGCTACCGACGAGCCGCGGCCAGCCGCTGCGACGTCGGCGGCGGCGGCGGCGGCGGCGGGCGAGCGCCGTAAGGCTGGTGGTGGCCGAGGGGTGGATCAGAGCATGGAACCGCGCACAGGGCCCCTGCTGTTGCCACCGATAAGAGAGCGCTGATGACGCGCCGCACGAAAACGCCTGATGGAAATGGCGCCCCGGTCGTCGATCAGCTGTTCTGCCTGTCTCAGAAAGCTAGAGTAGATGCGGTAGCTGCGCATCCGAGCGCAGAGCAATAGGCTGAGCGCGGGCAGCTCGAGATAGCACCGCCCTTCGCACGTCTGGGTTGGTGAGCGAATGAGCTGGTGCGCAAGACGCTCTGCGCCCTGATTGGCGGGATGCGTGATTAGGACGGAGTGTTGAATATTTCGAAGCTTGGGTACGAAAGGCGCTAGGCTCCAGCTCTGGCCGCTTATTGTTTGCCTATATCAGCCCAGGCAGGCTCGGCGGAGGTGCCAAGCTGCGTCGCGGCAAGGCACATTCCTCATGCGGAGCCGTCGTACGGCTACTCCCGAGTATTCTTCTCAGGCCAAGCAGCCTTCAGGAAATTTCTGAAAAAGCCGCACAGCCACTCCCGCGCGGTCCCGGATCCCGCGTGCTCTCACCACCGTGGTGGTGGTCGACACGCAGACCCACAATAGTCCCTTTCCCCGTCCGTGCGATTAGATCTACCGGCCAACTCTAATGCAGTAGTCATAGAAACTGCAAGCAGAAACCCGGGGTCCTGGCCAGATACCGGGCGCACTGCGGCCTTGGCCCGCTCCGCCGGCCGCTCCGCCGTAATAATCCGCCGTCCCTCTCCGGAGCCTTTGCCTATATAAGCCTTTCCAAACGTAACACTTTTCCCCGCTCCCAATGCCACCAACCCGGTTCCACGCACGAGCTTCTCCTGAACAGCACGCCAAAGGGATCTCAGTACGTAAAAGTGCGGAGAAGAATGCGGAGAGAATGCGGAGAGCGCCTGTCACCTGTGCGATCATCATAATCCCGCTTCTGAGCGGTCAATGGATCCTTCGGTGCACCACTGGATGCGAAGTGCTATTTTTTGTCGGCCTGTTAGCCCAAACGCCGCCCCATGTCGGGAATGCAACCGTTGCAGAACCGCATCCGCTCTTATCTCATCCCCACTAGTTACTCAGCGTAATAGCTACGCGTATTTACCACCGCCCGCGCGAACCGAGTCAAGTGGGTCCCAGTCATGCTTATCTTTCGCCCATATCTCCCTCGGCGAAACTCGTTGAGAGTACTCGGGTCGGTCCGCTCGACCTTGACTAATAAGCACGGAAAAATATCTGATGAGAACACGCAAGCTGACGTGCGACAACTTTTCGCTCTCCTATTGTCGGCCTTTTTTTTTTTTTTTTTTTGGAGGGGGGGTCCCTGGGGGCCAGCAACGTGGCCTTGGGACACCGGCGATACGCTAGTGGATTGCACCGCAATCAAAAGTTTCCCCGTTTCTCCCGCGTCCGAGCCTCCTGCTCTGTTCGTGTCGCGAGCGTATGTGCGTCGCATTACACTACTGCATGTCCGATCCTGCATGCCCAAGAGAAGGGAGTGCCTGGCTGTTTTCTCCCAAGCATCTGCTCCTGTCACTACTTTCGTACCTCTCTTCATCGTGAGAAGTGCCATTCTCATCTGCCATCTGCCATCCAGCAATCGCATTTATCAAATACGACCCAACCCGCGGCTAATGATGTCGAGCAGAGCGCCCTGATCAACCCCAGCACAGTGACGTCTTCTCCGACTCGATCAATGTCGACAAACGCTTGACGAGCAGATCTCTGCCTTCCGTGCCCATCCTCAGAACCGTCAGACGTCTTCACGACATGCTCATCCATCGCCTCCCTCCCACTGACTCAACCCAGGTTCCAACAGACTTTTTCCCAGGTTGTGCTCCATTCTTTCTTATCTTCTCAGAGTCGACACCGATCTTTGTCTAGCACGCGGCATGCCGAAACCCTGTATGTCCTATTTTGCTGTTAGGCGACGCATAAAGCCGTTCTACATCGGAAATGAGGGCAAGATAAATGTGTAGAGGAGCCCTTGTCTCAAACATTGGGTTATTCAGCACGCGGTCCTCGACCCATCTACCCAGAGAGTGTATCTCGTGGCTTACGCTGGTGAACGTATTTCGAAAACACTTGATAATGCACCTTCTCAAGCTCTTCTTCGATTCTGACAGCAAGAAGGACGCATATTAGTAAGTGAGATTAACAACATTTAGTCTTTTTTTCCTTCCAAGAAAAGAAAAAGAACAAAGGAATGCTAGGTGAAAGAGAGTGCTTCAAATGAAAGAAGCTACAACGCTCAAATGTATGTCTCCTTGCGGCACTGCAGCAATAGCTGGGCAACCAGCAGGGCCAGAGGCTAAAACAGTTGACTTGACTTGCTGTACTGCCCCCCATCACGTTTTCTGGTAGCGATCCTAGATACTATACTCTCGCCATCCGGAAAAAGTTGGAGTGACTTTCTGAGTCTTAATACCATCAATTCCTTACAAATTAATGTCACAGGAGTATCCAGAAGATTACCTCCCTGCGGAGACACCAGGAACGTTTATATTCTTTAGTAATGGATGTGTGAAGCAAATAATTGGGCGTAGACGTGACTTTGAAGCTGTACACGTACATTCTCAAATTGAATTCAATCACCTACATGAGCAAGGTATTATATCGTAGTGAGAGCTTTCAAGAGTGAGGTTCCTTGACATTCAACCGTGACATGAGGACAAGCGCTTCAATTTGCTAGACATACGAATTCTCCTCGGCAACCTATCCTTAACAGACTTCTATAGAAGATATCAAATGGCATGGCGTTGGACGCAAACGATCTCCACAGTAAATGTATGAATTCAAAACGCAGAGACGAGGGTGTTTGAATAGCGAAGCAAGTTGAAAGCTTCACAAAGCCTCAAAATATGAGCTATGCAACTGCATGCCGAGAAAACATCGGACGTCGTTTCATCAGAGATGCGTAGATAGACATGAGACCAAAGGCCCGCCATACGCCTAGCAAACAGCGCCTGAGCTATGCTTTCCCAGAAAGAACAAAATGGTCAGACAGCCCTGCCATAAAAAGACAACAACCAAGAGAGAGGGGAGGATTTTCTCGAAAGGAGCGAATAAGTAGAACCGACTGAAACAAATCCACAATCTGTCCAATATCCAGCTGCCACCATGCCAAACGTTTAACTAGAATAGAGAATGCTTATGCCGCCCAAGTATGTGGATGAACAACAACAGATTTCCCAACAATATCCGTCCATGATACCAAGTAATGCCAAATACCGAAAATGCCAACATGCTTCCTTACCCCGCCAAATCATGAAGTTATTCAATTGCCATCGACAGGTGTCGTAAGAATACTAGCGATGCTGTTGAGACCAGTTCGGGACAACGCTTATTTTCAACCCTGAAGGGCCAGCTTCCTCCCGATATTGCCGAAGCACACACAGCTGCAGAACAGCACGCTGGCGAACCACGTAGCCACCCCGACGGTGCTCTCGTAGTCGCCCTGTGACCCGCCTATTCCGCTCGCGCCACCAACTCTCGCAGCTCTTGCACCTACTCGAAGACTAGAGTTGGGGCCGCTTCCGCCGACAATAGGCGGGCTAGGAATGAAGGCGACTGAGTTGGAATGCTGGCCTAGGAGCAACATGATGGCCGTGCCGGTGATGCCGACAAGCATAGATAGCGTGAAGCCGGGTTTGCTGCGGTCGAGCAGGTACCACAGAGCCGGGTTTACAAGGGCCAGGGTGAGCGAGATCTGAGTCGTCGATTGCCACTGAAGTTTGCGCTATTTGCAATGTTAGCTCCTGAAGCCTTGGAGATTGAAGCATCATGGGAATCAGAATGCGTGATGCGGGGAAGTGCCCAAAGGGCTCGATGAATATAACAAGCGGTAAGAAAAGCGCACTCACAATCGCGAAAGCAATCCCCACAAACGCACCCACACTCCTCACCACATCATTCCACTCTTGACTCGCACCATCCCTCGACCTAGTACCCACCACGCTCGGCACCTGTCCTTTCAATCTTCTCTTCCCATCTTTACCCTTCGCGCCCGCAATGGCAGCCGCTTTCCGTCCCTCCCAGAAGAGATCAACCCACGGCAGCGCGCTGCCCAGCGCCACGCCTGCCAAACCCCAGAAAACAAGGTAGCCCCAGTGTCCACGGTCAATGCCCTCAACCCTGACGGGCGCAATGTGCCTATTATCGTGCAAATGGCTGATCATGACACCGTAAACGACGCCAAACCCAAACAGCGCCACCACTCTCGCAACCAACCCCAAAACCCTATTTCCGCCCTTCTCCGCAGCGCCCTCGACGAAAGACCCTCTCCGCGAACCCGTAGACGCGGCAGCCCCGGCACCCGAAGAAGACGCAACGACAGCACCCCTTCCCGCCCCTGATACGCTCCTCGTCTGGTAAGAGGGAGGCGCTGGGTTGGCCGCGTTTCGCGACCCCAGGCCGGCGAGGCGCAGCTGCTCCCACTCGCGCAGCTCGCTGCTACTGCCCCCGCCGCCGATGTACGCGGGCGTCTCGGCGCCGGTGCCCCAGGGCGTCGGGGGCTCGCTGCCATTGTCGCCACCGGCGCCGCCGCCGGCAGTGGGCTGGTAGATGCCGAACAACGTGCTCGCGGTGAGGTTCAGGATGCTGCGGCTGCGCTTGACGTCCGAGTCGTCGGCGGCGTCCAGGCCGGCGGGCGTCGACGAGCGAGTATTGAGGCGGGCATCGAGCTGCGCGGAGAGAGGGGGATACGAGGCATCGGCACGGCCGGCGTTGTGGGGGTTCGGCGAGGGCTGCGAGCTTGCGCTGGAGGAGCTGGTGGCGGGCGTGAGATTGAGTTCGAAGGGGCGTCGCGGCAGGGGCCGGAGAATCTGCGGCTGCGAGGAGTGGAAGTGCGGCTGTTGGTGTGGTGGTTGGTCGTGCGAGTAGTCGGATGACATGGTGTTGGGTAAGGGTTGGCGCGGGAACTGGCGCTTGCAAATGCGGAGCTAAAGAGCGCTGTTGCTGTTGCTGAGGGGAGTCCCAGTGCTGGCACAAGGAGCTGATCCTGCGGCTCTTTTGACAGAAAGCGGGGGATGTGCAGCGGTGGAGATCAGCTGGACGCGCGCCACCGGTGCTGCGTATTAGGTCGGTGTTGTCTGGTTCGCCTGAGCGCTGGTGTGACGCGGGTTGCGGACGGCGGCGGCGTGGAAAGGGCTCTGTCGGTGCCGCACGTGCGAGCTAGCGGTCAATTGAGGCTTTATGAAGCAGCGGAGGCTGGCATGATGACAGCCGGCGCGTTTGGAGCGGGGGTACGCTTGGGCGCGTATGCAGCTTATGCTCTCTTTTGTTGAGCGGTTCCTGGCTCGTTCATGTGAAAGCGGCGCCCCCGGAACGTCGGCTGCCCCAGGGTCTCGGCCCCTTACGTGCCAATCATCACCGCCGTGATTCGGCAACACCACTTGCATTTCCGTGTATTCGTGCCCTGCGCCGGGGCCTGCGACATGTCGGACCCTGTCTATCCAAGCCTCCCTGCCGCCCGCTTCTGGTCCCGCTGCTTCAAACACAGCAACTTTTGGTTCCCGCCCTCTACCCACGCCATGTGACTGACGATGCCGTATATAACATGATGTCGCAGCCTCAAGCTGCACGCAGATACCTGGAATCCGTAACACCTCTGTGCCTAGCTTACTTTTCGCCCATCAATCCATGCGCCCGACCTCATGCCTCGGTGTTGCTCCCCGCGCGAATCGGCGCCCGCTCATTCCGACGTGGGCGTGAGGGTCGTACCGCTGCAGCCCGAGTTAGTCCATGCATCGCGCCTCGCATCGGGTGTCGGGTACTTACGCAACAATGTTTGCCCAACCAATGAGACGCCAGTGCTTCTCTATTCTGCGGCTGAGCGCCACCTTCTCGCCGATCTCCGTGCACGCCGGGCTGGTCAGAGTAAGGCGCGCTGCATCGGCCTTAACGGCGACCACCTTAGCGCCCGTTGCCGTGCTGCCAATGTTGACCATGAGCACCTCGTTCTTCGCAAGCTTCGCGACCTTGGCCTGCTTGCCGTCTGCCGTCTTGACACCGAGCAGGCGGCGGAGAAGGAAGTAGTTGACCTCGAGCTCCGTGTAGATGGCGGGGAGGTGGCCACGGAGGCCGAGAACGAAACCGACCAGACGGTCGGCACGGCAGAGCGTGGGGTCGACGCGGGTGCCGACACCTAAAGAAAGTCAGTCGAGGCGAACGCGCGGTGTACTGTTGGATGAACCTACCAATGAGACCTCCGGGAACGGCGAACTTGAGGTCGTTGTGCTCGGCGAACAAAGACACCACCCGGGAGTAGATGGGCTTCGCTTGGATCTTGCCCTGCTCGTCCTTGGTGACGATACCTGGCCTGATCTCGACCTCGTCGCCGAGCTTGAGAACACCAGTGAGAATCGAACCACCGGCAACACCACCCTTCAGCTCCTCGATCTCGGCTCCGGGCTTGTTGACGTCGAAGGAACGGATGACGATCATGTGAGGCTTGGCCGTGAAGTCGCGCACAGGCACCGGGATCTTCGTCACTAGGTACTCGTTCACGGCGTCGATGTTGAACTTGAGCTGAGCCGAGATGGGGATAATGGGAGAACCATCAGCGACGGTACCGCGAATGAACTTCAGAATCGACTGGTAGTGCTGCTCGGCACCCTCTTCCCTCATCAAGTCGACCTTGTTCTGGAGAATGATGATGTGGTTGAGCTTCATGATTTCAATAGCGGCCAAATGCTCCGACGTCTGGGGCTGGGGGCAAGTTTCTGGTTGCTTGCGGTCAGTCTCGATCTTTAAATTGCGGGAGATGAAACAATACCGTTTCCTGCAATAAGCAGCAGCGCAGCGTCCATGACTGCGGCACCCGAAAGCATAGTGCTCATGAGAATATCGTGACCAGGGCAATCAACGAAGCTGGTTGCCAGTTAGCCTATCGTTCTGGGGAATCCCACGCGTACTCTACTCACGAGACGTGTCTGAGCAGCCTGTAGGTGCCACCGCATCCATCGCGCTCGCATGGCGGGTCAACCTCCTTCTCACTCTTGTAGCTCCTGTAGCAAGTAGGACGCGGGCACTCCTTGTTGTCGCACTTGTAGATCTTCGCGTTGGCGTAACCCAGCTTGATGGTAATGTTGCGCTCCAGCTCGTTCTTGAAACGGACAGTCTGCACGCCGGAGATGGCCTTGACGACGGTCGATTTTCCGTGGGCGACGTGACCGATGGTGCCAATGTTGATGGTGGCCTGGCGGGCGATGATGTAGTCGGTCAGCGGGTTCAGCGACGCAACATCGAGATCCTTCGGATCGGGCTGCGGTGGCAGCTCAGGACGCTGCACGACAGGAGCAGGCGTGGCAGAAGGCTTCTTCAGCGCCGACTTGCCGGGCTTCGCGTCCTTCTGGGGCTCCTGCGTCTCGACTTCCGAGTCGTGGAGAGTCTCGTCGTGCTGAACATCCGAATCCGACTCCATGATTACGACAGGCGGGTCTTGTGAAGAATGTGGGCCGGCGTGGGAGGGCGCTGCTGGCTTGGCCGGGGGGCGGGTTAATTGGAGTTGTGTCTGGAGTTTGCGAAAGAAGTTCACCCAGTCATAGGCTCCCCACCACGAAAAAGGCCCGAGCTTGGCAATGCCAAGCCCACAGCCGGCCGCCGCCACCTTCTACTCTTCACATAACTTCGCACAACATGACAAAATTTCATAAACGCCGTGCATGTATTTCCGGTGGCATTTTTCAACTGCCCGAATGCATTTGTGCCCACAAATGTCCCGTTGGACGCTCTAGCCACCCGCCCTCTTTTGCAGTCCTGAGGGAACTGATCTCGTAGCACCTTTTATATTCACTCATTCTTCTGTACAGCTGCCATCTGAAAAACGCACTTTTGGGACCACCGTCGTCTAAAAAAAAAAAAAAAAAGGATACAAGAACGCCCTGGCTCGACAAAAAGAGAGGAAATGCGCAACAAGCAGATGCTACAAGCCCAAACGATCAATTTGCATAGAAGGTAGTAATGTAAAGTGATGAGGGAGTCGGACTGACGATCATAACAAAGAAAATCGAGGTGGTGAAGGGGGTATACAACGACTAAGGGTGAGACAACTAAGCCGTGCTTTAACGCGTTCGAAGTGAATCCAAAGGAAACTCAGAAATCCAATTAACTCCAACCTTGCCTTTTCTCCAAAATGCCGGATCTGCTGCATGAATAACCGCCTACCTGGACCAGATTAGGGAGCTAGCTTGGGGGTCTCTGGCGGCGGCTCCTCAGATAGATTGAGATCTTGCGGCGATTCCTCCAAATACTCTCCGGGTGCCAAGACTGGCGAAAATGCCTCCACTTCTTCTATATCTTCTTCTTCCTCCTCCTCCAGGATGTCTTCGTTCTCTTCTTCGATGACGAGTTCGCCGCTCTTCCGTCCCTGAACACTACTGGTCCTACTGCCACCTTCACCGCGACCCCTCACGATTGGACTACCGCCTGTATTCAGACTGAGCGCGGGGCCTTTGAAGGGGCTTCGTTTTCTCTTTGCGAAGAGCACTCCAGGGCTTGGCGGCGGAAGCCCGCCAAACGCAGCGGCAGACTCGGCCGCCGTAGCTCGGACCAGACGGATGTTGGAAGGAAACGTAGTGCCAGTCGGAGTTGCTGGGAGTACCTTGACAGACTGATGGGGGCTACGGGCGGTTCGGCTCGAGACGGATGGCGAAGCTAGGGACGCTGAAGATGTGGATGATGCCTTAGAGTGGGTGTGAGCATGGTGAATGGTACGAATCGATGAAACAGAGGAAGATGTGGACTTGCGGCCTCGAAGGCCGGCAGAACTGCGTCGGTAGGATGACCGGGGCGTCATCGGCGCTGGGGAGAGAGATGCCCTCTTGTTCGACCCACTGCTTGCTCTGGTGGAAACTCGTGGGCGCTGCGGCGTTCCTACGTAGCTTGCGCGGTTCTGCGATTCCGGTCGGACCTGGGACAACGGTCTGGCGGTGTTTGTAGTCGCTGTAGTAGAAGGCCTCCGAGTGTCGTCTGGCTTGGTGAGCTTGCCTTGATTCCCTTTCGGAGATTTGCTGTTTTTCGAACCTGGTGATCTGGATCTTGCGCGTTTCGCCGACTCCTTGAACCAATGCTTGAGCGATGCCAACTGCGCGAGGAATGGTTGTTGGTATTTCCGTCTCCGCTTCGAGGGCACGAAGCCGTTTGGCCCGAGTAGTTCTGGATTTGTCGTGACGACGTGGAGCATACTACTGCTCCTTCGTGAACGTGTATATTCCTTTGGTGGGAGCGACGGGCGGCCTCTGGAGGAACTGACGCGCCGATCTTTTTCTACCGGAGGGGGAGGCTTGTCGTTGTTAGGCGACCTAGATGCCTCGGGCACTAGGGGCAAGTCCGGGCTGGCGGCTACTTTCAGTTAATCTCCCATTGTTCGAATAAATGCAAACTACATGGACTTACACGTCGCGATGGACGTCCGCTCCCTGTTCCGGCCCCTGCTCTTTGGCGGCTCTCCAAGAGTCGGGATCGGAGCGCCCTCTTCATCGATCTCCCTGATTGTCGGAGCAAGACGATCAAGCCTGCTACTGGCCCTGCTAGCAGCACTCAATCTGCGCAAACTCTTTGCCTCAGCTTCTCGTTCTTTCCTCTTGCGCTCCCGCCTCTTGGCTTTCCGTTCCTCCTTCTCCAGCAACAAAGCCCACCATCCTGCCAAGGCGTCACAGCGCTGGGCCAGCACGTTCTCGATGACCTTGTCGATATCCACTCCAGCACTACGCATACGCTGGAGAGTCTCCTTTTCAATTTCGGTGGTGAAAGGAGGCGGCTGCTGCAGCTTCAGGATCACCTGCTGCTGAGGCGCGTGCTCTGCAAGCCATGGGTGCTGAAGAATCTCTGGCAGCGAAGGCCGCAGAAGCGGGCGCTTTGAGAGAAGCTTTATGATCAGGTCCTTTGCTTGTTCAGGCATATGGTCCGGATATTTTGGCTCCTCCTTCAATATCCTCCTCTTCGTCTCATTCTCATCATCCTCATCGAATGGCAGTTCTCCGCAAAGCAAAGCGTAGACGATAACCCCAAGACTCCACACATCCACCTTTTCGCCTGCATACTTTTCGCCCTTGAGCATTTCCGGAGCGCTGTAGCAGACAGTTCCGCACCATGTTTGGAGGTAGTTTGATTTGCCCTCGTATTCGCGAGTAAAGCCGAAATCCACCAGCTTGACGTTTCCGTGCTTGTCCAGAAGAACGTTTTCCAGTTTGAGGTCGCGATGCACACAGGACTTCAGATGGATGTAGGAAACGGCACCGACAAGTTGCGTGAAAATTTTTTGAACCTTGGCGGGCTCCATGGGGCCGGTTCTGAGAAGGTGGTTATAGAGCTCATCCCCTAGATTGCGCTCGGTCAGCTCAGCCGCGCGGATCACAGCGGGAAGCGCTTGCCTGGACAGTACTCCAACACAAGCCACACCAGCGTCTCGGTCACGATGACCTCGTAAAGGCGAGCGATGTGCGGATGGAGAAATTGCCGGTGGTGGTGGATCTCGCGAGCTAGGTTGGAGTCATTTTTGTTGGCAGACTTGAGCACAACCTTCCATCGTCCTTTAGCGCAGCTTTACTCCGTCTCAAACGTTGTCACCGACCTTGGATCCGTTCGTAAGTTTGTGAGAGGCCAGGTAGACCTTGCCGAAGGAGCCTTTGCCTATGAGGCGGCCGAGCTGGTAGTTCCCGACGGTGCGGAGGTCCGAGGACGAGAACTCGCTGGACGGGCGGGTCAGCACCAGCAGCGCGCAGAGAAGGGGCGATCGGTGGGCAGCTTACTCCAGGAGCTCATTGTAGGAGTTCGTGAGCTGTTTGGCACAAGTCAGCGTTCGAAGCGGCGGAGCTGGGCGGCACTGAGCGCGCGGACGGAGCGGCTGGAGCGCACCTTGGTCCTTTGGGCTTGCAGCTCGGCCTGGTTCCGGACATTGATGGGGGGCATAAGTCGCGATGCTGCTCGGTGGCGTGGACCCTGGCGGGCAGCGGCATGCAGGCCGTAGGAATAATTTGGCGGGCCCTTAGGATGCGCGTTGCGGGGAGGGCGGGCGACGCGAAGGTTGGAGGAGTGTCAGAGGTGCGACGGAACGAATGACGGCACGCTTTGCTAGAACGCGGCGGCGCAAACACAAGCGGCGGCAGATGGGGTGGGCTAAGGGCGGCGGGCGCAGCAAGACGGTAGTGGCATGCTGGCACCAGATCCCAGATTCAGATGTCCATCTCCTGAGCTGCGGCCATGGCCTCTCCGAGTCGTAATCCCAAGACCCGCTGCGCTTCGTCATTGGGCCGCTCGGCACCAACCCTGTTGCGCATCCGCGCTCCATACGCTGTCGGGCATCGCGCTCACCGCGCAGCCGGGTCGCCTCGAGGTTCACCTGCCATGCCCGCCTCCGTTGCGACACTGTTTTCCTTGCATTACCCTGCCATTATAGTCGCAGAAATAGCTCGGCTGCCACGCCGTTGACTGCCCATCACTGCCGAATGCGGGCCGTCACGCTGCCGAGCACGCCCGCCAGCAGATCCCACTCTGCCGACTGCCAGTGCGGCGCGCCTTCTGCCCGTGACCATCTCAATTACCACCATCCCGTCCCCGTGCCCTGCAGAAGTAGGTGGGCAGTCTTCTGGATGTACGCGTACAAGGCTACGACCCACATCGGCGCCTGGACGTTTGCTTCAACTATCCACGTAGAAAGAGTACAGCGTCCTTTTGCGGGGCACAGGGCTCAATCTTCTGAAACCTACCGTGCGCTCGCAAAAGCAGGTTAATTGATGGTACAATTCAAAAGTAACACAGAGCGTCTCCGCCGCTCCTCTACGTAATGGTCAACACAAAGGAAATTTCGCTCGTTTGTCTCTGATGCTGTACATTCGGGCCCTGCGCGCCTTCTGCGGGAGATTCAACCTCTTCACCTCATTCGCAGCCTCTTCCTTCCTCCTACACTCAGTGTTTCTTGCCCGAGACCGGGGGGTTGTAGACGAGCTGCCTAGTCTTGATCGTCGACCACTTGTACCTGTAACACACACACTGTCAGCATCTGGCGGCCTTTTGCGTATCTGGGACTGCCGGGCTTCGGCGTACCTCTTCACCCAAACGCTGAGCGCGAACAAAACGCTGCCGACAGCCAGGACCTTCCAGCCCATCTTCTTGCGCTCGTCCATCTCAGGCTCAGCAGACCAGTTGAGGAACTCGACGACGTCCTTGGCCATCTGGGAGGTGGTAGCAGGAGTGCCATCCTCGTACTCAACGAGGCCATCGTAGAGGACACGGGCCATGGCAATACCGGTACCGGGGAAGTAGGGGTTGAAGTTGAGACCCGACTGGACGACAGCGCCCGCCGGGGGCTCCTCGGGGTAACCGGTCAGCAAGCTGAAGATGTAGTCGCAGCCGCCGTGGCGGGCCTTGACCATCAAGCTGAGATCCGGGGGCAGAGCACCGTTGTTGGAAGCGCGAGCAGCCTCGTCGTTCTTGTAGGGGCTGGGCAGGTAGTCGGACAGCTTTCCGGGACGCTTCTCGATCTCGCCCTCATCGTTGGGCTCGGTGTCGTACTCGTTCTCCTCGGCAAGGGCCTTGGCCTCGTCGACGGTCAGAACGGTGCCGACGAGAGCACGGTAGGGCACACGCGAGAGAGAGTGGCAGGAGGCGCAGACTTCGCGGTAAACCTGGAAACCGCGGCGGAGACTACCTTATCATCAGTGGCTGTGACGGGCTGCGATGCGCCGCGTGTGACTTACGCCTGGTGGTCGAAGGTCTTGTGCCACTTGGAGTGCTCCCACGGGTACTGAGTAGGGTGCAGACTGGTCCCATGTTAGTGTTGATTCCTCCGGCGTGTCGGATGATGGCAGCGGCAGCATCCTGGCACAACAAGGCCAACGCCTCCATCAATCCTTCGGTATGTGCGACTCACCCCTCCTCCGCCGGAGTCATAGCGTGGACATTGCGGCCGTAGAGATGATAGTACCAGCCAATGGATCCGATGGCGACGGCGGTGGCAGCGGAGCCGGCGAGGGTGGACTTCCAAGAGGCGGCCTCCTCGGCAGGGCCGCTGGAGCTGGAGGCAGAGCGCTGCACGATACAGGGTCAGCTACGACGTTCGCGTCGGGGCATTGATGATCGACGGCCGTGATGGCGCCCGCGGCGACGGTGGATGGGACGAGTTGGACGTACCGTGCCTATCCTGCTGGCGGAGCTGCGCGCAGCGGTGCCGACGGTGCGCGCCGAACGGAGGCTTGATCTAGCCAACATGTTGATGTGGAGCTGGCCGTCACCCGGCGACGATAGCGATTGTGGAGGGGAGAGGCAATGGAGCGGGCTGCAGGCGGGTTACGGGGAGTTGGAGTCGGTCGTTGCGGTAAGAACAAATCTCGTAGCTTCCCGCTTCGGCTGAGCCAATCACGAGCCTTTGGGGTAAGCACAAACCGCTCGTCCGCGGTCCATGATGCCAACAACATCACACTCCATCCCCACAGCCCGACATCGCGAGCGCACCACCCTGGTCGTGCTCGGATATGCCCAATGGTGATCGCAGAACTTCAGAGACTCGGCTGCTTGCCCGCACACCTTGTCGGACCAAGTCCACGCGTTGCCCGCCTCAGGCTGTGCTAATTTGAGCCTCATCAAGGCCAAAGCGGACCCCGGTCATCCTGAAGCAACTATGCACCTAACCGATCAACAAGCCTATCGTCTAGCGAAGAGATGTTTTCCAGGTTTTCAACATCTCGCATCGTTTTTCTCACCGCTGTATAACCAACCTGGAGGCGCGGCAGCCTTGTTTACCCCTGCTTCGGCGTGGTTCCGGTCTGCTCCGATCTTCGGATCACCTACTTCCACTTCTCCTACCCTTTAGGACATTTTACCAATTCCTGCAAAATATAGGGTTGTTATACTTCTCCTTTCCTCACTTTCTTGGAAACATTTCTCATGGACTGGCGTGTTTCCCTTTCCTTTTTTTTTGGTCTTGCGCGCGTTGTGTGCCTACTTTTGCAAAGTCTCCCAATAACATATTCTTCTTTTCCTTCTAGGCTCCTCTAGCCTATCTCGTTTTCTCATCATTCAAGGCTAAGGGTTGCCTATTAATAGACAAACGAATTATCAGCCACCGCCATCAGAGAACAAAGCAACGATGTGCCTCAGAACAATGTTTGAGGAGCAGTCGACAATGGATTCCGACTTCTTTATGCTCGGCCACTTCTTTCCGTAGCCGCACAACGCCTTTGTCCAGGTTTGCTGGCTAAGAAACAATGCCTCTTCTATTTAACATGTTGAGCTCCCCGACATGTTGGAAAACATATACTAACAGCTAGAACAAAGTAGCTAATCCTCCTATACCGAACCTGCTAACTTCTGAGAAGTTGACGCGAGCAAATTTTGTTGAGTTCGAAAGTACAGAAAGCACCACAGAATAGCACTAGCGCAGATCCATCCTCGTCTCATACCCCATACCTGGTGTCATGATTTCCAACGCTTTAATTGTCGCCATTCTTGCTAGAATGGCCCTAGTAGAGGCTGCTCCGGCGAAGGCCAGTACCGTCTCATTTCCTGAGGTCATCACCATCCATCCCCCTAGGACGACGAAGATGACGAGAACAATGACCTGGCCCGATGGATTCCTGAACCTCCCGGGACAGACTTCTACAATTACGGAGACAATATCTCTTCTCCCTGTCCACGCCCGCGATACCGGCGGTGTGAGTCCTGCGCAGACCGAGACCGCTACTATTTCTTTGGAGGAACGTCTGAGCCCCCTTCCGGTCCCTACCGAAGACGACGGATCGAGTCGTATCTTTATTCCAATCGAGGCTGCACTTAGCGTCGATGCCAGCTCGTCGGCCACCCAGAACTCGGAAGCGATCGCTTTTCCTACTGAACACTTCATGGAAGCTCGTGCGCCTCAGCCCGAGAAGACCGTATTCATCACGATCACAAAGGGGTCGGTTATGCCTACCAACAAGGCCAAGCCGACTCAATCCACCTGGTCGAGAGGAAAGCATTGCCCTTACCCGTATCCCGGTGAAAAGTGCCGCCCGCCAAAATCAGAGAATAAGACTACTATCACTACTAATTCTTCGTCGTCGATGCCACGCAAGACCTCCTCCTCCACGAAGCCTTGTCCATATCCAGGGCAGAAGTGCTGAGATAGACAGAGGACGGCCTAGAGTGGCCGGTTAGAACATAGTGTCTTTCTCGCCTCTTGTCCTTTTGTTTTGATCTTCTTCTATTTATGCGTCGAAAATTTGATTCTGATTTGGCCTTTTGGGGGGACATGATATGAATGACATCGACTGATGTTGTCGAGACTCTGGAGATGAAACTGTGAAACCAAAACTGAGCAATCACACCCGCTAGGCTCCATTTGACTTCAGAGGGAAATGGTCCGGTGCTGAGCGTGAAGACAATGTACGAAGTCAGCAAGAGTGCAAACGCCGCCCAAGTGGCCATGATCGTACTGTCTGATAACGGGATCTATGTGGCACGCTAATGCCGTGATTTAGGGTTGCCGTTTTGGGTGGCAATGGTGTGCTTAGCGAGGCCGGAGAACGTCGACAAGGCGTGACATCACTGGCTGGCCGTTGTGGGCAATGTCAGCCTGGTGCGGCGAACTATCCTCCAAGATGTTTGGTGGAGTACACTATTAGGCAAACGTCCCGGAGGCGCGTACCTGACCAAGCGCACAGCCAGCTCTGTTGTGGGCGCGCCACGTCTAGGTTCCATAAGCTTCGGTCCGCAGCTCCTTCGCCGCCGTAACGCACCTACCTACCCAGCGATGGCACAACAGCTTGCCGGCATCACCGCGACGCGCTTTGAGAAGGACATTGTGATCATTCTTGCGTACTCATTCTTCATTCGCGAATCCGTCCGCCACCTTCGCGAGACCCGCCGCCGACACTCGATCGACTGCTCGTATTCCCGTCTGCTTGACCTGCTGCACTACTCCATCATCGGCGTCTCGTCCCTCTGCGTGCTCCGCGCAGCATGGCGTCTCACGTTGTCGTAGTGGACACGGCCGCTCGCACCGCGCGCATCAAGACCACGCCCGCCAAGCACCTCACTGAAGTCCTCAGCGAGGCCTGCGCCAAGTTCAACCTCAACCCCGACAACTTCACCTTGAAGTAGGCTTGCCCCGCAAGCTACCCCTCCATGTCGCAAGTAGCTCTACTAACGCCGAGGGTAGATATAACAACAAACCCGTCGACCTCTCTCGTACCATAAGACTCGCGAACCTCCCTCCTGGTGCTAAGCTCGACCTTGTGCAAGGCTCCCGATCCCCCTCTGTCGTCAACATCGCCCTCCAGCTCGAACAGCAGCGCCTCACCCACAAATTCCCTAGCGACACGTCGTTATGGCAGGTCCTGCGTGTATTCGAGACAGTATCAGAAAAGAACTTGAACCTCACGCAGCGGGGCGTGGCAGTCACCAGTTCTGGCGGTTCTGGTTCCGGCCGACTGAACTACGAGATGCCGATCTTCAACATCATGGGGAAGGAAGTGGGCACCTTCACAGACCTACAGAAGACGCTGGCACAGCATGGGCTGACGGGCGGCAGCCAACTGCTCCGCTGCTCGTTCAGAGACAGCGGCAAGTCGCTGGAGGACGCTATGACTGAGATATCGGGGTATTTCAAGAGCGCGGAGACACCCGAGGCCACCAAGGAAACACAGGGAGCGCATACCAACAACGCAGGTACATCTGCAGCGGCACCAGAGACTCCCACGCCAGCAGCACCCGACAATGCTGCCTTTGAGCCCAATCCACCAGAGCCCTCTGCATCAGCTATGGAGGATGTCATTCCGACCTCACAAGAAGATACAACGCCTGCCCCAGCACCCGCAGCAGAAGCAGCGCCCGCATCTGAGCCCGATGCTCCCCCGTCAGACACAGTTACCGGGCCTGATCAACGACCTATGATCATCTACACCCCTTCAACCTCGACCACTCCAGCCGCAGTCCGCAATACCGCCTTTAATGAAGAAGACTACGTCCCAACCATTGACCACGCCAAATCGCACCAAGCGCTTCTCCAGAATGCGGGCAAGAACAAGCGCCTCGCCTCGGACGCCGAGCTTGCAGCGGCTGAGCAGGCCAAAGCTGAAAAGCTCGCTGCCATTGAGGGAGTGACGATTCGCGTCCGCCTGCCGGACACATCGCACGTCGAGGCGCGCTTCGGTAAGCAGGAGACGACCGCCGCGCTGTACGCCTGCGTGCGCGGTGTGCTCGCGTACCCGGACCAGCCCTTCGCCCTCAAGTACCCCGGCGCTCGCGGCCTGCTCGTCACCCTCAGCGAAGACAAAGCCAAACGCTTGGTCGCGGACCTCGGCTTCCAGGGCCGGCAGTTGATGAACCTGGTGTGGGAAGATGGTGCGAGCGGCGCTGCGCGGACATCACGCAGCTTGAAGCAGGAATGGTATGCGAAGGGACACGAAATGACGGTCAAGGAACCGCCTGCCGCCTCCGTCTCGGACGAGAAGGCAACGAAGACAAACGCCGGATCGGAGAATGCGCCACCGGCCAAAAAGCAGGCAAGCTCTGGAGACAAGGAGTCGAAATTGAAGGCTATGCTGAACAAGGGCTTGTTCAAGGGCCGAAAGTAAATAGCCGTCACTTCTCTTCAAGGCGCAGCGAGTGTGCATTGCGTGGGGTTTCATTGGGTATCCGAGCAAAGTAGTAGCTTTGTGGGCAATACAGGCGGATTGATAGATAGCTGTTATAGCAGCGTATCGTATGGATAGACACTCACTGAAACTTCTTGGATGAATTGGCGACTCATTGGAACATTTAATGGGAATCAGTCACGGATAAACAGCTCTGAACTCAAAATGGGAGGCAGATGCCGCTTTTTATCGGATTTTCGTTAGAGACCTATCAGAGGGCTCCTCTGACCTGGGGAAGTCCCATTGTCTCTCGTTTCATGTAAAGACCATCCATTTTTTTCCGAGCAGAAGAAGCAGTGCATCCCGTAAGCCCCCCTGCGTTTGGAAAGCGAAAGAGAAAAAGAACCCTGTTGACCGGAAGATTGCTCTTATCCCCTCGCTTAGTGGCCTGCCCTCCTGGCTTCGGCAATGACCTTGGTCATCTCATCGACCTTTCTCTTGGCACGGCCGAAGGTACCGAGCTGTCACGAGAATGTTAGTATTCTGTATTTTGGATTGTTTGTCGTGTGGCGGTATAAGGCAGGAGTAGATTATTCGCTGGGCGGGATATCGGCCGGGATTGTTTTGGGTGTGCTTTTGTTACGGAAGTTCGAGAGACGACGTACCCTCTTCTTGGCGAGCTTCCTGGCGCGCTTGTCCTTGCTGTTGCGGAGAAGTTCGATGACGCGACGCTCGTACGGGGCGAGACTGTTAGGGCAAGCCGTCAGCCATCGTTGTCCAACCATTGATCGACTAAGTCCAATTCCTCCCGTGCCCGCTCTTCGGCCGATGCGTGCGTTCCTCGGGGAGCTCTGGGCTGAGCGGCCCCGTTCCTCCTCTTCACTCGTTATGTGCATGCGTGCATGCCGGGCTGGATCCAACGTACCCGGAAACCTCCTTGACAACGTCCCTGACGAAAGCAGTACGCTTGCTGAGGTGGCCCTTGGTCCTCGAGATCTTGGTCTTGGGCTGGTGGGGGGTGACCTTCTGTATAGCAGGAACGAAAATTTCGTTAGCGATTTACGAGGTTCGAAAGAGCGGCAGCGGTGCCGCAGGTCGCAGCTCGAAAAGTCCGCGGGCGCGGCAGGCAGGAAGATGGACGTACGTGGCCGGCGTTCAGGCCGCGGATGAGGCCAGACCTCTGCTTGACTTCCGGCATGGTTGCTGTACGGTTAGTCGGTCGGGCGGTGGTGGTCGCAGGTGAGGGTTCGCCTTTCTCGCGGTCGACTTGGGCAAAAGTCGCTTGGGTGCGCGAGGAGTTGTGGGCTTGGCGCGCACAAACGACGGATTATCATTGTGCCGCGCTCCCGGCCGATGCGAGGTCTTGCCCGCTCCGCCCGCCGCGGCAACGCCGGGCTCGGTCGCAGCGTCACTTCCTGCCTTGGCGCGCACCCTTTAGCTTTGTGGTCTGACTACTGTTAGACTCGGGTTGTAGCCGCATTGCTCTGCGCCCATCCATGTTTCCACGTCGCCCAAGACAGTCACCATCCTGAGAACTGCGGTAGCGTTGAATTTGGCTTCGGTCAATTTGTCATCCTGCAACGCCTCAGTCTTTTTCCACACATCGAGAGTCGGGCTGTCGCTGTAAGACTGGCACAGGGGTCTGCAGCAGTGGAAGCAAAATACTCTAGCGCCGATTTGAAAGTTGAAGATCGTACAAATACTAGGTTGCGGTGCCTGAGGCGCTCTGCGTCATTTGCCTTCCGCTCCCGCTTGGATGATCAGCCGCCCGTCACAGCCGCAAGCCACCTCACCCACCAGGGCGATGACCAAAATCCGTCGATAAGCCACAGGGTCCGCGTACTCAGCAGCAGGCCGTGAGCAAGATGCTTTGAATAATCGACGACCCGGATGACGGAGTTAGCGGGCTCCGCAGCGGGTGGCACTTGCATCCATCCCATCTGACAGGGCGGGTCAGGCCCCGGCCGGGACAAGGCGGGTGCTTGTGACGTATGCAGGACTCTTCGCCGGCTACACTGCCAGCCGTACATACGCAATCTCTGCGCCCATCACCGCCCCCTGGGACGGCTACTTCTACTTCGCATGGGCTCACATCTTCTGTGCTCTTGCCTGATCAATTTTCCTCGTCTACACTGGACTCGCTCGTACGCCCTCCCGCACTCTGGACCCTTGCCTTCGTGCACGCGACCTCGCTCGTAGTCCACAACACCAACCCGCCCATCCCGGCCGCGGCTTGATTAGCCATGCTGGGTCTACAGTATTGGATGGTTCCGCTTGTTGCGGGCGTCGTATGGCTCGCAATGCTGCTTGCGTTGCTGTTAACATGGATCGTTGCCGATGGAAGCCCTCGCTATGCCTCTATGGAGTCCAACCAGACTATCGCGTATGTATGATCGGATCTCTTTGGCTGGGCTAAGGAAGACTGACGAACAATACAGCTACATCTCTGATGTTGGAGCGCAAGAACTCAAGCCTCTGTTCATTGCTATGGGCGCTGCATCCGTCGTGACTTTTGATCTCGTCTTCATCATCGAGCGCTGGTTGCGGCATCGTGGCCGTCTCCACCCAAACACTTCGTGGTGGCAGAAGACTTGGTCTATCATTGCGATTCTGGGTGCGATTGTTGGTGCAGCAGGTCTGATCCTTCTCGCCATCTTCGACACTCTCAGACACCCTACGCTGCACGATGTTTTCCTGGTACTCTTCATCGGTGGCTACATCGTGTCTGCCATCTTCGTCTGCATCGAGTACCAGCGCCTCGGTGTCTACCATCGCAAGAGCAAACTCCTCCGCGCGTCTTTCTACGTGAAGCTCGCCTTCATCTTCGTTGAGCTCGGCCTGGCCATCGCCTTCGGCGTCCTGGGTAACCGGCACCACCGCAACTCCGCCGCCATCATCGAATGGGTCATCGCCCTCATCTACGCCTTTTACGTCTGGTCTTTCGCCATCGACTTTATCCCTGCTCTACGCACCAAGCACCACCACAGCAAGGAGAGCGCCATTGCGATGGCCGAGGCGGGCAACAACTCGGGCAGCAGCCAGACCGGCTTGTATCAAGACCACTACGTCGGCACGGGCGCCCCTGGCCCGAACGTGTACCCCAACTCAAACGCCAGCGCTACCAGACACTATGCCAACGGCGCCCCAACCAACTACGTCAACAGCCACCCCGACCACCCTGGAATCCACGGTAGCACCTACCACCCCGACGGCCATCCTGAGAACGCGAAGCCCGCGACCCAGGCGTACTTCTAAGAAAGTGGCTACCAAGCATTTTACATCAGAACCCCAAAAGCATCAAGCCGTGTAGATACAGCGTTGGCGACGATAGCACATGACCGGATGGGGTTGAGCATGCACATTTCCTCCTTTGTTGACCACTGCATAGATGCAGGCGGCATTTCTGTTCTTTCTCCTTTTGATACCAGCATCTTGATGACCAGGCGTTTCGGGAAGGTTGAGCGATCCGCGTTCCTTATCCTGAACGCAATAGATGAACATGTATATCATTAATGACTACATTAGATTATGACTCTCACACTTGTGCCTTTGTTGCCTTCATACCGAATGACCCATCATTGCTGCAGGCGAGTAGATTGATCCTCACAGCAGGTCGAGCCTTGCCTGTCCCATGAAAATGACGCCGCTCTTTCTACGGAGGCAGTTGGAGCACCTATCCGCGCAAAAGTGCAAGTTTACAGATACATCGGGACATTGGAGTCAACGACCAAAGGAAATTTGTAAAAGTCGAATTCTTTGGTTGCCTGCCGTGTACTGTGATAAATCTGGCCGCTGTTCTTGACATTAGGTTCATCTCGATGACGGAAGGATGGACGCCCCCAGGACTTGCTCGCCTCTGCTTCAGGTCTGACTTCTTGAGAGTATTCTACAAGCATGATGGGCGTTGTGCCAACGGAAGGTAATGAATGTGCAGGTGTAACAAGTCATGATATTCCTTTCTCATGCAAAAGTCGCCGTCGAAGAGCAATCACGAATTACGCACGGTAACCATCGTGCTCTCTTGCGACAGCTCGGCCCAGATGGTGTACAGTCAAAAAGTCTATCGTTCATTTCCTGAGCCATGCATAGCCTCCTCTCTTTATCCTCGCCACGTCTGCACAGAGAAAGCTGCTTCCTGGCCATCTTTTAGTTGACCTGCGTGCCATAGCCCCTGATCCTCTCGGCAAATGCCCAGCTCTGGTTCTCCAGCTGTTCATTCTCGCTGAGCTCGACATCGCGGCCGCGCTCGACGACAGCAATCGAGTAGCGGTCCAAGCTGCGGGCGTCGCGGTAGAAGAGCGTCTTCATACAGTCCTTGACCAGCTGGACGGCATCGGCGCGGCTAAGCTCGCGCGCGGCGGCCTCATCCGGAACGCGCTTGCGCAGGATGGGCGTGGCGAGGTGGGCGCCAAAGCCGGTGGCTAGGGCGGGCGCGGAGAAGGTGGTGCCGAGCAGGTCGGCGTGGGCGAGGAAAGGCGTCTTGCCATCGTGGTCAAAGCCCGCAATCAGTAGCACATTCCACAGCGGGTTGAACTCGGAGCGGCGCCGGTACAGCACCTTGGACAGGTACGTGTGCAGGTTCTTGGCATTGAGCGATGCGCCACTGCCGAGGGGCTGTTCCTCGCCCGACACGTCGTCCTCGGCGGCTTCATGCTGGCTGTAGTCCTCGCGGATGGAGAGAGAGGTGAGCAGCCGGTCCAGGTACTGCATGTCCGACACGTCGCCGCCGAAGCCGATGACGGATTTGTTGTTGAAGACGCGGAGACGCTTGACGTCCGTGAAGCGTGCGAGCGAGCCATATGATGCTATATTTTGGAACGCTGTTAGTAAAATGCTTTCGCAAGGGACCGCGGTCTGTAGCCTGTGGCTGAACCCCACGCACCTAGGTTGTCGGCGGCAATGACGACGCCATCCTTGTACTTCACTGCCACCACGCTGGTGCCGGTCACGATGGGTTGTTGGGTGTGCTGCATGGGACCGTTGCTCTGAAGGAAGGAATGGTCGTACGCGCCATAAACGTCGTCTCTGGGCTGTTTCATGGTGCTGCATTAGCTGAAAAGTCACTTGGCGGCGAGGTGGTAAGGCTTCTGCAGCTAGCTTACCCTGCCCCAGGCCTGCGGGAAGTGGTTCATGGCTGCGAAGATGGAGAGAGGGCGTGGAGGTGGGCGGCGAAGGTTGGACGGAGGGCTTCGAGTCGAGGAGGTTGTGGTGCGGTGGTGGGCGATGGCAGTGGCAGACGGAGGTGATGGCGTTGGTGGTGCTGAGCTCCAGGAAGCTCTAGGTCGCCGGCTGACGCGCGCGATCACTGCCTGGCCTGCGCTTGTCGCGTCCACCCAATGACCATTCTCTCATCATCACCACCACCCTCCCTCCAGCTGTTGGCAGCCAAAACCAGTAGATTTGATCGCCGAGAGGCGGGAAGATTCTTGTGAGTTCGTGGTATGCGTTGTCAAAGTAGTGTTTTGTGTGCAAAATTATAGACTCAGTAATTGCATATTCACGTCCAGAAGATAGCTTCCATTGCCTACATAAGTCGAGCGGTTTCTAGCTGTTCATGCTCTGCACCAAATCCGAAGCTGAATCTCTACCTCCGGCGTGGGGACCGGGACCTGCTCCTGAATCTGCTCCTCTTCCTCCTGTCGTCATTACCACGGTCCCTCCGATCGCCTTCTTTGCGCTTCCCACTATCCGAGACCTGCGGCGACCCAGAGCCCTCTCTACTCAAGCCTGCCCTGACTCTTTCCGCCATGCTGACACGGTCCCCATTACCAATGCCTAGTCCAGATGAGCCTGGATCACTAGCCGGAACGAATTCCAAAGCTTCTCTCTGAGTCTTCTTCTGCTCCTCTTCCCGCTTCCTAGCAATCTCTCGCTGCGACTTGCCGAGGATCTCCGCATATGCCCAAGATGGGAACACCGGTGGTACGGCAACATCTGTAGACAGGGTGGTCGCATACTGAGCCTCATCGTCAATGCTCGCAAAGCCGCGCAGCTTGTGGAGTAGGCTGGGGTTGCGCAGCGCTGACGAGTTCTGCAAACGCTGGTTGAAGTGGACGCCTTTCTTCTTGAGCTCGAGGAAATGCGCAAACTGCTTCGTGGACTTGGGTGGCGGCGAACCGGGCGGCGAAGGAGGGATCTCAAAGTTGGGAACCGGCGGCATCGTTAGATTGCGCACGATTGCACGCGCGGCGGAGTATGGCGACTGCGGTTCGGAGGCGGGACCATTGGGGTCTTCGGGCTCAGCCGCAGGTGGAGCTGAAGGACCCGGTGCGGGAGCGTCCGTTTCTTCGGTTGAAGCTGGCAGAAACGGACCAGGCGTCGACTCTGCATCTGGTGCTGGTGTTGGTCCCGCCGGCTGGGCCGCGGGCTTCTGGTCTGGCGCGGCAGACGCCTTGCCTTCTGCTGCCCTGCGGTTAGTCAGGAGCGAAAAGCACTGAGCGGCGTCTTCTTTTCGCCTTACCAGGTTTCTCTACTGCCGGCTGAACGGGCGTCGGGAGGCTCGCTTTCCTCGCCTAATATTCTTAGTCATTAGTAGCCATCCGCCCAATGGTGCAGCTGCCATGGGATGCGTGCATGCTCTTACCTTGCTGGGCTGGGGCACCCGAGCTGCTTCCTCGTCGCTGCTTTCGTAATCGTCGAGCCCGAGCATCTTTGCGGGGTTGGGGTTGAGGAAGCGGAGCGCGGGCGGTGGTGTCGAGCTTGGAGGGCCGGGCGTCTTGGCGCGTCCAGGCAGCTCGCAGCTACGTGAGCTTCAGAGCTCCGACATCACATCCACCTCCGCGCATACCAACATCCGCTTTTGCCCCATCCAACGCGATCACTCCTCTCGACCCGTCAATCGACAACGACCATGGCCTCCATCTTCCACGCCGCGCCGCCGCAAAGCGGTCCCGGATACTCTTTCAGACAGACGCCCATGACGGCAACACAAGCATCAGGCGAAAGGCAACATGGTTTCTACCCGTAGGCCTCCCAAGAACCGCTCAGAGACTGTCCAGAGCAGTAGGCTTATCAACTCTTCGCAGTTACACCGACAACGGCGGCTCCACGCTCGGCATCTCGGGTAAGGACTTCACCATCCTCGCCGGCGACACTCGCAGCACGTCCGGCTACAACATCAACACGCGCTACCAGCCTAAGCTCTTCAAGATCGGCGGTGAGGGCCCGGACAATGAGGGTGCGACCATCGTGCTATCGGTGGTGGGCTTCGCTGCCGATGGCCACGCGCTGAAGGAGCGCCTCGACACCATCGTGAAGATGTACAAGTACCAGCACGGCAAGCCCATGTCGGTGGCCGCCTGCGCCCAGCGCTTGAGCCATATCCTGTACGGCAAGCGCTTCTTTCCCTACTACGTGCACGCCATCCTGGGCGGCCTGGACGACGAGGGTCGCGGCGCCCTGTACAGCTACGATCCCGTCGGCAGCTACGAGCGCGAGCAGTGTCGTGCTGCCGGCGCCGCCGCCTCGCTCATCATGCCTTTCCTCGACAACCAAGTCAACTTCAAGAACCAGTACATCCCCGGCTCCGGTGTTGGCCATGCCCTTGAGGAGAAGCCGCGCGAACCGCTCCCTCGCGACCACGTCGAAGAGCTGGTGCACGACGCCTTCAGCAGCGCTGTGGAGAGGCATATCGAGGTCGGCGATGGACTCCAGTTGATGATCATCACGAGAGACGGCATTCAGGAGGTTCACAGGGAGCTGAAGAAGGATTAAGCTGATGCTGGCGGGAGGTTCGTTACGGGTGTATGCATATCATGGTTCAGCAGCTTTGGTCGCGGGAAATAGAGAATCAACTAAGCTGTTAAATGTGCGCAAGACGGCCTCAGTGGTTGCTGATTCAGATTGTTATATTCGTATTTGCTAGACGGCAGCGATGGCAAGTTTCTCAATTAGAATGCAACCAACTGCACTAGGCCCTCACCCACACTTCCCCAATTGCGTCGCCCTCATCCTTGAACACCTTCCACTTGCCCGTTCCCAGGTGCTCCGGGGCCTTCCGCACGCCTCTCCCGCCACCTCCGACGATCAGATTTCCCGGCCGGTAATCCTTGTCGTGCTGCATACGGCGCAGCACGGTATGATGAACAGCAACATTTTCAGGCACGTCGCGCACCTCGCCCTTGGGCAGTGGCCATGCGATGCTGCGCCACGAGCCGTCCGGGGTCAGGTCCATGCGGCGGAACGGGATCCACTCCATGCAATTCCAACTGATGACGGACAGGCGCGATGCGCCGTTGTTGAAGCACAAGACGTCGTGAATCTTGCCAGCCGTGGCCGATGAGTGCAGGAGTGCGTGGAAGCGTGTGGGGTGCTCCTCCTGCCCAGCGGCGTTCCCGGCTCCCTGGTCGCCGTTTGTGGTTGCCGAGGTGCCGTTTCTCAGCTGTGGAAGAGGGCCAAGGTAGGAACGTGACCGGCTCTCGAGAGGAGGGGTGGCGGCGCTGATTTGGATCTCTGGGGGGGCAGTCATTTGGTGGTCGGGGTTGTCATCGCGATTGGGAAGATCGATATACGCCTCTTCCTCGTCTGGGCTGCAGTTCAAGGCGCGCAGCTTGTACTCGTCAAAGCGAAGACCGGCACGTTGGGCTTCGCGGACCATCCAGACAAGCGGAACGTGGCTCAGAGAGGCGTCCTCGCCTTCTTCAAGACCCCATCCGCCGCCGATGTCCTAGGAGGCGTTAGCTCTGTGAATGCAAAGAAGTGACAGAACATGACGACTTACGGCGTGGCAACCGGCGAACCAGACTTCCTGAATGTCCTGGTCCTCATCGTCGGAATCACAGCCGCCTGCATGCTGGATGGAAGACACACGAGACACTGAACTGAGGTTTGACCGGCTTCCACGTCTCTGTCGTCGAGACGAGAGGCCGGGGCTCATGGATCTGAGCCCAGATGTCTCTGAACTGTCGCGGAAGGCTCGCGGAACCTGCAGTTCGCGGGTGAACTGGTTGTGACGCTCTTGGCCAGCTTGCGTGACATCAGTTTGGCCTGTAAAGGACTTTGTTTCCATGTGACTCCTGTACCGAAAGTGGCGGTGCTTTCTCCTCTTGTCTGTTTTGACTTCAGAGATGAGATCTTGACGAAACTTGGCCCTGCGCTCGTCAATAGCTACTGCGTGACGAATGACCTTAGCCGTACTGCGGGCAGTGTAGGGGAATTTGCTTCGCTGCATCCACGGGCCTTCGAAAGCGGGCACGCTATTGACCGTATCAAAGAGGCCCAGGAATCTGATGCGACGAACAGGGCGGCTGAAGGTCTCTCGGAAGGCACACATGTAGTCACGCAGGCGTTCCTTTTCCTCTTTCTCTTCGTCATTGCGCTCGGTACGAGTCTGCCACTTTTGAAACGTCTTCCATGCGAAGCGTGCCATTTCCTCGTTGCCGGCAGTGAGGAGGCCGACGTGGTCTAGCATCTCGGCCAGGAAACGCGCAATGTAGGCGCCACGAGAGAATCCGAAGAAATAGATCTCGTCATTTGGTAGATAGTACCTCATAAGAAACTGATGATTGTGAGATAATTCAGGTCGAGGAAGAAGCGATACAGACCTTGTAACCTCCCATGACATGTTCGGCAAAAGAAGTGCCAATGGCCGAGTCTTTGGACTTGAGATACCAAGATTTGAAGCGCTGCCAATGCGAAGTATGGCTCAAGGAGCCAGTAGTGACATAGGTACCGATCCCGGGCTGGTAATAGTGAAATTGCGTTCCGTCGCTCCTGTCGAGCATGCGAAATATCTTGAGGATGTTGGAGTCTGCATCGGTCCCCTGGAACTTGTTCCCTGTCCCGTCAAAGCAAAGCACAAACGTCCTCTTGCGGTTCGGCGCGGGATCGTACAGGGCATTGGCCGGCTGGTAGGCCTTCTCATGGGGCTCGTCTTTGGGTTTGCAGTCCCCAAGGAGACGAATGTGTCCGTCTTCCTTGTCAGAAGACATGGCGGCAGAGGGCAAAACAGACAGGCGCAAGCAACAGAGAATACATCACGCGGGCATTGGGCCTTAACTGTACAGAAGCAGGCGGCTACCTGTGCAGAGGCAGGTGTGACATGTGGTGGGCAGCCCATCTCAGAAGCGCGGTGATCGGCGATGGCGACGGGCAGTGATCTGCTGCAGCACAATATCGAGTGGCCATGGCGCCTGCGGCGTGACGAGCTGTACGAAGTGGCTTCTGTGTATTTGGAAAATGGTGGAGGCTGCGATGTCGTGGACGGAAGCTGCAGCTGTAACAGGGATGGGGCGTGTCCGGGACGGGGCGAGCGACGCAGCTCTGCCGATCCCACGGCTCAGCTCATCGCAGCTGTGCCTGTTTCGGCCATAGTGCCACGGCAGTTCCAGATCCAGCCTTCTGCAGGCGAGATGCGCCGGCCCGCTTTCTGCCCTGTCGCCCATCACCTTCCCATTGCTCCCCTCTTTGTGCGCCGTCGCCCAGTCCACTGACAGCTCTGCGTCCAGCCAAGCACGCGCTATCAGTTTTCTCCAGCACACGAGACCCCGCTTTGCACGACACGCCCCGTTTATTGGGAGATACGCGCGCTGCTGAATAGCCGATCCCCAGTCTCAGGACCCTCGATCCTCAGCTGTGTGCTAATCATCGCCGCCATGACTGGCTGCCAGCACCCTGATCTGCATCATGCACCTCGCCGCCTGTGTCTGACCGACCATCAACCCACCCAGCCTTTCCTCCCACAGCTTGACCGCCCCCGCCACGGCTATGTTGCACGTCATAGCTTGTACCCTGCCTGTTGATCTTCTGCGCTTCAGTGTCCAGTGTTTTCTCGTGCCGGACATGCATCTCCAGCCTGCCTGATTGGCTGGCCCTCGGTGCCACTGCTGCTGCTCTTTGCAATATCTGCCATTGCCCCCTCCCAGTGTCGAGTCCTTTCTTCGCCAACATCCTCTCCCACAGCCTCTCTTTTGCACAGGCACCATGCTCCGCCGGCTATCAACCACCTTCAGGAAGGACAGGAAGAAGGACGGCGCCAGCCCCAATGGCACTTCGCCCAAAGACTCCTTGAACGGCAGCCCCACCCATGGCCACTCTGAGCAGAAGGCCGACAGCAGCAAGAGCCGGGAGGAGGTGAAAGGCACCTTCGAACAGTTCGCTCAGGTCCTGCATGCCTCCCGCCGCCCGCTGCCCACTCAGACTGGCGATGGCAGCTATGTCAAGCGAGATACTCCGGCCAGCCTCTTTGAGAACTTGAAGACCATTGGCATTGCAGACGCAAAGACGCTCAAAGATGTCCTTCAGAACAAGGCCAAGAAGGAGCTTCTTGACGACAAGACGTATCTCATGGAGCGCGTCATCCAGGTGAGTTGGCTTTTGGAACTCCCCCAACCTCTCTGCTGACAGCTGGTGAAGCTAGTCGCAGACCTTCCTGGCAATTCGGCATTGAGAGTCGATCTCACCAATGCCTTCGTCGATGAACTGTGGGATTGCCTGCAGCACCCGCCAGTGTCGTACGTATCCCATCTTGGCCACCGATGCAGAATGATGGCTCACTCCCCGCAGATACCTGGGCGACCAGTTCACTTACCGTCAAGCGGATGGATCTTACAACGTAAGTCGAGCCACATTATGCACTTTTGCCGACTAACAAGAGAAGAACATCATGTATCCCCATCTGGGGGCTGGTAAGCGTCCCTTCGACGACGACGCGTTACGTGCTGACAATTGGCAGCAAACACGCCTTACGCAAGAAGTGTGCAGCCAAAGACCGTCCTGCCTGGGGCGCTTCCCGATCCCGGCCTGGTCTTCGACGCTGTTTTTGCGCGCGAGGAATTCAAAGAGCACCCAAACAAGGTCTCGAGCATCCTCTTCTACTGGGCTTCTCTGATCATCCACGACCTCTTCCAAACAGACCACCGGGATATGAACATGTCCAAGACGTCTTCTTATCTCGACCTCGCCCCCCTGTACGGAGACACGCAGGAGGATCAGAACTGGATCAGGACATTCAAAGACGGCAAGCTGAAGGCAGACTGCTTCTCCGAGTCCCGTCTGCTCGGCTTCCCGCCTGGATGCGGCGTTCTGCTCATCATGTTCAACAGGTTCCACAACTTTGTCGTCGACGAGCTTGCCAAGATCAACGAGGGAGGCAGATTCACAAAGCCGAATCAGAGCCTGCCTCCTGACATGGCCAAAGAGGCATGGGCCAAGTACGACAACGATCTGTTCCAAACGGGGCGTCTCATCACCTGTGGTCTTTACATCAACATCACGCTTCTAGACTATCTCCGCACCATTGTCAACCTGAACAGGAGCAACACCACCTGGACCCTGGACCCCCGCGTGGACATGGCCAAGGTCTTCGGGACTGATGGCACGCCGCGTGGCATCGGCAACCAGGTCTCGGCCGAGTTCAATCTCGTGTACCGCTGGCACTCTGCCACCAGCAAGCGCGACGAGCAGTGGACCGAAGAAATGTACAAGAACATGTTTGGCAAGTCCGCCGCCGAAGTCCCGATGGACGAGCTGCTGAGAGGACTCGCAAAGTGGGACAAGACGCTGGACAAGGATCCCCAGAAGCGTGCCTTCGGTGGCATGCAACGAGATGCCAACGGCAAGTACGCCGATGACGACTTGGTCAAAATCCTCACCGAAAGCATCGAAGACTGCGCTGGTGAGTATGCTTTCATGTTTCAACGAGCGTCACATTCTGATACGCGATAGGCTCCTTCGGCGCGAACAACGTGCCTAAAGCACTTCGTGCTGTCGAGATATTGGGTATGCAACAAGCCAGAAAATGGGGCCTGGCAACTCTGAACGAGTTCCGCAAGTTCTTTGGCCTGAAACCTCACGACACTTTCGAGAGCATCAACTCTGATCCCAAGGTTGCTGAGCAACTCCGCCACTTGTACGACCATCCCGACTACGTGGAACTGTACCCCGGCCTCGTGTCGGAAGAGGCGAAGGAGCCAATGGTTCCAGGCGTCGGAATCGCCCCAACCTACACCGTTTCAAAGGCTATCTTGTCCGACGCTGTTGTTCTCGTGCGCGGGGATAGATTCTACACTGTCGACTACCACCCCCGGAACTTGACCAAGTAAGTGTCATATGAATAAACACGAGCGTTTACATGTTAACCTCGACGCAGTTGGGGCTACAACGAGGTGCAATATGACTTGAATGTCGAGCAGGGATGCGTTTTCTACAAATTGTTCTTACGGGCCTTCCCTGCCCACTTCAAGCCCAACTCCATCTACGCACACTATCCGGTATGTGAACAGCTCGATATATAGGAGATGGATTACTCACATGTGTTCTACAGATGACGATTCCTTCCGAAAACAGGAAGATCATGCGCAACCTTGGTCGCGAGAGCCACTACTCATGGGATCGACCAGCTTTCATCAAGCCGCGCGTGAACATCACCTCTTACGTTGGCGCAAAGGCAGTCCTCGAGCAACAGAAAGACTTTAAGGTTACATGGGGAGCCACCTTGGAAGAATTGATGGGCAAGGGCGGTGCCCACTTCATGCTGTAGGTGGTGATTTCTGCATCGCTCAACAACTGCTGACGTGTACACAGGTCTGGAGATGAGCCGCTGCATGCCAAGCAGAGGAAAACGATGGCGAAATCGCTCTACAGAGAGAACTGGCAGCGCGATGTCAAGAAATTCTACGAGCACATCACGCTCAAGCTCCTGCACGAGAAGTCGTTCAAGATCGCCGGTATCAACCACGTGGATCTCACCAGAGAGTAGGTAACAAGACACCGGACAGAGAAGTTGAGTCCGCTAACTGGAGCAGCGTCGGCAACCTGGCCCACGTTCACTTTGCTTCCAACATGTTCTCCCTCCCACTGAAGACCAAGGAGAACCCGCGAGGCATCTTCACCGAGCACGAGATGTACATGGCGCTGGCCGTCATCTTCTGCTGCATTTTCTTCGACCTCGAGCCAGCCAAGTCGTTCCCGCTGCACCGCGCCGCATATGCCGTCTCTCAAGGGCTGGGCAAGCTCATCGAGGCCAACGTCAAGAGCGCCAGCTCCACCAGCTGGATCTCCAGCATCACCGACAGCTTCCACGAGAACAACAACTATCTGAAGGAATATGGAGTGCACATGGTGCGCAGGCTGCTCGATTCGGGGCTGAGCGCCCAGGAGGTCGCCTGGTCGCAGGTCTTCCCGACTGCCACGGCCATGGTTCCGAATCAATCACAAGTGGTAAGTGGATCACCTTCTCAAGAGGCACAGCGCTGATGACTTGCTCCAGTTCACTCAAATCATGGACTTCTACCTCTCGCCACGCGGGACGCCGCACTTGGCAGAGATCCGTCGGCTGGCGCGGCTCGACACGTCGGACGCTGACGACAAGCTAATGCACTACGCCATGGAGGCCATCCGGCTGAACGGTACCTTCGGCTCATACCGCGCTGCTACCTCGTCAACCACCATCGTCGACGGCCGTGGAGACGATGCCAAGCACATCTCCGTCAGCCCGGGTGACAAGGTCTTCGTCTCCTTCGTCGGCGCCGCCAAGGACCCCGAAGTGTTCCCCAACCCGGAAGAGGTGCTCATCGACCGCCCACTCGACAGATACATTCACTACGGCGAAGGCCCACACACCTGCCTCGGCCGCGACGCGAGCAGGGTTGCCTTGACGGCCATGCTGAAAACGGTGGGCAAGCTGGACGGACTGAGGAGGGCACCTGGCCCCAAGGGCGAGCTGAAGAAAATCCCAAGAGAAGGAGGCTTTTACGTCTATATGCGTGAGGATTATGGGAGCTATTTCCCATTCCCGCTCAGTAAGTCTTCCTTTTGTTCCCTCCCTGGCCCCCTGTTCGATGTTGAGCAAGGATGCTGACATTTTCTTGCAGCAATGCAGGTGTGCTGGGATGGAGATTTGCCGCCGCTGAAGTAAGAAGATGTGTAAAAAAAAAAAAAAAGCCGTGTCCTCAGTGGTTGGCGGCACGTAGGCGGATGGTGACGTGAACTGAAAGGTGGACAGTCCATGGCAACGAATTCCCCAGACTCGCAGTTTTCAGGGAAGTCATTGCCGCGCACTGTCCGCATCCCAATCCGCATTAGCCTGACACTCGCTCAACGGGATAGCACTTATCTTCCTAATTGTCCAAAGTATTTCGTAATGAATGATAATTATGATATCCTCTACGTACTTTAGGCTCTCCATAGTCCTTCCTGTAAGCAATGTCCAGGGTCTGAGAGAGCACCCAGCCCTATTAATGGCCACTCCGGAAGGGAAATGCAACGTACACCCACTGGGTGGTTTGAGAGTGCGTCCTCAGGATACAAACCTTCTCTCCTTTCTTAGCTGTAATCGATTCTTGCATGTCCGACTGCTGATTGATTGAACGATTCAGGATGGCTGGCGGCTGGACTATCTCCACCTGAGACATTAGAATCCACCCCCCTGTGCCCCTAGGGTCTTCTGTGTCTCGTTAAAAGGATTAGAGTCTAGCCCACTCAAAGTTGTTCGCCCTGAATTTGAAAATCCGGGCAATGTCTCCTCGGCTGCAGCTTATCTGATCATAGCTTGCTGGATGAGTAGTTGGTTCCCAGAGTAGAAATAAAGAATCCGCGTGGGTAGCTGAAGCTATCGTCTGGACGTGTATGTCGAATTTTTAACTCCACATTCTCATCCGGACGATAGCTTCAACTACCCACATATGTTTTTTTTTTCCTTTGCGCGTCATGCGCTTCCAAGTGCAATCGGCATTGCGCCGCCGCGTGCATCTCCTCCCTTGAGAAGACCGACCAGCTAACATCTTGCAATTGGCTGTGGGACGCCTTCTCCAATTTTCTTCAACCTCTTCTAGGAGCGCTGGTTTGGCCAGCAAGTACCTTGTATCCAGCCCGCTGGCCCCTGTTGCTAGATAAAATCAATAATTTGGTTGGTGAAATGCAAGGTGATGGAATAGGGCGCTCGTCACATTCCGGGATCCGTGTGGTTTAGACAAACAAGAGACACTAGAATTTGCGCAGTAATAAAGGAGAAAGGCTCTCGCGTTGAAAATTTGTGAAATATGTGAGGTCATAACCATAATGGTATCCGAATCTGCCCTAACCGTCCTAACGCCCTTTTTGAAATCCGCAAAGATCGCCATCACGAACGCCGCCCAATGCTCGATTTGAGTCGTGACGAGATCAGAACCTTTCCTTCATCCTGGAAGCGACAGTGCGCAGGTTTCCGTACACCTTGCCCGGCGGCGCACCCAGGATAAGCGAGACGACGGCCTCTCTTGCAACGTGGATGTTCTTGAAGCCGCCGAGAATGTGGATCTTCTGATCAGCCAGGACGATTCTCGTGCGGGAGGCGTTCTCGATGGCGAACTTGGTCTTGCCGTCCTTGCCGGCAATACGGCCAATGGCTCTGCTCAGGTGGTCTCCATTCAGGGTCTTGACGTCCTTGATCTCGAAAGTCTCAATGTAGAGGTCGTCCAGTCTCAGGAGAGCGATGGCGTCGTCAACATCAAAGCCCAGGCTGAAAGCCTTGACGAAGTCTTCTCCCTTCTGCAGAGCGCCCGTATCGGTCGTGGCTCTCGACGTGCGAAGCTCGACGGCTTTGTTCTTGATATTCATGCGCACCTGAAGCTTGAGGTGCTCGACGAGCGGTGGGTAGATCTTGGGCCAGGAAGCCTTGAGCGGGGTCATGCGGTGCGGCGGAATGGGGACCTTGCGGGTTTCGATGCGCATGGACAGCGGGATATCCTTGGCGGGCGCAAACTGAGGGCGGCCTTCGGTGTCGACTTGCATACTCTCCTCGGACGGCCCGGCAGTGGGCACAGGTTCGATCTCGGCGGCAGCATTGACATCAAGCAGCACTCCTTCTTCTGCGCAGGGTATTAGAAGCAGGCTATTATTGCAGAAAATCGCGGATCACTTGCCTTGGGGGACGTCAGTCATGGCGTTCTCCTCGGAAAGCTCGTCAGGCTTGCGCAGCAGCGCGGTCGGAGCAGGCATCCTGGGCAAATCTGGTGTTGGGCAAAGCTGGGCGAGGAATTTTTGACGACGGAAGTGAGGCCTTGCCGCTCGGCAAATTCTCGGGACCTTCGTGGCCCGAGCGCGTGGGCGCGTCCTGGCGTCCCGATCGCCGCCGCGCGCTTCCAGTTTTCGAGCACGAGCGTCATCCTGTCTTCCTCTTCCATGCTCCCACAGAGCCAGCCAACTCGTTCTCCGCCTCCCTCACTGCGCGTCTGCTCTGCCTTCTTCCCCTCACGGCATCCAGCGCCCTCCGTCATGTTCTCGACATAGCAACAATGAGTCGCCATGTAGCCGCTCGGGTCGGCGGAAGAACCTTGCTGTCTATCGTCGACCTGCCGATGCGCCCGCTTTGTGCCGCACGCCTCGTGGGCGAGGGCTTGCTTGCGTCGGCACCCATCAGTCGCCAATTTTCACGGTCCACACGCTCTGCGCTTCAATCATTGTCCACGCCTTCATGCTCACCACCCATCACCACGACGTCATTGCTAGGTCTCAGATGCCCGTCGAGCAGCTTCCTTACCGCGCCACGAAGGCCACAAGCCGGCGGCGTTATATTTCAGTGCGCAACCGCGGCATGGAACCGGTCCGCACATACTACAACTCGAAGGCGGCGAGGAGTCTTGAATAGACGAAACAAGAGTTCGGCGAGTAACGGCTCAACTACGCGCGCACCCGCAAACGCTTCTACCGCAAGGTCTGAAGCATCCAACTCCCCGGAGCTTGACAAGGCGACCGAGTCCGCGAATGCTGCCGCTGGCGCAGGTGCTGGGAAAAATTTCATGGACCGGCTTCCCCACCTTCCGCACCGGCCCACAAAGGAGGAGCTACTCGCCGCCGCTAATGGCGCATGGTCTCGGTTCAAAGTCCATTTCAAATGGTTTTCTATTAGAAGTGGACGGAAATTCAACATGGACGATATCAGTGCTTTTTTTTCCTGGATCCTCCTCGGCCACCTCGCCTGGATCATCGTTGGTACGACTACCTTCTTCTCCATGTGCATCTTTCTGGTGAACACGGTTTTCGCGCAAGAGACGTTGGCTCGGACTGTAGGAAACTACCTTACCAAGTCTTCTGGTGTTCAAGTCGTTTTCGAGTCTGCTATTATTCCAAAATGGGGAGATGGTGTCATCACTTTCAAAAACGTCTTTGTGTCCAGGCGGCCGGGTCAAGGTCAAGGCAATGTCAGCAAAGGCTCTCGAGAGTCGGCAGCCGCCGCCGCAGCCGTGGCTGTGACAAAGGATCCCAGTAGCGACGGTTCGATTGCCCAGGAAGACGACGGGAACTACACCCAGTTCGACCTTACCATCAACACAGTGAACGTGACCCTGTCGTTCACAAAATGGTTTAACGGAAAGGGACTTCTGCGAGATGTTGAAATCAAAGGGATCCGCGGCGTCGTTGATCGAACTCACCTGATTACTCCAGATGAGTATATCGATCCGAGGTCGTACAAGCACGAGCACCAACCTGGCGACTTTGAGCTGGACTCCTTCAAAATGGAAGATTTGCTCGTAACCGTCTACCAACCGGATGGATTCAGGCCATTCCCAGTCAGTATCTACTCCTGTGATCTGCCTCAACTGAGGAAGCAATGGCTCTTCTACGATTTCCTATCCGCGAACAACATGTCTGGCTCAATTGACAACTCTCTCTTCACTATCCATCCCCGACAGACGCACAATTATGCTAGTGGGCAACTAGTTGATAGCTCCGAAGGTGGCCCTAATCAATGGAAGAAGCACAGTCGTATCAGGATTGACGGGCTCAGCATTGACCACCTCAACCGTGGCGTCGAAGGACCTTTTGGCTGGATCCACGAAGGAAACGTGGATATCGTGGCTGACATTATGTTCCCTGCGGACAGTGAAGAGGGCATCGCAAAAGTCATGTCCGATTTTTACGACCGCATGGAGGCCACTGTCACGGCTCATGGTAATCGATTCGGTGGTGACTTCCACGGAACGGTGTCCAGAAACCATACATCTGAAGATGACTCCTCGGAGGCTGGGAGTGAAGATGACAAGAGGTTCCTCGTCATGGACATGCGTGTTCAGTTCAACGACGTCCGCGCCGCCGTACCACTCTTCACCAATGATATTTCCTACGTCAACAACGCCCTTATTCGCCCCATTGTGGCGTACATAAACTCGAAACGGACATTCATTCCCGTCAATTGCCGCGTTGTCAAGCGCGCCGGCGAATTTGACGGTTCTTGGACCATCTACGACAGTGGTCTTATGGACGATCTTTCCCGCGAGGTTCGTGGACCCCTCTCTTCTTCTACTACTACTGTGTCACTGACATTTCATGCAGCTCTACGAAGCCTTTGCCCGCGACATTAACGATGACCGTCAGATGCGTGCGCGCCGCTTCAAGAAGGTGGGCATCTGGACTCTCCAGCTGGCCGCGCAAGCGCTCTTCCTCGGGCTGGCGGGTAACATCGCCTAAGCCTCACTTGCACCTACCAGTTTCTACCGTTTACTCACCAGTCATCCATATCGGGATAAGATTGTGTACAAAAGTGTATCAAAAGTATAGCGCCGGCGTTCTGGGGATTACAAAGGGGAAGGCTCATACCGGCTCTCCTCTCGGATTTGGAGGTTAACTCGTGCTTCTTGGTTTGGATTGTGCAGTACGGAAGCACAGGGACGTTATTGGATTCGATTTCTCGGGGCAGTGGTAGGCTGCGTCTATTCTTACGCGATCCTGTGGCCTATCTCGGTCTATGCATGAAAATCCTTCGTCTGCGGACGTTAGGGGTCGTTAAATAGTGCTTGCGTTCATAGAACGTAGAGCGTACGAGGACATGAATCGAGAATTTACGCCGTTCTTTCTGATATCTCATTCCATAACTTCACCGACACGTAGTCATGAGATTCTCAAAGGATTCTTGGATTTTCGTGTTTCTGTATGTGATATCGCACCTAGCCCGATGGGTATCTGTCATCTAAATATCCCAGACAACAACTCTCCCGTCAACACCACTGGTGCTGATCTTGGAAATCTGGCCGCCAGCCTCCTGGTAGCTGCGCATCATCAGAACCGTGTTCTGGTGCGTCGAATGCAGCTTCGTGTCATCCTTGACCTTGCCCTTCAGGTCCATCTGCCTGAACATGTTTCTGGCACTCTCTTCCTGCTCGCCGGCGCCGGCGGCCTCGGCCTTCGTCTCCAGGGCTCCAACCAACTGCCATCCACCCTCGTTGCCCTGGAAGCGGTAGAGCTCGCAGTCGTAACCGGCCGCGATGAGGGTGTCCTCGGCGGTCCACTGTAGCGACACAAACGGCAGCAGCTGGGTGCTGATGTTCAGCACTGCCTTGGGCGGGGCATCAGGAGCAGAGGGGTAAACGACGGTGACACTGCTGTCGTGGGCGGCGAAGGCGAGGGCGGAGCCGGAGGGGCTGAAGGAGACGCCGTGGACCCAGCCGGTCGTGTTGTTGAGGAACTCGCCGCAGACGGTGTTAAAAGGGAGGCGCTCACCCCAAGCGCTGGGCTCGGGCTTCTGGTCGACGCCCTTGATGAAGGCGGAGAAGACGCGGGCGTGACCGTCAGCGGAGCCGGCAGCGAGCAGCACGCTATTGGGGTGCCAGGCAACGGAGGTGATGGTGCTGCGGATTGGCTTCTTCAGGTGTTTCGACACCCACCAGTCGTTCTCTTCCTCGAAGTAGCACACGGCGATGACGCGCGCGCCGCTGCCCACCGCGAACTTGGTCTCCGACGGCGACCAGCGCACGCACGTCGCCGCGCGGTTGATGCGCAGCAGCACGAGCGTTGGCTTCCATCCCGCCGCCGTGGGCTCCCAGACGTAGGCGTTACGGTCTGTGTGGCGTGCAAAGGGAAGCCGCTGTCAGTCTTGAAGCTGGTCTTCAGGGATGCCGGCGGGGCGCCGTCTGCCACAATTGAAAGTACGTACCCTGAGAGCAGGTCACAATCTTGCCGCTATTGGGCGCAATGTCGACGCCGGTCACGGTCTTGTCGTGGCCGGTGAGCACGTCGCTGAGCTGGAACTTGCCGCCTGAACGCTCGTAAAGCTCGACGTTGTTCTCGCGGGTGACAGCAACGCCGGAGCGATCGGCCGTGAAGGAGTGGTCATGTACCGGGTGGTGGAATAGATGATGAACTTCGGATGGCGCCATTGTTGTTGCTGTCGGGCTGTTACCACAATAGGAGGAGCTCTCTACTATTGCGGAGGTGTGGTTGTAGGGGAGTGAATGCGGGCTGGGCACCGTTGGAGGGGGGCTGATGACGCCGCGGCAGCTGCGACCAGGGTCCGTCGCTCGGCGAGACTTCGGTGCCTTCTTGATTTCACTGGCAGGACAATAGCTTCGTTGCGCGCGTGTAGAACTTCACGTCACCCCCGCCGCATAAATACAACCTTCTTCCTCCGCATTCGCACAAACCCGCAACTTCCCGCTCTTTGCCTACGGCGCGTCGCCTCCTCTGCATCTAGCATCCACAACATCCAAGACGCGTGTCACTCGCAATGGCAGGCCGTGCAAAGACCGACGCCGCAAAGGCTGACAAGTCCAAGTCCGCGGGCCCTCCTCCCAACCAGACGTAAGTGACGAGCACCGACACAGCTATTTGAGAGTCACAATTGCTCAGTCCATCCAGGCTGTACTGCAGGAACCTCACCGACAAGATGCCGAAGAAGGACCTTAAGCGCGAGCTGTATCTGCTCTTCAGCACCTATGGCAGCGTCCTCGACATCGTCACGCTGAAGACGATGAAGATGCGCGGCCAGGCACACATTGTCTTTCAGGACATCTCCAAGGCAACTCAGGCCATGCGCAACCTCGACGAGAAGGAGTTTCATGGCAAGAAGATGGTGGGAACTCAACTTCACCTTGTGATACGCATTTCCAGGGAGCAATGTCGCTGACAAGATTCTAGATCATCCAATATGCTAAGACCAAGTCCAACTTTGTTGCGAAGCTCGACGGCACCTTCAACCAGCCCCAAGCTGCCCAGCCTGCGCCGGCCCCTGCTCCTACGACTTCCCTCCAGCAATCCATCTTCAACAACCCACCATCATCGCTTCCCGTGCCTCCTGCGTTGAATGGAATTGACAGCCCTGCGAGCGTCGACAGCTCCAAGAGGAAGAACGAGGAATTGGAGGCCGGCGATGCCAAGCGGACAAAGATCGAGCAGCCCCCTGCTGATGAGGAGGAGGACGACGAGGCCGAGATGGAGATGGACGAATCCGACTGAATTACCCCCCGATCACTGCCCGGCGGCGCGTCTGACAATGTTGCAGCGCGTTGCGACGGAGAGCGGAAGATCTTCCTCCCACAAGGTAGTTGGCGGCGTTACGGTTCTCTTCTGATTAGTCAAGTCTAATTGCAATGACAGGAGCACGATTCCACGCTTGGTCTCCTCAAGAAGTTCGATCTGCCTGTAATGCGAGGTCCATTGGTAGATGCAAGCCAACGCACGCTCCGACTATCCCGAGCCATTGCAGCATGTACTGCAGCGGAGAAGGCTCCGGTGTTGAAGCGGTTTCCTCAAGAGCTGTGGCAGTGTTGCACGGATGCACGAAGAAGACAGGCATATCTGTCACCGGATGATTCTTCTTGGCGATTAGCTCTCCCCCCTCACCTCGATCATTGCCATTCCTGAGACTTACGGTCATGCTGATACCGCCCATGACCCCTACGCTTTTGATTTGGGCGCTGAAATGCGGGGGAACAAGTAGGTCTTGGATTTGCTCCACGGAAGCATGGCTACTAGCGGGCACATCGTGCAGGCTGAAGTAAAGAACCGGGACGCAATATACGGGAGACAGTACAATACTGAACTCTACACGCGGTGATCGTGCCGTATGCTGGGCTAGTGGCAATTCCTCCTGCACCGATAAGCTCGAGATACTCGAATAGACAGCCCAAGACTTGCCTCGTCACTTTCCTCGACAGGGTCGAACGACTCGTGGGTTGCGTCTCGAAAAATGGTTGAATCGTGCGTGAGCAGGCGGACAATGCGCAGACCCTGATCCTATGACGCCCGTCAATCGTGAAGGCGATGGACAATGTTGCCTTGGGTAGACATACCCCGGGCGTTAGTTGCCAGTCGTGCGCGCGGCCGGAGCGCTCAACCAGTGCTACGAGATCCTCACACCCCTGCGCAAATCTCTCAGCCGACACGAAAGGGAACGGTAGAGGGGCCCTCGCAGCCATCTTTCTCGATCTGCAAGGACTTGAGGGGCGTCGCGATCGCGATTGATGAAGACCACGGGCGACGTGGGCGGACCCTGCAGCAGGCGGGGTTGCGTCACAGGCGAATCAGGCGGTGGTCCCATCTTTTCGGAGCTCCGCCGCCCGTCGCACCCACGCGCCAAGACCGCCGCGGAGGCCTTCCAGTCGCGCTCCGACAAGCTCTCAAGGCTGCAACGCCATCCTCCTCCATTCTATTGCCTAGCCTAGCTAATTTGTTTTTCCCCTCGCTACGACCACAGCCCCGCGCTTCTTCCGATACAGCATCTCCACCTCCCCGCGCACGAGCAGATCTCGAGTCCTTCGCCATCCGAAACGGGCAGTTACAGCTCCAGCTGCCTGCCATCATGGCGCCCCAACCCGAAAAGAGTCAATTGAAACGCGCTCTGGTGCGTCGCGATGCCTGGGCCTCGCAATCCTCGTGCGCTAACTGCCCGCAACTAGCAATCCGCCGGCGAGCAAGATACCGAGTACAAGAAGCCGCGCACCGAGCAAGTCGCTGCTGACAAAGGCCCCGAGACGCCGCTGAAGGTTCACAACGCCGCTTTTCCCTCGCCCATCACCCAGGGTGGCTCTACCACGACCGATGTCTCCAAGGAGGGCACCGCAACACCGCCGCCCAGAAGCACCGACGATGCCTCGCAGGTGGCGAGCAAAGGACCCGTCGAGACCTCGCAACGTAACGGCCTATCATCGCCACCCTCAGATACCCAGCCGTACTCGCAATTCCTATACCCGCCCGGCCCCTGGTATGAGGTGCAGGACGAGGAGGCCGAAGGTGTCTGGGGATATTTGGTGCCCATGGATGACAAGTTCGGAGACGTTCTGGTGCTGAGGAAGCGCAGTGCGTGCCCTCTACCTAACCCACCACCTCTACCATCCGGGAAGGCAGTAATGAGGAGGGGGTCCCTGGAGAAGCAGGAAGAAAAGTACGAAGAGAAGAAGCAGCACGATGGCATCCCAGCTGGTGGATACCTGATCGGCAGACATCCTGAATGCGGTACGTCCTTGTATTCCTCTGATGCAGGTTTTGTGGATGATGTTAACGGTTTTTGTCTAATTCAGATCGTGTCATTAAGTCGTCGCTGGCAGTCTCGAACCGTCACTGCCTTCTTTTCCTGGAACACAAGGGCGGTGGCGCCGTTGCGGTGCTTGAGGATCTTTCGGCCAATGGGACTTTCGTCAACGATGCAATCGTCGGTCGAAACAAACGCCGAGAACTCCATGAGGGTGACCAAATCCACATTGTCGACGAAGCCAAGTGCATGTTCCGTTACCCGCGCAGCCAGCGTGCAACAAACGGCTTCAGCGAGCAATACAGCGTTCAGGAGCAGCTTGGCAAGGGCCACTTTGCATCTGTCTACCTCTGCATCGAAAAGTCCAGTGGGATGCGGTTTGCCGTCAAGAAGTTCGAGAAACGCGGTGGTCCTTCTGAACGCTCGAGGGTGGAGGGTCTGCAGCAGGAAATTGCCGTCTTGATGAGCGTTAGCCACCCCTCGCTCTTGTGCCTCAAAGACACGTTTGACGAGGCGGATGGCGTTTACCTTGTGTTGGAACTGGCTCCGGAAGGAGAGCTCTTCAATTGGATCGTGATGAAGCAGAAGCTGAGCGAGGAAGAGACAAGAAAGGTCTTCGTGCAGCTGTTCCAAGGAGTCAAATACCTGGTAAGTAAGCCCTTTGTATCTTTATTGCCACTAACCTTTTTTTAACACTTGTAATAGCACGAGCGCAACATTGTGCACCGCGACATCAAGCCGGAGAACATCCTCCTGGTGGACAAGAACCTGAATATCAAACTTGCCGACTTTGGTCTTGCGAAGATCATTGGGGAGGAGTCGTTCACGACGACGCTCTGCGGCACGCCGAGCTACGTTGCGCCCGAGATCCTTGAGTCGTCTAACCATCGCCGTTATACCCGTGCTGTGGACGTTTGGTCCCTCGGCGTCGTCCTCTACATTTGTCTCTGCGGATTCCCGCCGTTCTCCGACGAGCTTTATAACCAAGAGAATCCCTACACCTTGTCTCAACAGATCAAACTGGGCAGATTTGACTACCCCAGCCCGTACTGGGACTCCGTTGGCGACCCCGCTCTGGATCTGATTGACAAGATGTTGACGGTCGATGTCAACAAGCGCATTACCATTGACGAGTGTCTTGAGCACCCATGGACCCGCAATGCCTGTGGCCCTAGCGCAAGCATTGACTCAACCGATGGCTTGACGGGAGCTTTGGGCAATCTCGATTTTGCCAAGCGCAAAGTCCAACGCGAGCGAACACTGTTGAGCAGCATTAACGACGTAAAGGTCAGCAAAGTGGTGGAGCTTGCAAGTGATGCCCCGCCGCTCAAGATCTACGAGAAGAATGGGAGCGGTTCGCGAATCAAGTCACCGGCAAAGGCGAGCAAGGCCAAGAAAGCCAACAAGGAGGACACGCCGTCGGAAAACAGAAACGCAGAGGAATTCATGGAGATGGGCGGTAAGGGCGACGAGACGCTGTTCGGCAACGATGAGACGAGCAAGTACCCCGGGGCCTGAAGCGTTGTCATTGTCATGAATTCGTGGGACCACTTTCCTTTCTTGACAGGCAGCAAGACTTCCTAATCAGCGATGGCGGCGTTGCCTCTTCTGACTTCTCAGGCGAAGAGGCGTCATGGCTCACGGCTTTTGCCATGTGTCTTAGGTCATGCTTACATATGGGTATTGCCGCCGAAGGCTAGCGTGAGTTTGTTTTTCGCTCATGTTATGGGTAGTCGAAGCAATTATCCGGACGTAAATGGGGAATTCACGGTTATACATTCACGTCTGGACGATAGCCTCTACTGCCCGCAGGTGTGGCTCCCCGTAAAGAAAATTGTTGAGGCAGAGTTGGCCCTTGCTCTAGCGCTGGCCTCTGGCTACAATACTCTCTGTACTTTCCTTTAGGAGGGGAGGAAATGGGACCAGCCGGCTGCGCATGCTTTACTTTCGCCTCTGCATTTCCTGTCGTTTTCCGTAGGGATGGGCACTGGACGATACCTTCGTCGGCTGTTAGTTCATGGCGTGTCAGATACCCCTACGGATGCCTTTCTACTTCTTGTATGTACATTATTTAGGAGCGCAGCTGGACATTGGCGCGAGAAATACACGTATTACCGTTCAATTGAAGCCAACAGCCACGGATGATTGCGGACAGGGACGCACTGGGCCCTGATGCTTGCTGGGGCCTGCTGGCGGCATGGTACGAGGCGAACGGAGCAGCGCCCGCGGGGTCGTCGTCCAGTCGTGCGCGGACCGTACGAGGCTAACGTTTTGTCGGTGGGGATTGGGAAGCCAGTCGGATGGGCTGCTTCGTAATTCGGCGCAGCAGCTGCGCGCACCGCCAGCGCAACTCAAATTTTGCGGCGCACATCAGCATCTTGCAGAGCTTAGCCAACAAAAGGGCAGAAAAATCTGGCATTTGTCGGCTGTCGTGGCGTGAGAAACGTCCCAGGCGTTGGATGGGCGCCATCTCATCTGGGAAGCCCCTTTCACCGCCTAGCAGATCGGTACCTGCGTCCAAGATAATAATTACGCCGCCCTCCGTCTCCCTACACCTCCTCCACCACCCCGACCACACGACGTCCTTCCCGCGCCATGGGTGTCCTCGGTGAGCTTGCCGGCCCTGCGGCCGAGTGGTACTCGTCCGCCTCCACTGTCACTCAAGTCTCTGTCGGCTTCGCTGCCGTCTTCTTCGCGTCCATCTTCCTCAACGTCCTGAGGCAGCTTCTGCTCAAGGACCCCAAGAAGCCTCCCGTCGTCTTCCACTTCGTGCCGTTCATCGGCAGCACCGTCACCTATGGCATGGACCCGTACAAGTTCTTCTTTTCGAACCGCCAGAAGGTACGTGTTCTTGTTCGGCTGCGATTGGCTCGCGTGGCCTTGGCTGACCGCGATGACGCATCAACAGTACGGCGATGTCTTCACCTTCATTCTGCTCGGCAAGCCGACCACCGTCTGCCTGGGCACTAAGGGCAACGACTTCATCCTGAACGGCAAGCTCAAGGACGTCAATGCCGAGGAGATCTACAGCCCTCTCACCACTCCGGTTTTCGGCAAGGATGTCGTCTACGACTGCCCCAACTCCAAGCTCATGGAGCAGAAGAAGGTACCGCCGCGCTTCACCCGAGCCCGCGCAGGATGCTGATTCGTGCCGCAGTTCGTCAAGTTCGGCCTGACCAGCGACGCTCTCCGGTCCTACGTCGACCTGATCACCTCCGAGGTCCAGGACTACGTCAAGCGCACCCCCAACTTCAAGGGCGAAATCGGCACCATTGATGTCCCGCAGACCATGGCCGAAATCACCATCTTTACCGCCTCGCGCTCGCTGCAGGGCCGGGAGGTGCGTGAGAAATTCGATGCCTCGTTCGCCGATCTGTACCACGACCTGGACATGGGCTTCACTCCGATCAACTTCATGCTTCCCTGGGCCCCTCTGCCCCAGAACAGGCGCCGCGACTTCGCGCACAACAAGATGGTTGAGGTCTACACGGACATCATCAAGGCCAGAAGGGAGGGTAAGGTGCAGAAGGAGGAGGAAGACATGATCTGGAACCTGATGGGCTCGACGTACAAGAACGGCACTCCTCTGCCCGACCGGGAGATTGCTTGCATGATGATTGCGCTTCTCATGGCCGGCCAGCACTCTTCGTCGTCTACCATTTCCTGGATTGTGCTTCGTCTCGCCTCGCGGCCGGACATCACCGAGGAGCTGCTCGAAGAGCAGAGACAGGTGCTGGGATCCGACCTTCCTCCGCTCAAGCACGAGGATCTTGCGAAACTGCCTCTCCACCAGCAGGTGGTCAAGGAGACGCTCCGCATCCACGCCCCGATCCACAGCATCATGCGCAAGGTCAAGAACGACATGTTGATCGAGTCCAACCGCGGCAAGACGTACACGATCCCCAGCGGCCACGTCCTCCTCGCCTCTCCTGGTGTTTCGGCCACGTCGGACGAGCACTTCCCCAACCCTCAGCATTGGGACCCGCACCGCTGGGACGGCAAGCCGACGAGCAACGATTCGGCCGATGACGAACAGATCGACTACGGTTTCGGCATGGTGTCCAAGGGCACCAACAGCCCCTACCTGCCCTTCGGCGCCGGCCGTCACAGGTGCATTGGCGAGCAATTCGCGTACGTGCAGCTGCAGACGATCCTCGGCAACCTGGTCCGCGAGTTCAAGTTCAGGAACATTGACAACTCGAACAACGTGGTCGGCACCGACTTTTCGGTAGGTTCACCCTTCCCAGCAGATTCGACCCATTTGCTAACGCGCTCTAGTCCATGTTCTCGCAGCCGCTCAGGCCTGCCGTGGTGGTTTGGGAGAGGAGGGAGAAGGCGTAGACTCTTGTGCATGGAGTAATGGCTAGACGATGCTTGGATACGACTTACCTTCACGAGCTACATATATGAGAAGTGGTAGAAAGTGATTCGGCTTCTAGACCACACACACGGAACGCTATATTAATAATAATAACTGGATTTGATGCTCTTCTGCGAATTGGCCCAGACACGTGTGGAGTGGAGCCTCGGCGCGTGCCTGAGGCGGCGCATTTGATGCCGAGGCTTCGGGGCAGCTCACCACCTCTCGTCTCGCCGCGACACCCATCGCCAACGCCGCCCACGCAGACGACCATGACATCATCCAGCCGGTATCCCTTCGCCGCGGCGCCCGATATCATCCGCTCGCACCAGAAGGATTCGTATTTCGAGGGCGTGCTGCTCGAGCAGCTGTCGGCCATCCTCCGCAAGCTCAGAGGAGCCCGCTTCGCGCACAACTACACGAACGAGGCCAAGACTGCTGCCGAACTCCTCTACCTCGGGCTGACGACCTTTGTCGGCAATCGCACGCTCGGCGAGGAATACTGCGACATTGTGCAGGTCGAGGATGACACGCTGCGCCTGCCCGCCGTTTACCGTCGCGGCGGCTACATCGTCACAACCATACTCTTGCCGTACGGGCTCAACCGGATCCTACCGGCCTTCAGGCGAAGGATACGCGCGAAACTCGAGGCGAACCTGCGCAAGCTCTCGCGGAAAAAGGCGGGTGCCGCGCATCGCGTTCAGTCGTACATCCTGAACAACCTGGACACCATCACGTCGCCGTCGCCCATCTACGCCGTCAGCCTGGCGACATTCTACTTCTCAGGCGCCTACTACGAGATTGGCAAGCGGCTGTGGGGACTCCGGTACATCTTCACGCGGCGCATCGAGCCGTCGGAGCAGCGGGTTGGCTACGAAGTGCTGGGCGTGCTGCTGGTGCTGCAGCTGGCGGTGCAGAGCTACCTGCACCTCCAGAACACCATGGTGGCAAACGCGGGGTCGGCGGCAGGCGGCACCGCGGTGCTGGATCACGGCGTCGAGGTGTCGCTGAACGCGCAGGACTACGCGTCGAACAACGCTCTGCTCTTCGACACGACGCACAACGGGACGAGCGAGGAGCAGAGCAAGCGCATCGCCAAAAGCACAAACACGCCCGTGGCGGCGAGGCCGCGAGTCGACTTGTCCGAGGCCGGGTGCCTGGCGTGGATGCCGGGCACGCAGCAACGCAAGTGCACGCTGTGCCTGGAGGAGATGAAGGACCCCAGCGTGACGACGTGCGGCCATGTCTTCTGCTGGACGTGCATCGGCGACTGGTGTCGGGAGAAGCCCGAGTGCCCGCTGTGCAGGCAGATGTGTCTTGTGCAGCACATCCTACCGCTGCGGTGCTGACGGGCGATATGAAGTGGCGCTGGCATTCTATTTCCACAGCCTCTATTCTTGGCCCGCGATATTGCAAGGCCACCGGGTGGCTGCCTGGCCATGACGCGCGTATTCGCGGCCTGACGGACATTGGTGTATCTACGATCTCCAAATATTGAAAATGCCCGACACACCACCTGGCCAGGGCCGCTTCGACGAGAGTTCGATTCGGCTGCAAGAAGCCACCGCCGTTGTGAGGGCGGGCCACCCCCTCGCGGCGTGCTGGTGCAATCTCGCGGTTGGATCAGAAACGCAACCTCCACATGGGACGTTGCAGAGACGAAAGAGCCTCTCTGCGTCGCTTCGATGCTCACCGGCCATATCTCGGTCTCGTTCGGCGGCCCAAGCACCTTTGACCCCTCTCGAGTCCCCGCTCCTTCGAGAAGCAATATCGAAATATCGCTTCAGCTTTGTCTCGACCAGCTTCGCCTAGGTACACCGCTGGCGGTGTGCACACGGAGAGGGCCAAGGCCCCGGCTTTCCGCTTCCTTCCCTCCCTCCCTTCCTCCCGCGCGCGCCGACTTGGCTTGTCCATGCTTTTTTTTTGTGCATCATGTCTTCACGAGCGCTCTGCATAGCACGGTCTCTCTCCCTGTGGTCCGCGCACTTGCCGCGGGCCACCAACGCACACACCGCTTGGAATGAAAATGCCAAAAAAAAAAACAATATTGTTCTCTGCGTGTATCATTGTGTGCGAGCTTGTGGGTGCACGGGCCACCAATCATCACACAACCCATCGATGCCTTCCTGTGTGTTGCGCCGGAGAGAAGGGACCATTTCGTTCTTGTGAGGAGATGGAGAGACCTGGAAGTTGTAGAACGGCTCCCTCGTTTGTTCTTCCATAGCTCAACCATCCGCCCCCTTCTGTCTATATCATGCCATGCGGACAGCTACTTTCCATCAACAACCACAATCGGGTCTGTGGTTTAGTGGCATAATACTCCCTTAGCATTTTGGACCCTAATCTACACTCTGTGTTAATCAGTGGTCACTGTATGGGAGTGGTCCCGGGTTCGGTAAGCAGTCTCCGCGTTCGAATCTACTTGATATCGTAGTCCTAACAGCGAAACAGATTCCCGGCGGATCCATTAGTAGCTGGTTCAATTCCGGTATTATACCTCTTTTTTTTTTTTTTCAAACACAAGGTATACCAGCTTGATGGTGTGTCTACACGCTGTTGTTTTACACATAGCTGTTCGTCGGGAGGCCCGTCCCCAACTATGCTACGTTCAAAAGATGAGAAAGCAGGCGCCAGCTGGCGAAGACGTGATTTGGGCCATGGCTGCAGGGTCGATGATTCTCGGCGGATCCATTGGTTATTGTTTCAAGTCTGGGGATGCTCTTTTGACCTTTTCTTGATTTTTTTATGTTGGCTGGGTGGTGAGGTCGGGAAAGAGTTGGGTTTCCCTTTCGGGGTATTTGGTGCCGGCAGAGTTGAAGCGGCGACGGATTTGACGGGAGATGGGACGCGGAAAGAAGATTCGCGGGGTGGTGCATCATCAGAGCACCTTACTAAGGTTGTGGCATGTGGAGGGTAGTTGTTGGGAACAGACATGGTCCGGGCTCTTCGTACCGGGTAGTTTGCAAAGGACAAAGTAGAAATGGAGCTTTGTTACGGATAGTATGGTCGGGAGCATGCAGGATCGGTTTAGAGGCATGGACAAAAGGTCGGCTAGGGCCTAATTCTAAGGCTGCAAGATGTTGATGTGAACTTTGGCGGGATGGTCGAGACTTGAGAGTCACGCAGAGTGGGTAATCTGTAGTCCATGACGGATGTTTCAAAGTCGTCGAGCTGCAATGCCGTGTCACAACCGTTGTCGTGACGTAGTTGTGATGTTCAACCCCGCGTGGAGATCGGCAAAGGGACCACACCTGCAATTTTCTCTTATCTGGCAGCTATGGCGTGCATGACGCGGTGGGCAGGCGTCCAGGCCAGCAAAGACGGTCATGGGGCAGGTTGCGGCAGTCTAACCCAGGCTGGAGCGCCCTGCATCGCCAGTCCGAAAATTGCGGAGTGCATATCGCAACATCCTATGGCGCCACGCATGTGATGCAACGGTTGGGTTCAGAGGGATTATGAGGCAAGAAGGCGTCCATTTCCTGTTTCTCGACCCGTCCCTTGAAGATCTTGCCCGCCGTCGCCAGCTCACTTTAATTTTATTTCGACTTCGCCTCGTCGTCCTCGTCTCTGATCGATCCGCTTGCAGGGGCTGGCTTGTTCGCTACTCCCATGTGCTGTTGGTTCTCGCTCGATTAATTTGTTTCGCTCCAGGGAGAGAATCCTGCTGCCTTGCAGGGTCCTTCCTCCCTGCTGCGCCTCGTTCGCCCGAAAGGGCACGGAAATTGCAACCTCTCACTTGTGTTACTCGTTCTCATTTTCTCCTACGACACAGCCTGCGGATCGCGTTGGCGGCCGAAGAGGTGCGGCGGATCAGCGAAGCTCATCAACGACAGCCATGACTGATGGGCACGATTCCGGTGGTGGTGTAAGCATCTTACCTCCATAATTGCTTCTCTTCCGTGGCTGACACGACCAACTACAGCACGTGGGTGATGTCCCTTCCCACGATCCCGACCATCATGGCCACCACCACCACCATAACGGTGGCCATGATCCCTCTTTCGTGAACTCCACCCCCGGCTCACACGTCCCGGAGTCGAACCGTAGGTGGCCCCGAAACGGAGACGATTACGATGAAGAGGATGATGATGCGGAAGAGCAACCGCTACTAATGCGGCGTTCTCGACGAGCGTATTCGCCCGCTCCGATCCTCGCTGTCATAGCCTTGGTCATCATTGTCGCTATTATGGGCATTGTGGTTGTGGTGTCCAAGAGCCGGGATGGCTATACGGGTTCGTTTGTGTAGACGGTCATGTGTCTTTTCTTTGCAGCTGGCTGGGTTTCTCGTCTGCTTTAGTTGTCCACCTCAGTGTTACACTTCTCGTTTTGTGCCCATTCATTTACGACGGCGCGTGCCCTCTTGTTGCTCGATATCCCTGAGTAGGCATGCATTGCACAAGTGGTAATAATAAAGTTACGTACTTTGTAAGAGTGTATCATCTGGAGACCATCACATATTACACGGGTATCGATCACTGTGCCTATCTATCATCTAGATTCTCCTTTTGGGGATTTACACTACAGAGCCGACAGAAGCAGGTTACTTTCGAGGCCATGGGAGGCTGCATTCATTCTCCACTCGACGATATATCAACATCAGATCAAAGATGGAAATAACTACGAAGAAGAGAGATGAGATAAGGGTAAAAGAGTCCCCCCGCATAGATGTAAGCCTGTTTTCTTCTCAGCGCGGGCCCGTACTTTCCTCGCGTTAACAGTCGTTTTGGGTAAACACTTCGGAAATCCAGTTCAGAGACGCTAAGATTCTCCCTCAGACAAGAAGACTGCCGGAGATAAGTCGACCGTGGGACGGACGCGACGTGATCTCAAATAGATAACTCGGGAGCACGGCAACTAAGTTTGAACGTGCCGCCTCCGGCTTCTATTCGACACTTTGAAGTTCTATCAATAGCACTACTCAAGCCGCTCCATGGATCATCAAGGAGTTCGCTGGGTCTGAGTATTTGGTTTCAAGAAGCAAGTGTATGAGAATAGGTAAGGCATAAACATGATCGCGTTCAATTTGTCCGCTATAGAGTCGTGCGTCATAACGCTTCCATGCCCAGACGTTCGGCATAAAGGAATCTTTGTCTACTTCAACAGCTCAAGCGTACTCTTTCACCATCAACCTTTGCCGTGCATATCAGGACATGTTTGTACACATGTGGCTCAACTTCTGGGACAAGGTAGAGTGAGTGGAAAGCAGTGAATGTCTAAACCCATGAGGGAGTGCAAAAGCATCTGGCCGAGAAGAAGACGAAGTTACTAAGCACTGTCCGAAGCAGTGCGATACTTGAACACCGACTCCAAACTTCCGGGTTTCCTTGGACGCCTCTCTGTTCACCTGCGTGGGGATGGAGCGGACTTAGAGATGGTCTTACCATCTCCTGTTCTCCGATGGTATCACGATCTTGCTCAAAACAAGAGGAAAAAATATAAAAAAAAAAGTCTTCCGCTCCACCGATGCCGGCTGCTCATCAAGGTATACGAGACGCCATGGAGGTGGCAAAACCTCGCGTAGCTAAGGAGTAAATCTCCTGGAGAGCCACACCCGCGGTGCCACCCGCAGACGCAAAGGACAGAGGGAGAAAAATCATATCAACCACTTCACAGCACCAGCCAGGCGGCCCCACATACCGTGTCCTTGGGACGCAATACCATCTATGCGGATCCTCCTTCCCCATCCTTCTTGACTCGTGGGGGGAATTGGAGGGGTCTAGCCATTATGCAGATATGCATGAATTGCACGTGTGCTCCTCCCACTAAACCTGCGTAAATCGATCCTTCGAACGCTGAAGGAGAGAAAAAGCAGGGACTGATCTTCCAGAAGATCGGTCGTACAGATCAAACCTCCGTCCAACCACTACTCTACAATTGGCGGCCCATTAGATGGGAGATCTCGCCAAAAGGAAAAAAGAAAGCGATCGAGAATCCACTTTCCGATAGCCACGCGACAGTAGGTGGCGAAGGAAGGAATGCATACGCACGTGGCGGGCTCGTGCAGAAAAGGAAAAAGCAAAGCATGTGTGACTATCGAATCGTTGCCCTGCATATGAGATGCGCGGAGGCGGCGCCGCCACCGGCCAAGCCAGCCAGTCTCACATCTGCGGAAAAAGCAAAAAAGAGGCAAAAAAAAGATCCGCGCTTAGATCCGCCCGTACCATAGCTGTGGCGCACCGAGGAGGAATCGTTTAAAGAAAAAAGAGACGGGAAAAAAGGGCGTGCGCTCTTCCTGCAGGCCTACTTTTCACTTGGAGATCGAGATAGCGATAAGCCCATGACGCGTTCCAATACAGACCGAGCGTTTGAGAAGGAAGCAGCTCGCGTGGTCCAGATGCGCCACGAGGGAGAGACTGATGGAAGGATGGGAGATGAGCGCGCCATCCAGGTCACTACCGCGACAGTCGAAAGACTTGTTCCGTAGGTCAGCTCAATTGAAGGGGAGCGGGAAGGAAGAACGGTCGAAGTTTATTCGACTTGTGCATGCAGGAGGCCTTCTAGGGTACCGCGGCACAAAAAATGGTTGGCTACAGAGCTTCGGCGTGCGCACGAAGGAGCTTGGGGCAGGCGAAGGGGGCACGTCAGCAGCCTGTTGTTCTCTTGCAGTGGTGTTTGGATGGCACACGCGTCGATTGATGCTACTCCAGATCTGCAAGACAGAGGATAAACGAACCGCTGCAGGGCAAATCCTGAGACTCAGGGTTTTCTCGTGCTAATCTCTGAGCAGATCGGCACGGCCAAGATCCGCGGCTGAGGGTTTGCTAGTAGCACGTGTAAGAGGGCGATTCTGTTATCGGGCACGGATTCTCATCGGTAATTTCAAGCAGAGGGCCAGGTGCGACGGCGCCTTCCAGATCGGGAATGTTGGACAGTACGATCGAAGTTGTCGATGCTGTGGCGCCGGGGTGGAGTCGCCCAGATAGGCAAGGAGGATGGTGCAACAGTTCGCAGTCAGCAGCAGTAGGGATGTTCCCCGTCGGGCGGCGGCGGCCTGACTGTGAAGCTACAGGAGCTTTGGGCTGCTGCGCACATGCTCGCGGGAAGGCGCTCCCGTTCCGCGGACGGAGATAAGTGATAGGTCGAGGATTGCTGGAGCAAGGGCCAGGCGGAAGCATGGGGAAATTGCATGGCCAGACTGATTTGAGAGGCTGCGTCGACGAAAGGAAAAGCGCCCGCTTGCCACCGCGCCAACTAGGCTCCGGGCCGACCAGCTCTTGGGGGATTGCCAGTCCGCGCGCCGTAGTGTGGTAGCCTACAGCGGAGTCTGCCCGAGCGCGCCGCCGCTGGCTGCACAGATACGAGGGCGTCGTGGTGGTGTGGCTTGTGAGGCCTGTGCCAAAAGCGGATGAGCTGAAGAAGCGCCCGCAGGCAAGATCCCAGCTGCCACCGGTGGCAGTGCAGCAGCTAGCGGGCCCTAAGGGAACGCCTCGAAGCTCGAGCACCTGTGGTCTCTCGTGGGAACTGTGGCGGAGGTTGCGACTTGCCGATTGGGCTTGTCGTTGTGAAACACACGAGTGAGTTTCCTTGCAGACTCCCGAGCCAGAACCTCGGGCCTCGAGCTTCTCGGAAAAAAAAAAAAAAAAAGAAGCGCGTCAGACATGACGTGAGCCAGAGTTGGCGGGAAAGTTTCCTTCGACCCAGGTACCTGTCCCCAGGCCGTCGGCGGGAGCCATGGCCGCCTGAACGCCGTCCGCGCGCTGGTCCTAGGCCCATTTCCTAATGTCTCTCGTCCGACAGTCACTTGACCGTGCACAATTGCATTGATGTTGGATCTCGACGTAACAGTGATCCGCCGTTGCAGAAGGGTTCATGCCGGCTACCTTCGACCCGCCGTTGTTAGGCCCGAGTCGCCGTCTGTATCATGGCCTCAGTAGCCTACCGTCCACAGGATAGTGCTCATAAGTTATGCGACGCTAGGCAGAATCGACGAAAAGCGCCATTGACGCGATCGTCCGAAAGTCGCCGCGATGGCGTTCGCGCAAGCCTTCGGTCCCAGAAAGACACCACTACCCCGGATACAAATGCGGAAATACGTCTCTCGGGGTGATGATGCCAAGGCGTGAGTCCAAGACGTTTGCTAGGGTGCCAGACCACCGGAAGCTGGAGTCGAGTGCGGGTGACGCCGTCATGGCCGATACTTGCCCATCCTTGGAACGGGTGAAGGACAGGCCAACATCATAGAACAGCAGGCTTTGAGCGAGGAAGAAGCCGGGTACCTGTCGGAATGAAGCAACAGTTCGCTTGCTGGCGCGGCGGCGGTATAGCGAGACGGTTGCGCATTCGATACGGCTCGGGCACAGGAACTGACGTCAGAAATGCCCCTCCCGGTGATGGAGGGAAGTTGCGGTGCTAGGTACGGCCGGGCTGGCCCGTCCGTCGGCAGCAAACAGCGCAAACATGCGGGCCGCCGGCTGACTCAGCGCCGCCGACAGCCCAGTTGCAGCCTGAGCTTCAGCTCAAGTCCCCCACCATCCTCAAAGATACCCCGCCTGCACCGCAACCCCAGCCAGCATGTCCAAGACCGTCAATATCGAGTCGCCCGAGCAGTTCAGCTCGCTGCTCTCGTCCTCGCGCATCGTCGTCGTCGACTGTAAGTAGTCCCGCGCTCAGCCTAGTCCGTCGGCACTGACCTCTTGCACCTAGTCTATGCCGACTGGTGTGGTCCCTGCAAAGCGATAGCTCCGCTCTACGAGCAGCTGTCGGCTTCCCTCTCGCGGCCCAACGTCATCACCTTCACCAAGGTCAACACCGACACCCAGCAGCAGGTTGCCCAGACGTACGGCATCACCGCCATGCCGACCTTTATGATTTTCAAGAACACCCGCGAGGTTTCGAGGATAAGAGGAGCCAATGCCGCCCAGCTTTCCGAGGCCGTCAAGAAGCTCGCCGCTGAGGCTGAGTCTGGTGGCTCTGCGTCGGGCGGCTTCGGCGACGCCGGCGGCAGCTCTGGTGGCGGCTGGCTTGGCGCTAGCCTGCCGCGTGGTTACGGCGATGCCACGGAGCACGTCGATGTCCGAGGCCTCGATCTGTTGAACGCGGATACCGAGGGAGCTGGCAGTGCGCGCGTGCTGTTCGCGACGAGCAAGCCCTCGGGCGCCGAGGCGGCAAAGGGCAAGGCTAAGGCGGGTGGCGAGCCGGACTGGGTCGAGAGCGACACGGACGAGCAGCTCATGCTATACATCCCCTTCCAGTCGACGCTCAAGGTCCACACCATCCACCTCACCTCGTTCCCGCCCCAGCCTTCCGAAGACGCCGATGAGGTGCCCATGCGGCCACGCACCATCAAGCTCTACACGAACAGGGCCTACAACCTCGGGTTCGAGGAAGCAGACGACATCCCGGCCACGCAGGAGATCGCAATCAAGCCGGAAGACTGGGACACGAGCACCGGCACCGCCAAGCTGGAGCTGCGCTTTGTCAAATTCCAGAATATTACCTCCTTGGTCATGTTCGTGGTCGACGGCGAGGGCGACGGGGAGAAGGTTCGCTTGGACCGGATTAGGATAATAGGGGAGTCTGGCGAGAAGCGGGAGATGGGCAAGCTGGAGAAGATCGGCGACGATTCGTAGAGGGGTGCGGCGACGCCGCCAGCGAGGGCCGCCATGCCAGCTTGCGGCCGTGCCCACGAGCAGAGCGAGCAGACATGCGAAATGCTCATCTGCAGGCTTACGTAGCATCATCTTTTGGCATAGACCAGCATGCAGTATTCCGCTGCCCAAAAATACACGGGTTATTTTTGTGCGTTAAGCCACCACGACGCGGATGGGGAGCATATTGAGATCTCCAGGGTCTATTGATTCCACGCATGGGGGACGGGGGTATGTCCGATCACCGCTCCAACGACCGCGCCACTTGACCAGGCGCCATCGTAAAGTGTATGGGCTTCGGTGTGCAATATTTTTGTTCTGTGACGTGACTGACGCTTGGGATAGATCACTGGGAAGGATGAATCAAGCAACACGGGATATCTGTCACGTCAGCCGCACGAAGAAGAAATTTTGCAGAGTTGCGCGCTGCGGAAAGGGTTTTGTAGTGAGCCGCTAGGTTGAACCTCGGGCCGCCTGCCGGGCGCCGCGTTTCTCCGGCGTCCAGCGACAAAAGGTGCCCGTCGTGGGAAATTTCTTCAACACAAGGCCTGTGATGAACGGTACAAAGTACCATCAAAAACATGATAGGAAGAGACTGACCCGGCCACATGCCGGGCATGACTTCAACATACACAATTCTGAGGCCTGTACATCCACGTCCCAATGCCCCTCCCCCTCCCCCACTCCTGCAAGTGGCAGACAGCACGTCGCGCGCGCGCAATGCCCAAAGCAAGTCGAGGCTTTGCCGCCTCACGAGCGCTTGCGCGCGCGGGCGACGCTGAGGCGCTTCTGGAATCCGTATCCCCCATCTGCTCCATCGAACACGGTACGCCGCCGGCCCTTCGCCTCAACGCGTTCATCTCCGACCCGTGTCCCTGGCGTACGCAACGCCAAAACGTCGCTGTGCGCGAAAGCGTTCGCCTGGCAAACGACGGTCCCAGTCCCCGATGCATCCGCGGCCGCCGCGGTCTTTGCTTTCCATAGCCTCATCATAGGCTCACAGGCTTCGGCTGCGCCGGGGAGGACGGGGCGTGGGCCAGGCCCTGTCGCGGCACCAGGTTGCCGCCACCTCTCTTGCCTGTCGCACTGCTCTGCGCTCTGGTACGTCAGGTCGCTGAAAAAACTTTTCTGCATCTTGTCTCAGATCCCGTCGGGCACGAGCAATCCGAAACATCTGGGCCTGGCGGGCATCCCGTCCTGCCCTGCAGCGGGAGCGGTAGACACCGTGTGGCAACGGCGAAGACATCATTCTCGATCCCAGCCCTCATTTCATCAGTCCCAAATCCCACGTGGGAAAGTTGGCGCGGCTCTCCTGCACCCCGGACCTTGGGCTGATTGCGCCGTTCCGTAACCGGCTAGAGAGCCATTGATCTGTTCATCTGATTTGAGGATCCAACGAGATTACCTTATGATCTTCTATATCCGAGACCCTCGAAGGGCTCTGCGCCGTCATAATGGTTTCAATAGAGCGGTCCAACCTGTGAAGTCTAAGCGGCGCCGGCGCACGCAGCGATCTCGATGCCTGAACTGATATGCAGACAGGTGTTGCGGCTGCGGACGCCTGCGACGCAAATCCGCATTCCGCAACTCTTGCGTGCCCGCACGCCGAGTCAGCACCGCTGAGGTATTATCCATCGCGCAATTACCGCACACTGTCCACCACCTCTATCATCAGCTTATCTCATGAGTAACGTTGACCGTCCCGCCGGCTGTGGCGAAAACGGTCCGAACGGAAGGGTGGGAGTCGATGCAAATTCCAGATCCTGTGTTCGCAGTGCAGCTGGGCAGCCGTGCCGCCGCTCTGTTCGTGCAATGATCAGCCGTCCAGATGCTCTGGAGCGGCACCAGGCCCGGCCCGGTGTTCCTAGGAGCAATGGCCGTCCAAGGACCAGCCGTCTTTGCGGTGAGTTGCACTGTGTGCACGTCGAACTTGACCGCCTCTGTGTCGTTGACCGGTGCTCACAGTCAAAAGCCATCGGGAAGTCCAGGCCGTCTGCACCGCGACTCATGGCCCGCTCTTGGCGTTTCCATGCGGCTTCGAAGGGTCCACTGGTGTGCGGGATCGACGGGTTTCAGTGTCCAGCGACGTGTGTCCGGCCAATCGTCTGCGGCTGCCGAAGGGTCTGTCCTTGTGGGGACGGCAGCGCGCAGGCTTGCTTCCAGCACACGTCGCCTTCGTCAGGCCCGCGGTGCGTGGCTTGCCTCTTGGAGGCGAGGGTCCACAAAATGGCATGAACACCTCATTTCGCTGGACCGCCAGCTCGAGCCAGGGCCTCTCCACGAACCACGATCGCGGCAGCCGTGGCGTGTTCCGGAAAAGCACCATGGCAATCATGGCTTTCCCGGAGCGGAAGAGCACGATCGCAAGCTAACTTGATGGAGATCCTGACGTGAGGTTCCCATCTTGCTGGAGGCACCGCCATCCCGAGCGCGTGGACAGTGAGGGCATCGTCAAATTAGCCGCACGCCTCACTCGCACCGCGATGGCACGACGACGGGGACGAGCCGCGGGGCCGCGGTGCCGAGCAGAGCGACACGTCTCTTATCGTTCGACCTGATCTCGCAGCACCTGTCAATGCTTGCACGCAGGACCACGAGTCAAAGCCGTCCAAGCGTGGGGTGTTTTGATTCAGGTGCGGGCCGTCTGAAGAAAGCAGGGTCGGACCTTGGAAAGCCCACTCGAAGCGATGGAAGAGCCGATAGCTTCTACGCAATCTCGGCTGTCTGATAACGTCGATCTGTCTGGGGCGCGCGCGCAGCGGGCGCACGAGCGCGAGGGAACTGGAAGGAGCTAAGGGAACCAGGTGCAGCTTCCCCGACGCCAGTGCTCTGGGAGGGCACCAGCGCGCGGGACAGGCTAATATGGATGGAGGCAAGCGCCAGGTCCCGCGGGCGGCGTGCTGAATCGCAAGAGGGTCCCGTCTCGGACCGACAACACCATTTGAGTTATCCACGCAGCGGACCTGCCTACGTCGCGAGTAATGCCCTCCGACACGGCGCAAGCCAGCAGCCGCGACCTGAGGCGCGAGAGACGACTGCGGCGACGGGCTGCTGAAACGGTCGCGCTGGGCGGCGAGCCGTGGTTGTTCCTGCGTCGTTCCTGCATTAGGTCGGCATCAGCAGTCATGTGGAGATAGCACCGCACAGCTGCCGATCGCGACGATTGGCTGGCATTAGCGACCAACGGCCGCCCTCAGCATCGGGGGCCCCCGGACGGGTCGGGCGGTCGGACCTGCGTTCTCGAAGCGCAGCAGCCAGTGGCGGCGGGCGATGGCAGCGATGGGAGCAGAGCAGAATGACGGCCTGGGGGCCGTGCGGTTGTGCATCATCAGTGGTGCGTGCCCGTGCCGCTTTCCCCGATTGCGCCGCGCACCCGAGGTTGTGCATGCATTGGCGGCCGCCCGAACGGGAGCTGCTGGACGGCGCCCGGACCAAGAATAGCATCGAGTACGAAGATTATGCTGGCGATTGCATGATCATCACGAGAATGGCACAGCTGAAGGCCTTACTTACGAGCGCCGCTGCACGCTGACGGGTGACGGGCGCGCAGTCGCGGGCGGAGGCAAAGGCTCTACCTAGCGCGGGAGCGCGTTGTTGTGCGACGGCCGATAGCGGGCGCCTATCGCTGGCGGACGTCGTCTCGTCGCTGCCCACTTGTGGTGTTGAAACAGCCGGGCTGCAGGCAGCTCGAATGAGCCGGACAGGCAGAGCCAGTCAGCGGGGCCGCCGCCCCTCCACGTCGACCAGCTGTCCTGCGTCGCACCACCCGCCGAAGCGTGCCATCGACCCATGGGCTGCTCGACTTACCCCACACCCATGAAAAACCACAGCCGCCTCGGTGAGCGGCGCGACAACAACGCGGCCAGCACCACGCTGCCGCCCAATGCTGCTGCTCGTGCGGCGGCTTCGGGCCGCTGCTGCTGCTGCTGCTCCTGCTGCTGCCGCCGCCGCCGCCGCGGCGGGCACTGCGCTGCGGCGCGGCGCGGTGCGGCGGGCGGGCTGAAGGCCGCGATCGATCGCATCGCATGAAGGCGAGGTGTGGGCGAGACGTTCAGCCCAGCGCGTTTCAGCAAGACGGTGAAGCTGCGGGACCAGTGCCCGCGAGCCGTTTGACAATAATGACAGCGAGCTGGCGCACTGGGCGCAGGCGGCGACATCATAGTGCTGTCTTGCGTGGCACCCTGCCCATCTGGATCTGGGATTCACCGGCAGTGTGAAAGGTGACGCTCAGGTGGGCAGACTCCACAAATCTCACTTCACATGCGGCCGGCCAAGCAGAAAATCAGGGTCGCACGTCTCGCGGCAACATATCGATTGCCTCCAGGCGGCGCCGACTGATAGGCGGGCGCGACTCGACAGGGCCCGTCACACAGGCTGAACGGCGAGCCCGCAGGCCGTCACACTGCGTGTTTGGCCGCGGGCGGCGGGTCGCGAGGCCCAATGGGCGGCCCTCTGCGGTGTGCTCTCAGCTGGCCGCGCTGGGTGTGGCACGCGAGCGCGCAGCAGGCAGCGCGACTGGCTTTATGCAGCGCACTAGAGTTTCACGTATGGCCGCGGGCTTCGCGATGATGTGGGTGGTGCGCGGGTCGTAATCTCGCAGGCGGCGGGCGCGCGCCGCCATTCGCCCGGGGCGGGCGGGCTGTGAGGCAGAGGCCAGGGCGTCGCCGGCCAATATTAGTGCTGCGACCAGGCATAAAAATATGCCTCTCGCTATGCCGCGCGGCCCTCGAGCCCACTCCGCGTGCGCCGTGCTGCGTGCGAGTCAGGGCCGTAACGCGCCTGTGCATTAGGGCCGCAGGGGTCGCGCCGCATGCACCGCTCCATGTCTCGTTGGCTCCGCCTGCTGCGCCTTCCCGACTTCCCCTCCCATGGTAGTTAACCAATTCCGCGTCCTCTGCCACTGTGCCTGGTCATCTTTTCTTCTTCAGACTTAATCGCCTGTCTCGTCCTTCGCTGATCATCCACCTACTTATCCACACCCACGCCCCATCCACTCGTTGCCCTTTCCTTGAACCCAGGGTTTATCAACTCTGTCCTTCGCACCTTTTCTTCCAGAACACTGCCGTTTATTACTTCGCTTTCCCCGATAGCTCTCGACCTTCTGTCTCTTGTGTAACAGTAGCCTCGATTGTTATCAGCCCTTCTTTTGGACACACACCTGCCGACGCTCATGCCCAAGCAACCCGTGTAAACCTAGACCTAGTAGACAGCCTCTTGGATCCCTCCATTGCTGTTGTCCGTCACTCTCTCGAGCGCACCTGATACCACCTCGACCTCGCTGTACCATCTACTACTCTAATACCGCACGTCCTTTGGATCGCCTGTAACAACAACACACCATTCTTAATTCGCTCCTCGCCATTGTCTAGTCGACGGTCAGTTGCCACGTGCGTTGCTCTTCTGGGCCCGGAATGGACGCTGACATTCCACGATAGCCCACAGATACAATGGAGTCTCCGTTCGCACCACAGCCCCAGATGATGGGTCAATCGCCTTTCTTCTACTACAACCCGGACCCCAGCCCGGAGAACCGCCAGCACGGCCACTTCACGCCGCACCCGCATGGCCAGGCCTTCCCCGGCCAGCTGGGCTCGACGCCCGAGAGCATGCACATGTACACCTCCAACATGTGCTACGGCCGCCCCTCCTCTTCCAGCTCGCAGACCGCCTACGCAGCAAGGTCATACCCCGCGCAGATGATGACTCCGCTCGCCTCGCCCCAGCCCATCCACCAGAAGCCCACCCTGCTCATCCAGCAAGACGCGGCCTACCTGACTCCCCTGGAGTCCGAATTCGACTTCCGCTTCCCTCCCGCCACGCCGCCGCTCTCTTCGTCGTGCAGCGCCATCTCCAGCCCGCCGTCGTCCATCTACGATGCGCTGCCCACGCCCGTCAACGGCACCTTCGAGTGCATGGAGGGTGTCAAGCAGGGCTGTGAGGAGGAGGTCTTCTCCGAGATCCTTGCTGGTGAGGAGTGGACGAGGTCGCAGTCGCCTCCCATGACGCCTGGTAAGTGCTTTGTGTTTTGTGCGGTTTGAGTTGGGCGGCACCCGGGCGTTTAGCACGCGTTTGCTTTAGCCGCGAAGCGTGGACCCTGGCTAACGCGGGCGCAGTGTTCATCCAACCGCCTACCTCGCACCCGTGCCAGGACCAGCCCCAAACCACCTCGGCCGCCTCGTACCTGTTCTCGGCCACTTCGTGCCCCTCGATCTCGCCCTCGCCCTCGCCGCTGCCGCGCACCCCGATCGACAGCGAGGCCGACTTCTGCGACCCGCGCAACCTCACCGTCTCGTCGAGCACTGACTTCGCCTGCCTGCCCACCCTGTGCTCCGGCGACGACGAGGAGCACAAGCTCATGCTCCGCGGCGACGCCTTCACTGCCCGCGCCGAACAGCCCGCCGCCGACTTCACCTCCAACCCGCAGCAGCTGACCTTCGAGCCCCTCTTCGAGCTCGACTCCGAGGACGACTTCAACGCTGTCCAGTTCCCCACGACTGACAACGCCGCCTTCCACGGCAACAAGCGCCAGCGCACCGGCTTCTCCTCGCTCTCGCTCGAGGACGACAGCCTGGTCGACGAGGACAACTTCAGCGACTTCGGCGACGAGTTCGCTCACCACGGCCTCCCTACTCCTGACACTGACGGCTCCTTCTCCGACGACATGACCGAGGCCAAGAACAAGAGGCGTGCGAAGAGGCGCGCCGACGACTCTGACTCGGACTTCGTCCTGGGCAGGTCGCACGCCAGCCGCAGCAACAAGGCCTCGGCCTCTGGTCCCGCCCACGCCTCGTCCGAGTCCGGCTCTGGCGTTCCCTCTGCGTCTGAGGACAGCGTCACTCCGGCCGCTCAGCCCGTCAGCCGCCGTGGCCGCAAGCAGTCGCTCACCGAGGATCCCTCCAAGACCTTCGTGTGCTCGCTCTGCTCCCGCCGCTTCCGCCGCCAGGAGCACCTCAAGCGTCACTACCGCTCTCTGCACACGCACGAGAAGCCGTTTGAGTGCACCGACTGCGGCAAGAAGTTCTCTCGCAGCGACAACCTCTCTCAGCACCAGCGCACTCACGGCACTGGCACCGTCACGCTCGGTGTCATGGACGAGTCGGAGCTCAGGAGGCAGAAGGAGTCGTCGGCCTCGTCGTACGACAGCCAGGATTCCAACGCTCTCGGCGCTGCTCTCTACAACGCCGTCGCTGCCGTGTCTAGCGGTTCGTCGGTCGGCTCCTTGTCGGATAACGACAAGAAGCAGAAGAAGAGGAAGCGGGACGAGTAAGCGGTCTGCGACGGACAGCAAACTCTTAACGACGGACATGACAACCAAAATTTTCTCCTAACGGCAGGCGATTTCTCGTCTTCTGAACGACGTCACGCTGGGCGGCTTCGGTAGACTTGGCGGGTCTTAAAAACAAAAATCGGGCTATTGGGAAGTACATCTGGGGCGAGTGGAAAAGAGTCAAAAGTTTCCTCGTCGTCAATACCACCTTTTCCACAGCCTGCACTAGTAACGGCTGGCTGTTTTGCTGTTTAGCATCTTGCGAGTTTAGCGATTTGTTAGTTTTCAAGTTTTCTATCTGGCTGGGTAGGCTTTTCGGAAAGGATTATCGGGAAGGTGTGAAGGTGTTGGTGGTTCTTTTACACACTTTGAGGAACTGACTACTACTGCTATCAATGGTTGGGTGGGAGGGTCGCTTACTCTGCTCTCGTAAAGTTGAGCACGAGTGCTATTTGCTTGTTGCTGCTAGCGTTACTTGCTTGGCTGCTTCTATTAGTTCCAGTTCCTCTCTCTCTTACACACGCTTTTTCTATCTCACCTTTTGCTTTTCTTGTAATGTTGCGTTCACTGGAGGGAAAAAGAGAGACAGTTGACCTCGTCTGCTCGGCCCATCCTTCGATTCTTCTCTCAAGACGCGTAACAACACACCTCAGATTTATTACACACATAATTCTCTCAAACCACCACTAATTACACACCTTATATATCCAACTGCCTCTTTTTATTTCCTTGCATTATACACAGATGGAGACTTAGTAGTAGTAGTAGTAATTACCACAACATTCTCGTCAAAGTGTTCGGATCGAACATGCTTTAATAGCGGTGTGTGTTGCAAGGCTGGTCCTTGACTGTTCGCTCTTCTGCATGAAAGAGTGCACATGGCCATCTAGTCGAGACGACGAAGACTTCAAACAACGTACGAGAGAGGCCCTTGATGTGGCAAAAGGCGTGATCCGTTTCACTGGCGATAGGTTACATTCTTCAATACTCGGGCTGGCCACGGCGCGTTCCGAGCTCTGGCTCCAGCTTGCTCCCCGCGGCCGCGAAAATGGAGAGGCGATGGGCGTATGGAGTGGTGTCATTGTGTTGGCACGAGGTCCAATGGCGAGCAGTGAGGGAAATTGGCCCAGGGTCCTGAGCGTTTCGGAAGATATGGGCCACTACACGGACCCTGCAGGGCCAGAAAAGAGGGAACGTCATGCGTCTTTTTTTCTGAGTGGCTCGTTTAATCACAACTGCTCGAGCAGGCCAGAGACCGGGCTAGCCCGTTGCACCAGTGGCCAGCCCTGTTGTAGGGCCAACCTGGGAGTGGGGATAATTGGCGTCCGTGAGCGGTGTTGGTATGATGAAAGTGGGGTAATGCAATAGCGCGGTGAGATGATCGAGATAGGTGGTTTGGGAACCGGTCAAGGAGAGGTCTTTGGGCGAGTGTTCCTGCTTATTGGCGGGCGGGGCGCGGATGGCAAGGGAAGGGCCTAGCGCGGAGCAGGACAGCTGAGATGGGCAGACACAATGAATGGTTGGTGGGGAATTTGGCTCTGCATCTGGCCGGTCAGGCAGGGTGCGATTGGGCAGCAGCTTCTCGAAGCGATTGTCAGACCGCAAGATCGGATCTGCTGGCGCTTCACTTCTAGAAGGTGGAATGGAAGAACTGGCGGTCGGGGAGCTGCGTTTGCGGGAATATGGGGAAAGCGTGCGTATTGGGTTTGACCGTTCGGTGGGAAGTGGGGCCTGCGACGGGCAACGGGGCGCGTCGGATATGGGTAGCGGGAGTGGAGGTGAGGGTGGAGGAAGCGGTCTGGAATCTGGCACGACAGCACGTGGGGCGCTGGGCGGATGCATGATGATGGAGGTGGTGGTGTCCTAACGACTAGCCCACCGCGCGGAACAGCGGAGCGCGGGCGGGGAGGAGCGGATTGGTTGTGTGCTTGGAGCAAGTGTTCATGCGTATGCAGCCCGAGTGAGTTGTACCGCCACAAGGAAGTGGCGGTCAATGAAGGCTGCATCAGAGCTCAATGCGCCGTGGCGTGCACTGACGGCGTTATGTCCGACACCGGCCGGCCTGCCTGAAGATGCAACCTCTGGTGCTGATGCACGCATGCACAAGCTATGCCGTGGTGTTGAGTGCCGGCGCCTCGCCGCCCGGCCCTCCGGCCCCGCTAGGCAGAGCGGCAGGAAGCCACCACCAACCGCCTGCCGAAACGGTACATATCCAAACCACAACGCACGAAGCGCAGCGACCGCCCGGCCTTGGCTCGCGCTGCCCGCCTGGCCCATTGCCGCCAGGCCGTCTCCCGGAGTGCGAGCACGCTGTAGTGTTGCTCGCGTAAAATTTTTCTAGTATCGCCATGTCAGCCAAACTCAAAGTCATCGCCCTCATCTCGGGCGGCAAAGACTCGCTCTTCTCCATCTTGCACTGCCTCAAGAACGGCCATGACGTCGTCGCCCTGGCCAATCTCTACCCGGCGCAGGCCGCCGGCAGCTGCGAGGAAGGCGAAGACATCAACAGCTTCATGTACCAGACCGTCGGCCACACCATCATCCCACTGTACGAGCAGGCCCTGAAGTTGCCGTTATACCGCCAGCCCATCCTCGGCCAGGCCGTCATCACCGACAAGGACTATCACCACGCATCCCAACCAACGCCAGGCGCCGAGGATGAGACCGAGTCACTCCTGCCGCTGCTGCGCCGCGTGCTGGCCGCACACCCAGACGCGAGCGCCGTGTGCACCGGCGCCATCCTGTCGACCTACCAGCGTACTCGCGTTGAGTCTGTCTGCGCCCGCCTCGGCCTCGTGCCGCTTGGCTACCTGTGGCAGTATCCCGCGCTACCACCCTACGCCGACGCCGCCTTGCTGCGGGACATGGCTGCCGTCGGCCAGGACGCCCGCATCATCAAGGTGGCGAGCGGAGGTCTGGATGACGGCTTTCTCTGGCAGAACGTTGCCGATGCGAAGTCGGTGGAGCGGTTAAAGAGGGCCGCTGCTAGGTTTGGGGGCGAGGGCGCAGTCATGGGCGAGGGAGGTGAGTTCGAGACGCTGGCCGTGGACGGGCCGTCTTGTGTGTGGAAAGGCCGCATCGACGTCGACGTCGATGAAAAGTGTGTGATAGGAGAAGGTGGAAACGCCTTGGTGAGGTTCAAAGGTGCAAAGGTGGCAGAGAAGACGGCAAGCCACGACGACGGGCTGGAGAACCTGCGGGTCCCAGGCCTTTTTGATGTCGAGTTCGAGGAGCTTGGTCGATATCTGCCACTGAGCGGCCCTGAAAGAGCATCCGATAGTACGACTGCAGACCAGAGTTTAGCGCCCTCTAGCCCTACCCAGCATCTCGATCTCTACACCTCCCTACACGGCAGCACCCTCATCATCTCAAATATCACTGCTCCCTCCCAAAACGAAATTCTCTCGCCAGCTGTCCAACTCACAGCCATAACGGCCCACCTACTCTCTCTACTGTCCCACCACTCTGCCACCCCGGCCCATATCACATCCACCACCCTCCTACTGCGCTCCATGTCTCTCTTCACCACCCTCAACCCCATCTATGGCGCCCTCTTCACCCGCGCCGCCAATCCCCCCGCACGTGTCACGGTTGCCTGTGGTTCCGCCCTGCCTCAAGGTGTCGACGTCGCCCTCTCCTGCACCGTCGACCTACCCACCGCCAACAGCCACACTTTCTCTCGCCGTGGCCTCCACGTCCAGAGTCGCAGCTACTGGGCTCCGGCCAACATTGGCCCCTACTCACAGGCCGTCGCTGTGCCTTCAGGGGCGAAACAGGGCGTGGAGATGGTCCACCTGGCCGGGCAGATTCCGCTCGTGCCAGCGAGTATGGACATGGTAGTGGTGAGTGACGCACCGTGGTTTGCCGAGCGTGGCGGCGAAGCACCACGGGCTTCGTCATCATCGTTCGCCGTACAGACCGTCCTCGCGCTGCAGCACCTTTGGCGCGTAGGCCGCGCGATGGGTGTCAGGTGGTGGGCGTGCGGGACGGCGTTCGTCTCGGCATCGGAAGGCAGAGAAGAAGGGGCGATGAGGGCGCGCGTGGCGAGGGAGGCGTGGACACGCATTCACGAGCAGCTGAGACCGAAGGACAAGGATGAGGAGGATGAGGATGCAGACGTGGTGGATGTATGGGATTTGAAGTTTGGGAACGCGGGTCGAACAGGGTCCGGCGGCGCTGCGGCGGCCGAGGTGGACGCAAGACGGAAGCTCCCCGATTTTGAGGCAGTGAGGTGGAGTGGTGAGATGGAGGAGGGAGACGTTCTGGCGCCGCCTTGCATTGTGGCGCAGGTGCTGGAGCTGCCGCGCGCGGCAAACGTTGAGTGGACTAGCCCCGGCTTGACAAACTGCGAGGGTGTGGTTCTGGGCCGCTTGGAGGGGGCCAAGACTGGGCTCTTCGTGCATGAGACGAAGGTTGCGGAGGGGACGCTGAGGTTCTTCTCTGCAAGCGTGGCGAGCACAGACAACATTGAGGAGTTGGAAGACATTTTGGAGTCGGCAAAGGTGCCAGTTGAGGGGAGGGTGTACACGGTGTACGCAGCGGAACCGCTGCCTCAGAACTGGCTCAGCCGGGCAGCCCCGCTAGTAGTGCCTTGCGGAAGGGTTTGGGGCCCTGATGGCAAAGAGGTGGCGGCTGCTGTGACCGTGAGGTACTGTGGTGGCTCCCTCTGACTTTGAGCTTTCCCATAAGGAAATAAAAAATCACCCAAGCTATTTCTTGTACTACGTTTCATTGTCCAGTGAGAAGCAGCCTCAAGCATTGCAGCGCATCTGTACCTATTGGAAGGCGGTCTCCTTACGGATGCGCCTCACGTTATCTTACGGAGCCACGACCACGCGCTCCAATTCGCCGGTTCCGTCAGAACTTCCAACGTCTTGTGCGGCTCCGCGTGGTTCGAGCAAACAGCGGATGCGGAGTTGTGGCTGGTGCGGTAACGGTTTAGCGGAACCGCAGCGAGAACAAGACGCTGCGGCTTTTAAAGTGGCAAGGCCAGGCCAAAACGTTTCACTTTCGGCAAAGGAAACAATAACATCGAACGTAGGTAGCGGAGCCGAGACAGCCCTATCTCCCGCTCAAGCGATTGACTCGCTTGGGCAATCGTTTGCGGCACCGGAGCTTGTCCCGAGAGCGGCGTCGCGAAGGCGTTGCTCAAGGAAAATAAAAGCAGCAGAATAAAGGGTAACATTTCCGTTTACGGATGGCAACACATGTGGGCAGCGGAAGCTACCGCCCGAACGTGAATGTCGAATTCGTAATTCCACGTTTACGTTCGGACAAGCCCATGATATGAGCGATAATCAAGATTCACGCTAGCCTTCACAAGCAGGATTACTTAGTTGTCGCTGTAGGAGCCAAGGTGAACCGCTGCCTCTTGGCCTTACTTAGCCCTGGTTCCTCTGCACACAACAAATCTGTAGCAACATTTCTGTATTTGCCTGCAGTGCTAGAGGCTAGAGATACTTTTGGTAAATTGGGGGCAGAATCCATCTGACAAACAATTAGATGAATTCCATGATACTCGCCTCTATTCCTGTCTGCTGTTTACAGCTTGCTCGGTGCTAGTTAGCTACCTGGTAGCGTATATGTTCTATACTACTTACAGGTATTCCATAGACCATTCATTAATGTTGAAACCATAATGGATTCACCCTCTAATGGGCTCGCGACTAGCAGAGACTATGTACAGTTCAGAGGTGGGACTAAGCCTAAACAGGCCATATATTCTGGGTAAATACTACATGCGGCTCTTCCAATTAACATCACTTCCACGAACCGCTGCTCAAATTCCCCAATTAGAAGACACTGCGCAAGGCATAATCGCTTAACATAGAGCCCAGGATAAGATGAACGCAGCTCGTGTTATGGAAAACATCTGTCACCTTCTCGTCGTAGGTCACGCACAACTTTCTCTTTGTGATGTGATGTAGCTGTGTCGTACCAAATGGGAAAATCAGTATTTGTATAACAAGCTACCCACCCTTTTATTTTTTTATTACCTCTCTCTCCTAGACCATGTTCGCGCCGAGCCAATGCTAGAAAAATAGAAAAATAAAGATCAGGGTATCAGCTATCGGTGTCACCGCGGTAACAATCCCTCCCGCCGTGTCTAATTTCCCCCCCATGCATTCCAATTTGGCCCTCCATCCTGACCCATTTTTACGCTTTCAAGCCTTGCCGTCCTCCACCAGCCCCACCTCAATCGACTCCACCTCCAAGGTTTCTGAGTCGATTAACACCATCGACCCCGTCTCTTTGAACTTTGGTACAGCAATGAGCGTAACCCGCTGGCCTGCCGGACCCTCGATGACTCGAGTGCCGAACGATGGCTGGTTACCCGCGAAGTAGACGTGTGGGCAGTCCTTGATGAGGAGCGGGTCATCGTCCTGGAAAGGGTAGCACCCTGGATATCACTTACGTCAGTTTCCCGCCCCAAGAGTAGAAGGGTTTGGGCAGAGGGCAACTTACACAGCGTGTCCGGCGCAGTCGGGGCATTGCACCTCCATCGCAGCATGCTCTCCATCATCTCCAGCCGATCATCGCTCTCCACGTACTTGAACACGTCACTCACGGGCTGTCCACCATTGCCCAAAAACCTCCAGCCTTCGACTTCGCCTTCCCACGGGTTCGTCACGGGATCAAACGTGCTGGGAGCAGCTGCTTTCTGCAAGGGGCTTTTCGCATATAATCTTGCCTTCGGAAAGAGCGCTGGATGCATCGGCTGCTGAGGGATCTGGACGTTTGCCGGGTCGGTCTCACCGGGAAGCAGGATCACGGAAATGGTGGGAAGAATTGACTCGAGAAAATCGTCAAGGTGGACGGTGGGTGCGGCGTTGTAGGACGAGGAATCGTAGCCGTACTTCTTGCCGCTACTTTTTTTCATAGCGGCGAACTCTTCACGCGAGGGGATGGGGCAGGCGTTGGCAAGAGAGTCGCCAGCGATGATCAGACGCGATATGCTTGCAACCTTAGCCTGAAGTTCGGGCCCACCAAGTTCGCCCGTCAGCGTCTGGGCGAGAAGGTCAAGCTGGAGTGCGTCGCTGTGGTTGCCGCTGATCTGAAGGCCACTGATGAGGGCGATCTTGGTAGAGTTGCCGTGCTTCCTGCCCTCACTCTTTCCGGCTACTGCGCCTTCGCTGTCCTCCAGCTCCCAGCGCTCAGGCTGGCGTGGCACGTCTGCAACCTTGATTTCTAGGACCTCGAAAACGCCATCGGAATTTTCGGTGCCGATTGCGGCGATGATAGCACCAGTGACGAGCAGTGCGTCCTCTAGGCAGCGGCCGGTCATGCGGAGGCGACCGGACTCGTCTTCCAGCATCATCTCGCTCGGACTATCAGGAGAAATGTATTTTTCGCGGGGTGGAGGTGCGGATATCCAGTGCTACTCCACTTCGTTAGTGTTGCGCCGGCGTGCGCATCGTTCGCAGAGCGGGTTGTACCTCTTTTGATATATCCTCCAGGACCTTGGGCTTCAGCGGCGTCTCCATGTAAACCGTCCCTACGACCCAGCAGAGCTCGCCCTGTCGGACGTCTAGCACGCGTTCAACCTGCCGCGCCTTGGTGCCTCTGATCTATCCATGCCGCGCAAAACATCCGTGTCAGCGCTCGCCTCATTGTGGTGGAGCGGGGCTGTAGCATGTACCGTGTAGCCGGCCCACTTCTCGGCTGCATTCTGTTCGACTATCGGCTTCAGCTGCACCAGCCGTAGAAAGTACATGTCGGCGTATTGCTGCACGTAGTGCCTGTCTGCGCCTTTGGGGAGTTCAAATGTGTTGAGCGGCGTGTATGCGGGTAGGTGGTCTCGCGATGCGACGGGAAAGGCGGGAGTCGAGCTGTACGATTGGGTCAATCGCGAGCGAGCTGAGAGCCGTGAGGTACGCACGATGGTGGGCTAAGAAGGCCATCGTAGCCTTCAGCGGTCGACATGACGAGATTGCAGAAGATAAGTCAAGGCGGCGTCGAGACAGCAAGGTGCATGCGGATGGTGGTAGTTGCTCGTAGGGAAGTCGCGTCGCGAAACCAATTTACGCGTCGGCGGAGGACGCGTTTTTCTCCGACGTCATGTCGATCCCCGCATCACTTGATTGGCTGAATTGATTGCTACCTACTTGACATCTCTGTTCCCCCAAGGTTAGTCCGCCGGACCAAGACTCGGGCGCCCGCAGTTCTGATACCTGGGTGATGATGCTTGATGCACAGCCTCGATGGATCCATCTGCACTGCTTGCGCAGCCGAGGGTCTGCATGGAGGTTGCGCAGAGCAACGTTGATCTTGCGCTTGTCGTGCACGAGGGCACGGCAGCGGCCGTCAGCAATTGAGGAGTATACTGAGGTCGCTGCGTTCTGTCCGGTACGCGCGTCGAGAACACACACCAAATCACCGGCATGGAAGCGAGTGGAGCACCACCCCATGCAAACCTCATCCATTCCCACCAACACCGTCCCGCTGCCCATGCAGCTATGGTCTTTTTACATCCCTGAGTAGAGTTATGATACAATAATACATACCGTTCTTCATGTGAACGTCTTTTTTTTTTTAAGCTGAGCCATCCGCTCCCCCAACCGCATCCTGCACCATATGCAGGTCATTGACCGTCCAGTCCTCCTTGACCCACTCCTTCTTCTCACCGAGGACGGCCAAGTTGCCCTTTGGCACACCATTGACCAAAAAATCCTGGGCGGCGCGCTTGACGTCCTCGGCCGTCACGTCAAGAAGCTGCTCGCGCCTCTTCTGTTGCATCTCGTCGTCTACTCCGTTGAGGAACTTATGCATGCCCTCTTGGCTGACACTCTCCGGCGCATCGAGGCTCTGGAAAACACTGAGCTTGGCCTCTTCAATGTCCCTATCCGTCCATGCGCGGTCGCGCGCCCAGACGCCCGACTCGTTGATAATCTTGATCGTGTTCTGCGGGTTCGGGTCACGGTAGCTGTAGAATCCAAAGATGCCACCAAGTCCGTTGGCGTAAGCACCACCTCCGTATGCGCCACCCTTCTCCCGAATCTCATGGTGCAAATGCTTGTGGGTAAGCAGCTGAGCAAGGATCTGCAGGGGCGCGCCGTCGCTGGAGACGTACGGGACAGTCGGAATTGAAAGACCGGAGTAGTAGACCTGATAGGGCAGAGGGAAGAAAGATTTTGCGTTGCGCGAGAACGTTGTCAAACGGGAGACGGTCGGCATCTCCGGTTTGTTTGCAGGGAGGGTAGCCAAGAACTTGGTGAGTGCTTCCTCGTTGGACGCGGAGCTCTCAGCACCGCATGTCAATGCAACACGCAGGTTTTTGCTATTAGAAATGGCAAGTGATTGGAGCGTTTTCAGCTTGCTCATCACATCCTCGAAGGACTCAGATGCTGATCTGGATGCCAGGTTGGTCGTCAGCTTGACCTGGGTCAAGCCAGCCGTCTGCTCGCGTAAGCGAGCCGCAGGCGTGATACCAGCCTCTGCATACCTCCTTGCATAAGCGTGGCCAGACTCGGCAACTGCATTGACAGCGCCGCTGGCAGAAGCCTGGAGCAGTTGACGAATCTGTTTCTCAGCCTCCGGGCCATCAAAATCTGTCTCCGTGATGAGAGTCCGAAGCAGGTCATACATCGCTGGGACATTGCGGTCCAGTGCAGATCCAGCGAAGACCAGACCCTCCTCAAATCCCTGGATATTAGTAGGTGTAGTCGTCGAGTGGTAGCCAATACTGATACCGCCAGTCTTCAGCTTGATAAGCTCTTCCAGCTGCTCCATGGTCTTGTCCTTGGTACCGAGCCTCATGATTGCATCACTGAAGAGGGGAATCATTTCACGAAGCTCGTCCGGAAGGTCCTCGAACACGTTCACGGCGCGGAAGTAGGTCAGACCGTTGGTGGGCGCTTCCCTCCACTGGACTTTGACATCTTCGACTCGGCTTTGCCTAACGTCTTTCTTCTCCCTTTGACGTGGAATGTCCTTGACATGGACCGTAGGAAGGCATCCCAGGTCTTGCTTCCTGCCATTTTCTTGTTCCTCGAGAAGCTCTAGCTCGCGCTGTTCCAAGAATTTCTTTGCTTCCTCTTCAGTCCCAAACTTCCTGGTGGTCTCGAGGATCTTAGATGCCAGCCGTTCAGACTCTTCCTCTGCAATCTCTCGCGCGTAGGTTTCCGACGGCTCCATGGTGAACGTGAAGGTATTGTCGTTTAGAAGGTACTTCTCCAGCAAGCCCTCTAGGTAACCACCCTTTGCGTACTCCGCTTTGAAGGCGTCGACGACCTCGTTCCACGCAAGAGCATCGAAGGGATCTACGCCATTGAACCAACCAGGCTTCAGGCGCTGCATGAGGCCCATGCCGAAATGAGCCGTCTTGTGCTTGAGAGCCAATTCCAACTGGTGCAGAATGCCGTCGACCTTTGTCTGACTGAAGCCGTTCTCCTTTGCTTCAGCAAGAGTCCTGAAGATGGCCTCCTTGACCTTAGGTACGTCGTCCTTCTTGACACCGTTGAGGCCAATGGAGAAGATACCGACCTTTCCAGATCCATCATACCCAGTGTTCGGGCTCCAGTCTGGGCCCAACCCCGCCTCGATCAAACCCCGGTATAGAGGAGAACCGTAACCGTCTAGCAGCAGAGATGAGAGCACACCGAGGGAGAATGTCTCCAAGATGTTGGACGAGTCTCCCATGAGCCAAGAGGTGGAGGTCTTGTACTGCATATCAGCCGGTACCAGAGGGTCAATGGGACCTTTCACGGTGGCTGTCTTCGGCCCATCAAGGCTAATTGGTAGCTTGATGTCCGTATCCACACGGATCCTGCCAAACTTGTCTAGCTGCGCTCCGATGTCCCTCAAGTGCTCGTCGAGAGGAATGTCGCCGTACGTGAAGACCTTGGCATTGCTGGGATGGTAGTGGTCCGCGTGGAACTTTTTCAGCTGCTCGTGGGTCAGGTCGGTGATTTTTTGCGGGTCCCCTCCTGAATTGTTGATATCTGGAAATATGTGGTCTTGGAAACGGATGTAGTACAGATAGCTTGCATCCGACATCTGCCCTTTCATCTCGTTGTAAACGACACCCTTAAAAGCCAGCTGGTTGTCCTCGGAGGCCGGCTCCAGAGGATTTTCTGGGCCGATACGCCATCCTTCTTGCGTAAAGTCGTTTGCCTTGAGCAGAGGGTGCAAAGTGGCGTCCAGATAGACCGACATCAGATTCTTGAAATCCTGCGGGTTTGTGGTGGCGAAAGGGTAGGTGGTGTGGTCTGAGGAGGTGAACGCATTCATGAAATTCGAGAGCGAGCGCGGCAGCATCTTGAAGAAAGGGTCGCGGACAGGGTATCTGGCCCAAGTTAGCAGCCGCTAGTAGCGCATGGAGCACGCGACAAACCTCTCGCTTCCGCACAGGGTGGTATGCTCGAGGATGTGGGGGACGCCGGTGTCGTCAGGCGGGTTTGTTTTGAAGCCAATTGAGAAGACATTGTTCGAGTCGTCTCTAGCGACATGCAGGTAGTCGGCGCCCGTCTTGTCATGTTGCAGGTGGAGGGCTGTCAGTTCGAGTTCCGGCACATGCTTGACTCGGCGGAGAGTGAATCCATGAAGCTGCGATCCGACCTTTGGGGACGCGTGAAGGCCCGTCGCCGAGGCCAGGCCGCGGCAGGAGGCGGCAGAAGCGCGCAGGAAGGGCGCGGTGGTTCGCACGGCCGCCAGTGCCGGGCGTGAAGAGGCGCGCAACATGACAACGAGGTTGATGAAGAGCAAGCGAGCGGCGATGACGAGGGCCTTCATGATGGTCGGCGTCACCGGCAGCAGTGACGCCGAGCGAGCTGCTTAGTCAGGGTTTTTGGCAGAGCGGGCATTGCACCGCGGCGAAGGCGCCGGATCGAGTGTCGGCGGCGGGCTTGCGAGCAGAAATGGCGCGACAGCGGACGGCAGGCGGCCAGGGACGTGTGGTTTTGGGGTGGGTGTTGTGGATTTGAGCTTGAGGCGCATGCCTCGCCGTGTGCAAGCCTCCGTCACGAAGATCGATTTGAACTGCCGAAGCCCATCCTTCCACTCCACACGCCCGACTCTCCAAGGTGCTCTGCGCTCGTCTTCACCACCAACCCCGGCCGAGCCCTGACGCACCCCCCACGAGCCCCGCTGCCTTCGCCCACTCCCGGCCCGCCCAAGTCTCAGCTACACGCGCAGCCTGCGGGCGGCTCTCTGCGGATCGCCCACCCAGACCATCTTACGCCGAGCAGCAGCGCCTCCCGCAGCTTCTATGTAAAGGACGCCCGCCGTCATCTGTCCTGCGCGCTCTTAACCGTGGCCGCGCTGCCACCACAACCCCCAGGGCGCGCACACCAACCCAACCCGCCTGTGTGCCCTCGTTCCTCCCGCACGCGGGAACCCTGCCGCCGAATCGTACCATGACCGAGGAGGCCCATCCTTCAATGGCGACCTCGACGGCCCCACCGCCCGCGCCTGCGGGCCCGCCACCCAAGAAGGCCAAGAACAAGAAGGGAACGGACCCGAGAGACGCCTCGGAGCAGATCGCCGCGAAGATCGCCCAGCTGGAGCTGGATGCCGCAGGAGAAAAGGACCAGGATGTCGAGATTGAGCGCGAGGTCAAGAAGGCGAACCGCGAGCTGTCGCAGCTGCTGTCGCAAATCGAGTCGCCGATGAAGAAGGTTGAAGAAGTGCGGAGGAGGTACACGGCGTTATTTGCTGAGATGAAGCGGACGGAGCGCGAGCATGTCAAGGCCAAGAAGCGCGCCGATCAGCTGCAGAAGGAGAAGGACTCGGGCAAGACCGATCTGAACAAGATGACGACGCTCAAAGAGCGCCTGGAGAAGATGTCGCGCGATCTGACTAAGGAAAACAAGAAGCTGAAGGTACGCCTCGCTTGTCCGTGCCTTGCGACAAGTGCTGATTGCCGTTTGTTAGGAGGAGAATGTGCAGCGCGAGGCTACCGAGTCCCGGCACCGCGAGGAACTGCACGAACGCCTCGAACGCATGGTGTTGGATGTTGAAGATGTCATCAGTTCGAAGGAGAACCCGGAGCCGCAGCCGGTGGATACAGACTTGGATAGATTGTACGTGTCGTCTTGCACCTGCCAATGGCTGCAGCCGGTTGATTTTGGTGCAATTAGATTCGAGGAAAAGTTCAAGTCGTTCTTGGACCAATGGGAGTGCCGGGAGAAGCAGTTCAAGTCTCTCTTGCGCGTGAAGGAGCTCGAAATCCTCTACCACCAGGCCAAGCTCGACCAGCAACGCAAAGCGCAGGAAGTCGAATCGTCCAAGTCCACCCAGTTGACTCGCCAGGTCACCACCTTCTCTCAGACTGAGGCGGAGCTCCGCAGCCAGCTCAACATCTACGTGGAGAAATTCAAACAGGTGAGTTTACATATGTCTCGCCTATGGGTCTGGCCGCTGTTCACTATGCTTCTTATAGATAACAAAGTTGACGGATCGCCAGGTTGAGGACACGCTCAACAACTCGAACGACCTCTTCTTGACGTTTCGCCGCGAGATGGAGGAAATGTCCAAGAAGACCAAGCGCCTGGAAAAGGAGAATCTTGTGCTCACGCGCAAGCAGGAGGCGACGAACAAGAACATCCTCGAGATGGCCGAAGAGCGGACGCGCACCCAGCAGGAGATGGAAAAGCTGCGCCGGAAGAACGAGAACCTCGAGAAGCTCTGCCGAGGCATGCAAGCCCAAGGTCGCGGCCAAGTGCCGCCGCACGAGCTTGACCCGGACGACGAAGGCACGGAGAGCGAGTACCTCGACGAGGACGAGTACGATGAAGAGGGCAGCGAGGAGTACGACGAGGATACGGAAGAGGAGGCGATTGACGTGCGCCCCGGCCCAGAAGCAAAGGTCTTCGGACCTCCGCCGCCGCCGCCACCGCCGCAGACGATGGCCAATGGAAAAGTCAACGGCAAGGTGAACGGACAGGTCAATGGAGTCAGGAAGTCATAAGGAATTGCTGCTTGCTGTACGCTAGGTCTGGGCTGTTGGGTACAAGATGCACTATTGTTATCAAACATCTCGCGTGTGCCACGATGATAACCTATGGTGTGCCGAAACCGCGGCATGTCGACGCAAGCTAATGTCACGTGTGACGTGTGCGCAGATGGGTGTCCGAGCCGAAAGATGAAGCGAAGAAGAGCAGGGCCTTGAACAGGGGATAGCTGGGGCCTTACGGGGAAAATGATGATCGACGTATATCGGCAGTGGAGGCTATCGTCCGGACGTAAAGGTATGGAGATTGATTCCACAAACAATTGCTTCAACTACGCACGGTAGCGTCTGGCCGCAATACCCCGCCCGATGTACAGAGGAGTGTTTCAGCCGAATGCTAGTGCGAAGAATATCAGGATCCTCGAATCCAGGGTAACTATGCCTCAGCACGCCCTCACTCTCTCTCTTTTAGTTAAAAAAAAAAAATAAAGCAACATATGGGTAATTGAAGCTATCGTCCGGACGTGTATGTAAGATTTTTAATTGGACATTCTCATCCGGACGATAGCTTCAACTGCCTATATGACACGAGCGAAAAATAAATTATGCAATACATACCCCTCTGTACGGGGCCCGACCTCGGGCGACGCTTCCCCGCAATGGAAACGGCGATCCGATAGCCGATAGCCCCGCGGGTCACCCTTTTCTCTATATCTATCACAACCATGGCCCGGCTAACATTAGACTGTGCTCGCCCTCAATCTCCTTGGACACCAATTGATACGACGCTGCCTTGATTTCTTGCATCCAGCGTGGATCATCGCATAACCTCAGCCATGGCGCCCCCACCCGCGCTCGAAACGCCCCTTTGCAAGCTCCTGGGGATCAAGTATCCCATCATCCTGGCCGGCATGGCGCGCACGTCGGGCGGGCCGCTGGCAGCGGCGGTATCGAACGCCGGCGGGTTGGGGGTGATTGGCGGGCTTGGTTACACCCCGGAGCAGCTACAGAGTATCATCGACGAATTGAAGGCGAATCTCGCGGACCCGTCTCTCCCGTTTGGCGTGGACCTGGCGCTGCCGCAGGTCGGCGGCTCGGCGCGGAAGACAAATCACGACTACACGCGCGGCCAGCTGGACGCACTGGTCGACGTGACCATCAAGAACGGCGCGAAGCTATTCGTCTCGGCGGTCGGCGTGCCACCCGCGCGTGTCATTGAGCGGCTCCATGCAGCGAACATTATGGTTATGAACATGGTGGGCGCCCCTAAGCACGCGGTCAAGGCGCTCGAGGCCGGTGTAGACATTGTGGCGGCGCAGGGAACAGAGGGCGGCGGCCACACGGGCGACATCGCAAGCTCAATTCTCATTCCGGCCGTCGTTGACATCGCGAAGCGCTACGGCGCAATGGTCGTCGCTGCTGGCGGCATCTACGACGGCCGCGGCCTCGCCTCTAGCCTCATGCAGGGCGCCCAGGGCGTCTGGGTCGGCACACGCTTCGTCGCGAGCGAGGAAGCCGGCTGCTCGCGTCTGCACAAGCAGGCTGTCGTCGACGCCAGCTTCCAGGACACGCTACGCACGCTCGTCATCAGCGGCCGTCCGCTACGCGTCAAGCTGAATGACTACATCGCACAGTGGGAGGCGCGCCCGGACGAGATCAAAGCGCTGACCGAGCAGGGCGTTGTGCCGTTCGAGAAGGACATGGATGAGGGCAAGGACGTCGACATGCCCTTCCTCATGGGCCAGGTCGCCGGCATCATCAACGATGTCAAGCCCGCCCGGGTCATTGTCGAGGAGATGGTCGGAGAGGCCGTGGAAATGCTGAGGTTAGGCCAGAGCTACATCCGGGGCGGCGGCGGGGAGAGTAAACTGTGATTGTGTCATCCTTTCCCACTGTAGAAATCCAACCACTTCAGGTGTCGTTTCTCGCGAAGAGATCATAGAGGGGGCAATTGAAGCCGACGGCTAGCGCGGATTTGTTTCTCGCTCCTGTCATGGGTAGTTGAAGCCATTATCCGGATGTAAATGTAGCATGAACAATTGCATATTCTCGTTCGGACGATAGCTTTCGCTGCCCACTTATATTGTTTTCCACAACGAAAAGAAAAAAGAGCCGAGGCATAGTCACGCTATATCTTGAAGCTTTGCTGCTCTTTGTGCCAAGCTTCAGCTGCAGTACCCTTCTGTAAATGTAGATTTAATCTTTACACAGTTTTACCTCTGAATTATGGACTCTACTTCTCACAAGCATATGTGATTCTGGATTACATCGAGGAGCCCTTTACCACTGTTATTATTCACAAGTGTACCAACCTTTATGCGGCTAAATCTCCCACAAGTCCTAATCAAATGATGCGTAATGCCCCTGGGAGGTGGGTAAAGGGCTCAAGTAGAAGCTATGGTATGGATCAAGTGGTTTTGCTTCTCGTGGCCCAGAGTCTTCTTCGTGTGCCGTCTCTTCAGTACCTGCTCTGACCGACATCGTCCACAGCGGGTTCCAAAAGCAATGACCCCTCGCAATCATCTTCACGAGAAATGGCACTTGTCAATCTCTATGTTATAGACGACAAATAACCGCTGGCCACAGACGCACTCTCACGCTGCCCTTTGCTCCTACTTATCTACTTATCAAACCCCCAATCCCCTGACAACCAACCACAGCACCACTGGTACCACCACATTATCATTCCCGCCTGTCAACACCGCTTCCATGAAGCTTGCCGCTGCACCCGCACACGCTGCTTTACCCACATCCACAGGCCTCACTAAACCCAGCACGTCTCGGAAACCGGGCCACAGTGCGTGCGCCCCCTCACCAACGACACCGCTTCCGTCCCACTGGCCCAGTCGTAGCCACGCCTTCCCAAAGACCAATCCCATGGTTACCGCCGCTGCGAACGCGATGCTGCCCTCAAGGCTCTTGCCGCCGAGCCACGGCCACTTCCTGCGGCCCCAGCGGCGCCCGATCAGGCTCGCGGCTGCGTCGCCCATGCCGACGCACACAACGCCCGCCACCATGCTTACGTCCTTCGGGCCCCGGGCCTCCCAACCACGCCACGGTCCTCCCTCTTCTCCATCATCGCGCGACGCACCCGCGAGGCTGAGCCACAGAGGGATCGCGCAACCGATGAGTAGGAATATATGGGAGACCACGACAGGGCCACGAAGATCGCGGCCGTCGACGTAAGGGGTGAGGAAATAGGCAAGCGGTTTCGATAGCGGTGGAAGTTGGGCGGCACGGATGAGGTCTAGGAGACAGAAGACGGAGAGAACAAGAGCAAGGGTGAGGGCGATGAAACATGAGTCGATGAAGATCGTGGGCAGAAGCATGGCGACCATCATGCCGTGGAAGACCTTGCGGCGCGTGTCCACCTCAACGGTTGTCGAAAGGGAGAGGACGGTCGCCATGCCAAGGGTGAGGATGAGCACCCAATATCCTGTGATGAGAAGACGGGTGTTAGCCGCGCCGCCGAAAACGATCTGGCGGACGAACTCGGCTCGTGAGAGTTGGGCGAGGTCCTCCGCGGTAAAATCAGGGAGGGGAGGGAGGCTGATCCAGCCGGAGAGGCCCCAGTCGAAGATGAAAAAGCGCACGTCTCGAATATTGCCGAGGAGATATCCGATTGCCCAGCCAAACGGCTCTTGACCGTTTAGAGCGAACTTCCCAATGAAGGCCCTGATAGGTGCTAGGATAAGAAGCGCCATAGCGATATAGACCCATCCAGCATACAACCATCTCCTGACGGTAGCCTGCATCGGCGTGAGCGCGAGAAACGATTGCGCATAAGACTGTTTCCTGCGCCTGGCTCTACCAGTGGCAGAGCGTGAAGTATCCTTTCCAGGGTCAATGCTCGATAAAGTATGCCTGCGCCCTCTCCGCGTAGCCGAGGTGTTGGTGTCTCTAGAAGGAAGTATTGCATCCCGAAAGGCTCCGAAAGCGAGCTTAGTTCCAACTGATGCTGCGTGCTGGATAGTCCCAGGTGCGGATTCGACGGGCTTGAGCCTAAGGTCATCTGAGACGTGGCCTGGGAAACCGTCCTCGTCAGCATCGCTATCAGAAGCAAGCCCTCCCCTGCTTCTGGACCGCGAGGAGCTTGACCGAAGGCCCTCATTCAAGATGCCCAGGAAAGTTTGTTGAGCTTTGATGATACGCCCTGCTCGCCTGAACCTCCATTTCGGTATGCGCGCCAGCGCAACGTTCCATCTCAGAGTATGTCCACAGAGCAAAAAGAGCAGGACTCCACCAATCCAAAGTATGGACTTGAGAATCGTCATCTGCGGGCTTGTGGAGAAGAGCAGGAGGTTGATTAGGGTTATGGAAAGCAGGTGCAGTTCGGCGGGAAGAAGGCTTGTGGTCGTGAGGTAATAGAGCGGAGGTAAAAGCGCCTGATGCAGTGCAAAAAGAGAAACTATGGTTTCCGAATCCATGCGATCTGCTGGCGCCTTCAACAAGTATGGTCGGATGGCTGTGATTTTCGAAGGAATGTCGGTATGCTCCGATATTACGAGGGGAATAATGGAAATAAACCAATGCTCCATAGCGTACCCGATTCCGCGGCCGTATGAAGGGATGAGTACCGGCGGAAGAGCGGACACCGCAAGGACAATATTCGGCAAGAGAAGCTTTTCCATGCTGGGGTATAATGATAAAGAAACGAAAACGGGTATCGCCGCTGGGTATAGAAGGGGAGCCGGGTCGAATGCAGCGGGCACATGTATCCGATCCCATAGGCGTGGCCTTTCTTCCTTTGACCCTTTGCGCGGGAATATCAGCAGGCGGACCGGGTAGAGCAGGACGAGCAGCGCGCAAAGGGCGACGTAACCGGACAGCTCTGCTGGAACAATCGTGAGTACTTGTGCCTCCACAGGAGAACCATTGAACACCCTACCTCTGCTCCATGCATCTAAACTCTTCCGCGCCATCGCTCCGCGCAGAACTACCGCTCCAATCGCCGCCAGCAGCATGACCTCGCACCCCCTCCTCAGCATCTCAGCCCTTCTCCTCTTCACGAACCTCTCCCTTTCTCTCTTCACCCTCTCATCCTCGACCGTCTCGTCTTCCACTCCGCCTTTGCCCCTCCTCTGCGAATAGTACCCCGGCGCCGCACTCAACCGCCTCCCCTCCTCCTCCAGCACGCTCGGCGTCAGCAATCCCGAGTCATTCGCTGCGTCGGCGTCCTTCACGTCCCTCAACCCCTTGTGCGGTCGGATGAACGGGGCCGGCAGCGCCTTCACAAAGCCGTAGCCCTCGTCGTCGGCCTCGGTGCCGCTCTCGCTCATACTGCGCGAAGCTGCCTGCGAGGGGTACGACGTCGGCGCGGCGCGCTGGCGCTTGCTCATTTTGGCATTGTCGCCATCATTGTTGCTATCGTTATTCTCGTAGTCCGAGGAAGCAGTCGAGGATGGGTTGCTCCCCGCGGTCGGCTCGCGCAATTGCTGTCTGCGGCGGTGGTATGGGTGTGGCGAGCGGTTCAGGAGGCGCAGGGCGTCGGTGCAGAGAGGGTCGACGCGAGCGCCAGCAACGGTGACGGCGTCGGCGTCGGCGGCGGTGGGCGAGAGGGCATCGTCGAGAGCGGGCTTCGCAATGGTAGGTAGAGGCGGGCGGTGGTCTCCGGCGGCGGCGGGCGAAGCTGACGACAACAAGGTCGAGGAAGAAGCGGGTGGCTCGGGAGGCTCGTCGTTCTCTATTTGGATCATGTCGATACGGATGCCGGCAGGTCAAACGAGCGAATCATCACACACGGTTCTGCGCATTTAAAGGGTGTTGGTGTAAGGGAGGGGCGACACGGCGTCTGGAGACGTCGGGTGGTTCCATTCTTTCCTGGATTGATTCACATGTCACCGGCACCGCCCAGCCCTGAGCGTTGAGCGTTGGGGGGCGCAGCCACGACAGCAGACGTCAGCACGCGCGATGTCCCGCGTCCGCAATCCTCATGCTGCCACGGTCGCCTCTGCGTGCGCGCGCCGCGTCTGCGATCCCACGACCATTGACGTCAGTCGCAGACCGACTCGCGCGCGCCAAGCCCTCGGCGCTAGCAGGTATACCAATGCAAATCCTATATTTCTGCTTGGGCATTGCCAACTCTAAATAGACAACCTGCACCTAGCAACCCTATGCAACTAGTCACCGGCATATATATATACCCAACCCGCCATTTTCGCGCCGCCCAATGCAAGTCGTGTGTTTACAAGTACCCATGCTCCTTGAGGAAAGCCTCGACGTCTGAGCTGTCCCGAGCAATCCAGTTGGACTTGGCTCGGATGGCATCCAGCGCCTGCGCAAGGCTCTGGTCGAAGCCCTTGGTGCTGCGCTTGCCGAAGAAGTCCTCGATGCGCTGGATGTGCTCCTTCTGTGTGAAGCTCGACGTGCAGATCGACACAACCGTGCCCAGCATCGTCAGCCCTGGCGGCAGCTTCTTCTCGAGCTCCTCCCAGTGCTCCGTCATCCACTTCCAGAGTGCCTCAATGCCGTCCTTGTGTGTGCGGAGGCCGCCAAGCGGGAGGTAGATGTCCTGGCCCTTGACCTCATCGCTGAGCGGAAGAGCCAGTGTCTTCTGGATGAGCTCCGGGCTCCTGGCACGGCCAATTGCGCGCAGAGCCGTGTTGCGCTCGTCACTGGTCTTCGCCGTTCGGTACTCGTTCAGCACCGCATCGTACTCCTCGGCACCACCGTACGTCAGAACAATGCCGTAGACGCTGGCACGGATATTCGGATGGATGGCCGTCTTGTCGCCCTTCTTGAACTTCTCAAACATGTCGAAAGCCGCCTTCTTGACCGTCTCGTCGCCGGCGATGCCAGCCGCGCCGAAGAGGAGCGACTTGAACTGCTGCTCAATGTGGCCGTCGCTTTCCTTGAACTCCCAGCCGAGCTCGTGTGCCTTGCCCTGGATAAGTTTGAGCTGGAATTTCTTGAGCGCGTCCTTGACTGCCTCATCCTCGAATATCCATGCAGAGCGCAGAGAGCCGACACGGGCAGTGAGCTCATCCCAGACAACGAACTCAGGCTCGGACTTGAAGCCCTCGAGCAGAGAGAGGAGACCGGAAGTCCTCTGGTAGCCGGAGGCAGCAAGCGCACCGGCATCAGCAATCATGCCGGCGCGGTCCTCAACCGAGAGCAAGCCCTTCTTGGCGGCCTCACCCAGTTTTTGAAGGCGCTCGGGGGAGTACGAGGTACGGTAGATACCAGAGTGGTCGGCGTTAATCTTGAAGAAATCGGTGCCGCTCAGCTTGAAATCGGCCTCACGGGAAGTCAGGGTGAGTTCTTCGTTGACACCCTCCTTGGTGCGCAGACCCAGGAAGACGGGGTAGAGAATCTTGTCCTCTTCCGGCTTGACGTCCGCCGTGCGAAGGAACCGGTTCTGCTTGACATGGATGGAACCAGACTCCGGCTTCTCGGTGACGGTCACGACCGGGAAGCCGACGTTCTTTGTCCAGATATCCATGACCTTCTCCACGTCCTTGCCGCTGGCATCGCTCAGAGCAGCCCACAAATCACCAGTTTGGGTGTTGCCGTAAGCGTGCTTCTTAAGGTAGCGGCGGATACCTTCCATGAAAGTTTCCTCACCAAGATACTTCGAGATCATGCGCAGCACGCATGAGCCCTTGGAGTAGGAAATCGCGTCGAAGATCTGGTTGATCTCGTCGGCACGTTTGACGGGCACCTCAATAGGGTGGCTGGACCTCAGAGAGTCAAGGGACAGCGCGCTTTGCAGGTTGTCTGTGACATAACCTTGCCAGACCTTCCACTCAGGGTAGAAGGCATTGCACGAGTACCACGACATCCAGGTGGCAAATCCTTCGTTCAACCAAAGGCCGTCCCAGAAGTCCATGGTAACCAGGTTGCCGAACCATTGGTGAGCCAGCTCGTGTTGAACGACCTCGGCAACACGTTGCTTGGTGGAGGCGCCGCTGGTCTTCTCATCGAAGAGCAGATCAACGACACGGTAGGTGACCAGGCCCCAGTTCTCCATGGCGCCGGCGCTGAAGTCGGGAATGGCCACCATGTCCATCTTCGGAAGCGGGAATTTGCTGTCGAACTTCTTCTCGTAGAATTCGAGAGTCTTGGCCGCAAGGGCGAGAGAAAACTTGCCGTGGTTGATGTCCCTGTCCGGAGTCGCGAACACTCTAACCGGAACACGAAAGTCGTTGGTCTCGATGACATTGAGCTCTCCAACGATGAAGGCCAGGAGGTATGTAGACATCAGCGGCGTCTTGCGGAAGGTGACGGCCTTCTTCTTGCCTCCGCCGATCTTGGAATCCACCTCCTTCTCCGAGACGGCATCCATGTTGCTCAGGCATGTCAGGTGCTTGTCAGCAATGAGTGTAATGGTGAACTCGGACTTCAGAGCGGGCTCGTCGAAGCAGGGGAATGCTCTCCTAGCATCCGTGGGCTCCATCTGGGTGGTTGCCAGATACTTTGTCGAGCCGTCCGCGCCATTGTACGAAGACCGGTAGAAACCAGCCATGTTGTTGTTCAACACACCGGTGAAGGTTTGGATGAGCTGAGCCTTGCTGCCGGCGGGAATGGTATCCTTGAAGGAGACCTTGGTGGTCTGGGAATCTTCATTGTAGGAAACGTCGGGCTTGGAGGCGATGACGGTGTCGCCGGACTTGACGGTAGTCGAGTGGAGCTTGAGGTCGAGAGTGTTCAGGGAAATGGAGTTGGTGTCCTCGACGACATCGAGGCTGCAGAGCGGGCGGTTAGCGGGCGGCAGGCCTGAGGGTGCAGCCGGGGGATACGCACTCAATGACGACGGTGCCCTCATAGGAGAAGTCGCCGTCCAGCTTGGGCTCGAGCGTAAGGTCGTAGTGGAGCGGCTTGACGTTCTTGGGCAGGACCTCTCTGCCCTTGGTGACGTCGATGGAGCTGGTCGCGTCGGCCTCGTGGCCGAAGTGTTTGCACATGTTGAGAGTCCTGCGGTGGGAGCAGTGCCTGACGGAGCGGGGGAATGGGTTGGTGATGCGTTTGGAGGGGTAGCGGGAGGGGACAGTGGGGCTGGCGGAGGGAAGCTTAAGATGGAGAGAGGCGGCGGGGTGATAGTCCCAGCTTCTGACGGCGCGGGCCATGCGCGACTGGCATCGCGCAAACGGCAGCGCCCCGCGGCCGGATCTGAGCATTTACGATACACCGCCTTGCGGTAAGCCTTGGATCAGATCGATTGAGCAGGTTAGCAAAGGACTGCGAAGGTCGGTGCCCTTGCAGCCGTCGCCAGTCATGCGCGTCAGCGCACGTCCCCCCAGCACTAGCTGGTTCAATTTTCTCGCCAATTTTTGTCGCGCTTCGCTCGCCACGACTGCCTCTGCTCCTGCAACCTTACTCCTACCCGTGCTTTGCGGCACCTCAGCTCCTCGTCAGCGCTTGCTCCATGTATGGCAAGACGACGCGGTCTGAGATGTTGCAGGTTGCGGGCTCGCAAGCCAATCCTCTCAGCCACCGTTCTGCTACGATACGGTGACTGGTGTTCTGACATTTCTGTCAGTCTTGCAAGAAGAACCGCCCGTGTTTGAGGAGACCATGACTTTATTTCAAGTGCATGTACCTCCATAGGTTAAGCGCAACATTTCTGTGTAGGGTAAATATGCCCCAGCCTTTTCTCTTCTTTTTTTTGTTAAAAAAAAAAGAACATGTGGGTAGTTGAAGCTCTATCGTCCGGACGAAAATATCGAATAAAAAATTCTACATACACGTCCGGGCGATAGCTTCACTGCCCATGAAACGAGCGAAAAACAAATCAATGCCAGCCTCTGGGTGCAATACCGCTCTGTACGTCCAGACAATTGCTTCATGGCATGAGCGAAAAAACACATCCACACCAGCCTTTGGCTGAGATGTATGAGGATCATGATGTCTGTCTAGTGCTTATCTGCATCTTGCCCACCGCAACTCTGAAATCATTCTTATGCCGGGATCTTGATCAGTGGCTTATAATACGGGCGAACTCGATCCGCTTGAGAGCCGCAGCGGCAGTTGAGTATCTGCAACAACCCACAAAGACGAACCCAATCATTGGATCAGACACAGCGTTGCAATCCGAGGCATCTGTCGAAGCTTGAAACAGGGAGTCCGACGCAAAGGGCAGGGTTGCGGCATCAAGCCATCACTTGCAAAGCAAGCCGTTGGCACGGCTGAGCTCAGCTCACGCTCAAGAGCGCCGTGGGTGATATGTACGGCGGATCATTGCGCTCCCTCCCATGGTGAACAAGGGAAGAACCGCACCCAAGATCCATCGCTGGAGTCCGTTCTCCACTCAGCTGACGGTTTTCGTTCTCATGGGAACCCAGTAGAGGGACCTCCATCGAAAATGCTTTTATGTGAGTGTTGATTTTTTGCGTTTGATGAAGAAGAGGAAGGGAAGCGGCGCGAGGCAGAAGTTTTGTGCGGCGCGGCGCCGGGGATTAGCCGTGAGTCACGTGAACACCGCCCTGGCCAGCCGAGCGCCCGGGCTGCCCGGTGACGCAGCTGCAGGTGCTTCCAGCGGCGCGGGGCACAATTTATTTGGAGAGAGCGATTTCGGCTTAACTTAGCAACAAACCACAAAATTTCCTCGCCTCTCTCAACCCCAGTTTCGTGCCCCGTTGCTGCCATTGCCCGCTCGAGCCCGCCTCTCACAATGGCTTCCGACGCGTCGCAGAAGATCGGTATGCCGCTTGCCGCTGCTGTGCGCTTGCAACCCCGCTGACCTCGTGCCCAGCCATCATCAGCGTCTTCAACAAGACCGTACGTGCGCAGCACCCCGCATTGCGCCTGAGCCAATCGAAGCATTGACAATTGTCACACAGGGCCTTCTCGATCTGACCAAGGGTCTCGTCAAGAACAATGTGAGGTCAGTATTCGTCTCCAGCCTCGCGTCAGCCTCAATTGAGATGGAGGCCCTCACCATGACTAGGTGTGTCCGGCTGACACGTGCTCCAGGGTCCTGGCCTCCGGCGGCACCGCCAAGATGATCAGGGAGGGTGGCTTCCCTGTCGAGGACATCTCCGCCATCACCAAGGCCCCCGAGATGCTGGGCGGCCGCGTCAAGACGCTGCACCCGGCTGTCCACGGCGGCCTTCTCGCCCGTGAGGTCCCTTCGGACCAACAGGACCTTGTGAGCAATCCGGTCGCTACGACGCACCTCTGTCTAATTGTACTGCCAGGCCGACCAGAACATCAAGAAGATTGACTTCTGCATCTGCAATCTGTACGCATCTCTCCCCCTCCATTCCACGGCCAAAGATTGTTGATCGTATCCCGTCCAGCTACCCCTTCCAGGAGACCGTTTCCAAGATCAACGTAACCATCCCCGAGGCTGTCGAGGACATCGACATTGGCGGCGTCACCCTGCTCCGTGCTGCCGCCAAGAATCACAGCAGGGTCACCATCCTGTCCGACCCGGAGGACTACCACGACTTCCTCACCGAGCTCGAGCAGAAGGGTGAGATTTCCGAGCAGAAGAGGCAACTTTACGCTCTGAAGGCCTTCTCCCACACTGCCGACTACGACACTGCCATCTCCGACTTCTTCCGTAAGCAGTACGCTGGCGATGGCACTCAGCTTGCCTCCCTGCGCTATGGTACCAATCCCCACCAGAAGCCCGCCGCTGCCTTCGTCCGTGATGGCCACCTTCCTTTCAAGGTCCTCGGCGGTGCTCCTGGTTATGTCAACCTTCTTGATGCCCTGAACGCCTGGCCGCTGGTAAAGGAGCTTAAGAACGCTCTGAACCTCCCAGCTGCTGCTTCCTTTAAGCACGTCTCTCCTGCTGGTGCTTCCATCGGCGTTCCGCTTTCTGAGGCCGAGAGGAAGGTGTACATGGTCGATGACATTGAGGGAATCGAGAAGTCCGGCCTCGCTCAGGCTTACGCTAGGGCTCGTGGTGCCGACCGCATGTCCAGCTTCGGCGACATGATCGCTCTCTCTGATGAGGTCGACATCCCTACTGCTAAAATCATCTCCCGCGAGGTTTCTGACGGTGTCATTGCCCCCGGCTATCAGCCTGAAGCTCTTGAGATTCTCAAGAAGAAGAAGGGCGGCAAGTACCTTGTTCTCCAGATGAACCCTGAGTTTGAGCCTCCGGCGATGGAGACTCGCACCGTCTACGGCATCAACCTTACGCAGCACCGCAACGATGCCAAGGTCACGCCTACCACCTTCAGCACCATCATCACCCCCAAGGATGGCAGCCTTCCCGAATCGGCTCTTCGTGACCTTACCGTTGCTACCATTGCTCTCAAGTACACTCAGTCCAACTCGGTCTGCTACGCTCTTAATGGTCAGGTCGTTGGTCTCGGTGCCGGCCAGCAGAGCCGCATCCACTGCACTCGTCTTGCTGGCGACAAGGCTGACAACTGGTGGATGCGTTTCCATGAGCGTACCCTCAACCTCAAGTTCAAGAAGGGCACCAAGCGTCCCGACAAGAGCAACGCCATCGATCTGCTCTGCAGCGGCTCCGTTCCCGAGTCGGGTCCTGAGCGCGAGGATTTCGAAGGCTTCTTTGAGGAGGTTCCTAAGCCTTTCACCAAGGAGGAGAGGGCTGAGTGGCTTTCCAAGCTCAGCGAGGTTGCTGTCAGCAGTGACGCTTTCGTAAGTTTCCACCACCAATACACAGATGTATCTTTACTGACACCGACAAAAAAGTTCCCCTTCATCGATAACGTCTACCGTGCCGCCCGCACTGGAGTCAAGTACATTGCCGCCCCCAGCGGTTCGCAGAACGACCAATTCGTCTTCTCAACCGCTGAGAAGCTCGGCATCACCTTCGTCGAGCAGCACATCCGCCTGTTCCACCACTAAGCGAGTGGCAGGCCAGACATGGCGGCGAGACAGGGCAGCGGCGGGCGATTGCACGTGTTCCTATGTGCTCAGGCTCTTTTATTTATTTTTTCCATGAGGAAGGGCGTTGAAACTTTTCTTTTTAACATGATTGGGACTTTGGCACGGTTTATACCACTACAAAAAATGCGATGACGATGATAAAGTGCTTCTATAGGCTAGCTAGACTGGGAATAGGCAAATCAACTTTGCTTGTCGAAAACAGTTCAGGACCCAAAACGTGCATGTTCACTCAGAAACAAGTTAGTAATCCAAAGCGTTTGATATTGATGACGATGTGCATTTCTAACTTTCCTCATGCTGTCCTCTCTTGCGCTAAAGAAGCTGCGAGTAGCAAAAAAAAAAAAAAAAAACCAGAGCATTGTGACGTTGTCCCTCCCATGAAGGACCGTTTACACACCAGCCCAGGCCTAGGCGTTCTTAGCCAAGCTCAAATCTTCGTCTTTGTATTACGCCATGTCCTTTATAACTCCTTGCTCCATGCATGCATTTTTCGTTTCGCGGGGGTTTTGAAATTGGGAAATTAAAAGGCCTTGTTCCGCCCTGGATAAGTCGGAGGATGTGGAAAGAGAGAGAGAGAAAGCAGACAATTGTTGATACTTCCGGCTGCAGAGAATTTGCGGCTGTTTGCTGTCATGGCGGGTGCAAGTAAGGCAAGCCAAAGCCCCCAAGCCGGAGCTAGAACCCTCTGCGCAACCGAGTTCAAGCCCTAGGGGCAAGGAAAAGGCTGAGCGCAGCAACAAGAGGGGCCATCAAAAGCGTACGCAGAGGGTTGTTGAGAAGAAGAAAGAGTTGCCTTCTTCTCTTTCTTGTCGCTTCTCCGTTATCCCTTGTTCAAGCCTCGCCACCAGCCTTGGCGATCTTCTTCAGCTCCATCTCTTTGGTGAACTCGCGGCTGAAGACTTCGAGGTCCTGGACGATGTCGCGACAGGCATTGACAATGGCCTCCTTGGGAGCGACGGTGCCGTCGGTGCCGACGCGCAGCTCGAAGCGGGCGAAGAGCGGGTGCGGCACCTTGTAGCCCGCGAAGGTGACGTACTTGTACTTGTGCAGACGCGCGGCTAGCAGATTCGCAAGTGTGTGGTCCTCCTTGTTGAAGGTGAATATGGCAGTGTTCGGTACGCCTGCAATGTCGACGGCACCCATAGAGGGGTCATTTTAGCCATGTTTTGTGAACTTGGATGCGTGGGACGGCGGTTGCGAAGCGGGCGGGCGAACGGGGAATTTGTACGTACGGGTGTCATGCTTCATCTCGACCTTCTTCTCGCCATCGCCGAGCAGGAAGAGCTCGAACCTATCCCAGAACAGCTCAGTACAAATCCACGGGCTCATGGTGGGCAACAAGCGCGGTGTGCGACAAGAATTGCGTGCGAAAAACGTTGGTGTGTTGCGCGAGGTGTTGGCGGCGAGAGACAAGAGGGCTTGGATGCGGGCGGGTGAGTGGCATTAGAAGGCGGGGCGTGCTGTCGCAGCGCACCAGAGTGGATCGCAGAAGGGAAGGTGCAAACTGGTAAGAGGGAATAGAAAACGGCAGGTGCGTGGCCAGAGGTGAGAGAAGCAAACTGTGAGGCTAGAGAAGAGCCCGTACCTGTCGGGAGCGTTCATTGTGCCGGAGTGAGGTGAATTAGGTGGACCAATAAGTAAATGGGTATATAGCAAGATCAATATAGGTAAATCCAAGGAGCACGGCACCACGCTCTGTTGTTGAAGCGCAGTCGACGAGGCACTCGAGTGTGGCTGGTGGAGGATGGACGAGTCGGAGGTGTAGCTGCGGGCGGAGGTTGCACTTCCAAGCGCGCAATGGAAAAGCTTCGCCGCCGACGCCGCCTCAGCCCTACCTACAAGACCCTGACAGCAAAAAGTCGTTGCCGCTGGACTTCGTCATCACATTGCACAAGTCTTTTTCATTGGCAGCATTTGAAAGGTCGAAAAGAATACTAAATTGAGCCATGTACAAAAAATAGCCATCTGTTTCAAAGAATGTTCCATCGTCATTCATAAGCCCGCAACTCCAAAACTATGCCATTAACATATGCGATTGTAAATGAAGGAAAGGTCCCATCGAAGACCTGCCGTTGTGACGCATCGCCATCACAACCTCGGAGGACACCGTGGCGGCGTTCAAGCGATTACTCAATGTTGATCCTGCGAGACTTAGGGGCCTGCGCCTTGGGGACGAGGATGGAGAGGACGCCGTCTTTCAGGCTGGCCTTGACGTTTTCCTGGTCGACGCGTCCAGGGAAGCTGAAGGAGCGGTGGAACTCGCCGACAGAGCGTTCGCTAACCCAGTACTTGGCTTCATCGGTGGGCTTGCCAACGTCCTTGTTCTGGTTGGTCTTGGCGACCTCTTGGCTCGAAGTACCGTCGGCCGGGGGCTGCTCGTCCTCGACGGTGGGCTTGTGGTAGTGTTGCTCGTTGTGCTCCTCGGCCTCGATGAAGCCGCGAGGGCGCTCGCCGCGCTCGGAGCGGTGCTCGACGCGGCCGGAGATGGTCAGGGTGTTGGAGTCGGACCATTCAATGTTGATGTTTTCCTGGGCGATGCCGGGAAGCTCGCCGTGGAGCTCGTAGTTTTCCTTCTTCTCGACGACATCGAACTTGGGGGTGAAGGACCTCAGGCCCTGGGCTGCCTGGGCGAAGGGAGTGCTGCGAGAGGCCCGGTCATAGTCGTCGAGGAGGCGGAAGAGAGGAGAGAACTCCTGAGTGAAGCGTGGAAACATGGACATTGTGTGGACTGGAGAGACGAGAGGCTTGGTGACTTTGAAAGCGCGAGGGAGTTGTCGTCGAAGTGCGAATGCTGTTGGTCGCAGTGCTTGCATCAACTGTGTTATTCGTTGTTTCTGATCTGGTGAGCTTGCTGCTGGCCTCCAGGCAGCATTATATAGACGCTGCGGCCCATTCTAGAAATTGCGAAGAGTTGCAGCATGACGAAAGCCGCATTGCTCTGCGAAGTCCATGGCAGTTTCGAGATGGGTCCAGAGGCTGGAAGCATGGCCATGGGATCTCATGATGGTTCTGGGGTGTTCCCCCAATGACGATGCTCGCGGGCCGGCGGGCGAACCACCCGGACCTCTCTAGCACCTTCTCTGCCAAGACCGGGTCACGTGCACCCGCAATCTCGAAACGACAAGCTTACTAGGTATTGCTATCGATGAATGTCTCTAATGCCGGGGTCTTCGTAGATCTCCAGCTGTCTCTGGCCCCTGCGCAGCATGTACTCGATTGCGCCGAAGTCTCGCTTTTCGATGCCGAGATTCCTTTCAAACTCCTGTCTGCGTTGTGTCAGTGCATTGCGACGAGAAACGCGAAGTGCTTTCTCTTTTTTTTTTTTTTTGGAGAATTCAGCGGAGTTGGCCTTCGGACGCAGCGGAAAATTCGGCCACTGAATACATTTCCAAACCCAACATCAGAGCCCAGCCCCGCCCCATGCCTCCATCACGTAAGAAAGCGAAAAGCACTGACCTTGCGAATTGCTCAAAATGCTTCCTCGTCTCCTGCGCAGCCAAGGGTCAAACACGTCATCCGTTTCGCCGCTCCCGGTCGGAACTTACCTGAGGCTTGGTGCGGGCAACCCTCAAGCACTGTCGATAGAGAGACAGGACGTCTCTCTGCAGCCCCGAATATCTCGGCATTCGTTGGCGCTGTGATCACTTCGCCGCGAGGAAAGGTGGGTGAAAGGAAGCGGTGATGTATGCAGAACGACGTCGCGCTCGCTTCTCGGCCAAGCATTGCCCCGGCGAGCGGGTCCGACGATCCCGAGCCGGACCGCGCCTACCTGGTAGGTCGGCCGGCGCGGGGAAAGCATTAACTAAAAAGAATCGTATTCAGAGTACACACCTATCTGAAACGTAGCGAGGCTGCACGCGTGCGTGTTATCCAGAGAGATGAGCCAAAACCAAAACCAAACCCCCCCCCCGGAAGAATCAGGCCAAAGCCGAGAATCGCTTTTGTTTCAGGTGGCTAGCGGCCTAGAACATGAAGGGGTATCCATGCCTCATGAAGAACAACATACGTAGGTAGTCGAACCTATATCCGCGCGTGAATGCACAATTTCTGATTCCACATTTACGTCCGGACAATTGCTTCGGCTACCGCATTGGGCTCGTCAGAAGGGCGTATATGCCTGCTCGGCGCAGGATGTAGCATGTTCGTGGTCATAATCGTAATCGCAAATAGTAGGCCTGAGCTGATGATGATCGTACTCGTAGGCCGGCATCTCGAGTCTGCGGTTATACGTCGACCACGGGCCATCGCAGGCCAAGAACCGTTCGTGCACAGCATCCGAAGCGTAGCCGGAGCTGGCACCTGTGGTGGAACCGTCATCACTGGTGATAGATTCGTCCGAAAAATGGAAGGCTGAGTTGCGAGACGACGGACAGAATATTTCGCATTGCTCATCAGACGAAGAATCGGGCGTATCCAAATCCGCCGCATTGGTAGAAGCTGGCGCTATGTTAGAACCATGTCTCGGCTCGGTCACGGGGAGAGCTCACTACTGTCATCATCAAAGGCACGGCAGGCTTCGGGAGAGTCAACCTCTGCATCGTGGCCGGTAGCTTCGCATCCGTGGCAATGAACGGCGTTAGGGTTCTGCTCGGCAGCATTGTCCGTTGTGGTGGCTCGATTCAAGCATTGAGGACGTTGTTCCGAGTCTTGCTGGCAGCATTCCACGCTGGCGTCTGATGGGAACTGCTGCACGTTGGACTCGGACGAGTCAAGGATCGGGCACGCCATGATGGAAGACGGATAGTTGAGAGCCGGCAGGGAGCCCTCAAAACTGCCAGCGATGGTGGACCGGCGCCACTAGGTGAGCCAACCGTGTAAAGGAAGAAGATGGGAAGAAGATCAGGCAGCGCATGGATTTCGAGATAGGCAGGTTGATGGAAGCTGGTCGCAGCCGCAGATCCAGCTCGACCATTTACTTTATAGAAGACGGTGCAGCCGTACAGGGCTGACGAGAGAGGCGCTTGTAAGACGTACGTCGTACAAACCGCAAATGTCCGAGTACCTGAGAGGGAGAGACAAAACCGGATGGTGCAACGAGCAAGCAAAAGGAGCGTTGAGAAGAACTGAAGCGGATTTCGCAGTCGTTAAAAAAGAGCCAGAGCACATGCACTCTCGGTCTCTCTATACGCAGCACGACAGGCAAACCCTGGGCGGCGTTTTTGCTGCCTGTAGGTTGCCTTCTTGTCTGGCATTTGCGGATTCTGCGCTGTCAACCGTGCGTGAGGATGGACTCGGGGCGCGCGGGAGGGCCAGCTCAAGCACAGCCAACCGGACGACGTGCATGCACCCCAGGGCCATGGTTTGCAGGCAGGGACAGAATATGCGTTGTCGTGGCGCGGCCCTGAAGATCGGGCTGTGGCTTGGGGGTTGAACTCCTGCAGGCGCGGGGATGCTCTACCGGCCGGCGCTCATGAGACTGCGCCCCTCTGTGCAACCGGGGGGAATTTTGTCTTGGCGTGAAGAGGGCACTCTCGCGCGCGCGGCATTCGAGTGCATCATACCCAAGGCTCGAGCTCAGAAGTGCATCACGCGCAGCTGCAAAAATTATCCTTGGCATGCAGCCCCCCCATGACGAGCGTTGCTGCAGAGAGAAACAGAAACCGTCAAGGCGAAAACGGCGATGGCGCAACTCTGTCTGGACCTTGCGCTAGTGCTTATCTCTTTGCTGACTTGAGGCTCTGGGAATGAGGAGCCAGCGCAACCGAAAACTCACGCTCAGCCCCGAGTAGCTGACCCACTGGCTGGATTGCGGCTCTGCAGCTGAAACAAATGCGGCACTGTGCAGACGACGGCCTGCTTGATGGGACTGAGCGCGTCTTGCTACAGGGGGTATTGCAGCCAAAAGCTAGCGTAGTTTTGTCTTCCGCTGTGTCGTGGGTAATTCATCTGGATTTAAACGTGGCATTGACATTCTTTCCACTGCCCACATATGCTGTTTTCCACGAAGAAAAAAGAGCTGAGGCATAGACCCCCCTGTTCTTCGGCTGCAGTACCCATCTGTATGGCGGTGGCAAATGCACGCTGCGCTCACTGAGACGCCCGCGCGGTTCCTGAGACACAAGGCTGCGTCGATGCTGCATTAGTGCTGCTGTACGCCGCTGGGTGGGGAGCATCGCGGTCTTCGGCGGCTCCCCATCACCCAAGTATCATAGGCGATGGAAGGGGGAGCCAAGCGCTCGGCTCATCAGGTACCAGGAGAGCCGCCACGTGGTTCGTCGAGGCCATAAGGCTTTTGGCCGTACGCGTCCGAGCGGCCAAGCAGCAGCTCGTCATGCCTCTTGCGGAAATGCCAAGTTTCCAGAAGGTTTCGAGTGCAGGCAGCAGCTTGGTGCCGAGACCCACAGATCGCCAGTGACGACGCAATCCCTGGCCCCGAGCAGCTCGTGATTTCAAATGCGGCGGGTACGGCGTTTCGACGGAGATGGAGCGGTGTGCCTCTGGTGGGCGATCGAGCGGCGCAGCCTGAACGGATGGGCCCGTGTGCATGCTGTCCAGAAGCTCGACGCGGCCATTGGGCGCTTCGTTGACGATGATCGAGCGATGAGCCTTGCCGTCTTCACCAAGACCAACAGCGGGTTGCCCACTTTCCGAAAAGGGAGCTTGATGGGCTCCAAACGTTCAGCCTTGCGCTCGACGCGCTCGCATCTGACAGCATAATCAGTACCTCGACAAAAACATTCCGGCGATTGGGCTGTCGGCGCCAGCGCTGTGGAACCCGGGGCCAGGAGACGCTCCACCTCAGCCTTGCAATGGAGCTTTTGCTTTTGGCGATGCAGCCCCCGGGCATGGAGAGGATTCGTTCCCAGGCCCGGCGCGGTGACGGTAGGCTGACCAGGCGCATCAGAAACACGCAGCCCCGCTGCCGGACACCTGGCCCGATCTGGAGATGGGGACAGAGCGCGTAGGCAATGTTGCTATTCTCGCGTCGACGGACATGTCGAAGAGAGGGGAGGACGTTGTCGTCGGCGGTGAAGCTTTTGAAACACGACCGGCAACCCCACATGCGCGAGCGTACTCTGTACGGCTAGCCTCGTTCGTGCAGCCGGGCTACACCGAGTGGGCTGAGCATTGCCGCAAATAAGTTGGCACTGGAGTACAGCATCGACGGGGTCGGAGGAGCCGACATCAGCGTACAGAATTGTCAAAAGAGGTCGAGATTTCTATTGGGTCGACTGTGCTCAGCCATCCATGCGCTAGGGGATATTCTTTTTGATTTTTTCCCAATCCAAAAACGCCAGTCGTTCGAATAGATAAAGAGACAAATTCCGACGCGAAGCAGTGCATCTAGGCGCCAAGAGCCTGCCTGCGCTGCTTCACGGCGTTCGCGAGCTCCTCCAGCACCAGCTCGGTGTCCTCCCAGCCGATGCAGGCGTCGGTGATGGAAACGCCGTACTGAAGGCCAGCACGACCCTCTTTGGGCACCTTCTGGTTGCCTGGGGTGCAAAAGGTCAGCTTCCTTGCAGAGGTGAAATATGCCGTCAAACGTACCCTCGTTGATGTTGCTCTCGATCATGACGCCCATGATGGCCTCTTCGCCCGCAGCAATCTGCTCGGCCAGGACGTGCGCAACCTTGGGCTGGTTCTTGTGGTTCTTCTCCGAGTTTCCGTGGCTGCAGTCGACCATGATGCGCGGGTTGGTGTTCTTCTCCAGCAGCTTCTGCTTGGCCTCCTGGATGCTCTTGGCGTCGTAGTTGGTGCCCTTGGAGCCGCCGCGGAGAATGACGAAGCAGTCTTCGTTGCCGACAGTGCCGACAATGGCGACGACGCCAGGCTTGGTGACGGACAGGAAGTGGTGGGGGTGCTTGACGGCGCCAATGGCGTCAATGGCGACGCCGAGGGTACCATCGGTGCCGTTCTTGAAGCCGACGGGGAAGGACAAGCCAGAGGCAAGCTCACGGTGCAGCTGGCTCTCGGTCGTCCTGGCGCCCACGGCGCCCACGCTCAGCAGATCGGCCAGGAACTGCGGCGAGATTGTGTCCAGCATCTCGCTCGCGATGGGCATGCCACGCTCGGTCAAGTCGACGAAGAGCTGGCGCGATATCCTAAGGCCCTTGTTGATCTGGAAAGAGTTGTCAATGTCGGGGTCGTTGATCAAGCCCTTCCAGCCCACGGTGGTGCGCGGTTTCTCGAGGTAAGAGCGCATGACGATGAGCAGCTCGTCCTTGTGCTTTTCCTTCAGCTGAAGCAGGCGGTCGCAGTATTCGAGCGCCATCTCGGGGTCGTGGATGGAGCAGGGGCCAATAACGACAAGGAGGCGCCTCTTGTCGTCGCGGCCTTGGACGATGTCAACGGCTTCATTGCGGCCGGCGATGACCGTCTCTTTCGACTTCTGCGTCTGCTTGATCTCGTGCTGCAGCAAATCGGGCGGGGTCAGGGGATTGTAGCCGCGGATGCGCCAGTCCTCCGAGTTGTTCTTGTCGCCGACGTTCTTGTTTTCTATGTAGAACTGGCGGGGCGGGGCAGCGCGGTCAGTTGCGGCGCCCTGTTTTCGAGTTGCGGCGTTGCGGACGTACCTGGCCAGCCATTGTGGGGTATCTCGTGGAAATGCGCGGCTGAGAGAAGAGAAGCTGAAATTTCCGGTGCTTGAAAAGCTATTTTTTGTGTGTGAGAGAGAAAAAGGGCGGGTGGTGGTCGACTCATACTTGTCGAAAATGGACGCACGGGCGTTCTGAAAGTCGCCGCGGCGCCGATCGCTGCTCGCTGCCGCTCCACAGCTCCCAATCCGAATGCGCCGATTGAGCATCGTCACCACTCACTGCTGGGCGGCATTGCATCTTGCCCCCGGCTGCATCGCTACGCCAGAGTGATTGCCCGGTATGCAGGCTCGCGAACAGCAGCAGATAGGTCGGCTGCGCATCGACCATAAATGTTCCTTTGCACGCGGCTCACTATCTGGACGTGTTGCGCGACCACACTCGCGAAGATCGGCTGTTCGTCCTGCCTTCTCAGTCCTGTAGACTAGTCTAGACAAGAACAAAACTCGGATTGCGAGCCTCACAGGAGGCTGGAACGATCAGAAACCAGTTGACTCGTGGACTAGAATGAGCAACAACAGAACTAGGATTACGAGACAAGCCCGAAGGCAGCTGGGGATCTTGTCGACCAGCACCAGCACCATCGATAGCATCTGAATCATTCCTTCCAGCACCGCCGAGCCTCCCAACCCATACTGCTCAAGCAGTTCGTGGTGGATCTGGGAGGCGCCGCTTTCCAGTCAGCAATCAGCGAATCAGTAGCCGGGGGTTGACATTTGAAATTGAATGGATTTATCGGGCAGTCTTGTCGTCGTCATGCTTCTTCTGTCCATCAACTGAAAATTAGTGGGTGGCATAGAGTGGAGTGCTGCTGTGTGGGCGGGACAGTGCGGTCTGGGTGGGGTGTGAGGTATCATCTTGTTTAGCACTCACTCAGTCGATAAGTAGGCGTGACGCGGACAGCGATGGAGAAGATCGAAGTTTCGCTTAGTAAGCGAGCCAGCGCGCTAAGCGCCTCCCGCCGGCGGGCGCGAAAGCTGCCTGGCTTGGGCCATCTTCGCGACACCTGAATTTACTGCAGCATTCCCATTCTCACGCCGCTAGCAGCTGCGGGCCACGTTGGGCAGCCAGGCAGACTTTTCCTCGCCGGCGCCACCCCGACGCTTCCAGCTCCATGATACGCCCGGCATGGATCCAAATGAGCACTTCCCCGCCTCATCGCGCACCACGCGCCAGAAGACGCCAAATGACTCTACATCCACTGCCTCCGTCACCTCTGCCTCATCCGCCGCCCACTCTCCGCACGACATGGCACCCCAGAAACCCGGTGCCCAACATGCCGCGAAGCACGCGAAAGGCGCCACGCCTGCGAAGCCCGCGTCCAAGCTCGCCGATGCCGACCGAGCTCCCCGGACTTCGAGCAAGGACAGCCTGAAGGCCAAGCAGCTCAGGAAACCCGACGAGCAGCCCAGGCCCGACAAAAACGAAGAGGTACTTCCCCCGTCTGCACCATCCCAGCTGCATCCTCAGCTAACTTGGCCCTGCAGCTGCTCAAAGTCTTCAGGTCCGACCTCGACAGCCTCCGCTCTCTCGTGACCTGCAAAATATGCGACAGGCTCCTCTACGAGCCCTATGTCATCTCGTGCGGCCACACTTACTGTTACAGCGTAAGCGACAGCAAACCATCCCTTATTTTTCGCACACAGCTGACCTTCCCCGCAGTGTCTTTGCACGTGGTTCGTCAACAACAGGTCTCGGAAGACATGCCCTGATTGCAGAGCTGTGGTTGTCCAGCCGCCTGCACCCGCCTATCTGATCCGCGAGATGACCCAAATCTTCATGAATCGTGCTGAACTTCTCCCAGCTGGCGAGACCCAGGATGACCACAAACAGTGGCAGAAGGAGGAGGCCGATCTCGTCCTCCAAGACAAGAATAACGAGGATGTGCGGTCCGGCGGTCTTTTCAAAGGCTGCTTCCGCGTGCGCCCTGAGGCAGGATTGCGCGCCATCCGTGACGAGGAAGACGGTGTTGACCGCTGCCCGCTGTGTGCGTGGGAGCTCGAGGATGGAGAGTGTGCACAGTGTGGCCTCCAGTTCGATGACAATGGCACAGTGACCTGGGAGAACAGCTTCGGCGGCTTCAGCGACATGGACGAGACATCGGAACATGACATGTCTGGCGAGGACCTGGACGGCGACCTTGAGCTTGAAGACAACGAGGCTGACCCTGATTTTGACGGCTACGGCGATGAACTAGAAGACTGGCAGGATCAATTCGACGATGACCACTCATACGCCGTCAGGAGATGGCTCGCGAACGAGGCTCTCGCTCGCCCGCAACAACCTTTCGGTCTCGGTCCGGCACGCCGTCGCCCGGCTGCTCACAGTGCAGCTGGTAGTAGGCGACGGTCATACAGTGCCAGCCTTGTTTCCGAGATTCTGACCGAAGACACTGAGATGGGCAACATCGAGGAAGAAGACGAGGAAGATGGAGATTCTTCCATGAACGACTTCATTGACGATGGAGAACCAGAGACTGCGTCTCAGAGCACGCGATCGACTGAGGGCGAGGCCCGCACTCCACCATCTAACATGCGAGGCCGTCGCGCACGGCGTGTAGTCGAATCAGAATCTTCTTCCAGTGCCTCCCATCAGGCAGATGAGGACGAAGATGACAACGATGAGGGTCCCATTGCGCCGGGAAGAAGGCGTCTACAGCATCATCTATACCGGCCCCAGTTCCAGCCTAATTTCCGGAGACGTCCAGTAGCCCCCTCTTCGTCGGCACCCGAGGATGTTGATGTTGATCAGGATCTTGATGAAGAAGATACGCAGGCTCTGCTGTACGAGGCCGGCTGGTCCCCACTTGGCCATGAAGGCGATGAGGAGGAAATGGAAGAGGATGATGATAGCGATGGAGGAAGGACGACCGTTGGGTGGGAGCCGATTGCGAATTCCGTTGAACGATCTCGATTCGGTGGTTCTCTGACTCCTACTGCAGATAGACCTACCGGCGCGATCCGTCCGCCTTCCCGCACGGGCAATTCCCGATTTCCTGATGGCTCCCGTGGCCTACGCCGGCGTAGCTCGGTGCTATCGACTGTTTCCAGCACTAATTATGAGGATGGAGAGGCGGATGATGACGATTCCGAAATAGACCGGGATGGCGACGCCAGCATGAGATCGCCGGCGGTGCGTCCACGCGGCTCTAGGTTGCGCCTTCGCACCAACGTTGCTTCAAACGGGTCCCGGGCTGCCAGCAGCATTTTTTCGGCCGGGAATTCCGGTGAGAATGACACGGACGAGAACTCGGACGACACGGCGGCACCTGGCGCACGTCGCCGACCTCGTCTTCGGGCGCAACGACAAGAATATGATCCACGGATCAGCTGGGCTTTTGCTCAACACATGGCAGAGTTGCGGGACCTTAATCTTCAACGTCCCGAAGCATTTTTAGATCACTTGGAACAATTGAGAGCTGCCACCCCCGTTGCTCGTCCTCGGACTTCGAACCGGAACCGCGCAGCTCCTTCGCCTCTCGCTCCTCATCCTCAGTTTTCACCCTTGTCTAATGGCCCATTGCCTCCTTTCTCGCCACCATCAAATGGGCCTGTCAGGCTTCGGACCCCCATCAACTTGAATTCAGTGAGTGGTTCATCTGTACCAATGTCCCCGCGATCGGAAAGAAGTCAGGGATCGACAAGCCAGGCGTCTAACTCCAGCACTGATGTGAACGGCAATGCTCCGCGCCGCACTCCGTCTGCCTCGGGGGCAAGCAGCGTCACAATCACCAGCGAGTTCCCAAATGCAGCCGACCCAAGTCAAGGACCAGGACCGCAGAACTGGGCAGCGCACCAAGGCGATACAACTGACCGCGCAAATACCCGCACGCCGTCTTCGAACAGTAGGCGCAATTCTGGCAGCTACCAGGGTCCAATCTCCCCCGGCCTCAATTTTGCTGCACGCTTCCAGGCCCAGCAAACTCGCAATCCCTGGAATCCGTTCGTGTCGCTGAGTCCCATGAGGCCAAGGCAGTCTGTTCAACGTCTCCGAGACCAGTCATCCACTGCTACCCTTCGTCCTCGGAATTCGCAACGTGGACTTCGCCAACAGCCTTCTCAGACAAGCATGAGAGATGGAAATGCTCCTGCCCCGCATGTTAGGCAACAAAACTCGCGTGTCAATCTTCGATCTCAGCCTTCGCAGCATCGCCTATCAAATCAAGCCTCTACACGGACGTTGAGGGCGAACAACGCTGCCGTCATGCATCAGTCTAATGCTTCAACTTCGAGCGTTGGCTCCAATGGCTCACAGCGTTCTAGACTCACGGAAGAGGAGCGTCTTAGCCGGGCCCGCGAGCTTGTTATTAGCAGGCAGCAGGCTCTTCAGGGAGGCGGTACCAACCCGTTTGCTGCTGGACGAAGGCAGACGACTCCAGGCCAGAGCGGCAATGCTTCAACTACAGGAAGCGTCCGGAGCCAGTATAGTGTTAGCAGTGCGCAGTCGCTTGGATCATCTAGCGCGGCGTCCCTCTCTCAGCCAGCCGTCCCTCCGCAAATGCCGAGTACACAACCTACACTTGGTCGTCGGAGGAGCAACCGAAACATAGGTGCTCCTCCTGGCGCATTCGTCCACCAGCAGTCGCAACAGCAGCAGCAACAGCAGCAGCAGCAGCAGCAGCAGCAGCAACCGGCAAACACTAATGCCTTCATCCGTGCTCGAAGCGGATCCATTCCTGGCGTCTCTCCTTACGGTTATGAGCGAGGCGTCTCTGTTGGTTCTGATGGTATCACTGCCGGTGGCAGTAATGCTTATTATTGATTTCGGTATCATACTCACTCCCATTGCTTCCTCTTGGTTTCCTTTGGCGGTCTGCCTTCACTGCACAAAATGACCACTCAAACACAGAATGATAGATTATGATGGCCACACAGGCCTGGGATCTCTTTCCCTTCTTCCTGATGATTCACGATGGTAATGCACTACGGGTCTGGGATGGGACTGGGACTCGCTTTTTCTTGCATGGGCTCTAGGCGTTTCTTTATACCACGACTTTTCTTTTTTTTTTTTCCCTTCGCGGGGATTTCAATTGCGAATTCGTTTTCGGGGCGGCCTGGTTCCTGAACTGTAATGCGGGCTTCTCTCCATCTTCAAGCGTGGCATCATAGCTAAGCGATCGGGCTCTGCCCAACCCATCAGGTTTTCTCGGCCTTTTCATCGCTCGAGGAAACAATTGAGCTTTTCGTCGCATAATACCAAAGACCACAGGCTACGCTTCGAACTTCATGCAACCGACTGTGGCGTATTCCTTATTGGGCTCATGTCGTGGTGTGTCGTGATTACAGCTTTGAGGACTGAGCACCTTCGACTAATCCCCTCATGTCACCGACCAGAACATCATAGCCTTTCATACTCCGTAATGGGGTTTAGACTCTCAGCACGAGCAGTTGAAGCAACGAGTGCGGATGCAGGTTCATAGTTATATCCAGTAGCAGCGGAAGACCCGTCGAATCCAGGAGGGAGAACGTGTATGGATAAAGGCTTTATTCTCCGCTGCACTAGTGTGTCTTCACTGAAGCCCGGCACGGCATAGTTTGGCCTTTCAACCAAACCTGTAAACTCGTTGGCTCTGTTAGTATGCAGAGGGATGTTGCAGCCGAAGGGGTAACGTGGAAGGGCAACTATGCCCCAGTAATTTCTTTACGAGTAATGACCATCGTCCAGACGTGAATGTATACGTGTTAGTTCCACACTACCTGTGACATGAGCAAAAAACAAATTGGGGTATTACCAAACCCAACCAATACCGTATAGTATGAAGCCCCGAAACCCAATCGTGTCTACCCAAACCCAACTCTCACCAAATTCCACCCTTTTGAAAATGAAGTGGAACTTCAACGAAATTTAAATACAGGTTTTCACATCAATATAATAGTAACTAAGCCTATAGATATCTATGATCGTAAGAGATTAATATTTTTTTTCGGGAGAATGTTAACCTGCACAGCCCAAGCGCTGGGTTTTTGGGTTTCATATACGATATAGTTCAGGTTGGTAATCACCCGAAATGAATCCAAGTTAACCTTAGGCCGTAGTGTCTCTCCGTGTTTAGTAAATATCTAGCGGAGGAACGAGGCCAATGGCTCTCATTTTACGAATATGTAGTTTGAAGGGTGAAATAACTGTTCGACGGTGGATACGAGTTTGAGGTAGACGTGAAGCCGATTGGATGCATTAGGAATAAGATTGATATCCCGGAGAAGGAAGCAGTTCAGTAGAAGGAATCCGGGCGGAGCTACCGGAAGGGACTGACAAGTGGGTGGAGGAAGACGTCATTAATTGGGGCTTTAACCTGGACGTAATCCGTCCCTTAACGGGCGTCCTTGGCAATGGAGTATGCTGTCTAGAATACAAAGTGATGAGAATGAAGTTGACGAGGGAATGGTGATGTTTGATTGCTTATTTTGCACCCACACGACTACAATTCAATGTGCTCCAAACATTTGAGTTTGTACATACAATGAATAACCGGTCAACCTCGAGAGACGAGAAAAGAAAACCGGCGAAGACGGAAACGAAACCCTTAAGACGCAATGCACAATTCCTGATCCGGCCACACAACTTAAATTTAAACCCTTTTGGCAATGTCAACCGCGACAGTCCTTCGATTGCCGAAATCAACGACCCCCAGCAACCGTCGACACCCTCCTGGCCCTCTTCCCCAACGCCACGGCACCTGCACCGCCACGCGGCTTGCCCGACGTCTTTAGGTTGAAGGCGCGCTGGTCCTTCAACCAACGGCGGTAGTCAGCAACCGAGCCGATCTTCTCGCCGTAAAAGTCAGGAACGGGGTTGTTCAGGCTGGATTGGGTGGGGTCGACGCGGAACTTCTTTATGCGTTGGAAAAATTGCTTCTCCTTCTGCATTGCGCCAAAAGACGAGAGTCAGCAATCGAAACGCCATCCAAACCACATCCGTTTGTCTCATCACGCGTCAGAGACACGCTCTCCAAAGACTCACCTCAACGATCTGCTTCCCGATCCGCCGGTACGCAATCCTAAACAGACCGTCACCGATGGCCGGCCCCAGCAACCATCCTATGCAGCCGCAAGCCACGGTTCCCATGCCCGTCACGATGATTGGATCAAGACCGAACGTCTGCGCGCCGAGAGAGTCGATGTCGCTCGCGAGCAGAATGTTGATGCCGACGGCCGTCGATGCTATAGCGGCTGCGACGCTGCAGACCAACGACAGCCGGCGGCGCGTCTTCCGGAGCGCAAGGAAGCGGTTCCAGGTCAAGGTATCGGCGGCATTGGCCGCCGAGGCATGGGCCGAGGCAGAGGAGGAATTGGCAGTCGTGGTGGCGGCACGTGTGGAGCTGCTCGAGGAGACGAGGCGGGCGGTGATGGCAGAGGGGCAGCGCGTGGCGGCGGAAGCTGAGTAGCGGGCGGAGGCGGCGGCGGAGAGCTTGAGGAGTTGGGATGGGCGTGTTACGCTGGTGCTGTAGGAGGCCGGGACCGAGAGGTACGGGCGCACGCTGACGGCGGCGCGGGGACGGACGGCGGCCACTGCCGCGGCGCAGCGGATGGGCATGGCGGCGGCCGAGAACATGGAGACGGGTGTAGAGAGTTGCTGTGGTGTGTGTCGAAGCTCGAGCTTCGCGATATTTCGGCGCGACGTCAACGGTCGGGCGCACAGGCCAGCTGGCTGCCGGCTTGGCCCCGCCAGTGGGCGGCAGAGCGGCGCCCCGTCTCGTCGAACCACAACGTGCCCAGACCGCAAGGTTAAAAGCATGTCCATCGTTGCTGGTTTTCCTAAAACTGCTCGAATTCCAGCACGTAGCATCCCGGGGGGGCTTTGACGCTTGCCCTTCCTCCCCCCTCCGACGGCTGCTCCAGGGAATTCCGTGCGCCGTCCGCCTGTCCGTTCTACTTAGCTCTGTAAAAGACCCATCATAAACTCAAACACGACACGCTCGCTCCTTCGCTCGCTTTCGTATCGTACATCTTGCTCAAGTAGAGGAAAAAAAAAGAAAAAGATCCGCAGAACGCAATGCTTCCAACCTTCCTGAGCATACAGCCAAAACAAAGGCATCAAGATTGGAAATTTCACGCCCACATGTCAGGCCTCGCACGAACAACAAACGCCAAACCGGAAAGCGGTCCGAACCAAGGAAGTGGGTATTCGAAAAGCAGCGCAAAGAACCCGCATCAAACTTGCATTGCCCACCCGTGCTTGCACGCGAACTTTTTTTTTTTTTTGACCGAGTGGCGTCGTCCTGGGAAGCACGCCGAATCGCCGTGTCCGCCGTGCAAGCGCCTGCTGCCGGCCAGGCAAGCCGGTCCAATTAGACCCGGGGGCGCTGCACCGGGTGGCCGACGGAGGCCCAGCGGAGCCGAACACTGCCTGCTTCACTGGCGCTCCGAATTCAGAAATTACCAAGTGGCAAACGTCCCTGCAACTGAGGAGAATTACGCGGATACGTCCGCCGTCATGCGCTCCGTCTTCAGATGGATCCGATTGGTGAGAGAGGCTGCATCGGAGACAGCTTGGGCAGCTCGTTGCGGATTCCGTTGTGTCCGCTCTGCGTCGGTGTAGCATCCTCGTCTTCATATTCGCGCGAGTTGACCGAATCGAGAGGGGGCGGTCGCGGCCTCTCCGGGGTCGAGCTGTTGATGGTCGAAGGTTTGCTGCTACCCGACGAAACTGCACGCTCGTCATCCAGCTGGCTCGTGCTTCCGTTCGGCGTGCTCAGCCCAAGCGCTGGCTGCGGCGGGTACTTCTCCGGCTCTAGGATGCGCATCTCCCGCTCGAGATATTCCTTTTCTGTCCAGCATCCCTGCCAGCAGTTGCGCCAGTCAAGCACGAGGAACTGAAAGCAAAAGGCCTCGATCTTCATGCAGGGCTGGAAGCAAATGCAGAGATTGCGGTAGTCCATCTTGTTCTTCTCCGAGCATGAGTGGAGGAGGCTGATGTGGCAGGTGATGGCGAACAGAAGGTAGTAGTTGAACGGCGGCAGTTTCGAGAGCTCGTCCTTGAGCATCTGTGGCGTCGACTTGGCGTCACCACAGCTCTCCTGGATCTTCTTTTGCGTCGCCTTGGGGAAGATTTCATCCGGAAGCTCGCGGAGCCACGCCTTGAACATGGAGCCGATGATGTTGATGTCGTAGAGATTGGGTTCGTCGAAGAGGTTGATGTCAAGTTCTACAGGCACCCATCGTTGGTCAGAGGCCACCGAAGCCAGAGAAAGGAACGCATACCTTTATCAAAACGCATTTGCCAGTATTTCACGTCCTTGCCGCTGCCAGGGACACGGTACAGGCCCTCCTCTTCGCAGCCATTCATGTTGAGATAGCTGCAAGCACCTGTTAGCCGATCGGGGCGATGCTCTCTGCTTCGCGTCAAAAGGGGGAGACGACGTACTCAATACACCTCCAAGGCAAAGCAGGCATCCAGAATTCAGTCTTGTCCTTCGATGCAGCAAGCCTCTTTGAGATCCTGGTCTTGCGCGTCTGCTCGACTAGCGGAAGATTGATGACCTTGCACACGTAGTTCTCGTCCAGAACAGGCCCGTGGTCGCGTTCGTGGGAGCTGCCGCTGCGCGCGAGTTTGCCGAAGAAGCCTTTGCCCGCCTTGCCCAGCCCGTCGGCAGCCTTTGTGCCCGACTTCTTGATATTGTTGAGGAAGTCGGCGCCTGGATTGTCCTTGAACGAATTGGAGAAAGAGAATGGGTTGTTCTTGTCGCGCGGGTGAGCGGCCGTGTCCTCGTCGGGCTCCGTGTGCCGGTCGGCCGACCGATTGCGCGGCGCGTTCTGCATCATGTCCCGGAAGCTTCTGTCTTCCTTCAGCGGCGCGGTCTTCATCCCGTTCTGGTCGGGTTGGCGCTTGATGTAACGCTGCTCAGACTCGGGGGTGAAGCGGGCGGGCTTTTGCTGCTGGTGCGCGTTGTTCAGGTAGTCGTCGGACCTGATCGAGCGCGAGCGAGCCAAGAGGTTGAAGCGATGCTTTTGGCCGGGCCGTTTCGAGCTGGACTGGTCGTTGGAGTGTGAGCTTTGTGGAGTGTTCTGCTGCAGTCGACCGTGTGAAGATGGGGCGCGCTGGTCATAGCGCTCTTGCTCATGTGAAGCGGTGCCTGAAGTAATACCGTCAGTTTCAAAGTGAGAACGAGCCGACGATCGGCATTAAAATTGCGCCGCTTACTGCTTGATATGCTTGCGCTTTCCAACGATTTGGTCAAATTCTCCAACGACTTTGTCAGATCCGGAGATGAGCCGGAAGACTGCTTGTACGGATACGTCTGCGCTGTGCTATCTGGCAATGACGAACCCTCCGACACCTGTCTGATCGACATCGCATTGTCTCCACCACCCATCCTCGTGGAAGATTTCGACGCCTTGGGGTTTGCGAACAGCGGCCTCGGCGCGTCTTCTTTGACGGCGTGCGCCCTGGGAGACCTTTCCGGCCCCGTGTGTGAGTGGGACGACTTTGGTGCGGCGTACGAGTCCATGTTTCGCTCGTGGCGGCTCATCTCATAGCGGGACGACTGGCTGGCCCGGGGAGATCTAGGGCTCTGTGGACTTCGGCGGCCTTCGCCGTTCTGCGGGTGGGGATGGGCTTTGTTGGTCTGGTTGAGGTTCAGAGACAAGGAGGGGGACTTCGGCATCTTTCGCAACGGCCTTCGTTGTGGTTGGGCCCAACCCAACGGCTGTCACACCGTGTTAGCCATTCACCGTCAATCGGTAGTGTGCGCGACGCGACGAGTCAAAAAGTGACGTGCGCGGTACGGCGTCGAGGCGTCGCTGCGGCCGCTGGTGCGGCCGAGCTCAGCCCAGGGGGACAGTTACGGCTTTACCTCGATTCTGCAGGTCGACATTGCGGTCAGCTTCAGAGTCCGGTACGGGAACACAGAGAAGAGGTGAAAATACGCACCTGAAGGGCCCGGATCGGCCAGAAATGAACGAAGCCCTGAGCTAGGCAAGAACCTGAGGCCGGGCCTCCCGACTGGCACCTGTACGACGTGCGCGCTCAGGCGTGTTGGGTTGGTGGCGTAGCTGTGGGTTCGTTGGTTGCGGCGACTCGACGAAGGCCGGCCGGCGTGGGTGGAAGCTTATGCGTGCGCTGGACGGACTCAATCAGCTGGGCGCGTTACACCATCTCAAGTTTGGTGCAGATGGGAGAGCGGTGCCACCATGCGGCCGCGAATGGAAAACAAGAGGCCAGGGCAAGATCATTCACACAAGGGCGCGATCGGCCGCGGGCCAGAGACCACGTCTGGTTTCAGGCGTCAGGAACAAAGAAACTTACAGCCCTCAGCAACCACGGCTCGTCTCGGACTGCCGTGTGCAGGGAGGCACGGAGTCGCAATGCGCTGCAGCGCGCAGGGAGGGCGGCGTGTCCAGTTGTCCACGAGAGCCGGCACGTTCGGGGCGGCTGGAAGGTCTTGTGCAAAGCGCGAGCGGACGCAGGAGTTGAGCCAATGCAGAGGGCGGCAAGCGGGAGCCAAAGGGACAGGGTCGCGGCGCGGCGGTGGATCAACGAGGACGCATGCACCCCGGCAGGGCGTGTGGAGCTGCAGTGGCTGGCGGCAATGAGGGATAGGAGTAGGAGCCGCCGCGGGTGGGGCCTGGGGGGGCCGCGGGCGACGTCGACGCGGCGAAGAGAGCGTGCGCGGGGCTGCTGGATCGAGGGAGGGCGCGCAGCAGTCCCAGAGGGCGAGCGTGGTGTTGGAGAGGCGCAGTGGTGGTGAGGGTGCTCAACGGGGGAAGTGGATTCGAGTTTAGCTTCAGGGTATCCTTGCGGCGCACTCGGGATGAGCCCAGCGGCGCACGAAACACTTGGCACTGACAGATCTGACGCCCTCGCGCGCGCGGCGGGTCTCTGATGAAGAACTACACGAGCGCGCGATATTGGCACCACGGTAAATATAGATAGCGCAGCCCGAGATGCGGTGAGGTCTGAGCCGCCCCCTGGTCCACAGCAATCTGCGCGGCGGGCAACGCTCAGCACGCCCGGCGAAGACGGCCGACTGCTGCGTTCCCGATTACGTGGAGGGCGCCTTTTGCTCGCCCTCTCCACACAGCCAGGAGAGCGCGCGCGGCGCGGCGGATGCCTCCGGCAGCACAGATGAAGCTCCGGCCGCGGTGCAGAGCCTGCCCGCGCGCTGAATTTCGCACAGGCACGCAGCAATCTGCTCTCCGGACGATCAAACACCCGCTCACGCCATCCACCAAGCTGCTATAACATGGCGGCGCATGTCTCGATCACACGAGCTCCCGCCGTGCCTGCCCGGCACACCCGCGCCAGGAACGCGCGCGGGAGCTGGCTCTGGGACGCACGCGGACCGCCGTTACAGCCCTCGCCCAGCCAGCCCGACCCAGGAACCGCGCACCACGGCCGACCGATCTTTTTTGCTGCGAGCACGCGTGTCGCTTGCAACCCGACGCAGAGTCAGTGTCCAGCCCGGCGAACTCCACCCGCTCAGGGGCTCGAGCGGGTGGCTGGCCTGCGACGACGCAGCCTACACGACGACGGCACATACGAGGAATTTCCGCCACGGCAGCCTCGTCCGCTGGCGCAATTGGGCCTCCTGCGCCGCCTGCTGCTCGACGGATGGTCCCGTTTCGAGCAAAGCTTCTCGAAGGCAGTTTAAGCATCGGGCGTCGAGGGACGGCGTCGCGGGGGCCAGCGTGTGAGACGACGGGAGCAGCGCATTTGCGCAGGGCCGAGACAGAATGCCTTCTTCACAGATTCCAGGGTGCTTCCGCACTGCAATGCTGCGACGATGCTTTGGAACTGGTGGCACGCGGTGAATGAAGTCGAGACGCTGGAGGTGCGTTGGCGCGGCGCGTGCATTACTATTATCTGTCTGCTGTCTGTCTGGCTGGCTCGCTTCTGCAGCCGCGATCGAGTGCCAGCCTGTCAGACTCCACCGTCGACGCCCCTCTACGTCGTACTGGGCGAAGCGGCAGGTGGATGGTGCAGACGCACAAAAGCTTGCCCCTGCCGTACGCGCCGCGCTTCTCCTGACGGAGCTGCCTCCCACGGTCTGCGATGATGCGACTGCCGTGGGACAGGACGGCGGCGGCTTGGACGGCGGCGCGGAGACAAGAGCCGACCCAAGCAGGCACACTGGCATGTGAGAGAGAGCGGGACACCTCAGGCAAAGCGGTGAGCGGGCGGCTGTTTGCCCCGCCGAAGAACAACACACATCCCCAACAATGCGGGCGCCGCTGGGCAGCTCTTAAGACGCGGGGAGGCCAATTGCCCCGGAGGCGTCTGCACTTCCTTGAAATCCCTCGCTCCAAAAGCGCGCGACCCACTCGAGGAGTCCGCGCGTGGCTATCTTATCGTCGTCCCGCGCGCGTGCTGAGGCTTGATGAGGCTCGAAGGCCGCCAGTGACGTAGCTACTCGGCCTGTGCGCAGCTTCTCCAAGGCCCGTCGAGCTTACCGCGCCCGCGACGGACGTGCCTGCCGATCCTCCACCTCTTGCTCCCTCCTCAAAAACATCGAGCTGCGAGTGCAGCGTCTTCCTTCTTGCCTCCCTCCGCAGCCCTCGAGAACGGAAGGCCTGCCGCATACTGCAGGGCAGCTTCCAATTGGGCGAGCTTATTGATAAACCCCCTCCTCCCGCCTCGCCCTCCTCTTTCTCTCAACTCCGCCGTTTCGTCCTTTCGCTCGTCTTCACTGCATCTCCTACATCTGGCACGCGCCCTATTTCTTACAAAAGCACACTTACCGCGCATTCGTCCTTCCGAAAAAGCTCCCAACAATGGCTAGCACCGTCTATCTGCTGCCGCTCACGGACGGCGGCGCCCCTGACGTGCCCGGCACCTACATCTACCTGCCACCTCCCACCGACCCGGCATACATCATCCGCTTTGCCATTGAAGGCGCGAGCTCGATATGCCGCGAAGGCAGCCTCTGGGTTAACATCCCCGCCGAGGGCGAGGAGTTCCAGCGGGATCGCTTCCGCGAGTTCAAGTCCGGCTCCCCCCCATGACCAACCGCTTGCAGGGATCTGACCGTGCAACCACACAGGCTCCGCCCCGACTTCAACGGCACCATTGAGATCGACTGCCCCATCCACAAGGCTGGCGCCTTCGCCTTCTACTCCACCTTCACTCCCCTGCCTGACTTTTCGCCCTATCCGGTCACCGCGCCGAAGCCGACAAAGACACCTACCTACTACATCGATGTCTGCCCCAAGCTTACGCTCAACGACCGGCTGATAAATCTCGACTCGCTGTCGATCTTTTCCGTCATCTCCAAGTTCATGGGTAAGTATCCCGAGGACTGGGACAAGCACCTCCGTGGCATCAGCCAGAGAGGCTACAACATGATCCACTTCACGCCCTTGATGATGAGGGGAAACTCGAATTCCCCGTACAGCATCTACGACCAACATCATTTCGACAAAGCCCTTTTCCCGAACGGAGAAGCGGACATTGCCGAATTGGTCAGCAAGATGGAGCATGAGTACAACCTCTTTGCACTGACCGACGTTGTCTGGAATCACACGGCCAACAACAGCAAGTGGCTCGAGGAGCACCCCGAGGCCGGCTACAACTGCGAGACTGCGCCTCATCTTCGGTCGGCCCTCGAGCTCGATGACGCTTTGCTCGACTTTGGTTCCAAGCTTGTCGAGAAAGGCCTCCCGAACGATCTGAAGAGCGTCGATGATTTGAAAAAGGTCATGGATGCCGTCAAGTCCGATGTCATTGACCCTCTCAAGCTCTGGCAATTCTACGTCGTCGACGTCGCGAGAGACACCAAGGAGATCGTCAAGGCCTGGACCGAGGGCGAAATCACATTCCCAGAGGGCGGCTTCGGCAAGCTCGGTGTCGGCGGTCTCGAGGAGGTTAAGAACTGGTCCCTGAAGCAGAAAGCTGATTGGCTGATCCAACACGCGCTTTCTGGGGGGGACAGGCTCGGTGCGCGGTTTGAACGAAAGGTCGACGCGCGCACCGGTGCTGCGCTCCTGGCAGCCTTGTTCGGCCGCTACGACAGCAAAAACCACAGCACCCCGGACGAACGTGCTGCGCAGGGTACAATTAACAAGTTCCTGGACGAGATGAACCTGCAGTTTTACCGGGAGTTCGACGGTGATGTCGCAACCATCATGGAACAGCTGCACAACCGCATCAAGTACGTCCGTCTCGACGACCATGGCCCCAAGCTCGGCCCCATCACGGAGCGGAGCCCCTTGATCGAATCGTACTTCACAAGGCTCCCCAAAAACGAGACGACCAAGCAGCACAGCCCAGATGCCCTCGCGCTTGTCAACAACGGCTGGATCTGGGCTGCCGATGCCATGAAGGACAACGCTGGTCCGCAATCTCGCGCCTACCTCCGCAGAGAGGTCATCGTTTGGGGCGACTGCGTCAAGCTGCGATACGGCAGTGGCCCGCAGGACAACCCGTTCCTTTGGGACTTTATCGCCAAGTACACTCGCCTCATGGCGAAGTACTTCGTTGGTTTCCGCATCGACAACTGCCACTCGACTCCCATCCACGTGGCCGAGTACATGCTTGACGAGGCACGCAAAGTCCGCCCCGACCTGGTCGTCGGCGCTGAGCTTTTCACCGGCTCCGAAGACATGGACTTCGTCTTCTGCAAGCGCCTTGGAATCAGTTTCCTCATCCGGGAAGCTATGCAGGCATGGAGCACGCAAGAACTCAGTCGTCTTGTGCACCGCCACGCCGGCATCCCGATTGGAAGTTTCGAGCTCGACGAAGTCAGCAACGCAGACGCCTCTGCCCAGACGAATGGCGCCGCCACTCGCGAAGTGATCCGAAGAATCAGACAGAGCCCAGTCCACGCTCTCTTCATGGATTGCACACACGACAATGAGGTTCCAGCCCAGAAGCGCGATGCTCGCGACACGCTTCCCAACGCCGCCCTCGTGGCCATGTGCGCCTGTGCAACCGGCAGCGTCATGGGATACGACGAAATCTATCCTCAGCTCATCGAGCTTGTCCACGAGACCCGATCGTACTCATCGCCTTACTCAACTTCAGGCGAGCTCAAGGTCCAAGCCGACGAGGGTGGCATCGGCAACATCAAGAAGCTCCTGAACCAGATTCATGTCCTCATGGGCCAGGAAAACTACGACGAGACGTTCATCCACCACGACCGAGAGTACATCACGGTCCATCGCGTGCATCCCAAGACCCGGAAAGGATATTTCCTGATTGCGCACACTGCCTTCCCAGGCTACGGAGGCGGCAACGGCGGCTTCCCGCCAGTCCAACTCCCAGGAACGCAAGCAAACCTCATTGGAAGCTGGTTCCTCGAGGTTGAGGATAGCCAAGATGTCAAGGCTCGGGTCATGGGGGACAAGAAGAGCCTTCGTGGACTTCCCAGCCGGACTAAGAATCTCCAGGGTGTCAAGATTGAATGGTCAGACGCGGAGACGAAGATTACGATTCCAGACTTTTTCCCCCCCGGAAGCATCGCCCTGTTTGAGACGTCGGTCCCAAGTTGCGAGCATTCCGACGGCCTCGATGTGTTCGTCACCAGCGGCGCCAAAGACGCTTTCAAGGAGTGCAGTCTTCTCGACCTTAACCACATCCTCTACCGCTGCGATCCCGAAGAACGCGACTACAGCGGTGGCAACGACGGCACTTACACGATTCCCGGACACGGAACCCTTGTCTACGCCGGCCTGCAAGGATGGTGGAGTGTCCTCCGCGACGTGATCCGCTACAACCAGCTGGGCCACCCTATCTGCGACCATCTGAGACAGGGCCAGTGGGCGCTGGACTATTGTGTCGGCCGTCTTGAGCGTCTCGCAAAGTTGCCGGAGTACTCGAAGCTCCAGGGCCCGGCCGCTTGGCTGAAGGAGCGATTCGATGCGATTCGCAAGATACCCAGCTTTATGCTGCCCCGATACTTTGCCATGACTATTCAAACAGCGTACAACGCGGCGGTCGACCGGTCGATTGAGCTCTTGAACGACAACGTCCGCAACGGCCAGAAATTCCTGCAAAGCCTGTCGCTGGTCAGCATCCAGGTCACCGGACACATGAATAACGCTTCGCTGTGGCCCGAAAAGAGCGTGCCGAGCATGGCTGCCGGCCTCCCGCACTTCGCTTCCGACTGGGCTAGGTGCTGGGGCAGAGATATCTTCATCTCTCTCCGTGGGCTGTACCTGGGCACCGGACGCTACGCCGACGCCAAGGAACACATTTTGGCATTTGCGAGCGTCGTCAAGCACGGGATGATCCCCAACTTGCTCAGCAGCGGGAAGCTTCCGCGCTACAACTCTCGCGACTCGGTTTGGTTCTTCCTGCAAAACATACAGGACTACACGAAGATTGTGCCCGATGGCCGCAACCTTCTCCAGGAGAGCGTGAAGAGGAGATTTCTGCCGTACGACGATACTTGGTTCCCCCACGACGACGCCAAGGCCTACTCTCAATCTTCGACGATCGAGGATGTGATTCAGGAGTGCTTGCAGAGGCATGCTTCGGGCATGTCGTTCCGCGAGTACAACGCCGGGCCGGATCTGGATCGCCAGATGAAGCCGGAAGGATTCAACATCGAGATCCACCCCGACTGGAAGACCGGTCTCATCTTTGGCGGAAATCAATGGAACTGCGGCACGTGGATGGACAAGATGGGCGAGAGCGAAAAGGCTGGCAACAAGGGCTACCCCGGAACGCCGCGTGATGGAGCGGCCATTGAGATTACGGGTATGCTGTACAGCACTCTGAAGTGGGTGAAGGAACTCCACGAGGAAGGCAAGTACAAGTACGACGGTGTGGACATTGAAGGTGGGCGGATCAGCTTCGGCGATTGGGCGGCCAAAATCAAGGAGCATTTCGAATGGGCCTACTACGTTCCTCGGGAGGCGTCGGAAGACAAGGATTACGATGTGAACCCTAGCATCGTCAACCGTCGCGGCATCTACAAGGATCTGTACAAGTCGGGCAAAGAGTACGAGGACTACCAGCTGCGGCCGAACTTCCCGATTGCCATGACGGTGGCGCCGGACCTGTTCGACCCGGAGAAGGCTCTGTACGCGCTGCACCTGGCGGACACGGCGCTGCGTGGGCCTACCGGAATGGCGACGCTGGACCCGTCGGATCTCAACTACCGGCCCAACTACATCAACAGCGATGACTCGACGGACTTCCACACGGCAAAGGGCCGCAACTACCACCAAGGACCGGAGTGGCTGTGGCCGACTGGATTCTTCCTGCGCGCGTTCTTGAAATTCGACCTGATGCGCCGCAAGACGCCGGAGGAGCGGGTGGAGACGTTCCAGCAGATCACGCGTCGCCTGCGCGGATGCATGGATGCCATCAAGGAGAGCCCGTGGGCCGGACTCACGGAGCTTACTAACAAGGACGGGTCGTTCTGCGGAGATTCGGTACGTAACGGCGAGGTTTCGGTGTGCTGGATGCGTTGCTAACTAAAGTGTAGTCACCCACTCAGTCATGGTCTGCCAGCTGTCTCATCGACCTGTACCAGGACGCGAAGGAGTTTGGAGAGGAGTTTGCAAAGTCGGAGTGATTCTGGGAGGGGCTGGGAAAATGAGAAGGGCGGCAGCTGTTGGGCACAGGAGTTGGACCGGGACCTCTTACCTCTAATCCTAATGATGATGAGCTAGACCAACGGAATACGATTATGATGATGATGATGACAAAAGTTCGAGAAAAGGCGTGAGTGAGCGTGGTAGTGCTGAGCGGACATGCGGGGTTGTGGCTGGGGCGTCAGACGCAGGGACGGCTCGGCGATGGCACGTTACATAGGCTACAGCCAGGGGCGGGCTCGGAGAGCGGGTGCGTGGCCGACGAGTACCTGGTTGTACGTCATCGGCTCTGGACGTGGGTGGAGGCTGTCCAGGCGCCGATCATAAACGGCACATCGACGCCATCCTTGCCCTCAACGTCCCACCACACGTCCACCGCCTTCCGCCCTTGCGCCCTCCACCCCCGCCGCCGCTGTTCCCTCGCGCCGCCGCCTCTTCCTGCGCGCTCTCGCGACCTCCAGAGCGCACCCCGCTTTGGCCTGCCTGCGTCGCTCAACTCGCGTCCGAGCGCCCCGCCTGCCATGTCGGGCTTCCACCCTTTCAAGGGCCGCGTGAGCAGGCACTTTGGCGAGAATGTATGCACGAGATTCCCTTGCCCTCCCCTGTCGAGCCTCCGCTTTTTCTTGCCTCAGCTCCCGCATCGCCGGCCAGCCCGCTTTTTCCCTCTGCGCTGTCGGTGGCATTGGAGACGTCAATCGCCCTCGCTCGCCCTCATTCGCACCATCTCCGTCCCCTGCTACTGACATGCGTCCCGCCGTGCAGCTCGCGCCCGACGATGCGTACCTAAGCTACTATGACATCCGCCGTACGTGCACCGCCTCCGCCTTCGCGCCGCGGCATGCTGATTGTGCATGATAGTGACCAAGGAGGACATCGATTGCATAAAGTGCGACTGGTTGACCGACAATGTGCGTTCCTCTCCTCCACGCACCCTCTCCCGCTGACACATGAGAGCAGGCAATTGCGTTCTGGGAAGAGTAAATACAGCTCCCACCACTCTTTTTTTTTTCTCACGTGCACCTGCGGACCCCGCCGGACTGACGACTTCCCCAAGGTGGCTCGAACACGAACATCTCTCTGCTTACCCCAAGGCCAATATCAGCCTGCTTCGCCCGTCCATGTCCTTCATGATGATCCAAACACCCGATCCGCTCACCCTGAAGGAGGCTCTGCCCAATTTCTCGAGGACGACGCATATCTTTCTGCCAATAAACGATTGCCGTAATGTCATGGAGGCCGAAGGAGGCTCGCACTGGAGCCTTCTGCTAGTCAGCGTCGTCGATGGCGTCGCCTTCCACTACGACTCGCTCTGCGAGAGCAACGACCACGAAGCCCGGGTTGCCACGCAGAAGATGGCCACGTTGCTCGGCCGCAGCCTGCGCTTCATCAGCATGGACGATTGCCCGCAGCAAGAGAACGGGTCTGACTGCGGCGTCTTCGTGTGCTTGCTCATGCGCTACCTTCTGTTGAACAGGCTGCTCCGAGCCGATTCCAAGGAGAAAGTCAGCATGAGCATGGCCGGCAAAAACGTCGAGGCCAGCTCAGGCCGCAAGGAGATGCTGAAGATCATCGATGGCTTTAGAAAGGAGGGAAGGCGGAGATCGTATGTTTCGGCCCTATCCGCATGGTTGAGACGAACCGTTGGTACACTAACGACGAGCTTGGTGGGGTGCAGTCGAAGCAAGAGCCCGTTCAGTGACCACTCGAAGAGCCCTCCCCGGATCGGCGACGAGTAATACCGGCCGCATTAGACACGGGCTTGCCGGTACTTCCAGCAGAAAGGCCCCTTCTGTCCCCGACCTAAGTTGCCTTTTGAAAGACTTAGATGAGCTCTTTCTACAGCCCTGCACGCCTCGAAAGCGAACGGCGTTCTGCATTTGTATTGTGCACTGTGCTTGCAGCGGTGTCCTCGACACGCACCCGGGTTGATTTTTTCGAAGACGGAGCCTGCATTGCTTTGGGATGGTCGTGGCTCTGTTTTTTATTTGCTGCTGGCACGGTTAGAGTTGCACTCGATACTTGATGAACTGTATGGCTTATGAGAACATGACCAAGCTCGGAGGTTTTCACTGGTCGGTAAGCGGAGTGGCCAATAGGGCGGCATACGTACAAAGGAGAATGGAGTTCCAGTCGCGTCGACTTTCGAGGGGCGGATCATTGTATCAACTGCAGCCTCTCGTTTTGTAATCAATCTGGGCAACGGCGAAATGAGTACGTGAAGCTTGAATCGGAATTGCTGGGATCATCATGGCTGAGGCTATTATGACACGTTCTTGACAATGATCTTTGTGAGGCTTGACCTGGCCTTCCCATTAACATGTGGATTGTAAATACTCGGGACCAACGATGCTTCTACTCAACCGGGAGACCTCGTCGAGGGCCATGAGATGCTTTTGTGATACCTTGCGCCTGACAAGTCGAATTGCAAAGAGTGTACGGAAACCAATGTCGAATGACTTTTGATTTCCTCTTACTGTACGGCTCGGGGTTCGGTGGAGCGAAGACGTACCGCGGTTCAAAGAAGATTCGACCCCATGATGCTAGCAGATGTCAGTACGTGGTTCAGCATGTTCCAGACCAATCATAGTGCTGTTTAGTGTAGGTGCATCCCGTAAAGCGTTCTTCTCCCTGTCGCCGGCGCGAATGCTGCGCAACTTCGTCACCGACAACCACTCTCTTGCATGCTGGAATATATGTAACGTTTAAAAGTTCTGTTTGTCATTAATGTTCTATTTGCGCATTGACGATGGTAGCTACCCCGCCGTTCACGATGGTGCATTGCTAGTCTCTGCAACGCAAAAGAGCCGCAACCACATTGATCTCCCCAAACACATGCATGAAAAAGAACCACGAGCAAAACAAAAAGAACAGCAAAGGTCGCGCCGGGAGTCGAACCCAGGTTGTTGGAAAGTTCAAACAAGCATGCAGAATCAAAATCCAAAGTGCTAACCACTACACTACGCCACCGTGATTGGAAGAGCAGCAGCCTCCGGTAGCTCTTATAGACTGAAAGCTGCCGGCTGCCCACGGCCCGAGCCTCGACGGACCAAGGTCGAGCTGGTGGAAAGCTGGAACTGACTGAGATGGATACAACGCACTCTTATGTAAAGTCGAAAGCCTCTAGGCTTTCGTGTACGCTTATGTCTATATATCGTGTGTAAACAAAATAGTTTTCAGGTACTAAAAATTACATAATTGCTATCCGCAATCACGAACACCACGGTTCTATAGTGTAGTGGCTAGCACTCAGGATTCTGATCATTTCAGAGCATTCCTGCAACATCCCGGGTAGGACCTAATGTATTCTTTTTGTCTTTTTACCTGATATATAGGTCTCACGTACAATAACACTACCATTATATCTATCAAATACCTGCCTGGGGCCTCGATGCCTACCCGAAGCCTCGAAGCCGGCCGGCCGGCCTTAGCGTGTCTTCAGTGGCCTGCCGGCTGCTGCTTAGCGTAGTCTATGCGACCTTCTAATGGTAAGGACAGCTGGGCCGCGTCGTCACGGTCCTGGTGGTGCCTGATTAGTCATCGACCATTTTTGTGCCTGAGGCATCGAAGCCAAGACTGGGTGGTTAAGAGGCTCCGCTGCTCGTGGCCTCTCTCTCCTTCGTAGCACTTCTTCTCATCGTCCCAAATTGAAATTTTGCGGCTCGCCTTGCCGTTTCCATGACAACTTATCCGAGCTATAGGCTATAGTACGTGGGTGCACTTTGAAAACGCCTGAAGATCTCCACGTATAAGTAAGGGTTGAAACGCCATTGGATGTGAAAGCTGAGCTATTGGACGAACTGTGGGGGATGTGCTCATGTATGATGTTGATTCAGGCCGGGAACCGGATCCCCAGCTCTATAAATACTTCTCTCACTCTACGAGCAGTTCGTCCGCCCAGTCCTGTCAAGTGTGTACCGACCTACTCGCAATGGCGGCACTGGAAACCTACATCCTCGCTCCTAGCTTTTCACCTTCCACCCCAGTCGCCCTCTTCGTCTCGGAATCATCATCACCAACCCCTTCCGGCCCACCAAATGGGTCAGCCAGCTCCCCAAACTCCCTGCCACGAAGAAGCGGGATGCACGAGTCTGTGTTCAAAGCAGAATATCATCTTTGTATACCAACTTCGCCTTGTTGGACAGAAGCGATGGAATCATGGGCCCTCTTGGGCTTTTGCCGGCTCTGGGGTCGCCGAGAAAACGGCGAGGGCATAGGGGGACATGCTAGCTTGGTTGATAGGAGAGAGTTGAATAGGTCGCCCGGTGTCTCATTCCAGTGCATCCACAATACGATTCTTTCATCACAACAGGCAGCCCATGATTGTTTTGAACATCGCAAGATCAACTTTACGGAGGCTGGCTCTTCTATTTACTTCTGCCACTGTGGTACTTCCTTCCCCGCTAGCACTCGTTTGTAATCCTTATATCGGATTCGATCCAGTCAGCCAAACATGCTCAAGAAAACCCACGAAGAAAACGACCATCCCTCTGCGCTCTGGGGCGTGGGAAACGAAGAAAGCGGTCAACTCACCTCACAAGCCAGCCTCACCCCCTGTGCCAATCCAACTTCAGGGACATAACCCAGCACATGCCTCGCCCTCTTGCCGCTCGCGTATCTCACGCCCACGGCGTCCTCGACCGCGCCTCTCGACAGGCTGAAGCTCGGACCCAACCACAAGCCGCCGCCGCTCAAGGCCCAAGAAACGGCGTCCGCAAGGCTGCCCAGCGCTCTGGCCGCGGGGACGGGCACACGCACCTCGAAGGGCGGGTAGTGTCCGAACTGGGCCCACACGGCGCGGCAGAAGTCGCGAAAGGGGATGGGCGAGGTGTTGGTGATGAAGACGGGGAGGCCGGCGGCGGAAGGAGGGCCTCGATCAACACCGTCGTGGTTGAAGGGCGATGCAGCCAGCAAGAGATTCTGCACAGCGAGGACGTGGGCGTCGGCGGCGTTGGTGACGTAGGTAATGTCGTAGAGATTGAAGCCAGAGCCGAGGGTGACGGCGGTGGCGGCGCGGGTGGCGACGAGGGCATGGATGGCGGGGATGAGGTTTGTGTCGCCCGGACCGAAGAGGACGGAGGGCCGGAGAGCGGTGGTGAGGAAGGGCCGTGGTAAAGAAGGGGAATTTGCGGAAAGGACGATGTTTTCGGCGTGCGCCTGGGAAGCCAGGTCAGACACCACCAGAAGCGGAAATATCTAGGAATAGAGGAACGGGGTGGCCATCACCTTCGACTCTCCGTATATCCACCTCTTCCTTCGCACGTCTTCGAACTCTTCCTCTGCGTTGGGCACCTCCCGGCTCAGATCGTCACCCAACACGGTGCTGCTGCTCGTGTACACGAATGCCCTCACGCTAGAACACTCCTTGGCCGCCTCCAAGACGTTCCGAGTGCCGTCTACATTCACCTCGAACACGCGCCGGCGGTCCCGTTGGCGGTACCGTGACGCGCCGGCTGGGACGATGCCAGCGCTGTGCACGACAGCGGTAGGGCGTGCGGTGGTGAAGGAACGCCGGACGGCTTCTTGGTCGCAGATATCGACTTGAAGGAAATGCACATTGGAGCAAGTTGGGAGTGACCAAGGCGAGCTGGTGTCTACGACGGTGTATTGGTGCGATGGGTACTGGGAGAGGAAGGCGGAAACAATGTGCCGGCCAAGAAAGCCGCAGCCGCCGGTGATGAGAACGTGCTGCTTCTCGAGATCCATGGTCGTCGAGCTGACGTTTGACTGGAATGGAGACGGAACGAAAGAGGCGCTCAACACCATGACGTCATCCATCATGCACTGCACAAGGTTGGTGGAAAGAAGCTTCCGAGCGACATGCTGAAATCTTGCGCGCACTGGCGTGACAGTCTAAAAATTTTCCTCCGGCTTCGGCACCAGGCAAGAAAATCCACAGGCCACGAGCCGACCCTCTATCGCATCTCCACTAGACCAGCCAAGATGAGAATAAACGAACACACAGGTGCGCCTGCACCCTCCCGAGCTTGCTCCTGCACCGACTGACGCCCCCTCCGCAGCACTCCTCACCCCCCGCGTCCTACTGGTCCCCTACAGCGCACACCACGTGCCCGCCTACCATGCTTGGATGCAAGACCCTGCCATCCGTGAAGCCACGGCGTCGGAGCCGCTCACGCTAGACGAAGAGTACGCGATGCAGCGCAGCTGGCGTGACGACGCAGATAAGCTGACGTTCATCGTCTGCCTTGCACCACCAGCCACTCCTGACAAAGTCCATGGCAAAGTCCACGACGCCCCGGCCGCCATGATTGGCGACGTGAACCTCTTCCTCGTCCCGGACGACGAGCAGGAAGACGGAGACGCCAACCCGCTCTCCGTCGTCGGCGAGCTCGAGATCATGATCGCCTCGGCCGCGCACCAGAACCGCGGCTACGGCGCCGCCGTCCTGTCCGTCTTCATGGCCTACATCCGCCGCCGCATCGACGGCATCCTGGCCGAGTACTGCGCAGCGTCGCCCTCAGGCTCGAGGAAAGCGCTGCTGAAGCATCTGCGCGTCAAGATCGGCGCCAACAACGAGCGGAGCCTGCGTCTTTTCGAGAGGGTGGGCTTCGCGCGCCTGAGCGAGACACCCAACTTCTTCGGCGAGCTGGAGTTGAGGAGAGGTCTGGATGTGAACGGGGAGGAGGCGAAGCGGGCCGACGCCGGCGTGGAGTTGGGCTACGAAATTGCAGCAGAGTAGGCATGGATACGCTCAAGATTGCCAAGCTCAAAGTCGATGAAGAGATCCCGTGGCGTCATATTAAAGCTCGATTATCTGGAGAAAGACTCCCCCTAGAGTACAGGCCGGCAGAAAAAGACCTAGACCATACACAGTCAGAACATGACCATGGGCCTGAACATTACATCCCATTGACCCAACCTCATTCGCTCGCATCTTCGTGTTCCCAATAGTACAAAAAGCCACCCTCGTGATAAGCGTATCGTGACAAACAAACTTCGTTCCTCACCCCCTCACGGCCTCCAGAACCTCCAGCCTTCCCTGTACTCGGCGTTGCCCTCACCATCAGGCAAGGCCATGTTCACTCCGACCAGTTTCTCAATGCCCGGATTGCCTTCGGCCTTCAGGAATTTCTCCTGGTCGATTTCCTCGCCGCCTTCTTCTCCAGAGACGTTGTGCAGGACGGCCGGCCACAGCACGCCGACGCCGTCGCCGGCAAGCGTCGTCTCGAACTTCTCGAATCCCTCAGCCACCAGCTTCTGCTCCAGATCAACAAGCGTCTTCGACTTCCTTCCTGCCTTCAGGTCCAAGCCGTTTTCAACGCTGACCGAGTTGTGCCGCGAGACAGGGCGGCTGCTGGCCTCGGGCTTGAGGATGGTGATGGCGCATCCACCACCGCCGGCACCGGTGAGCTTGGTCCATCCAATGCCGGCATGGTCGATGAGCGCGCGGATCCGCTCCAGCTTCGGGTGCGACACGCCCAGCGAGACCAGAAGACCGTGGTTGATGGTGATCAGATCACCCAGGTGATGCAGGGCCGCGGGGTCCTGGGGGTCGAAGTCTTCGGCAGAGATGAGCCGATGCGCCGATTCCGTCACGTCGTTGATGGCGCTGAGCAATTGTTCTGCGATGAGGGGGTGCGCGTTCTTGAGGTGCTGAACCTTGGCGACTTCGGTGGCCGTGCTGCGGGACTGCCGTGTGTTTACCAGGAGCAGGGGAAGCTCGGGGAAATCGCGCAGTGGAGTGACGGTTGGCGGCTTCGAGTAGTCCGTCCTTTGGAACAGGACGGCCTTGCCGCCACTGGAAACCGTGTTGTCCACTCCCGACGGGTTTCCGTGGATGCACATCTCGCCGACAAAAGCCCACCTGTTTATGCGCTCGATCTGCAGCTCCGACTCCTGCGAGGGCTGGTCGGGGTGGGGGCCGCTGAGGGCCCTGATCTGAAGCAGCAGCGCGGCTGCCAGGCATACCGCGATGCTGGCGCTGCTCCCCAGGCCCGCGCCAATGGGTATCGTCGAGCGAAGCGTGTATATGCAGGGAGCAGACCTCTGCGAGCCGAGCGAGAGGAAGAGGTAGAGAAAGGCCGAGGCCGAGGCCTGATGGATCTTGCGGATGTGCTCAGGCTGGTCGGGAGACACGGCCTTGATGTGCGGCTGGAGCGAGTCGACGAGCTCGGGGTCTAGGGCGGTGACGAGGTCGTAATAGTACTTCTTCTTGTCGGGGGCGGAGAAGACGGGCCAGGGCAGGTCGTCGATGTTCCACGTGTGGTTGAGGTCGATGTCGGGGAAGCGGAGCGAGACGGTGCGTTTCGACTTGGAGAGGAAGGTGACGAGGAGGTACGAGCGAAGGGAGATTGCAGCAGCAATGGCTGCCTAGCTCAAAGTCAGCGTTTAGCGTGGGAGCCGGTGGGAGTTTCAGACTTTGCCGTGGACGACGGCGTGTTCGCCGTAGACAATGACCTTGCCCGGGGCGGACACCATGAAAGGAGGCATCAGCGGGGACGAGTTCTTGCGGTGTGGCAGCGGCCTCGCGGCGCCATTGACGGCGCCGTCGGCGGGGGGCGGAGAGGCCATGCTGGCGAGCGAGTTGGGGGTGTGCACGGCGTTGGAGGTGCTCGAGGAGGCGTCGCTGTCCGAGTCGGTCGAGGGTGCGGCGTAGCTGTTGGGGTGGGACGGGTGGGCGATTTCAAGCGCGCCGCTCATGGTCGCAACGGCGCGTCTGGCTGAGGACAACGGGGGGCACGCGAAAAGGTTGAGCTGGACAGGCAGGCTAACAGGCAGATACGGGTGGGTCTCCGGCTTACTGGCACCCTGAGGGCGGTGTGGGAGCTGACGGCCGCCTTTCTGACTGCGGCAGCGGTGACTCGCCAGAAAATCTGGGGTTGTTGATGCCCCCTTGCGTCAATGGCACAGGCCAAGCCAGGCACACCCGCCGCGTCCAACGCTCGCCTTGCAGGCGCCCTTTGCCGTCCGCCTCGCTATCGCCGTCTGCCTGGGCAGCCATAGCTCTAGCCGGCCGCTCAGCCTTGCCATGCGGGCCACGGCCGGACGATGGCCGCGCGAGGCCAATCAGGCGGAAGCATTTGCGTATTACGACACGGCCTTCCCGAACGGGGATCCAGAGGCCGCTGGTCGAGGGCCCAGTTGTGTGGAGCTGGGCCGGATGGCCGCAAGGGCGACGGCAGGGCGGTGCAGCAGTTGGTTGTAGTGTCTGGGTACGATGAGCTGGCCACTCGCCCAATCTTCAGCGCCGCCATGTCAGCTGCCTGCCAGACAGCCAGCGCCTGAGTGGCGGGCGGCGAGGCCTTCCAGCACGTGCGCGCGCGGCAACCACTTTCTCGCCGACGCGCTCCCGTGCCGTCGCGAGAAGCTCTGACGTGCAAGCTTCTGCGAAGACACACCCGCCATGGCCTCCTTCCGCGCCCCGGCCTTCCGCCGCCTGGTCACCCGCCCGCTCTCCACGCCCAACCTCGCCCATAGGCGGTGGGCCCAGGTGCACGATGTCCGCTACCTAGCCACCCACGGCGCCCAGCAGCGCGTGCTGGCAAAGTACAAGGAAAAGCTCGACCGCAAAGCCAAAGAGTATGCCATGGTGACTGCTGCTTGCTTCCCGTGCTGCGAGCCCAGGCTGACAGAAGGCCCAGGACAGGCGTCAAGGACATTGACGAGCTCAAGGCAGTCTACAAAGAAAAAATCGAGACTGTGCGGAAAGAGGCAGCCGCGCTGCCCTCGACCGCCGAGACTACTACCGATCAGCTTCCCTTCAAACCCCCGCCGCCGCCGACAGCGCAGTCTGCCTCGCAGTCGTCCGCTGACTCGAAGCTTCCGCCGGGCGTGAAGACGCTCTCTTCCTTCATCGATGTCGAAAAGACGCTGGAGTTGCCCGAGAAGGAGATTGAGATGATCTGGCGTCTGCGCCACGCACGCAATCCGCAGTCGCTCTGCGCCGTCATGAAGAGCAGCGGCTGGGATACGATATACAAGAACGCACGCCAGCACCCGCAGTTCGTGCTCCCCATCCCTCGCCAAAGCCAGGATGGCCAGGCCGCCGAGATCCACTTCATGCAATGGACCTTCCCCGCGGAAAACTGCGCCACCGTTCTGTTCACCCACCTGGCCGAGTACCAGCTGCGGAGCGAGTTTGCCGCCCCGCACACGACCGTCACGTTCCATGCGGACATGGCTGGATCCAAGGGCTTGGTGCTGGTACAGGGCAATGTGGTCGAGAATCGTGGCGTGTCAGTCGACGAGGGCAAGTGGCTGCTGATGTGCTTGCAAAAATTCTATGGCTTGCAGGCCGAGGAGGCTGGTGGCAAGCGCAAGTCGTTGCTGGAGATGTTCAGCCGTGGTGATGGCGGCTTCAAGGTCGAGGAGCTTCTAGACGAGGCGGAAAAGATATAAAATGCCAAATATCGCTAGACTACGACTCTGCGCTGGGTTCAAAGAATGAATGCGGATCGTACGGATACGCCTGCGTCGTGTTTGAAAGCACACACCCAGCAGCTCATAAATCCCAAAATCAGAAAATCCCGCTCCCTCTCGTCAACGCCATCCATTCCTTTGCGAACAATTACCAGTGAGTGTTTTCGACCGTCGCACGATTTGGAAACTTCAACATCAGACCTCAATAACAGTACGCCTATACCGCGGGAGATGCCTTTGGACGCTTCGAAGTTGGTGGCGCGTGGAGAGTGTCGGTTGACGATCGCTTTCTCCTCAGACTGTGGGCTCTTTCCTTTATGAGGTGCTCGACATGATCCTGGATCTGTTCCGAACTGCCGTCAGAGAACAAGTATTGATCTCACGGGACTCCCCCGGCCTTACTTGCTTGTTACTTGGACCATGGGTCCTACTCTGCAGCAAATTGTCGTCAGCCCACAACCTCTCTATCGTCGGGGCTGGCACGAGTACCAACCGTCAACTCCCGCTCCGCCTGGGTGAGTCGGAAGGTCTTTTCACTAAGCTCATCCTGAGTAGCCGAGGACATGATCAGCATGCTGCTAGGAGGAATAGGCCGTCCTTACCTACCTCCAGCTGGATCTTCATACTCCTCAAAATTGACTCCGACTTTTCCGAGCGTCTCAGATCATCCTTGGTTATCTCCAGATCGGCTATGAGCTCACGATTCAAATCCTTAAGAAACTTGTTCTTTCGCTGCTCCTCGGCGTGCATCTCCTTGAGGCGTTGTACCTCCTTGCTCCACGGGAGATCGGCCCAGAAACCCATGTTGATGAAGATAGTTTGACGGGAGAAAGATTGACGGGAGTTGGTAGAGACCGAATAGGAGCACTTTCATTTGGATTCCGGTGCTTTGTTCCGTTGTTGAAAGCCGTTTGCTGAAAGGACTCGTCTTTGTCGTTCGCTTTCCTCCGCGAAAGGAATGCGCGCGACGACTTGGCGTGCTGAAAGCATCGCGTAGACGCAGCAGCAGAGGGAGTGGAGGCTGGGAAGGTCTTCAAAGGGAGCAAGCTGATGAGTGTCGCGTATTTCCGGCTTCTGTTCCAGAATCCGTCGATCTGGCGCTGGGTCATGCAGGTGCACCCTTGTATGACGTGGGCAGGGACCGCCTTCCCCGCACGCTGGTGTGCTTGTCTGCGACAAGCTCAACGCCGTCTCCGCTCTTAAGCTTTGGTCCACTTATTTAACCCACCGGCCCTTCCGCTGGACGCTTTGCTCCAGTCAGCCCCACCTTTTGCATCAGCATCATGTCGTCCACAACTTACCGGTTCCTGGTAGCGTTTGCGCTCATTTCTCTCGTCGTCTCGACCATGGGGCTCGGGGAGATGGATTTGAAGAATCAGGGTGGTGTAAGTTTGCCACCATAGCACCGAGCCGTTTACAGCACCCATTTCCAGGCCAACAAACGTGCCCTCATCGAGCCGTTCACATGACCACCTCGTGAACTCCTCAATATTAGCACCCGACTGTTCTCAGTCACCACCAATTCATACATAGCCACTAACTCTCGCCTCCAACGCCGGACCCTCACTAACCCCTGCTAGCGCCCCAAACCGTTCGCCGAACGTCTCCTCGCCTTCCTGCCCCGCAACGCCAACCCGGATTCCCCCACTGACCGCGTCCAAACCGTCGACACTCAGGACCTGACGACGAGCCTACAGAGCGTCGTCGGCAGCCCGAGCGCCACGCTGCCCCCGGTCGCGACGGGATCGACAGTACACACGGGAGGCGTTGGAGGCTCGCCAACTTCCGCAGCCTCGCCGACGACGACGAGTGGAGTTCTGGGGCCGAACACGACGGGAAGCGTGCCGAGCAATGGCAATGTGGTCCCTGGTACGGCAACGGGAAGCACGAGCGCGGATGCGAGTCGAAGTAGGAGCGGGAGCGGCGAGGCAAGCATCAAGACGACGTCGAGTGCGAGGGGGAGTGGCTCTGCTGCCGCCTCGGCCTCTGCTTCCTCTTCCGCCAGCCTGACCGGGTCGTCGCAGCCGCAGGGCGCCGCAGCCGTGGACAACGCCGTCGGCATTAGCAGGGTGTTGGGTGTGGTAATCGCGGGAATGGGTTGGCTACTGTAAGACTTCCCCAGGATGCTAGATTGGCGGGGGTGGGTCTGGTAGAAAAAAGTGATCAGCGGAACAAGGTATGTTCTACTACGAAAACAGCTGATGACACGGAAGCTGGCTTCTTTTCGAGGGTTGATGATATACCTGGTAAGCTGTCGTCAATGGCGCCCGCGACGGATACTCATGATTGTGTAACGGAATCCACTCCCAAGTAGACTTTGGCCTCTTCGAGCACATGAAATACGCAAATGTGTGATAAAATTAATCTAAGGTGGCTACGCCCTTTTTAAACGCCTCAAGGCACAAAAAATATAGCCTCTTCGTTTAGTGTTATGTTGTAACTCCTGATATGTGGCATAAGATTGCTAGGGAAAAAGACCTTGGCCTTAGGGAACGGGGGAAGATGGTAGTGACTTAATAAAAAAGAAGAAGAGGATCGTACGCCATGAAACCCTCCTGTAGAGAAGGAAGAATGGGGAAAGCGCATTTCGACTGCATCTTCCCGCCTCAGCAAACCTATGCAGCAATAGCCATGTTAATCAGAGCTACACACGCTCACAATGCGGCTTCTCGGCCCCCGGCTCCCATTGACTGGTCGATGACTTCCAAGTTCGCCAGGCTGGTATATAGCCCTACATGGGACGTCTTCAGCATTCCTATGCTCAGCACTTTCAGGCTCAGCATCATGCGGAATCGGGCTCCTGAGGAATAGTCCCTGAAGTGAGTAACTTCTCCGCTGGTATGGCCGGGGGTTCGCGGATCTCGCCTTCCTCTATGTCGTCAGAAGTTCCATCGTAGTTGAGGATGGTGTTGTGGTTGATTCCAGCTGCTGGGTGGCGAGTGGCGTCACGGTCGAGGTCGTCTTCATCTTCATCTTCGGTAGTGGACTCGACGCTCAAGTCATGCTCATGAGAAGAGAGGTAGACCCCGATGCGGCGGCGAGGGCTAGCGGCGGGCTGGTGTCTGGTGGGGATGGGGCTTCGCTGGCTAGCATTGGCTGGCTGCATATTTGGCTCCTCCCTCGAGATGCTGCACTTCGGAGAGAGGATGACTGAGTTCTCCATATCCTCGCTGCTACCCGCGGCGTAGCCGTCATCTTCCTCCCTCTCGATTCCGACGGAGGCGATGGCGGAGGTCATGGCGCCGTGGGTTTCGATGTCCTTTCCACTGGTTTCGCTGTTCTTGGGGTCTTCATCGTGCTTCCCGTCGCTCTCCTGTATGCCTCTAGCCATGTCCTCTCTACCGGCGCTCGGATCCCCCTCGCCGTCCTCCTCTCCTTCCAGCTCCGGCAGTACACCGTATCTCTCGTAGCTTATCTCTGTCCGCTTGAACAGTGGGCTCGTGGTCCACTTCTTATACGCCACAACCGCATCCCTTATGTCCCAGAAAACCAACCTAATCGAGCCATCCTGCAGGAACTCGGGCGGATCTTGCAGCCTACCATCGCATCCACCTGCGCTACCACCACCCTTTCCGCCATCCTTGCCGCTGGTAGTGTATGGACAGTGCTCGATTTGATAGCGCAAGTTCGCCGGAACGCGTAGGGCGGCACCGGGATCCTCAATGACAAGCGTTCTGCTTGCACCGCCGCGCCAGACGACCTCACCAATCTCGATGGGGATAGGAGGGCTTGGGCCACAGTGCTGGGTGGCTTTGAAGTCATTGCTACATCCTTTTTCCCTCGGCGAGGCGTACTCGGTAGAACGGACAAAGTCAGCAGCAGCATCGCCGCGGGCGAACTCGAGCGTCAGCGCGTAGCTAGTGGCCACCTCGGTTGGGGAGACGACACAGACTGTCTTTTTTGGCGGGGTGACGGAGAGGAGGAGGTAGCTCTTGGACGCCTGTTCCATGAGGCCAGGGATGGACTCTATGGAGAGGATGTTGGTGACGTCCACATGGCGGTGGTTATGCAGGGCGGACTTGAAGATGGGCCAGTACGGGCTCCTTGCGTGAATGCTCCGCTTGAGTCCGTAAGACTCTGGGACAAGCTGATAAGAAGAGGGGGTAGACGTGGCGGTCGCCTTCTTGTTATCGACTTTCGAGGCCGACGGCTCGTCGTAGAGGTCCTCGCTAAAGTCCAGGTAGCCGCTCGACGGTTGTTCGTGCAGTGGCAGGGGGGCCTCAACAGGCCGGTCGAGGTCGGCGTAAGAGATCAGCTTGCTACCACCAAAGTAAGGTCGAGGTGAGATCTGCGGTGGCCAGGGCTGGGGGAAGTATCCAGGATAGAAAGGGCGAGGGTTGGGCGGCGGACGGCCATGAGAGCGAGGAGGACGGAGTTGATCCCTTTCGAAGCGGCCGAACCGCGTCGTCTCGTCCCTGTGCTGGGTTTGCGAGAAGCTCTTTGCGGATACGGTCGGTCGGACGGGCTCCGGAGCGTGGACCTGCTTCTGGGTTAGCAGACGTCAACAATGACGAACCGGGGTACAACTCTACCTCGGCAGATTCCTCGACCGCAGTCACATCCCCAGGAGCAGCTGCAGAAGAAGGGGCAAAGTAGCTCTTATGACGCGACTTTGTGGGTTCCTTGGGCTTCCGCTCTTCCTTCTTTGTTGGGTGCATCCATTCTGCCGCTGGGATGTCGGTCTCCTCGGAGCGGTCCTGATGTCCAAGCTCTGCCCTTTTTGCAAACTGCTCTGAAGAGTTATAGACGGTCGGAGGATCAATTACCATCTCGGGAGGCAGTGCATCCTCCATCTTTGCCGGAGAAGCGTGGACTACACCTCCAAGGACTGCGTTGGAGCCGGGGCGCTTGTCATGGTGAAGCTTCGCCTTCAGCCTCTCCAGCTCCACCTCTAGCCTGAGCTCCTCAAGCCGCTGCTGAAGCAGCCCCGTGTCGGACTTGCTGGCTGTGCCGGAACCGGAGAGATTGCTGGCAGCAGGCGGGCCGTGCTCGTCAACGCGGAGCCCGAGCAGACAGGCAACGGTCTGCTCAGCACGGATGCGGGCTTCGCGCTCAGCACGAAGCTGAGCGTCGAGCTTTCCGAGGTGGTACGCTGCAGCTTGGTCTTTGGGGATCTCGTAAGAGTTCATGGTGACGTTGTTTAAATCAAGTGGTTCGGGCGGCTAATGTGAGGTTGAGGGGGGGGTGGAGGCCCGCTGGCATACCAGCGAGTGGATTGCTCTGAACAAATGAGGTCAGATGGCCTTACTGAGTTGTTGTGATGCTGTCAGAATGGCCAGCTCCTCACGACGGTGTTGGCGAACGGACCTGATGTCACGGTGCCTTCAAAGTGCATATGCAGTGGGTGGTGGGTGAAGACCTCTCAAGCGTCTGGGTGAAGGTTGCGTTCTTATAAGCGGTCGTCCTCAGGGTCCTGCAGATTTGGGAATGCGCGACCACCTGCATCCTGCAGATGACCGATGGATGATGCTTCAGTGCACGAGCGTCCAGTCAAAGCCTTGAGCTATAGTGTTCGAAACCTTTGCAACATCATGAGCGACCCATGCCGGCACAAAGACCTGACTGGAGCCAGGGTAAACTTCTATGGAGTCTCACGGGCGTGCAGGTCCATCGTTCGGCATCGTCATGGTCGACAGAACTGCTGAAGATCCCACAGTGAGGTCCGTTTTCATAACAGCCGGTACAATTATACAGTCCGTTCGAATCATCCAAAGAACTCTCCTCTAACCTCGCACTCCCACGGCCTTCCAGAACTCCAGACCCTCTCAACAAGCTCTCTCGCCCTCTGCACCTGGCTCATCCCGAACCCTTCCACTGCATTAAGCCTTTCTAGAATCCTTTCGCGCTGGCCCTCCTCTTGCGCGTCGCAGCCGGCAGAAAACATTGGGAACAGCAAGCATGCTCCGGCACTGCCGTCCGGCCGTACCCGCTCAAGCGCGTTGAAAATCTCGCGGACCGCGTTCCGAACCTCAGGGTCCGACGGCGGCCGTCCAAGAACGCGGCGCAACAGATGGAGCAGCCCCGCCCAGTGGAATGCTTCGTTAGTCGCGTATATTTCGGCCTCGTCCCAGGGAAGCTCCTTGACCTCTTCTGGTGGCGAGTCGGCGGCCGAGCGGTCGCCGTGCGTACAGCCCTTGTACACGACCTTCTCGCATCCATTCCGCAGGTCAATACGCAGCTGCTCTGCTGCAGCAACGACATCCTCAGGCGGCTGCCAGCCTTCGCGAACGGACCCGCTCGCTTCGTCGATGCGGAGCGGTTCGCAGCGCTTTGCCAGCTCCGCGATGCGCGCGAGACAGCCGACGAAGCGGTTAGTGAAGCCGAGGAGGCAGTCTATCTGGCCATCACGGATGGCATCTTCTTCGCCGACGGCAAGGTAGCCAGAGTTGAGCGGTGTGTCGTTCTTGCTGCCACTGAGGCTCCCGACAACGTCGAGGTACGCAAACCACCGGCTCAAAAAATAGGCGACCTTGTCTTTGCGATTCAGAGACCGGAGCCCGCCGCGTGCGATAATCATCTGGCGAGCCAGCTTGAGGTGAGACTGCCAGGAAATCGGAACCTCGAACGCATTGGGCGATATGACCTCTAACGAAGCAAGCATGATGGCGGTACACAAGTTAGAATCAGAAATCTGCTCGGCGCTGTCCAGAGCGCGCCGAAGCCTGGGGAACACATCTTGCACCCAAACCGCTATCCGGTTTGCGGGTTCGGGGTGGCAAAGCAAGCGTGCCCTGTGGCTCGCAGAGAATGCCAGGAGAAGGCCCAGAAGATCGTCGTCGGTGACAGCCAGCTGCGGGAGGATATTACGGAATGGGTTCTGTTCGCAGTCATGCGGGACCAGGATGCGAGCAGTGTGGTTCAGGAAATGGTGAAAATACAGCAGGTTCATGGGATTCTCCAAGAGCAAAGAAGGCAACGGCTCGAAAGCCTTGGGGATCTTGATTGGCACGGGTTTGGCGTAGTAGCCATTTGCTTCGAACGCGATGCTTTTCTGCCGCCCTTGCGATTCATCGGAACCGTCAGACGAGAAATAGTTCGGCCCGCAGTAGGAGACCGGGGGGCTGAACAGCGCGATAGCCGCGCCATCGTCGTTCCGCGGTGTGTCAAGATCTGGCTGGCCGATGTCGTATCCGTACGTGGTGGTGCCGGACTTGACGTCCGAAGCGGGATAATGGGGCGTTTGTTCCCGCGCCGAAGAGGCGTCGTCAATGAGCAGGTCGTTCACAGACAGCCGACGAGGATCGGGCGAAGGCTGATATGGAGCGGCCAGGGCTCTCGAACCAGGCTTCAGCGCGCTCTCCTCAGACGCGACGGAGGAGCCAGGAGTCAGCGGAGTGCCGACAAACGAGCCGTAGGGCGTGGCGGGGGCGATCGAGTACGGCGACGGGGCATCCGGTGGTCCAGAGGCGGCACTCTGCGTCCCAGGCGAAGCGTCAGTCGGACTCAGCCGCACGCGCTTGGTGCGGTGCTCGGCGGAAGTGGTGGCGGGCGGACTGGCTGGAGGGTGCATCCGGAGCGGGGGCAGCATGGGAGAGCCAGACGCGAAGTCGGGCAGAGGAGAGGGATAGTCGCGGGGCTGTATGCGGGGGTCCACGGGCAAGGCGGTCGAGTGGTGGGCGTCGAATGGAAGGACGGAGGCGGCGAAGTCGTCGCGCGAGCGCTTGGAGCGGCCGCCCCAGTTGAGGCGGATCGAGTAGTCGCACGTCTCGCCCTGGCGCTCGCAGTTCAGGCAGCGCGGCTTCTCCTCGCCGCTGGGGGCGCGTCAATTGCGAGGGTTCGGCGGTGGGGAAGGGTGGACCGTACCATTTAACCTTGCGGGCTTTGCAGGGCCTGTATAATGGCGCAGAGGGCGCGTCAGCACAAATGGCGCATTGTTCGAGCGCGGAGCATCACCAGCAGCCATTCCGGCTCCGTCTCTTGGGCTCGGGCGCGCCGTCCTTCTTAGGGCGCGGCATGTTCGACGAGAGACGTTGCGGGTCGTCGTCTCGAGAAGCAGCAGCAGGTAGGTGGGGGCAAGGAAGGCGCCAGCGCTTGGCGGCAAAGGCAGTGCTGAGCGGGATGGCGATAAGAAGCCCCCATCGCTTGCTCGCCACTATCGCTCCCGCTGGCCTGCCCGAAGCAGCTCCCAGCAACCGCCCACCGCTTGCCCGTTGCGGCAATGCGCGGGCCGTAGATGGCAGCTGGTGTCGCTGTCGGCCCGGACGCTGCCAGCTGGCGGGAGGTTGCGACGCCCGCCCACGTGCCGACGCGACACGACCTTGGCGTCATCATTAACGCTGCCGCAGCCCTGCCAACCCACCTTTTTTTTTTTCTCATCATCTCCAACTCCAGCCGTTTCCGCCTGTCGCTTTCTCCGGAAACAAAACCCCGAACATGATCGCGGATACCGTCCAGCATGCTGCTGTCAAAGAGGGCCGGAAGCTCGCGTCGAAGCACCCGCTGCAGCGCCTCAACAGCCCATCGCGCGGTGCATCCGCGCTGCTCCACGTACGCTGTAGCCGTCACCAGTCGCCCTCTGCAAGTTTTGACCAGCACCTTCTCGACAGTTCATCGGTTGCTGCAGCTTCGCATACTCCTTTCATTAGTATGCTCCCCATCAACTTTGCCTGCGCCTTCAACAGTTCCTCCTCCTTGCCGGAAGCCCGCGGGAAGGCACGTCCCGAGTATCTCGGCCTCCAATCCCACCATATTGCAGCTCTTCAGGGCGCCGGGGAAGGAAGAGAGCTAGAAGCGCTCCAAAATCCGCATGCGAAGTAGCATCAGCTAACGTCCCATCCCAGCCTAATCTACGAACCCAACCCCATCAGCGAATCCTGGGGCTGGCACCTGCAATTTCTGACCTGCTGCGGCCTGTCCCTCGGGTTCCTGACCTACGTCCTCGCCCTTCTCGCTGACCTGACCCTCTCCCGCACGCTCTACCGCGCCAAGAACCTGCTCGCTCTGACATCCGCCCCGCTTGAGTGCTGCATCTCGGTCCTCTACTGGGTCATCAAAGCTATCGACCCGCGCCTTCTCCTGCACCCGGATCTTCCTGTCCTCCACCTGCTGCCCGACATATCCTTCCACCTCGCCCCCGCCCTCTTCCTCGCCCTGGATCTTCTCTTCTTCTCCCCGCCCTGGACGCTCACCGCCGCCCCCGCTCTGGCCGTGAGCTCGCTCGTGGCCGTGAGCTACTGGTTCTGGGTTGAGGCCTGCTTCGCCCACAATGGCTTCTACCCCTACCCGCTCTTCGGCCAACTCGACACCAACGCGCGCGTCCTTCTCTTCTCCGGCGCCGCTGCCATCATGGCCGTCAGCACACTCGCCCTCAAGGCTGTGTACCAAGCTGTGAACGGCTTGAGCAGGAATGATGCCACGGATGGCGATGCCAAGAAGGACTTGTAACGCGCCTCAAACGGCGCCAAGCAAGCTTTAAATGGTCCGTCTGCGAAGGGTATTATCGTTTGCCTGTCGTGGATGACGAATAATCTATATGTACATCTATTGGCCGAGAAAAGATATCTTTTTTCGATTTTGAACATGCTCTGGACGTGCTGGTGCATCTTGGCTCGGCTCCTGTCTCTGTTCGTTTTAGATAGTCCAGCGTAGATAACGGACTTGTATAGACAATATTATATCGGTAGACCTTTCTAGGCCGCGGCGAGATGCTCGCTTCATTAGTACGTGATTGTTACCGAATTCCTCAAGGTTGACGTTGCCTTAGAACAGGGCCAGTTCTTTCCGTGGCCTCACCACCTCAGCGAGCGGCCATCCGTGAAGCCAACCTTCCATTCGTCCATGGCTATGTATCCCTGTTCTCTGGTCCTCCACAAGTCATTGCAAGCGCTGTAGCTACATCGTGCATTGACCCATTTGACAATGCAAAAGAGAAGGGAAAAGCCTATCCCATTTTGTACGCCGTCGCTTTCCTGAAGATGATGCCTACGAAGATGCTTGAAAAGGAAATGCAAGTCCCGCCTGTTAGCCTGAGAGTTCCCATGAACACCTTAAATCGCCGGATGCTAGAAATCGTTTGTGGAGACCTGAACCTTATTGGCGCCAAAAGAAAAAAAAAAGGAAACCTCTCTCATCACCCTTTTTAACTTTTCCGAGCGAGTGTGAATTGGAAGTAAACCAAAAGAAAGAGAGAGAGAGAGAGAGAGAGAGACATCAGCCGTTAGCCGTTAGCCATGATTCGTTAAATAATCAGAAAGGACCCGCAAAGCCAAATGTACGACGATCGCATCGCCTGAATGTCGCGCTAAAAGCCGATATTGGCGTGCGCGTTGATGATAAGTTTCCTTCGAATGCCATGGAGAAGGCTATCAAGAGTCCGGGAAGTATGAAGGCGGAAGCTCTATTGACATGAACACGGGCTGCTTGGAAAGGGAAATAAAAAGGCCAGTCCCGGTAGAGAAATTCTTAGGATATCTCAAATGCCCTCCAGCGAAGAACAGGCGCGTCAGCGAAGAGATGCGGTTTGCTGAAAATCGAAAAGAGGACGGTAGTCCATCGTGTCATCGTCCGAGCTTGCTATATGCGTGTCTGCATACAGCATTTCGCACGCCCCACGCGAGGAAATGCCCTGCTCAATTGTTGGGTGTCGTCGGTGCAGAGAACGCACGTTCATCTTCCATCTTGGGCTGAGCTTTGGGGCCCGTGTCCTCCAGTCCGAACGCGCCTGGGGTCAGAAATGCGTTGTTGTTGACCCAGAAATTAGTGCTCGGAAAGCCAGGTCCAAGAAGTCCATTCATGTCCGTCTGCTGTTGGAAAGTCTGGAAAGGATGACCCATGAGAGTGACCCCATTCTCGAAGTAGGTGGGTGTCTGGTGGAAGGCCATGGGCGCGGGCATGTTGTCGTAAGTAGAATGCATCGATTCCATGCCGTGACCGAAGGGATTGAAATCCAAGCCGTGGAAGTAGTCTTGCTGCAGCAGAGACTGTCCCAGTTGGTGCTGAGATTGACCCACGTGTTGGGTGACTCGGTCCATCTGCTGTTGAACCCTATCATGCCGCTGCTGCTGAGGTTGGTTGGGGGAGCGTGATTGTTCCTGCTGGGATGGATGGTTGAACTCAGAGGTCAGCATGGTCATGCTGGTCGAGCGGCCAAAAGGCTCGTCATCCTCCTGCCTGAAGACATCGAAACCAGGCCTGCGCCGCTTGCGAGAGGGCTCGGCGGGCCGCTCGTCAGAGACTTGGCCTTGACCCAAGGCGCGTTGCAAGTCGAGCTCGTCTTCCAAGATCAGGTCATTGTCGTTGCGCTTCCTCGGAGATCTGCGACGATTGCGCGCGCCGGTGCGGGACTGCTGGCGGGAGGAGTCACGGAGATTCGGTACTAGCTCCAACAGGGGCGGACGAAGTTGATAGTCAATGGTAGGAGAGGCGTCGAACTTCGCCGGAGAACTGTCAGTCACCGAGCCGGAGATGGGTCTCTCCTTGCGCAGGGTGCCGCAGGGCGTCCAGATATGCTCCGTCGCTTCAACCTCGCGACTGTTGTACTCGAGTTGCTCGACGACAGAGACGTCCTTCTTCTGGTTCCTCTTACGCTTCATCTCCGGAGTGGCAGAGTCGAAGATGTCCATTCCTGGCCAGTAGATGCCCTTGAGCCTCGAAGCTTCACTGACAACGGTGGTGTCGACGACCTCGTCGTCATCCCTGTCGGCACTGAAGCTGGGGGCTGTGGATGGGGCTGTCATCGGCGGCGTGGCGGGGCGGGAGCAAGGGTCCGACTTCTCGGTGAAGATGTCCGAGCCTTCGATCATACTGGACGACACTGTGGAATGGCTGAACGGGCTGGGCCAGGCGTTCTGCTTCGGCACGAATGCGGGCGGAAGATGATGGCGATCGGGGAACTTGGGAGACTGCGAGGGACTGGGCTCGTCCTTCACAAGCTGATCTGCAAGACGAGGATCGAGAGCGTGGGTGTTCGTGGCCCTGCGGCGGAGGGAGTCCTGGAGTGGGTTTGGAATCTGCCGCGCCCGAGCGTCTTTCACTCGATTAGCACGGCCGACAATAGCACGTCCGACAATAATAGCGTGCGGTACCAAAGACTCACTGGCAGCTCTCGTGCGCGTCCGGCGCTTGTCCTTCAGATTCATCCGGTCCGACATGAGGTGCTCAATGCCCCATTCGGTGTACCAGGTATTGTACGAGTCAATCTGCTGGCGTGCATCGGTCTCGCTGGCGGCCCTGATCTGCAGCTTGTAGTAGTGGGCTAGGTGGCCCTTGCTCGCAATGTGGGTGAGCAGGTGGGAAACGTCGGAAAACTTGGGCTGCTTGGGACAGACGCTGCAGAGTAGAGGGATGTTTGAGGTGAAGGACGTCATGGTGAGCAGGGAAGCAACGGAGCAATCGAGCTGGGTGTAAGGACAGAACAATCAAGACGGAGGGCACCGGCGGGTGCAGAAAGGAGCGGCTGAAGCTGGTGGAGAGAGGAAGAAAGAGGAGACGAGAGGCGGAAGATCTGGAGGATCAGAAGTCGTCAGCCACCGAGGACTGCGGCTGCTGCGGTTAGGCCGGGGTGAGGATGCTCTTTCCTCGGCGAGCTGCAGCTCGGGAGCTTTATCAGCGTCGCGTCGCCGGCGCGTCAGAGGCCATGCCCTAGCTACCAATCTGGTTACGGAGACGCCAAAAGCTAGCGGAGTATCATCTTCATTGCTATGGAAGGAGCGCCCGCCGTCCACCTGCATGTCGCCAAAGCTTCTGGCCTCGCCCTTGAGATGCCGGGCGAGTGCTATTGCGAGACCTGTGGCTATCGCTCTGCGCCTGCCTTGTATCCCGCGTCTCATGGACGAGAGATGCGGGTTATTAGATTGCAGGCGGGGGCAGTCGAGCGCGCGCAGGAGCTCTACCTGTGAAGCACCCGGTCGGTCACGCTCTTGGGCATGCAGCTGCGGGAAAACATGTCAGCGCGCCATTCTCTTATGCCTGGTCTTTGCAACCTACTACACGGGGTCTATCTCCTGCAGACCTGGGAACTCGACAAGGCTCAGCCCCGCGAGACCGAAGTGTGTGTGGAAAACATCCACCATGTCGCCGGGTCGGTCTGCGATTCCACCTAGCTCGGGGTCCTGCGGCCGTCAGCGCGTCTCAGGGCGCATCGCAGAGTGTCCCTTACTTGGCATTTCAGGATGAAGGCAGCGAGCTTGTTGCCATCGATCCAGTGCAGCCTATCAATCATCGCCATGGCACTCAGAACCCACCAGCTGTAGCACACATCTTCAAGTTTCTCCGGCCTACCGTTCAGCCCACCGTTCGGCCGCTGCCTCTCACTCAGCCACCCGCCTAGCTTGTCCCGGTCTACCAAGTCAAGGCGCCCGGCTATCGCCAGAGCGCCGACACAGGTAAACACCTGGCCCGAGTGCGACTCGGCTCCCGGAGACGTGCCAAACCCACCGTCCAAGTTTGCGCATGCTTGTATGTGCTCGACCGCCTTGTCAACATTGGCAAGGTGCATCATGTGGAGGAGCGACAGGGCGTTGAAGGCACCGTAGAGGAAGCGCGTGTCGCACTCGCCCCACCGGTCACCCGCAAACGTTCCTGTCTCGTGCTGGAGCCCGGCAATGACTGTGAACATGTCAGCGCAAACTCCTGCATGGGGGCTTTAGGGCAAATCGTACAGCGACCAATCTTTTCCTTGCCGCCAGGGACGCGCCGCTCAAGCTCCTCGAAGCCGTCCAGCGTAGCGATGATCTGCACAGCGCTGACCGTGTACAGCATGTGCGCGTCATGCCCAGGCGCTGCGCCAAAGCCTCCATCGTCGTGCAGGCACGAGATCACGAAGTCGAGAACGCCCTCGCGGGGCAGCGCGTCCGGGTGGCCGAGCAGGTGCAACGCGGTGAGGCCCCAGTACAGCCCGTTCAGCCGGAGGTGTTCTGTTAACCAATACTCAAGCTCATCTTTGCGCTGGGAGGAGAGTGTTAGTTACAGCTGCCAGCTGCACAGGTCTGCCCGTAGACACGCACTGTGTCGAGGCTTTGGATGTATTTGACGTGCTTGTCAACATAGAGCTGGAGCTCGTCGGGAAGCTGCCCGCCCGTCGCGCCGCCCCTCCCAGGCCCAGAAACCAGTGACATGACACTTCTTCGCAAGCGCGCGCAGCTTCCTGATGCTTTTGTCTCGAGCAGAGGTTGCGTCGTGGATTTGTAACGGCCGAGGAGGGAAATGCAGCGTGGAGGGGTTTTGAGGTGCGGTGGGGCTAGCTGCTGCTTGTACGGCACGCCAAGCAAACCAACATGACAAACACCAGACCGGCAATCATATCTCTTCGACACACAGCCCATCGATCACGTCGCAGCTTCTCGTACCGCAGTCACAACTTGTACATGCCAATGGTCCATTTCACGACAGGCAGCAAAATCCACATCTGAATGCGCCAAAGCTGTCTATGAACGCTACTATCCAGGCCGGGCAAGTCGCGTAGGCTTGCACCAGACTCCCATACAAAGCTGGATGAGATCAAAGGAAGGGAATAAGCTTGGAGTTATGTCCGCGCCGTCGAGAAACGTCCCCGAAAGCGTCTGATGGCGCTATGGACATGGGAATTATCCGCCAGAAGAGCATCTCCATCTGTGGAAAGAAACAAGCCACTGAAGCTGTGTTGAAAAGCAAAGCCTCGTCTCACCGCCCTGTTTTTGACAACGAGAGCCGTGTGAAGAGATGCCAGAAGCAGAGCCAAAAAAAAAAAAAAAGGAAAGCCGCTGAGACGGATGGGGCGACGGGGAATCGCAAGGAAAACGAGAATGAAATCAACCACCACCGAGGAGCCCGAATGCTGGCTCTAAAAAAAAAAAAAGCAAAACCACAAACAAATCACAAAAGCTTTTTATACTACATTGCTCGAAGTGTATAGAACGCCAAGTGCTCCCAAGACCCGTTCCTGTTCCTTACTTGACTTCGAAACGTCGTGGGAAAACCCGCCCACTTGATCCTCTGGAACTCCGTGCTACCGACAAAGCATGAGCGGTCGTCAATTGTTGCTTTCGATCAAAGAAATTCGTCGCTGGATTGCGTGTGCATTGGCGTAAAGGCTGACGTCAGAATGCTGCTCACTCCGAGAAAATGCGGGCGAAGTGCTTCTCCCAGATCCAGCCAATGGTGCCGGACGGGTCGTCTTGGTTCCTGGCGAGCCACAGCTCGCCTCGCATGCCGAGGACGTCAAAGACCTGCGTAGCCATCAGTTTCTCGCCACTTCTAAAAGCAATTTAGACCATCTCACCTCTCCAGGAACGTAGACCAGGTATGGAAATCCAGCCTCACGGCGATCGTGGGCGATGTTGAACTCAAACAGACTGGCGGCCAAAAACAAAACCTTGTCCTCACCGGCATCCTGCTCGAGGGCGTCATCTCTAGTGTCCGTCGGGGAATCTGACATCGGCATGGCGGACGAGAAGATGGAAGAAGACCGGGTATTTTGAGATTGAGATGAGAAAGCAGACTGGCCAGACGAGCGGCCCTGTTCGGGAGCGTCCAAGCTGATGCGTGTCTGAGATGAAGACGGATCCGGGGTGCGTCCGGTAGAAGTGGTCGGTCGCTGGGGAAAGTAGCCGGCAGTCGGCATCTGGGCCGAGACCGAGTGAGGAGTTGAAGGGCCACGGCTTGACATGGTTGACCCTGCCCGGACTCTTCCCGGGCCCGTTGGCGAAGGCATGGTGGGTGACATCTGCGGAGGGTCCATGATGAGAGGCGTATTGCCGACTTCCACTTGAGAGTAATTGCCGCTTTGGCGTTGCGAACCGGGAGTGGGCGACGTGATGATGATGGAATGGTCGCTGTTGATGGACTGAGTGCGCTTGGAGCTTGCAAACGTCGACGGCCGCTTCATCGATAGGTCATCGCCCATGAAGGTGGTGGCTGGAGAGAATGCCGCAGCCTCCTTGACACCCCGAATGACGCTTTCGATCCGCTCTAGCTCTTCCCTGCACCTGAAATAATCCACCTCGAAGGCATTCTCGATGGCCGACAATTCAAGGAGCTTGAGGTCGACCTGCTCGCCTTGGAACAGAGGTTTCTCGAACTGAAGGCTCAGGACCTGGTACCATCTCCTTTGAGAATCGATAAGATTCTTCTGACAAGCCTCGATCAGCAACTTGGTCTTCGAGTAGAGCTTGGGCAAGTCGTCTTTCAAAGCTCCATTGATGGCGATGAACTCGTCGCCGACTTCCTTCAATTTGTTGTCGACTTTTCCGCCACTGTCTTTGAGGAGCTTGTACTTCGCATAGTCGGGCAGACGCTTCTTGCGCTTCTGCATGAGCTTTTGGGGCTTTCCGTGCAGATCCCACAGGACCGAAATGGGCTTGATGACGGTCTTGCGGACCTCATCTTTCTGTACAATTCATCAATACCAGAGCGGATTCAGCAACAGCAAGTGACTTACGTGACTTTCGAGCGCGTACGTGGTGATCTCTTTGATCATCATCATGTACTGGCGCCATTTGCTCTCGATCTCGGGGTGCTCAGGCAGGCCAACATTAAGCCACTTTTCCAACTCTTCTGCGAGGATGCAGTTTTGCTTGACCATTTTGTCGACATCCTCGAGATATTTCTCGACATCTCTCATCACGATCTGCAGCTGGAAGAAGTGTCCACCGAACTTCTGAGAGATGGCGTCGTACTCAGGATCATCGACTGTCTCGGAAAGGCCAACCTGCTGCTTCACTTTCTCTGCGCGCCGTCCGAACGCCTTCTGTACTGCAGCTCCGATGCCAGCGTCTGATTTTTCGCGCTTGCGCGTGACGATCTTCTCTACAATCTCCTTCCTCCCTTTAGTCTCGTTGATCCTGGTGCTGAGAGCTTTCAAACCCTCAATGGAGAATTTCAGGTTCGTGTAGTCGGGATGATCTTCCGGCGTCATCTTGATTATGCCCTCGAGCAGCAGACTGTACTTGAGGAACCGCTGCGTTGGTTTGATGATCAAAGAATCCAGGTCCCATGCTGTGGTGATGTCGCCTGCATAATTGTGACACTCACTCAGCCAGATCTGAACCTGTTTGTTCTTTTGGATCTCCTGGAGGCGGTTGTTGGCCGCAGTGTGGTTTTGCACGTAAGCGCAGTAGACTCTCTCCATCTCGTTCAAATGGTCCAGAAAGGCCCCACCGATGGCAGTCTTTCTATCCATGCGATCGTCTGGTGGTCCAGGAGTTTCGCTTGGGTCGCCATTTGTCGAAATGCTGTTGCGCTTGTGCCACCTCCCACCCTGATTCAGTTTGAATATGGGTTCCGCCGCAGGCCTAAGGGCATCAAGGAAGTTGAGTGAGAACGCAACAATTTCCGCCGTGTTGCCAAAGAGGACCTTGCGATCATCATCACTAACTTCATGTATAGCGTATGATGTGCCCTTGTATATGTCCTCCACAACTTTCATGTCCTGAAAGTAGTGAAGCTCGGTTTCAAGAAGCTCTTTAATTTGATACCTGCGTTGCCCGAGTCGCTTGGATTCCTCGGGGTCTTGCTGGGCTGGTTTTTCATTTGTCGCCTCCACAGACATGTGGCTAGCGGCACTTGATGCTACCTGTTGCCTAACTCCATCGGAATCATCTGTCGGGTTGTTCGATTTAGGAGCCCCAGCTTCAGCATCTCCAGGCACTGTAATGTCCTGAGAAGGTTTCCTGAGCACACTTGGAGCTGGCGGTGTAGCTGGTGCTCCAGCAGTTGTATCTGCTTGGGGTGACATCGCGTGATGTCTCGAAACGGGAGAATCCGCATTTGATGGGTGATTTTGGATATTGAGGCCCAGCGCTTCCGTGGTGCTTTGAACCTGGGGCAAGTTTGGTTGAAACGGGCTGGTGAGCCTCGAGACAGGGTTTAGAGGCGTAGTCGGGCCGGCGCTGGGCGAAGTGTTCTGAGCTGCTTGTCCCGGCGAGTATCTCCAATCCTTAGGAGGCGGAGCGGGTCGATCCTCCGCTTCGACACCTTTGGTGCTTGCGGGTCGCGAAGGCTTACCGTAAAACTCCGAGGATCCGTAAATTATCGCAGTCCCACCCAGGTCGCCTTCCGGTGCCAAACGCCGTTCGTAGTCATCGAGGAAGTCGTCCTGGACATAAGCTTGGGACATTTGTTTAGGGGTATCTTCAGGCGAAGCAGAAGCGACACTCGCACTGTCTTTGACCAGACTTGTCAGGAACTGCTCAGTCTTTTCTCGAGATGTCCATTCATCGTATTGTATGAATGGAGAAACGGCCTTGATTTGCTGCTGGAAACCGTGGGCGATCTCGGGCGTGACCGGTTTTGAGCTCCGGTAGAAGTCAAGGATTTTGAGAATCGTGCTGTTTCCATCGGAATGGTCACGAGTAAAGCGGCCATTCGAGGGCAATCGGTGAATCTGAGGCGTCCAGTCTGCAGCACGCGGGTCGTGATGCTGTCTTGTCATGGCCATGCTAATCGAATCATCCGGCGCGATGGAGGAATAGGATTCGTAGGAATAAGAGTCGCGCCGTTCGCTTCCGTCGTCGACGAACTGGATTCCTTCAACCGAAGCTTCATATGAGGCAGTGCTCCAGCGGGCGCTTTGATCCTGAGAACCTTGGCTTTGGTCGGACCACAGTTGTTGTGATTGTTCCAGCGAGGGGGTCGCCCGAAGCATGATGTTGATTGAACCTGAGTCATCCTTCTCACTTTCCGCAATGTCCGTGTGGGACGCGCTGGAGCAAACGCTCCCACGGATCTGCAAGACCTGGTCAAGTACGTTCCTGTCGATCGGGGCTGCATTTGTCAAAGAGGAACGGCAGTTGGGGAATTCGTCGTCCCCGCTCTCGTGGAAAACGGAATCGCGCTGTGAGTCTGGCTTGGGTGTGTTATCCCGCTGGCCTTTGGGGGAGAATGCGGGAGCAAGCGTCCCCAACACTGGGGACTCGCTCTCAAATGCTACTGTTCCTGCCTTCGGGCCCTGTTCTGCTTGAAGGGAACCATCCACAGACAGTCTATGAATGTGCATCGTATCTGGAAGCGGTTCGTCTAGAGTGGTAGCGCCATCGGCATTGGCCTGTGAGCTGACGATTTGCTTATCGCGTGCGTCCGAGGAAGGACTCGCTGCGCGGGACCCAGATTTGGACTTCGTTGCAGACGCGTTCCGGTGCGCCGAAATTCCTTGAGCTCGCATGGACTTCTCAATCAAAGCCTTTCGGTCAGCAATGGTAGGCCCTGCAAGCCCGAGATCACCCCGAGGCTTAGGCTTTTGGGGAGGCCCTCTTGCGGATGTTTTCCCCGTTCCTCTCCTGTTTGCAGACGACGGTGCATTCCTCAGGCGATCGGCCATTTTTGCCCTCGAGGCAGCAGTCGAGGCCGCTGATACGGGTTGTCGCGGGCGAGAGCTGCGAAGGACGGGCGACAGGGTGGGCGGTGGGACGTTGACCTGTACCGATACCTTGGGACTCTCGCCTGATCGTTTGCCAGGGGTTGCGGCGTATCTGCGGGTGGAGCTTGGTGTGACGGGGCGCGCGCGTGGCGTAGAGTCCTTGCTGGCGATGTTTTTGTTTGTGCTTTTGTCGGCGGACGGCGCCTTGGTGTGATATCTACGTTCGCTCAGCGCAGAGCTTGCGCGCGACGACTGGATCGAGGAAGCGGACTCGGATGTGACTGAAGGGCGTCGCGTTGACGGAAGGGGGATCTTGGAATGCGCCCCGCGAGTGGAAGCTTGGATCTGAGAAAAGTACTCGTCAATGCTGTTCGGGTCAAAGTGTGCCTCGTGCGATGGTGAGCGCGGCAGGCCAGTAAGGTCGCTTCGTGATCTCCTGTGTCCTAGAGCTGATGCGGAGCGACCGCGTCCCGGAGTGGGGAGCATCGGGACGTTTGGCGTCGTACGGCTTCTCCCATGGGAGAACAAGCCGGTAGGTCGTTGCGCATTGGTATCTAGTGAACCGCTGCGATGACGCGCAGTCTCCGAAATGCCGTAACCGAGTGACTCTGGGCCGAGCGCATTGTTCGGGAGCTCGCCGAACAGCAGCGGCCGACCCGAACCACCTTGACTCGAACTTAAAGAGCTTACTGATGACTTGGCATGGCGACGACCATGCTCGGGCGCCTGCGACTGGTTGGCGCCGCGCCTCAGGACATTGCGAGAAGCTGCCGCGCCGTTGAGCCCATTGCTGCCCTTCGCGTGTTCAGTATGAGAGTGCCCGGGCTCGGCCTCGCGCACCGGGTCGACACTTGTGGCGGTGGAGACGGGCGAGCTGGCATGACGAGGAGCGGATCTGGTCGAAGGGACGGGTTTCCGGAGCTTCGTCGCGCTGGCGGCCTCGTCGGGGCCGGCCGTTTGGTTGAACCTGCTGACAATGTTCTTGACGGGCGGGCGGTAGGAATTGGTAGCAGTCGGTCTCGAACCATTGGACACGGGCAGCGACGAGGCCGGGCTCGATACAGACCGCAGGTTCTGGCGGGCGGACTTCAAGGCTGGCGGGGGCGACTTAGCGCTGGGCACGCGGTGAGGAAGATCTGGACGGTTGGAGACCGTCGCCATCGCGCCGTTGACGACCACGTTCGGTTGCGGGGGGGAGGAAGGAGGAATGAAAGGACCCTGACGATAGAAGCTGTCTGGGTCTTCGCCATCCAGTGCGTCGAACGAGGCCTCAGCGGGTAAGGATCCGTTCGCGTGGTAGCCAGCGTGGCGGTGCTGCTCATACAGGCCCGAGGGAGCGCTGCTGCTCCACGAGTCCATGTCCTCTGGCTGCATCGTTCATAGTCTCCTGGGCCGAGCCACGCCAGACGCCGGGGGGGCTCCAGGGTGGTGGCTAGGGAGCGAGGGCTGGGCGCGCAGCAATGGCCGGAGCGAGGTGGGTGAGTCGTCGGGGCGCGGCAGGCGATCGCCAATGACGAGGGCGAAACAACGTGGTGTGGTGAAGCGAGCGGCGGAGCTTCTTGGGGCGTCGTGTCGTCGCGCGAGCAAATGACACTGGAGCTTGGGGTACCGCCGCACGTCGGGGCCCGGCGCGCAGCGAATCAGCAGCGCGGCAGGAGGATGAGTTGTTTCACGACCAGGGCGGGCGGCGCGCAGGGGCAGCAGGCGCTGGCGGGCGGGATGTCGGGGCGTTTCCAGGCGGGCAGGAGGAGCGAGTCGCGCGCTGGAGCGGAGGACGAGGAGCGGGCGAGCAGGCAGCGCGGCGCGGGCGTGGTGGGCGTTGTGGTCGCACCGTGAAGAGAGGGTGAGGTCAAGGCCGGGCCCCAGACGGGCAAGGCGGCGGCCTGCGAGCGCTGGCCGGCGGGAGATGCACACGGGAGGCCAATCAGCACGCGACGCCGCGCTGGTAAGATTGCCAGACGCCCAGAGCATGCAAGGCCCACGTCAACGCTGCCTCATCAACGGCGCAAAAAGGGTCCAGCAATCTCGCCGTCCGCGCGCGCAGGAGCTCGCGCTGGCTACGACTCCGCTGTCGCAGGCCACGCCTCCTTGCCCGCAGCCGCGGCCTGCGCACAAGGGCCTCCCCGCGCTCCCTCCGCCATCAAGCAAACGCCTTGGCCTTCCCGCGCTAGTGCCGCAGCTCCCCCAAACAACACGCCGATGAAGAGGAAGCGCAGCGCGAGCGACGCCGCCGGCCGGCCGCGCGACACCACCGCCACGCCGCCCGCCACGCACCCCGTCCTCCAGCGCTTCTATCCCCAGGTGCTGACCCTCCGCCGGTTCCTGCTGTCGAAGCTGGCCCGCGCCTCGACCCGCAAGCGGCGCCGCATCGCACAGCTCGGCCTGGGGCGCGAACCAACCGCCGCCCCTGGTGCCGTGGCCGCCGATGATCTGCGAATCCTCCTGGACAACACCTGGGTCGGCGCCGCCCACCACACGGCCCCCGCCGAGCTTGTCGATCTCGAGAAGGACCTCGAGATATTCTCCCAGCAGCTGCCCTCGAGCAGCAGCCCGGGCGACGTCTGCCCCGAGCTCCAGTCCGAGGTAAGCTTCCCCCCTCCCAAGCGCCCCTGCAGCCAGGCCCGCGAGTCTGGAATAGTCGAGCCCAACAGCCGCCGTACCTGCAGCACCAGCTATTGGATCATGCGTGCTGAGCGCCCTCTCTTCCCAGATCGTCGACTTTGTCATCCGATCACTGTTCAGGAAGCATCCCGGCCTGCATCGGCCGCCTCACGTACTCTGTCACGGGTACGAGCGGGCATCATGCCCGGATCACGGCCCCGGCCCGCCGGATGCGCCCCCCACCATGTCCGGCATCGTGAGCCGCCATCCCAACAGTCACGTCAAAGCTGTCAAGGGTCCCGCGTGGTCCGCGCTGCTGGTTGCGCTAGGCCACGGCGGCGACCGAGTCATGATGGAGCTGCTGATGAACTGTGGAGTTTTTGCTTCCCTGAACGGTCCGAGTGGAACCTGCTATCAGCTGAGTGGTGAGTTTATTCTTGCAAACTCGGCGCGTTGATATATCTGAGACGCCGCAGGAAAGCCGTTGGCAGACCTCGAGCCCGTCTTCCCGCTGCAGAATAGCTCTGCGCATGAAGTTTCTATCCCTGCTCCGGGGCCTGAACGGCCAGGGGACAGGGGTTCAGATAGCCTCACAGCAATCGCCTTTGTCAGAAGCCGCATGCTTTACGCGAGAGCCGCCCTCAACGCAAAGGGTGAAGTGCGTTTCGGCCTCCGTCATATCCGTATGGGCCCCGAACCCTGTGATGCAATTCAGACTGATGCCTCCAGATGTTCTCAATCGTCTGTCGGATCATACATCCTTGAAGCAAACGATCCATGTCTTGAGATACATTTTCCCCCGTCAATTCGGCTTGCACAACGTGTTCACTTGCAAGACGGACTTTCGGGAGACGTCTCAACCATTCAAGGATTACACATTGCGTGAGCAGGAGATTGCACGTGATAAGTTGCGCAAGGCGTCTAAAAAGGGCCGGCGTGACTCAAAATTAGGCGACTTCGGAGAGGCGATACCCAAGAGATTAAGAGGGCCAGCTGTGGACCTCGTTCGTCGCCTCCGAGTACTGCACCGCCGATGTTCCTACGTTGAACTACTCCGTTGCTACTGTCCAGCTTTGCACGAGGAATTCCATCAGACAGTTGAGCATGACAATCGGCGACGATCATCACCAACAGATCGAGATGTTGAAAATTCAGATATCGTCACATCAGGAACAACTTTGGGATCACGGAAGAGTCTTACGTCCACAGATAGCGGTCTGCAGCAGGTCTGCTTCACCGATATGGCGACTCCAGAACATCAAGTTGAAGCCTTCTGTCGTGCTGTCATGAAAAAGGTCGTACCCAAACGTCTATGGGGCGAAGGCGAGACCCAGGCGCACAACAGCCACGTGTTCTTGGCTCAAGTCGGGCGATTTGTGCGTCTTCGCCGCTTTGAAACCCTAACACTCCATGAGGTGATGCAAGATATGAAGGTAAGAACCTGACCTTCAAGCCCCAGATCGTAGCTCATGCGTGCAGATTGCCGATGTCGCCTGGCTTCGGCCCCCGAACGTTCGTCCAGGACATAAGATGGCACAGTCAGACTACAACAAAAGGCGAGAGCTGTTCGCAGAGCTTATCTACTATCTATTCGACTCCTTCCTCATCCTCCTTATCCGCACCAACTTCCACGTAACGGAATCAAATGCCGATAAAAATCGGCTATACTATTTTCGCCACGACGTATGGAGAAAACTGACGGAACCCGCACTTACACACTTGAAGACGACCATGTTCGAGGAAATGAAGACCGACCAGGCCACCAGGATCCTAGCCTCACGTCAGCTTGGCTACAGCCAGGTCCGGCTTTTGCCCAAGAAAATCGGAGCACGGCCGATAACAAACCTCAGGCGGCGGACGCAAATCATGGTAAATGGGAGGTCGGTCCTAGGAAGAAGCATTAACACGGTGATGAAGCCGGTCTTCAACGTCCTCAATTGGGAGAAGGTGAGAGTTTCGCGGATGCTCATAACACGGCTGCCACTGAACATGTTGTGTAGCTCACCCAGCCCGAAAGGCTCGGTTCATCCCTCTTTTCTGTCGGCGATATGCATTCTCGGCTCAAGGCATTCCGCTCGGCTTTGGAACAACGCGGCCTCATGGAAAAGCCACTTTACTTTGTAAAGGTCGACGTAAAATCTTGCTTCGACACAATCCCGCAGAAACGGCTGTTGGATATCGTCAGAAGTCTTCTAAGTCTGGACGAATACCGCGTCAAGAGGCATGTCGAAGTTAACACAACGGTCCCGTGCCGCTACTCGAGCAGCATCACGTCTGCTGCGAAGCCGGTCAAGAAGTACCTTGCGCAGGCAAGAGGGTCTGGTGACCAGCGCGACTTTGCAGAGTTTCTGCAGGCGCAGCTAAGGATCAAGTCCCGCAATGCAGTGTTTGTCGACTCTGTTGTTGAGCAACGACAGAGCAAGGAAGAAGTGATGAAGCTCCTGACAGAGCACGTCGAGCGCAACATGATCAAGATTGGCAAGAAATTTTACAGACAAAAGACAGGCATCCCCCAAGGCTCCGTGCTCTCCAGCCTGCTGTGCAGTTTCTTCTACGCAGAACTGGAAGCGGATCTTCTCGACTTTTTGACGGCCGACACAAGCGTCCTGCTCCGCTTGATCGACGACTCGTTGTTGATCACGACAGAGCGAAACCACGCCGAACAGTTCCTGCGCCTCATGCACGAGGGCAATGAGGATTACGGCATCGGAATCAAGAGAGACAAGACGCTACTAAACTTCAGCTGCACCGTGGACGGCACCGACGTGTCCCGACTGCCATCTCTGACGGACTTTCCGTATTGCGGGACGCTGATCAACACCGGGGACCTGAACATCAGAAAAGACCTCCGACCAAAGGCTCCGCGAGGTAAGCGAGCAGGATGGCGTGGGCAGCAGTCACGAACTCTGACGATTGGCAGAATTACGTGACGGTCTAACGGTAGAATTTTCAAAGCTCCCAGGGCAGACATTCCATCGAAAGACGCTGAAGTAAGTTAAAACCGGGTCCCCGCGCAGCGGGCGGAAGGCGATTAACCAATTCCGTCTAGTGCTCTGAAGATCCAACTGCACGGAATGCTTCTCGACACTTCGTTCAATCAGGAGCGGACGGTTCTTGGCAACCTCTACGGATGTTTCGCCGAGGCAGCGCGGAAGTGTTTCCACTACCTCCAGTGTCTGCCAGCGCGGAAGCACAGGAGCGACAGGCTTCTCATCAGTAAGTGCGGTCTGGCAGGGATCGTCGTCGTCGATCGGCTCTCGTGTCCGGGAAGACACGGTCGATCAGCGGGAGGAGAGACATGGGCAAGGGTGCGGCTGACGATGTGCAGAGACAGTCCACGACGTCGCGGCGCTGGCGTCGGCCACGATGCGGCGCAAGAGGGAGCGTGGGAGGTGGCAGGGCTACCGGTGCGAGGTTAGCCGACGTCATACACAATGGTGAGTTGGCTGCTGCGGGCGCCCCCTTGGCTGGAAAGGGCGCTGTGGCTGGGTGTGGCGCGCTCTGCAACGGCGGGCTTGTTGGCTGACTCGGCGCAGGCTCTGCTACCGCGCCTTCCAGTCGGTGTTTCAGCGCAAGCAGACCAAGCACGCGGGGCTCCTGCGATGGCTGGCGGCACACGGTGCGGCCGCCAGGCCGCGGGGGGCTTGGGGGCTTGTCAGCGCATGAGATAGGGAGGCCGCGAGGCCGCGTGTTGGGCGTGTGCGCGCAGGGCAGGGGAGCGGGCGGCCATCCGTTAATTCGCGAATCGCGATCTAGACTGGGCCTGATTCGGCGGGGCGGTGGGAAAAGCTGGCAGACAAAGGGCCCGGGCGCAGGCGTCGCGATGATGCAGCGCTGATGCACGCGGGAGGCTGCCGCATTGCAGCCAGCAAGCCAGCCTCGAGAACGCCGCCAGCCCCCAGGGTTTTGGGCTTTTGAGCCCGGCGCCCCCCCGCGACTCCGCGCGCGGCATTGCTCTCTCGCCGCCGCTGTTGCGACCAGGCGCTGCTCCTGCCTACTAGATAATTTCTTTGGCCTGCCCGTGCTCGTTGGTTATTAAGGATCCCGCGCGCCGAAAGCGGTCAAGTGGTGACACGCGACCGGGGTGTGCGAGTCGCTCCCCCTTCGCCATGCCCGCAACGTCGTGCGGTGCGCGCGCCCCATTGCACCCATATATCCCCCGGCTCGACGCGCCCACGAGAGCGCCGTGGCCGAGCCTTGCCAGCATCGCCGAGCAGCCCTTCGTTTTTCCCGAGCATGCCCTGCGCGAGCCTGTGACGCTCGACGCTCTTCATCCCTCCAAAGCCCCCCGTCTCCGCCCCCTCCTGAGACCGATGACCCTCCAGACGATGCACGCCTTCCACCACCCGCCCGCTCCCGACTCGCCCCCGGACCTGACTGACTCCAAGTCGTCCAAGTCGTCGTCGCTGCCGGACTCGAGCCTGTCCGAGCTGCCCGGCCCGCATGACATCTCGCACTTTGAGGACATCACCCTCGACGACATCAAGACGACCACCCTGCATGCCGACAAGCGCGACTCGGCCAAAGCCTTCGTCCCGCGCTCACCAATGGCGCCCACCGCAACCCTCGCCCGCTCCACCACCCTGCCCACCCCCGGCCCAGCTCCCAGCCGCGACCTGACCACCGCCGCGAAGCCCGCCAAGCCGGGCCTGCGTGTCAACGTCAATGGTTCCGCCAAAGAGGCCTCCTCCACCCTCGGCATCCCCAGCCGCCGCAGCATGCGCCGTGGCTTCATCAGCCCCTCCACGCCCTCGTTGACCCCGGGCCGTCAGTCCAGATCGCCCTCGCCCGCAGGCAGCGCTGCGCGCTCCCCCCGCTCCCCGTCCAAGCGCTTCACTGCACCGCCGTCTCCCACCTCGCGCGGCGGCCCTCTCGACTTCAAGCCTGGCCTCATGCCTACCGTGCGGAGACAGTCGTGGCAGCCCGGCAGGAAGACGGTCGAAGAGTTGGAGGCTGAGTATCACGACTCGGACGAGGATCTCCCTGACGATGCCATCATGTGGAATGTTCCCATGTCTCCCCGCCCGCCCCACCACCGAGCATCTCGGTCGCCATCCTTTTCGTCCGTCGCCGAAAGCGTGCCTGAAGCGAAGAACCAGGACAACGGTCCTCCCAAATCCCCCTCGCGATCCTCTACCGGCTCCTCCTACGCTGCTTCCACGCACAGCAGCATCCCGGAAGACTCCGAGCTTGACGTGACACGGACAAAATCGTGGGGCGATGCGCTGGACGACCTGTCACAGGAAGCGAGGGAATTGACCGAGGCGCTGGAGGAATACGCAGGCGAGACCGAGCGCCAGCGCGAGGCCAGGATCCAGAGTGGTGCGGCTTCGGCACGACCATCGATAGAGAAGAAGAAGAGCAGCCCGTCGTTGGTTCAGCTACCCCCGATCCAGAAAGGAAACATCATGATCGATCCGCTGCCGATCAGCAAGGAGAAGGAGAAGGTGTTGAGTCGAACGAGACCCAGCTGGCTGCCGCCCAAGGACCCGCAGGAGGAAAGGAAGCATTTGAGAGAATACCAGAAGATGATGGCGGCTGCGCAGGAGGCTGGCAAGTACCGTCCTCCCGGCGTGAAAGCGTGCACGTATTGACTGGTAGCAGAGAGACGAATGGCCGCGAAGCTTCAGGAGAAGCAGCAGCAACGCGACACCACCCAAACATCGATTTCGCGCATCTGGGACCAGCACGTGCTTCCCAACTGGGACCAGGTCATCAACGAGCCACGGACACGCGAGCTGTGGTGGCGCGGGGTCACGCCTCGTAGCCGTGGTACGGTTTGGAAACGTGCGATCGGAAACGAGCTGGGCCTGTCCGAAACTGGCTACAAAGCAGCGCTAGAACGCGCCAAGAAGCTGGACAAGAAGCTGGCGAAACTCGACCCAGAGTCCAGGGGCAATGCACGCGAATCTGTCTGGTTCGACAGCATCAGACGGGATGCCAACGAGGCTTATCCCGAGCTCAAGATCTTCCAAGCCGGTGGGCCACTTCATGAGAGCCTCCTTGACGTGCTCATGGCCTATGCCATGTACCGCTCCGACGTCGGCTATGTCTACGGGACTCACCTGATCGTCGGTGTTTTGATCCTCAACATGTCGCCAGCCGACGCCTTCATCAGTTTGGCTAACGTCTTGAACCGCTCGCTTCCTATGGCTTTCCTCGTCAACGACACTAACGCCATGCGCCGCGCTCGCGACCTTGTCCTGAAAACGCTTCATTACAAGATCCCCAAGCTGCACTACCATCTCACCGAGGGAATTTCCTTGGAGCCCGAAGAGTTCCTCGATCCGCTATTCCGCACCATGTTCTGCCACGGCCCCGGGCTGGACATTTCCAGCCGTATCTGGGATGTTTACGTGTTTGAGGGCGACAAGTCGCTTGTGAGAGCCGCAGTCGGAGTGCTAGATGCGCTAGAAGGACGACTATACGGAAGCCGGGAAGAAGTCCTGGATTTGTTGGGATGGAGTGCAACGCAAGAATGGGGTATTAAGGACGAAGATGCATTCATGAGAGGCGTTCGAAACGCCGGAAAGGTCGATTCGGCCAGTACTGGTGGGGTGAGCCCCGGAGGTGCGAGGTAACCCAAACCAGTACTTGCTCGGATCCATCGCTAGAGGCCTCTGCCAGACGAGCGAGAAACGACTCCTGAAGAGAAGGAGAACGATGCACTGTAAAAAAAGGGGGGGGGAAGAAATACGTGCATACAAACGTAATTACTAATCCAGACTGAAGCGAGGCGGGGCGGCGCCCAAGGCGTAGTGGACCAATAATTGCGGCAATCAGGGGCCTCGAATTGCGGCGCAATCACATTCTAATGAGCGCAAGACTCGTCACGGAGTATCGGCAGTATCACCTCGAACTTTGCGGACACCGACCCATCACAGCACGAGCACGACTACGTATCGACTGTTTTCATTTTTTTCGCGACACCGTAATGAGACCACGGCCAGGCGACTGATTGGTTTTTTATTCTTCATCATCTCGGCTTCTATCCAATTTACTTCAACAAGCCTGGTGCTCTACGCTCCTTATTCTGGACCATTTCTTTAGAGCTACCCTTCGCGGCAGCCCGCTGCACATTGCTCTCGGGCTCGTCATCAACACCGTTGTGTTTAAACGGCAAATTATATTCCGGAGGACGGATTCTGCAATCGGCCGATGCGGCGGATGTTATCATTCACTTTTTAAGCTTCTCACCATTGGAGATTGAACTATGTTTCTTGGATACCTTCTACCACACAGGCCCAGCTGGACGTTTCTTTCTGCTCATAGCTTTTGCACAGGCAGCCGCTGGGCATTTGAATCTAGCGCAACTTCTTTTGTTCGTGGGCGATTTGTACCGCAAACATTCACGTGGCTTGTCTTGCCGAATTTCCTTTTCTCTTCTATCGGCGCCCTTCTGTCGGATGCTCATTTTGTTTCCTCCTTGGGTTTAGACTCCTGTTGCGGACGGCAAGCGCAAAGGTCTTCTCTTATTGTTTTGCTTTGAGAAACGGTTAGGCGTATACTGCATCCGCTGTTGGTTTTCCTGCTTTTATCCATTGTTAGACGGAATTGGGTGGGCGGAATGAGTCTTTTGAACGGCTATGGTTCTTCAACAACATTCAGAAAGGAAAGGAAAGGGATTGGTGTATAAACAGTTTGGAAATTGGGGGTTTCTGGTAGCAGGTGTCGTCAGACTGGGCGTCGCACACGCGAATGAGACAAGTGAAAGTTTGCATTCTTACCGACTGGATTCTCTTGGCCACAGTGCCGCTGTGTAAGATAGTAATGCGCGCCAGAGGACTTGCAGCATCGACGGTGGAAAGAGCCGAGTAAGGCCAAAGAAGTAAGCTTGAGATGCATGTAAGAGCCTTTCGCCTGCTCATTTCACCGGCGTGTCGGTTTACCCCATGTGTTCAAGCACAGATACATGTGCCCCGGCGACTGCCGCCTGCTTTCTCTCATTTCCTGTGGTGATCCCTTCGGTCTCATGCGTATCAACGTCCAGCACGCACTTCTCCACAATCGGTCGGAGAATTATTGCGAGCAGTTGCGCATGCCCCCATAGGGATAAGGCCACGTCCCCACGCCGGCGAGCTGAAGATGGTCTGAGAGAGCACGTCCAGGCAGATCTCTTAGACTCATGCAATTGTGAAGACGCGAAACACGCCGCAGCCACACGGACGGGACAGCCCGGGGATGATGACTGCGTCTGGAAGGTCAGCCCGATAACAAAAAGCTTCTATCCTTCCCCGCTGTGGCTGATATGAGCGGTCGCCGACGGCCCCTCGGGCCCTCTTCAATTAGGTAGGATAGGCAACCGAACGTCGACTCCCGTCAATCAAGCTTCTCTGAAGCGACCTAAGGCGTCCAAAGTCCAGTCATAGAGCGCCGAACAATAATAATAACCAAGCGCAGCCCAACAACCCTACGGGCAGGCCAAGGGACCAAAAAAAGCTTGGTCCGATCCTCCCTCGGCCAATTTCCACAACATTTTCCCAGCCCCACACCACCACCCGGCAGGTGGCATCCGGCAAGCACGGCATGATCGGCACAGGATTGACAGAGTACATGCATGTATGTAGGTCGTTGGATTAATTGAAAGAAAATGAATTTTAACATAGGGCCTAGACTCCTTGCGACTGATTGCCTTTTCTTTTTTAAAAAAAAAAAACTACCACCGTGTTTCCAGAGCACGGATGCGGGCGCAAGTGAAGACGAAACCGGAGCATTTTCCATGTAGATGCTTTGGCTCGCTATGCGCGGCCCGTGACTCACTAGCAGCAAGAAAATTAGGCTTCCTTTCTATCCACCTGGGTTCCAAGGTTGAGTCCATGTTTCTAGCGCTGATGCTATTACAACGCCCTACGCCTGTATACCTTCTCAATTGTTGCCAGCGCCCCCTCCCTTCGTTGGGCAGAACGGCATGGAGCTGGATCCTGCGTCCAAGCGAGCCCAGACCACGCTTCAACAACCGTTTCCTAACAGTACCTAGCGAAGAGACAGCCAACGTCGACGTGTACTTCGGTTACGCACATGACAGGGTACGGGTAAGAGCGTAACAGCATGGCTGTTGTTCATGCACGGCGCATCATGCCGAAAGCTCAAGGCTACGTATGTATGAGATCCTCGTTGATTGGTTCTCATGCCAGCTCCCCTTTCAACCCCCCTGCTCATGCGGGGTCCCCACGGAAAGCTGACGTTGACGCAAGAAATGTCTTAACAGAGCTTCAGCTATTGCCCTTCGTTGATTCTGGCTGGGCCACCAAACCCCTGTTTACGAGCCTGAGCATGCAGGGGAACTGCTGCTTCATCGCAACTGCTGCGTGCACGCCGAGCGTCGTAGTGAAAAGTATGCGGGAGGGGGTGATGTGCGCTGTCACGCGCCCCTAGCAAGGCTGCGACACACTTCTCAAACAAGCGCTGGCTCAAATCTGGGGCAACGCCGCTGAATATCAACAATGGTAGGCGGGCATACGAAAGAGCCGGGCAATGAAGGCAAATCAAGGCTGACTGACAAGCCTACTGTTTGATCAGCAAAATCCTACACCTTCGGTGACAAACCACACGCGATCAGCTCCTCTTCCCTTTACCGAAATTTCCCAAGTGGAGAGAAAAAAAAATCGAGGGACGAACAAGGCAGACATTGTAACTTGATGTTGTATTGAGATTAATCTACAATGAGTCTTTAGAAGTCACATCGCCTTTCATTTGCAAAGCTGAACTTGTAAGCTGCTTCACAATCCACCTTTAAAATACGTATGAAGAATTGATGTAGCGGGAAACAAAGGACGAAGAAACATCTTCTGATTGCAGGAGCCACCTGGAAGGAATGAAAAAGAGAGATAGAGACAGGGTTCGTCGATACAGTCTTCTGCGAGAATGTCGTCTCGTAGCTGTGCGAAAAAGGATATTCTCAAAGAGCACACGAAACGGGGTTACTCACTGCTCGACCGCATGGTCGAGCATCTTCTCCAAACTGTAGACATGCTTTTTCGATGCCGATGCCTCCTTTTCCCAGCTGCTGTCTAGTAGTGAGGCCTGAGCGTGCTCCTCGTGCTTTATAATCTGCTCATGAATATGGAATAGAGTTTCTGATATATGCGTGCGTGTTTCCAGGAGGCACTTTCTCTGTGCGTCATATTCTTTCCGATGTGACTCCTCCATCAGCTCAATCAGGTGCGTGCCGTCCGCTTCGTAGCCCAGTAGAATATCTTCAATGGCGGTCTCGGTGCTTACTAGATGCCGAACGAAATGCTGCGGACTTGTCAGGAATATCCGTTCTCGAAACAAAGATTGTAAAGTAATGGGCAGTGGTGGTTTTGGTACTGACCCTTGATATGCGAGCAAGAACGTCGAACATGTCCCTTTGGTGCGGCTTCAGGGAGTTCTCCCATCCCACCTTCTCACAATGCCCATCTCGCTCGTCATCCGTGACGGAGGCGACTGCCGTCGAGTTCTTGTCTTCGACCGAGTCAACTTCCAAAGCGTCTTCGACCATGTCTATCAGGGTTCGGTCGGGGTCTTCATCATCGGTGCATCCCCCTTCCGTGAGAATCTTGTCAGCTCCCTTGATCTGAGCAGCGCTTGCGTTCTTCTGCATCTGCTTTCGGAGATTTCGCATAAACCTAGTCTCATCCCCAGGCCGACCTGGGGTTGGGGTCTGCCCATTGAAAGGATCCATCAGAGGTTGAGCAGGCGTCTGCAACGACTTTGACGTTGTCAGCATCTGCTGCGAAACATGTGTTGTTATTGCCTTCGACTCTGTCTCGGGAGGTTCGGGCCCTTTTTTTTGGTTGCTGGACAGGACTTGCTTTGGTCGAGGCCGGGAGCGTGGGGAAACTCTTGGCACGTTTGGTGAGACCGAGTGTTCACCAAGGACGAGCATAGCATCAGCATGTTTGATGGGCTCTTCATGATGTCGTGCCGCATAATCCCCCGGCTGGTTTTGTCTCGATGATGAACCACCTTCAACTCGAGGTCGAGATAGAGTGTCGACGCTCGGTCCGATGTGCAAAGTGGAGTCTTCTATTGTTGCAACATTCTGCGGGGAAACAGCATCAGAAAGATAAGCATTACCGCGGCGGACAAGCGGAGATGAGTCTAGATCGAACTTTGAGGATCTCGCCTGGTCAACGAATGGTGACGAGGAAGATCCGACCGGCGCTCCAATGTTGACAAGCCCCTCCAGAGGGCTCCCCGAATTCAGCGAATCGACAGGTCTGATTCCTGCCAGACCTGCGTTATCACCGTGCTCCTTCACTAACGGCTCGAGTGTGTTGTGTTCCGTCTTATTTTCATCTTGCTCTGTGGATCTGCGCTTTGCACGCCCTTGGGAGGTGTCTGATCCTGCGGGTCGTTTGTCTGGTAGTACGGATGCCAGAGGCGGGGGTTTCTTAAGGAATTCCTCTTCTTCCTCGATCAGAGAGCTGAACTTGTCCCGCTCTCCCCTCTTTTTGGATTTACCCGAGCTGTAGGCTGAGAGTATTGATTTTGTGGGACCTGGAGTGTTATCTGCTGAGCGATACCCTCGACTACGTGGACCATGCGGATCGTAGACAGTCCGTTCATCAATCAGAATTTTCTTTCCGACTCTCGGATTGGCCATCAGACTCGTGGGCTCGCCGGCCGATCTCGTCTCATTCTCGAGCAATTCTCTGTCTTCTATCCTCAAACCCCTGTCTGGTTGGTTATGGTCTCTTCCGGCTTTCATGCTCTCGCCTTGTTCTGGAGAGCTAGTGTCAGAGTTGTCAGAGTTGACGACTACGGCATTTTCCTGAGATTGTCCTGCCTTCAACGAGCTCTTTTGAAATTGCTCCGTTTTCTCGTCTAGCGATTCTGATCGGCGTCGGATTTTGCTATCAGCAACTCTCTTTCCGACTCGCTTGGGAGCCGTCAGTTCTGTAGCTTGATTGTGAGGTCCCTTGGCGTGTAATCTATGGGCCTCCGATGCTCTTGTGACTCTGACTGATGTCGTGCGATCAACCTTCTGCTGCTTTCCCGGCTGAAACTCGTCGTCACTGTGACCACATTTGCCCTCTTCACCTTTCTTCCTCCGGCTTTGTTGGCGCTTTCTTCCTCGGGGGGCAGTCTCAATCGACTTAGGTTCTCGAAATTGAACAGTTCCGCCGTCACCTTTGCCCTTCCGTTTCCGAGAGTGTTCCGGTTCGAGTGCCGGCTCTGGACTCTCTCCTGGAAAAGAGTAGATGTCGAGCTCCTGTTCAGCGTGTATTTTAGCGTCTTTGGCCTCGAATGGATGGCTGAGTTTGTCAGAAAGACGCGTGGTGGGTTTATCAGCGCTTCTTTCTGGGTCATTTCTCGCCGCTTTCATATCTCCGATCGGTAAAGTGGGCGGCATCACGCCCATATCATCAGATTTTGGGGTGCCATCAAACACTAAAGCTGCGCTGGACGAACGATGTGAGCGTGAATGTCGGTGAGATGTTGCTTCTACGTTGCACCTTTGTTGGATCTCGGTCGTGACGTGCTTCGCGTCGGCGGCTACGGCGAGCTCCACCGAGATCGATTTTGTCTCGTACGACTTCGCGTTGACAACGTATGTCCAAGGGCCACTGGCGCTGACCAAGTCTAGACGTAGCTCGCACTCGGATGAGAGTGTCGCTTCACGGATATTTTCATAGGGAATATCCACGTAAAAGGTGTGGGGGGCGGCTGGAGGAGCAATGACGACAGTCAAGCGGTCTTCGATCAGCATCAGGAGCCGTCCATGCTGTTCGTCAAAATATAAATCCTGGCCGGCTTGAATCCCACGGGGGTAAAAGATACTTGCCTGCGAGCTGTACATGGTTAGCGTACATGCAAGGAAGGGATTGAAGTAGCGACCTACGCTTGAGATTCTGAGAAACCGTCAAGAACGCTCTGCAGACCAACCATCCACTCTTGGAGATCTTCTCGAACGAATCGAGTTCCCTCAACCTGGCTGGGCCAGAAGAGACGCTGGTCGACGTTGTTGGCAGCAAGCTCGCCCATAATCATGCAGCTGACCAGCATTACGTCTTCCCTATCATCTTGCAGCTGGACCATTCTGCCGAGACCATTCAGCTGCGAGGTTTTTTGGCTAGTGAGCAGGTTGACTGTGGACTGGGATCTGCGGCAGAGTTCGAAAAGAAGGAGACCAGACTAGAATTCTGTAAGCTCATTGCCTCGCTCGAGGTAAGAGATGAGACAACTTGCCCATCGGCGGAGGATTGGAGCATTGGCCGAGTTGAGCAAGAAACTGAGAAGTTGAATTCCCAGAGACTTTCCAAGTGCATCCTGAATGAGGGTCGCACCCTGCGCTGCTAGAAATTCCTGCACCGTGTGAGCCAGAGCTTCGGAGAGGTCCAGGATCACCTACGATGACTTCGCATAGCGGCCTGGCTGCAGTGAGGCTGCCATCTGAAGTAAGGGCAGCCGTTACGTTGGCGTGCAGATGCTCTGCCTGAGGGTCGCTGCGTGACATGGCATCAGGTGGGCGCAGTGAGCTGGTGGGGAGGAGCACGAGAAGTCGCGGCCGGGGATGGTGAAGATATTGGGCGAGACTGGAAGGAGGCTGGGCAGGGTCCACGCGCCTTCCCAACGCCGCGCCACGCGCCGCAGCTGTCTACATCCCACGGCCGCGGTGAAATGAGAGAAGATTGCGAACCCAGCATTCCTGGTTAGCCACGCGGCCGCCAGCGCCCTGAAATGCGGAGTTTTCTGCAAGGCTTTTGCTGCCGAGACAAAGAAAAGGAATTGCTGGGAATAGAAAACCACCTTCTGTCATTCTTTAGCTAATTGCAAGCCTCGCGCATGTCTACTTGATGCCCCGGTCCTCTGACGCGCTGTTCTTACCCGGAGGTGAGAATGTGTCCTGGTCCAGGCTGCAATGGATGCCGCAGGGAAGAATGAATTGCGTGTATAATTGGATCTCGTGTCTTTTTGTTTCGTCGACGGGAGTGAGCGTCCCCCTATGCTCCAGCTGACAAACACACACGTGTGTTGGTGCCTTAGGTACGTCGGCGTTCGGGAGACGCGTCCTCCGAGACGGCTTATCTTATCGCGGTCTTACCAATCAACCTCTCCGTCATAGACGACGAAGACTCGAGGGAGCTGTTATATATACAGCTGCTTGCGCCATTCCCGTGCCCGGTCACCTCATCCTGTCGACTTCCGTTTCCGTCAGCTTCGCCAGAGCTTGTTCAGCCCGCCGGCCATCTCATTCGCTCGTTCGGAAACTATGTCTGCCGCAACCCTTGACCATTCCGTCATGACGGACTCCAGCGTCCAGCCTGCATTTTTTTCCTTCTTCCCCAGGAAGCGCGGTCCGCAAAATGTACCAAGTCTACCCCCGCCGTCCGACGAGCGCATGAGACAGTCGCTTTGCGAGTCCCCCCTCGATCTTCAGGGTACGACGTTGTTGGACAAGGAGGAAACGGTACTGTACCTAGCGTACGGTTCCAATTTGTGCTATGAGACGTTCCAGGGCAGGCGAGGCATCAAGCCTCTTGCACAAATCAACGTTGTCGTGCCCTCGCTCCGCCTTACCTTTGACCTGCCCGGCATTCCCTACACCGAGCCCTGTTTCTCCAACTCGGGTCTGAGAAGCCCTCTGTCTGGAAGCGACAACGAAAAGACGCCATTGATCGCACCTGCGTCCGAGTACCACAAGGATTGTTGGAAGAAAGGTCTGGTTGGCGTGGTCTACGAAGTAACGCTCAAGGACTACGCACACATAATTGCGACCGAGGGGGGCGGCACTGGCTACAAGGACGTGCTCGTCGACTGCCATCCCTTGGACGACGAGGACGCCGTGCCTGAGCAGCCCGTGAGCCAGCCGTTCAAGGCGCACACCCTCTTTGCGCCAACCCAAAAAGACGGGCGGCTCAAGAGGCCGGATCCGTCCTACGCCCAGCCCTCGGCACGCTATCTCAAGCTCATCACCAACGGGGCAGAAGAACACGGGCTCCCCAGGGATTACAGAGACTACTTGTACGCGATCCGGCCGTACACCATCACAACCAAGCGGCAGCGGGTGGGGCAGATCGTCTTCAACGCCGTCTGGCTCCCGCTTTTCCTCGTGATGATATCAATGCAGGAAGCATTCCAAGACAAGAACGGAAACAGCCCGAAATGGCTGGCAGCTTTTGCCAACGCCCTTGTCAATGCCGCCTGGGCCTCGTATGATGGACTCTTCAAGAAACTCTTTGGCGACGGTGAACGCACGATGGATAAGGACGATGAGGAAATGCAGGTTCAAGCATGCTTACGCCGCAAGGTGTGCGGCGCCCAATCCGGCGCGAGGATAAAATAACCAGGTCGAGCAATTGCATGGTGCTCTCCGTAGATGAAATATCAAAGTTTGTTGGTCAGTGACAGCTCCGCGGAGTTGGCCAAAGCGCACTTCCGAACTTCCCCGCAGTCGTCATCCTTCCCCCTCGGCTGCCCCAAGTACTTATTATCCGTCTGCCCGCCCCGCCCTGTTCAGAATGGCCACAGAAGATCCGCCATGAGCATATCAGCGGCTTTCAGAGCCAGCTACCCGTGGATTCAGGCGCCGCTCATCGTGAGCGCGCCCATGCGCCTGATTGCATTCGCTCCGCTCGCCGTCGAGGTGTCGCGCGCCGGTGAGCTTTGCTGCTGCCTATCGAATTGTGCTGCCATGGTCGAAAATATTGACAGTCACGTCCAGGTGGCCTGGGCTTTATTGCTGCAGGAAGCGATACAAGCACCCTCGAGCCTAGTCTCCGTGAAGCCCATCGGCGGCTCACGACCGACCCCATCCCCCGCTCAAGCCCGCACACGGTCCTGCCTGTTGGCGTTGGGTTCATCAACTGGGGCGCGGATCTCGAGCAAGCAGCCGCCTTGCTAGCAAAGTACACGCCTGCCGCTGCTTGGTTCTTCGCTCCGCGCAAGACAGACGACCTCGGGCGCTGGGCAAGCACCATCCGCGAAGTCACCCAGCGGCGCACGAGCGTCTGGGTCCAGGTCGGCACCGTCGCCGAGGCATTGGCCGTGACGCAGGCCTGCAAGCCGGATGTTCTGGTCGTCCAGGGCACGGATGCGGGCGGCCATGGCCGCGAGCGCGGCGCGAGCATTGTCGCTCTCGTGCCCGAGGTCGCTGACGCCATCGCAGCCCTCAGTCTGCCGCCGGAGGAGACGCCGGCGCTGGTAGCTGCTGGCGGCATCGCCGACGGGCGCGGCGTCGCGGCGGCGCTGGTTTTGGGGGCCGAGGCCGTCGTCATGGGCACGCGTTTCCTCGCGTGCCCGGAGGCGGCCATTGCGGCGGGCTACAGGGCAGAGGTCGTCCGCGCGAGTGATGGTGGCGCCGCCACGGCAAGGACCAAGGTCTACGACCAGCTGCGCGGCACGACGGATTGGCCAGAGGGATACAACGGCCGCGGGGTGCTGAACCGCAGCTGGGAAGACGCGGCGAACGGGGTGCCGTTCGAGGAGAACAAGAGGCTCTACGAAGCGGCCATGGAGCTTGGCGACGCCGGCTGGGGGCCGCAGGGGAGGATGACAACGTACGCGGGCACGGCGGTGGGCTTGGTGAAGGGGGTGATGGCGGCAAGGGAGATTGTGGACGAAGTCAGAGAGGGTGCAAGGCAGGTGTTGGGGCGCGGGGGCGAGAAACTGTGAATGCAATGCAACGACTGACTCGACGATCTTGATATCGGTTGGCGGCGATAAAAAGGACTCCCTACGTCATTTCGGCTTGCTTCGTCCGCCGTTGGGGTCGGGCCGAGGGCGTGGCCCGAGGGGATGGGCTCTTTATATGCGGTTCGTATTCGGAGACGACGCAGCCAGCGTGCCGGCGCAGCGAAAATTTCGAGAACTCGGTGAGCACAGCTTCCACCAATTTGCGGGAGCAGGCGCCACATGCTGGGCCGGGCATGAGGACTCCAGCCTTGACACCATCCCTTTCTGCACGAGTCGCCCGCCAAGCAACCAGGCCGAAATACGCTCTCATGGACCTGGCCACAGATCCTCCGTTTGATCTCCATCCAATGGAATCCGAGTAGCTACTAATCATAAATAGTCACCCCCGGCGCAGGCTAGGCATGCGGGTTGGGCGCTGCCTTCGCTTTCCCTCCCCGCTTCTGAACAACGATGCCCACGGCCGGCTATGCGCCGTCCAGATCGACAGTGCCGATAGTATGGTTGCTCCTGATGCTTAACGCCATGATCACATCAGCCACCCGGCAATGTTATTACCCTAATGGCCTGGCCGCCGAAAACGCCACCCCATGCTATTCCGACCTCCACAGCCCATGCTGCGCGCAACCTAGCGCCTGCTCAGCAGGCGGGCTGTGTCTAAACCACCACGCCACCGATTCGCGCGCCGTCCTGTACCTTGGCGGGTGCACTCATCCTAGTGCCTGTCCGAGCTACTGTAACTCGGGTATGGTGACCCCGATCGTGCCCCCCTCTCTTGGTCCCGAGCTGATAGTCCCTCCTTGGCAGTTGATCTGGCCGCAGCGTCCGTCTACGCCGTCGTGCCCTGCTCAGATGGCACGTGGTGCTGCAGTGCCGCCGGCCCGGATGGCATTGGCGACGCCTCGTGCTGCAGCAATCCAGACCAAACATTCCGCCTGGACTGGGGAGCCCTCTTCCTGCCCAGTCGCGACGAGCACCCCAGCCAACCGCTGGCCCCCCGTGACACGACCACCTCGACTGCGGCCGCATCGTCCATTGCGACTAATGGCATTCTGCTCGCCTCTGAAGACGACGACGCGAACTCGAAGAAGTGCCCGCCGGACCGCAGCGCCGTCGTCGGCCTCTCGACGGGCGTGCCGCTGGGCGTGTGCCTGCTCGCCGCCCTGGTCGCCATCTTCGTGCTACTCGGCCGCGACCGCAAGGCCCGCGACCGCATCCGCGCCCTGAACGAGGCCGCCCGCGAAGAGCGCGAGCGCGTCGCCCGCGAGCACATGATCCCCCGCGTCTATGCCGCATCCTACCACGCGCCGCCCCCGCCAGGGGCAGCCAGCGTGACGCGGTTCAGTCCCACCCACAGCGGGAGCGTGATAGGCAGCAGCCCGATACTGGCCGCGCCGCCGCCGCACACCCCAGAGGGCCATCAGGGAGGGTTTGAGGGCTTTGATGGGTACGTGAACGAGGGAGGGTTGGTTCCTGGGGGAGAGGGGGGCCAGCAAGGCGGAGCGAGGCATGTCAGCTGGGCCACCAGTGCGGGTGGTGGCAGCAGAGCGGCTGGGACGCATGAGAGCTGGACCACTGGCGGAGAGAGCAGCTCATGGGCTTACGAGTACGACAACGAGCAGCACGGGTCGAGGAAGGAGAGATTTGAGATGACGCCTTAAGAATCAGAATGCGCATGTGGACGGGCAAGAAGAGAAAACAAAGGCGGGAAAAGGTTGGGAAGGCTCCGCAGGACGAGAAGAAGAGCATCGGTCGGCTTGAGTGGAATGGGCTGGATTTGGAGGAAAGTATGCGAAGAGGTGGAATTCGAGCGGCGCTGATACCCCCCCATGGAGCATCCCTACCATGCGTCTTAACAGTTTCTTCCTGTTATAAACTGCTGCTCACCATGCCAGGATTTTGGCCAACCGCCTCCCAACATACGAAATTTAAGTAATGTCTGTCGTCACATTGGCACCCTTTTCCGGATTAGCTCGGCGTTAAGCGCAACTTTCAGCACAATACCCTCTTACATTCGCATTGCAGCTTTACATGATTTGATTTATTCAGTTTGTTTTCTGCATCTACTGTGCACATCTCGCTCGTCAATCTTCCACCAACCCGTGTCTTCTCGGCCCACAACAAGGGTCCATCGTCAGAGTGGGAACACGTTAGTTTCATGTAAGACTACATCAAGCTGACTAACGTCCAATGCGGTCGACGTTCCGCGTCTTATCTCAGCTCGATTTCTCGCATGCGGGGCTCCGCAAACACCGCTTAAATCCGAGCGTGGGGCGTATATCTAATGTTTCCTGATGCTGTCGAGCACCAGCCTCACAGAATTCAATGAAATGCAAGTCACTCGCTCTCTAGATGCGCGCTGCCGCGAAAAGGGCTCCTTACTGACATTGTCCCGCAGAGGCTTCATTGCCATTCCCCAGCACACGGCCACGGCCACGGCTTTTTCGATAAACCGAACCACAACCCAAAGCTGAAGCCGCCATGTCGCCCGTTCCCCGGACCATGCGCGCAGCCGTTCTGCACACGCCTGGCGGCCCCTCGGCCCTGAAGCTCGAAATGCTTCCCATCCCCACCCCACGTGCGTCGGAGCTCCTCATCCGCGTCAAGGCTTTCGGCCTCAACCGTTCCGAGCTCTTCACCCGCCAGGGCCACTCGCCCGGCGTGCGGCTGCCGCGCGTGCTCGGCATCGAGGCGGTCGGGCTCGTTGCCGCCGTCGGGCCCAGCGCAGCCGCTGCTGGCTCCTTCTCGCCCGGCGCCGTCGTCGCGACGGCCATGGGCGGCATGGGACGCGCTTTCGACGGCGGCTACGCCGAGTATGCATGCGTGCCGGCGGCGCAGGTGCGGACCATCGCCGCCAGCGAGGCGGAGCTGGCCGATGCCATGGGCCCGCGATGTTGGGAGACGCTGGGCGCGCTGCCCGAGATGCTGCAGACGGCTTGGGGAGCGCTGGCCAAGAGCCTGCGGCTGCGCGAGGGCGAGAGCCTGCTCATCAGGGGTGGCACGACGAGCGTCGGGCTCGCCGCGGCAGCGCTGGCGAAAGGTCAGATGGGCGCGGGGCGCGTCGTGGCGACGAGTCGGAGCGAGGAGAAGGCGGGGCTGATGCGCGAATTCGGCGCCGACGAGACGGTCGTGGATGACGGCGCGCTGGCGGCCAGGTTCAAAGAGGACGGACAGAAGTTCGACAAGGTTCTCGAACTGGTGGGCACCGTAACATTGAAGGATTCGCTGGCGTGCGCGAAGGAGGGTGGCATCGTCAGCATGACGGGAATTGTGGGCAACGAGTGGACGCTCAAGGAGGTCAACCCGATGGAGTTGATCCCCTCGAAGGTGTGTTTAACGTCGTATTCGGGGAGCGAGAAGGATTTCATGGACACTCCTCTGAAAGAGTTGGCAGAGAAGGTTGGGAGCGGGCAACTGAAGGTGAAGATCGGGAGGGTCTTCAAGCTCGATGAGATTTCTGAAGCGCACCAATTAATGGAGGACAACAAAGCTAATGGGAAGCTCGTGGTCCTAACCTAGCAAAAAGCTAATCAATCTCAGCACTTAGCGCATGATCAAGCTTAGCGAAGGATTTACAAGTAAACAAGTATTGAATATTCAGGTGAAGCAACCGGCCAAAGCAACGCCTCAGGGGTCTTTTACCGTCGAAAACTCAGGTCTATCCACGGAGCTTTTGCGGAAACAAGTGCCAGTTTTGGAAACTTCAAAGACTAAAATATCGCCTGCAAAATAGTTACCGATTCTACAGATACGCCGATCTTCTTCCAAACAGGAAAACTAGTTGTAGATACCAGCAGGAGATTGAACAAATACAACAGTTCGTCAGGGTTTACATCATTCATAAGGAATCTATAGTCTTCGACGGATGGACTCTTCGTTGCAAATCATCACAGATTAGTCGTCACGGTCATGCTATTGCTGTGCACCAGCATGACTGGAGGCAGCCCCTGACAGAGCACCTCCAGGTCGGCGAGGTACCTCACGCTCGTATGCTCGTCCTCGCAGGTGCCCTCAACGGGGCTGGGAAGGGTTGTGAAGATCACGGCAGTGCGTTGGTCCCCACCGCTCTTGCGTCTGATCAGCTCGTTCAGGATCAGGTGCTGCGCGCGGCACGGCAGGTCGTTGAAGCTTAGCGGCACCGACTGCTGTAGCGGGAACCCGGAGGCCTGCGACATTGAGGACGTAGCGCCGGGACTGTCTGGCATGGCGGTCGAGGCGGAGACGCTTTCGTCGGCTCTCACCAGGTTGGGTAGAAGGGGCGCGCCAACCTGCGGCGAGCTGCTGCGCGTGTAAATGGACGTGCCGAGGCGGCGCTCGCGCTGCTCCTCGGGCAAGAGCGGCTCCGCGAACATGATCGAGGGCCCCGGCCCGTCGTCGATGGCCACTTGGGTGCGGGGGACTGGCTTCGATGTAAACTTGGGTAAGGATTGGCGGGAGTTGGAGGGGCCAGCCTCGTTGCCGTCTGGCTGCGGGGTGGGGGCGGCGTTCGTCGGAGGCTGCGAGGTGATGAGGGTGCTGTCAGAGTTCGCGACAGCGGTTCGGACAGGAGGAAGGAGGGTCCCTCGAGGCGGTTGCGATGGGGTGGTGCTGGAGTCCCCGTGTCGACTCTTGTCGACCCAGCTGATGCTCTCTCCCTCGCTACGTGTTCGCCGGATCGGGCTGAGCGATCTTTCATTTTTGAATTCGTCAATGTCGTTTTCCGAAGCAGCGGACAGATCGCTACCGCTGTCACTGACCTCGAATCCGCCATCGGAAGACGAGCTGTCTTGTCCATCGAGTTCGGGTGGAAGCCGGTGAGTCCGCATCCCCATACTAACGCCCATTTTCTTGAGGCTGCTAACAGAGGCCCGGCGGCGCCGGAAGAGCATGTCTCTGATATCTGCGAACCTCCTTGGCTTGGCGTCCCGGTCACCTTGCCGGAAAGCCGTGCTCGGCCAATTCGAGGCATTCTCCAGAAAGCCCTCAATCTGCGCGAGTTCTTCCATGGGCGTCATGGCTCCGCTCTGCCTCTGCCGAAGCTTCTGGATATCTTGCCACCAAGCTTCCTCTTTCAATGCCTCCTCGATTTCATGTCTCGTCTCACGGCACGACTCGTTCGACTGACCATTGACAATGATCTCGTACGATTCCAAGCCGCCAGACGCAAGCCAGAAGACCAGAACTTCGGCTTCAATCCTGAGGTTGTACAGCAGGGCCTTGACTCTTCCGCGCTCCTCCTCAACGTCGGATTCGTACTCTACAAAGACTGCGACTCGAAGACGGTAGGCCCGCTTCCAGGACGGAACGGTGTTGAGGATACACCCGAGCTGCAGAATCAATGTGTACGTGTCAAAATTCGTCGTGAGAACGCCTTGCGTGCCATCGTTGGGCGCGGCAATCTCTGCTGACATTTGAATGGGCCAGAGGTCAATGTACTTCTTGGCCCCCTCTCCTTTGTTCGTGTTGTTGATATTTAGGGCATGGAGCACTCTTTCGAGCCTTGATGGCCTGGGCGCCGGAAGTTCGAGGTCTTGGAAGCCCTTGGCAATTGCAACATTCACCTGAAGCCGGAGTAGCAAGTCCTCGAGAATTGTAACGTAGCTTTGCGGCGTCACGGCACTCTCCTTCCGGATGGCGTCGGTGGGTAGCTGGCCTTTCAGCTTATCCTCCTCGGTCCTCCACTTGCCCTTCGGTCTCCCCGTGCACGGCGGTGAGCCGTTGGTTGTGCTTTGCTGATGTTCCGGTCCCGGAGGTGGCACATCAACCAGTGGGTTTGTGCGCAGATCGTTGAGGTTGTAGAAGCCCATAACGACAATGTTTGGTTTCATCCCACCAAGTCCGGCGCTTAGTACGACGTTCCTCGTGCCCCATTCAATATTTGGAGAGACGACGACGCTGATGAAGGCCTTGATGCGGGAGAAGTCGATATATTTAGTCCATGCAGACTGTTGCCTTTTGACCTCTGGAACAGCACCGGCGAAATCGTTCGTGACGATAACGTGGCCGAGAATAAACAGCGCACCCTTCTTGAGGGAATTGCAGAACTGGATCAGCTTGTACTGCCTTCGGGGATCGTTGATGAACAGTAGAATCTGAGGTCTCCAAAACTTGACGTGTTCTTGTCGCAAACGGAGAAGGTACTTTCGGACCTGATGGTAGATTAAGCTTTGGCTGACATCTCCCCAGGCCTTCGGGGGCGTGGTATAGTGGATAATCAGAAATATCAAGACGAGGGTAGCGAAGCAGCCAGTGGCGGACAGGCCGTCTACGAAGAACATGGAGACGGCACTTGCTATAGCTCCGATGGCAGCAGTCCACCAGTTGAAAAAGTGAAAAGAGGGCCGAAAATTGGGTGCCGAGGCGACCTTCAACAGAAAACAGGCTAGGTTGGTGACCAGAAACGTCATGAGGTAGGCCATGGTCACTAGGGAGGCAATCTGGTTGATGTCGGCGAGCATGGTCAATTGGGACAGGACGTATGTCAGACCGATCGCTAGGATCGGCTCATGGGCGCCTTTGGTTCCTTGAGCAAAGGTTGACAGACCCGGAATGAGCTTGTCCCGAGCCAGGGCCTGGAGGAGTTTGGCAGACCCGATGACGCCCATCAAAGTGGAAAAGAAGGTGGAGGCGAACTCCCCCAAAAGAACGAGAGTGCCGGAGATATTCACCTTGACACTGGTGAGCATGCGCCTGAAGAGAGATCAAACAGGCTTGCTTACAGCTTGAATCACATTTTCATTGTTGTACAAAGATACTCGTGTGATGCTGGCGGCCATCGAGATGATCACTACGGTGTAGGCTGCGAATGTCAAGGCCAGCCCGTACAGAGTACCGCTTGGGATCGACTTGCTTGGGGCTTTCAAGTCTCCTGACATCGAAGCGCCACTAAAGTCCTCCAAGTCAGCGAAGGCTGCCTCGAACAACACCGCGGGCAAACTGACGCAAATATGCCTCCCGTCGCGGGGAACAGAATGCCAAACAAATCCTGCCACGTCTCTCTGCCCTTCAACTCGCTACCAGCCGCGCCTTTGGTCAGCTTTGGCAGTAAATTCCCCCTCAGCGTCTCGAGACTGAGTCCAGTGTACTCGATACCTAATTTCGGATTTGAGAAAGGGGGCAGAAAAAGAGTGGAAACCGGGATACTGAACGTGGCCACAAGCAAGATGACCAGGAGTGCATTGCTGCAACGGGCAAAAAGACTACTGCCAGCCAAGCAGATGACGGTGCAGACGGCGAGAACGACGGTGGCCCAAAGATACTGCGACCAGAAGTCATCAGGCAGCCAATTGCCCCAACTTCCGCGACTGGAGCCGAAGTTTTGGACGAAGCAAGTGACCAAGCCAACGGCATTCATGCCTGTATTCAGAACGCATCCGAGATAGAAAACTATTCCGATAGAGCCGCCAAACTCAGGCCCGAGGCTACGTGAAATGAGGTAATAGGCACCTCCGCCTCTTACTGTCCCGTTGGTCGCAATGGCAGAGATTGATAGCGTGGTCAGAAAATTGATGGCATAGCACGCGAGGAGCATTCCTGCGAATAGAAAGTCAGCGGATTTTGCCAAGGTGCAGAGTTTTGTAGCCACGCGGGGAGTACGCCGTAAGAGTCGGGGGCGGTCAAGGGGAGGGTGATTGTCGACGTCCCGTCGGGCCGGGCCAAAGCTACTGTACGAATGGGCGATGGGCAGGATGCAGCCTTGACATCCAATCGTCGTGGTGTGCTACACAGGAAAAAAGAAAACCCCCCCGTGCAGCTGCACGTCCGTCGTCGGGCGCGGGAGGATGACGACGAGGTGCCAAGGGAGGGCAACTCACCCATCATCCCAAGCACTCCGCTCTGGCCAAGGATGAAGCCGAAGCGGAGGAACATCAAAATACTTAGGACGTTGAGGGTCGTTGGCACAAAAACGCCCGCGAAAGTGCCGAGCTTGGCAGGCGCATCGATCCCAGAGGAGCGTCGTCTGCGCCTCCGCTGCCCGCTCGGCGGAGCCACAGAGGCTGCGCGCGACGCAGGCGCGCTGGTCACAAAGGCCCTGCCGCGGGCGAACAAGGCGGAAACGGAGCCAAAGGGACTGTTTTCACGTGAAGCGCTGACCGGCCGGCCACGGCGTGCTCCGGCGGCCAGCAGTGGCTCGCTCTCATCCTGGGCGGACAGTTGCGAGAGAGACCACCGGCGTTGGAGCTGGTGCGAGTCGTCCTGGGCGGCCCGAGTGGTGAAATTCGAGCGCGAGTGGAGCCGTGGTGGCATTCGGGACGATCCCCCGCCCGAAGTCATAGCGTCGCTGGTGGTGGTCATTGTGGGCGAGGCGGCGAGCAGGGCAGCGCGCTGGTTATAGAGGCGGCCATGGCTCTCGAGGCGCAGCCATGTCGGAGCATGTCCATGTCTTGGACGGGCGGGCCCTTGACGTTTGAGGCGAGCTTGCGCGTGGGGCGAGCCAATGGCAGGGCGTGCAGATTGCATCGGCGTTTCAGCGGCGAGGCTGGCAACCAGCTGCGGATGACCTGCTCCCAGCCGGCCATCTGCGCGCTCTCCACCGGCAGCGTGACCAGCCCTGTTGTCGCCTATCTCGCTTCACGCTGATCTCGCGCCGTTTCGCTGTCTTCGCGTTGCTTCGACTTGGCCCACGCGCCCGCCCCTGCCCGCCTTTGACGTAGAGCTCCCGGCATAGCTCCCACTCTCCCTCCCACAAATCCCGCATACAAGAGCTTCTTCTCCGCCCACTCCCTCTCATAATCGCTCACCCCCCATCCTGAGAAATACCGCACGCCATGCCCGACCAGGACTCGCAGCCCAGGCCGGTGCCAGTTGGGCGAAGCTCGCCCAGCGACCGAGGCCGATCGCCAGCAGAGGGCTCTTTCTCGCGAGCCACCTCCACCAGACGCCTTGGGTCGCCTGTGCCCACGCCCGGCCTCGCCGCTTCGCCCAGGGTTCCTCAGGTCCCGACTCCCCAGCAGCTTCAGACCGGCGACGTCCCCGAGTCGCGCACCCCGCTCGCCGGCCTCGAGCCCGGCAAGTCATCCCTTCCAGGCCCCGGCGAGTCGGCCCTCGCAAACGCTCTGAAGGGCTCATTTGGCGGGAGCCCTCCACGCTTCGGCACCCCTCCCGTGCGCGCCGCCTCCCCGGCTCCCGAAGGCCTCAATCTCCCCAGAACCAACTACGGCTCTTTCAACTCGCAGCAAGTCGGAAGCCCGTCGGGGCGCCTGGAGGACCACGAGATTGTGAGAAGACATCTGGTCGGCGGCGGCAACGGCTCGTCTTCGAACCTCGCCGGCGGTGTCTACGGCTCGCCCAAGCGTGCCCCCGACTACGACCGCACTGCCGACGACGAAGAGAATGGCAATTTCGACAGCCTGCAGCTGCAGGGTGGAGATATCACGCGCCAGATCTACCGCTGGACCGAGCAGCAGGAAGCGGAGGCTCAGGGAAAGACGCGGAGGAGCCGCAGTTTTCACGCTGCCCGCCCTCGGCCGGAAGACAACTCGGTGTTGAACATCAACAGCATCAAGCAGCCCGGAGGCTTCCGCAGGAACTACATCAGAAGGGCCGCTGGTAGCCCGTCTCCGGGCCCTTCAGATGCCCCGAATGGCGGTGCCGCCAAGCGTCCCAATCCTCACGTTTTCACGAGCAACTTCCTCGAGTTCTTGAGCTTGTATGGACACTTCGCCGGTGAGGAGCTCGAAGAGGATGACGAGGCTCTCGGCCCGGACGAGTACTTTTCGTCGGATGCCTACGACGAGGGCACAGGCGGCGAAGAAGATGAGTCGGAAGGGGAGCCTGGCGAGCATAGCGCCTTGCTTACTCCGGGGAAGAGGCGCAAGAGAAGAAAGCAGAGAGAGTCGGGCAAGGGGACCCCTTCGGGCGCAGCCATGCTGCTGCTCAAATCTTTCGTCGGTACTGGTGTTCTTTTCCTTCCCAGGGCTTTCTTGAACGGAGGAATGCTCTTTAGCAACCTCGTCCTGCTGCTCGTCTCCGGTCTCAGCTACTACTGCTTCGTTCTTCTCACGACGACTCGCCTCTACGTCCACGCATCATTCGGAGACATGGGTTACCACCTCTACGGAAAATGGATGCGCAACCTGATCAACATCTCCCTCGTCGTCAGCCAGATCGGCTTCTCATCCGCCTACATCGTTTTCGTTTCGGAGAACCTGCAAGCCTTCGTTGAAGCAGTCTCCAAGTGCCGTACTTTCATCGACATCAAATACATGATCTTGATGCAGATGATTATTTTCCTCCCGCTTTCGCTTTATCGGAACATCAACCACATCCAAAAGCTTGCCCTGGTCGCGGACGCCTTCATCATTCTTGGGCTCGTCTACCTGTACTACTACGACATCCTCACTCTTGCTTCGCAACATGGAATCAGCGACATCAAGAACTTTAACCCCAAGGACTGGACGCTTTTCATCGGAACGGCCATCTTCACCTTTGAGGGCATTGGCCTGATCATCCCGATCCAGAGCAGCATGAAGGACCCCGCCAAGTTCCCTCGAGTCCTCGCTCTGGTGATGATCGTCATTACCGTTATTTTTGTCAGCATGGGAGCGCTTTCCTACGCTGCATTCGGATCCAAGACCAAGACCGTCATCATCCTCAACATGCCGCAGGACAACAAATTTGTCAACGGCGTGCAGTTCATCTATTCGCTTGCCATCTTGCTTTCCACCCCACTGCAGATTTTCCCGGCCATTGAAATCAGCTCGCAGCAGCTGTTCAGTAAGACGGGCAAGTTCAACCCCTGGGTTAAGTGGAAGAAGAACTTCTTCCGTTTCTTCATGGTCATGTGCTGCGCTCTGATCGCCTGGGTCGGCGCGGGTGATCTGGACAAGTTTGTGTCCCTCGTGGGCAGCTTTGCCTGCATCCCACTTGTTTATATCTACCCGGTGAGTGATACCGACTCGCTTGAGAAGGAGCTCGTGCGTTTGCTAACCCAACTTCCCAGCCCATGCTGCACTACAGAGCTGTCTCGCGTACGTTCTGGCAACGCTTTGCTGACGTTGCCCTTATTGTCGTCGGCTTGGTCATGATGCTGTACACGACGGCACTTACGATTGATAGCTGGGTCGGTGGCGACAATTCGAAACCCCCTGGCTATTGCGACGACAAATAAATATTTGCCCCGCATACACTCGTTACGAAATTCTCCTACGCCATACTCTGATGTCAACGTCTTTCGCAGCTCCACTTCACTTTCGGATAGAAAGAGCTCAATTTGCCTGTACAAGAGTTGTTGGAATCTTGTAAATTGGGACCATTGGAACCGCAGGATCGCCTTTTGTGTATTGTTACTTTTGCGCGCGTGTTGGTTGTGTATATGCATCATAGAGGCGTTTGAAGAGGCATATACTGTCAAATTTAGCTGTAGCGGTGTAGGACCGAATGAATCATTACAGTGTAACACGCTTGGCCGGGGCTTTCGTATCTCAAGAGGACGAGCCGACGCGCCGGCGGCCACGCCGCGATCCGATGACGCATCGCCCCAAACAACCCCGCCGTCCTCGCGTCGTCCGCTATCTCCGACACCTCGACGACGGAGAGTCATATGGGCACGATGACTGGACGAGCATCCTGGAATTTATTTGAACCTCAGATTCTTTTTTCGAATCCAACTCGACAGGCTTTCCATTGTCCGCCATTTCCCCCCAGACCTCTCTCTCCGATAGCCCACGCCTGACCACCCCACCTTTTGAACAGCTCGCTGTGCGACGAAAGACTCCTCCATCACCCACCCGAGCACATATAAAAAAGGGCAAGGAGAAAGGCCAGAGAGGGGGAAAAGAGCATTAGCAAACTGGTTCCTCTTCGTGCTCAGCACGCTGCTCCCAATTCATCATCAATCGTCCCCATCGTCACCATGGCCATTGCAACAACTCTCCTCTCTTCCCTCCCCGCCCCGCCTCTCATGACCGCCGCCCTTCTCCTGCCGGCCATTGCCTTGCTCACCCTTTCCCTCTACCGGCTCCACCTGCATCCGCTCTCACACATCCCGGGCCCGCCGCTCGCGGCGCTGACGTCGCTCTGGCTGTACTGGCACTCGTACCGGGGCACCGAGGCACGCGTCATCGACGCGCTGCACAGACGCTACGGCCCGCTCGTGCGGATCGCGCCGAACGAGCTCGATATCTCGCGCGGCGAGGCGCTGGCGCCAGTCTACGTCAGCAAAGGCGGATTTCTCAAGGCAGCCTGTTACAGGAACTTTGATATCGAGGGCCATCAAAGCATCTTCTCGGCAGTCGATCCGGCGCACAGAGCGCCAAGGGCCAAGGCGGTGGTGGGCTTGTTCAGCACGCAGGCCATCAGGAGGGAGGGTCGCGGCGAAGAGGTCATCAGAGGCGTGGCGCAGAGAATGTGCAGGCGGTGGGAGGGGGAAAAGAGGACGGCGGCACAGCGTGGCAAGAGACCGAGAGTGGATGTGCTGAACTTGTCGAGGAGCTTGGCGTTGGATGCGGTGAGCGAGTACCTGTTCGGGCGATCATATGGGGGTGTTGAGGAGGGGACAGGACGAGACGCCATTGGTGAGGAGCAGCCGCAGCTCAGTGCAAGCCAATTCGTCAACACCTTCGTTGCAGTGGGCAGGTTCTTCTACCTACCGAACTGGATCTTTGTCGCAGTCGAAGCGCTGGCCATGCGGTTCAATGTTGAGAAGCACGATGTCGAAAACAGTATGGGGACAGTGGCATCATTCGTCAAGGACATTGTCGAAGAGGCGGAGAAGGGTCAGCGCAAGGAGACCTATCACGGTCGGTTGTTGGAGGCTGGCTTTACAAAGGACGAAACTGTGGCACAGTGTATGGATTTGATGTTCGCAGGTACCGATTCGACGGGCATGAATTTGGCGACTGCGTGTTGGTGGTTGGCTAAGAAACCCGAAGTGTGAGTACACACTCGGCCGTCTTTCGTGTATTATGACTGACAGGTACATTTTCACAGCTACAATGCCCTCCGCGAAGAGGTTCTCGCCGATCCAGAGGCCGATCCGCAAACCATGCCCTACCTTTCTGCCGTCATCAAAGAGACGCTACGTATAAGCATGGCCAATCCCACCCGCCTTCCGCGTGTTGTGCCGCCGCAGGGCTGGAACTTTGACTCTACATTCATCCCGCCAGGTACCATCGTTGGTCTGTCGCCCTTCACGCTTCATTTCAATCCCCAAGTGTTCACCTCTCCGTACGAGTTCCTGCCTGAACGCTGGAGAAACCCGACGCCCGAGATGATACGCGATCACATCCCATTCGGGCTGGGTAGCAGAGCCTGCATAGCCAGAAATTTGGCCACCGTGGAACTGTACTTGGCCCTGAGAGAGGTTGTGCGAACAGGAGTCCTCGATGGTGCAAATTGTGTGCAGGACAAGATCGAGATTTTGGACTGGTTCAATTCGAGGGTTGTCGGCGAAAAGATTGAGTTAGAATGGTCATGACTTGAGAACCGAATGGGATAGCACAGGCGACTGTTGGAGAGGAGTATCGGAGGAGTGGGAGTGGCAGGAGAAATGAGGGAATCTGTCGGCTATATTCACAGGCAAGAATTGTTTCGACGCGAACTTAGGTGGTTGATGTACAACCGGGATATTCAGCCTGTTACTCGCTGTCGCTGTCGTCGCTGCTAGGTGCTCCGTCTTCCTCCATGGGCACTTCGTCATCCTCTTCAGGCGTGCCGTTCATAATGAACGCCTTCAAGCACGTTATACGATTCCCCGTCTCATGCGTCCCGATCAGTTCCCCAACTTGCTTGGCTGAGAGCGTGTTGCTAACGTTGGCGGCCCTTTCGCTGTCCTTTTCCGGTTGCGTTGTGGAATCGCCATTGGCTGTGTCATCCGCAGGCAGGCTCAGCTCACCTTGGCTCAAGCGCCAGATCCTCACGGCACCGTCGCTGCTGCCCGTGATGATGAAGAACTGGTCTGCCGCTCCAGGAACCGGCAGTAACTCAAAGTCCTTTATACGTCCAGTCAGGCCCGCTGCTCTACCGCCAAGCTGAGCAATAAGCTTGCAGTTGGGTACGGCGACTTCCTTGCCACTCTTGACCGCTTCCGAGGTTGCTGCCGGAGTGACGGTCTCCTTGGTCGAGTAAAACAAGATGCGGCCATCCTCTGTGGAAATGGAGATGATGTCGCCAAGCTCCTCACCAAGGCCAGGAAGGTAGTGAATCTGGTGGATCTTCGTCATCGGTCTGGGCAATGTCTGAGACTTTGGCCGCGAGTCCAGACCATACACCACAAAGCCTCGTTCGAAAGCCACCACCCATTCCTCGCCATCCGGGCTCCATTTCACCTTGCGGCCCTCGCCAGAAGACCACTTGCCCTCGCCGACGTTTTGCAGCATCTCGCGGTCGAAGTTCAGGACGCTGGCCTTCTTACCGGTCATGACGTTCCATAGCCGCATGCATTTCTCTCCTTTGCTGACACTGATCATGAGCTTCTGGCTGGGGTGCACGGCAAAATCGTTGATCCCTGAGGGGATCTCGCCGGGACCGGCGGTGTCGCCGCTCGGTCTTCCTTGCGCCTTTGGTATCGGCGCCTTGATGGCCGAAAGCACCGTCCAGTCGCGAGTGCGCGTGATGGCTATGGTGTTGTCGTCGGCACCAGAGAAAAGCTTGGACCGGCTGGGAAAGTGCAACGCGCTGATATTCGACGAGTGGTGCACCAGTGAGCCCATCTCGCGGTTCTTGGGATTGTGCATACTCGGGGTTCCGGTGAGAGTGGGTATCGAGGGCTGCGAATGGGCAGGCGGGGGTGCGGTCGAGAGCTGGTAAAGGTTGATGCGTTCATCGGTGCTGCCGCTCGCGAGAATGACCTTCTGCGACTTGGGGTCGGATGAGTCGGAGGGCGGCGAGACCGCGAGGCAGCGGATGGCGGAAGCGTGCGCGTTGAACAAAAAGGTATCGGCGAACTTGACGGCATTGCTGTCTTGAGAGCGCACTTTCGTGTTGGCCTGGGGGTCTACGGTGGCGGTGAGGCCATGTAGGACTCGCTCGTAGGAACCGGTGATAATTTGCAGCGATGTGGGTGTCGCGGAGTCCTGCGGGGACGAGGTGCCGCTGCTGGAGAGCTGCACAGCGAAGGACTTCTGAGGCTTGGAGGCCTCGTCGTCGGGCTGGGCGTCGCGCTTCCTCTTCGCCATCGTTGGTACCTTGTAGGTGCGTGGTGGTGTGCGGGCGCGTCACTTCGGCAGCGTCGCATGGAACTTTTTCTGCCGGGCGCAAAGGCGGTGAGGCGCGGCCGATTGGACAACAGCCCGCAGTCCAGGGAGACCGGGCGCGCGACAACCACCCAGGCTCGTACTCATAACGCCCCGGCAGGCCGCACGCTCACAACCCATCAACTCCCCACACCCAACGCGCTTCAAAATCCCCGCCGTGGCGCTTACCGCGAATGACGGATGTCGTTCCGCCGGGCTGTCATCTCCTATGTCCCTAGACAGCGTTCGTTCGGGCGTGGAACGCGACAAACGCAATGAATTGCTGTAAGTCACGTTATCCGCGCGTTCTACGGTCGCTTTCCATGCCGGCCTACTCGGTGCAGCGATGCGAAAAAGAAAAATCGCTCCTATTGGTTTATTGACGCGTGGTGGTGGAGATCTGGGCGTCGTGGTGCTGACTTGGGCGGGTCGCGCAGCAACATCGAGACATCGCGGAAGAGGAAGCTTCGGGAGCTCTACGCCGTCACTTCGTGCATAAACGCGAGCAACCCTCCCACCTTTACTTTTGCAGACCCTCCCGCGGATGCGCGCGAGCTGCAATTCCTTGACGAGAATGACATTTCCAAGTAAGTTTAAAAACATCCCTTGCTAGCTGCTGAAATAGTACTCTAGTCGCTGCATTACTGATGCATGCGCGCGACCTTCAGAGCACGGTACTTTAGGGAAGACACTCTTCCCGTTTTTGCGCCCGCGAAGCAACCCAAGAAACCTTCTCCTGCTCAGACTCCAGCACTTGCGTCCATACCCAAGTCTTCCGCGCCTGTTGAACCCGCAGCGCATCATGCAGACGGCCTCGAAAATCAACTTGTCGCAGCCACTTCGCCGGCTCGTGCGGCGCCACCTACTCCTCAGGGCGTGGAGAAGCTACCCGCTCCTGCCCTTGCCTTGCCTCAGCCTACGGCAGATGACGGTGTGAAGCCTGACGTTACGTCCCGTTCCTCGGAGGACAAGAAAGCGTCTAAGCCTTCCGCTGAGACGGTGCAGCCTGCCCCCCCAGCTCCGAAATCGCTGCAGCCACCCGCAATCACCCCGGCAGCTCTGCCCCATCCAGGGCCGCTATCCGCGAAAGCGAGACGTAGATCGTCTGCTCTGGCTGACGGCTCTACTATTCTGCCAGATCCTCAAACGATTGATCGCCCCGCTAGGAAGCCCAGGACCATCCATCTGCCACCGAAGGAGGTGCAAGAGCAACGTCTTCGTGAAATTCACACAGCACAAGAGCGCGCCGCGCAGCGGGAAAGGAGAGAGGAAGAACAGCATGCTGCAGGTGTTGCTAGCGAAGCAGTCAATGGCGAAGTTGCCTCGTCGCCATCATCAACGCTTGGACCGCATTCCGCAAATACCTCGAGGGCAGATCAGCATTCCCCCGCCACGAGCCCCGATGAAGAGACGCCCCGGCACAATGGAACTTTTCCGAGTACGCAACCGTCGGGCACCGACAAGAACGGGCCTACGGCAATGACGCCGCCCGACGCTACGCCCGACGCTCAATTGCACTTCGAAGAGTCGGTAAGGCAGGTTCGGGATTCGGCTATGAAGGATCCAGAGTCCGGCACGCCCAAGCCAAAGGCAGCCGATCTAACTGAACAGGCTTCTCGCATCGTGCAGAAATCGGACTTTGCGGCAAATGGGATTCCGACGAGCCAAGATTCTTCAATGTCTCGAAATGCCGTCAATGGCATCGTTCCGACTACACCGAACGAGGCTTGCAGGGACGCTTCTGACGCAAAGGGCAAAGACAAGACAAAGTCGCGCACACCTATTAGCGAACCGTCCGCTGTTCAGGATGTAGTGATGCAGGATGGCGAAACGCCAAAGATTGATGACGCCAACACAGATTCGTTCAGGAGCCGCGATCCCATGGATGGGACCTCTCCAGGGCCCAAGGTCGCAACAGCGTCGGATGCCGTCCCCGATCCAAATTCGATGACAAAATCTACTTCCACATCGGAGGGAATCAGGCCAACTTCTCTCCTTCTCCGAGGCCGGGAAACCGAGTTCCGGAACCGGGAAAAGTCCAAAGCGACTGGTGTCGTGTTCGCAAAGCACGACGGTGCCCTGGCGTTAAGAGGAGGCCAAGAGGTAAACAAGGCATGGTCCAAATTGAAGGGAGCTGCCCAGGACCCGGATAAGGACTATCTGATTGGGATGTTCGACTTTCAGGCGCACTCGGCGCCGATGTATTCGTGCCGTGAACTCCTTGACAAGGCCACTAAAACCATTTCGACTCAAAGCAAGTATGCCAGCATTCGGGAACAGCAAGACTACAAGATTCTCAAGCGTATCTACACTCTGCAGCACGCCAATAGATGGTCCTTGCGGCAGATGGAAAAGTCCACCGAACCTCCGCGCCAAGCTTCATTCCACGACAGTTTCCTTGCGCAGATGAAGTGGATGCGAACGGATTTCAGGGAGGAACGTAGATGGAAAATGGCTGCTGCCCGGAACATGGCAGAATGGTGTGCCGAATGGGTCGATGCGTCCCCGGAGAAGCGTCGCTCATTGCAGGTTAAGGCTACGTGCAAACCGGCAGCACCGCCAGCTCCTGCGGACCCAATGGACGAGGACATTCCGTCGCCTCCAGAGCTCGTTCCGTCGGGCGCGAACGAGACGGAAAGCGAATCTTTTCCTGATGATGACGAATTTCCCATCAATCTTCGATCATCAAACCCGCCTGCAGCTCTGTTTTCTCTTGGCTATGAAGATATTGTTGCTAAGATTGACCATACGCCCATCAGTGAGAAGGTTCTCCAGGAACTGCCTTCTTACGAGTCCAGGTTGAAGGGGTTCCCGTCTCCCTCCGTTTTGACGCCAATCTCCATAGATCCTGAGATAATCCCCGTCTCCCAACTAATCACCGCGAAGCTCGTCCCCAAGTCTACAGAGCCTCCACGAAAGCGCAGCCGATACGAATACGGAGAAGAAGACGAGTCTGTCGGCTACTCTTCGAAGCGACCAACTTCAGAGCGTTCAAACACCTCCACCCCAAGTCTTCGTTTTTCAAGAGTGGGCCTCGCCCCGGAGCAAACGGATGTGGCTCTGTTCCTTCCCGAGAACAAACACGTCCGTGATCGCCTACACGCTGGACACTCCTTCCGACCTCCATCAGAGTTTCCGATGCCGTCGACACAGTTTTTCGAGGCGCGAATGCCGTCACAGTGGCTCTGGGACGAGGATCAACGGTTACGCACGCTAGTCAAGGAGTACCAGTTCAACTGGTCTTTAGTGGCCGCATCTCTGGAACAGTCTTCTTTGTTCACGTCTGGGGCTGAACGGCGGACACCTTGGGAATGCTTCGAACGTTGGGTGCAATTAGAAGGACTGCCTGGCGAGATGGCCAAGACTCCATACTTCCGAACGTATCAAGCACGCCTTGAAGCCGCACAACGGACAGTTACTGCACAGTACCAGGCTGCCCAGCAACAAGCACACCAGCAAGGACAGACTCCAGGACAGATACTGGGCACACCAAGACGCCGGACCGCTCAACCAATCCGCGTAGAGAGGCGTAAGGGCAATAGATTTTTAGCATTGATCGACGCAATGAGAAAACAGGCGAGGAAGCGGGAGACGGCGCAGCATAAGCAGCAAGAGGGTGAGTCAATTCGTATGCTACTTCCGCTTTCGGACCATTTGCTAATCGTACCTTAGCCGCTAAAGCTGCTGCATTGAGAAAGGCTCACGAAGCTGCCCCTGTTCGAACCAGCGTCCATACCCCTCAGGAGTTTAGTAAACTCAAGTACGAGCGCGAGCAGAAAATGGCAGAAAAGCAGGAGGAGTACCGCCGGCAAATGATGGCAGCCCAGAGGGTAAACCGATCACTCCAAAAGCAAGTATTCACGTGCTGACGGCTGTCAAAGCAAGCTATGGCTAGACCAGGTCAAATGCCTGGCCATCCTGGAATGCCTCAGATCGGCCAACAACGCAATGGTACTCCGAACGGTGCTCACGGCCAAGTCCCCGGTCAAAACGGCCAGCTCCATCCTAACATGGGGATGCAAGGTCGCCCGCACCCAGGGCAGGGTATGCAAGGCAACATGTCGAACGGCAACATGTCTGGAATGCCGATGGGTATCCCTCAAGCTCAGATGCAGATGAACATGCAAGGTCAACGACCCCCTCACCAAGCACAAGACATGCGGATGGCCATGCAACAACGAAATCTTACCCAACAGCAGCAGCAATTCCTTTTGCAGCAGCAGGCTCAGCAAATGAACCGGGCCAACAGCATGTCTGGAGGACACATGACCAGTACGAGCAGCGGCAACAACGGCAACGGCAGCAGCAATATGCAGAACCCTTCGATGCTTGCGGCAAACATGGGCACCCCCAAAGCCAACGGCCCGAATGCCGGGAACATGAATGGCATGCAAGGTGCCTCAGCATCTCCGCGCATAGCCGCCCCAAACTCCTCAGCACCTCAACAGCCCCAGGCCCTCTCCAGCGGCCACGTCCCGCAGATCACCAACTTGACCCACGAGATTCAATTGCAACACCCAAACTTATCACAGGCTGAGGCCAGCCGCATTGCTGGAGACCGAATGAACCAGAAGCTACAGCAGAATGCTCGTCAAAATGCGCTGAATGCCGCATCAGGTGCCGCCTCGAGCAGTGGGAACAATGGGGCGCAAGTGTCGCCAAGTCCGTATCAACAGCACGCTACCCTCGCCAACCCGGGTGGCAGCTCAAGCCCTCCAAACCACAACCCACAGCAGCAGGCAGCGTATCAGCAGCAAATGCGGCAGCATATGATGCAGCAGCAGCAGCAGGCACGCACACCTTCAGCCCAGCAGGGTAGTCCCAATCTAGGGTCTGTCCGTCCGGAGAGCCGCAGTGCGACGCCTCAGCAGAACGCGCAGCAGTTGCAGCCTGGTCAGCATGGTAGCCCGAGCAACCGGGCTGGTTCTGCTGGCCAACAGACACCACAGCAAGGTCAGCACCAGCACTCGCAGCAGGCCCAGCAACAGGGGCAGGCCGGCGGCCGTTAGGCCTGCGGGCAGTCTTCAAGTCTGGTCAATTATTTTTGATCTGCGTGCACTTCTTCCCTTGCACGTTTTTCTCCTCCCCCTTGGCGCTTTTGGCGCTATACGTTGAGGATCGGCGGCTGCAAGTCACGGTGGCTGTCGCGCTTTATCCGTTTGGGTGCTTATGCCGCAGTGATTACCTTGTTTCACAAGCGGGCCAGGCGTTTCTTTGGAGTGCTTTAGGATTGTTGGGGCCGCGGGAGGTCGAGGCATGGATCGAAGGGCCGGGCAGGATTGGGATGGGATGGATGGGATAGGATACGGTCATGGACAGCAACGGCTCTTATTATTGTGATTATTAGCGTTCTTGCACGACTAGCGTAGCTTTCTTTTATGCCGTCAACTCCGGCCAGACTAAAAGGAGCGATTCTAGCTGTACAGCTTGCATCTCCACCAGGGGAAAGAGAGTTTACAGCTTAATGTCAATGAAATGTGTGGTTCTTTGAGCCCTTTCCGCTCTTGGAATTAGACTGGGCTACGCAAATGCGCACGATGAAGGGCTCGCCGATCTAATCCTTCCGAAATGTTGCAGAGGGTGATTCTCTACTTTTCCCAGGATTCGATGGAGAACGGCACACTGATTCTTCACCATTCCATCTTCCGCAACGAAGACGTCCAACCCGCCTTTTTCCCTTGGTCACGCAGCAGCTAGGCATAAGCGTCAGCGCTCAACATCCCTCGTATGTTTTCGTATTTTCTGGTCGTCGTTCCTCGTGCGTTGATAGCTTCACTTCAGCACCACCTGCGTGTCTCGGTCCAGAAGTTCCCGTGCGCTGATCAGCTCAGACTGATCGTAGTCCCAGCCAGCCTCACCCGACCCGCTGCGCCGCACGATCTCAGCAAGCTTGGCCGTTGCCAGCTCATGCAGCTTTTCAACAGTTGCAACAGACGGGGGCGCAATATCGCCAGCCGTGTCGGTAACGGCTTGCTTGTTAGAGGCCTTCGGCAGAGACTCGAGGAGCTTCTTGGCCGTCTTTTTTGGGGGAGAGGACTGGTTAGCTGCGACTGACTGGGGGATGGCATTTCGCCTTTGATACATACAAGCTTAAGTCCATAATAGCCACGCAGGTAATTGTCGCACAGCTCTACGCTGCGGCAAAACCGTCTCAAGCTCTCGCTCAGATTCCTAAGCACATTGCCGTCCATATTGTTCGCGGCTGTGGCCGAAATGTAGAGCAGCTCGCCCATTCGCGCGTGCACGTTCCATGCAAAAGGCGTGATGACGAGGACTTCCTCAAGGCTGAAGATAGCTTGCGAGTACATGCTCTGGCTGAGGTAGAGGTCCGAGAGCTCGGCCCAGGACTCGGCATCCGTGGGCGAGAAGTCGAGGAGGTCGACGAGCGCAGAGATGGCCTCAGCGGTGCGGCCCATGGAGCGGAGGAGGGCGACCTTGCGCTTACGGAGCGGCTAGATTGAGAGAGGAGCATCAGCCATGGATCGTCGGGAACAAGTACAAAGGTTTCCCCAGAGGTGATTCCCCAAGGCGAAAAAGCTGAGAGCTTACCAGACTCGTGGGATCCTCTTTCAATACACGCTCCAGGTCCTCCAGGATGCGGCGCAGGTCTTTGTCTTCAGCGACGGCAGCCTCGTACAGAAAGCGCAGGGCGACGACGCGCTGGTTATCTTCGCCGAAGCGAGCCTTTAGCCTGTCAAGGCATTGGCGCGCGGACTTGTCGTCGCCTGTGCGCAGGCAGGACAGCAGGAGGTTTTCGTGGGATGCCCATGTCTCTTGCGTCTCTCTTGACGTGAGCAGGGAAAGCGGCCATGGTAGGGACGAAGTCGTTGATGTCGAGAGAATGCGCGGAGCGGATTGGGAAAGCCGGAGTGCGGATGCCGGCGGTAGGTTGGGCGGCGGGTAGACGAGATCGGCGGTGGACATGGTAGCGGCTCGCTCGCGGCGGGGGCGCAGGGAGGGTAGAGCGGGCGGAATGGGTAGGGTGTTGGAGTTGCGTAGAGATACGTGATAGGTAGCTCGTAGACGGTTGCCCGTTGGCAGAGGCCGCTTCGCGCCAGGGGCGGCAATGACTTTCCCGCTAGTCGCGCCCGACATCGTCATGATCTCTCCGCCCGCGGGGACCACACCGCGCACGAACAACCCAAGTTGCGCCTCCACAGTCTTCTGCTCCCACGGTACCGCCAGCGCCAACCGCCTCCGGCCCACGGTCGTACAGATGCTCGCGCAGAGCCGATAATGTCGCTGAACGGTCTCCACCGCCGCCCTCGAACCCCCCGCCCCGCTATCGTGAATCGACGACGCGTTTCCGCCTAGACAGCTCGTGCACGCGACGACGACGGTCGACACGACGCCAAAATGTTTGTTAACTCCCTAGCTCCGAGCACGGCTCCGAGGACGGAGTCGCTGACACGTCTCGTCCCCCAGGTTCGAGAAATCGCTGTACGACCTCATCCGAGGTCTGCGCAACCACAAAGGCAATGAGAGAGAGTACATCCAGGAAAGCCTGCGGGAGTGCCGCAAGGAAATCAAAGGCTCGGACATGGGTCAGTGGCTGCAGCAGAGCCGGTGCCTACGCTTGCGGGCTTTATTTACTGAAGTGCGAGTGCTGCAGATTTGAAGGCCACCGCCTTGCTCAAGCTCACTTATCTTGAGATGTTTGGCCATGACATGTCTTGGGCCTCGTTCAACGTGCTGGAAGTCATGTCATCTTCCAAATACGGCCATAAGAAAATCGGCTACCTGGCCGCCGTGCAGAGCTTCAGGCCCGACACCGAGGTCTTGATGCTGGCGGAGAATCTGCTCAAGAAGGTACGCTTGGCCCACGATATTGTGCTCTCCATCACTGGTACTCACAGCTCTTCAGGACTTGAGCTCTCCCCAACCAACAACAATCACGCTTCCTCTGTCGGCCATACCGCATGTCATCAATCCCTCCATGGCAAATTCGCTCCTCTCGGACCTGTTACCCCGACTTACACACTCTCACTCTTCGATACGCAAGAAAACGGTGGTCACACTGTACCGTCTCGCACTGGTCTACCCCGAGACTTTGCGACCCGCATGGCCCCGGATCAAGGAGCGGCTGTTGGATGACGACGAAGACCCGAGCGTGACGGCCGCCATTGTCAACGTCGTTTGCGAGCTCGGTTGGAGAAGACCCCAGGACTTCTTGCCTCTAGCACCAAGGCTATTCGACCTTCTTGTCCAAGGCGGGAACAACTGGATGGCTATCAAGATTATCAAGCTGTTTGCAACTTTGACTCCCCTGGAACCGCGTCTCATCAAGAAGCTCCTTCCCCCGCTGACGGCCATCATCAAGACGACCCCTGCCATGTCTCTGTTGTACGAGTGCATCAACGGCATCATTCAAGGCGGCATCCTTGAAGGCGCCGAAGGAACCACGGAGGGAGAGGAGATAGCTCGCTTGTGCGTAGGGAAACTCCGTGGCATGCTGGTCGTCGAAGGGGATCCTAACTGTGAGTTACGCTACTGTGCCTCAATTGTAATTTTCGCGGCTGACTGTCTCAGTAAAATACGTCGCTCTGCTTGCTTTTGACAAGATCGTCCGATCACACCCGCACCTAGTGTCTTTACATCAAGACGTGATCCTAGAATGCATAGACGATGCCGACATTTCAATCAGGTCGCAAGCACTTGGCCTTGTCATTGGCATGGTTAATCCCGATAATCTTACCGTTATAGTTGGGAGACTTATCCGACAGCTTCGAAATGCACCACGAGCATCCGCGGCCGATGACCCTCTGAACGATCGTGGGTTTCACGAGGGGGTGGTGCCGGCCGCAGACCCGTCCGATGACGAGGCCGAGGAGTCGATCCGTCGAAATGAAAAGACAAAGGACCAACCGCCGCCTCTCCCAGAGGACTACCGGATCAAGGCCATCAAAGGCATCCTCGAAATGTGTGCCCGTGACACGTATGCGAACATCATCGACTTTGACTGGTACATCGACGTCCTCGTTCAACTTGTCCGAGTCTCACCTTCTTCGAAGTCGGCATCTCTGGACGAAGAGCTGCCCGAATCCGACGGCACGTCCATGGGCGACAAGGATGACGTGTCCTTCGAGATTGGAAAAGAGCTCCAGAATGTGGCGGTCCGAGTCAAGGCCGTCCGGCCAGAAGCGACGGAAGCTGCGCAGTCTCTCATCCTCGTCGACCGCAGAGATCAAATGTTCCCCGCGTCGGGCAACGGAGGCCAAGGCGTTCTAGGCGCAGCTGCTTGGATGGTGGGCGAATACGCGTCGCTCTTGACAAACCCGGAGGGAGTTCTGAACTCGTTAATGCATTCGTCCTCTGCTCTCCTCCCGCACCACATTCTAGCAATCTACATCCAGGCCGTGCCCAAGGTCTTCGCTTCTGTCTCTTCGAACGAGCAGGTATCATGGACTTCGGAACGCAAATCGACCATGGTGCTCCTCATGGCTCGGATCGTGCATTTCCTGGAGCCGCTGGCCATGCATCCAAACCTAGAAGTTCAGGAGAGAGCGGTAGAATACCTAGAGCTGATGCGGCTTGCTTCAGAAGCGGCATCCGGGCAAGAAGCCAGCCCCGGGGATGGCGATTTTGTCGATCCGCCGCTGCTACTTACACAAGCCATCCCCTCGCTGTTCACAGGCCTCGAGCTCAACCCCGTGGCTCCCGGGGCACAGAGGAAGGTGCCGGTGCCGGACGAATTAGATCTGGACGCTCCCATCAACCCGGATCTCCCGAACCTCTTGCGCAAGGCCGATTACGAGTCGTTCGTTGAACCCGACGAGGATGACGTATATCAATTCTACAGCCAGAGGACGGCAGTTCCCACTCAATCCGAAGCGGCGGCTGATCGCCTGGAGGCGCCCGAAGCAGAGCCCAAATCGTACCAGGCAAGCGCTGCGGAGGAAGAATACCTAGATCCGGACATTATTGCAAGGAGGAAGGCAGAGCGCCGGGCGAGGAACAAGGACGACCCATTCTACATTCCCACCGAAGACGAGCGCTCGGGAACATCGACGCCACTTCACAACATTCTCAAGACCAACAATGGCGAAGACCTGGACCTCGACTCGATACCGATCATGGACTTGGATCTAGAGACCAAGGGCCAGCTCGGCGGCGAGCACAGAACTACCAAGCAGCCGAAGAGGAAGGTGCGCAAGAACTTTGAGATTCTTGTGGATGAGAACCTCGGGCCGGACGAGCCTAGCGCAGCGTCGGACTCGTCGAGGCCGGAGCTCGCCAAGCCAACGCAGAAGGGCAAGAAGTCGTTGCTGGAAGTGGATTCCACGGGATTGGCATCTCTGTCGCTCGAGGAAACGGGCAATAGCAAGCTGGACATGGAGCGGCGGGAGGCTGAGGAGGCCGAGATGGCAAAGGCTTTGAAGGAGGTAGAAAGGCTGAGGCTCGAGATGCAGCGGGCAAGCGAGCGAATCCAGGCGAAGGATGTGCCGCCAGAGGGACAGCTGGTCAAGAGGAAGAAGAAGAAGGCCAAGAAGGAGGCCAAGGGCGAGCCGGAAGCGGCGGAGGAGGAAAACCAGCAAGCGGCGGAGGACAGCCAGCAAGCAGCAGGCGAAGGCGAGGCAGCGGTGGTTAAGAAAAAGAAGAAGAAAAAGGTAAAGAAGCAGGAGGACGGGGCGGCGGAAGCGGAGGGGGACGGCAAGGGCAAGAAGAAAAAGAAGAGGAGGATGGTGGCACTGGAGGGCGAGGGGGCTCCGGGAAGCTGAGGGGCAGCAACTACATCGAGACTGAAATCTGAATACACTTTGTGACTGTAGAAGCTCGGATGCGGCGCACAGGTGATCTCCGGGTGATGTGAGCAAGGCGGGCGCGCACCAAGGAACGGGAGCTTGAAACGTGGCCGTGCGTGGTCCGAGCTCGCACAGACGGCGCGTCGTTCAAACCACAATCCGCCCACCTCGCACCTCCAAAGCCGGCCAGACAATTCCTGCTCGCAGCCATCCACACCCCGCAGGCTCCCACAATGGCCGACACGACCAAGGCTCCCTCCGAGGAGTCGTTCGAGTTCATCGAGACTCCTCCGGCCCACACGCCGCTGCCCGCCGAGAACTACGGTGTGCGCACCACGAGCGTGAGTACCACCCATCCGCCCTCCCGCGCCATTGGCTGCCCAAACCCCGTCCATCGCTGACCCAAGCAGTACCCGACCATCAAGAACGCCCCTCTGCCCGCCGATGGCCCCGGCAGCGACAGCTTCAACAACAACATCCTGTTCGCCCTGCTCGGCGGCATCCCACTGTACTTCACCTTCAAGGTCGGCGGCGGCATCAAGACATGGATCTTCTTCGGCATCCTGACCGCCATCCCCATCCTGATGGCCTTCTGGACCGTCGCCTCGACCTTTGCCCCGCGCAAGAACGAGAAGGCCCGCTACCCGGGCAAGCCCATCGACCACTACATCCAGTTCCACAACGAGGAGGACCGTGACAAGTACTACGGCAAGAACAAGATCCCTATGCACACCTTCCACGAGAAGTACTTCGACGGCGAGATCGACTTCAAGGGCGACGCTCTCGAGATCCTCGAGTACCGCCACGACTGGGCCAGCTTCAAGTTCACCTGGGGCCTGTTTGTCTTCTTCCTGACCGGCATGATGCCCGAGGTCATCCTCCACACCCGCTCCCAGGGTGAGTATCCCCTTGCCCCGCCCCAGCCGCTGCTTTGCCCTGACTTTCTTGCTTGCAGACGAGGAGCAGGTCCGTGACCACTACGACCGCGGTGATGACTTCTATGCCTGGTTCCTCGGCCCGCGCATGATCTACACCTCCGGCATCATCTCCAACATCAACGAAGAGGAGTCGCTCGAGCAGCTCCAGGACAACAAGCTTGCCGTTGTCTGCGAGAAGATCGAGCTGAAGCCCGGCGAGCGCATGCTCGACCTCGGCTGCGGCTGGGGTACTCTTGCCAAGTTCGCCTCGGTCAAGCGTGGTGCTCACGTCACCGGCATCACTCTCGGACGCAACCAGACTGCCTGGGGCAACTCGGGCCTCCGTCGCGCCGGTGTCTCCGAGGAGCAGAGCAAGATTCTCTGCATGGACTACCGCGATGTCCCCGTGCCCGAGGGCAAGTACAACAAGATCACCTGTCTCGAGATGGCCGAGCACGTCGGCATCCGCCACCTGTCTGGTTTCTTCCGCCAGGTCCACGACATGCTCGACGACGACGGCATCTTCTTCCTCCAGATTGCCGGTCTGCGCAAGAGCTGGCAGTACGAGGACCTCATCTGGGGCCTGTTCATGAACAAGTACGTCTTTCCCGGCGCCGACGCGTCCACTCCCCTCGGCTTCGTCGTCGACCGCCTCGAGGGTGCCGGCTTCGAGGTCAAGCACATCGACACGATCGGCGTGCACTACTCGGCCACTCTCTGGCGCTGGTACCGCAACTGGATGGCCAACCGCGAGAAGGTCGAGGCCAAGTACGGCAAGCGCTGGTTCAGGATCTGGGAGTACTTCCTTGCCTACTCGACCATCATCTCTCGCCAGGGCGGTGCCACGTGCTGGCAGATCACCCTCGTCAAGAACATCAACTCGACGCATCGCATCGAGGGCATCCCCACCCAGTACAACATCTCGGGTGCTCTCAATGCCTTCCACGCCAAGAAGCAGGAGTAGATTCTGCCCTGGTGCGTTGACGTTGCTGTGCTTTTGTGCGCGTGCAAATTGAGCAGCCACGTGGCTTTTGAGCCGAGTGTTCCTCGCAGCTGTCTCGCCAGGGAGAGGGTCACGTATGTTGTATGGACCAATGGACAAAAAACATGATCACAAAGAATGAAACGATTTCTCTTTCGGGTTCACATGGAAAATGTTTCATGAGCGAAGGGCCGGGACCCCTTAGATAGTCTCTTTTGGTACCTGTAGATATATGAACGAAAGTTCACATGAAAACTGGGAGCAGGGCAAAAAAGTATCGGGATCTTTTTCGGCTCTTACATGACAGATTTACTGATGATGGCATGAAGGAGGGGAGGGCTTCGGAATGGTTTTTTCCCTGGGAGGCGATGGGAGATAATTGACAATTGATATGAACTCTTCCCCAACTTCCACCACATTCTTTTCCGTGTACCCATAACCAACCAGCTCTCGTCGCGGTCAGCATCAACCCTTCTCGAATTCTTTTACCGGCTGCCATGAATTGAAATGACAATACGTCGTAACAATTGACCTTCGTTTCCGGCATTATTATTGAATTCACTGATGCATCAATCGTTGGCAGTCCAGATTCGTCTCTGTCATCAGCAATTGTGCATCCCCGAGGGTCATCGCGGCGATTCCAGATGTATTCCAGATGTAGCCACCGACGTTCTCAACATCTGTTGCCGTTGTGCGTGTGACGCCAGGTGGATGGAACATCCGCCCCCAAGGTCGTGAAATGGTTGGAACTTGCAAGGTGTGCCGGTGGATTGAAATCTTAGTAAGTGCCAGCATGATCAGTAGCTCGTATAGATATGACTTGGGGGAAACTGGCCGGGAGCATTTCGTTCTGGTTGCCTCAGAAGAATTCGTATCGCAGTACTCGATACTAGGCAGGGGCCAATTTCAGTCTCCGACGTTGCTTTCATGTCTCTCAACTGGGTCTTTCATGAAATGGTGTCTTCGATTCAAATCAGATCGCGACCGCACTCCCAAATCCCTCGATCAAGGCCTTGTTGAGAAATTGAAGATCTGGCCACTCGACACTGCTCCAAAGGGAGCCGGAAACGGAATTGTACTGCACGTCACATATTCCTTGGTCGATCAATTAATAGAAGGGAGAATGGGTCTTTTGTTGTGATAATGTTCATTTCACACTACACGCACGATAAAAACAGGACAAGAGACCACTTCGCGCAACTGGAAACCTGCTTTTTCCTGCATTACACCTACCATCCTCTCCTCTCGCCAATCTTGTCATCGTCCGTCTTGCAGGGACGCACATATACACATATACACTGACTACTACGACGGAACCAGACAAATAAAGCACAACTTGAGGTATCAGCGACAGACTTCTACGTCCGCATATTCGACTTCAAATATAAAAAAGAAAAACTCCATCCTGCCCGAGGTATCAAACCCACTAGATATCTTCCGGAAATAAAAGAAAGGTAAAAAATTTTCTGAGTCTGATCAAAGATTTGGAACGAAGCTGCGACGCCCAAGTAAGACATGGCGTTGTGCCAGGATATCTCAATCAGATAACGAGAGACGAGAATGCGTGAATAAGTGGGGATCGCTCCACCTCTTTCGATAAGAAAGCCCGTTTATGCCAGATGTACAGTTTGGAAATGCCACGTTTGAGGATATCAAGAGGGGAAAAAAATACGTTGAGCCGTGGTGCTACCACGGGGCGATGTACATCGTCAATTATTGACGATGTTGCTGCTGAAGGCCAAAATCAAACCCGTGCTGTTGCTGCGGCGGAGGATAGCTGGGACTTGTCATGGGCGAGCCGTACGCGCCAGGGATGGGTACAGCCTCGTACTGCTGCTCACCGGGAGCGGCGGGCACATGCTCCTGGATGTGTTCTTGAGGCTGAGGAGCGAAGCTAGGGCTCATGGGTTGCGGCGGTGAAGGCTGACGATAGCTGGTGTCGTTCGGCGGGCTTGGGTGTCGACTGGAGGGCGGACTGACATCGGCGCCGCCGGCTTGGGGCTGGGGCGGAACGGGCGCATCGTCGAACCCATTCTGTTGCATCTTCGGCGTAGCGCCCGTGACGCGGATCGGCGGGGGCTGCAGCTGGAATGGCTTGGGCTCCGCGAAGCCGCGCGGGTACTGGACGCTCTCCTGGCTCTCTTGGAAGGCGCCGTGGCCGTTCTCAGCCGCGGACAGAGGGTCGACGTAGCGCGGGTGGCCTGGCGGAGGCTTCCAGCCGTCACCAGGAGTGAGCGGTGGCGGGCCGAAGCCAGGGGTGTTAGGTGCCGACTGCGAACGAAGCTGGGCGAGGTACAGGTCAGAGCGGGCGCGGTCGCGGACTGCCATCGACTTCCGGAGCTTGCGCTTGGACCAGAAGCGGTAGAAAACAATGCCGTAGACGATGATTGTCAGCGTCTCGATGACAACCTCGATAATGCAGCAGACAAGGGACCAGTCCTAGGCAAGTCAGAATTGGCACGTCTGGCCATAGAAGGGATGAAGTCTTACCTGAAGCCTGCACACAAGCGCGTACTGGACCTCGGCTTCGAAGAGCTCGCGGCGCTTATTGTCTTTGCACGCCCAGCCCCACATATCTTGGCCGTTGCCGTTGACCTTGCTAGAGTTCAGGATAGCAGCGCCAATTGCCCACATGACGATGCTAAAGATGAAGAAAGCCACGGCAAAGACGGTGTAGTAGACGGCAACCTTCTCTGCTCTTCGGTGGCCGCCTCTCCAGTAGGCGGCGAGGATGACAATGGACATGAACAGCGAGATACATGCAATGACGAGCAGAAGGATCTGGGGCCAGGTCTTGGTGTTTTCCGCCCAAGGAGGCAGGTTGCTGCGGGCGGGCAGGTGCTTTGTGGCATTGAAGATGGAGAAGGTTGCTGCAAGCATGGAGAGAACAATGAGACTGCAGCTGAAGTTGATACCGCGGAGGAAGAGCTTGGCAACTCGCACGCGGAACTTGATTTTCTGGCGGGGTGGTTAGAGGGGTGGCGCTGAATCAAGGCAACGGCTGGCTTACAAGGTCCTTCTGCTGCTCCTTCTCGGTATCGCCCTCATGCTTCTCCAGGATCTGCTCTTCGCGGAATGTGGGGCTCAAGACGGTCTCGAAGTTGCGGGGCGGGGCGCCGGGCGACTTGAGGGCGCTCTTGAGCGGGCTCTTGGGCGTGGGTGGGGGCAGGTATCTCCGGTCGGTCTCCTCCATCTCGACGCCGGTGTAGGATTCGTGGCCCGAGGTGCGGTTGTTGAGATAGCCGAAGCCCACGTCGGCGGGCTGAGGCTGGGGCGCGTAGTGGTTTGTGGGAGGATCGGAGAAGGGGGAGCGGGTGGGCTCGAGAGGAGAGTGCACGGAAGTGGCTTCGGCGAAGCGGGCGGTCCGGGGCGTCTTGAGCGAAGTGGCGAACGAGTCGGTCGACGGGCGACGACCGGTTGTAATGGTCACTGTGGGAATGGGTTTGTCGTTGGCTGACATGTCTCAAGTGCGGAGATGACGTGAGGGGCATGCGTGTGCGGAAGGAAAACAGCGTCGAGCTTCGATCAGACCCGCTTCACGAAGCCCAAGCAAAGGAGAGACGAAGGGGGACGAAGGGCGGAACCAGCAGCCGGAGAAGAGAGGTGAAGAAAAGGGCGGGCGCACGCGGGCTCGCGGCCTTTTGTCTGGGCGGGCGCTTCGCGAGGCGGCGCGCAGATTGGACGGGCAGCGGCGAGCGCTTGGGGGTGGAGAGAGGCGCACTTACAGGCTCAAGTAGGCGTGGGTGCTGCGCAAGCTGATAGGCGCAGCTGCGGGTGCTGAGGTCCAGAAATAGACGCCGGGATCGATGGGCTGCAGGCGCCGTTAGCAATCATGCTCTTAGAGCCGGAGCGGATCTGCGTACCCCGGACTGGTGTCGCTGCGCTAGCGATGGTGGTGGTGTAGCTGCGGTCGAGGTCTGGACGGCACGGGCAGCAATGGACGCTCTGCAGCAGCGAAGCTGGGGATTTGAAGGAGAAGCCGCGCAGGAGAGGTGCTGGCTCGAGGGCAGCCAGCACGGCAGCGTGTCGCGGTGGCCGTAAGCGCCGACATGCTGAGGTCCAATTAAGGCGCGGAGTGAAGCGCTGAGCTCGCGGTGGAGACGCACAGGCCGACCACACGGCAGGGGCGTTCTGGCGCGCCATTGGCCCGCCTGCGGCCCACCATGGCCCGCGCGTCGGCCTGCACATCGAATCACAGCGGAAGCGCAGATCGCGCGCAGACCCTTTGCTGCTGCTCTGCTGGCCCGCACTGATTTGACCACCTCTCAACATGGCCTGACTCCACGAAACAGTAAACACATCACCACGCTGCTATTCCGGGCGCCTCGGCACATGCGGCTCCAGCCTCAGGCAGCATCAGGCAGCCCTGCGTTCCTGCATCCCCATGCCCCGCCCATGACGCGCAAGTGCCACTCTTCATGCATGTCAGATTATCATACTTTCCATTTTGTATATACACCAGAACAACGTCGCTCAGAACGGCTTGCCTTCCTTCCTTCCCGAGAAGGTCGTGCCTCTCAAATTCCTCCTGTAATCCCTCCAATGCTTCGTTCTCTCGTCCGCCCCCTTCGCTGGCGGATCCCACCAGGACACGCGGTTGTCGTCGCCGTCCGGCTCGTGATCGTCGCTGTTACGCCGCTGACGCTGACCGACCAGCTCCGCGGCGGCACTACGCCTGTCCACGCCGTGGTCCGAGACAATCGGGCGCTGCGGTGACACGCGGGAGTAGCAGATGCGGTCATCGTCGTCATCGCCATGACCGAAGAGCTCTCTCGCGCCGTCAGGCGGCGTGGGCGGCGCGCGGAAGTCAAGGCTCTCGATGTGCCCCTCACACCGGTCCTGGTGTACGAGATGCTGCGCTGTATGTTCCTCCTCGACCGAGATACCTTGGCAACCAAAAAAGCTGTCGTCAGAACCGTCAGAACCGCGGCGTCGGGTCCCTGCTGCGTGGCTACTGCCGAATAGAGAGGTGGGGGAAGGGACGAACCTACCGAAGAACTTGTTGGACGGCGAGTCGGACTTGTCCGTCGAGCTCCTGCTGCTGGCCGGCGAGGAAAAGGGACTGGACTTGGTGACATGTTGATTCCAGGGCGCTGACGCGAGCTCCGGGTCGACAGAGTCCCCCCCAACCTGTACGCAGCGCTCGTCGTGCTGAGCCGAACCCTTACCTTTTGGCCAGAACGGGATCTCAAAGGAGCCGCGCTTCGCCATTCGCTCCGCCATCGACCCACCCGTCCGGATGCTCCCTCCGCTACCGAAGCTGGGGCGGCAGGACGGCGGCTCGAGGCTAGGTCGCCCGCTGTTGTCGGTGCTGGAGCTGGCGGGTCTGGGCGATGATATGCTTTTCTTCAGCGCCTCGCGCTCCTTACGCTGACGTTCCTCCATTTTCTTCTCCGAGATCCCCTTGCCCCAGTGCGATAATTTGTCCGTCACCTTGGACACCAGCAAATCCAGCTCGTCTGGCTTCGTGTTGCCCTGCTCGTATGCCGTGTGCTTGCTGTATCCATAGAGAGAAGTACCCGCGCGGCCAGCACCGGGCCGACAACTAGGGCGTGGAGAGGAATTTCCGTTTCGGCGAGCCTTCTCATCCTCGCTCTTGCCCTCCGCATTCTTTTCAAGCTCCTCCTTTTTCCTCTTCTCCTGCCACCCCCGCCACCCCTCTAAAAGCATCTCTCCATCGCTTGGCGGCGCCTCTCTGTACATTGTCACCAGCCCTTTCTTCCCCCTCTTCGACTTCGCCGGCGCTGGTGCTTTCGTCTGTTGCCGAGAAATCGAGCTGCTTCTGCTCACGGGGTTCCGTGCCACGGGCTTCGCCGAAGTGGGAGACGAGATGCTAGGTGGCGTGTTGCTGCTATCAGATGGTCGCGATACTGAAGATGGTGACGATGACCGTCCAATTGATGGAGCACCATGGGCTGGAGGCTCGCGGTGACGTGCTTGCTCATGCCGCTGCCGCATCTGCCTCTCATGGCTGCGGAGCGTTGAGCGCATGGTTTCCTTCATGACACTTGTAAGTCAACAGTATTCGTGTGCTGCGTCTTGTGTTTGCTGGTGCCTTCTATCCAACGAGACGGTGTTGTTGGTAGGTGATTGCTATTGCTGCTATGGAGTGCAGTCGAGTGTTTGGATTGCCTGCGCACTGTTTTGGTGCCGTGTCTTATCCAGTAAGATAAGTTATTGTTCAGTTTTGAATGCAAAGCGACGACTTTGGACAGTGAAAGGATTTTGATGGAGTTCCCAGCCCCGCAATGCAGCACTGCTACCGTATTCTTATATGACCAACGTCGACATTATCGGTCCAGAAAGACACAAAGAGAGGTGCAAATCAAGAACAAAGAACTATGCGAAGGCTGTGGTCTTGAATGGCTTTGTGGCATTGAGGCTGGTAAAGAAATTGAAACAGGTAGCGATTCCCAGACAATGACATTGTTAAGACTAGATCAGGGGCAAGATCAGCGCACACGCCGGACGAACATCATTTCGACAACTCTGCCAGGTGTCGACAGTATGCACGTACTGAAATCAAGTCTTCTTGCAAATGTCATGAGCTTCGTTCCGTATCGTATTGATGTTTCGTTCCTTGCTATCGCTACAAACTCATGCACTCTCCGTTCAATCGCCTTTCTAACACCGATCATTAATTCGCCGCCCCATTAAGACCATACTTTGTCACATCCTCAACGCCACCTTCCAGCAGTCTCCGCGTCCCAACGATTTTCACCAACCACCACATCAACTTCAGGCAACATATCCTCCTTCCTCTCATAGCAGACCATGGCTCCATGTGTGGAGGTAGAGTAGAGAATGACAAAAAAATATTTTCCGAACAGACACTTCTCAGAAGGGAAAGCCAGAAAGTCTGGCCAGACTACCAATACCATGCTCAAGGTACAGCAATGCTAAGAAACAGGCTATCAAGAAAACATCAAAATAAACCAGCCGATACTGGCTCTACTGCGTATTAGGTTGCTCCTGGAGATCGTGCGAAGTCAGTGAGAAGGGCAGTCGGAGCAAATATCATCGGTGAAGTGAATCGTACCATGCACTGAGCACATACCAACATGCTGATGACAACCCTATCACCCCACCGGTGGTACTACAACAATAACAGCGCACCACCAAAGAGACCGCCAAGCAGGCTGGCCAAGCTGGTCCGCTGAAACCCAGCGGCCGCACCCATCGCGGGAGGCAGTGGTGAGCTCGAAGCTGAAGGGAGGGCCGAAGCTGAGAATGAGCTCGACGGCACCGGTGTCGAATGCGTGCAAACCCCTCCACCCGGGCAAGTCGCAATAGTCGTTGTCGGGATGCCTGCTCCGCTGCCGCTTGGCGAGCCGGTGATAGTCGAAGTTGAATGCGTGCAGACGCCGCCGGAGGACATAGATCCGGGACAGATGGTGACAACAACTGTTGTGTCCGGGACAGAGGACGACAAGGGCCCCGTGCGGCTACCGACCGAAGTGGATGGTGAGCTGGTCACGGGATTGGCGGTGCCCGTGCCGGATGGTGTCACTGGGGAGGACGACGGCCCGGGCCCGGGCCCCGAAGAGCCGGTGGGCGAGGTCGGGACGGGAGTGGAGGAGCCGGATGACGGGAACACGGTCGGGCTAGCTGGCCCGCTCGTGGGTGGGGCGGCGCTGGTCGAGCAGGGAACAGTGAGGGTGACAGTGGCTGGGCCGCCGTTGGATCCACACGAGGCGCAGGCAGTTACGGTTGTCGTAAAGCCAGGCGGAACCGATCCGGTGCTTGTCGACGGCCGATTGCTACCAGTGTAGGTCTCGGTAACGGTGTAAGCCGTTGAGGTCAGGCCACCGGTGGGGCAAATAGTGACATAGGTAGTGGTGTAGACGGTGGTACGAATTGTTGGTAAAGGAGTGCTGCTCACACGATCTTCCGTGCACGTTGTCAGGACTTCTGTAACGACAGGCAGTGGCGTCGACGATGTAACGCATGGCTCGTAGCTAACAACAGTGATATAGCTGGGCGCAATCAACCCGCTTGGGGCTGAGCTCTGTGCTGATGCACCGGCTGTTGCTGCTGCCAGAACGGCAAATGTTGCTGCTTTCATGCCTGTTGAAACCTTGGTGTGTTGCGGAAGAGAAGGGCAGTTGCGCAAATCAATGATCAGAGTACGTTTGAGTAGTGGTAAGGGAAGGGGAATGAGCGACAGTTCAAGTCTGTTAGACCAACGAAAGCAACAACGCCGAAAATCAATGAGGACAGCAGGTGGTTTTAAGGAGAGTGGATGAGAACTATCAGACATGGTAGCAGAAGATGCTATATAGTCGTTTTCGGTTGTTGACAGTCGGGTATCCTGAAGTCGGAATGTCATTGTCTTGGTATAATAATCTGGTGTTTCACAACCAAGACTTCCAGTTCGACAGGAATGCAGCGCCTGTCAGGCCAGAGCCCGGCGTAAAAGCCATAGCATGTATGGTCTAGTATCCCCTGGACCATTCATGTCTTCACTGTCATGCCTTGTCGGTCACACGCGCGGGATGTGGCCATTGGACGATCTGCCTGGCGAAGTCTGTATCCGTTCTATTTTCAAAGTGTCTTGCTTAGTATTGGCCGGTGAACGCGATCTTTTCCATGCTTGGCTTTGTGTGGCAACTCCTTTTGAAATGATTTCTTGCGCCAAGCATTCCAACTGTGATATGGCTGCAGTAACAAAGGAAATTCCGTGGCCTTCGTTGTATCGCAAACGGAACTGCTTAAGCCATTAGCAATCTTATGATAAGAGGTTAGTTCGCTTGGTATCGTAACGTAAGACGGGTAATTGAAGGGTCCATCTGCATATGAATGCATCACATACGTGAAGGATATCAGGACAATAGCTTCAACCACCTCGACTTTGCTGCAAGAAAAAGCAAACCAACCTCGTAATCGAAGTGTCAGATTGGACCACGTCGAAACCTCGTCCATGAGGCATCAAGAGCGGGTGTTGGAAATCTTGCTGCCGCATTCCCGGTGGAATGCTCAGTGAAAGACCTCGACCACCATGTGACACCATGTCAACACAGACAATTTTTTGGGACGAATGTTTTGTCTAAAAAGTATTTGGGAGTATCATTGTTCAAGTATCTTTTTTTCTTTCAGCTCATTGCTACTAGGAAATTCGTAACCCTGTGCTTCGCATTTACAAGCTGACGGCGGTGCGGAAGTTCTTGCCAGCGTAGATAGCCTGGCTGCCAAGCTCCTCTTCGATACGGAGGATCTGGTTGAGCTTGGCCAGACGCTCGGAACGAGCGGGAGCACCGGTCTTGATCTGGCCAGTGCGGAGACCAACGACGATGTCGGCAATGGTGACATCCTCAGTCTCACCGGAGCGGTGGGAAACCATGACGCCCCAGCCGGCAGCGAAGGAGTCCTTGGCAGCCTGGACGGCCTCGGTGATGGTACCGATCTGGTTGACCTTCAGGAGAAGGGCGTTGCAAGCCTTCTGGTCAATGGCCTTCTTGATGAAAGCCGGGTTGGTGACGGTCAGATCGTCACCAACAATCTGGAAGTCAGAGGTCTTGAAGAAGTAGCTCCACGCCTCCCAGTCATCCTCAGCGAAGGGGTCCTCGATGGAGACAATGGGGTACTTCTGAGCAAGGGACTTGTACAGGTCCGCAAGCTGCTCGTAGCTGAGCCACTTGCTGGGGTCGCTGTTGGGGTTCTTGAAGTCCAGGTCGTACTTCTTGGCGTCGGTCTTGTAGAACTCGCTGGAAGCAACGTCCATGGCGATCTTGATCTGACCGGTGTAGCCAGCCTTCTCGATGGCCTCGGAGATCAGGTCGAGGGCCTCCTCAGCGGTCTGGATATCGGGGGCAACACCACCCTCATCGCCGACGTTGCCGGCGGACTGGCCGTACTTCTTCTTGGCGAGGGACTTCAGCTGCTGGTAGACCTCAGAGCCCTGGCGCATGGCCTCGGAGAAAGTGGGGGCCTCGCTGCAAATTGTCAGCAGATGCATCGACGGGGGAGACCATCAGAAAGACGCACCTGGGAACGATCATGAACTCCTGGAAAGCGAGACGGCCGCCGGCGTGGGAGCCGCCGTTCAGGACGTTCTGGAAGGGAACGGGCAGGACGTAGGGCTTCTTGGTGCCGGCAAGGTCGGAAATGTGAGCGTAGAGCGGGACGCCCTTCTCGGCGGCAGCGGCCTTGGCAACGGCCATGGAGACACCGAGGATGGCGTTGGCACCAAGCTTGGTCTTGTTGGGAGTGCCATCGAGGTCGATGAGGAACTTGTCAACCTTGGACTGATCCTTGACGTCGATGCCCTCCTTGATCAGAGCGGGGGCAATGACATCGTTGACGTTGGCAACGGCCTTGGTGACACCTAAGACGGCAACGTCAGCTATTTTATCGGCGAGCCTACATGGAGTTTGGGAGACGTACCCTTGCCGCCCCACTTGGACTTGTCGCCGTCGCGGAGCTCGCAAGCCTCGTGGGAGCCTAATGTCGCCAGTCAACAACAAATCGCCCGAAGCTCGGCGTTGGGGAGCATACCGGTGGAGGCACCCGAGGGGACGATGGCGCGGTGGAGGCCAGTCTCGGTGACGATGTCGACCTCGACGGTGGGGTTACCGCGAGAGTCGTAGACGGAGCGGGCGTGGATCTTGGTGATGGCCATGGTTCTGGTGGGTGAGGGTTGCAGTCAGCGGGTGGTGACGGTCAAGGTCAAGGGCCAACAGGAGCGGGAGGGCAGGCTATATAGATGGCGTGCGAAATTTAAATCGCTATCAGGGATGACATTTCGCGTGATGTCAGATGTTCAGACAAACTCTGTGTCGAGAAAAGCGGCCCCTCTGCCGATAGCGCTGAGCTCCGGCGCACGGTTTGGGTAACCAGATGCTCATCCGACTGGCGTCACTGCGGCCCAGCATGGTGTTTCAGGCGGCAAGGGTCGGCGAATTGCTTACCTGGAATTGGCGGCTCGATGGGGAAATGCTTGGTGATGGATTCCGCAGGGCAGTTGTGAGGAGGAGACGGAAAGCGTTGAGCGATGGCGGGGTTCGCAGAAGAAGAAAAGGTGCGCAGCCCCTCCACGCCAAAAAGGGAGCTGGGACCACACGCCTCATTCGCCTCATCGCTGGCCAACGGATCGATCCTACTCACGTGACGTGCGGCGAAACGCTGCCCCGGGCGCCGGCCGGCGGCGCGGCGCGGCTGGAGCTGTCGTAGCTGGTGCGGCAGCTTGACACCATCGCCCTACGCAACTTACCCACCCGCTCCTCCATCACGCCCTGCACGCCCCGCCCATCCGCGCCGCCTCGTCTTGCAGGCCCACCGTCCATTGCGCGAATTTGTCACCAGAGCCGCCGCACCACCACCACCACCACCGCCGCACCCGACTCTGCTCCGCCGAGCCCGCCCACCTGCCTCCCATCATGAGCGGCACCGGTTTGGACCCCGAGCGCGAGCACGCCCTGGACGAGTACAAGGCCAAGCTGCTGGAGTCGAGGGAGTGGGAGGCCAAGCTCAAGGCCCTGCGCCTCGAGATCAAGGGCCTGCAGCGCGACTACGACGTGTCCGAGGAGAACATCAAGGCCCTGCAAAGCGTCGGCCAGATAATAGGAGAGGTGCTGAAGCAGCTGGACGAAGAGAGATGTGCGCTCCCCGCTGCTCCTGTTGGCTTGCTGTGCTAATGCGATGTAGTCATCGTCAAGGCCTCGTCCGGCCCGCGCTATGTCGTCGGCTGCCGGTCAAAGGTCGACAAGGCCAAGCTGAAGCAGGGCACTCGCGTTGCGCTGGACATGACGACCCTGACAATCATGCGTATGCTTCCCCGTGAGGTCGACCCGCTCGTCTACAACATGTCGTTGGAGGACCCCGGCCAGGTCAGCTTCGGCGGCATCGGTGGCTTGAATGAGCAAATCAGAGAGCTACGCGAAGTCATCGAGCTCCCTCTGAAGAACCCAGAGCTCTTCCTTCGTGTAGGGATCAAGCCGCCCAAGGGTGTCCTGCTGTACGGCCCCCCCGGTACAGGAAAGACGCTTCTGGCGCGTGCTGTGGCGAGCAGCTTGGAGACAAACTTCTTGAAGGGTGTGTAGCATTCATCTGCACGAATAATGGTGCTCGACTAATATCCTGGCAGTCGTTTCATCCGCAATCGTCGACAAGTACATCGGCGAGTCCGCCCGTCTCATCCGCGAGATGTTCGGTTACGCCAAGGAGCACGAGCCCTGCATCATCTTCATGGACGAAATCGACGCCATCGGCGGAAGGAGATTCTCGGAGGGCACATCTGCAGATCGCGAGATCCAGCGGACGTTGATGGAGCTGCTCAACCAGCTGGACGGCTTCGATTACCTGGGCAAAACCAAGATCATCATGGCCACCAATCGGCCTGACACTCTAGACCCTGCGCTTCTGCGTGCTGGACGTCTAGACAGGAAGATCGAGATCGCTCTGCCCAATGAGGTGGGCCGCTTGGAAATCATGAAGATCCACGCTGCCAGCGTGCAGACAGAGGGAGAAATTGACTTCGAGAGCATTGTCAAGATGAGTGACGGCTTCAACGGTGCCGACTTGCGGAACGTTGTCACCGAAGCGTAAGGCCTGCCTTTGCCGAATCTGGTGTGTGCATTCACTGACGTATACAGTGGCCTGTTCGCCATCAAGGACTATCGCGATGCCATCAATCAGGACGATTTCAACAAAGCGGTGCGGAAAATGGCCGAGACGAAGAAACTGGAGGGCAAGCTGGAGTACCAGAAGCTCTAAGGCCGCTTCTGTCACGCATGTTCTCGTTACGACCAAGTATATTGCGGCTGGCGTTTTGTCGCGGAGGTTCGCGCACCAAAGGCATGGACTCGACAATTGCATGATAGAAGCCCGGGTAGTGCTGTAATATATGAAATGAAAACCCTCAACCAGCCAAATGCTCTTGGGTGCATTTTCGGAATACGTCAGCACGAAGCTGGCGCGATGCTCTAGCAACTCAATGCCTCACAGGTTCCATCGGCCGAGACGCCTGCCCTTACGCTTTACGTCGCATTTGCAAATTGGCACAAAGTTGAAGGCATGGTCTAGATTTGCTAGCCATCATCGTCAACGAAGCATGTCCTTGCTGCCGCTATTCGCATTCGCGTTGCCTGGTGTAATTAGAGTTGCTATGGTCTGGCTCGCCAAACCATCTCAACAATTCTGGGCTGGGTCCGTCCCACATTCCGAAGAAACTAAACATTCCAACGCATTCCAGGCGGTGTCCAGTAGGATGGTTTGGAGAGAACGCCTAGTACCTAAAGACGAAGCAGTTGCCACTGCGGATGCCTGCAATGATAGACAGTAGCAGAGCTTATTGCATCGCCAGATGAACGGCGGGTACGACGCCCCAGAAAAACGAAGCTCTTTGGCCTTTTGAGGGCTTGTGATCCGAAGCCATTTCCTTCTCCTCTCCCTTGGGCGGGCTTAAATCACGGGAGTAGCGTACTCTTCTGGGAGCCTTTGCGCAGCGCGGGCTCAATACTGCCAACGGAGGAGCTGTTCCCCGGCTCATTTGCCGTCTCTGTTCCTATCGACAGCTTTTCTGACCTGCGTCTCCAGTGAGGCAATCTCCGCTGCGTATTCCCCACCTTGCAAATCAGTTCTGGTTGTGTCTTCGCGTCATGCAAGTGGCCAGAGACTCCGCGGTCCGGATATGCACTCAGCAAATGGTAGGCTACGCACCGCTTTTTTCTTCTTTCATCTCCAAGCTCTCAAGCTTTAGCCAGCCCCAGTATAACGCCTGATAGGTAACGAGCGCACCGAGGAAGACCTTCGCGACGGGTGCGCCAAAGTCGCGGTAGAACGCTCTCTGTTCGCGGATATGTCAGCCCGGCATCCGTACCAGTGTTTCCCCACTGACTCATTTGGTGTCTATGGAAACGGAAAGAGGAATACAGATCCATCGCGCGGTGTCAAGGGTCTGTGTGGACGTGGAAGCAACGCGAAGGCCGGGCTTACTTGCGCATTCCCATATGTGGAGGACTTTTCCTGCTTGGGGGGGTTTGGCGGCTGATACGATGCATACTGCCTGGCTGGCCTGGCGCCCAATGGCCACGGGATCCTGGTGACGGAGGCGGCGGCGGTGGAGGTGGAGCGACGGGGCAGCAGCGGCGGCAGGCTGGCCATGCGCGACGCGGCGGTGCCGATCATGACTGCTGGTCCAGGCAACCTCAAAATTGCAAGATATTTATGACTCCTCAGATGACAGGCGACGTTGGCGTTGTCGAGGCGGGCGGAGAGGGGGGGTCAGGCAACGTGGTCTTTGGCGGAGCTGTAATAAAATCGTGGTTCGTTGCGCGGGAATTGAAGCTCGCCATCCTCCCTCGACCGATCTCCGCATCCCAGATCAACGTAGCCACATTGAGCAACAACCACACCTCTTGCTTTCTTTGCGAGCTTCGAGCACAGCATCTGGACGACTTCTCCCCTGAAACCTCGCGTCCCGGGATCTTCCAAGCCTCGCTCCAAACCCGCGCGCTGCCAGCCCCCCCTCGAGGCCACCTCCGCGCTCTCGCCGCAACCCTCCGCATCAGTGCAACACAACCCCAGCTCCTCTCCACCAACAATGGTATGCGCGAACCCCGTTCTCTGTAAACACCGCGACTGCTGATCCATCCCGTCCCTCTCAATTACAAACGCCACTGCCCCTCAATCGCGCGCCCTCCCTTCACTCGACCACCACTTGCTGACACTATCTCCTCACGCCAGGCCCAAACTCCGCAGCAGCGCCTCGCCAACGAGCGCTTCGCCAAGTCCGAGGCTTCCAAGCGTGGCAAGCCGCAGGCGACCATCAAAAAGCAGGAGGTTCACAAGAGCCCGATCAGCAAGGGCTGGATCGGTACGTGGCCACCTCGAACGCGTGCACAGCTGCCTCTTTACTGCAGACGGCGTATGCAGGAAATATACACAGGCAAACGCATCTGACTCAAAAGACTCTTACTGACTCTCTATTTCACTTTCTAGCCGTCCTCGCCTTCGTCCTTTGCGGCGGCCTCATATTCGAGCTTCTGCGCCTGTTCTTCTAAACTACGGCGAAGTAGAGTTTCGCTATGTCAGACACTCGTTACCAAGCGCATCGACAGGAAAGGTGGGGGGAAAAAGATCGTTGAGGCACTGAGGGGACGAAGGCGAAGATCTGGGGATAATGGATCTGGATACCCTAAAGCAGGAAGAGATTGGGAGCGAAGCCTGCTGTCCGTGGAGACGGCCAGCGTCGTGGAGCAAAATGCGTGCTTCATTTAGGTGCGGTACAAATAGTGTGCCGTCTCAGTCTTTTAAAAGCTGAGATGACTGCGCTCACTTCTTAACCATTTTTTTTTTTCTTTTGCGATATCTTCTAGGACAAGGGAGTTATACGGGCATTGCGGGTTTCAGGGAAATGGTTTCATACACTTTCCCCTCTATTTAGGCTTAGCCGACGATGTGGAATAGCAATAGCATATCCACGAAGCTATATCTACGTGTGGACATGGTATTCACCAGGGTTGTGTTTTGAAAAGGCGCATAATGAGTAGTTAATACTCGCATTTGAGCAATATTGTGTTACGTAATTCACATCCACTCCTGCAGATTCGTTTCGACGGCCTATAGCACGAGTTGATACGTTCTCGAAGACGGATTGGGGAGAGTGGATGTTCGTAACTCATTACGGCACCAGCTTTAGTTTTCGAGTGGGTGAAGTATCCGTTATTCTTGCTGTTTGGTATCACAACAGCCCCAACTAAAAGATGAATACATGCGCCTGACAAGTAGACGCGATATTTTGCACCCTCGTGTACAAGAACAAATTAAGATGGACGTTACCTGAGCATTACTCCTCGTCGTCGAACTTATGGCCATTCTGATGGTGGAAATCACCGAGAAGGATATCATCAGGGGCTGGGCCACGGTTATTCCGAGCTGATACTTCACGTTAGCAACCAGGCACCTTTTTTCCTTTTCTTCCTTGGACTTACTCCACTCCGTCTCCACTCTGAAAAAGATCCAAATCCATCTCCTAAATACCTCCAAAAATTGCATCATAAAAATGCCACCCTCCAGATCGTTGAAATGGTCGAGATGCGGGCTGAGTTTGATACTCCAGGTGCACCTAAGGAAGAAGTCTACGACGATGGCCGTGTAATACATCTCCTTGGCATGGATCCAGCGGTGGCGGCGCAGTCCCCAGGGATGCTCGGGGTTGCTTCGTTCAGAAGAGAACAGTGTGAGGTCCCAATCCTTTGCGACGTCCCAATAGAATGAATAAAACGAGTTCGCCAGAACGGCTGCGAGCCAGAGGCGAAAGAGGCCGGCCTCGGACATGCCAAAGGATGCAGGGTCATAGCCGCGCTGCAGGGCGCTGAGCACGATGACGGGGAAGGCGCTGGAATACTTGAGCGCGTTGGCAAGGTGCTGGCCGCCCCAGCCGTGCGCTCCAATGGTGCCGCTGCGCGCATTGCTGCGGCGCACGCGCAAGTACTCAATCAGGCACTGCCGCAGCCGGATCAAGCTGGGGATGCTGATGATGAACGGCACCCAGAAGGCGCCGCCGCAGCCACGCTCGGGCTTGCCGGTCGAGTGTCGCGTGGACGAGAACATCATACAGAGCGTGACGAAGAGGTCGCCGAGGACTTTGGCATACGATGTCAGAGCATCGGCCATCAGGATGTCGCCGAATCTGCCGTCCTGCGCGTCGGCAATGCCGCCAATGCTGATGCGCTTGAGGGTTGCCATGAAGCGGAACCGGCCTGAGCGCGAAAGCGAATGCCAGGGCAACACGACGCAGAGCACCATGACGACCAGATAGAGGTTCGGAAGGACCTCCCAATCCACGACGCGCGCAGGATCTCCATGTGTGATGGTCCAGAAGAGAAGCAGGGAGACGGCCAGCGGGATTGTGAGCAGTGTGGCTAGGCGATAGGTGGACAGATGATGGGGAGGGTGTGTGGCGGATGGGCGGCCGGGGTATTTGATCAAGGACGGGACGTCCTGTACACAGCCGTCGTCAGCGAGGGTTTCTGCACGTTGGGGGTCCGCAACGTACAATGCGGATGAGGTAGAGGTAGTGGAGATTGGCGCCCCATGCCCAGACACCTGCCGAAGGAGTGAGTACAGACAGATTTCCACGAAGCGTTGCTAGCGCTCACAACCAACCCAGTACTATGATCATGGCCACGCGGTAGGGCAGAGGAAGCCAGCGCGTAAAGGAGTCCAGCTCCGGCTCGACGTGCGGATCTCCGTCCATGGCTGCTGCTCGTCTCTCCTCCGATTACACCGCGCCGGCTTGGACTCTTGCGCGGGTGGAGTGGCGCATGCAGGACGAACGACTCGGGCGGGCGACGCAGATGGGAGCAGGGCGGGCGGAAGTCAAGATGAGGATGCGAACATCATCATTTGCGAGTTGCGACACATGTCCAAGTCCAGCCCTACGCGCGGCGCCACCGTTTCTCCGCGCGGCGCGCCTCCACAGCAGGGATCCCCTGCGGCCTGACGCTTGCATGCATCATCGCCGCCCTGCGTCCCGCCGAGCTGTGATGCGCGCCATTGATCAACCGGATTCCTTGGGCGAAGCTGCAACGGTCTCCACGCGCGCGCCGCCATCGTCCTTTGAGCTGGCGGCGCTTGCGAGGGACTCGAGGCGTGACTGCTCTACTCATCCATGTATGACGTCTTTGCGAAGTAGCGCGGAGGAATGACAACAAACGCTGCGTCCCTCGCGGTGTATGATACTGCTTCAGTCTTCTGCCCTCTCTAAACATCTCCGCTCTGCGATAGATTGGTCAAGCACCCAAAATATTGTTTTATTCTGCTACATTCTAATACTCGGTCCGTCAAGCCTGCTCAAGAACAAGGCCGTCTGGGCCGTTGGCAGCGCCCTTGGCGTCTTCTACATGATGCTCAAGCTTAGCGGCAGCTCAGACAACGTCTCCGAGACTCCCGGTAGCCAGAATATTGGCAACAGATGGTCGGCTGGTGGGGGAACCCCTCAGTCACCGTCTTACGCCGAATAAAAATGAACATCGGGGACATATAAAATGGAATGCGTCGTGACCCAACCTCTAAATTGATGTCTACGCTGACTGCACTAAGGCTTACCACGTAGGATAATTTTGCCTGTGTGCTGACTTCCCCTGTCCACGGCACATTTCCTATATCGACGCTATGATTAAGTCTATCAAGTGTGTGTCACTTCACTCGCACTTCGTATTGGGCTCCATACGCAATCCACCAGCTTCTTAACCGGTGAAATGAGATTCCAAGGTTGGCGCTTTCATTTATTGATGTCTCGATTTCCGACTGATTCGAAATGGATTTGACAGCTTATGCCGTGTTTTCCTGTGCACGCGGAGCAGATATTAAGTTCAAATAGGACCTACCGAGTGGAAGTAGATACGCTCCAAACGCGCCTGAAACATGGAATCTTCTCCGCGATCGTCCGTTTGCTGCTGCTGTAAGAGTTTGGCGGTCGAGATGATGGCAGCGTAAAAACGCATCATCTTTCAACGACAGATTAATCGTCTTCAAGAACGGCTGGGTCAGCACTGAGACCATGACAGCTCCGGTATTCAGCATTAACTGTAGCGAGGATCTCATTCAATCAAACTCTCCTTCGTGTGCAGGGGTGGTGTGAATCCAGTTTCGACCGGTGAGCGCGTAGGCATCGGGACTGGGTGAAATAAACCCCTGAATTCCCTCTGCTACACATCCGAAAGCACGTTGATAATATGACGAAATTGACAGCGCATGGTATTGTGAAAGTGTGATGAAGGGAACAGACAAATTTCGGTAGAGGCGAGGCTTGTTTGGAAAGATATTAAGGCCTGTCGCTTGCTGGGGTCTGCAGTTGAGGATTGAATGACTTGCTGGAAAAAAAAAAGAGAAACGCGGGAGACTGTCGGATGCATTGCTGCTTCCAGTGGCGTAGCAAGGCTGAGGAATGGCGCGACATGTTGCAGTTTACCGTTGCCCAATTGACCGATCAGGAGCCTATCAGGCCAACCGATCGCGGCGTCTTGCGATCACCACTAATAATACCTTCTCTTGCTGCCTATAGGGCTCGTTCGCAAGCACACGAACCGAAAAAGGAAATTCTCCCTTCCAGACGGCCGCACGGTAGATATAAGCCCGGTGCGCAAGAGGTTGGGCGGGCGAGAAAAATGAGGATTCATGGACACGCATGGGTTCACACTCCCTAGGCCGACCGTTTCGCGAGCGTCAGTGCGTTGCAAGGGCTGTCGGCCAATGATTACGAGAAGGTCGCCAGCGGTCTTCAACCCACTCTGGCCACGTCGACGGCCAAATTTGGAGAGGGCGCAAAAGAGCTCCTTGGCCGGCTCTTGCCGTGGCCGAACGGACCGCTCCCACCCCAGGGCGTTGGACCACGTGCGAAACGTTCTGGAAGCATTCATACGACGGTGAGCGGACACGGGCGCTCGGACGCTTTTTTTTTCCTTTTCTTCCGGCCCGTCGACAGATGTCAGCGAAACCGCGCGTCAGGCCCACCGCGCAAATGTCGTCATTGCCGAGCAGTCTGTTCGCGAAAAGACGCTGCGAGTACCAACACTCGGCATCCGGCAGCACGGCTCTCCAGATCAGCCTCGCCCTCCCCGATCTTCGGCCGATCGGCGCGCGGCCAATTGTCTGAACTGCCAGGAGGCTGGAGGCCAATTGAGAAGAACCATGGGTCCGGATTCAGAAGGACGCGGGGAAGCTGACATGGACGCGGTTCTGGTGTCATGGCCAAGTGGATGTGGCTAGAACAGGAACCAACTCCGCCACAGGCAGACGACTCGCGGGTGCAGATGGCGGTGTCCTGCTTGACTGGGTGCAGGCCACCGCTCGTGAAACAGCAACCAAGATTCTGCGCGCAAGGGCCGGCGCTGGTTTCGCAGGTGGCGCGGGCTGCAGCCAGCAGGCTTGATCGACGCTACATAGGCGATTGCACGGGCGCACAGATGGTGTTTGGACGGTGGGCCTCCGCAACCAAGATTGATGAAGAAGACGCTCTCCCCGCCCAGCCTGCCTTTTCTCCGCCCCTCGCTCCCGCCGACGCCCACGACCTGCGGCGCCATGGCTTGCGTTGACTGAGCGCTGGTGCTCGTGCGCCGCTCCGATCGACCTGCTCGTGTCATGGTATATGCAGTCGCGAGCTTGAATCACCCCCGCCACTCGCCAGCCATCGCCATGGGCAACGCAGCCTCAGCCGAGCGCGCTGCTGCTCCACGCGACGCCCACCGGCTCACCAAGCCCCGCACCTATAACCCCTCGCCCTCGCCCCAGCTCGGCCCTCAATCAGCCCTCTCCAGCTTCGACGCCGACGACGTTGTGTGGACTTCTGCCGGCTCCTTCCGCTCCAAGCAGGACGCCCGTCAGCAGATCCGCATGCAGCTTTTCGGTCCCCACGAGCAGGACGCCGATGACGACGCAATTCCCGCCGACAACGTCGACCGTCTGTCTCAATCCGGCTCCAATCCTCCCGATCCCGCTCCCGCCATGAACGAGCGTACCGTCGACGTCGACGCCGCCATTGCCATTCTGCAGGAGCTGAAGAAAAGCGCCACGCCCGACCAGCTCGTGGCCTTGCGTATGTCCATCCGCTCTCCGTGCCCGCAAGTGCTAATCTGCCTCCAATTGCAGACAAGGCCCTCCTCCCCACCAAGGATGAGCTGCCTGCCGTGGACACGAGCAACCAGGCCCCTCCAAAGCTCGCCCGCCGCAGGTCAATGGCCGTGCCCGGCCTCGCCACTCGCAACCCCGCCGATGTCTTGCGCAGAAGAGACGACGAGACTCCGCTCGGGAGCTTGGAGCAGCCCGGCCCGTCCGCTCTGACCCGCACCGCTTGCCTGGACCCCCCGCAGGACCATCACTCGGACCACCGCGCCCAAACCCCTGGGGAAATGGACTATGCTACCTTGACAAACAAGATAGGCACCCTCATGATCACCAACGGCGCCCCGTCTCCTGCTCCAAGCATCATCTCACGCCATCTCGACCGCAGAACCTCCCTGCCAGAGCTTCACCAGGAAGAGTATTTTGCCATGGCGTGTGGCCCTCCAGCCAATCCAGGGGATTCTGCCAACATTCGCGGCCCGCTTCGCCGGTCCGAAACGGTTGGCCCTTCTTCTGCGTATGCGGAGCTCGACGCCCAGTCGACTGAGATCCCGAGACGATCGAGAAGGTCGCGAGTGCCCAGCGAGTTGATGCTCCAGCGCCCATCCACCCCGGAACCCGATCCCCAGAAGGTGCCGAAGCTCTCTGCAGATGACTACATTGCCGAACTGCAAGCCTCGCCGTATGGACAAAGCCCTTTCAGCCGTGCCACACCATCGCCAAGGCCCCCTGAGAGTGTCGACGACTGCTACCACGACCAGACCGAAGCCGAGAAGTTCAGGGCAGAAGCCTTGCGAATCCTCGATGGAAGTGTAGCCGCCGGCCTGACGCCGAGCGAGCGGCAGCCCAACCAGGGCTACGACCAAAGCGCTCCGCAAATCAGGCTGCAGCGACCTGCTCAGGCCCTTCACTCCGACTCGGGATATTCGTCAGGCACTAGCCTCAAAGCCATGCAATTTTCACAATCGCAAGCTGGCAGTTCCATGGCTCACTCCGTCTGTAGCGATGAGGCCACCACAACAGTGCCGTCTACGCCTGTCGGGCGACAAAACGACCAGGCTTTTGATGAACCCGCGGACGCTGCAGACGGGCGTAGCCTCTACACAATCAATGTGATGCTGGCTACGTCTCCTCAGAGGAAAAAAATGGAGAACACGGAACAGAAGATAGAAGCTGAGCCGAAGGTCGAGTCAAAAGCAGAGACAGATGCCGACACTAAGTCTAGCTGGAGGAGGTCTCTCAGACGATCCAAGTCGTGGAAACGGATGTCTTTGCGAGATTTGACTTCCACATCTCCGTCGCCAACTCCCAGCATTCCCAGCGACAGTGGCACTAAAGAACCGACCCCAGGACCACAGATGCCCCAACGCCACGATTCGGCCATGGAGCAAACTTCTACCGAAAAGACGGCGTCGCAATCAACCCGGAAAAGGCTGCAGAAGCGCAAATCGACGAACACGCAACCAACCGTGCAAAGCATTAAGCCCATTGAAACGGGCAGCATTCCGAATGTCCCTGAGGATCTTGCTGTCGGCTACTCCAAGAGGATAGAGGATTCCCCCGGGTTTGGCCACTTGGAGCACACCTGTGTCTCGCAGACCGGCCCGGTGGAGCAATCTGCTGACTCCATCCGCTTTCCGTCACCAGCATCTACTGAAGACGCGGGAGACACTCTCTCCTCGTTGCCAAAGCAGAACAGCAAGCAGAAACGGTCATCCAAACGTGTGAGTTCGCCCTCCCCACTGAAGCAGGTCTTCAGCTTTCGCCGCAAGTCCAAGAGTACTTCGACTGCCCCTGAAGACGCGGATGAGGAGGGGACGAAACCTGCTCTTGATTCATCTGTAAGAACTGGCTTGCAGGAGCCGGGTGATTCTAGTGGTGTCGCCACGGTTTCTGACTTTGGCTCTGTTACACACTCGCTTGGCGGTTCGCCCTACGACATTGCGCTATCGTCACTGCCAGTCAAGCCACATATATCTGGGTCCTCGGCTATACAGCCGCACCACCTCAGCACCGCTCTGGTCAAGCCCTCCAAGAGCGGCCAGAACATGGACGATGCAACAGCATCTGAATACGCGCGCATTCGTAGCAAGTACCGGGCTGAACAGAAAGAGAAGCGTCAGCAGAAGAAGCGGAGCGAGGATGAGGATAAGAAGCAGGACGAAGCCTCTTCCGAGAGCAGCAAGCCTCGTACTCGCCCCGCTAGTTACCATGACCAGCAGCACCAGGAACAGCAGAAGCAGCTGCAGGAAACTCAACTGCCGTCCTCCATCTCCCCAATTCCCAACTTTTCTCGTCCGCAAAGCATGGTTCCCAAGGTTTCGTCGGCTGGTTACGATAGTGGAAATAGCAGTACAACCGAGCTTGACAACAAGCCGCTCCCAGCAGAACCACACAAACCCACCGACAGGCCTGCGTACAGACCCTACCGCCGGGGTCTGTTGACCAAGTCTTTCTCTCAATCTCAGCCACGCCTAACGAGGGCCGCTACCTTCGATGTTCGTGAGGAGAAGATTCCCGTTGAAGGCGAGGAAGGTCTTGAGAACGAAATGTGCAAGGCGCCACTGGAGCGCAGGCACACAGACAAGCCAATTTCGATCGTTGGTGATGCTAGGCCTTGCTCTGCAGAGGAAAAGATGGTGGTGGACCTGGAGGATGGTCTCGCGATTGTCGATGCGCGCACAGAAAACGAGGCGAAGGAGAAACGGCAACGCGAGCTCCCGTCTTCACTACGCATCCAGACACACGGCTGGGAGCAGACATCTAACTTCTGGCGCGAGCGGCGTGAGGCATTTGGAAACCAGACTCTGGGCCACGAGCAGGCCCGAGGCGCAAAACCGATGCACGGCCGCAGCATGAGCGTCCAACACCGGAACCGCACGCAGCTCCTTCAGCGACCAGCTGCAAACCACCACCAGCACGCCCGTAGCCAAAGCCAGCAGGCTATGCACTCCTATTCTCAGTCCTCATCTGCCAATTCCTCGACCCGCGCGTCTCCCAGTATCTCCCCCGCATGGTCTCCAGTTCCCCAAGAGATTTCCAGCCCGGTCAAGCAACTTCCCAACCCCTTCGCCGCTAACTCCGCTTCTGCGCGCACCAAAAAACGCTCTAGCATCCAACGCTACTATAGCACCCTGAACAGGAAGGACGCGCACCAGACGGATGGAAAGATGAGTGTAGAAAGCGTTGCAGAGGAGAGTGAAGAGAGGGAAGAATCGCCAGCTGTGCCGCCAAAGTCTTCGATACAAATAAGTACGAAGACTAGCTACACGGCGGACCCGCGGGAAAATGACTACTTTTCCCGGAAATACGGGGTCGAGCTCGGGGATGTGCCCGTGCTGACGAGTTCGAGGGCAGTCTGAGCTGGATGCTTAACCTGCCTTGTTCATGCTCATGGGACTGATAACTCCTGCTTTCTACCCTTGAGAGTAAGCGCTCTCGGGAGTCACATATTTTTCTCTACCATCTGATTCTATTCACATTTCATTCTCAGATTGGTAGTCCCTTTCCCTGTCTTATTATTACTTTCCCAGGCCACGGCAATGCCCTCGACGCAGCCATCGACCGCTCCATACCTTGTTCGCTAAAGCATCCTCCTTTTGGCTTTGTCTTCGGATGCCTGCAAGGTCGGAGCAAACAGATAGCGCTCTTTCAACGATCATATTCACTACGCATACGAGCATGCATGAGAGATGCACAGGCACGTACGCATACGACGAAGATAGAGTAACTATCTCAAATTCAGATTGATGGGGTTTTAAGTTTCTATTCTTGTATCCACTACAGACGGGTATCTGGAGGAGGGGGTTTTGTCTATTTCATTTGGCGTTCAGAGTAACGAGGACTACATCTGGAGGGAGACGTAAAGAGTTTTGCTGAGCCCTTTGGTTTTTGGACATCATGTGACAGCTATTGGAGAAGGTTAATTACGTCATCAGGATGTGGATAATGTATGTACATGCGATGTGCCTTTGATCTTAACGAGTTGGGCCCACAGGGTGACACCAGCTCGTGGACGTATGCCGCGGGAATAGGTTGTGAAATACGATCAACATGATGGCCCTTCCGTAGATTTCTCGTGTCGTTCTGGTCGCCTTTCCATGCACGTTGTGTTTTTCCTCCGATAGTTGTTCCGTAGGTATTACGGATAGAGCGATGCCTCGGCATAGATGCCGAAATAAGTGCTGGAGATCGCTAAGGCAACGAAGATCCAAGAAATGATTCGTTCAGAGATTCGAAGAGAAGTTGCTGGCGACGGGCGGCATGGTAACGTGATGGAACACGAAGGTTCGCGGCGCGCTATGAGATTGGGTGTGTGTGTATGCATATGATTTGGTGGCTTTCTGTACTCGCGCGTCTCCTTGCTAATAGCACGGAGGGAAGTCGCTGGGAAGGATGTCCTGCGGGAAGTCTTGCGGCCGATTTTGCATTGCGACGGATGATGAGAAGGGAAAGTACCGGGAAAGGAAAGCGCAGGACGTCGGAAACAAGAGCGGTTGTTGCCGAAGTTGGAGGATAGGGAAGCCGATGGACGGGGTATTGGTAATAGTCATGGTGGTGGTGTTAATGGTGCTCGGATGACGCTACGGCTGGGTTTGAGTAGTGATGGCGTCGCCTTTATTTATCGTGTCTGATGGGTGCCTGAATGATCAACTGGTGCCACCTATTGCCGACACTTGGCGTTGGCCCTTGACTGGAAGATATCTAAATTTTGGTTGATCAAGTTGCGAGGGAGGGGGTCATCTGATGGAGATTGTTCAATCGAGAATTACGTAGGTCATACGAAACTAAATATATACATATTGGTGCAACCAACAAACCAGGCACGAGCACGTGGAAGTTGGCGGGTCGGCCGAGATGTTACGCTGTCTGACCTGGTGGTGGAAGGAGGAGGACGCAGGACGGGGAATCCAACTGGAGCGTTCCAGCTGCTTCAGCTGGCTGGGTGTTTGGAGCTTCTTGTGATGTCAGTTGAGTAACCCGTAGTAATTCTGGCCAATATGTCAGCGTGGCGCAGCTGGGTATTGTAGGTTGGTGAGGCAGGGTGCAAGGATTCGGCGAAAAAACAGGATCTCGCTGTGTTATGTGTGTTACATGGTGTAATTCCATCCAGCATTACGACTGGGGATTCTGTACGCTTCTGCCTTGGGCGGAATGCCCGGATGACTGAGCTGAGGGGGGCCTTTGTAACCCAGACTACTGCGAGATGACACTTGAGAGAATTGTGTATACAAAGGCTACTTTTGTCAGCCAATCGAGGGCTCTGGGCCGATTTTGACAAAAGAACACATTTGGGCAAACGCCCTTGTTTCACGCGGAGGGTGACGCCCCGTTCCACGAAGCCGTCGCGTGGCCAAACCGGGATGAATCTTGCCTCGTCGCAACACTCAAATCATTATTTCCTTTTCGAATGCAAAAGGCTGCGAGAGAGCTGAAGACCCGGTGTGGTCATGGTAGCAGGATGGGGCCTGCGCGGTGCCTCCGTAATGGCCTGTCCCAAGGGGCGATGCAGGCAGTGGGCCCTACCAATTATCGGAACGTAGCGCTAATAGCTCGTGCTGTTCTGAAACACATTCCTCCAGAGGTTCCGAGTCCATAGTGCTGCAGTCGACTTCGCCCGGAGCAACGGTAATGAACCGGCACGTTGGTTCACAATAAAAGTCGTTCAACTCTCACTGCTTGCTGCAACGTCTGGAACGTCACAAGTGACGAGGGGGCGTTTGACAGGTGCCTGATAGGTGGCAGCCCACAGATGACTGCTGCCCTTCGATGGACGGTTGGCATCCGAGGAAGCGATGCCCTTGCTCTGACGCAATGCAGCAAACGGCAGAGGGTCCTGCTTTTCTTCGCCACGCCCAAAAGACACTTTCCATCGTCGATGCGATGCCGGATGCAGCCAGAAGTGCGCCGACTCTCCACGTGTGCTCGGACGTGAAGCTTCTCGAAAGGTCGGCTTGCGGTGCGGGATAGAAGCGCGCGGAAAGCAGAGACGCACCGACGCACGTGGGCGCCGCGACAGACGTGTCACGCTGGCGGGAATCGCATGCCTCCAAGGATGCGAAAATTGCGGGCGGCGGGCAGCATGGCATGGGAAAGTGGCATCGGGATGCGGGAGCCCGGCACGCAGGCGTGCCTGGCGATCTGGAATCGGAGCCTTGTCTCTCGCCCACCGGCCGTCTCACGCCGCGTGCGACGCACTGCGTCATGTTGATGCCGCGCCGCGTCAGGGCTGCCGCGGGCTGGGACGAGGCCTCGACTGCAGGTAGCACCGGCGCGCCACACCCCTGCCACCCCCAAACGTTGTTTTTAGGTTGGCCTCGCTCGGGCCACCCGTGACGAAAGTGAGAAGCAACGACGCCGCGCTCTTTCTTGCTCGCTGGATTCCATCCTTCTGCTCGACCTGCCCGCTCACCCTGCCAACCGCCTCCCACCCCGGCCTCTTCAATTGCCCTTTTCCTCCCGCCCCACCCGCAGCTCAACCGCCTTCTTCCTGGCCTGACCTCTCGCCTTCAACACCTGATCCGCCGCTTTCTTCCTCAACTGTCACCTGGGCCAGAGTTGCCCGTCCGCATCCATAATGCCGACTTTCGTGGTATCGCTGTAAGCAATGCCTCTCTCTGTGCCTCTACGCAGCTTCCCGGCTCACGCCATCCCATAGCTTCCTCCCATATACCATTGATTTCCATGAGCTGCCGTCGCCAGCCAGTCGCCGCCCAAGCCCGCCGCCTCGCGCCGTGACGCGCATGGACAGCAATCCCGACCTAAAGGAGCAAAAAGCCAGTCTCTTCGCCCAGCCCACACCGCCTGCCACCCCCTCTGCCAGCGCTCGACACGACGAGTTCTTCGCTCAGGTCCAACCAAGCGTCCAAACCCACTTTCCGAAACCGCATGACCCCAGATCACTTGTTCGCAGCGACGCCCACGTCCCCGAATGGGGAAGCGGGCTTTTCTTCAACCAGCCGCGTTCGCGCGCCGCCGCGCCGCCGCCCGATGACATCTTGAAATACTCGAAGCAGCAGGACGGTCTAGTTCAGCGCAAGTCGCGCCGGTCGCCCAAGAGGGCGAGCATAAGCAGCATTTCCCGGGACTCCAGTGGCTCCCGGCAGCGCTGGTCTTCGGACTGGACTGTCGAGCCGGCCGTTCAAGGCAACGGCGGCCTAGCGAATGCCGTTCGTGCCGCCATCAATGCTGGTACCATGGAAGACGTCTTTTGGGTTGGCACCGTAGGCTTCCCTACCGACGCGCTCGACGACCACAAGAAGGACGAGATCTATGACAAACTTGAGTCCGAGTACGATGCCCTCGCCGTGTGGGTCGATGACAACGACTTCGACGGTCACTATGCCCACTACTGCAAGACCATCCTCTGGCCCGTCTTCCACTATCAGATTCCCGACCACCCCAAGAGTAAGGCTTATGAGGATCATTCATGGATCTACTACGAGCACGTCAACCAGGCCTTCGCGGACAAGATCGTCAAGAGCTACAAGCGGGGCGACATCATCTGGATCCACGACTATCACCTCCTGCTTGTCCCCGGTATGGTCAGGAAGAAGCTTCCTGATGCCCAGATCGGATTTTTCATGCACACGGCCTTCCCGTCGTCCGAGGTCTTCCGGTGCTTGGCTGTGCGGAAGCAGCTCCTGGAGGGAATGCTCGGCGCAAATCTCGTCGCCTTCCAGTCGCGTGAATACGCACATCATTTCCTTCAGACTTGCAGTCGCATTCTTGTTGTCGAAGCTACCAATGACGGCGTCCAGCTGGAAAACCGCTTTGTCAACGTGGCTTGGCTGCCCATTGGCATCGACCCCAAGGGTCTGGAAGCTGCTCGCGAAGACCCAAGCGTTAAGGAGTGGATCGAGGTCATGCAGGACCGATACAAGGGCAAACAGCTCATTGTTGCTCGCGACAAGTTGGATGCCGTGCGTGGTGTCCGGCAGAAGTTGCTGGCTTTCGAGCTCTTCCTCAACAAGTACCCAGAATACCGCGAAAAGGTGAGAACCCAACCCCAACCTCGGCGCCCCGAGTTCAGTTGCTATTGACACGTCTCGGTCAAGGTCGTCATGATCCAAGTTGCCACGTCAACTACCGAAAACTCTGAATTGGCCATGACTGTTTCAGATATTGTCACTCGCATCGAGTCAACCCACTCGACTCTGGCCCACCAGCCGCTTGTGTTCCTAAGGCAGGACATCTCCTTCTCTCAGTATTTGGCCTTGCTATCCGTAGCTGATGCCTTGATGATCACGAGTCTCCGCGAGGGCATGAACCTGACGGCGCACGAGTACATCGCTTGCCAGGATGGCAAAGCCAGCGAGAAGAAATGTGGGCCGCTGATTCTCAGCGAATTCACGGGCAGTGCGTCCATATTCAACGGCCACGAGCTCTCGGTCAACCCTTGGGACTACCAGAAGTGTGCCGAGGCCATCAAGACGGCACTGGAGATGGACCCGGACGAGAAGGAGCGGAGATATACCAGACTCCGCAACGTCGTGATGCATCATACGGGCGAGTATTGGTGCACGACGTTGACCAAAACTCTTGCCAGAGTCCACGAGGAACATTTCATGCGCGACACCATGTCGATTCCCCGGCTCTCGGTCCACCAGCTGTGCGAGAAGTACAAGAGATCCCACCGCCGCATCTTCATTCTGGATTATGAGGGTACGCTCGCGTCTTACGGTTCTCCGACAAGCATCATCATGACTAGTCCACAACGCGTCATTGATGCTCTGAACGAGATTTTGATGGATGATAAGAACATTGTCTACGTCATGAGTGGTCGTACTCCCGAGGAACTGGAGCGTCTGTTTAGCCGCGTGCCCGGTCTGGGCATCATTGCTGAAAACGGGTGCTTCGTGCGCGAATTTGGCAAAGAAGGCTGGACGGCGTTCGCCGACACGTCCAAGGTCGACGAGTGGAAGGACAGCGTCAAGGGCATTCTCCAATACTACCAGGAGCGGGTCGAGGGGAGTTGGCTCGAGGAGCGTCACTGTTCTTTGTTCTTCCACTACGATAAAGCAGACGACTTCGATGCTGCTGCGACTCAGGCAGGAGAGTGTGCAACCCACATCAACGACGTGTGTGAGTCGGCCCACGTTCATGCTGTACCAATCGACAAGAGCATCCTCATTGAGCCGCTCGACTGGAGCAAGGGTAGCGCGGCGACGCACATTTTCAATAAGCTCCACAAGAACAACCTCGACAAGGGAGCAAGCTCTCCAGCCGACTTTCTCCTCGTTGCGGGCGACGATCGCGAGGACGAGGTGATCTTCCGGTGGGCGAACAAGCTTGCTACTACGGGTGTAATTAGGGACGTGACGACCGTTAGTGTCGGCACCAGGAACACGGAAGCCATGGCCACGCTGACCCAAGGCACCACCGGTGAGTTGAGCATTACCCTAACCTCCACGGCGAGAATTGACACGCGTACAGGTCTGCTGTCGGTCCTCCAGAAACTGGCCAAGCTCTCAGATTAAGGCTCTTGAGGCTCAGACCAGGCGTTTCCTTCACGATGTGTTTGTACGAGTACCCCCTTTGCGTAGCTGTATGTATGCTTTGCGCATGCGAACGTAGAAATTAGACATTCCCGAGCAAGTACACGCAGTTCCTGGGGCGACTCGGGCCGCATACAGGGACTAGCATAGCCAGCGGCGCTGCTCTATTCTTCCCCCCTCTCTGATCACGCATGCATTGGCAGGACATGGGAGAATGCAACAGGGTGCTTGGCTTTAGATGAGCTACGAGTTTATGAGGACTTCTAGAAATGGCGTTATATATGAGAAGCAGTATTCTGCGGAAGCATGCACGTGAGCAACTAGACTCTTATGGTGTTGATTCGGGTGCGAATTGTTCACCCGTACGCGAGGTAGCCATCCAATAGGTGAGCGGACCGCTCCACGGTCCGCGCTAAGGTGGGTGGAGCATGGACCCTGTCGTGACGTCGCGTTTTCGCGTCTGCCGCTTTTGCGCCCGATCGACGTTCGACGAGACATCTCTGCCCTGCTCTTTCCCCCACACCCCAAACGAAACATTACTACGTGGTGCAAGATCTTCGGGTGAGAACAGCTCCTGTCCTCGTTCCGTGCGCCTGCCGGGTACTGCCTTCCGCGACGTCAATGTCTCGTCGCCAGCTGCCGGTGCAGTCGCAACCGTCACCCGAACTGCCGGTCTTGTGAGCTTCTTCCGCCACCGCGACCACACCAACGACAGCTTTCCCTCACCCTCCACACAAGTGCTCGCTAATGAGCCACGGCACGGCGAGAGTTTGGTTTCAATCTACACTGGTCACCGCGCGCTTTCACTGCGCTATCGACCCAACGATAGCACCGCCCACCTTTTCTGCCGTTTGACCATGGCTCGCTCAAAGGACGAATCGGCGCACGCGAAGACGCCTTCCAGCAAAACCAGCAAGAAAAAGCACGTCGATGCGTCCGCACCCACTCGCCATCGCCGCCCGTCATATTCCTCGCTGTCCTTCGCAGCCGGCGACCCGCCGCCATCGCAACGCGCCCAGCCCACTACGCCTTCGCACTTCGCGCAGCAGAAGCAGCAACAGCCTGTGACCTCCCGAACGCCCAAGCCCACTTCAACATCGCCTCCGTTCACCGTCAATGCCATCGAAGTGTCGGAACTCTCGCCAATGCTTCAGGCATCTCTGCACAAACCGAGCGTGATGAAGTACGCTCGAGATCAGTTGCAGAAGCGTGGTGGCATGCTGAAAGGCAAGGCTGTGGCAAAGTACTTGGATGATGTGCGCGCTCACGCGAAGGGGAAGGGATTGCCAGACACCGTAACTGACGAGTGCGTGAGGGAGGCTAAGGCCGCTGTCCCGGGGCCAGGGAAAAAGACTCAGAACAAGAATAAGAAGGATTCACAAGAAATTGACGCCAGCGCAGAAGCTGAGGGATCCAAAATTACCACATTCCTACCTGCTCAGTATGTCTCGAATGATGCTCCAGGCAATTCTAAAGAGAAATTTCCGCCTACGCAGAAGAAACAGAAAAAAAGGAAGAGGGCACTTTCTGTTGGAGATAGCGCGCACGAGGAAAAGGACCGTCATAACACTGCTATAGAAAAGAGAACCTCGAAAACCGACACTACTTCAACTTCCGGTACGTCGACTAAAAGCGGAGAGAAGGCTAAGAATCAGAGGCCGAAAACACACAACGGCCGGAACGACAATTCCGATCATCCTCCAAAAAAGAAGCTCAAGTGTGGCCATGAGCAGATTTCAGCTCAAAGTAGCCATTCTCACAGAGTACATGGCAAAAAAGATAAGAGAGGAAAGACGCACCACAGGGACAAGACCAGTGAAACCCACGCTCAAGAAGCCTCGCAGAAGCTTCCTTCTGTAGCCCAGATTGCTCGTGCGGAAGATTCCGGGTCTCGTGGACCTAATGGTCCTGAAGTGGGCTCAGAGAAGCCCAGGCATCAGGCAGCCATGAAGAAAGCTGGAAAGCAGAAGATAAGGGGAAAGCGAAAAGCAGCCAAGTGTGGAAGTGTGGAGAATACGTTGGCAACCCCAATACCGCCGCCCGTGTTCCTGAATTCGATGGACGGTGTTCAGCGTGGAAAAGAGCAGTTGGCTGCGGCCCGGTCCTCCGTACACGATACGCAAGCGTCAAGTGGCAAGAGGAAACGCTCTTCTTTATCCACAGGCGACGAGATGAGTACAAGCCGAAGATCCGGAAAGCCGCCTAAGTTTCAGAATGCGAAGCAACCGTCCCCAGTCGTCGAGCAATTCAATAGCTCGACCAGAGGCCAACGACAACGCGCCCGAAGACATGTCGCAAAAATGACGGAGGACGCTAGCCCAAGCGTCCGCAGTGATCACTCTCCAGTAAACCTACAAGCTGATTCTGAATCGCTTGTTCAGCGGAACAGCAGACCCGTCACCCGAGATGAAAGCGAGCCTCGAACTCGTACTCCTAAGGAGTTCAAGGATGCGTCTCCTGTTGAGATTATTGCAGCACCTGTCCGCTATGCTGGAATCAACGTTGAGAACCCAAAGAGGAAGAAAATAAGACTCCAAGAAAATGCGGAGGATCAAGGGGAACTCAACGATTCCGCTGATTTATTGCCGTCAGTGGTTCCAGAATCACTAAAGAGCAAGGTTGATGATTACGAAGCAACCGCTGCAAACTCTCCACCATTAACCTCGGGGCTTGAGGCCGGTGAGCCTTTTGGAGACGGTGGCATGCCACAGGAAGATCAACCGCCGGGGAAGAAAGATAGAGAGGACCTCAAAGCGGTGGAACTCGAGACCACGCCGCCGCCTTCCGATTCTAATGCAGAGAACTCTGAATACGAGGCTGCGGGCACGCAGGAGGCTGCCGCCTCCGATTCGGACGCGGACACGCAAGTATCGGAAGAAGATTCTGGCGATGAAGTCTCAAAAAAGGCATTCGATAACACTCCGGGGGGACCGGGGCCAACGAGCAATTCTCAACTCTCAAATCAGCGCCTGGTTGGGCTCGGTGCCGACACTACGAATTCTCGAAGCCAAGCTTCTTACTTCACACCCTCAATTCTGAAGCTGTTGCCTTCAAAGTCAGACGAGCTACCCGCGAAGAAACTTCCGACTAAGCTACATGCGCTTGTCCAGGATGATTCTGAGACCGAGTCTAAGTCTTCATCTTCCTCTAGTTCCGATTCTGATTCGGAGTCCGACTCGGACATTGAGAAACCAGGGCCGAACGCCTGGAGTTTGAGTAAAAAATCTATGCAGGCGGGCTCAGCACCACCACCACGGTTAGGCAATCATGCCGTGCAGCAAACAGACGGGTTGCAACCTCATGATGGCCAGGACTCGGTGGATGACTCAACTAACTCCTCAGACACGGAATCTGAGCTCTCGGCAATAGCAACGCAGACGTTTCAACAAGAAGACGTTGCCAGACGACTTTCAGGTGCGCCAGCAATGTTGTCTCCTGCTCGTCCGGGAACCAGTGAGGAGCAAGAGTCAAATTCTGGGTATTCTGAAATCTCAGATAAGTCCAAGAGTTCCGGCGAGGAACCTTCAGGCTCGCTTAACGGGAAAGTGGCGCATGACGCTGTCGCAAAGCCGACGCTGGGACGACATGTCGTAGAGCAACCTGAGCAGCGAGACGCCGAATCGGAAGTATCAGACGAGTCCGAGACATCCGAGCCGGGGTCTCCAACTTCAGGTAGCAACAGTTCGAAGCCGGAAGTTGGGGTTGAGGCTCAAACTGCCCCTGGTCCCGAAGCGATATCACCAACAGATGCGGATGCCGGGAACAGCAAGGACATTAAGGTAGATTATGTTCCCCGAGCGGAGAAGAAGAGCCAACAACGCAAGTTAAAGGGCGCTAGAGCTGACCGCGTATCATTATTTGGAGCCAATAGCGCAGCTCTAGAGGAAGATAAAAGCCTTTTTCAAGGGACGGGAAAGAATACTTGGGATCAGAGTGCCGTTCTCTCGTCCCGCTTCAATACGCAGAAGGGGCTCCCTCCGCTTAAGAAACAGAACCTCTTCGAAACTACTCAATCGTCGCCGAATGACGGTCCATCTGCAACAAATGCAAGAAAGGATGCATCTCAAGCGCCAGGGAATGAAGACGAGCCATCCCTAGTATTTGGCAGAAAACAGTCACGGAAAACAGCTACACCATCGATAAGAAGACCAGATCCTAATCAACTCCCTCCACCGGAATCGCCGAGCGAACCAGAGGAACTTGAAGAAAAGCCAGTTAGACGTGATTCACCATCACACTCACCTGTCACTCGATCACAATCAAGAATGAAGCGGACGGGGTCTGATGCAAGTGAGTCATCCTCCGCTTTCACAGGACCGAGCAGGCGAGGCTCCAGCGAATCTACGGGCAGCCGACCTGGTCTGAGGTCGTTCTCCAGGAAACAAAGCTCTGTATCCGAAGCACCGAAGTCGTCTGCTTCACCCACGAGTGAGAGAGGTCCAGTTGGTCATTTCGTTTGCGTCGGAATCTGGAAGAAGCCACGGAATCCTCAGGATGATGAGGTGTTGATGTACGATCTGCAGGACTTGGACGATGAAAAGCATTCGTCACCGAAGGCCCCCCAGCAAGACGCATCCATGGACGATGACCCCGATATCGGCAAGGGTGAGAGGCAGGAGGGCCTGCCACCTGAAGATGACCGGATAGTTGACATCGAGGTTGGTGTTAAGCCAGAAAACCATGCAACTGAAGAGGATGTCCCGATCGCGGAGCCCAACGACAGCCGAGATAAAGAGCATAAGTCACCACTCAAAAACAACAACGAGGCCGAACAGCACGACGTGATCACTATATCATCCGATAAGTCATCTTCAGAGGATGATTCGTCCTCGGAGGGCGAGCAGTTCGTTCGAGCCGTTCACAAGACCCCAGTCGTAAGCATCCATAGGCGTGATACCCAGTCGTCCTCGAACGCCCCGGGTCGAGATATAGACAGAAGTCGCCGCGGTACTTCTGAGGAATATCCGTGGATCTCTCACGAACGTCGTGACGAATCGGTGAGATCAGCTAAATCGAATCCACGTAGGTCTCAAATACCACAGTCTGAGCTTACTGGGCCCGACGATGTCCCTCAAATTGACGGCGTGGTTGTCGCGAAAATGCAGTCGGCCCCGCCTTCTCCAAAACTAATAAGAGCGCATTCGGAGGCGGGTAGCAGGGCGTCCTCTGTCGACAACGAGCCGAAAGGTTTCTTACGTCCCGATGGAAGCCTCTCTGCGCAAAAACGCCGTACGGGCCTGCACTCGCCGCACTTCGTCTTGACGCGTGTTTCTCAGAAATCAAAGCGCCCCCCGGCTGGAACCATATCTTCTCTGCCATTCCCTTCTACTGAGGCCCCCCGGTTCGGGTTGATCCAAGAGGAGCTTGCTCATGAACCTTTTCAACTTCTCATTGCCGTCATGTTCCTCAACAAGACCAAAGGCAGCAAGGCCATCCCCATATTCCGCGAATTTATCGTGCGGTATCCATCGCCGGATGAACTCGCGCACGCCAATCTCCTTGACATCACGTCAATGCTGCGCCCACTAGGCCTGCAAAATAGCCGTGCCAAGATGCTTATCAATTTTGCCAAGTGCTGGCTGATTGACCCACCGCGGTTCGGCCGACGTTATCGCTGCGTAAATTATCCTTACAAGGGAGCACAGAAGGACATCAAGCCCGGCGAAGTGCTCAATGACGTGGACCCTCGCGTAGCAGCTTACGAAGTTGCACATTTGCCTGGTTGCGGCCCGTACGCACTGGATAGCTGGCGTATATTCTGTCGCGATGCACTGAGAGGGGTGGCGTTGGACTGGAATGGTACAGGTGTGGGGGATGAGGGCTTTGAGCCAGAATGGAAGAGGGTGAAGCCGGGCGATAAGGAGCTGAAGGCTTTTCTGAAGTGGATGTGGTTGAGAGAGGGATGGGCGTGGGACCCAAAGACCGGAGAAAGAGCCTTGGCGAAAAGAGAAGAGGTTAAAACGGCCGAAAAGAGTTGGCGTTGGGACCAGGAAAGCGGAGAGGATGTGTGGATTGAGGGTGGAATGGACGAGAACGAAGCAGGGGAGATCGATGCTGCCCCCCCTCACACCCTACCCGCTCGCGCGAATGAGTTTCGCGGTTCTGTTGAGAGCGATGACAGCACCTCTGCGGACGAGGCGGACCATCTTGGGGATCTCTCGGACGATTCCCAGCAAGATAATGGAACATGCGAAGAGGACAACAGCAGCCAATTAGTGGCAGCTCAAATCGCCCACGAAGTAGATCTCTCGCAGAATCGCCCGTTGACACAGGTTCCTGCAACGCAACCATCTCCCCGGTCACCTTTCCCGACCAGCATTGCTTCTGTCATTGGCGATGATGAGGCAATGGAGAAGGCAACGGACAGCGAGGCCGGAGACAGTAGCCCTTACGCTCCCCTTACCGGCGTGGAGAGGATGTTCACAGAGTGCGAGAAAGAAGCGGAGTGGTACTTCACGGGAGAGGTCAGCGAGACACCGCAACCGGATAGTCCAACGAAAAGGGCGGAGAGAGAGGCCGCTAAAGCGATTGCGGTCGATAAAAGTTCACCTTCGAGTCCGATCGAGTATCGGAGTGACGGCGATGGCGGTAATGAAATTGACGAGATGGAAGGTGTGGAAGATGGTAGCGCTCGCCAGGCAAGTCCTGAACTTTAAGTTTGGCTTCGATACGTGCACGCGGTGTCACAGATTGGCGGACTGGGTACAGAGGTCAAGCAACGAGGAAGGGAGGAAGGCCTTGAATAAGGAGCTGGAGGAGCTGGGGAAGCTGGCTCTCTCGCTGAATGAAGTCAGCGGTGGAGGGGAGAGGGCGCAAACGAGTTGCATTATTATGTGATGGCGGAGGTGATCAGTTCAGTTCACGACTTGAGCGGATATTCCTGGCCGCCTCGGGAGGTGTTTGGTGGAGGAGCGAAGTGGATTTACCCTCTAGCACCTCACCACATAGTACGTGGCACGGCTCCCGTAGTTTACCTGGTAGTCTTCTCGGCATGGGTTCCAGGATCAGTCCTTTTTCTTTAGGCCATTGATACCCCTTGGATTCAATAGATGGATGGCTTTATCAAGCACTCTTCCTGCTTGAGCGGGTTTCACGATGACTTGAGGTGTGCAGTTTTTGTTCCCTCGATCAAACGGCATTGCACAAAGCTCTTAAGCAACCAGATTAAGGCGTAGAAGGTTTAGTTGACGAAAAGGGAGCCCAAAAGTGAAAAATAAAGCCGAGCACAAGCAGGCAAACTCCCAAAAGGTACCAAGCAAATAAAGACCAGGTCTATAAAAGACTGGTAGATAGCAAGAATATAATCACCATGCGATCTTTTCAACTCCAAGAAGACCAAGTCAATTTCACGCGTGCACCCAGTCTTGTATCCCCACAACATCTTCCATCGTCGCTCCACCTCCTTGTAGAACGCATTTCGCTATTCAATAAACTCAGTAGGCCTTGGCAGGGCATAAGGAAAGAGACTGCCGAGAGCCGCGTGAAAATTTATCCATACCATTCGTGCATGCTTATTACTTTCGTTTGTTCTACTTTTTGATAACTTGTTACGTGTGGAACGCAATTAATAATCGATTCCTAATGTATATGGCCTTGATATTAGGAAGTGGTAACGAACTGATTTTTAGATGACGGCAAGCAACGAGAACACACGAAAGAAGAGCACTCCTTGCATTTAGTTCTAAATCTGTTTCCATTCCAGAAAAAAGTGAGGTTTCTCTACTTTTTATGAAACCAGAAACTCTATGTATATTACGGTCTATATTACGATATCGTCGCGCTCGCGTACTTTAATAGATCCGCAGAGTCGAGGGGAAAAAGGCTTATCCAGCATGAGGTCATCAACGTTCGTGGCTCACTCAAACCCATCAAGCGCCGCCTGCGCCAACCATGCCCTTCTTGACCTTCCTGTAGTCAAATAGCAGCATGGCCAGGGCGACAAGCACTGAGCAACCGGCTAGGGCGATATCAAGCGCGTAGGCATCCTTCAGGCCATCCATGTAGGCGCGAATGACACCGGCAATCTGGTCTTCACCAAAAACGTCGCGCAGCTCGGTGGCGCCGGTGGCAATGACGAGGCCTGGATTGAGGCCGGGCACCTCCCGGGGTACGGAGCGCACCAGGCGGTTGGCGAAGAGCGACTGGGCGGCGCTGACGCAGATAGCCCCAGCAAGAGTCTGCCAGAAGAGGATGATAGCTGTAACGGAGCTCACGTCGACGGCGGGTACGATGGCTTGCGAGACGATGACGCCAACCTGAATGCCCAGCCCGCTACCGATGCCAGCCAGCGCCTGGTAGCCGATCCAGTGTGATGACGGCGAGCCGACGTCGAGCGTGAAGATGAGGCCACTTCCTACGGTAGCTAGCACGCTACCCACGGCCAACAGCGGCAGGTAGTGGCCTGTCACGGTGATGGTGCCGCCGGAAAAGATGGTGAAGAGGGCGATGCCGAGAATGTAGGGGATATTTCGGACGCCAGACTGTGCGGCCGACACGCCCGAGACAACCTGGAAATAGATGGGCAGGTAATACAGCAAGAGCATGAAGGTGCCCGACCCGAAGAACTGGAAGAGAGAGAGGTAGGCGATGGTCTTCTGCTTCATCAGACGCGGCACCAGTAGGGCGCGGTCGTCCAGCCAAATCTCGACGGCGATAAAGACAAAGATGAGCACGCCGAAGCCGACGAGGGTGCCGATGACGTCGGAGTCATGCCAGGACTTGGTAGTGCCACCCCACTGCAGCGCGAGAATGAGGCAGGTGAAAGCGGCCAAGAGAACAAAAGTGCCAAGAGGGTCCATCTGATAGAACTTCTCCAAGAGAGGTGCCTCGGTAGGCTTTGCCTTCTTCGGAGTCTGGAACCAGATGAGGATAATGAGGCCAGCTAGGCCACCGATTGGAAGGTTGATGTAGAAACTATTTCGGTCAGACAAGTGAATCTGAATGCGGAGAGGAGATAGCACTTACCACCATCGCCACGAGACGTGGTCGGTGAAAGCACCGCCGAGGAGGGGACCGACAACACTGGCGACAGCATATACAGCGCCAAGAATGCCGGTGTAAGCCGCAGCCTGGCCCGGAGGTGCGGTGAAGGCAAGGATTGTGTAGGCACCTGCAGCGATGCCGGCGCCGCCTGCACCTGCGATGGCTCTTCCCACAATTAGAGTGGTGCTGTTCTGTGCCACGCCGCAAATCAAACTGCCGATCTCGAAGACGAAGATGGAGGCCAAGAAGCTGGTCTTGAGAGGGAAGTACTTGTACGCCTTTCCCCAGGTCGACTGAAAGGCGCCTAGAGTGAGGAAAAAGGCGCTGCCATACCAGCCGACCTGATCGAGGCTGCGGAACTCATCTGTAATCTTGGGGATGGCTGTCGCGACGATGGTCATGTCAAGAGCGACCTTTGAACCGTCAGCATCGCTTTAGGAATCACGGGGCTGCGGGTAGCGTACCAAGAAAATGCTGCAGATGACGGCGATGACAATGAAGAATAGCTTCAGACCGGTGGGGTGCTCGGAGCTAACGACCGGTTCCAGCTTCTCTCCTTCAGCTTCGGCTTCGACATCGGATCGCGAAGCCTTCTCGAAGACGCTTCCAGCATCTTTGTCGTCGACAAGACTGAGGCCGCTGACACTGGAAGGGGAGGAAATGGCTCCGTTTTGCGGCAGAGTGCCGGGCACAGCTAGAGTGCTGGCCGACTCCGGGGCTTTGATGTCCGCCATAGCGTGGCAGACGGAAAAATTGGAAAGTGAAGCCTGGATGCTCACGGAGGGTCAAGGTCTCCGCTGGTGGTTGGAGGTCTCGGGGCGCAAGCAGACGGAGCTATATAGCGGGAGGGTGTAACAATGGTAAGCCCTAGCAGCTCGGGCGCTATCATCTTGGTGAGGTTGTGCGGACGATTCTCGCATCATGAGCAGTCGCGATGATTCAGAGGCAGAAGGAGGCGTAGGGCGTTGGCTATCCAAAGCGGCCGACCGATTCGGCTGCTTACGCGAGACCGAAGCACAAAGGTGGAAGGGCCACACCCGGCCCCGGCTGGCCACATGGATGCCGGAAAACGGATGACTGATGCAGCGCCGGCATCCTTCGCCTGCGACAAAAGTACCGGTGTGGTGTGTACACTCCGCCCCGCTGCAGCCAAGTCATTCGCAATTGATAACACCTGGCGCTCCGGTCCAATGGCGGGCGCGGCGCCGGGTCCTGCAGTCAGACGAGGCGCATTGTAGGACCGACATTGTAAGGCAGCAGTGCCAGCCGTCCGGACGAAAAGCTGCGGAGCCTCCGCTTCACCTTCTTGAGGAATAACAAGCACGAATCAGCTGCTCTCGTCAATGGCCTCTTTCCCCCCCATGTCGACCAGGATTGCTTGCTTTTCCTATACCCCCCCCAGTCTACGTGTTGCACACCGTCTCACTCACCCCGAGAGAAGTTCGAACACGCCTGCCTTAGAACTCCGGTTTCTCTGAGGCCTCTCGAAAAGCGAGCCCAGTTGGTCGAAGCACAGCATCAGTCGCATATTCGATCACGGAGATAACCGGACAAACAACACGTCGGCCCCCAAACCATCGACCTTGGATCACCTTCTCGCCCAGCCTATCGGAACTATGATCGGCGCCCTTTTCTTTCTTTATACTCTTGGCTTCTCACGCACTTTTCAGCCGCTCGTAGATCGCGTAGCCTCGGGCGTTGGACACGACGATTCCTGCTCACTCTTCCGACAATGTGGTGCTCGCTGACTTTCGGGACTCACTCTTCCTGGCCCCACAAATCTGCACCGACAGGGGAGAATGCCTTCCTGTGCTAACACGACATATCTACTTTTGGATACCGCCTTCATCCCCTCCCAGTTCAAGGAAGCTTATCGATGCTGTCAGCGGCGCCGTTGCTGGCTTCCCCCCCACCCCTTACTTTGTAACCCTTCGCTTCTTGAACGGCGTCACGCCAACCGAATGGATCATCGAGCTTGCCGCGCTGGATGCCTTGAAGGTTGGTGAGCAACTTGACACAGAGCGGGCCAGGCTCGTCTCCCTTGATGTACTCGAACTTGTCGTTGGTAGATCGCCGGGTGATCGACTTGATTGGCACCAGTGCTGCAGCGGTTCCTGCGGCCAAAACCTCGGTGAAGCTAGGCAGCTCGTCGTACGTCACCTGCACCGCGCACGTCAGCAACGCATACACAGCCTTTACCCCCAGCCTGATTGACTCACCGGTCGGCATTCGACCTTCCAGCCAAACGACTTTGCCAGCTGGAAAGCGCTGTCGGAGGTGACGCTCTTGATGACATTCTTGCTGTCGGGCACAACGAGCGTGATGTCGTCCCCGCTCTGCTTGATGCCGATGAAGCCCGAGGTGGAAAACTCGTCGATAACGGTGCGCGTCTGGCTGTCGAGGTGAAGCGTGATGCCGAATCCCTCGGACCGAGCCTTGTCGCTGTGTCTCAGGACTGGTGCATAGTTACCTCCGACCTTGGCGGAGCCGGTGCCGTGCGGAGCGGCACGGTCGAAATCCTCCAGAATCAGGCAATCCACCGGGTGGACGCCGTGGTAGACTCCTGTAGGCATCACGTACACGCAGAACGTGTACTCTTCCGGGGGCGACAGTCCGAGCTGTGCGCTCGAGCCGAACAGAAGCGGACGAATGTACATTGCAGCGCCCGTCTCGTGCGGAGGCACATAGCCGGCGTTGAGGGACACAGCCAGGCGGCAGGCTTTGACGAACAGGTCCTGAGGCACCTCGGGAATGGAAATGTAAGAGGCCGAGTGCTGCATGCGGTCGGCGTTCATGTTCGGACGGAAGATGTAGATCTCCTTGTCGCCGGGCCCGCGGAAGGCCTTCATGCCCTCGTAGCACTGCTGGCCTGGCCGCTACGTCAGACGAATGGTTGGATGTGTGGAGGGTGCGACGGACCGTAATTGAGGCCAGGCGCCATGCCATGGATGCGAAGGTAAGGGTCTTCGACGAGCTCGGGCTCGGTCCATTGGCCGGTCTTCTTGCTGTAATGGGATTCAATGTGGCCATTGACTGTTGCGGGGGTTAGCCGAAGCGGATTTCAAGGATGAGGGAGGGCGCAGACCTTCGCGGACCTTGAAGCCAATGTCGGTCCAGTCTGCAATGACACATCGTCAGCAACGGCGGGGCGGAAGTGGGGTAGGGCGGAGGCGGACCAATGGTGTTGACGGGCGGCGGGGGAAAGGTGGAAGGCATTATTGCAGCTGTAGACGGCGGGCGGAGGGATGCTGGGCGGCGGGCGGATGCAGAGGATGGTTGTTCTGTGGTGTTCCTGAGATCGGCGGCGGGAACAGCGGAGTGGCGGGGCGGCAGTAGTGGGGTGAGGCCGTAAGGCGGCGACGGGTGAGCTTGTGCTGCTTGGCGCCCCTTGTCCATTCCATCCACACGGGCGTTCATGTGCATGCTCAAGCCGGTCCCTATTCCTCTCGTCATGACACCACCACTTTCACGCGCTCAACAATAGCCTTTCCCCCCTGTCCTCTCGGTCTGCGCACCACCACTACCATCACCAATCCAAAATGCCTCTAGGACCAACCCGCCGCCTCATCCTGCTGCTCATCCTGGGAGCTGGCATTGTCTCCGTCCTGTACATCTCTTCTTTCCGACCACCTATCGCGAGCCGCCCGGCAGGCGTCGTCAATCCCGCCCAAGCACCGCATGACATCGGCAGCGCGACCTTGACCGGGCCCGCCATCGCCCCGAAGCTTGGGAATGAGACGGCAAAGTAGGTGTCCTGACTTCGCGCGCGTCCCGGTCACACGCGAAGGACGTCGGTTTGCTAATCATCGGACGTATTCAGGGCGGAGCTAGGAAATGCCGCGTGGAAGCTCCTGCACACGACCTTTGCGCGCTTCCCCGACAACCCCACCCTCGACGAGCAGACTGCCCTGAGGTCCTACATACACTTGTTTCAGCGCCTGTACCCATGGTAATACACGTCCACCTTTACGCTGCTTGGCGTGAGATGGCTGGCTGACGAGTCACTTCGCAGCGGCGAATGCGCCCAGCACTTCTCCAAAATCCTCGAGAAATTCCCGCCACAGGTGTCGTCTCGATCAGCCGCCGCGGCATGGGGTTGTCACGTTCACAACGAGGTCAACCAGCGCCTGCACAAAGACATCTTCGACTGCTCAAAGATCGGAGACTTTTACGACTGCGGGTGTGCTGACACCGAAGAGGATGAGGATAGCGGCAAAAAAGTCAGCAAAGTGAGCTCCCACGAAAAGCCTGACATGCCAGCGGATAGAGTCGAGAAGCTGAGCGGCGACAACGGGAGGGAAGTTGATCTAGTAGGCATCCTAAACGGCGAGAAGCCGCTGGAGCTGGAGAAGGAGGGGTGAGTCCACCGTTCACGCCGCCCTGTTGAGGTAGCTAACAGGCGCACGTGGGCGGCACAGATGGACGAACGGCGGTTGATCAAGCAAATCCGGCCGACTTTGTCTTAGTTTCTCATCTGACCTGCTTCGATATGCTGCAGTGCCCCAGGCGCCTGGTCTCCGAACCCCGGGTTGCAGAAAGCGCTATCTGACCGAGGCGCATGGGCTATGGGTGTCACAGACGGAATCTGGCGGTGCACGGCATTGCTTTCGATGGGCCCGCGTGCAACCGGATGCTGCCAGGACTATGGTGTTTGCGACTTATGAGTTGGGCCGCTCGCGGAATGCCTAGGTTTTCGCTAGACGCACATTCGCGCGCAGATGATTCTGCTTGGGGGTGCAAAGGCGTTGAAATGATCGCCATAGCGGTTGTGTTGGAGCTGTCTAGGCGTCTCCCATAGACCTGATGTTATTCTTCGTATTTCAGAAGGGTTGCCTGCTTGTGCGCGGCTTTCTCCAACTCAAGGTAGGTAGTTTCACTTGGGTTCTTTGGAGGTAGCTGTAGTCACAGTGAATGAGCTACTGAATTGGTTGGAACCAGATTCCACCAGTCTTCGATTCGACCCGTGTGCGCAGCTGCAGGACTGATGGTGTGGTCGTTTGCAGCTCATGACGACGGCTTCGTGGTGCGTGTGATCGATTCCGTGCCTGGCGTCTGCACGGCGGGAACCCCTGTCACGCAGGGTTTGGGGAGTGGCGCGGGCGCTAAAAAGACGGATTTGCGACGGCCGCGCAAAACTACGATCTCAAACTCACGCGAAACCTTTCATACGCCGCTCTAGCACGCTCGCCGCGCTCCAAACTCCTTGCTGTCTCTCGTCAGAGACTTGTTGACCCTGCCCCGATAGCAGCTCCGTGTTTTTGCACTGGCCTGCACCGCGGCGCCCCGAATACGCGCTTTGTTTACCATTTTCCCGACATTACCCAGCCCGGCATGGTTTCGTTTTCCTGCGAGGTACGGCTCACCTTCTTGCGCGCGCCTCTGAGGTGCGAGTCGCTAACTATAGCGCTTTATTCCTAGGGCTGCGGCGATGTGCTCACGAAGAAAAAGCTCGACGGCCATCGCAACCAGTGCTGGAGCGCATCCTTCACCTGTATCGACTGCATGACACATTTCCAAGGGACTTCTTACCGCGCGCATACCGTACGTCCCTCGTTTGAGAACCCTCCCTTGCAGAAGGCCCGGACCTTGTTGTGAGCTCCGCATGCTTCGTCGCCTCCCGACTTTAGAGCAAAAACAGCACCATCGCTTTGTAGTACAATCACAAACCTCCACAACACAATGCTGACTCTTTACGCCCGACAGAGCTGTATCAGTGAGGCACAGAAATACCAGGGAAAGCTGTACAAGGAGAAGAAGCCGAAGGGCCAGCAACAGTCGAACAACTCTCAGGCTCTGGTACCACACAAATCCAATGAGGAATCCGCTCTCGATGCAGACTCAAACGCCGTTGCCATTGTCGATGCGCCGCCGAAGGCTCCGAGCCCGCCTCCCGCGGTCAACGTGTTCGACTTCCTTGTGAGCGACGCAACCCCGAACGCTTCGAAGGTATCACTACCGCCTATGGGTGACTCCCTAATGATCGAGGACGGCCAGGAATATACCAGAAACATGCCAGGAGCGTTCGATAGCGCTGACATTCATGGTGGCCAGGAAAACGGCTACTCGTACGGTTCGGAACCTGCTGAGAACCCCTATACCCCCGCTCCCAAGCACGAACGCAGCAAAGAGAAGGACCAGAATACGGGGAAGAAGTCAGACAAGAAGCGCAAAAGACAGACGGTGGATGAGTTGGACATGTCCGCTGTGAAGGCTCAACAGGAGCAGGATGCTACTATGACAGATGCGCCGCCAATGCTGCACACCGGGCTCACTGGAGGCCTCAATAAGATGCTCAGTCACACCGAATACCCGCCTAGCCCGGATTATTCGGGTGATGCTGGAGACAACTCGCCTGCAAGCCCGATAAAGAGGAAGAAGCACTCCAAGGCCGAGAAGGAGAGGGGAAGGGAACGCGAGTCCAGCTCCCGCAAGGTCTCCGACTCGACTGAACGCAGCCGCAAATCGAAGCGTGAAAAGGACTCGGAAAAGGAACGCAGACGGCCTCGAGAGATTGTCAGGGTCAGGCGCCGTCGGGCTTCCTCATCTTCCCCTGAGCGAGAGCATCGCAAGAGTAAGCCGTTGAAAGCCATCGAGTATCATCCCGAGGGAAAGGCGGACGGGGATGCAAGTGCTCTTGTTCTGCACAACCAACCACGTGCTGAGCTTTTGCTCTCGTACGTCAACAAGGGACCGGAATCGGAACGCGGGCTCAGCCTTAATAAGGCGCTCAAGAGGTACCATCGCGACAGGATCGAGAGATGGGGCCACGGTGTGAGCAAGCAAGAGGAGGAGAAGGAGCTGTGGAAGTCGATCAGGTTGAAGAGGAATGACAGGGGTGAGATTGTGTTGTTCACGGAGCCTTGATTGTTGGTCTTAGCTTTATACGCTTTTTACGCTCTGTATGATCTCATGCCAGAACTTGCACAATGCGGGGATCCTATTTCTAGCAAGACACTGCTTATTTCGACTCCTTTTTCGCCGGCTCCCTTTAGCCCATGGTCACAGCATTCCGCTAGCGAAAGGGAGGCGGCCGTCCATCCTGCGAGGGCGACCTCCCTGGATTCTGGAATACTTCACCGTGCGGGATGCCGATGACCAAGCTCATGCTATTGACTCGGTTTTGACGCGATACCAGACCCTATACGTCTCGGGAAGAGTGCGTCGGCCCAAGGCGATATCCGAGGGCACGTACTGCAATCGCTCCGTGATCGCCCCCAGGGGCTGGCGTCAAAGCGAGGAACATGCCGCGTCGAAGTAGGGTGAAAAAAAAATGTGTGCGGGTGGAGAAGGTGTCGTGGGCGTCGTGGCACATTCCACAGGTCGCGTTGTGAGGCCGCGTGCCACCGCGTCAGCTCCCGCACAGGTGGATTTCCGCCAGCGCTTTCCGCTCGGCAGTAACCCGGTCAGCTAGCAGCAGTCTAACCGGTTGCAGCAATAAACCCATGGGCGGCACAGGCACACAGGTGCGGCAGGACGTCGGCAGCGGCCGTGAGTGGCTGGTTCGGGCTGGCCCGCGCTGAAACGGCAAATGGGGAGGAAAAGGACGCGGTGCGGAAGTGGGCAGCGATAGACGGGCAATTGCAGCGCCCTCATCAGCAGCTGGCAACCGCGCCGCCGGTACGGGCGACCCACCGCAAGTGTTTCTGGCGGTGATGGCTCGCTCGCTCGCAACAGTGCGCTCGACTGATCAGAGATCGCCTCTGCCGCGACCCACTGCTGGCTCCCCCGTCGCCCGTCCCTCACGCGGCGCTGAAATATTGCCCGAAGTTTCGTACGCGAAGCGGGCGCCGGACTTAATGCAAAGGGCGCAATCAACCCGAAGGCAGGGGAGATGAGGCACGAAGCGTTGCAGCGGTGCGCCAATCTATCTGCTGAGAGGGCTGAAATTATCTACCGCTTCCTTGCACCGACTCGGTTTGTCGTCGATTTTGCCTGCGTACGGCCCCCCATTGGCTGCGCAGAGTGGCCGCTGCTGCGTAGCTGATAGTCGAGCCGAGCCGAGGGCCTCGTACATACAATTGCGCCGAGAGCACAATGACGCCCAAAGCATGGGACGGGGCGAGCGCAGACGACCGGGCGAAGCGCTGGAAGGGCAGCGGCCAGCACAGACTCACCTTCTCCTGCGGGCTCCAGAAAGGCCGTAGCGGTGGCAACCGCTTCTCCAGCGCGCTGTCGCGGCGGGCACGGCTAGTGCCACGGGCAGGCATGGCGCGGGCTCGTCCTGCTGTTCCAGTACCGGCTCGCAGCGCGCTTTCTCGACTTATCTTGAGCCTTGGCCTCCCCGCTAGCTCTTTCTGATCTGTGATGCTTTCTTGCTTGCACCCGCCGTCCCCGGCGAGATTGAACCCGTCCGAAACTCATTTAAGCAGCCCACCCCGGCGCCTGTAAACACGCTCTTCTGCTTCTCTCTCCACCACAACTTCACCAGCCGCCCGCCAGCCACAGCTTGCTGCTGATCCACGCGTCTAGCATCTTCAATCACAGGTGCGGCGTGCCCCTCCCAGCCCCGTCGTCACGACGCCGCGCCACCTTGCTTCGCCGCCTGCTAACCTGTCCGCAGGCATTAAATACCGCCGCTGCTACATATCCCCTCCACACCGCTCCGGTCGCCCACACCACCCGCCACGATGCGCTTCACCACCCTTTCTCTCGTCGCCGTTTCGGCCTTCTTCGGCTTCGCCGCCGCCCAGACCAGCACCAGCTCGGCCTCGGCCTCTGCTATGTCTACCGTCTCCGACCCGAGCAGCGTCCCCGTGGCCGACCGCACCACCTGGTGCCGTGCTCAGCTGCAGACCTGCCCGACCCTCTGCGGCGGCAGCACCGCTAACAACACCTGCGACATCGTAAGTCTTTGTGCCCGTCCCGCGCGGTGGCCCAAGAGCCCAGAACGCCGATCGCGAGCCGGGATTGCTGACCGCATGTTTCTGCTCAGAGCACCCTCAGCTACAACTGCACTTGCGACCCGGTCATCGCCAACTTCAATGTGTCCGACTTCGAGCAGACGCTGCCATCGCTCGAGTGCCAGTACGCTGTTGCCCAGTGCATTACCGACCACCCCGACGACGCTGTCGGCCAGGCCACCTGCCATTCGGTTGTCTGCGGATCGAAGAACGTCACGTCCCAGGTCTCGGCTTCGAGCAGCTCTTCGGCATCTGCAACTCCCTCGTCGACGGGCTCTGCCTCGGGCAGCGCTTCCGCCAGCGCCGCCGCCACGACGACCGCAGCCAGCGCCGGCATCGCCTTTGCCAAGACTTACGGTTCTGGCGCGCTGTTCGCCGGTCTGCTGGCGGCCTTCGGTTTCGCTCTATAGACGAATGAGCCGTGAGTCGGTGGTGCTTGGCCTGTACTCAGTCGACGGACGGAGGTGTTTTTTTTTTTTTTAATTCCCCATGGTTTTGCAAAAGCAACGAGTGTCGTCGTACGACGTAGGTAATGAGATACGGAGCGCATTGTTTGCTGGGAGCGTCTATTAGCATACTCAATTGACTGTATTCTCGGTCTCGCGGAGCCTTCTGGATGTTTTGTGATGATGTTGATACTGGGAGCCAAGCTTTGCCCATGTGCGACCGCGGCAGGCGGCCCCGGCAGCGGGCGCCCAACGGATTCGCGTCAACAACGCCAGGCGAGGCTTCCTCCGCATTTGGCCTGTCGCGGAGTCGGCTGATCTCAAGAAGCGCTCCCCTCACCCGCAACGGATCGCCCAATCCGATTGGCGCCGACCGCGAGCTCCCCTTGCAGCCGCGGATCCTCGTCCTCACCGCCGCCGTCGGACGGAGGTCCGTTCACGTGAAACGCCCTCACGGCCGAAAAAATTGCCAACCAACTATCGATAAGAATTCCCTGCGACCAACCCTGTGTGCCCTTGCAACGTCACTGTTGTTCAACCGTTCGAAGAGCCGTCTTCAACGGATTTAGCCCTCGCGCCAACGTCTCTCGGCGGTTTAATGTTCAGAGCCCTACAGCCATTTTCTGTTTCTGCATCACGGGTCCTAACCGCACACACGACCAGGTCTTTCTCGGCTGCCTCAAGAAGCCCGGCTGTCGCCAGACATCGCCTGCACACTATCTCTACGCACCTGTCGACCTCGGCATCCGCTCCTGCAGCTCTCACGCTCAACAACAACATCCGCCCGCAAGCAACCATGGCGACCCTGGGCAGCGCGACCAAGAAGCACAAGGTGACGATCGTGGGATCGGGCAACTGGTGGGGCACACCTCGATCCTCCAGAGCTCGAAGTGGCAGAGTGAAGCAGACGTGGAATTTGCTGACGCTGGGGATCTTCGATTCCGCACCGCAGGGGCACCACCATGGCCAAGATCGTCGCCGAGAATGTCAAGGCGCACCCGCAGCTGTTCGAGGAGGTCGTCCAGATGTGGGTGTACGAGGAGGAAGTGGTCATCGACAAGAAGTCGCGGCACTATGACGCCAGCAGCCCGCTGTGCAAGGGCACGCAGAAGCTTTCCAAGGTGATCAACGAGCTGCATGAGAACGTGAAGTACCTGCCCAACATCACGCTGCCGCCCAACGTCATTGCGAACCCTTCGCTGGAGGATGCAGCGCGCGACAGCACTCTCCTGGTCTTCGTCATCCCGCACCAGTTCATCGCGCGCATCTGCGATCGCCTCAAGGGCAACATCCTCTCCTATGCTCGCGGCATCAGCTGCACCAAGGGTGTCGACGTGTCAGACAAGGGCATCCAGCTCTTCTCCGAGTCCATCGGGCAGCGCCTAGGCATCTACTGCGGTGCGCTGTCGGGCGCCAACATCGCGACCGAAATCGCGCAGGGGAAGTATTCGGAGACGACGGTGGCCTATGACCCGCCGCCGATCGACTCGAGGCAGCCCTCGCCCACGCCCTCGCCGTCCGAATCCACGACCGACCTCGTCGTCCGCACCAACGGGTGTTCTGGCGAGCGGTCTGTAGTGCTCCACCCTCTCCCCATCGATTACCCGCCGCTCAGCCACGAGAACGTCAAGAAGTTGTTCCACCGGCCTTATTTCCACGTGCGCATGGTCTCGGACGTCGCAGGCGTTTCCCTTGGCGGTGCGCTGAAGAACGTTGTCGCGCTCGCGGCGGGCTTCATGGACGGGTTGGGCTGGGGAGATAACGCGAAGGCTGCTGTCATGCGCGTGGGCCTCCTCGAGATGGTCAAGTTCGGCACCAAGTTCTTCTCGTCGAGCTGCCGGCCGTCGACGTTCACGGAAGAGAGCTGCGGAATGGCCGATGTTGTGACCAGCTGCATGGGCGGACGCAACTTCCGTTGCGCGAAGCTTGCGATCGAGCGCGGCATGAGCGTTGAGGACGTGGAGAAGGCGGAGCTGAATGGGCAGAAGCTGCAGGGTACCAGCACGGCGTACGAGGTGCACTCATTCCTGAAGAGCCAAGGCATGGTGGACGAGTTCCCTCTTTTCACAGCCGTGTACAGTAAGTGTCCCCTATTCCGGGGTACGGTAACAGAGGACTTACTCGATACTACAGACATTCTCGAGGGCCAGACAAAGGCCGAGGACATCCCCGACCTGATCGAGCCGAAGGACTAGACGCGGAAGAGCCATGGCCAGAGGGCGGTTGCGAGGGCGGTCTGAAGATACCCGTGGATGGTTGGTTCAGTTGCGTGAAGCACAAGAGCATTGCAAGGCAGAGAGGAAATAGCGTGGGCTGTATATCCTAGACAAAGACATGTCCTAGAGCGAGTGATTAAAGCAGTGCTTTCAATTCTTCCCCTGCTCTCAACGGCAACGAGTCAGCACGATTGTTCGACGAGGGATTCAGCACGGCACAGGAGAGACGCGGTTACATATACGATTCTCCGCTCCGGCTGAATCCCCAACACGCTGACGGTTAAACAGTGTGCATGTAAGGCATCATCCGGACGGGAACGGAAAAGCAGAGGTGGCGGAGTCAAGCACACATCAAGTCCTGCGAGAGTGCAAAGCGGGGGGCCCATCAATTCCGGTGAAGCACGCAGGCAACACAATAGTCGGTCGATTGCAGCCCAGAGAAAGAAGGACGGAGGAAGAAATTTGCTTGTTGCGTGTGAGGGAGTGGAGCTTGGTCAGCTCTCACCTGATTTCATGTCTTGGCACTGTCGGGGCGGCGATGGGCCGACGCATGGGGCAAAGGCGCCCGAGCGTCCCACTCTATAAGCCTCTCTCCCTCGCCCATGGCTAGCTACCCTTTTGTCCGAGCTGCGACTGGCGCCAGCGTCGACCTCGGGTAAAGCGCAGAGGGCGTCGCGGGGAAGCTGTGCACGACGGAGCGGCGACGATGTCATCATTGCTTCGCGCTGGCGGGCGGGCGGGCGCGATGCCAAGCAAGCCTCCGTCGTCAACTGCCGCGGAGCTTGACTCTCTTTCCCCGCCTTGAGCGCCGTCCAACCCCAGACGCGCGGGCCAGGTGGCGCGCCGCGAAGGTAGCATAGTAGAGCTCCACACCGCAAGCCTTCTTCCCCCACGATTTCGGGGCCTTTGTGGGGAAAATACGCACTTCACCACACGTCTTTCTCGCTGAGCCAATCACGGAGCCCCCGACTCGCACCGCGGTGAATAACGGTGCTCGCCCAGCAATCATTGACAGGGTGCGGCGCATGATAACGAAGGTAGTTGCCTCCTATTCCCCCGGCGCCAGAGCATCCCGTGTGGATCCCTCTTTTCCTTCGACAGCCCAATAGCACGACCTGTCACTGATTTCGGGGAAACGGTTTCCAGCTTGCTCATCTTATTAATTCTCGCGGGCGCTTTTTCTCGCCTCTATCTTCTGCCCCGCCATCACTCTCCTCCCCCTCCTCCTCCTCTCAGCATATAGCGTCGCTCCAGCGGCCCCTTGCCTGTGCGCCACTAGGCTGTTATCCGACGTTCTCCGCCAGCACTACCTGTGCAAACATGTCCAGCGCCGCGAAGCCACCTAGCCTCCCATCCGATGACGAGAAAAAGCTTGGTGTCGAGCCTGTTGAGTCAGGCGTCGCTGCCGATGACGGCCTGCCTCCGGACCCGGATGCCGGCTTGAGCGACGAGGAACGCGCTGCCATTGTACGTTTCCGCGCACTCCTGCCCTAGGGAACGAGTGCTGATCGGCTGCACGACTTTGCAGGACCGTAAATTACTGTGGAAGCTGGACCTACAACTAATTCCTTGGGTACGCAAACACTTTCGATCTGGTCTCGACTTCTCTGTGTGAAACCCGTCTCTGCTCCGCGAATCTGGTCCGATCATGTGCCCTTTGACTGTGATGGAGCCTTTCTGTACCACGTAGGACTGACAATCAGCTCTATCGCCGTTGTAGCTGTGCTTCCTCTACCTGATTTCTTTTCTCGACCGTACCAACATCGGTAAGCATGTCTCTCCTTTGAGCCGAGTTAGCAAGACTTCGTGGAGCTCAAAGTTTGGGATATCAGCCGAAGGTTGCTAACCTCGAGGTCGAAAAACAATAGGAAACGCAAAGATCGATGGTTTGCAGGACGATCTGGGCATGACCAGCGGCCAGTACAACGCTGCGCTGTCCATCTTCTTCGTGTCGTACTCGCTCGCCGAGCCTCTGACCAATGTTTTGCTTAAGCGCATGCGCCCTAGCATCTTCATCCCCGTCATCATGTTCCTGTGGGGCATCTGCATGACGACTATGGGACTGTAGGCCCTCCCTTCTTTCCATTGTCCCCTTGAAGAGAGTTTGCTACTCCCCGATCGAGACGGATCGTGGCTAGTCTAGCAGCTCCTCTTGGCCCAATACCCCGATAGCAACGTCTCTAGCTAACCCACACTCTTCAGGGTCCACAATTTTGCAGGCCTTGCTACCGCCCGCTTCTTCCTGGGCCTTGCCGAGGCCGGCCTCTTTCCAGGCGTCAACTACTACTTGAGCTGTTGGTATAAGAGATCAGAGTTTGGCATCCGCGCTGCCATCTTCTTCTCGGCTGCTGCGCTCGCTGGCTCCTTTGGTGGACTGCTAGCCGCCGCGATAGCGCAGATGGGAGGTGTGGGTGGAAAGCCCGGTTGGGCGTGGATTTTCATTCTCGAGGTACGCTGTTGCAGTGTGCTCGAGACATCCCGGGGCTAACTCATGCTTGTCACAGGGTCTCGCTACCATCGTCGTGGGTATCGTCTCGTACTGGATGGTGCACGATTTCCCAGACGAGGCCAAGTTCCTATCACCGGAAGACCGAGCCCGTGTAATCCGGCGGCTCAAGGCCGACAAGCAGAGCAGCGCGGAGCACGAGGAGTTTAAGATGGATTATTTCTGGGCCTCAGTCAAGGACTGGAAGACGTACGCGTTTGCAGTCATCTATATGGGATGCGACGGCGCGCTGTACGCCTTTTCGCTCTTCCTGCCAACCATCATCAACGAACTGGTGCGCAACATATGCCTGCTCCCTAGCCACTTGGGTTGATCCCCACTGACTCTGAGTCTGATGAACAGGGCTACGCCAGTACAACCGCTAATCTCCTCTCTGTACCGCCCTACGCTGCAGCGGCCATTCTCACAGTCGCCGTCGGATGGCTAGCGGATCGCACGCGTTTGCGCGGCTACAGCAATATCGGCATCTCCTTCCTCGGGATCGCAGGGTTCAGCATGCTACTAGGCTCAACGTCACCGGCGGTCAAGTATGCAGGCACTTTCTTGGGCGCGGCGGGCATCTACCCGTGCATCTCCAACACCATCTCGTGGGCGTCAAACAACGTCGAGGGCGTCTACAAGCGCGGCGTCACCCTAGGTTTCGTCATTGGCTGGGGAAACCTCAACGGCGTCGTCAGCAGCAACATATACCGCCAACAGGATCGTCCTCGCTACCTCGTTGGCCATGGAGTCGTGCTCGCCTACCTTGTCGCCTTCTTGCTCTTGGGCAGCGTGGCCACTCACCTCGCCCTGCGCCGCGAGAATGCCCGCAGGCGCCGCGGCGACCGCGACGTCTGGGTCGAGGGCAAGAGCGAGAAGGAGATTGAGCTGTTGGGGGACATGAGGCCGGACTTTATGTACATTTTGTAAATCAATGGGGCGCTAGATGAACAGTGTAGTAGGGAGCGGCGCCGCTTTCGCATAGATATGAATGGTGCCACGACGTAGGCCTGGCAGAACACGCCTCTTGGAACCCACGAGGGTTTATTATTACGTCCGTAAGCCAATGTTGACCATGATAACGCACCTTTTCGCTTCTGAGATTTCTCACGCGACAAGCAAGCGAGAAAGGAACAGATTCTGCATGGTGAGACTCAAGCTGCAAATCCTGTATGTGTTATAAAATGCCCAACAAGGCGTATTTTGAGGAAAGCCGGGTACGATTGGGCGGTATCGTTGTTGGGCTGGTGTTGTGAGTAGTCGAAGCAAATGTGCAAACGAAAATGTGGAACTCTGCCTCATCATGAATTCGCCTGGGTATCAGTTTCCCTACCCGCGCAAATTGACAGTTGTTGAGTTGATGCAAGCACAGGTTCGTCCATACGAAGTCCAGAGCCGACGAACGTACGTCAGAATAGTGGTAAACTACTCAACGACAAAATGCGCCCAGCTCTGAAGAAACTATAGCTTTTTCACGGACGTCCCTTTGATCATTTACGCTCGCTGATATCGGGGTGCAGTTGCAAGACATGCCACAGGGGTATGAGGTTTTGCGGATAAGTATCCGTCATGGCTTATGGGAGGAACAAGGTGGTCGGATAACAAGGCCTTCCACATGCGCCGGGAGGCATCGTAACGATTTGGACACAGAAAAGCCATGCCCCCAAAGGCAAGACGCTCAAGGCAAGCTCGCACGAAACAGCTTACAACTGTTGGCAGCAATCAATGACCAAGCGTCATGATTCAATTGCGATTTTTTTTTCCCTTCCTCATCCGACGAGAAGGGAGGATAGCATGCTCCAATTACCGGCTGGGTCCATAAAATTACGCACACATGTCCAATATTTCCATCACCTGTGCCTTCTGCCGTAGAGGTACAGCATTAGTCTGGCACCATCGATCTTTCAGACTACTTGACGCCAGTTCGTCGAACTTATCTCTTCCCACACCCAGCGCCCCCAAGCTTCTCGGCATCCTCAGCTCGCTAATGAACGCACCCAAACATGCCGACAGATCCGCTTTTTCCTTTCCCAATCCCCGCGACGCCAGCGCGGTAGCAACGTTAGGCTCTGCCCACAAGGTGTCGAGGACGCGTTTCTGCTTCACCAAGATATCTTTCGCGTGGGCTTCGTTCGCGGCATTGGCAGCATGACGTGCGTTGAACGCACACACTGCCGGGAGCAGAATGCAGCTTGTTTCGCCATGGCCAACACCAAGCGGGCCTAACTGATGGCCAATGCCGTGCGAAGCGCCGAGGGGAGCCTTTCCCTTGACAGCTTGCATGGCATCTCGCACGCCAAGCTGGCACTGGAATCGCGCATCCAGGTCGGTGTTATCGGCGTCCAGGGCGCTACGGAGTAGACCGGGTACCAGTTTGTGTAGAGCTTCGGCGGCTGCAGCGTCCGAAGCGGGCGTGCTGTACGGTGAGCAGATGGTCTCAACGCAGTGGTCAACGGCACGGATGCCGGTACTGAGCCAGAAGCGCGGTGGTGTAGTCATGGCAAGCTGGGGTGACAGGATGATCAGACGTGGTCCCAGAGGCGGGCTGGGACCGAAGCCATGCTTGTGTCGGGTTTGGTCATTGGTGCCACCGGCATGGTCTGAGTATTCGCCTCCGGATAGGGAAGTGGGGATTGAGATGATGGGAATACGCGGCGGCGCGAGGTCGGGCCGCTGGACGGATGCGTCTCGATTGTTCGTGAGGTGCTCTAGCTTGGTGAAGTCGAAAGCATCATTGGCAACGGCCTGACGAGGGTGCAGCGTCAGTGCTGCGGTCACGACCTAACATGACGAGGCAATGGGAAAACGACAGCGGACGGACAAGTTTCCGCAATAGAAAGCCAGGACGCATTTTAAGACACACATTCTCAAACGAACATACCAGTGCGATTATCTTGGCCGCATCGATCAGGCTGCCGCCACCGATGGTAAGCAACAGGTCTGCATCCAGCTCTTTGACCTGGCGGGCGACGGCGATGCATTCCGACCAGAGGGTATGCGGCGTCATACCCCTGCGCACGCCGACGACCTTTCCGCGCAGAGCATCTTCGAGCTGTGTGACTGCATCGGTGTTCTTGGACAGGGAGCCCGAGGCGAGGATGTAGACCTTCTCGGCGTGGAAAGTGTGGTCGACGTGCCTGGCGGCGGCTTTCGGATACAGAAGGCCGTAGCTGAGGTAGGGGTGTTCGTGGTCTGCGAACGCCTTGTGGTACATGTCTCCAGCAGCCATGCGAAGTCGTTGCTGGTGACGTCTCAGGGCGCAGGGCGGCGATAAATACCGGGGCGTGGAATAGCTTCGGGCGGGGGCCCGGCGGGAGAGCCTATCCCTGCTGCGTTTCACCACACCACCTGGACCAGCCTCTTCACCGACCACAGCAGGGCCAAGATGCCCAAGGTCCAGCCAACGCCCAAAGCGACCATGATCTTCCCCCGCAGCTCGAAGGCCTCGCTAAACTCCAGCCTTACAACCTTGCGGTGCTTTTTGCCAACAAACCACTGCTTGCCTCCGTCAGGCTCGTCGTCGCCGTCCGACCCGTGGGCTTCCCATGTCGAGTTGGTCGGGTTCTGGTAGGGCTGAGGGTCCAGCCACTGCCGCGGCGAGAAGTACGTTCGCCACGACGAGGCGCGCGATGGAGGGTGCTCGGCCAGTCGATACGCACGGTTGCGCCGGTCGACGAGGAAGAGAGAAATGACGAACGAGGCGAACAGCAAGGGCGTCAGGACGAGCTGGTAGTGTCGCGTGTCAGCACGTGTCGCAGGGCCTTGGTACAACTGACCTTTTTGAGGGCAGATTCATCGCCCTCGCCCTGCGACGCTGGTGAGCCCGGAGAGGCGAGCGGCGAGGAAACCGGAGTGTTGGCGAGCTCGAGGAACGGGTCGGGCTTCCGCTTCCGCTGCTTTGGCGGAGTCGGCGGAGGCGAGAGAGCGGGCTGCGGCAAGTCTGGCATTGGGCAAGATGGAAGCATTGAAGAGCAGTAGCGAGACCTTTGCAGTGCAATCTTTTGTTGCGTCGCTCTGGAACGCGGATCGTCGCGGCTGCCTCGACGTCATCCGGGCTGCTCTCCCGTACGACGGATATCGCAGCCGAGGGCTAGCGTCAATCTGTTCGCCTGTTATGGGTAGTTGAAGCGTTCAGACTTACGCGACTTGAACCGTCGACAGCGCGCGGCAAGAACTTCCCTCGACCCCGTTGCGCCGAAGAATTTGTTGCCAGGCACTGTCAATAGGTGTGGAATTTACGAGTCGGTCCAAGTCCCCCCGCATCCCCGCATGGGGACGCTTAACGTCGGCTTTGGCCAGCAACCCCAACTCCCCTATAAAGCTGCCGCTACTTTCTTTGTACCTTTCTTTCACTCCCCGCTACTGCCTGCCCAGAAAATGAGACGTTTTGTTGCGAGGCACTCCCGCTACCTCGCTGGCTCCGCGATTGAAGCGTCGTACCCACTTAAGAACGTCCGTATCCTGCGCCAGTACCCCTCCCGCCTCTTCCACGCTTCCGCCGCTACACAGGTCGTGAAGCCGTATCTTCTGGCAGACATTGGAGAAGGTCCGTGCTACGTTTCGTTCTTTATGTCGCGACTGACCCTCTGTAGGTATCACCGAGTGCCAGGTCATCCAATGGTTCGTCCAGCCGGGAGCCCGAGTCGAGCAGTTCGACAAGATATGCGAGGTGCAGTCGGACAAGGCAACAGTCGAGGTAGCTCCAGAGCCTGCTGCTATTAAAGAGCCAAGGAACCAACAACTCTACAGATCACATCGCGCTTCGACGGCGTCATCAAGAAATTACATTATGAGGCGGATGAGGTAGCCAAGGTCGGAAAGGTCAGGATAGTCTCCGGCGCACACGAGGGGGGATTTCCGCTGACGCTGGTTATAGCCCCTGGTGGATATAGATATCCAGAGCGAAATCTCCGAGGAAGACCAAGCAATTATCGAGTCGCCAGAGGAGAAGGTATCACAGACCTCCGGCTCGGCTCGAGAAAGCCAGCCCGCACAACCTACTGAGGCGAGTAGCTCAGATATATCTGCCACGGAGCCTAGCATCCAACCGTCTCCCCCAACGGGAAAGCTACCGTCTGGCAAACATGCAAACCTGGCTACCCCGGCCGTGCGTCATCTTCTCAAGCAGCACAACCTCAGAATCGAAGACATACAAGGTACAGGAAGGGATGGCCGAGTGCTGAAGGACGACATACAGCGCCATGTTGCGTCCCCAAAGGACCAGATGACAAGCAGTAGTCCAATGCCCTCGGCCGCGCCTATCGCCGGAGACCGTGACGTCCCTCTCACACCGATCCAAAGGCAAATGTATAAAACCATGACGCGCTCCCTCAACATACCACATTTTTTGTATACCGACACTGTCGACTTCTCCTCCCTTAACAACATCCGCCACAAGCTTGCTTCCCAACCCACCTCAACCACCAAGCTGTCCGCCCTCCCTTTCATCATCAAAGCCGTCTCCCTCGCCTTGACATCACACCCCATCCTAAACGCCTATCTCGACACGGCGGACCCGGAGAAACCGCGCCTGATCCATAAGGCGCAGCACGATATCGGCGTTGCTGTCGACTCGCCGACGGGATTGGTGGTGCCGGTAGTGCGGCACGTGCAGGCGCACAGCATCGCGTCGCTGGCGGCCGAGATTGTGCGGCTGGCGGGGCTGGCGCGCGACGGAAAGCTGACTGCCAACGAGCTGTCCGGTGCCACATTTACCGTCAGCAACATCGGCAGCGTTGGCGGCGGCGGCGCCGTTGCGCCCGTCATCGTGCCCCCGCAGGTCGCCATCTTAGGCGTTGGCCGCGCGAGGCCGGTACCCGCCTTCGCGGCGGATGGAGTGACGATCGTACGGAAAGACGAGTGCGTGTTCAGCTGGAGCGCAGACCATAGGGTTGTGGATGGGGCGACAGCGGCGAGATGTGCAGAAGAGGTGAGGGCATTATTAGAGGACGTGGAGGGCATGGTTGTGAAGCTTAAGTAATATGCATGTAGAAATCCAATCCAACCAACTCCACAGCTCCACAGAGATGGAGATGTGCCAAGCCTGTCCTTCCCAACTCCTCTAGAACTCCGATTTGACCGCTGCCGCCGTACGCCCCAGCCAAACAACGAACCCTTTACCTCCTCGGCTTGTAATCTTTCGGGTCTTTCAAATCCAACTTGGTCTTCAAATCCCCCGTACTCTTTACCTGCATCTTCCGTTCCGCCTCCTCTTCCTGCTGCTTCCTCAACTCCTCGGGCAACATCCTCCTCTCCAAGCTCACCGGCAGCACCCTCCTCCCGTCCACCATAGTCCCTTTGCGCAACTTGTCGTCCCACCGATCGTAATACAGCTGCCACTTCAGCCCGTCGACCTCCTCGTCCTCGTCCAGCTCGACGGCGACGAAGCCCTCCCAGCCCTCCAGCGTGACGCCTTGCTCGTCATCGGTCCAGTCCCACGGTCCGACGACGTGGGCGATGCTTTGCGTGCGGTTTCCATGCGTGACGAATAGCCCGTCCTTGTCGACGTAGAGCCAGTTCAGCATCGGTGGGTCCGTCGGTAGTGTCGTCACCAGGCCACGCTCGCGCGGGTTGCGATCTTCGTCCGGGTACTGGATGTAGAAGCCGGTAAAAGGGTGCGGCGGCGGAACGCCAGGCTTCGGCGAGGCGGGTAAGCCAGAGACTTCGTTCTTGGGGCAGATGAAGGCCTGAAGGTTGAAGTCAGAAATCCGAAAGGAAGAGGTAGAGGGGACGTACATACTCTTTCTTTGTGCATCACAATGATGCCTCCGTCGAGCTCCCTTCTTTTGCTGCTCTTGGCGCCGCAGAAGACGTCCATGTAGAACTTGACCATGCGCGTCTCATTTGCTGCCTCCTTATTCTGTTCTTTCTGGTGATGTACGCCTTCGGCAACGCCCGTCACTACTGGAATCCCGGTGATGACGCCGCCGTAGAAGATACCCAAACCGAGCCAAGCCATCTGTTTTTCTTCGTATCGCGCGAGCTTGAGGTATGTCTGCACCTGTCAGAAGTGGTATAATACTGGTAGGAATATATTGGTTCTGCATGAACTTCGCAGCTTGCGCTGCGGGGGGAGGTGCAGCTGTAACCAAAGATGTCTTGGCAGTGACGATCTGACGTCACGGCGAGCAGGGATGGTAGCTATTGTGAACGGCTCCTTCCTGTTTCACCAACACCGATGAAGGTCCCATGTACTGTTCTTCGTGCTAGCCTTCAGCTCTAACATGTATTAAATGAATTTCCAATAGGCAAATTGCTCGCGATCGTCGTGGCCGCCAATGACTTTTACGCTAGAGACTAAACGCCAATTAGTCATCTCACAGGTAGCTTGCAGAGACTCGTTATCGATAACGCGCTGCTCCCGAATACGCGCCGTGGTGCATGCGAACGCGAGCCAAGTCCGAACCGCAGCCAGTGCGCCAATGCGAGCGGCAGGTCATGGCCGCGAGAAACGGCGATGGCAGCAACGGGTGTGGACAGCCGGGTAGCTGCTATTAAGAGGCCGCGTCTTTGACGGCCTGTCCCGCGGGGGATCATCAGCCACTTTATCAGACGACGGCGCCAAGCAGACGGAGATAGGCTGGCTTACTCACCCCGCGTCCGCACGAACCGCGACGGACGAAAACACGGACGAATCCTACCTCCCGTCTCACCTAACGCTTCCTTCTATCTTTGCTCATGCGCCTCTTTCTTCTTCTTCCGGCTTCCGGCTCTTCGCCCTTTGTAATCCAGGCTGTCGAATATAGTCGCTCCGTCCCGGAGGTCAAGCGTTGCACTTTGCAACACTCAACACCATGACCCGTTCTTCGTCCGAAGCCGGCGTCCGCGACGGCGGCATCCGCAAGAAGATGCGCAAGGGCACCCACAGCTGCTTCGAGTGTACGCCCCTCCTGGCGTTGATCCAGATGCCTCATTCGTCTAGTTTTGCATCGACTGATCTGTCTCGCCAGGCCGCCGGCGCAAGATCCGCTGCATCTTCAGCGACGAGCATCCCGGCGAGTGCACCGAGTGCTTTGCCCGCGGGTCGCGCTGCATCGACCAAGAGCACGCCGATCCAGAAGCCATCGTCGATAACAGGAAGAACCTCCGTGAGCGCGTCGCCAAGCTCGAGGCCCTCATCGAGTCGCTCCTCGATGATCGCTCGGCCACTGGCGCCGCCGAGACGTTGAGGCGGTTGGGCGCAGACGTCCTCCCGCGAACGCCTCACTCCGATGCTTCGGCCGGCCAGAGCAAGGCTCCTCTGATGGCCGTGTTTGACAATGGAGTCGTGCGTCTCTTTTTGCCCGTCCCGCTCTCTTCCCAGCTGACCCTCGCAGCCCACTGCTGCCCCTGCCCCTGCCCGGAAGCCCGATCCGCCCGTGCCTGTGGCCCCTACGGCCCAGGTCTACGACTTCGGTAGCATGCAATTGTCGTGCGAGTGCGATGATATTGGCATTCCCAAGGTAAAAAAGTCCAAGGAGAAGCGCACACGGGACACGCTCCTCACGCTCCTTCCGCCCAAGGACGTGGTCGAGGAGGCCGTCACCACCAACGACGACTGGTGGCGCGTCTGGCGCCACAAGCTGGGCGGCACCGCCCGGGGCCGGACTCTGCAGCAGTTTGCTACGCAGACCCTTGACAAGGGCAGCCCCGCCGAGGTGGGCGTCCTTCTCCTGTGCGTCGGTGTTGCGCTAGACCTGGAAAACCTCAACAACTCGCTAGCATTGGTTGACGCCTTGATCATATCGGACGATGAGTATGCAGCGACGGTCGAGGGCATGGAGTGCGCCATTCTGGTGTCCAAGTGTTACTCGGAGATCGGCCAGCCGCGCAGAGCCTGGCTTGCCGCCCGTAAGGGCCTGACGTACGCACAGCTTATGGTAGGTCTTGGCCCCACGTCCGCCGTGTCGCGGTGCTGATGGGCAGTTCAGGGTCTCCACCGAAGCCATGCGACCAACGAGACGTGGGACAGTGTCTGGTGGAGCCTGTACCAGACGGACCGCTTTCTGAGCTTGCTGCTCGGCCTTCCGTACGGCATTTCCGACGCCCATTGCGACATGAACTATTTTGGCAAGGATAAAGACACCGACGGGCAACGCGACTTCATGCTGAAGCTTTCGGTCTTGGCTGGCAAGGTCATCGACCGTACTCAGGGCGTGCACGAGCTGTCTCTTGGCGCTGCGCTCGAACTCGACCAGGAGCTCGACACCCTGGTCGATTCCATGCCCGCCGGATGGTGGGACACGCAGTCCCAGCTGCTCCATGCCATAGACCCCGTGCAGATCGTGACGTTGCGCGAGAGGCTCCTGGCTCAGATATGCTTCCAGCAACTACGAGTATACCTGCACCTGCCGTTCATGCTGCGGTCGGCTTCGGTACCCAACTCGGCAAAGTTCGAGTACAGCCGCAGCACGTGTTACAACGCATCGCGAGAGCTCCTGACCCTCTACCACTTCTTGCGGGGCGGGAACGGCGAGCCGTTGTACGAGTGCAAGGTCATCGATTTCCTCGGCTTCACAGCCGCAGTATTGATCATGCTGGGCCTTCTCGGGTATTCCCGGCTCCACAATGCCAACAGTGCGGCAACCCACCCTAGTCAAAATGTGCTTACCGAAGAGCAAGATTGGCGACTCATGGAGATGACGATGGATATCTTCGGCCGCGCTTCGAACGAGAAGGGCGGCAAAGTTGCAGCCCAGAGCCTGAAAGTGTTACAACAGCTGTCCAGCGTCAGGAACCGCGATGTAGCGGGCGAGGAAACGGACTGCACCCAAAGGATTGTCATACCCTACTTCGGCGCCATTACGATTCGCAGGGGCAAGAACCTCAGCCATGCCTTGGCCAAGAAGAGCAATGCAGTCACGAGGGCTAACGAGACGAGCAACGTCTCGCTTGCAGCGACGGCTCCAGGCGTAGCAGCATCGGCGCATAGCATGTCTCCTCCAACGACAGTTCAACAGCACGCGTACCTTCCTTCTCCGTCGACATCCCAGAACCAGCACTCCAACGCAAGCTCGGTGAATGGCGACCCTAACGGCCTCAACAATCCTTACATCGCCTACGATCCCTTCCTGTTCCCTGGTGCCGTCGATCCGCAATCGTGGGCACCGGGGGAGGACGGACTGGACAGCCTGATGAGTGGCAGCCACGGGGGGCCATGGCAGAATCTCGTGTCGAACATGGACATAGATCAAGATTGGGCGTGGTATATGGGCGGACAGATGGCGGGATCGCAAGCAATGCCTCCGGCCTGACTGCTTCTGATTGGAAATTTTGGATATGGCGTTCACGGACAATACCCAGCTCGTTGTAGTTGATGTATAATTCAATGGTTGTGAGTCGTTCTGTAGATTTGTGTTGGGCACTTGCGACTGACTGCGCCAGCGTAGAAGTTGGCCGGAGGTACGCGTCTCTGGCGTACGGCTAGCCCAACCAATCGCCTTTGGCCGTGCCGCGGCTAAGTAACACAACCGCGCTAACGCTATGTAAAGCGAGGCTAGCTCGGGCAACGACATTCCTGTAGACGCTTTGAAGACAGTATTAACGCCACAACAACCGGCGTCAACCAAACAGTAGTCAGCCACCACGACCATACACGCTCAAACATGGCTACCGACGAAAAACACCCAACAATGCAAGCCTGGCAGACGGCCGCCGGCGGCGTCACCACTACGCTCGAAGCCTCACTCAGGCTCAATGCCTCGGTGGCCGCGCCCAGCGCGTCGTCACTCGCCCGCGACGAAGTTCTCATCGAAGTCATCTCGGCCGCTCTCAACCCGGCCGATTACAAGGTCGCCGAGATGGGCCTCGCATCCAAGCTCGTCTTCCGCAGTGGGCCGTACCAGCCTGGCATGGACTACTGCGGCCGCGTCGTCGCCGCCCACGCCTCGGTCGCTGCCGCGCACCCGGATATTGCCCAGCCTGGCACCCTCGTGTTTGGTGCCATTCCCAATGCCCCGACGCCGCCCAAGCACGGCACCCTCTCTCAGTTCACCATCGCCACCGCGGACCGCTGCGTGCCCGTTCCTGTCGGCATCTTTCCGGACGACGCAGCGTGCGTCGGCATCGCAGGGCTCTCGGCTCTCGGATCGCTGGAGCAGGGCGGCGTTGTGCCAGGCTCCAAGGTTCTCGTCAACGGCGGCAGTGGCGGCGTCGGCACCTTCACCATTCAGATCGCAAAAGCCCTGGGCGCCGCCCACGTTACTGCGACCTGCTCCGCCGCCAACGCCGACCTGTGTCGCTCGCTTGGCGCTGACGAGGTGCTCGACTACCGCACCGTAGACGTAATCGAGGAGCTGAAGGCGGGCGGCAGGGCCTTCGACGTCGCCGTTGACAACGTGGGTGACCCCGCTCTGAAGTTGTACGAAAACTCCGCCTTCTTCTTGAAGGACGACGGCTGCTATGTTCAGGTTGGTGCGAGCATGTCGGTCGCTGGCATCAGGAGTCTTGTGGGAAGGGCATTGACGCCGAGATGGCTGGGAGGAGGTGAAAGGAAGTTCAAGTTCTTTCAGGGACAGATGCGGCCGGAGGGGCTAGGCAAGGTGGGAACATGGATGGCCGAGGGAAAAGTGAAGCCGATAATCGACCAAGCCTTCGAGTTTAATGATGTACCGCAAGCATTCCAAAGGTTGAGAACAGGAAGAGCCAAGGGAAAGGTTATAGTACATGTAGGCAAGTAGCACACAAAAGCTTTCAATCTTATTATGACAATGCGCTTCATCAGAATGCTCCGGGTAGAGTCTTTGATTGATTCTTTGCTTACAATACGCCACCACCACCACTGGGGTTAGATCCGCCTCCCACCCCAACACACACAGCACGCATACACATCCCCACATCTGTCGCTCGCCAGCCTCACGCGGCCAGGATCCAACCGCACGCAGCCGTGGTGGTAGACAATGGCGACGACGAAGACGGAGTGTGAACCCGCCGTACGCATCGTCTTAAGGGTAGGCCTGACAGAGACTGTTGATGTCTTTCGTCCGTCGATCATACTCCTTCTTATTCTCTTTATAGTTGTTACAACTTTTCTACTCGTGTGTCTGACGAACTTACTCATTGAGCTCTCCACTTAGTATGTTCGGCCGGTGAGGCTGTACCAGCTGTGTTGGCTTCTGAGGGTAGTCGGAGTTGGCGTACTCCCAAACGCGTACACGCTTGGCTCGTGATTAGACGATAAAAAAACTACTTGTCCCAGTTATTAGCTGTCTTGAGAAGGATGATTGGTTTAGAAGAGGTAAGTTATAGTAGGTTACATTAATCGCTTATGACTAGTGTAGGGTTGATGCGACCGGACCAAAAGTGCGTTTAATCTACGTACTAGAAACTGTAAGACGACCGAAACAGCGATGACTAATGATAATTGCTAGCGATGCTTGATGTTCCCGATAGATACTTACGCGTTATTGTTAATAAAAGAGTATGGTGAGGCAGGACTCTCGACCGTAGGGAGGTAAAATAGAATTTATGCTCGTAGGCGTCGTCCGAATGCCCCAGATCTACAGGAAAACACTGCAGAGTGCTGGTGGAGGATGGCTTAGATGGTAGAAGGCATCTATGCGTAGTTCTGGTTCATAGATATTGCAATGGAATATAATCTTCTTACGTATTGCAACAGAAGAAGTGAAAGCCTAAGACTGGTGATGCGAAATTGTGCACGGGCTATGACGTCACATAGAGCGTTTCTCTTTTCGGCGGTTCTTTGTGGAAGTCACCCTCTGCTGCCTTGCGCAACGTTTTCGAGCTGACGCAAGCCTTTTCGAAACCTCGTCGTTCATAGAAAGTATCATCTACAATCTCCAGCCATGGAGAAGGAGAAAGCCCGGCCCTGCTCTCGCAAGGAGCAGATCTACAACACCTTTTCCGCGCTAGATCAAGACGACGACGACCAGCCGCCGGATGAAGGACGACTTGCTTCACAAAGGATACTCACTAACTCTAGGCCTGCACTCACTGCATCTCACTTGCCCAAGCAGCCACCTCACGCCTTTAGAACGTTTGCCGGCGCTTCAGCTCCTCGTCGGATACCCGAAATGCGCCAAGGTCGCCCGCTGCTGGGGCGGACCCTTTCAGAACCTTCACCAGAGCTTGCCCCGAGTCTCTCTGCGGAAACCCACTCAGTTGCTCCAGGCTCACCACAGCAAGTCGCCTCGCCACCGGTTCGCAGAGACACCATGTTCAGTGCAAAACGAAAGCCAATGCAGTTGAAAAGATCGCTGGACCAGCTCAAGCAGATGCCTCGCGCTCTCAGCAAGGGGAAGAAAGACAGCAAAATCAAGCTTGTGCCCGAGAGCCGCCGCGTCTTCAAGGACTTGGTCTTTTTCTTCTTTCCCAACAATGACATCAATCTCGCCCGTCGCAGGAGGATCGCAAAGGCAATAGAGTACGGAGCATCATGGGTTGTGGAATGGTGCGACGACATTACACATGTGATTGTGGATAGAGATCTGCAATTTGAACACTTGACGACCCATCTCAAAATCGACGCTTTACCTCAGCACATCGTCGTTGTGAATGAGAACTACCCGGCGGACTGCATCATGTACCTCGATATCATCGACCACAAGCAGCCTCAGTACCGTATACAAGGATACGAGTTATCTGATGCTCGCTCAGTTGGTGCTCAGTCATCGAACCCTCTATCCGTAAGCAAAGGCGTCGCCGTCGCTCAGTCCACAATACCTCCAAAATCGAAAGAGAGTAACACTGAGCACACGCAGCATGCTCCCTCGGCTCAAGACAATCAAGGACCAGAGCAGAAAGATTCGGCAGAGGGAAGCGCTACATCAGGAGTATATGCTGATGCGTTGGAAGATATAATTGCTGGCGCAAAGAACGCCGATTACCTTGTGAGTTGACGGACCCTTCTTCGTCCTTCTCGGGCACGTTGCATTCCGAAAGTGTCCATTGATCTACTGATAGCCGTTGAAGCCTCTTGACCTGGAGGACGAGGATTCTTCACCGCAGACGAGCGATATCGAGGACTCGGATACCGAGGATGAGAGGCCAAAGAAGGTAGCCAAGACAAGCGTTGATCAACACGCGGGTTCTTCGGAGCAGTTTCAGTGTATGAAGAAGAACGACGGAAAAACTAAAGACACAAACGCAAATGCCCGCACAATAGAGGTCTTGACACAGATGGGACACTACTACGAGAAGATCAAGGATGAATGGCGCTCGCGAGCCTATCGCAAAGCCATCTCAGTCCTTCGCAAGCAAGACCGCAAGATAACCACGAAAGAAGAAGCGATCCAACTTCCCTGCATTGGCAGCCGCCTTGCCGCTAAGATCGAAGAGATTGTCTGGACGAACCGTCTCCGCCGGTTGGACAACGCCCGTCTTGAGCCGGGTGATGAAGCTCTGCAGACATTCCTCAAGATCTATGGAGTCGGCTTGTCCAAAGCCAGCAAGTGGGTCATGGCCGGCCTGCGAACGCTTGACGACCTCAAGAGCTACGGAATTCCCCTCACGCCCGCCCAGCAAGTCGGCCTCACCCACTACAGCGATTTCAATACCCGTATTCCTCGTGACGAAGTGACGCAGCACGCAGCAGTCGTACGCGCCGCCCTTCAAGCCATCGACCCGGCCTGCACTGCTACCGTTGGCGGGTCTTACCGCCGCGGCGCCCTCGACAGTGGAGACATCGATGTCCTAATCTCGCATCCAACTGCCGACCTCGCGCGCCTTCAGCAGATCGTCTTCGACGTGCTGGTCCCGGCACTCACGGCCTCCGGCTTTCTCAAGGTCGCCCTCGCCACGCATCGCAGCGGCAGCGGCAGCCGCGCCAACAACACGGTTGACTGCGGCACCAAGTGGCATGGCGTGTCCGCTTTGCCCGCCACCAATCATGAGAAAGGAAAGAAGGGAGATGGAATCTGGCGCCGCATTGATTTGCTGCTTGTGCCCGAGCCGCAGCTCGGCGCCGCACTCATCTACTTCACGGGAAATGATATCTTCAACCGGAGTATCAGGTTGCTGGCAAGCAGGAAGGGCATGCGCTTGAACCAGCGGGGGCTGTATAAGGACGTGTTGAGGGTATGGGGCAGGGAAAAGATTACCGAAGGAGAGCTGGTGGAAGGGAGGAGCGAGAAGAGGATCTTCGACGTGTTGGGTGTGCCGTGGAGGCCACCGGAGCATCGAATTTGCTGAACTTGGGAGGGCAAATCAATAGCGGATACAGCTCTGAGCAAAGAGAAGATAAGAGATTTGAAGCATCTTATTGCTACACGGGCCCCAGTCACCATGGCGGTGTTGGTAGGCGCTATCGTTAAGATCCGATGTATTTAGTGCTTTCTTCTGGTTGGCTCAATGCATTATCCGTTCACCTCCTCAGCTTCGCGCCTCAACCTTGTGTCATCGGAGCCCAACGCGGGGGCTAAAGACTATCCCGCCTCCGGGCTTGCATTTTACTGTAGATTCGTTTCGCGGCTACTCTCCAGCATTCGAAGCACGTCGTTATGTCCGTCCACTCCGAATACGTCTCGTCACCGCCGTGCCGTGGAACTTCGCCGAACTGCTCATTTTCGAGCGCTAGAAGGCCGCCGAGGCGCTGCGCGAGATTGAGATGCGCGAGGCCGAGGAGAAGGAGAACGCAGAGTCCTTGAGGGTGCACACGAGCGTGAAGGCCATGTTTATGCCGTCTTCTCTCGCGTCTGTCTATTGGTGTCATGTATAGATGTACAAGCACAGCGACTTTTAAAATCTCCAATTGGATCTCCGGGAGAGGAGCGGAGAAGATGTCGTGACGGAAGATGTAGTCCTCGATCACTCTCGACGTGCGAGGATAATCTGGTCCTGCGGCGCGGAATTCGTGGCACCGACATTGAACAGAGCAAAGGAGGCCATCCATATTTCAAACGTTGGTCGACGAACGATAGGATGAGCGCGGTCGAAAAACGTCTAGGAGATTTGTTTGCTGCCGTGAAAACACCTCTTGCTCGTGTTGGATCTATCGAGCAGTCGTCTGCAACCGATAGTTGTAGGAGAGCATCTCTCATGCGTGGGACAGTGTCGATAGGTGGTGATTATGTGAAGAGTGTTTCATGAGTGATTCCGCTGTCACGGGAGATTGTTTTTGGCCTTGGTCGGCGTCTTGCAGACTGTAGTGACGCCTGCCGGTTCCTTCGGCAACGGCAACGTCCGACTCCCATAGTAGAGTCTGTAAACCTTCGTATGAATGGCACGTGATCGATAACGCTATGAGAGGCTTCATAGGTGTATACATACTAGACTGCTATTGTCGCAGGGCTTGCACGGGGAGTTTGCGTCACACGCGACTTTTTTTGTGAGCATTTCTTGCAGGCATGACGTTTCCTGCCGGGCTTCGCCTGCGATGGAAGTGATTTCTGCGTCCTCTTGGCGCAGGATATCACATGTCGTCGAGTTACTTCGCTGGTCGATTGTATAGGCTTTGAAGAAATGCTTTCCGCACCAAGGACACAGGGAGACGGGTTTATCACTATCTGCTCATGTCAATGGGTGTAGAGAAGGTGCAGCCACGATATCTTCCGTATGGCTTTGCGTCTATCCAAGTGGTTTCTACTCGAGTAAGCTTCAAGGCAAACAGTACACCGAAAGTCTGTCGAGGAGTTCATTGAGGAAGCCGCCGGGAGCTATAGGTGTCGTGGGAGCTGGGTGCGTGCAACGAACAGTCGTGCCAACGCCGCCCTCGAGATACAATCACCATGAAAGAACGTTAGTTTTCAGGCCGATCGAACTCGAAAGCATCGGAAAAACAGCCTAGAGCGGAATATTGTATCAGTGGCGTTTGGAGTGTGTGCCAGCGCAGTGTGAATGCGTCCCTCTGAACAGACCCTCAGGGAAACAGTCCGTGAGTTGCAACAACCCGGACTTGCTTTTCTCTCCTTTTTTTTCTTGGCTGAATGTCCTACTTTGATACTTCAATAGCATTGGTCGTATCGTGGTCGTAGTGAGGTTTCTTGAGTCTCGATTTAGTTGCCCAGCCTATACTGCCGTAATGCTTATGGTTAAAGCGTCTCTGTTCCAACCGCTGCTCCCTCATATCCTGTACTTGACCGTCGCCCTCTCAAGCTCACCAATGATACCACCACCCGATACCGTCCACTTTTCGCTCACCAGGTTCTCGTCCACCGTCCGTCTCATCATACCGCTCTGAGCGTAATACTCAATGATGGCTCTGGCCTCGTCCCGCGTCAGCCCCTTGACCCTAAGCGTGTCCGCGTTGGACAAGGCCTTCAGGCTACGCTCATCGATCTTCTTGTACGGGTTCCACTGGGGCAAATCCTTGACGCCGGCCTGCCTCGCCTCAATCGTCTCGATGGCGTAGTCCAGAGCATGGGACTTGGGCGAATTGCTGCCCGAGGTGGCGGCAAGCACCATGCCACCGTTCGGGAGCTTCGCGGTTCCGTTGAGCAGGTTGACGAAGTGACGGACGAGAACGAAATCGTGGGCGTGGATGGGGTTAGCCTCACGGTCGAGGTACTCGCTGTTGTTCATGATAAAGGAGAGGTTGTCCATGCAAACCATGACGGGAGGACGAGCCAAACCCTCATCTGCCTTTTCCTTGTTGCTGAGCGTGGTGAGCTCCTTCCAAAACGCCTGGAGAGCAGGCCAAGCCACATCCGCGTCCTCGGCACCCAGTTGTGCCAAGTCCAGGAGCGTGTCACCCTTCAGGGCTGCCGGGAGCGTGTGTTGGTGCGCAAGCTTGAGGCTCCCCAAGACCTTTCCGTTGGCTTTGGCGATCTGGCCGAGCAAAGAAGCAGTGTACTTCTTCTGGACATACTGCGCGGGGTTCGTTCCATCGAGGGGCGCGTAGGCCGTGTGGCCGATGGTCAGTTCCATGGCTGTGAGGAATTACAGTCAGCACGAATGTCGTGAGCATTTCGTAGCCCCAAATACGCACCGTCAGGGAAGTTGATGACAACCCAGCCCTTGAGAAAAGCCATGCTCATGGCCTGCAGCAGCAGGGTGGTCTTGCCGCTGGCTCGGTCGCCGTGAATAATCTTTGTAACCTTCTTGCCCGGCTCGGCCTCGACAGCGCTGACCAGCCTGCCCAGCTCGACAGTCTCTCGCCTTGCGAGCATGGCGGGCCGTCTGAACAACCCCCACCCCTGGTTGGGCTTGAAGGCGTCGACGGCGCGCAGCTGGTCGACGACAGGGTCCATTGGTATGCCCACAACCTTTCCTTGGATGGCCGAGTCCCCCACGTCTTCGGCCTTGAGGTCCTGGAGGCCAGGAATCTCAAGTGCGTTGGTGTTGCTCAGAACGATGCGCTTGCGCAGGGCCTTGCGCTCGCCGACGGCTGGCCGCTTGCCTACCTCCCGGGAAGCAGTGCTCTTTTTTATCCGGAGACCCTTGACACCCTTCTTGGGCGGGCCGGCGGTGGACGTGGTCTTCTTCACATTCGGGTTCTTGAGCTTCGCAACGGACGTCGAGAAGGATGCAGCCGGAAAGCGGGGGCGGAAGGCGCATGGCGAGGGGAGGGCGGCGGTCCGCAAGGGCAATTGGCCCAGACAATGTGTTGGAGGCATTGCTGCAGGTGGTGATGGGATCCGCGGCGATGCGCAGATGGAGCTGTCGCGCAGCGGACGTTTTTCCACCGCCGTGCAGGGCACGGACCACGCCGCATCCTGGAATTTTTCTGGCGGAGCGGCAACAGCAGTCCTCTGCCGTCGCATTCTCCCACACTCACGCCCGCAATGAGCGCAGACGCCGACATGATGGACGTGGATGGCGCGTCCGCCGACGGCGCCAAGTCACGCCCGTACGACTCTCAGCCGCCCGTTCCCAGCTGGCCGTTTTGCGTGCTAACCACAAGCTCGCAGCACCGTGACTGTCGAGAAGCCCATCCCCTACACTTTCGACCTAGGCAACCTCCTCTGCACCGACGCGAACCCGCTAGCCGACTCTAGCGAAGACACGATCCGCGACGCTGCCCGCGACTGCGCCCAGGTCCTCATCAACCAGCTGCTCACCACCTGCGACGTCCGCTCCACCAAGGACGGCGTGCTGCTCGACCTCCCCGCTGCGACCACCCCTCTCCCGCGCGAGAAGCCTGCGCCCAAGCCCAAGGAGCCCACCAGGTGGGAGCTGTTCGCCGCCAAGAAGGGCATCAAGGACAAGAAGAAGGAGGGAAACCTGGTCTACGACGAGGAGAAGGGCGAATGGGTGCCCAAGTGGGGCTACAAGGGCAAGAACAAGGATGCCGACAACGAGTGGCTGGTCGAGGTCGACGAGAAGAAGGAGGCCCGGACTGGCGAGGCTGACAACCCGCGTGCCGCGACCCGCAAGGAGAGGGTGGAGAGGATCAAGAGGAACGAGAGAAAACAGAGAGCCAACGAGGCGCGGGTGAGGAAGAAGGGCGCGTAGGCGGGAAAAAGTCTTTAGGGTCTCGGCGCATGGAGTATCGGATGGCTTACGGCAGGCAACTCGGGACGGCATCGGCATCACTTGTAGCATTTCGTACGGCGAAGACGATAACGGGATTCGATACCAATCGATATTTGTACTCGCTCGAGATGTGTCGCAATGGAAGCTCCAGGCTTCCCCGTAATGCATGGCCTCGTGACACCAGGAGTTGACTCGCCTGACGTCATAGGAACTGATTATCAATTCTGTTTCTTTCCTCTCGCCATTGACAAACGAGCCCATTGGCTTGCTCCACGTTCGATTTCATACGACACGCGTATCCAAGCCCTTTTGCCCTACTGCATGACCCAGGTACTTATTATTCCAAAGGCATTATTGATGCCGCGTCGCGCTGACTTCTGCTTCTCGCCCTAAAACAGTGAGATGAGCGTCCAGTATCAGAAAGACGAAGATTTGAAATAATTAAAGATTTTTGAATTTACTTCATTTGCCTGTCTAGCGGTCTTTTGTGCATTACGTGACTCTGGTAGGTACGTTTGGGGAATGAGGTTCGGAAGATCGGAGCAGGGGTCCTGGGGTGAAGCGACAGGGTCCTCCGCGAGCCGCGGCAACTTTTCAGATTGCTGACTCATCGCCAAATTTCAACGCCATCACCGACTTCCTTCCACCACCGCATGCCTCTTCTCCTGTCGCCCTTTAGCGTGTTATGCTGCGCTGGATCACGCGCAACATGCTGTCCGCTTTGCCGCGTGTGCCCATTCCCAAGAATGGCGTCGACTACCGCAACAAGATCGTTCTCGCTCCCATGGTCCGCTCCGGCGAACTGCCCTCGCGCCTGCTTGCCCTTCATTACGGTGCCGACTTGGTCTGGGGCCCCGAGACCATCGACAAGGCCCTCATCGGCACGAGGCGCATCGTGAATCCGCAGACCAAGACGATCGAGTACCGCCGCTTCGCCAACAATGGCCAGAAAAATCACGTCCCAGACCCCGACCAGCGCGAGAGCGTGATATACAGGATAGATCCGGAGCGCGAGAAGGGCAGGCTGATTTTCCAGCTTGGCACCCCAAACCCCGAGTCGGCTGTGCAGGCCGCCTCGTTGGTTGCCGCCGATGTCGCTGGCATCGACGTCAACTCGGGCTGCCCAAAGCCGTTCAGCACCCACGGTGGCATGGGCGCCGCCCTTCTGAAGGACCCCGACAGGCTGTGCGCCATCCTCGAAGCCCTGGTCAACGAGGTTGGCCGGAAGTTTGAGATTGGCATCAGCGTGAAAATCCGCATTCTGGACAAGCCCGAGGACACCAAGGCCCTGGTGAGCAGGCTGGTCAGGACTGGAATCACAGGCTTGACGGTGCACTGTCGCACTACCCCCATGCGTCCGCGCGAGAGGGCCATCCGCCACCAGGTGAACATGATCAGGGAGGTCTGCCACGATGCCGGCGTCGCTTGCTTGATCAACGGCGACGTCGACGACTACGACCATGGCCTACAGCTCATGGATGAGTTCGGCGTCGACGGCGCCATGATTGCAACCGCTGCCGAGAAGAATTCGAGCGTCTTCCGCCGCAAGGCCGACGGCGGAAAAGCGCCGTGGCAGGAGGTCGTCAAACAATACGTCATCTACACGCTGCAGATCGACAACCGGTGGGGGAACACCAAGTACCTCCTCAGCCAGCTGATTCCTGGGAAGGACAACGCCTACAAGAAAATGAACAAGTGCCACTGCTACACGGAGCTGGTCGAGGCCCTGGGCTTCGATGATCTTTTGCACATGGCAAAGGCAACGGACGACAGGCTCAAGATTCCCATTCGGACTACCAAGGCTGAGAAGCGCGCTCTGGCCAGAGAGGCCAAGGCAGAGGAGTGTGATACCAAGAAGGCAAAGGTTTCTGTGCCCGTTCTGGCTCAACGCGGCCGCATTCCACGCGGCACCGACGGCGCAGAGTTTGCCCAATACTATGCCCACGAAGCCGCCACGCGCTGGCCATGCACCGCCGATGCCGTCTCGTTATCCTCGCTACATCTGGTCGTGCGCGCCGGCCGCGATGTCTGGGGCCGCACCGACCGCGCGCAGCCGCTTGCCCTCTCGCTGACGGTTGCTTCGCGCGCAGGCTTCGCGTCGGCCGCTGCAGACGACGCGCTCGACGGCGGCACCGTGCACTACGGACATTTGAGCAAGAACGTGCTCGCGGCGCTGAACAGTGCTACTGCGACCGGCAACGAGTGGCTGAGCGGCTTGGATGTTGCGAGTAGGACGAGTGAGGCGTTGATGGCGACGGCGGCCGAAGGTGCAGTAGAGGCTGCGAGATTAGACGTGTGCTTCCCAAAGGCGAGCACGCTAGGGACGGGTGCGGGTGTCGAGTGGACGGTGTTTTATGCTCCCGCTACCGGAGACGTGGTTGGCTTCGCGAGGCAGTTGTATGTGAAGGGTATGTCGATCCCGACGCTAATTGGGGTGAATAGCAATGAGCGCACGAAGAAACAGATGTGCTTGGTGAGCGTGTGGGTGGACAAGGTCTCGGATGCGGCGATTGATGCGTACGATGTGGTGGAGGATATCATGCTAAAGGTAAGCTATACTGTTTGCCTTGTACCGGATCGTTTTGATGCTGACGCTGTGCGTTGATCCAGACCGTCGAGAACACGGATTTTGAGACTCTTGAGGCTCTCGCCGAGAAGGTAGCCCACACGTTGTTTGACAGCTTCATAAAGACTGAATCGTCTGGCTCAAACCTGAGGCTTCGTATCGAAAAGCCGACAGCAGTGCCGCTTGCCGACTTCCCGGCCATTGAGATTTATAGGACTCAAGCCCAGGTCCTAGGCGCCTAGTAGAGGAACGAAGGATTGCACATTCCGAAGATTCACGACCATTGTCGGATATCTGCAGCATACAGCGACCTCGTACAGATAGGAGGGCGGGTTCCACTTCAGTGTGCAGGCCACGCCTCCCCTTAGATGACTGACGTTTCTGAAACTCTTCTTGCAGTGAAGCAGAAATGGAAGGAGAGACAGCAAAACCACCATCTCAAGCCATTTGCAGCTGACTATGACCTTCTTCGGCTGCAGCTGGCGTCACAGCGAATGCATGCAGAGCACGGCGAGGTCACCGCTGGAAAAGGCCGGCACTTTGGGGACAGGAAGGGGCTTAGTTGCGGGCAACTCGCGCACGCTGCTAACGATGGAGTTGGTTGTATCGGCTTCAGCTTGGACGAATACTACAGAGGAGCTCTGGCATACGTGCCAAGCGCAGAGATGCATGGAACTCGAAACCTCCCCCGCCTATTGCTGTTCGTGTCTTTCTCAGTGAAGAAAGCCGGGTCTCTTCGGCACACCCAACTGGGCAGCGACATCGCGAAGGCTTCTGATCTGTTACCTGTGAGAATCGAGTTGCGTGGGATCGGATAATGGTGCGCTCACATATCCCATTGAGGCTTCTTTTTGACACTTCCGAACCAGCTCCGCCGAGTGCAGCCTTTGGGTGTTCGGGCAATTCGCCACTGCCTCCACATAGCCGGCAAAGTCGGTGTAGCTGCCGAGAATGATGGATCTGTCAGGTATACACTTCACGTGGCGTCCACGAAACGGCGCTGGAAGCGGCGGATCATGCCTTGGGCAATCGTCCGGATGGCGGGGTTGCCTTGGCATGATAGCACGGGGTTGATCTGCTGCCGGCGGGCTTGCTTGCCCAGTAGCACGAGAGCCTCCGTCGACTGCCGATGCGACACGCCCGCCACGGCTGTTGTCCACTGGGCTTGTACGCCCTCGTCGCTCCAGTCGTTGCACTCTGTCCAAGAGAAAGGCAACGTTCCTTTCGAGCTGACCCAACCTCCGTCCTTGTGGGAGCAACTCTGCAGACGTGGCACGGGGTGACGGAACACTTTCGTTGGCATCTGGCATGGCGGCACGCCTTCCTCTCGGTTGGGCTCTGGGTGTTTCGTTAGCCACTGCCGGTGAAGGTTGAGGGAGAACTGATGAGGGACCTTGCTCTCAGGGCTAGATGGCCCTCTCGATCCTCGTCCTCCTCGACGCTGCCTCGGCGCCGCGGACGCTCGTGATCCGTGGTGATCTGCCGGAACAGCTCTCGGATCTTCAGTGTCACCTCTCGCATTCGGCGCCGGCCTTCGCCGAGCGAGTCTCCTTCTACTTCCCTCATCCTTTGGCGTGCCCACTCAATCGTGTGGAGCCATTGGGTCCGATGATGTTTGACGACTCGATTCACTTCTGTCTGTACGTCTCTAGACCGATTCCTGACGCCCTTTTCCTTGTCGAACGGCTTTCCTCCGTCTCGTTTGAAGGCGTAGGGGGCCACCTCGTGGCGCACATGCACGGGCAAGCCTTTGCACTGCGACACGCAGTGGTAGAGGAGTCGCAGCTCGCCCATGTTCAATCGAGTTGTTCCCGGGGGCCGCCTGTCCCTCCGAACCCTGGCAGTCAACACTGTGCGAGGCTGAGGCGACGCTGCCGTCGACGTCCTTCGCCTCCGCCCACGCGACGGCGTGGAGCTGGGCTCGGAATCGACCTCTTCCTCGCCATCGTCCGGATCGGAGCCCAGGCCGACAATATTCTGCCCGAGTCAGCTACCAGTGATGGCCCCGAATGGAGTTGTTACCGAGAGTGGCCTGCCCTCCACCGAGGGTACAGGCCGATCATGGTCGGAGCTGTACTCGCTGCCACCCACAGGCGAGCTTCGGCTGTCGGGTTGCCAAATGAAAGGGCTCGTCCGAGAAGAGGAGGCAAATACTCCTGTCGCTGATCGGAATTGCTCCACGTAACTGCGATCTGATGGATTTGATGACATTGTTTCTGTGCATGGGCGCATCCAGAGACTTGACGCCGAAGCCCTTTTTGAATGTGCTCACGCGAACGCGTCATCACCCACATTGACGTTTGATTTCAACGAGGAGGCTGGGCTGTGGATGCAAGTGCGGCCTGCTCCTGCAGCGGGATCCTTCCCCGACCGTGGGGTGCTGCATCGAGTTTGATTGCGATCAGGTCAGGGATCGCGCATCCGCTTCCCCGATGACCAGCCAGAACAAGGTGGGCGGTACAGCAATGAGATTTTGCACGCCCCAGGCAAGAAGTCATACCTACAAAAATGGCCCTGCACAGTCAAGAGAAGACGACATATCAACCCTCAAGCATACGATTCCAGGCACCAGTAGACGTGTGCAATGCCTCGGTTTGAGCCTCGCTACAGTGTGAAAACAAAACAAAAAAGGCAATTGTGGCTACCAATTCACCCTTCACATTGTTTGATGTCGTCCCGCGCAGCTTAGAGGGAGCGTATGGACCGTGCTGGAACTCCGCGTGCGATGAGGACTGACCTTATGCCCACGTGCTGCCTTCCTTCAGCATGATACTGGGGATCCGGCGGATGGGCCTACTTACAGGAGGATTGGATCTGGCGTGTTCGTTTTTGCACTGGCGTATCAATTCTGCCGCGTGATACCGTACATCTCCGCACTTCGCAACCGTCGAGATATTCTGCAGCCACACATGGCGTTCGGGCACAAAGAGGTGGAAGGAGATCAAACGGTTCCCTTTGAACTGGTCATGCAAACGCTGACAGTCGGGGCTACGCATGAAGTGGCTCGCCTCATCCGGACCCGTCTTGCTCGAGCTGGCTGCGCCCGCGATTTGACTTGGCCCTTGGATTGATGCAGCGTGCAGTGGTGATAGTTCTGGGCGGCGCTGATTCTTGTTGGCCTCAGGATCGCCACGCCCTTGTGCTGGCATACCACCCGCGCTTGCTTCAACCTCGGGCGCAGTGCCTCCTGCTGTGGCGCGCTTGAGGGCTGATTCGACTTTCGCCAAACGAACCTGCATCCGCCACAGATCCTTGTCGATAACCTGGACCTCGTCATCCATGGCGGTCCTTTCCCCTGACTGTTGGAAGGCTCGTCGGACCATGCTCGTGGCATGTGCAACAGCTTCCTTGGAGAAGTGGCCATCTCGGCATGCTTTGGCGGCTTTCCTGATGCTGCGGGCTAAGCCCCTCTCCTCGGATAGTCGCCTGACGTGCGCTGCGTCTTCTTCCGTCCTGTTGAGGATTCCGCCAACGACGAACTCACGGTACGGGTCATTCCTAGCGTTGAAAGCATAGGGGGCGATGTCGTGGCGGCATTGCGCAGCCACGGTCATGCCTGTAAGCTGGTGCAAGAGCCGAAGCTCTCCAAGGGACAAGCGCCCTTGGCGAGGCCATCGCAGGTTGCGATTCTCCACCGTCATCCTTGGACCGGGCGGAGGGCGTGGCTCTTCTTCATCCGACTCCACCGTGTATACTCTTTTCTGCGGGCTGTTAGTTGACAAGCATAAGCATTGCTCTCGCAATACGTACGCGTGCCTGGGAACCGTGCATCGTTGATCCCTCGTTTTTATTCGCCATTTCTTCAGAGACGTGGCCGCTATTCGAAGGCCCAGGCGTCGCGCTTCTCCTTCGATTGGAGTGGTCATGGTGGCTGCTGGCTCTTGGGGCCATGGGAATCGATACAACAGGACTTCTCCGAGAGAGCATTGCGATAAAGTGTGGAGAAAGAGGAGCAACTGGGCGATGAGCTTTAAACGCGTGTCAGCGACCAGGCAGGGAGCTCTCCCCGCCATCTCGTTATGCCCAGCCCCTCTTCCTGCCTTGTTACCAGACACTCGGTTCGCACATAAGCAGCTATGTCAGATGCTGTTGGCAAATCCGATCGTGTTCGCGTACCACCACATCACTGATGCATGGTAGTTAGAGAATAAGTCCCCATCCCAGATTGAAATAGGCTCACAACAGGCTTGTGACCACGGGAAGCCTGGGCGGTTTTGGCTATCTGGATTTGCTTGTGGGTTCGAGGTGATGTGACCAGTCCGATCTCGGTTATGCACATCGTCGACAGCACAGTCCTAGAAACCCTGCCCATGACGCACGGTACTGTTGCCGCGGGTGCTCTTATCAGCTACCAGCTGTAGGCCTCCAACAAATGTTGTTCTCCCCGTCGATCAACGGCTGGGCCGCATGGAACCCCCAGTCAAAAGCTGCTGGTGGCCATAACCGAGGGTCCCCTGTTGCACAGACACTACAGCAATTGAAAAAAGAAAAGGAAAGGAAAGAAGGAAAGCAACGGCAAGCCTGTCCATTTCATCACCGACGAGTCCTCGATGCAATCCCAACGCTTCCTTGATTTCCCGCATCCCTTCGTGGAGCAGGTCTCTCGATCGATCTTCCTATTTGCGACTGCGAGTTTCGGGATCGTGGATGCTGTCGTGAGCGTATAAGAAGTACGTGGCAAATCATATCCACCTGATGTACTCACAGACATGAATTACTGGTGGAACGGCTGAGCAGGGCTCTTTGTTACACTTTGATCATCACATTGTCTGTGGCGATGTGACCAGCCCGATCTCGGCTGTACACCCGCCCCTGTCCCAGGAACCCTGCACGACGCGGATGCACTCATCAGGTACCGGCTGCAGGCCACCGGCCAATAGCGCCGATCAACGGCTGGGCTGCATGAAACCCTGTTCAAGTGAGCTTATGCATACGTGCACATCTCATGGAGATTTTTCGCAAGGAATGCTCCGCGTTGATTAAGCATGCATCATGCTGCTGAGTCCTTCCACCGCTTCGTAGAGGGGAAGTAGATGTTCTTTGACCCTCTCGTCGATTCTTGCATCCAGCGCAGTGATGACCCGGCGCTGTTCCTTGACCTGCTTTTCCAAGTGCCGGATGGTTCTTGCCTGCTCCTGGATCTGCTCACTCCCACCCCCCGATTCAGCAGGTCTGCGGATGACTGTCAATTCAGCATCTCGTCGACGCGCACACTGGTACTCACCGGCATATGACGACGCGTGGCGAACCTCGGGCCGCCTCCCCTTGGCCGGGACTCGCTCCATCAGCCTCACTCACTTCGCTTCGCTGGCGCGCTCTCTCTTGCCGCCGCTCCAAGAGCTCAAACTTGCGGCGTAGCTGCGTGTTGGGCCGTCCTCGGCTCAGGAACGCGTTCGGGTAGCGTATGCTGCGCTCTCTGGGCGGCATTTCCGTCCAGATTCTGTACAGGTCTGCCGTTGACTCTCTGTCGCGGCCTTCGCTGGGGCGTTTATCTGCCGAGCGCTGCGCCAAGGTGCTTTGGCGCTCTGGTGATGACTGCGGGCGACGATGGAATCAGTAAGAGGCAGTCACGGAGATGCGGTGCTACTACAGGCTGTGGGCTCTCCTGCTTGACTGGGCCAGGTGTTGGAGATGCCTGCTTGGCTCTACGGCCATGGTCAGCGCATCTCTGTTTTTTGCGAGGTTGGTGGGTTCGAGAGGCACTGGAAGCGTCGCGCCGTGGACCCATGCTGTTGTTGGTCTTGAAGTGGATTTGGAGCTGCGCGTACGGGCTTTTTGACCTCGCAATGACCCACGCAAGGGCCTCCTGCTGGAAGCCTTGCAGCTCGGCACCAGACCTGCTGCGCGTTACACGTTGATGATGCGTCATTTCGCGAGTGCTTGAAGTCATGCACGATGAAGTGTGTTCAACCTATCGCTACTTGGCGCAAGAAATCCATGCAAGTCTACCTGCCAGACGGGCGCCAGCTGCTGCCACGCGTATTGAACGCGCTGCTTCGCGGGCCACCCCTGTACCCACGGCCGCCGGGGCGGGCCCGTCGAACGCCTTGGGAGACGACATTTTCAATGTGTCTCGTGGCCTTGGTGAGCGTTTCTTGAATCTTTGCCGCTACCGGGTCAAATTTGGCGTTGATTTTGTCGTCGAGGGCCAGCTCTTGCTGCTCCATCCGCTGCTTCAAAGCCTGAATCTCGGCGCCGTGCCGATCCACGAGCTGTTGGATGGTGGTGGCACCTGGGGATGTGCGGTTTGAGCTGCGCGGCGGCTTGAAAGCGCTGCCATGTCGCAATTTCAGCACCGGGGCTCGCCATGCTGTCCAAGGAACAACTCACCCGCTCGCAGTGTCGCGTGGGCCGGAAATCAAGCCTGCCCTGACACGCTCCATCTCAAACTTGCTCATTTGCAGCGCCAGCTTTGCCGCCTTCATCTTGTCAAACCTGTCCCGGTATTCCTTTCGGGGCTCGCCATCACATCGGAACGCGTAGGGATACAACTGTTTGAGCCCCTTTGCGCTTGTGCGATTCTCGTAGGCCTCGAACAGGAATGGGGTCGAGGCCCGTACACGAGGCATGTCGATTGGCTTGTGGACCTTGGACTTGGCCTTGTGCCGACTGGGAGTCGGCGTGGTCGGTTCGGTCTTTTGTCCCCGCGTCAGTAAAGAGTTGACTTCTTGATGGATGGACTTACGCTGTTCGCCGGGTCCATCGACACGGTGAAGGTGCGGCGTGCCGAGTGGCTTCCGGTATGGGACCTGTGGATCGAGTCCGTGAAGGTCCAGTTCGGGGAGTCCGCGCCAGCCGGCTTCGGGGTGCTGGCTGAAGCCCTTGCCGTTTTCTTGGCCCTCGCTTTGTTCTTTGATCGGCTCATGCTGGGAAATAGAGATGGTTCTGAGAAGAGCAAGAAAAGCAGCCGCGGGCGACTTTTATGTGCGTCGCGTCGCGGACCTGACGCGCACCCTGGCCTTCTTTTTCCCACTTAAGCGACAGGGGCTCGCACAAATGTCGAATAGAACCCGTTTGAAAATGGGTGTGGTTGGCTCATCCTTGGTTACACGGGATAATCTCAATTTGTACGCGGTAAAGGAGGCAGGCCAAGCGCCTGCTGACGGTACCTAGGCTACGGAGCTTTTTATCGGGCTACCAAGCTGGCGCCCAGCAAATCGGCCAGACATGACAGCGTTCGTGAGCTCTCCCATCTGCTTCGACATGGATGCCGTCAGCTCCCGGATCTGCTCGCCAAGCGCGTCGTTAAGCCGCCTCTGTTCCTCTCGTAAAGGTCCGACGGCCGATCGGATGCGCTGGTCAACAGTGCGGTCTTGCCTCTCGGCGACCTTGTCGAGGGCCTGCTGCGTTGCCGCCTCCAGGAACTGGACTCTTTCTTCCAGCACTCTGATACGGCCACCGTCATCGCTCGGGTCCCGTCCCTTTCCCTTCCATCTACCGAGCACGACCGGAGCATTGCTCGGAGAATACGACCTGTGAAGGCGTGCTTAGCTCAAGCCCCCCGACGTGAAGAATCAATTACCTTGGAGTTGGCGGCCGCTGAGCTGATATGGGGCTTTGGCTGTCGGGAGGGCTGCTCAACCTTCCCGCTTCGATCTGACGGGCCTCGTATGCTTGGAATTCTCGCTTGAAAGATGCCCGAGGCCGGCCATCCGAGCGCTTGAAGCAGTAGGGTGCCTTCTGGACACGGTCCTGCGGCGAGAATTCTGCCATCCACCGATAGAGAGTCGCAATGCTTGCTCGCTGGTTTGGTGGATACAGGACATCCAGTTGGGTTTTGGTCAGCCGGTCGTGCCGCTTCTTTGCGCCCGAGCGCACCTTGCGACGCTGGACACTGGTCAGAAGATTGCTCGAGAGGTTGCGGGTGGCGCTCACCGCAGCACTTTTGCGACCGTCGTCAGACTCGGAATCCCCGGACGATGACGGCACGTACGATCGCACGGTGCTCGTGTCGTCGTCTGTGTTCGAAGGACCCGGATGAGGATCCGGCTTCAGGGCGAGAGGCTCCGCGTCATGGCGTGAGTGTAGCTTGACCCGGTGCGATCTCTTCGCCTGTAACTCAGTCACCGTGGGCCAAGTGCGGGTGTGGCGGGCGCTTACCCTGACCATGTCTGGAGTGTTGCTGTGCTAAGTCTACATGGCGGGCAGGCTTCGTTGCCACCAGGTAGGCGTCGGTCGTACAAAGCTGCTCTCGAAGCACTTCATTTGGAATGCGAGGCATGACAGATGTTGCGGTGTGATGGATCGAAACGAGGAAAGCCTCGGTTGGATATCCCTGCAATAGAGTTTCGGTGGCTTGCTATCTGGCGCACAAGCAGTGCGGGTCGAGCACGACTGTTTGCCGGGGGCGGCGAGGGAGAGGCGTCGTCGCCAGTAGCTCAGGATGCCACGCTGTGCGCCTTGTGGCTGGCCGGCAACCCGGTCTGGCGTGGGCGACACCAGCCGCGGTGCGACGTCGCGGGCCGCGGTGCCGCGCGAGGTGGTTGTGGAGACGGAGGGTGATGGGCGGCAGGGTGCATGTCGCTTGTTTGCGACATCAACAACACGACGCTGCGCTGGCCTCGCCATGCGGGTGAGCTTTCAGCTCGCCCAGAAGCGGCCAACCAGTCGGCCGGTTCTGCGCCCAAATGTCCGGCTAATCCGCAGCGGCGGGCGCGTTGATGAGATCCGAGATGGCGCCAAGCAGATGGTGCTCCTCCACCGGCCAAGCACACGCTTCTGGAATGCGTCCCCCGATATCAACCGCCGCCCATTGGCCTCGCGCCCGCCTGCCACGCGCGCCCAAGCCTGGAATATTCCGCCCCCATCGTCTAAACTGCTTGGCCCGCGAGCCAAGAGCGCCCGAGAGTCAGATTCCCACTCCTCTCCGCTCTGGGGTCCCCGCATCCCGTTTCTCCACGCTCGACCGAAGCGGCGTGGCAACCGTCGCACCCTCACTTGCCAAGCGCATTGCCATGTGCCGCCATGGACTCCTTTCACCCGGGCTGTGCTCGAGTTGGACAGGGTTTGTCACCGTTGCACCGTGCCGATTCGACCTGCTTGCTGCTCGCCCATAAAAGAATCCGCTCCTCCCCCGGCCCCAGTCACCCAACCACTTGACCTCGACCCATCTTCGACATGGCTCCAGACGCGGTGACCTCAGACCAGTCCGTCTCCAGCAACAGCATCTTGCAGGAGAAAGCCTCCGAGGAGAGGATCGAGAATGTCGACGAGCCGCCCCGCCATGTTGGCTACGACCCCAAGGCCACCAAGCGCCTGCTGAGGAAGATGGATGTCCGCCTCATCCCCTTCCTCGCCCTGCTCTACCTGTGAGTGCCGTCCCGCTCGCTTGCCCGGCAGCGCTGACCCAACCTGCGCACAGTCTGAGTTTCCTCGACCGTGAGTCGTGTCGCGCCCCCCGCCATCCTCGACGAGACTAACCGCTTGGCTTCAGGCACCAACATCGGCAATGCTCGTCTGGCAGGTCTTGAAACGGACCTGGGCATGGCCGGGCTCGACTACAACGTATGGTCCACCATCCGTCTTCCACGCCTGCCCACTGACCGCACCGCCAGAATGCCCTCGCCATCTTCTTCCCCTTCTACGTCGCCGCCGAGGTCCCCTCCAACATGATGATGAAGCGGACCCGCCCTGCCTTGTGGATCCCCATCATCATGCTCGCCTGGAGCGTCTGCACCACCCTCATGGGCTTGGTCGAGAGCTACGCTGGTCTGATGGTTGCTCGTGCTGCCCTCGGTCTCGCCGAGGGTGGCCTCTTCCCCGGCGTCACCTTCTAGTATGCCCCCACCCTCCTCCCTGCAAGCCATGCCGCCCACTGACGCCGTCCAGCATTACCATGTGGTACCGCAGGCATGAGTGTGGCTTGCGCATGGCCGTCTTCTTCTCCGCCGCCACTGCCGCCGGTGCCTTTGGCGGTCTTCTGGCCCGTGGCATCGCAGAGATGGACGGTGTTGGCGGTAGGCAAGGCTGGGCCTGGATCTTCATTCTCGAAGGCATCCTCACCTTCATAGTCGGTGCGCACAGTCTCCGGCGTTTCTCTCATCCGCGCACCATGCTAACCACGGTGCCCTGTAGCTGTGGCCGCCTTTTTCGTCATGCACGACTATCCCGAAACTGCCAAATTCCTCAGTGACGCCGAAAAGCGCGAAGTCACCAGCCGCTTGAAGCTGGACCGCAGCTCTCTTGCCGATGAGTTTGACGTCAAGTACTTCTGGCATGCTCTCCAAGACTGGAAGATCTGGGTGCACATGTTCATCACCATTGGCATTTACACGCCGCTGTACTCCATCTCTTTGTTCATGCCCACCATTGTCAGGGGTCTGGGCTACACGGACAATGTTGCACAACTCATGACGGTAAGCCCGTTGCTTCGGTTGCCGTCGAGCAGATTGCTGATAGAAGCACAGGTCCCCCCTTATGTCGTAGCCTGCGTCTTTTGTATTGGTGGCGGCTTCTTGGCCGACCGCATGAAGACGAGAGGCGTATTCATGATTGGGTTCTGCCTTGTGGCGTACGTTGCACCATCCAAGCCCTTACTTCGCTAGCTGACGCCGACTTTGCAGGCTTGTGGGCTTCATCATGCTCATCGCGAGCGAGAACAACTCGGTCAAGTACGCCGGCGTCTTCTTCGCCGCGTCTGGCATCTACCCCAACGTGCCGCAGGGGGTGGCGTGGAACGGCAACAACATCGGCGGATCGACAAAGCGTGGCATAGGCATTGCGATGCACGTCGGCTTTGGCAATCTGGGAGGTGCTGTGGCTTCGTATATCTACCGTTCCACTGACGCACCCCACTACTACGCCGGCCATGGCACCCTTATCGGCTTCATCACCATGAGCGCCGTTCTCAGCACCTTCATGACCATCTACCTGCGCAGGGAGAACGCCCGCCGCGACGCCGAGCACAAGAAGCCAAGCGAGTACACTGAGGAGGAGAAGACGCTCGAAAGGGAGAAGGGCGACTCTGCGACCTTCTTTAGGTACACGGTTTGAGCCGGCTGACCGACTGGCTCTGGTTATGCAAGACGTCATGTTTCGAGTGCACACATTATTTTATTTTTTTTTAGACATGAACAATGGACTGGCTCCCTTTTGCGCAGAATGCAGGGTCCGCTGATCTCTCGCACTCATCTTCTATCTGCCTGTTTGTGTACGGCTCGATTCTCGATACTATCGAGCCACAGGTTCCCGTGCTGGGTGCCCGTGATGTTCGACTTGTGCCACATGACCGTCGGCCCGGCTGCATGCGGTGGCTGGCACCATAGATAAGGTTAGGCTAGAAATCCTGGAGGATGGGTAGGCGAGTAGCTATCCCGTTGGTTGGTAAAACGCGCACAAGATAAGAGCCGGCTACTTTCTCTCTTGGCTTCTAGCCGCGGCCTTCCCACATTTGCAAGCAGACGACCTGGACACGATTGCATCAAGATTGTGCCTGAGGCATTTCTCCGCACTACAGGGAGGAAACCTTCACGGTGCAAGGTGTGATTCGCATCATGGCATGTGAAAGTGGGGCTGTTGTTGCGGCTGAGCGCCCATGGGAAGCGCATTGACCGTATCAAGCATGCGGTGTGCACGCTTCTTTCAACCCTATCGCTTGCGCGATTAAGTCGCGCTGTGCAAAGGGAGCATTCCGCAAGTGGGGGCTGATCCGAGTACGTCTGCGCGGCGATATGATGTGCAAATATGCAGTGAATGTTGCTGGCTCGAGAAAATGATGTCGTTTCGCGCGGAATGGGCCGAGAGTTTGGGTGCGCCAGGGTCCTGGCTGTCAAGGATAGCGCTCCGGCATTTGGGCACGCGAACTGCTGCAGAGGCTGCCTGACAGGCTGACTAACCGGGCTAAGCTTTGCCAAGGATCAAAAACAGGGTCGGCCTGGCGACGTCATCACGTAGGGATTGCGGAAAGCAGGTGTCGCAACAGCGGCCGCATGTCGGCTGCCGCCCCGTCCAAGGGCAAACGGCGGGTAGTCGGCAGGTGGCCGTGGTCGCGCGTCGTGCGACCTGGGTACGTGGGGAGCGTGGCGGGGCACAGCTGGAGAGAGGGGCTGAGCTGGCCGTGCGGAAGACGAGGGCTGCTATTCGCAGAGCGCTGTGGCTCAGCACGGCGTGCGGCCGCGGGATCCGCGGACATGATAGGAGGACAGCGGAGCGGAGCACGGGAGGCCGGCACGCACGGAAGAAACGGGAGCGAAGGGCGGTCCGAATGACAGGGCAGAGCTGCCAAACCAAGGCAAGACCTGCCTCTCCTTGAGCAAAGAGCACGGCGGCCTCCTTGGCGTCCATCCAGCGCTCTGCGAAGCGCCTCGAAAAACCAGCGCCGCGACGCGGAGAAGCAGCGCGCGACGGCAAGACAGACTGACGGCCGAGGCCGCGGCGCTAAAGAAAGGCTTAGCCGGCGCCGATCGAGGCTTGTCTTGCTTGGCGCGGGTAGGGCAGCGCGCTGCGCTGACTCCCCGCAGCGGCGCAGCCTGGCCGCTGGGTCCAGCTGTCGATGATTGCGCCAGCTAAAATTTAACTACGCCCTCCCCCCGCCGCTCAGCCCTCCCAAGCGCACCCTTCTTCCCTCCCCTCAACCATGGCAATCCCACTCTTCACCAAGGCCAGCCGCGCCGACGACGCCCTGGCCGACGACGGCGCTGCTGGCGCTCCCTCTGGCCACGAGAATCCCGCCCAAGACGAGGGCGATGGCCACGACGAGCCCCAGCCTCCGGGCGGCTTCAGCGACACGCCCATTCCGCACGCGACGCCCGGCTTCACCCTCAAGTTTACCTTCCACCGCGCCACCCACCTGCCCATTGCCGACATCAACACCATGTCCTCCGACCCCTACGTGCTCGCGCAGCTGAACACGGCCCTGCCCCCGCGCCACAAGGAGGACCCGCCGCTGCGCATGCGCTCCCCCACCGTGCACCGCTCGACCGAGCCCGAGTTCGAGTGGGAATGGATCGTTGCGAACGTGCCCGCCTCGGGCTTCAAGCTCAAGGCCCGCCTGTATGACGAGGATCCTGCTGACCATGACGACCGCCTGGGCAACGTCCATATCAATGTGCCCCAGCTGTCGGAGGACTGGGAGGGCATCCACCAGCAGACCTACAAGCTCAGGAAGCGCCTGGCCAGCAAGCGCGCCTACGCCTTGCGCGCGGCAGCCGTTGCCGTGAACAAGGCCGAGCACATGGGCGCCGAGATTGTCGTCAGCATCGAGATGCTTGGGCGGACTCAGGATCCGTACAACGAGGGAGGCAGAGCCTACACGCTCGGCCCGCTGTTCTGGTACAAGCACAACTCGCCTCTGCTGGGCCGTATTGTGAACCGCACCGACACCGGCGACGACGACGACCCGAACGACCCGACCAAATACGACAGGCACGGCAACAGGATCCGCAGATACAAGTAAGTCCGGGCCCCACCCGCTCCCATGGCCCGAGCTGACCCGACCTGCAGCTTCCAGGCGAACGAGATCCAGCTCCGGGGCCCGGTTCCGCCTGAGTTGTACCACCGCTACGTCGAATTCAAGCCGTTTGTCAAGTCTATGTACACGGCACATGGCGTGCGCGGCTTCCTTTTGTCCAAGGCGCTGCACCATCAGCATGCAAGGGTTTACAATTTCGATAAGAGTACCTCGTGGGGTAAGTTCGACGAGCCCTGCGTTGAGCAGACGATGAAATTTCTCGATCTCGTGCACTACGACCAAGGCGGCCGTATCTTCACCTACGTTGTGACCCTGGTAAGCTGTCTCGCCAAACGTATAGAGCGCGTGCGCTAATTTCGGCAAGGATGCTCTGTGGCGATTCACCGAGACTGGCAAGGAGTTTGGCATCGACATGCTGAGCAAACATACTATGCACAGCGATGTGTCGGTGTATATCGCCTTCAGCGGCGAATTCTTCATCAGGCGTCTCAAGCACCCGCACCACAGGTCTCCCGACGAGCCGGAGGCGGAGGAGGAGGGTGAGGCGGAGAAGCAACACCATCATTGGTTCCACCGTCGTGAAAAGAGTGAGAACAACTCGACGCATCCGCCGGACGACATTGCCGGCGGGCCCCCTCGAGACGAGCCGCCCAAAGACCCCAAGCACTACGAACTTGTCATTGACAACGATTCGGGGACTTACCGGCCCAACGCTCAACTCCTGCCGCAACTCAAGTCTTTCATGGAGTCTCGCCTACCTGGGCTCAGGGTCATCACGCTGGATTGCCAGGCCGATGCGGAGAAGATGGCGCGCATGAAGCAGGAGCAGCGCGACCGCAAGGCCCGTGAGGGAGACCAGATTGTCTACCATCAGCTCAGCGACAGCGACGAAGACAGCAGCAGCCTCAGCAGTTCCGACGAAGACGAGTTGGAAGAGGCGGTTCAGAACCATCATGCGCGGGTCAGGGACGACCATGTCTTGCACGCCTTCGGCCACCAGGCGCGTGCTGAGCAGCAAGCCAAAGCCCAACATCTCAAGGGTTTGGTTCACCGGCCTGGTTCCGGCACAAATGGGCACAAGGGCCACGGCGATCCGGTTGAAGCGCCTGACGCCGGCGCCCCACCGTCTTAACCGCTTTCATCGTCTTCTTGGCGGCCGGTATGATTTATACGACTTTTCGATGTTGACCAAGGGTGGATACCGTTCTCGGTGCACGCTCCTTAGATACCCCACGATTGGATATGCTCTTCCTGCGTTTGGAGTGTGAAGGTGTACATGTACGTTTTGCGTGGTTGTGGGGTTGATATAGCCAATAATTTCAAACATTCAATTCCCGAGGCATCAATGCAAGAAGTCGGTGTGTACGAGGGGACGTAAAAAAGGGCTGCCTGTCCCCTTCGATCGCCTCTTCGTTATTTACAGTGAAGCTGCGACTGGATCCTCAGGTCCCGGCCTCAATGGACGGGTGCCTGCACTTGGCTCTTGAAGCCAGAAACCGATTATGGCGGCGGCCCTTCACCTGGTCACTTTCGCCCCCCCTCTTTTTTTCAATGTTTATGTATCCTGCTAACACGCATTCCTTGACTGCGTGACTGATCCCCCAATGCTCCTTAGTAGCAGTGTCCAGTAACGCCAACCAGTAATTCAAGACAGCCCTATCAAAAGGTGGTTGAAACAAACCAACCCTTCGGATTCTTACAGAATATACAAACTTTGGCTTTGTCCAGGTGCTTCACACTCGAATTTACACGCGGGCGGCAACGAGACTCATGTAGATTCCCCAGCAGAGGCCGATTGCGCTTAGGAAGACGATGCGCCTCTCGACGGGGATGAAGCTGAAGCTGATGATGGAGGCGATGGGCCAGATTTTGTAGCCGGCGACGATAATCGGGATCGTCTCCTGACGATCAATCGGATCAGCACTTGAAGGTGGATCCGCACCAAAGGCCCAAGGGCGGAGGACCACTCACCGTCCTGATATTACCCCCGATCTGGGCGCTCGACTGCCCCTTCATGAGGCCCATGATGACCAGGAAGGCGACCGTGTTCATGATGGCGCCCATGGTTATGCAGTCGACGAACCATTTCGTAATGGTGTTCTTGAGATTGAGCTTGGGCTTCTCCTCTTCGACGTGCAAAAGGCCCTCGTCGCCGCGTTTCTCGACGTCGCCGTCGCTGGACACGCGGGGCGAGCGGTGGGCGTGACCGAGGCCGGCAGGGCCCGGGTATGCAGGGAAGGTGCGTTCGAGGAACTGCTGCCACACGTAGTTGGGCGGAGCAGTAATCAAGGTCAGGATGACGAAGCGGAGGAACTCGATTGGGTTAAAGGCGAGCGGGCGCTGTCAGCGGCGACGCAGGGTCCGTCAGCACATCAGGGCAGGGAGCGGCAGGCAGCGGGGTGACATACGCCGCCCCGGTAAGCGTCGATGACCTGCGCGAGGATGTTGGAGATTGATGACAGCGTTGCTGCTTGCAGCGTGGCATTGACCATGGGAGAGGGCATGCTGGGCACGAGGGCGAGATGGCGATGGCGGGAATTGGGCGCGAGCGCTGGCGGCGGGGTGGATGGGCTTGCAAGGCGCGAGTGCAGAAGGATGCGGGGGTGTTGTTGACACAGTGTTGGGAACGGGAGCTTGGGTTTTAGGAGGAAGGGCGGGTTAGGCTCCCAGGCGCTCAGCGACAAGCCCGCGACGACACAGGTGTTATTACTCGGGGCACGGGGAAGGGATCGGCGCGGGATGCGAGATGGCGATACGTTTCGAAAGACTGGAGACGCCCGGGGCCGCTGCAGATCGAACGTTGCTCTGCGCCTTCCCGCCGCGCCACGCCCACCTGCGGCGTTCGGTCGGAATCACGGCCTTCGGCATCGCGCTGGCTTATCGATAAGCCCGCTCAAAACGACGCCCGGTGACACGCCCCCCGTCACCTCTCCGACAGATCCCTTCTGCTATGGACACCGACGACGAGGAAGCCCCGCCGCTGCTTGTCGACGCCAGCGTCGTCCAGGACGTAGACGACCTACCTCTTGTCAAGGTCCCCATTACAATCGTCACCGGTACGGTACTCATGACTGCAGCCCGCCGGCTTGTGGCTGATATTCTTTAGGCTATTTGGGTGCTGGCAAAACAACGTTGCTCAACTACATCCTCAACGAGCGTCATGGGAAGAAGATTGCCGTCATCCTAAATGGCGGGTACTCCCCTTTCCGGCAAAAGAAGAAACACGCTAACGATGGACCCAGAGTTCGGAAACTGTAGGTCGGCCTGCTCCGTCCTTGAAGCCACGCTTGCTGACGGCCTGAAATAGCCGCCGACATTGAGAAGTCGCTTACCGTCAGTAAGGACGGCGGCCAGGTCGAAGAATGGCTGGACCTGGCCAACGGCTGTCTATGCTGTACCGTCAAGGATACTGGTGTCCAGGCCATCGAGTCGCTAATGGAAAAGCGGGGCGCTTTCGACTACATCCTGCTCGAGACTACGGGTTTGGCCGATCCAGGCAACATTGCGCCGCTCTTCTGGATAGATGAAGGGCTGGGCAGCACCATCTACCTGGATGGCATCGTCACGCTGGTCGACGCAAAGAACATCCTCAAGAGCTTGGATGAGCCTCCGCCCGAGACGACTGCGCATACCGAAGAGGATCACGACAGCAAAAGCCCCGAGCTAACCACTGCTCACCTGCAGGTCTCGCACGCAGACGTCGTGGTCATCAACAAAGCCGACCTCGTCACCCCGGAGGAGCTCGAGAGCGTGCGACAGCGCATCGTTGCCATCAACGCGCTCGCCAAGATCCACGTCACTGACCACAGCAAGGTGCCTCAGTTGGAGGGAGTGCTGCTCGACCTGCACGCCTACGACGCTGTCGATTCTGCGCAGTTGGATTTTGCTGCGAAGGGTCATAGCCATCTTGATCCGGTAGGTCGCTCGACTCGGCGTCTCGACCCGCTCTAATCGGCCGAATCACAGACGATTGCGACAATATCAATACCGATCCCTGCATTGAGCCCGGAAGGCCTCGAGGCGCTGGACAGCTGGCTGCAATCGCTGCTTTGGGAAGAGACATTGCCCGAGGGAGCATTGCCGCACAAGTTTGAAATCCACAGAACTAAAGGACTCGTGCCGATGCTTGACGGCTCATTGAAACTTATCCAGGGGGTGAGAGAGGTCTTTGAAATCTTGGACGCTAGAGACAGTCCGTCAAGCGGGCAGCAAAAAGTCGGCGGCGACGTGGAACAGGGCGGAAAGGTGGTGTTGATTGGAAGAGGCGTGGAAAGCGAGCTATTCGGCCGGAGTCTGCGTAAAGCTCTTGACGCTTAGCTATAGAAAATAAGGGTACGAGACGAATACGAGAGAAACGAAAGTGCAATCCGTGAGACGGCCCAGGATACCTAAGCAGCCATCGTTCTCCACCTTTTGCAATTGATAGTGAGGCACTGGCCACCTCAAGTATACGTGTGGGGAGCAGGTCGAATCAAGGCTGTTTGGCGAGATGAGGTCATCCGCAATGGATGCAGGCTTGGCAACGGCGGGTGCGAAACTTCCTTTGTGCGTCGGTTTCCGTCCCTTCATGCTGCAACGCGCTCCGCTTCACAAGTCTAACAATGGAGGCCTCTCTTCCTGTCGATGTTCAGACCAAAGTTGCTTCCAATGGTCCGTCCCTCTCCGTCCCGTCGCTTCCATTAGCCGGCTGACAATAATCGCAGTCTCCGAAGCCTTCGTCGACGCCTACTACACAGCGCTGCAAGCCGCGCGCCACACCCTTTCCACCTTCTACACGGCGGCCGAGACGTTCCCCGACGGCAAGACGGTCCCCGTCATCGCATGGAACGGCAACGTCTACAACTCGGGCCCCGCCTTTCAGGATGCCTACGCCGACACCATGCCCGCGTACACGTATTTTGAGGTCCAGAGCCTGGACGCCCAGGTGCTGAATCCGCACCCGCCGCCTGCACCTCCGTCAAAGGATTTGGGGGGAGATGCTATGGTCGACGGTGACGCTGCGCTGGCTGGAGGGAAGAAGGGCGGGGCTGGAAAGAGGGGTGGGCAGCAGAAGGAGCAGCAGGAGGAGCTCGTAGGGAGTTTGCTAGTGGCTGTAAACGGCTTCGTGCGGCTAGAGGAGAAGAAAGAGGGTCCTCAGAAAGGCTTCAGCGAGACGTTGGTGCTCGTGCCGAACCGGGACCACAGCAAGAAAGACGGGAGCAAGAGATGGGTCATCCAGAATCAAAATTTCCGATATGTGGTGTGAAAAAGCGTGGCGGTCAAAGGAGACCAACGGAAAAAAAACAAGATACAAGCGTTGGTGGGCACGCATAACTTGGCGCTGCCAGTTCGACAGCTTGTGGCCCAAAGGAGGAGCGGGAGGCAACGGACAGGTCGGTGCTCTCCCTTGGCCTTGCATAGGTTTTCCACGTGCCAATGATGCCACGGAAACACATTGCAAACGTGGCCCGGTATGATCCACAACAGTAATGTGAAGACCGACACCGCAGCAGTCGGTAGGAAAGCATCTTCATACAAGTTCCACTACGACGGAATTGGTGTCTCGAATGGTCTATCAGGCACGTCGGTGTATACATGTAATGCGCAGCTTAGCCTGTTTACCGGCGCCGATGATGGACATGGAACCATCAGGTGGCTGTACTTCCCGCCATGTTGTCTTGGATAGCCAAGACGCTGGTTTCCGGTGGCGGTGGGCAGAGTGCTGCAGTTATGTTTTGCAGACAGACCAAACAAACCTTAACCTTTCTCAACCTTACATTGTCTCATTTGTATGTTGTCTCCCATCTAGAAACCTGTCTCAAGCAACCGTGCAAGAAGTGTGTAGTGTCCGGAGACCACAACGCACGCGCACGAGTCAACATACCAACAAGCCTATTCCTTGTCGAAACCACAACCTTTTTTTTTTTCGAGCGCGATGTGCTAGCATACCCCAGCATGCGCCTACGGAGATCATGACACGCGACAACGATCTCTCTCGATCTCAGATAACCAAGCCTCGTAGTACAGGTTGATGGTTGCTGCGGCCAATTTTCTAGAATACGAAAGGGGAGATGCAAGAGGAAGAAATTGAAAGGAGAAAGAGGAAGTATGGTCCGCATGTGGCGTGTGGCGCGTGTATAAATGCTACTTCAAATGCTTGGTGGTGAATCTATCCGAAGCAGCAGTGGCGTTTGGGTTGATTGGGTGCAGTTCTCGAGGCTGAGACGTGTGCAACGGCGGGCTTGGTTTTGCTTTTGCCAGATATCGTGGCTCGCAAGGATAGCCCTGGCAGGCCCACGAAATTATCTCGCAAGCACAGGAATATTTTCTCCTTTCTTTTCGGGCTGCATGCAGATCGATTGCGGTCCGCACACGTGGGATCAGGACAGCGGGCAACAGAGATATGTCCGCAATCGCCGCTCATACATGACCTGCGTCTCTGGGACTAGTCGATTCGAATACGACACTCCTTGTGTCATGGTCGATGACATCCACCAAATGTCGGAGGAATGCTGCCCGTGTCATTGATTTTTCCCGGTACCGTAGCGCATTCTGCAAGGTACTAGATTTGTGTTTCACCCCATGGGGCAATGAAGTTAACACGCATTTCCCCAGGTGTGGTTACCAGGTACGATTCGCATTCCCAGGATTCCCGGCTCGAGTGCCTCATCAGGCACAGAATACCTGCACACAAAGGCACGTCAAAGGAGATAAAAAGAATGTGATGTCTCGAACCACCCCCTTGAAGGCCTCTCAGTGAACCATGCCGCTCCTCGCCATTTCCTCGACGTACCTCGCATACCGCTCCACGCTCTTCCGCCTCAAGCCCTTGCCCCACCTCACCATCAGCAAGAAGGTCGCGCACTGTGCCAGGCCGACGCATGCCGCCGTGATGAAGCAGTTGCGCAGGCCCATGCCCTGCACCCACGGCGTGATGCCGTACCCGATGGCGAAGCTCATCGTGTTCCTGACCAAGATGACCGTCACCACGGCCTCGCCGCTCAGCGCGCGGTACGAGTCGATGCAGTAGGCCACGCTCAGCTGCAGCCCGATGGTGTTCGTCAGCGCGATGACGCCGGCCGCGAAGACGCAGCCGAACCAATGCACGCCCTCGCTAGCGCCCACGCCCCAGAGCAGTAGACCGCCAGGGATCAGGAGCAGGCTTGGGGCGAAGAGCCACAGCCGGTGCTCCGCTTCGAGCACGCCGCCGTTGCGCCGCGCCTGTCGCAGCACGAAGCGGTCGCCCAGCACGCCCGTGTACCAGCTCGCGACGGCGACGCCCACAAGCGGGCTGACATACGACAGGCCGACCATTGATGCCGAGAAGCCGTAGGTCCCGCCCAGGATCAGCGACGCCGTCGCGTTGAGCACGTTGAACCAGACAAGGTTCGCGCCGTACGAGAAGCCGGCGTAGAAGATGACTGGGAAGGTCAGGAATGCGAGCGGACGGTAAACCATGCCTTTGAGCCGGTTGGGCTTGTGCAAGTCGGCGGGCTGGAAGAGCTTTAGCTTCTCTGCGTAGCTCTTGCGCGGCTTGTTCGCGTCGATGCCCGGGTGGGACTCGAGCGTGCTGCTGACGGTGCATGGGGGGATGCCTTTGTGTTCCGTCATGTCCGGCGGTGGTGCAACTGGCGTGCCGGGCGTGTGGCGGACGTAGTTTGTCTCTTCCATGAAGAAGAGCAAAAAAACGAAGCCGGCGAAGCAGAAGATGGCGCACCAGTACAAGACCCACTCCCAGCCCTGGCCATCGTTGATGAAGCCAGCAATGATGGGGGCGAAGAAATTGCTTCCGGCGAGCAGAAGGGCGTAGAGGCCCAAATACCTCCCCCTCTCGTGTGTGAAACTGGGCGAGAGGGTGAGCGCGCGACTGGACGGCGAAGAAAGGCAAGACTTACTAGATGTCAGTGACGGAAATCTCGCACAGACTCTCTATGGGCGCGCCAAAAAAGCCCTGCAAGAGCTTGCTGGCGATCCACTGGCCGTTGGACGTCGTGTACGGCCCCCACAGGCACATGGCCATGGTGCCGAGACAGCTGAGCAGATAGACGGGTCTCTTGCCGTACTGCAGGGCCACGGGCTGCCAGAACAGACAGCCCCAGCCGGCGAGCAAGAATAGATAGCCCGTGCCGGCATTGAGGTCGTTCAGAGTCAGGCCTGTTGCGTCACTGATGGGCTCGAGCACCGAGTAGATGGCGGCCGAGGCGATGCCCACAACGAGCGTGTAGACGCACATGCACGTCGAGCTGAGAGCCTTCCGGCTTGAGCTCCAATTGAGTGGGTCATCCGGACTGTTGGCCACAAGAGGCCGAAGCCAGGCGGCCGTTCATCAGCGGGGGTTCACGATTGCTACACTTGATGCCATGATAGGGGAGATATTGGCGGACGCGAGCTGAAATGCAGGTCTCAGACGAGAATAGGAGCTTACTCATCCGAGGGCGCGGGAACCAGCAGGATGTCGTGGGCCTGAGCGCCGACAGCGTGCTTTGCCCGCATGGTGCCCTCCAGGTCGACGAGGTGGACGGTGCCGGGGACGAGCGGCTGATTATCGTCGGGTGCCATGTTTAGCGACGAGTGAGATCAAGGCTCAACGTGCGGTGATGTGGCGGGCTTGCGCAGCATCGCACTGCGAGCGCCTTTAAATCGGGCGTGTTGTACAGCACCCCACTGTTGATAGCACTGCTGATAGGGCGGGAGCATGGCGGCTGCTTGGGGTTGCACGACGAAGATGTGGATGATAAGAAGGCTCTGATAGCGTCGTGGCGATCGTTGCCATCCTCATCGCAGCCTGACGCAACCAGACTTCATCGCCGCGGGAAGGAAAATTCGAGCACAATGTCCGATGCCCGCGACGATGCTGAGTCGTCATCCCGGCCTTCTCGTCTCAGCAGCGCCACAAGAGGCGCCGACTGCCTGTTCCTGACGATCGGTCCCGAGAGATCGTCGGCCCACGACGCGTCCCTGTCACTGGCCCGTCGTCCGGCGCCGCGCTTGGTGACGTTGCAATCTTCAGTCGGGCCGGCGCGCACAATAAGGTGCTGAGGTGTGGCCTGGGCCGCGGCTTTGAGATCGATGGGCAGGAAGCGGAAGTGATGTGCAGCTGCTGGAGACGAGGATGAAAAGGGTAGCTGTCGCACGGGTCACAACGGGCGCCTTGCGTGCGCCGGCACTTGTGGCGCAGAACGGCTGCTGGAGACGGCACCGAATCAAAAGGAACGGAAGAGCGCCAGCAACTCTGTCTCAACGACACGCCAGCGGTTGGTCGCTGCATGCTGGACCGCCGCCGATCGCGACATTCAAATGCCGCCATGTGAAAGCGCCAGCCCGCGGTGGGCCAGCTGAAGAAAGGGTCCATTGCACCGTGTCGGCGAAACCGTGGGGGACATCAGCGCAGATCCAGCATCGAAGGCGGATTAGCAGGCGATGCGGTGACGCCGTGCTGGGCCGCAAGGTTGAGCTGAAGCCTCGCAGCTATACCAGAAGAAGGACGGGTCATATAGGGGTCGGTGGGTCACTGAGTCGAGATAGCCGACCTCCAGCTACATTTTCGTCGCGACTCAAGCAACCGAGAGATCGGCATTCGTCAATGCGTTTCGATAGTCGCTACAATGGATACATACATGCGCCCACGGATCGCCCAGAGCCCCACCCTCCTCAACACCACCGCGCTACTCTATCATGAACTTCCACGCCACATGCGCCAGCACCTGGCTCGGGTAGTCGACCGCCCGATAGAATATCTCCGCCCCCGGCACCACCGTGGCCAAGCACACCGCCAGGCACAGAATGTTGCTCGCGCCCTCCGGCCAGCCCTTGTCGACCCGCACGTGGAGGAACAGCTTGATGCCGGCCGTGTAGATGATGGTCGCCTGGATGAGGAAGTAGCCTGCCCGCCGCCTTGGTTAGCTGTAACACTTGGTGCGTCGCCGGTCGACTTACTGAACGAGCGGCGTCCCAAGTACGTGAAGAGCGGGTTCTTCAACACCCACTGCAGCACGTCCGACGTCTCCATCATGAGCATGCTGCCCAGGATGACCAGGTAATTGTCGTCGCGCGCCAGCGGCTGCGACAGGTCCAGTCCGTCGTTGAGCGAGCCTGCGTTGTACAGGCCCGTGTGGCCCTTCAACTCGGCCTTTTCGTACTCCGGCCGCCACGCGATCCACAGGTACTCCATGACGAGCCCTGCCAGCAGCAGCACAGCATACGCGACATACGAGGGGCACCGCACAGACCGGCCTCCCGGCACCCGCACCGGTATGCCACGCTGCGCCTTTGCCTTGAAGTCCATGTTCATGACCATGTCGGCGAGGAGAACCCCCGTGACCGAGTACCACGCCCACGACTGCACCCACCACGCCGTCGCGATGAAGAACAGGAAGGCCTTGACCCGCCACGAGTTCCGCGTGTACGGGATGCAGATCATCGTCATGTACACCGTGTAGCTCTGCACGAAGACGATGCTGACGCTGAACAGCGTCTGCGACGGAAACGCCAGGCTGCCCTTCTGCGTCGCGTAGTTCTTGTTCACCCAGAAGATCTCGAACATCGAGTTGAACCAGTTGAGGAAGTTCTGGATGCGCTCCGGCGTCGCAATCGTCACGTTGCCCGTTTGCGCCTTGAACTCGTCCACGTAGCCCAGGCCCATCTGGTTGAGCACGACCGTCGACAGCCCGAAGGCCACAGCCGTGGGGATCCAGAGGCGGATGCCGCGGCGGAACACCTGGCTGGCCACGACCTGGCGACTCGGGTTCACCAGGAACGGGAGACAGATGGTGCGCGCCGAGAGCAGGACGATCGACGAGTAGATGAGGGACTCGTTCCAGAAAAGCACCGAGAAGACCTTGCGGAGGATGATCTGATAGAACGGGCCGTCGATGTTCTCAGCACCCTTCACCGTGGCCGGCGCGAACACGGTCAGGAAGCACCAGACAAACGACTGGACGACGAGGAAGCCACGGACGCCGACAAGCCAGTCATGGTCGGGCAGGAGCGACGGCGGCGAGCCGAAAGAGACAAGAGATTGCAGTAAAGATTTGCTGGGTGCAGCGGGAGAGCCGGCGTCGTCCTTCTCGGAGGTTGGAAGGCCCATTGTGGATGTTCTCTGCTGGTTGCTGTGTGCAGGAGGGTGGCAGAGAGCTCTCTGAACATTTATCGCATCTCGCTGCACGGCCCGGGCAGGCAATACTGCGGCGGCATTGCCAAGGCAGCTGGTTAGAGTGGAAGCAGCAGATGGTCGAAGGGCAGCGAGGCCCAGCAAGGGCACCACGGACGATTTGCGCAGGCGCAGGGGGCGCGCGGCTCCCGGGCCTCGTGGAGGGCGGACAGCAGCCAAAGCGGCTTGGATCGTCAGGCCGGGCGGCACGCGAGGACCCGTAAGGAAGAGCACGACAGTCCTCTCATCCAGCAGCGCGCTTGCGTAATAGATAGAGATAGCTGGTGGTCCCGGCGCAGGTGCGCCGATCCGATCAGCCTTGGGCGCTGCCTGATAGCCATTTTCTCTAGCTTCCGGAGCTGGCTGGCAGCCAGCTAGCACGCTGCCGTGGTACCAACTTAGCGTTTCAGCCGATAAGCCTCTCCCGCCCGCCTGGCTCAGCCCCCGACCCGTGCGACAGGGGCCGTCAACAACGCTTGACGTGGGCAGCAAACAGTCCATCGCCTCCAAAATCGCAAGCCCACTCTCCGACGCCCGGCCAATTCTTCCGATCCCAGTCGTCGCTCTAGCCCGACCCGGTTCTCCGGCAGCGCAGGCAAACGCGATTCCCGGAGAAAATTCTCTATCAACTGCCTCCTGCACGCTACCTGCCGTGTCGCCCTCTGCTCTGCGAATAGCTCTTTCAGCCCGCACGTCCCTGCGCCTTGCAGCAATTCCTTTTCTTTTTACTTTATTTTTCTCCCTTCGGGGCCATCTCCTGCCCTGGCTAGAGATATTGCTCCAATCTCACCGCAAAGTGCCCAGGCCGGCCGTCAGGCCGCACTGCGCCGGCGCTCTGAGGTTTATGAGGGCCAAGGAAAAAAAAGAGAGGCGTACCTGCGTGCTTGAATCCAGGGAGATTCGTCGTTATACAAATTTATCACGCTCACCTGACGCTCGTGTCCGCCTTACCAGCTGTCATTTCCTTCGAAGGGCCGTTTTTGTGTCAGTCCGCAGCCACAAGCAACCCTCCCTTTTTCCTGGCCGGGGTGGGCGCCCCTGTTGTCTCTCCACATCTCTTCTGTTGTGCGAGCTCCTAAAATTTTCCCTTGTGACACCCGGAGTCGGTCCCCGGCCAGAAACGGTTGGCTGGCGGCGCAGCTAAAACGTCATTTGGCTTGGGCGCGTGGGCGCCTCTTCCGGGGTCATCCCAACGACACTCCCCAAAGACGGGAGAGCAGCGTGCCATTATCATCTCAGCCGTGTCGGTAGCGTCATCGAACCGTGGTCATCAATTAGGCTTATCGAAAAGTAAAAACCAATGTATGTGCAGTGCTGTGTGCGCCCATCTTCGCCGCAGGTATTCCCCAAGTCCGTCTAGAAATCCGCAACAACGTGTAGAAAAGGAAACATGTACATGAATACAATGCATTGCGCAGGGGGCCGCGGCTGCATGCAGCTGCCCTGTCTGCACCCCAAGCGAGCCGCTACGCTACGCTACGACCGTGCCGTGGGGTTCCAGTTGCTGTAGTTGACCAGCTGGCGCGCGTTTCCGTACAACCCGATCGTAGCGTTCAGCACCAGATAGAACGGGTACAGCACCGAGAACATCACGATCATCCTCAGGTTGACAAACTCGGACCGCACGCGCGCCGTGATCCACAGCGTCGCAATGAGACAGGCAATACTGCAGCGGGTTAGCCCATGCTCCGAAACATCATGTGGGGGAGGGAAACATACGTGATGATGAAGAACCAGACAGAGACGGGGAACGTGAACCAGATGAGCTTGGCGAGCTGAATCGGGTCATGCGGCCACTTGGTGATTACGAAGCCGAACACGAGGCAGGTGTACTGCGTTACGAGGTAATAGCTGAGCTCGCGGATCAGCAGGAGAGAGAAAAGGCCGAAGCGGACCTTCGCTCTTCGAGGCGAGCCCTCGGGCGACTTGTTGTATGCAAGCTTGCAATGCTTGATGCTCGCCTGCGTCCAACCCTGCGCCCACCGCAGCCTCTGCTTCCAGAAGGACGCGAGGGTGGTGGGGGCAAGCTCGTACGACACGACGTTCAGGTCGTGGACCGTGTTGGCGCCACGTGACACGGCTCTCAATGCAGAGTCGATGTCTTCAGTGAGCATGTCGCCGTCCATTCTGAGATCCTTCAGCAGCGAGGCGCGCCAGTAGCCGTTAGACCCGCAGAACAGGCCAAATTCCCACATGGTAGCACGACCGGGGTGTGAAACGGCGTAGATCTTGTCAAACTCGACAGCAATCATGCTCGCGAGCACGCAGTCCTTGGAGTTGAAGACGACGCAGCGACCCTGCACAATGTCCACGGTCGAGTCCTGGCAGAAGCGCTCCGCGGCCCACCGCGGCCCATGCGGGTGCGGGTAGTGATCGCAGTCGTAGATGGCAATGACGTCTGAGCCGGTGTCGAGGGTGAAGAAATAGTTGAGGTTGTCTGCTTTAGACGTCGACCTGGGGACCTTGATGACACGCAGCTGGGGGAACTTGGACTGAAGGTCGCGCAGCTCCGTTTCGAGCGGCTCGATGGGCTGGGGCGTGTTGTACAGGATGTTGATGCGGATCTTGTCGACGGGGTACACGATCTTGGTCAGAGCGTGCAGCGCGCGGTCCATAATGATGTCCTTCTCGTTGGGGAGGTAGGCAACAATCAGGATGTCGATGATTGGCAGGTCCGCCTCGGGCGTCGGGAAGCTCCAGCCCTTCTCCTCGGCCTTGGCCACGGCCCTGCGGGCATCGCGGACCGGGGAGAGGCTCAGGAAGGCCTCGATGACGGTCGAGGCGGAGATGTAGAAGTTGGTGGCCAGGTAGACAAACCAGAAGATGCCGATCCACTTGTGGGTGGCGACCATGTAGATGCACACGGAGAAGATAAAGTAGGAGAGAACCAGGCCAAAGGGGGTCCACTCGGTGATGAAGTCGGACAGGCGGGCCAGCAGGCCCGGCTTGGTAGAGGAGTCGGGCAGGCCTCCATCAGACGAAGAGGAGGAGCTATAGAACGACTTGGAGTGCGGCTGCTCCTCGTCAATGGTGACGGTGAAGTCCTTGCTGTCAGCCATGGTGGGTTGGGCGCGAGGCGGAAACGACAGTGGCTCTCCGGAGGAGACTCCCAGCGGAGGCGGCGAAGAAATAGCAAGTGAGCGACGGGCGAAAACGAGCGATTGCCGGTCGACGGCTTGAGATGGGCAAAAAGATATGGGCCCGAATTGGCAAGGCCGCTCTTGGGGGGAGGATGGGTGGCACCGGGCGGCGGGCCAGGGCGGCTTCCATGCGTCGGTAAATTTCCCATCATCACCATCGCGACCAGGGTGGGCCCTGCGGTCACCATGGCCTCCTCGCCGGCGTCTGCACGGCTACGCGACGGCGGGCTCGCCGCCTTGCGTGTCGACGCACTTGCAATATTGGAAATGAGGAAGTGGCCATGGGGGCGGCGCTGATAGGCGGGCGGGCGGGCCTGGCGGCGGCTGCAGGCTCTGGCGGGCGCGGCTGTCGCGAGCTCGTCGTCTGCGCGGGATCGGCCAGCAGCATGTCTGCGGTGGGTGGGTGCGGTGCGGTGTGGTGGGCAGCAGAAGCGAGACAGGCACAGGTACCTAAACAGGCACCGGCGCGCGACAGGGGGCGTGGCTAGCGCCTGCCGATCATCCGCGACTACTTAGCGCCAGCTGCTGTCAATCCACACCACCGACTCGCTGCTGGGATTCGGCCCGCGCGCGCACACGCCGCCGCGGGCAGCCAGATGCGCCCTCCACCACGCCGTGCAGCACTCGATCTGGCCCGTCTGCCGATACGAACAGCTCGAAGCTTTCCCTCCTGCCAAGCCAGGTACCTGGCGGCCAGCTGCATGCGCGCGCGCAAGGACCAGGGCCCACGCTGCCAGGACGGCTGCTACCCAAGCTTCTTTCCTGATGCCGTGGCCCGCCCTTTCCAGCGCTGCTCCGATGGCTTCCTCTTCTGGCCGATAGCAACATTAAACGCCCTGCAACCCGCCTTTCCACGGCTGGGTGCGCGCTCGTTCTCTCTCCCTTCCTTGCCGTGCCGTCCTTCACTCCACCATGCGGTTCTGCCTGGCCATTGGCCTTCTCTTTTCGGCCACCGCTGCCGTGGCCGCCGCCCCCGACTGCTCGTGCGGCTTCTACGATGCCGCCACTGGCGACCTCTTCACCGACTCTCTGATCCAGTACTTCAACGAGACCTCGGACCTGGACCAGTTTGTGCTTGAGAACTTCGAGCATAAGTCTGAGAAGAGCTGGAACAGCAAGTTCCGCCAGGGCGCCCTCCCCGACAACGTCGTTGCCAACTACACCGTCTCCAACAGCAATGTCACCAATGGCTCCTCCCTCGGCCTCATCTGCGACCCCTACACTGAAGCCCACCTGGTCAATGGAGGCAGCATCAGATCCAAGCGCCGCGATATCCAGTACGGCTCCTTCCGCTCCCTCATGCGCGGCCCCGCTATCAACGCCGGCGGCAGTTCCATGACCATGAGGCTGCAGTTCAACGAGACCGAGTCCCTCGAGATCAACGTCATGAACACCGACGCCTATGCAACTGCCTGGGTCAATACCCTGATGCAGGGCGAGTGGCCAGACCGTGATCTGGGCATCAACTACACTATCCTCGGCAACAGTTCTCTGGTCAACGGCACCGCCTCGCCCCAGGACTTCATCGAGTTCCGCATTGACTGGACCGACAAGGAAGTCCGCTACTTTGTCGGCCAGAACAACAGCCGCACCGTCACCAAGAAGGAGCACGGCTCCATCCCTATGACGCCCTCGCCCTTGTACTTCCGCCACTGGTCCATTGGCAACACCTACGCCATGGAGGGCCCCCCCTACTGGCGGTCTGCCGCCAACGTCGGCTGGATGCGCATGTTCTTCAACACATCGACCATGACAGACGAGCAGCACGACGACTTCGACGCCAGGTGTACCGTCGAGGATGCCTGCTCCATGGACGACATGAGCCTTCGGCTGGTCTCGCCTTACAACGTCAATGCTACGGTGAAGTGGAAGCATCACGATGCCCGTGGAGGACTCCTCACCGCACCCATATGGATGTCGGTCATCATGGCCATCTTCTCAACCTTCTTGTTGATCCATGCGTTCGTCAAGAAGGCGGTCGGCAAACAGGCCGCCGCTGGCCATGGGCACGGCCACGCGAAGGAAACCGGATCGGATTCCGATCGCTCCTCACCGGTTCCCGCCTACAGATCCACCGAGCCCAGCATCATCGCATCCAGCAGCGCAACCCCCTTCAACCAAACGCGGCCTTCGACTCCGGACAAGAAGAACAGCGACGAAGCGCATCCCCGACGCTCGGACTTTACTCCGTCCGCATCGGGAACCTCGACTCCACTGCCCCGCTACGAGAGCAGGGAATATCTTGGCAGATATGATGAGGATGCGATAAGTCCTGTTTCCTCGACGCCGACTTTGCCGAACGGCATCCCTGACTCGTCTGCGTATCCTCCGCCTTCGACCAGGGCCTCGTCGCTCAAGAACGCCGTAGTCTACACCGACGATAGTGCCATGCCTGAGTTTGCACTTCCCGATTCGGCCAGGGATTCTGCGCAGACGCTTGTTCCCAGAACTCCCATCTCACCTCTCATGCCCAAATCGCCCTCCTCCCCGGCACCATGGTCACCAAAGAACAGGGAGAAGGGCTTCGGAACTGCCAGAGTCAAGGAAGTGTCTGAAGAACCCCGGGAGCACCCCCTCAAGACCGCTACAAATGCGGGTGAAGCTAAACCTGCAGACAAGATCCCCACCGCAAAGAAGGCACGTGTCGACTACTTGGCCGGACTGGTTGCGCTGTGCTCGATATTCGTCACCTTGATCCATTTCCATCTGACTTATGTGCCGGCCGTGGTCATTCCTGGAGCTTTCGTTCACTATCCCAGTGAGCTCTGGGCGGAAAAGCTCATCTCGCCGTTCATCATGAACCAGATGTGGCTTGGCGTCTTCTTCACGACTTCGACGCGCTTCCTGTCGGCAAGATATTTCCGTGAGGGCAAGCTGGAGGTCATTGCGGAGCGTGCTGTCAAGCGTGCGCCGCGTCTTATGATTCCTGTCACTGCCATGGTCCTTCTGGAATACTTCTTCATCGATGTCGGTGCGACAAAGTATCTCGAGTACGTGCCTTCGGTGTCTTGGTCAACCTGGGGCTACGTGGCCAAGTTTCCTACCGTGGGCCACTTCATCAGCGAGATCCTGGAGCTCGTATATCTCATCCCCAATGCGGTGCCTCAGATCACGTTCAACTACTGCACCGGTGTGCTCTGGACGATTGCGGTTCAGCTGCAGGGATCCTGGATTGTGTTGCTCGGAGCAATTGTCATCCGCGAGATCAAGACGCCTTGGAAGCGCTTCGGCTACTACGCCTTCTGTGTGCTGCAGAACTGGTACGCCAGGAATTGGGGCAGCTTCTTCTGGCTGGGTCTTATGCTCACCGACCTGGACATTACCTACAAGTGGCGCAAGTACCTGTATCCGCGGCCCTTGGTGTACTATCCGTTGATCAGCTTCTGTATCTTTATGACGCTCATCGGTTTCACGATGAACCTTCTGCCACAATGGGTCAGCTTTAACTTCACCACGCACGAGAACGGGATCCACCCGGACCAGGAGACTGGTCTTCCCATTGTGCAAACGGAGCGGTACGGATACCCCAACTACTACGAGCCCCGCTTCAACATGCTTCTATTCGCAGTCGGTATGCAGGCCATCGTGGAGCTGTCGACTGTAGTCCAGAAGATTTTGTCGTTCCCGGTACTGGTTTGGGTTTTCCCGCACATCTTCACAATCTACCTCATCCATGGCTTTATTTTCTGGAGCTGGGGCTCCTGGCTCCTCGTAACGTTGGCCCACAGAGATTTTGTTTACTGGCTAAACGCTCTCCTCGTTGGTGTGACTTGCTACGCAATCATCATACTCTCGTTGCCGATTGTCACGCCTGCCATTGAGATCCTTGGGCGCGACATCACCATCAACATCTGGGAGTTTGCCAACCAGAAACCGGCGCCAAAGAAAGACACGCTGTTCCCGTTCAACAAGTACGAACTTGGCATGGATGGAAACAAGAGCGAAGGCCAAGTAGTGGTCGAGGAGGTCAGAGAGGTCAGAGAGGAGCACTACGAGAAGCACCAGGTGAAGTTTGACGAGAAGAACATCGTCTGAAGGACGAAGGCATGTAAGTTGGAGTTGGTGACGTTTCCTCTTTCTTCTCTCCCGTTTTTCTTTTTTTATTTTTGCAACGTGTATCCGAAGTGGTGTCCCCCCAGCACATAAAGCGGACTATGCTATGAAAGTACGAGTAGACTGTGCCAAGGAATGTAATGGATATCTGGCGTTGTCGATAGATGCTGTTTGTTGTTCATACCCTGGCACCATACATAGACATGAATTCCTGTCATTTTGCCGATAACGCGCTGTATGCCTTGCTTCCCGTCCCACGTGAATTGCCGCATGACCTCGAAATGTTGTTTTCTTTCCGCTTTGGATGCGGAGACTAGCCGTTGGAGGAAAGAGTGGGGTGTTGCAAGGCTGATAGTCCAAAGTGGCGCATGATCAAAACGCAGGAACACCAAGTTTTCTTCCCGACCAATGTCCCACAGGCTCCACCGGACAAGCTATCTTGGTTCCCGTTCCATGACGGTTGATTTACGTAGTGTACCTTCGAATCTCCACCGCCCTGAAACCCCCAAGACAAAGGCGACAGCGGTCTAGCATCGCAAGGACCGGCTGGTGACCCAACTGTGTCTGCAAGATACATACAACAAGCATGCACTCGCAAACATCGATCGAGTTTCTACAATCCGGTTCGACCATCTGACCGACATCTGCCCGGCATGTTCCGACAAAGGATGTTAATAATGTCCCCCTAGACGGAACAACGGCCGGCGCTTCTGCCTTTTCCGTATCCCGCTGGCTCATCGGTCGATCCTGTTTTCGACAGGGAGAAGAGGTCCGTTGCCCGTACCCGCGTACGTGCCTCTCGGTCCGACCAGGAGCCTGAAGAAGCTCATGAGCTTAACAAGTAGGCTTGGTTCACGCTCATTCTTCTGCCGCTTTTCTGTGGGTCACGCTCCGCCCGGGGTTGCGAAGACAGCAGACGTCCACCAAGGACAACGGTGTAGACCCCTGTCAGCAATCTAAGAGGACACACTTCAGCTTTTGGCCGGATGGGCTGTAGTGAGGTGACTAGTCAATAGTATTCTTCAGAGAAACAACGGTGTATCACAACACTGATGTAGTATTTGAGTGAGTATAGGTTGACGAAGAGTAAGCTAAGGGGAAAGAAGAAAAGAAAGACAAGTCAGGTGGTTCCTTGGGTCTCTTACAGAGGGGCATTGCAGCCGATGGCTAGCGTGGATTTATTTTTCGCCCATGCCATGGGTAATAAATCTACATTTACATCCGGATGATAGCTTCAACTACCCATATATGTTCCTTTTCTTCTTTTTCACAAAAAAAAAAGAAAAGAAAAATAAGAACCGAGGCATACTTACGCTATGTTCTATGTGCTATTCTTCACGCTGGCCATCGGCTGCAGTACCCCTCGGTATAGACCAAACAGTTCGTTTAAGATCGGTGCAGGCCAACTGTTGACGGCCGGAAACAAACAGCATTCACGTCTTCGATTCGTGCTTGTAGGCGATCCGGCAACGGGAGGTACGCCGTCTCAAGCGGCTGCTTCATCGCGCCATGGAGGACACGCCGGAAGACGAGGCCTTCGTGCACTCTTTCCAAGCCAATCCGGAGTCTATTCCCTGTCCAAGATGACTCTACTGCGTCCCGAAATCACGCAGTCAAGCGCCGAGTGGAAAAAACACCTGGCGGAAAAGTGCCTTATAGCCGTCAACATCTGCAAGTAGCGGCTAGCCTTGAACGTGGCATCGTATCCCTCAGCAAACGGCAGCTGGGGCACGAGCAACCTCGGCATCGTAGCCCATCAAGCGAACGGCAGTGGGGTTATCGACTGGGGGTTCCGTATAGCAGGGCTGGGTGCTTCTTTTATAGCGTTGGTGCCGCCCGTCCATCTGTGGTTCGTTTGGGAGGGATGCAAACGAGAGGATATCGGCCGAAGTCGGAGATGATACGTATCTATGCCCGGCGACAAAGGAAGACGGGGGATTGCGGGCGAGGCGTGGGAAAAAGCCGGCTCGTGACTAGGTTCTGACGTCCCGCGCCGCGCTCCGTTGCCGAAGGCTGGCCGAAAGCGATCCGGGCTGGCAGCGCCCAGCTTTTGCATCTTCTCGCTGCACCTCCGCTGCAACACCAGGACCCCGTCCGCCGCCATCCCAGCCCCTCCCCTCTCCGCTCTTCAATTCGTCACAATGCTGGCCCGGAGCTCTCAGCGCACTGCCCAGGTACCCTCTCTCGCCCGCGCCTGCGCCGGGACGTGCTCACGGCTAACGCCCTCTCTCAATAGACGCTTCTGCGCGGCGCCTCGCCCGCCACCCGCTCCTTCGCGACCGTGCAGAGCGACATCTTCAAGCCCACCAAGTTTGGCGGCAAGTACACCGTCACCTTGATCCCCGGTGATGGTGTCGGCGCCGAAGTCTCGGAGAGCGTCAAGCAGATCTTCAAGGCCGACAATGTCCCCATTGAGTGGGAGCAGGTCGATGTGTCCGGCGTCGACTCGGGCAGCAAGCACAGCGAGGACCTCTTCCGCGAGTCCATCGCCTCGCTGAAGCGCAACAAGCTTGGCCTCAAGGGTCCGCCGTCCCCAGATGCCCGGCCCAAGGGAACGCCTCCAGCTCACCATCCTCACAGGTATCCTGCACACTCCCGTCGAGCGCTCCGGCCACCAGTCTTTCAACGTCGCTCTCCGCCAGGAGCTCGACATCTACGCCTCCATTGTCCTGATCAAGAACATCCCCGGCTACGAGACGCGCCACAAGAACGTCGACCTGTGCATCATTCGTGAGAACACCGAGGGCGAGTACTCCGGCCTCGAGCACCAGTCCGTCCCCGGCGTCGTCGAGTCGCTCAAGATCATCACCCGCGCCAAGTCCGAGCGCATTGCCAAGTTTGCCTTTGCCTTTGCCCTCGCCAACAACCGCAAGAAGGTCACCGTCATCCACAAGGCCAACATCATGAAGCTGGCCGACGGTCTCTTCCGGAACACCTTCAAGAAGGTCGCCGAGGACTACCCCACTCTCGAGACCAACGACATGATTGTCGACAACGCCTCCATGCAGTGCGTCTCGCGCCCTCAGCAGTTCGATGTCATGGTTATGCCCAACCTGTACGGTGGCATCCTGTCCAACATTGGTGCTGGCCTGGTCGGCGGTCCCGGCATCGTCCCTGGCTGCAACATGGGCCGTGACGTCGCCGTCTTCGAGCCTGGCTGCCGTCACGTCGGTCTCGACATCAAGGGCAAGGACCAGGCCAACCCCACTGCCATGATCCTGTCCGGTTCCATGCTCCTCAGGCACCTGGGCCTCGATGACCACGCCAACCGCATCTCCAAGGCCGTCTACGACGTCATCGCCGAGGGGTGAGTATTTCCCCAACCCTGGCGAGAGAACAGCCGTGCTAACCCCCCGAACAGCAAGACCAGGACCCGCGACATGGGCGGCAGCGCCTCGACCCACGAGTACACCAAGGCCATCCTGACCAAGATGGAGGAGCAGATCTAAACAAAAACAAAACATGTAGGTTTGGGGTATTAGACGCGTTAGAGGCTGTGGCATATAGGTGTATTTCTAGCCGTACATAGCTTGCATCGTGCAGAGTGATATCTTCCATTTTTATATCCATAACGCCGTCCTTTCTCAAAACGCCGCAAATGCACCCCGGGTATATCTCGTGCGAGACTTCGAATGCCCGCCCCCTAGAACTGGATTCTTCTCTTCCTGCCAGTGTATTTGGACGAAGCCTTGACAACCTTGCCTTTCCTCTCCATCTGTTCCTTCTTGCGCATGATCCACGCCTTGCTCCCCTTCTTGTCCTCTCCTCTCTTCATCTGCGACTTTCGCTTCCTCGAGTCCATCACGTCGACGTTGTCCATGCCCTTGACAACGCCCGTGATATCTCCCTCCAGCTCACCTCCGCCGACAGTCAGAACAAGGTATGTCTTGGCACTCTTGGTGCCGGGGTCGTCCTCGAGCAGGCCTGCGCCGAAGCCGGCGCGGATGGCGGCCTGGCTGATCATGCCCTTCTGCTGGTCGTTCTTAGGGTAGAACTGGCAGACGGCGCGGCCGCCGCGACGCAGGCTCGCGTACAGCCCGCCGAAGAAGCGGCTCAGGCGACCCTGGGCCGTCTCGTCGCTGCTCTCGGCGTTGCACAGCCACTGGACGGCCGAGATGCTGATGGCGGCATCGAAAGTGCCGGGGCGGAAGGGCACGCCCTGGCCCGCGTCGGCCAGGAATAGGTCGCCCTCGACCTCGCGCTCCAACGCTACGCCCAGCATCGACGGCGAGATGTCCATGCCGATCCACGTGTGCGGGCCGCCCTCGGCCGGATCCGTGGACGACAGGATCTGCCCCGACAGCCCGGAGCCGCAGCCTACGTCGAGAATGAACGAGGGCCGCCTCAGGTCGAGGAGCTCGAGCGCGCGCTTCGTCATGGACGCCTGGATGTGCTGGATACGCGAAGACGTCGTGTACTTGTGGGACTCGGAGTCATTGTAGAAGAGGTCCGGCGGGCTGCGCGAGGTGTCAGTGGGGCGATGGCTAGGAAAAGTACAGGTGGAGTGCACATACAGAATGTCTTCGGGGCGCGACATGGCTGCGTCCTGGGTGTATATTGGCCGCTTTTACGGCGACTTTCGTGGACAACACGGGGGTACGAAGCTGGAGGCGGTTTTGCGACGCGGATTGCGGGGTTCGACGGCGGCGGACAGCAGCGGCGTGCCGACGTCCAAAAGTTTGGTGTGTTCAACGCCAGCGCGCACTGACCCGATGCGGATCAGATAAGATCTCTCGCGCGAGCTGGCGACGTCAGCCGCTTGTCTCGAGGCCACCTCGCTCGCTTTTTCTCACCCACGTTCATTCCCTTTCTCTACCACCTCGCAAAGAAACATGTGGGTGTTGCCACTGGTGGGCTATTTGGGCCTCATCCTAGGCTTCGGCTTCCTCACCCTGGCCATTGGTACGCCCGCCTGACCCTTGGTCGCGCGCATTGAAGGGGGCATGGCTGACTGTCGCCTCTAGCCTCGGGCCTGTACTATCTTTCAGAGCTTGTCGAGGAACATACGGTCCTCGCAAAGAAGCTGCTCACGCGCATGATCTATGCCGTGATGGTGCTGCAGCTATTCCTGTGGCTTGTCGATAGCTTCCCCCTCAGTTTGAGCATCCTAAGCATCGTGTCTCACGTCGTCTATGCGCAAAACCTGCGCCGCTTCCCCATTGTCAAGCTGACCGACCCGCTGTTCATACTATCCTGCAGTAAGTGCCCCGACGCGGTTGTGAGGGCGCTGACAACCAACTCCCCAGTCCTGGTCCTTATCAACCATTATCTGTGGTTCCGCCACTTCTCGACGCCTCCTCCTCGCTCAAACTACTACCCGTACAACACCAGCCGCGACTACTCGATTCCGACTTTCACTGAGATTGCATCATACTTTGGGCTTTGCGTGTGGCTGGTCCCGTTCGCGCTCTTTGTGTCTCTCAGCGCCGGGGAGAATGTGCTGCCGAGCATGGGCAGCGAGTACGCGACGGGTGAGGGAAGCAGCTTCATTGCACCCGGCCAGGAGCCGAGCGGCGGTGCCGCGAAGAAAGCCAATGTAGGACTGGCCAAGGCGGCGGTTGACGGCGTGAGGGATTGGCTGGGCGAGACGGGCGAGGTCATGGGATTCTGGAAAGGCGACAGGGTGAAGCGTTTCTAATTCGCAAGTTCCGAGGCTGGCCGGATTGCCTTGATCGTTTTTCCTCGTTGCGCTAGCTTCCAAGCGGCGCGAATGACATACGAAAGTCGAGTGTCCAGAGCTAATGGCGTCGTGCCTTGCGGGCGGGCTGCATTCACAGGCATTCGAAGCAAATGTTGGATGCAGGTTAAAGTGTGCAAATTCGCCCGTGCAATGGGTTCAACCGCCCACGCGCGCGGAGTAGCAGCTTGCTAGTGAAGATGTTGTGGCTTGGCAGGCGGCGAGCTTCCGCTTGTCTCGGGGCCTTCCGCTGGCGTCATCTCACAACTCGAGCCTCAAATTCCATCAACCCAGTCCGTCAAAGGGTCGCTTGCCCTCTTTCCATTTGAAAATGCGTGTTGCTGCAGCTATCATCCCCGCACTGCTCGCGCTCGCCGCCCCGCCCTCGTCAGCAGCGCAATTGCCGTTGCAATGGTCGGAGCAGCAGCAACTGAGCAACCCCACTCCTGACGGAAAGGCCATTTCTGCAGACGGCAACGGCCACCTGCTCCCGCTGCCTACGCTGCATGAGCTCCTGACGCTGCACCGCGAGATCGTCAAGATTGAATCCATCAGCGGCAATGAGTACAAGGTCGGCTGGTGGCTGGTGTCGTACCTGAAGGAGAATGGCTTCAACGTCGAAACGCAGAGAGTTGGCGTTGGAGAGAAGGGGAACACGAGGTTCAACGTTCTTGCCTGGCCTGGCGAAAAGAAATTCACGAAGTTGCTGGTCACCAGCCATATCGACACGGTCAGTCTTCAACTCCATTCCGGGTTTACTTAGGCTGATATCTACAGGTTCCCCCTTACCTGCCGTATTCATTCGACACCAAAGACGACAAGATATATGGCCGCGGTAGCGTCGATGCCAAAGGCTCCCTCGCGGCCCAGGTCACGGCCGTCATCTCGCTGCTTGCCAACAGCAGCTCCCCGCTGGACCCCAACGACGTATCCTTGCTCTTCGTTGTCGGCGAGGAGACAAGCGGCGATGGCATGCGCACCTTCTCCGACTCGCCGCTGAACCCGCTCAACTACAGCGCCGTGCTGTTCGGCGAGCCGACCGAGAACAAGCTCGTCAGCGGCCACAAGGGCAGCATGGGCTTCCGAGTGCACGTGACCGGCAAGGCCGCCCACTCGGGCTACCCGTGGCTGGGCGTCAGCGCGAACAACATCCTCGTCAAGGTCCTGAGCCGGTTGATCGACCTCGAGGCAGGCACAGTCGAGGGCGCGGAGCTGCCGTGGAGCGACAAGTATGGCAACTCGACGCTGAATGTCGGCACCGTGTTCGGCGGCGCTGCAGGCAATGTTGTCGCGGAGACGGCAAACTCGACCATCGCTGTGCGGTTGGCAGGCGGTTCCCCGTCCAAAGTGGAGCGAGAGATCGAGAAGGCGCTCGCGCCCGTGATCGAAGAGGTGGAGAAGGCTGGTGGGAAGGTTGAATTTGAGTATCGTAATAAGGGATATGGCCCTGTCGACATGGACTGCGATGTCGAAGGCTTTGACTGCATCGCCGTAAACTACGGCACAGATGTCCCGTGGCTCAAAGGCGATCATAAAAAGTATCTGTACGGTCCTGGAAGCATCTTTGTGGCCCATTCGGCGCACGAGGCGATTGCCGTGCGCGATCTCGAGCAGGCGGTTTTGGATTACCAGAAACTCATCCTCGGCGCTCTAAAACAATAGAGGAGACCAGCTGCTTGAGTAATAAATCTATGAATTGGACCAAGCACCTCGGCGATCATGACTCGACCGCGACGTCCTCTCCACGATGTAGCGAGTCAGTGAGCGTGAACATTTTCCCTTGCGGCAGTTTCGCCAGTGCCCAGCTCCGTACCAACCAAGCCTGCGACGCTCCTTGGCCCTAAACGCTACATACCTCTCTCGTAAGCCTGGGTCTTCGTTCGCGCGACCACCTTGGCCCGTCATCCGGCTTTCCAAGTTCTCGGACCGAGCAAATACAGCACAACGCCGATTTTTCTTCCCCTCCTGCGCCCGAGAATACCTACGGCACACAAGCCCAAACGCAACCATGGCGCCGCCTCCCCGCAAACGTGCGAAGACAGCCGAGCGACGCGAAGAGATCACCTTCGATGACTCGGCGCGCGCTGAGTACCTGACGGGTTTCCACAAACGCAAGCAAGCCCGCATCAAGCATGCGCAGGAGCAGGCCGCCAAGCGCGAGAAGGAGGAGCGCGTCGCCCAGAGAAAGGAGGTAACGTGCCCTCGATCCTTTTCTCCCCGTGAGGATGCTTAATTATCCCCCCCTTTACTTTGTCACTCTCTGGGCATGGTTTCGTCTGATGATTTTCATATGCGCATAACCATCGTACATAGTCAGGCCCAAAATCTCGGGTTTAACGGAGGGCGTGGGAGAGCCTTCTCCGCCATGCTTACGGCGGTCACCTTTTGCCTGTGTTTATTTTTCCATGTGTCAATGCGCTAACGACATTCCTTTATTGCAGCTGCGGCAACAACGCAAGGAAGACCTCGAACGCCATGTCGCTGAAGTCAATCGCATGCTGAGACAGGCGAACCCCGATCTGGAATCCTCTTCGGACGATGAAGGGGAGTGGAACGGTATCGAGGACGGCGACGGAGGGCAGAAGCAAGAAGTCGTAGACCACGAGGAAGAATACGTCGACGAAGACAAGTACACAACAGTTACAGTAGAGACGGTGGACATCGACCGGGACGGCTTTAAGACAAAGCACACTGGTGACGAGGACGGCGATGAGGATCAAGAGGACGAGGAGGATGAGGAAGGGCAGGAAGCTGGAAAAGAGGCGGAAGAGAAGGCCAAGGCGAAAGGCAAGCGAGTTTGGACCGCGGAGAAACCGAAGAGCGACAAGCCGAAACGGAAAAAGAAGAAGTTCCGGTATGAGAGCAAGACAGAGAGGAAGGTGACGCGGGACAAGCAGAAGGCGAAGAATAGGACGCAGGCCCAGGCGCGCAAGGCGAGAGGGAAATAGATGCGGCAGAGAAGATAATCCATCTCAGATAGCGGCGGTCGATCATAATGGCGGGTGCACGCACCCCTGAGTAAGTAGCTTGAGTTACGACCTCATGCACGACAGACAGTCAGGTAGTCAGGGGTAGAGGGTTGCTATGTCACTGAGGAAGAACTACCAACAGAGAATTGCAGAGCCGTGAGGCCTGCGTGACAGCGGCACCGCCCACGCCCACCAGGTTCTAACGCTGAGAACAATGTGCCAAGCCATAAGGTTCGCTCGTTGTGATGACGAAATTGTTGTTGTAAAGGAGGAGGCAGACGCCGGGAATGGAATTAGATGTTGCCAATCTCGTTGACGAAGTCGTCCAGCTCCTTCTTGGTGTCGGCGTACTTCTTGGCCATCTCCTCGTACTTGGCCTCCCACTGGTCCCGCTCGGCCTCGAGAGCCTGCACCTTGCGCTCGTAGTGGCCTGCCCGCACGTCGGTCTGGCGGAGCCTGGCGGAAGCGTGTCAGCATTGTGGGGGACACGTAGCGGGGTGGAATGGTGAGTGGAACGATAACGACGTCTGCAAGTGCGCACGCACGGAAACCAGAAGCGCTTCGGGGTCAGGAAAGTGACGTACTTCTCGTTCGTCTCGCGCAGGTTCTTGTCCGCCTCCTCGGCCTCCTCCTCGAGCAGCTGCACCCTCCGGGTCAGCGACTCGTTGTGGGTGCCTGCCTGGGTGCTCTCGTCGGCGATGGCCTTGGCGTCCTTCACGTTGCTCTCGAGCTTCTCGACCTCAGCCTCGAGCAGCTGGTTCTTGTGGGTGAGCGAGGTAATCTCCTGCTCCTTGGCCAGGTTCTCCTGTTCCAGGCGCTTCTTGTCCGCCGACAGCTCCTCGACCTTGGCGGTGGCTTCGTCGGCCTCGATGCGGAGGGCGTTCATGCGCTGGGCAAGAGCAGTGGTTAGCGCGACTCGTCTTCACGCGAGGCTGGGCGCAGCCGGAGGCGGCGGGCGAGCTTGTGATTACTCGGAGACCCTGGAGGGGTAAAAGAGGGGCTTGCTCACCTTCTTGATGGCGTCCATGATGGGCTGAGCAGAGGGTGGGGATGTACAGAGATGGGTGCAGGTTGCGCAGGGCGACAGCGGGTATAAGGACGTTGACAGAGGTAGATGGGATGCGGTGGTGGAGCGGAAGGTGACAGAAGGTAGTGCGTTGTTCGTCGCGGCGCGCGGGCGGTGACCAGGGGGCGGAGCTGCCAGGGGGCGCCTGCCACCCTGCGCCTGCCGCCCACAGTACATAGGTGCCGAAAGATCTGAGCCATCGCAACGGATTTCTATCAGCCCATTACGTCGGTAGCTGAAGCTACCATCCGGACGCAATTATTAAATGGACGTCTACGTCCGGAGGGTAGCTTCAGCTACCTACGTAAGTCGGGTGCCGTTGGCTGCGAAGATGGTCGCGGAGCATCGTTTCTTTTGGCACCTTCGTGCCGCTCGCGCCCGGGCCCCGTTGCCCCGGCCCCGTTGCCGCTGTAAACAAACACTCACCCTCGCACAACCTCCACTCCACTCCGCTCCCCGTCCATGCGACTGCAACAATGCTCGCCGCACACACTGACCAGGAGAATCTTGCCGCTGCCCATCGCCAGGCCGCCGCGGCAAAGCCGCTCAATGCCGGCTCCAGAGCATTCGGTGCAAAGACGCCCGCCAACAAGCCCCCCAAGACGCCCTTCAGAGTCCCGCTCAACGACGAAAATGGGACCATCCGGGCGGGCAAGGCTGCATTGAACACTTTTGGCAACGGTGCCGAAAGTCAATTGCTGCCCACCGGCAAGAAAGGCGCCAAGGCAGACAGCAATGCCTTCGTCACGCCTGCGGGTTGGTCATGATAAAGCCCGACCACCTCACGAGGCGCAGGCTAACAGACATGACCAGGTCCCCGCACGCGTGCCCCATTGGGCATGAAGACGACCAATGCCAAGGCAGCTGCCTTCGCCACGCCTGCGCCGCATACGGAGCCAGACTCTGGTGCGAAGAGCAGCGGCCCGCGCCTGCGCCGTCCCAAGGTGAAGGTCCACCAAGCTTCCCCGGCCGTAGAGCTTGCCCAAGATGAGGAACGCGACATTGAATATATGCCGCCGCGGGAGACCCGTATGTTTCCTTCCCGCTGCTCGCCCTCCACTGGTGCATTGTGTGCTAATTGACCTTCGCAGCGCTTCCCGATGACCCTGAGGACTGGCCAGCTGATATGAAGTACCCCCAACTGCAGGGAAAGAATCTGATGCGTGGCGTCTACGAAGTCTACTATGACCCGGTCGATGATGATGGCGTGCGCCTTTCTGACAGGCGAATTGCCGAACAAAAGGCCAAAATCAACGCCAGACACGAGGCATTGCTTCAGAAAAACATCGAGGAAACCCTCGGACCATTGACTGATGAGGAGCGCGAACTTTTCGGATTCACTCTTGCACCAAAGCCCGCACCCAAATCCCAGCCCGGTGCAGTCCGGCCGGCAAGCGTTGCAAGCATTTCCAAGCCTACCGCCGCCAGCTCTCGCCGGCCATTGAGTGCAGCTGCAGCCTCCAGGCCGGCCGGTGTCACCTCTCGCGCTGTTGCCTCCGCGCTCGCAAATGCTCCCGAGTCCACCGCTTCTATGCGGGCCCATGCGCGCTCCCGCTCTGCGCTGTCTGCCACTGCGCCCCCGGCCACTGCTCAGCCTCGCCAGAGGCCCATCGCACCAGCCGCACCGGAACCTTCCAACCCTTCCAGTATGAGGCACCAGGCTGCCACCGCTGCCTCACGCACGACTCTAGGCTACGGAAAGGGTCGGACGATCGGAACTTCTGTCCGGAAGCCGCTGGGTACATCATCTGGTAACCAGCAGCGCTCTATCTCCCAGGGAACCACTGGTCTCGGCAATTCGAGTGCCCGCCCCGCAGGACCGGCACGTTCCCGTTCAGCTTGGTCGCGCCATGGTCCAGACATGACGCTCGCAGCCGATGTCCAGTCTCGGGACGAGAACGACGACCCAGAGATGGAGATGATTCGAGAGATGGCGCTCCGGAACCTCCGTCTGAACGATAGACTGGATGGCGATGACTGGTTTAGCCAGGCACAGGCTGGTAATCTTGCGTTCGATATTGCTGATGAGGAAGAAGACTTCCAATTCACGATCTCTGAAGATTGAATTGCTACAACGTCATAACGACTCAATGAGCCTTCCAAAAGGCCGAGGTGTGAAGTCAGACACAACCTTGTAGAACCTCTCCTACTTGTCTCGACGTCTTGTCTTTCTTGATTTTACGTTCATTTTTGTCCTCTTCACCTGTTGGTTGGTTTGCAAGTTAAAATTTTGGGACATGGAAAATTGGGAATACCCTGGCCACAACGACGGCAGCATCGCGTAGGAATCAAGCCCCTGAAGGCATGGTACTTCGCTGTCAATTCGTCGTCAATTGCTTGAAGGCCCAAGCTGGCGCTCTACAAGGATTATGAAACTGGGGCGTGGATTTCATTGGATCAGCTTTGTTACAGCGCTGTACTTCTAGGCTCGGCCAACAAGTTCGTTTTGATCGAATCGCAGAAAATGTGAAAACCACTCGAATGGCCAAGCGCATCCACGGATAGGATTTAACCTTATCTCAACGAAATGCGGTCTTGCATTTGTGGTCAAGGTTTGCTTTGACGTTGTGCCATTGCCCATGGGAAGCTGCTAACACAATGTTCACGTGTTTACATTTTATCTTCCTCATCTACACGGCTAGATCCTAACACGCTTCAGCACTACTCTAGCTCCCTTGTAGTTTCCCCCCTTAATATTTTTTTAAGAAAAAAAAAACCGGAAAGGGGGCGGGGAGAGAATCGCCGTTTGCGGATGAGGTATGTACATGTTGTCAAATAATATTGCCCTTTGTGGTGCTTGGTCACACACACATCAATAAACGTCAACTTTTTCTCTATACCCTATCCTATTACGCACGTGCCTCTGCATCAATGTGACGAAAGGATGTCTTTGCTTGCTTTTCTCTTTTTGATGATAAAAAAACGTCGGTCGAGGCGTATCCCCGGCCATCCAAGCTCTTGTGAAACACATTATTTTCGAAGATTCCCATCGAGGTTCTCTACGCTGATCCTCAGAACCACAGACTCTTCAACCACTCAACTTAAGCATAGCCCTTAAGCACCGCAGCCTCGGCGTTCAGGATGGACGAGCCGGCAGCACCGATGACAGTGTTGTGGCTCAGCGCGACGAACTTGATGTCAAAGATGCCGCTCTCATCCTCCCGCACCCTACCAACGCTAACAGCGTAGCCGCGATCGGTCTCCCTGTCCAGCCTTGGCTGGGGCCTGTCGGCCTCGTCCATGACGACGATAGCATTCTGCGGCGCCGAGGGACAGCCCAACTGCTGGGCCTCGGACACGTACTCGCGCAAGGCCTGCTTGACCTCCTCGGCGCTGGGGGCGGGGCGGCGGGCGAATCTGAGCGAGACGCAGGCCGTATGGCCGTCGAGCACAGGCACGCGGTTGCACGCGGCCGAGACCTTAAGCGGCTGGTCCTCGAAGCCGGTGGCGTCAGCATTGACGGCACCGAGGATCTTCTGCGCCTCCGTCTCCAGCTTATCCTCCTCGCCCGAGATGAAGGGAACGACGTTGTCGATGATGTCCATGCTGCTGACGCCCGGGTAGCCAGCGCCCGACACGGCTTGCATCGTCACTACGCTGACCTCACTCACGGGGCCGAAGCGCGCCTGCAGCGCCGCGAACGGGATGACTAGGCCGATGACGGCGCAGTTGGAGTTGCAGACGAGGAAGCCCTTTTGTAGGCCGTGGTGCTGGCGCTGGTGGTCCAGCACCGACAGGTGGTTCAGGTTGACGGTGGGAACGACGAGCGGCACGAGCGGATCGCGGCGGTAGTTCTTCGCGTTGGAGAAGACGGCCAGGTTGGCTCTAAGGAAAGCCATTTCTGAGCAAAACAAAAGGCTTGTTGTCAGCGAGGTGAGCTATTTGTTAGCACTGTTCAGCAGTCCTCACCGACATCGCCCGCGACATCGCTGTCCAGGCCAGAGAAGACCAGATCACAATCGGCGAACTCCTCGGGCGTGCACTTCTTCACGACCAGCTCACCCAGCTCCTTGGACATGGGCAGGGCCTGCTTCCACTTGACAGCATCCCTGTACTTCTTGCCGGCAGAGCGCTCCGAAGCACCAACGGCGTGCAGAGTGAAGTGGGGGTGGAGGGCGAGGAGCAGGATGAAGCGCTGGCCGACGGAGCCCGTTGCGCCGAGCACACCTACGATGATGTCAGTGTTTGTAGCAGCCAATGGCACCGGAGTTTGAGGTGCTCACCGCACTTCTTCTTAGGGAAATTGCGGTTGAGTGAGGTGAAGTTCTGGGCGTCCATTTTGGCGGGTTGGTAGGGAAGTTTGAGAATTGTAACAGTGGCGGTAGTCGTGGTGCACTGTAGTTAAAGAGTCACTGGCCGCGATCGGCGCACAGCGTTTTTGCGCGGGGCCAACCAATGATCCACACCCGATGACGCGCATTCTGCTCGCCTGATGCGTGACCGACGAACCACCTAAAGGACAATGAACATCTCAGGTGGCGTGTGAGGTTGTTTTTTTTTTTCTTTTGGTCATACCTATGTCTGCCGCCTGCCTCTATACAATAGACTAAACCTAGTAGTATTTTCAACCATGGCCAATGCGACCTGTTCGCGTGCGTGAACCCTTTCTCCGCCCTCCCAACAAGATCCAAGGCGCCTGCCGTCGTTATGATTTAGAAGTCTCTTTCAGAGGCGCGAGCCAAAATCAAACAGAGGCGAAGCTGTCAAACAAACACGAACAGAGAAGATCAAAAAGGGGGGCATAGCACTCGGACTGTTCGAAAGTTTTCCCGCAGTTCAGCAGTGACACCATCACGAGACGAAAAGGAGAGTGAAATAAGCAAGACCAATGATCCAAAACTCCGTACCTGTGCCAGTCGCCATGCTATTGTAACGAAAAGCAAAAAAAAAAAAAAAAGACCTCAAGGAGACTGGTGCAAGGGTTAGACTCATTCCAGTGCTTTGCCATCGGCCACAGAGATCGACAAGGGCTGCTGCGATTGCCAGGGGCCAGGTGATAGCTTACGGGAAGCATCGCTCGTAGGAGTTCCCACGAGGCACAAATGCGGCGCTTCGGCTGCCCAGGTTCCAGGTGAGAGTACAGAGACGGTCTCGAAGGTTCTGTTGGCTGGGCCTCGGTGCCATGGTCACTCGTCGATGGCGTAGAGATTTTGATTCAGAATCTTGTTCATGGTAAACATGTGGACGCGATCCTGTTTGAAGACAGCACGCATGGCGTCATCACAGCGAATTTGGCGTTTGTCGTTTGGGTCCTGGAGGTCCCTTTCCTTGACGTACTCCCAGATTTTCTTGACACACTGCGGACGTGACAGCTGCGATTCGCCAAGCAGTTCTGACAAGGGGGCAGAAAGTATCATCGGTTTCTGAAGGCGAAAACGAGTTAGCGCAGGACACAGCTCCATGAGTTTTGGCCACCTACGTGAAAGCCCCCGTTCCGCTTAGGCTCCTTCTTAGTTTCGCTACCGCTGCCGAGGTCGCTGTCATCGTCGGAGTTGACCTTGGTCTTACTCTTCTTCTTGCGAGACTCGCCCTTTTTCTTAACGGGGGCCTTCCGCCTCGAGGCACCGCCGCCGCGGGTCGACCTGGCACGTCCGTTCTCCTCCGCTTGTAACCTGGCGGCAAAAGCGGCATCATCCTCTACCGAGGTGCTCTTCTTGTGCTTTTTCTTGGGCGGGGTGGAGGCGACATCCGAGACGTCAGAGCCATTGGCGGTCTCGTCAGGGTCTGTCCTCTTCTTTGACGAGGCCGGGGTGGATGCGCCGGAACCGTTGTTGTGGGCCGAGCCGTTGGTCGCAGGCGGCGCGGCGGTGGGGACGGGCTCGATGGTCCCTGTGACGGCATCGTCAGCGGCCACGCCGTTCCGCTCCGAGTTGACCTTGTCAAAGCGCGCGAGAATGAGGTTGGTGATGGCATCCTGGGAGCGAAGCGCGTCAGCACCGTGGAATGTACGAGGAGATGGAGACTCACCTTCTCGGGGGTTATGTCGTGGTCGACGCGCGCCTGCAGGCCCTTGCGGATCCGCTTGGCGGAGACGGTGTTCAGGTCGCTGTGGGCGAGGATGTCATCGATGATGACGGTGTAGGATGCTTCGACCTCGGGCGGGACTAGATGGGGGCATCGCGTGAGCGGACTGGGTGCGGGTCGACCAATTGAGGGTGAGGGATCACCTACGAGGCATGGTTGCGGGGGTGCGGTGGATGCTGGGGTGAAGTGAGCAAGCTTTGCGGCAGATGAGCAGCGTGGGCGCTCTCGAGCCGGGCAAGAGCTGCGCGGAGGATTTGCGAAGATGCTCGGCGGCGACGCTGGTCTGGCAGCGCTTGGAGACGGCAGAGCGCGGCGCTCTCCTCTCAGCGAATGGCGCGTCGGATTGGGCGGTGCCGGCGCCGTGCTGGGGCTCGTGGGGGAGCTGGGGCGAGCACAGCAACGGCGGCGGAGCGGCAGGCGCGGAGCTGGGGCGGGAGAGTTCGGACGTCACGCGGGCGGGCGTGCACTGCGGACGGGTGGTGGATGTGCGGGCGGACTGGAGCTGTCGATGTCGATCCGGAAGAGGGAATCGTGATGCTGGCCGCCCTGACTAAGCAACCACAGCACCAGCCGTCTGCCCGCACCGCTGTCTCACGCTGTGGTCCGCTCCGCCGTCACGCGCCCGTTCCTGCAGCCTGTATCAAGCCACTTCCGGACGCTCGCCTGCATCAATGCGGCCGCGTTGTGTTCTTTCACCCGGCCGGAAACACTTCACACAGGGTATCCGTGCATTCACGCTGTCAGAACACGCCCCCGACGCCCCCCATGCTCGCCTAAGAATGCCCAAAAACATGTGCCAGAGACTCCCGACGCTATGCAACAACCGGGGCTTGCTCGCCCTCACATGACGCCGCAGCCGATGCCGTACATTGCCCGCTCGACGTCCTTCTTGACGACGAACCAGTCTGCCCTGCGCTCTGCGAACTCGTACACCTCTTCAGTCCGGAAAATCCCGTGGTACCGGTCGCCGTCCGCGATGACCGTGGCAATCTCCTTCGCGTCGTTTGCCGAGATCAGGTAGATCTGAGTGAGCTCGCGCAGCGCGCTGAAGTACTGGTTCAACGACTTGTTCTTCAGCGTCACAATGTACGAGTGGTACGCATTCATGTCGCTGCAGACGTCAGAACCACGCCGCCGTGCAACCGCCGCGGGGGCCTTACCTGATGAGCTTGATCGCGCCATCGATGCTGATGCGCTGCCGCTTGATGTGCTTGCAGAGCGCCGTGAAAAGACGCACTCCCACCTCCTGGTTGAAGACGTCCAGCATCGTCTTGTCCGTGCTCCCCACGAGCATGTTGATGTGCGACGAGACAAGCTCGATGATCCTGCGTGCCGTCGTGCTCGGCCCTACGTCCGACATTTGTGCCGCAGCCTCGAGAGCCGTGCCTGCGCCTGGGTTGAAATCCTTTGGGTCCTGCGTCGTGGCGCAGAGATACTCGACTTCGTCCATCAGCACATCGATACCTTTGTTGAGTCCGGCCGCCACTCGCTCGTCCAGCATCTGCTCGAACCGCTTCTTCTCCTTCGCCGCCTGGCTGAGGAAGTCGTCGCTCTCTGCAAGCTGCGTGGCCACCAACTCTTGCTGGTAGAAAACATCCACCATCTGCTGGATCAGGTCTCCTACGTTCACCAGCTCCAGGAATGTGACCAGTGGCTGGACTCCCGGCTGGTCATGCTCGCTGACCTCCCGCGGGTTGTATTTCGAGAGATGGTCGATGGCCTTGTCGAACCCGACTTTGATGTGGCCCGACCCGAGGATTTGCAGCAGCGCGACGAAAATGACTTCACACTGTTCCTTCGACTCGGCGCCTGACTGCCCACCCATCGGGACCATTTTAGCCACGCGCTCGAGGCTGGCCTTGGCGAGGTGGACGAGATTGAGCGCCACTTCGATGCTGAAGAGCGACTTGATGCCCTCCAGGCGGGAGTTCATGATTGCCGCCTTTGCCGCAAGCTCAGAAGTAGGAGCCATTGACCCAGGGCGCGGGCTGCTGGAGCGCTCGATTGGCACAGGCGTCGACGACCTCGACTGGCTCTTGATGCTGCCCGTCTCCCCGTTCATCGATGCCTGGTCCGTTGGTTTGCTAGAGGCGAAGGGCATCACGTTGACCGGCATCATGATGACCTTCTTGAAGGAGGTGAGGAAATCTCGCTTGGCCACTTGCCGATTGACATTGGACATGAAGAACGATTCCGTCGAGGCCTCTTGGTCCTGAAGCCTCTTCTCCCACGCCTCCACGTCCGAATTGGCCCTATCTTTGAAGTAATCAAGTTCGTCCTGCAGGTACAGATCGATGTGCTGCTCAAAGCATCTCGCCACAACCCGGTGTGCATCCTCCTTGAACGTCGTCTCGGATGTTTTCGTGGATTGCAACGACATCTCGAAGCGCAGAGCCTGTTCGAAAAGCCCAGAAACGGCCTTGAGGTACGACTCGATGTTGCGTTCGTGGGCCTCGTCGAGAAGCGGGTTGATGTACTCCGAAACGACGTCTTCTCCTATCCTTTCCAGAAACGGGATCGTGACATTGACAGACGGAGGAAAGACTCGATCGATGATGGAAGCTTGCTCGTTCAGTGCCGTTGCCAAGCGTTCGAAAAAGGCCTGCGAAGGCTTGAGTGATATGCTGTCCGCCGAGAGGCCGCTGTCCAAACAATCCAACGGATCCCCCAGCCTTTCTTTGTGAAGCATTAGAGGGTGGTTGTGTATAAAGCTGTCGATGGCTGCTGCGCCACCGTTGAGAGTGACCAGGACCTGAGCATATTTCTTCATCCGGCCATCGATGTCCTGCGCCTCGTAGCCCTGTTCGAATTCTCGAAGGGCAGCGTTCTCGAACAGACCCATCATGGTGTCGAGCCGTTCCTCCCGCTGCCAGTAACCTTGCGCGTAGTCGCTGCGGGCAAAAATCTTGATCTGGGCCAGCATCTTCGCCTGCTGCTCTGGATCTCTGTATACGCGGAATAAAACAGGGTCCATGTGGCTCCGGGACCTGGCCAGGTCGAAGTAATACGGTGCCAATGCTCCATATATTTTCCCATATTCCTGCCTTGCAAAGCCACGGGCTGAACGGGCATTTGACAGGACGTTGAGTGCAAACTCGGGGTCCCGATAGCCCGGAGTGGAGGATTCGATTGGGCTAAAGCCGCTGTCCATGGTTCCTCGTCGCGCACGGAGAGGAAGCTCATGCGAGCTCCTCAGTCGCTCCTCCTCCATGCCAGCGTCGAAAAGAGTGGTTCCGCCCCCTCCGGCAAGGCCGTTCACGCTGCCATTGATCATGGCGCCTGTTCGCAGCGCCTCCTCTGCCTCTCGCGACCGCTGTGCCTCGAGCTTCCTTTTCATTGCATCCTCAAAGCGCTTCCTCGCCTCCTGGTCGTTCCAGCATCCCATGCTCTTGAGCCGTTGTATCCACCTGGTATCGTCATAGACCATCTCTCGCATCCGTTTCGAGGTGCGAGCGAAGCGGATCATATCGGGCACAGGCAGGTAGTCCAGAATGGCGGCAATAAGTTCTGCAGCACGTCAGAGAAGGTCACACGCGCCCAAGGGGGGCCAGTCGCACCTGCGGGCAGCACCGGCTTGGTGCTGGATATGGAAGTAGCGCGCAGCGACGAAAGCACGTCCTGGCGGGACGCGCCCACCACGGACTGTCGCGTGAAAGATGACATGGTCGTAAGTCGTGAAAAGTGTCCTCGGGGTTAGATCATAGCTCGTAGACGGTACAGGGGCAACTCCGGGGCGCCGCGCGAGGAGCCGGGTGAGGTGGCAGGAGGTTCTGGCGCGTACGAGGTTGCGGGTGTGTGAGGGGAGCTGGGTGCTCTCTGGCTCTGGGGGAGCGCCGGAGGCCCCCGCTGGGGGGCAGTGACGCTATCTGCCAGCCAATGGGAACGCTACCCTACCACCCATAGAATCTAGCCGTCACTCGATAGTACAATCTCCGAGAGCACAAGTGCTCTGTATCGGGCCCGCTTCTGTGTGCCTGAGCCGCCAGCTTCTGCGGTTCAGGCTGCACGTGCGGGCCTAGGCGATGCTCCACGCCGATCCGGATCATGCTGGCTCGTCGCAAGACCATCGGACTTGTCAGGAACGAATTGATATTTTTCGTCATTTATTGTACAATGATTTCTAAGCGCGGAGATGGATTGCTACCTCAGGCGTCCCCCGTTCCACGTAGCTCCAGGATACAAGGCTGGACAGCAAGCGATGAGCATGGCTAGCTAGGCTATAGCCACTGCTTCGAAAGAACCACCACGTGGAGTTTCCCCCTCAAGTCGAACCTTCCCGCTCGTGTCCGCTCAGTGGCTGAGAGTGCCCCTTCCCTTCGCTTTTCTCCTCTTTAGAATGGCCCTTCCTTTGCGTGTCCGTATCCGACTCAGAAAACCATGGCGCCTCTTGCGCACCAGATTGGTGGGCTTGTACGTGTCTCGGGGACCATTGCGGACTTGGATGCCCTGCAGGGCCGGATGCGACGAGACCTTCGGAAGCACGTCAGGTGCTTCTGCGGCTGCGGCAACGGGCGAGGCGTGAGTGGGGGGCACGGTGGCGATTGCGCCACAGGTCCAAGGCAGTTGCGGCCTCCTGGGAGAGAGGACGGATATCGACCGGAGCCTGGACTCGGTATCAGTAAATGTTGGAGCATGCAGTGCTTGAGGAATCATCCATACTGTTGGGTGGCGGCGAGCGTGGGCCGCGATGCCGTGGTCAGCGGCGCTGCGACAGCAGGGCGCGCAATCGCCCGTAGGCAGCGGATGCATTGCATTTCGGAGTGAGCGGGAGGGAAGGGCGGACTTGCGCGGTGGTGGAGGCAGAGAGCCGCAAACCAGACGACCTGCAGCAAAGGCGGTGGCAGAATTTTTTTCTAGACTTCTTCCCTTCACGAGCAGCGTCCCACAACACCCGCAACACCGTATTTCCTCTCCTTCTCGATTCCTCCAAGACCTTCGAAATGAGCCTCAAGGCATATCCCCCGCATGTCACTTGCGGTAGTAAGCCTCTGTCAATCGGAGCTGCCCAAGAGCTGGTCGCAACCTATCTAAACGAATCCGAATCTAACGCGCACCTCCACCCCGATGCGCTCTTGACAACATCCGATGTACAATATACCCCAGCCGGTGGCCCCCAAGGAGGAATCATTCTGCATAATTTGCGGCGAGTCGAAGCTGGACTGAGGGGCGAGGTCCTCAAGCCTGAGGTTCCGGACGTGTCCGATGATATGGTGCTGGACGACATGATCGACGACTCGCAAAAGCGCATGCAGGCTGAGCAAGAGCAACAGGAGGACGGGATCGAGGTGGGCGAGATTGGTCAGCGCACAAACGTCATTGCTGAGGGCGGAGACATTCCTGAAGTCGTTGAAGAGGTCGGTGGGAAGACAGCTGGGAAAAGCAAGGCCGACAAGGAAGCTCGCAAAAAGGCAAAGAAGGAGCGCGAGCGCCAGCAGAAACTCGAGAAGGAGGCAAAGAGAAAGCAGCACACCGAGGCCTAATCGCGTCCGGCCGGCACCAGGAACCAGAACATTCCCCGAGCGACATGTTTCACGGGCGTCAGGCGCAAGCAAGGGCGAAAATATACTTGAATTCACACGACGGAACGGCAAGACCAGTTGCTGCGGAGGTCTTTCTGCTCGTCATCTACATCTTACCCCAAATCCAACGCCGATATATGCACTTTTCCTTCTACGACAATTGCTAGGGCATCATCACGACAACTTTACAGCTCACGGTCGGCAGCCTTGGCGGGCTTCTCGCTGTCATCGGTCTTTGATGCCTTTTCGCCCTTGTAGCCGATTGCTCGCAGCCTTTCCGTCAGGATCGGGTGCGAATAGTGGAAGCTGGAATACATCCAGTCGGCGTCCATCGCGGAGAGGTTCTGGATTTGGAGCTTGATGAGCGATCCGGCAAGCTCCTGTGCATAGCCTTGCTTGACTGCAAACGCATCTTGAAATGGATGTTAGCTGCGAGCATCGCCTTCAGCCGGGGTGCAGACATACCAGCTTCGAATTCGAATTTCCTGGTCAGGATGTTCATCAAGAGCTTGATGACCGAATCAGTCGGGCCCAAGACCTCGTTGAACAAGAGGAAGCCAATGAGAATGGGCTGCTCGTTGCGGAAGCCAAAGGATTCGAAGAGCGAGCGGTTATTGATAAAGACCGAGAACAAGGCAAACATGTAGAACAAATGAAACTGGCTGATTCCGAGCAGCTTGGTTGTGTGACCCATACTCCAGTGACCGAGCTCGTGCGCCAAAACAGCTTCAACCTCCTTGTTGGAGCTCTTCTCGAGGAGCGTGTCGTAGATCACAATCTTCTTCTTCCAGGGCAAGCCGGTGAAATAAGCATTGCTGTGGGCGCTCCGCTTGCTCCCGTCGATGACTTGAAGTTCGGTAAGAGGGAACTTCAACTTGGCTGCGAGCGCCTCGACGCCCTCCTTTAGAGGTCCGGGCTCAAGAGGAGACAGCTTGTTGAAGAGGGGCACAATGAGAATCGGGTAGATTGTGATGGCCGAGACCTGAACGGCAAGCATGAACATCCAGAGGTAGTAGAAGAAATTGGTACCGGTCTTCTGAATGATGGCCAGGAAAGCGCTCATGATAGGCACTCCGAAAACAATGCCAAGAGCCTGGCCCTTGAGCATGTCCGTAATCCATAGCTTGACGGTCAACTTGTTGAAGCCAAACTCCTCCTCCAACACAAAGTTCTGGTAGTATGTGAAGGGCAGGCTGAAGATGGTGTCGATCAGGCTGAAGGCAAAGAGGAACAAAAGCGAGTGGCCAATTTCTCCAGAGATGAAAGATGGAGCGAAGCGAGCAAGCCAGACACCAGTCAAAGCCCAGATCTTGGGATACCAGCCGTACTGGATCGTTGCGAGAGACTTAAGCTGACCGAAGAACGAGGACACGAAGCTGAACTTGGCTTTGGCGCGACCGTATGCCTGGCTTTTGTCGAAGGTCTCCTGGTTTACTTCATGTTCAAGAGCCTTGGGACGCGCCGTACGCTGGTAGACGCCGAATTGACGGAAAAGGAGCCAGTTTTCGAGCAAGAATTGCCCGACGGAAAAGCCCAAGACTAGATTCTTCCAAGGGAAGAACGGGCGGTCCAAGAACCGGGCCAGGCGCTGGGACTCAGTAAGCTCATGTCATTGCGCAACAAGAAGGAACTGCACCTGTAGCAGTGCCTGGATCATTGTTCCGGTAGCGTCTGCGAGTCGGCGTGGACAAGTGCTCTGGTTGAAAAGGACAGACAGCGTTTGGGGTCGGAGTCGGAGGCGCGGGCGGCCCGCACGAGTCACGTACCTAGCCAAGACATAGGGCTGGCGGGGGCACTCCGCCCTACTCCGCCCTAAAATGCCTCTGCAAGCCGACCCCGTCTACCATTGAATGAATGCCTCGGCACAACGCATCAAAGTTTGGCATAAGGAAATAATAATGCGCTTTCGCCACGTCTTGCTGTGCTCCTATCAAGTGTGAAGAAGTGGCCATCCGCAAACGCTGCCATAGCATAATGAACGAAGAAACCATCCTCTGCCGATTTCGTAGAAACATACGCCAAACACCCCCCCCCCCCCTCGTACCTCTACCAAGCAAGGAAAACCTCGTGACTCCGTGACAAACAGAATTATAAACGAAAGACATTAGTGGACCGCCAGACCCCTCCGATCAACAGCAGAAGGAACAGCACCGAGAATGATTCATAACCGCGTTTCCCCAAACCCCCCGCCCCCCGTCTTTGAGATGGAAAAAGCGTCGAAGCCCTGACAAGACAATAGATGCATGCAGAAGAAGAAAGAAACAAGGAAATATTGCGGTCTTTCGAAAGGTAGCAGATCAGGCTGGGTATAGTTCAAAGGGCGGCCTCGGGCAGGCGATGCAAAGGAACCTGGAAGGATGAAGACGAGTGCCAGCATGACCCTATAGGTGGTGTAAGAGAAAGCTCAAGACGAATTCTATGCAGGACTTCTCCAGAAAAGGGGGCTTCTATCACTGAAGACTTCAGCAGGACGGAATCTGTCGGGCATCCGAGATGCCTTCATACTTGACTGTGGCAGGGCACAGGCCTTCTCAGCATCCGCCTTCTCATCATCTTGCCCGCAACGTCGTGGTCATAGCCGAAGTCTTGGCGGTCCCTCAACAGCCCCGCAACAAGTCTGGTGGCGGCGTGCTACCAGCGACGTTCTTCACCAGGGCAAAAACGTATGTATCGAAACCCGCCCACTTCAGGAAGGCGCAGCAGCCTGCTGTGCGCGTGGCTGCTGCTGCGCGACGACCTCGCGTGCATAGAACTCAACCAGCATGGTCCCGTAAGCTTCCATCTCCTCAAGCGGCACGGCTAGACGGAAATCGTTCAACAACAGGAACTGAAGTTCAAGGTGGTTCAATTCTACAAGCGGCAACCCGCCAACCTGAAGCTCGTTAGTTCATGCCCCAGCATGCTAGTGGAGATCGCAAGCTTACCTTGGCGTATCTCGAGTTGGTGTAGAAGATGTCGGAAAAGAACTTGCTTGCACAAGTGACACCGGCTATGACCAGCCGATGGATGTTGAAGCTGTCAACAACAAAGAACTGAGACAGATTGTACGGATCGCACTCTAGCGGAGGGTCTATTTGCTGTGGGGGCGATGGCGGATGGTCTTTGACTGTGGCGTCGCCTGGCTTGGCCGGCTTCCCAAGCGAGCCGGATGGCGGAGGCGTTGCAGCTTGAACCTGTTCTGGCCGCGGGGATGATCCGCCAAGCGTAGTCCCAGACATAGACATGGAGCTTTTCCGGCTCTCGTCGCTGGCGGCCACAGAGCGCTCCAAAGACTGTTGGTTTGCCTGGCGGAGGCTCTGCATCAGCCCGGAGTTTACGCGCTCGGTCATACGGTCGAAGTAAACCAGCAGGCTGAGGAAAACCTCGTACGTGGTGGGACAGTATTTATGTATCCGGGTAAGATAGCTCAGGATGGAAATCGTGGGTACGTTCTTGCCGTGGAAAGCGAGGACGCTGGTTGTCTGCTGACTGAGCCCGGTAGTCCCCTCGGGCGGGGGTATTTGCCGATGCAAATGTTCGTGCTGACGGTCATTGGTGGTAGTGATCTTGGTCAAGAGGCCTGCCACCATTTCAATGATATCCGACACGGGCATCTCGCTGATCTCATACTGCGGGCCAACCTCGTTGGGGTTCTCACGCGCGCGACGTGCGGCGCGAGTCTGCGAAAAAGGGCTGGTCTCATCGGCAGCGAAGCTCTGAATGTGAGACAGGCTTTTCACCTTTATCCGCTTCGGTGAGGCGGTTGCCCGCGGCGAGGCCTGGGCCGAAGACGAGGCCGACGACGAGGGCAGCACGGCGGGGCGTGGAGCTGGCGGGGCTGCGACGGCCTGGGTAGGCGTCTTCTGCGACGAGTGCGGCTTGAAGCGCGGACTCGGCGGGGGCTGCGAGGGTGTCTGGGATGGATTGTAGTGCTGTGGCACGGCGTCCGACATGGGCGTGTCGACGGGCGCAGAGGCAGTGCGCGAGGCGTGATGGTCGTTGTGCGACGGCCGAGAGGATGTCGATCGCTGAGACTCGTGCGGCTGGTGGTGCGAGTGCGCGGCGGCACCGAACATGGTTTGGTAGGGAAAGGAGTGGTTGACCACGTCGCTGCTCGTAATCACGATGGAGCCCATACCAGCGTGTTGAGGCGGGAGGACAAAGATCTGGCCGGCCACAGAATGTCAGCAAGCCTCAGACCAGCGGCGGCGGGCTCGAATCTCGTCTGTGGGGAGGGGCGGTCAACGCTCGATGCAGGGGGGTGCGAGTGGAGTCGCAGCGAGCAAAGCTTCGGGCACGTACTTGGCGGCGAGGCGCGCCAGAGCGGGAGAGCGACGGCGAGTAAGCGCGCGGGGCCCGTGGCTTTGCCTGTGACGTGCTGCGGCGGCGAGCGTCGGGTGGAGAGAAGGATGGCAGCCGCTGGAGGTAAAGGACAGGGCTGCGATAACGAACGAGCCGCGTTGCTGGGCGCAGCAACACCGGCCGGTACTAGAGGACGAGAGCCGGACCCACGCTTACCTCGAGGAACAGCTCGGCCGCGGGGACGAGGGGCGCAACAGCGAGCGGGGGGAATTGGTTGGCGATGTGGTGTGGTGTTGCAGAGATGCGCAGGTTCTCGACGACGCAGGCTTGGACTGCCAGGGTCGGTCGTCGTCACAGTCAACGCCTCGCCGATCCTTCCCTGTGTGCTGATATACGTGCCACACCAAGAGCACCCGACTTACGTAGGCAGCTGAAGCTACCATCCGGGCGTAGATGTACGTTTAATAATTCTACATTTACGTCCGGATGGTAGCCTCAGCTACCTACTCAACGAGCTCAAATGCTGATAGAAATTAGTTACGATGGATTAGGTCTTTCGGCACCCACTGTGCCGCGTTCCCTTGCGCACTCTCCGCCCGTCCAGCGGTAGGCCAAAGAGCCAGTGTACGGCCGCCCAGATCCGCGTCTCGCCGGTCGCCCAGCTGCCGCCGCCACACCGGGTGCCGAAAGATCTGAGCCATCGTAAACTAATTTCCATCAGCTACCTACGTAAGTCGGATACCCTTGCTCGCGAGGATAATTGCGGGTGGCCATTACTTTTGGCACCTACGTGCCGCTGCAGAGCCGCCGCATCTCGGGATCGTTGCTCTTCTTGGGTATGACGCTACCCGACTTGCCATTAAATCTATGCTACAGCACTGCCTGCGCCAGCCCGGCCTGCATCAATCATGCTGTCGTTGCTCGTCTACGATTGCCTGCCGGGGCCGCGGTAGTCCTGGTCTGGCAGGTACAGGTGCCGCTGCGCGCCGTTCGCGGTCAACACCACCATGCGGATCACGCCGCCAGAGCTGCCGTCCCACTTGATGGCCTCCCGCAGCGCTCCTTTGACAAAGTTCACGCCCTCTTCCTCAGTCATGCCCTCCCTCCAGTTCGCATCGCAGTAGCCGTAGATGTACGTCGACCCAGAACCGCCAATAGCGTAGGCCTGCTTGTGTAGGGAGCCGCCGAGCGGGATCGAGTAGACTTGGCCGCCGTGGCGGGGGTCGTAGCCTGCAATGATCATACCCGCGCTATGCCACCGTCAGCCAGACGCCCGTTCGGCAATGTGGTGTTCACGACGCACCTCAGCATGTCCTTGTTGTCGTAGCAGAGCTCCTGGAACAGGGCCGCGGCCGTCTGCGTGGTCGGCCTCTCATTGTTCACGATGCCGTACATTCCCAGGTGGTAGTGGACGATGTCAGCAACGGCCTGCGTGTCGGCGGCCGAGCCGGAGCGGCAGCACCATATCGTGTCGTGCACCTGGGTAAGTTTGTCGGTAACACGGTTGGCAATGTAGGCGCCGGTGGTGGTCCGGCTGTCGGCTCCAAGGATCACGCCGTCCTTGAAGTTGATGGCCATGCTAGCACAGGTCAGCGCGGCGGACGTGGTGGCCGGGAGCAGAGTACGCGGCGGACATACATCGAGGTTCCGAGGCTGGGGCACGGGTTAGCAGAAGAATACTGGAGGCTGAGACGGTGCAGACGTACTTGACCTCGCCCTTCTTCAGGTGGTTCATGTCGACGTGGATACCATCTGACGTCCGTTAGCTGCTGGAGCTGCGGAAGCTTCAGGCGGGAGGCGGCCTACCTTCACCCAGCACTCCGATCGGCTGCGAAATCATGGCGGCGGCGAGGGTACGGAGGCAATCGGCGTCGGAGAGGTGCAGAAGGGCGGCGTGATGGCGGGCTTGGGGTGCGGATGGGATGTGTGTGGTGTCGTCTGCAAAGCTCTTGTTGGAGCTTCGCTGTTGGAGCAGCCAGGCAGGCGGCTCCGCGTTGGCCTCGGCGTTTGCCGCCGGGCGCGTCTGAGCTTGCACCTACGCGACGATCTCTCCCTTCTCGCGCTCCCCACAAATGCGTTGATCTTGCTGAACTCCTGAGGCGGATACATATACCTATGCTCGCGCCTGCTGCTGCCTGCTGTCGTCCGCGCCCGCCTCCGCCTGCCCTTGCTCACACTGCCCGGGCAGCCGCGACTCATGACCTGGAGATCACTGTTCCGACTCTCAGGTAGCTCGACGCCGGCGACCAGTCCTCCGCCTTCCTCGCCCACCTCGCCCAAGCTGTCGCACCACAGCTCGCGCGCGTCTGCAGACTTCGACGCCGACGCCTACTCGGCCATGGATTCGGTCTTCTCCTACCTGCGCATCCCCATCCTCGCCTCCACCGGCATAGCCACCGTCCTCAGCGGCGTGCTCTACTTCAAACAAAAGTATGCCTCCAGTCCACCACGCGCTCAATGCGCCCCGCGACTCAGGGCACGGCGCTGACCTGCACCCACCCAGTGATATCATCTACCCACGCAACATCCCCCCAGGCGCGCGAACAGATGTCCCTCGACCCACCCAATTCGGCATCTCCGACTTCGAGGAGCTGATGATCCCCACTCCTGACGGCGAGTCGCTGAGCGCATTCTTCATCCGCCCCGCCAACAAGCAGCATGCTCGCAACGTCACGTTCCTCATGTTCCATGGCAACGCTGGCAACATCGGCTACCGGCTGCCTATTGCAAAGATACTCGAAGCGGAGCTGGGCTGCAATGTCTTGATGCTGCAATATCGTGGATACGGCCTGTCTACTGGCACGCCTAACGAAAAGGGTCTGACAATCGATGCGCAAACCGGTCTGGACTACATCCGGCAACGCGCAGAGCTGCGTGGCACCAAGATTGTCCTCTACGGCCAGAGCTTGGGCGGAGCCGTCAGTATTGGTCTCGCTGCAAGGAACCAAGAGCAAGGCGACATTGCCGGCATTGTGCTCGAGAACACATTCCTCAGTATCAGAAAACTGATCCCCAGGTGAGTGCCTCATTTCCCTCGCGCTCCTCTCTTGCTCTAGTGCTGACGTTGTCAGTGCTTTCCCCCCGGCGAAATACCTTGCGCCGTTGTGCCACCAGATTTGGCCGAGCGAAGACCTGATGCCGAAGATCAAAGACGTCCCCATTCTCTTCCTCAGCGGCGTGAAGGACGAGATCGTGCCGTAAGTTTTCCCCGGCGCGGAAGCTGGTTCAGCGTCTAATTGGTGCCAGGCCGTCTCACATGGCCAAGCTTTTCGACCTTTGCGTTGCCAAGGCGAAAGTCTGGCGCGAATTTCCCAACGGCAGCCACAACGATACCGTCGCTGAGCCCCTTTACTTCGAGTACATTGAGGATTTCCTCCGCAGCCACGTGCTTCGCAAGTCCAGTCCGGAGAAGACTGCGCAGGCTAAAGTTTGAATCGGGCACTGCTCTCCACCTGAACATGGTTACGAACGATACCCCTGAGAATAGCGTCGCATTTCTCGTCACTGCATTGCCGGCAAGGGGCCGGCTTTCGATTTTCGCCAAGCGGTTAGGCCCGGACGAGTGTTGCTAATTCTCTACCATGTTGGCTGGGCTCTGCGCGCACTAGGAGGACATACCGGAGTTATCGGACCAGGGCGGGCCGACTTGCTTCAGTGGATCCCTCTACACAATCTGCCCGACGTCTCTGCAGCTCCCGCTTCTAAGCAGTTTTAAACGGGTCTTAGGAACGGGAGAGCTAGTGTCATCCTCGAACAGTACTCTGAGCTGAACGAAGCGGGAAGACGAAGTCAGGTCATGTTCTTATTTCAGGGGAATGACCGACGACAAGGACATATTTCCCATTGTAGCGGTGGCTGAGACTAGCAGAACACCGAGGTATCGCAATTTGACATGCAGGGCAATGATCCCCGAACAAGCGCCAGAAGAGGCGCGTTATGGCGCTGGCAGAGTCGCTAAGAGTGCGAAGGGTAGGAAGGCTTGAGTGGAGATTTGGCGCATACGAGTTGTTTCTTTGAAAGTAATTTGCAATTGCCGATCGAACGAGGGGGCGGTTCTCGAAGGATTCTGAGCAAGAAAGGTCAATGTAGCGGCCAATGGGACGGCGGCGATATTAGGAACTAACCGGGCCGAGTTGCTGCAGAGCCAGGCCCGGCCCGAAGCAACAGTGCCAATAACGCTGCGTCTCTGCAGCTATATTTTCATGCTTATCGGGTGCAAGCATCTTCCGTTTGCTCCCGCCTGCGTATGGGAATCATGTCGCTAGAAGCGGTGGTCATCAAGTGAAACAAATCAGTCAAACTACGCGCGACTAGGACGTTCAATTAGGTAAACGCCGCAGGAGCTCGACAAATCTCGCCCATCCGTGTTGCCGAATCCTACGTCACTCGCCAACAAGGGACATAGCAGTGTCCGCGATGAAATGGCAGGACTTGCCATCGTTCTCGCTGCCAGAGAATCGCTAGTGTGGGGCCTGAAGGACGCAAGGCTGGTTGTGCTCTAATGCCCTCAAACATTCACGGGCGCGGAGGACATCATATCTAACGACGAGCGCCCCATTTTAGTCAATTTTTGATTTAAGCACATATCCTCTGAGCAAGAGGGAGGCTGGTCAAAGCTGTCTGTTCCTGGGACTGGACTGTATTGATTTAGTAGCGTCAGGGCGACAATGCCCAAAAAAATAAATTCAGCAGCTCAAGTTTCTCAGCCCTTCATGAGTAGATTCTTTCAGTCATAATTACACTTGACTCACACAGGAGAGCTATGTCTAGTATAGATATTATTGTATAACTTCTGGGGCTATATTGACATTCAGGTGGTGCTTATATAACCAAGATACATGCTTAAACAATTCCCTCTGTTGTAGTGAAAGGCCTTTTTTTTTTCTGCTACTCTGTACATTCAAATAGCAGCTTCTTCCACACGCAACTAGACTTCCGAACAGTGCTACAATTATATCACGTAGAGCTCACGAAAAATTCGACGTCTTACCGATTTATTTCTTCCTCTTTTAAAGAGGGCGAAAGCACAAGGAATAGCACTTGATCTGCTTGCACCAGTATGTATAATTGCCTATTAAAAGAAAGAAAAGATACTGAGCCCTGCCTATCGGCATTCTTACAAACACCTGCACAATTACTACTTCGATGCTGTCCAGCACACAAAGCCAAATAACTGGGGGATATCCTTGTTCTACCTGAGGAACGCGCCACCCAGCGAGTCACCTTGACCGGCGACAGCCTTACGGCCATTGCAAAGGAGTACCGAATGGACGACCTCGGCCTCGATCTGATAGCCGCTCTTGCGCCAACGCTTGTTAAGCCAGTCGGCGAGAGCCTCGGACGAGCCGCCAAAGTCATGTTGGTCGTACTCCTTGAGAATGAGGGCGACGATAGGAGCATCAGGGAAGAGGTAGGATTCGGTGGTCATTGTGTTGTGGAGGAGGGGCAGTGGCCAGTCCTTTTTCTGTGGAGATTAGCCGCAAGGGGGGAGAGGATGGGATACTTACCTAAAGTGTCTCTAAATTAATCTTTTACAAACAGAATTCCAATCGCAAGCGCCGCACTGCGAACTGAAAAAGATTGGTCTTTGTTGTGAAAGATGTAGAGAACCGCTGTGGTGTGATGATCTCGAAGACGTCGTCGGAGCTATATATCGGTGTGCAGCGGTTCCTTTCATAGGTAGATAAACAATGCTTTTTGTCGTCGGGCTTTGTTTGCTACGTTGACGTCGATGCAATGAGTCTTTGAGAGGAATTGATTGTTCTAGACAAAGGTGCGAAATGGGAAAAAGAGAAAACAGATGGAACACAATGGGTGGACACAAAATCCAAAGCTGATAATCTCGGCAAGTTGTAGAAATCGGTATTCATCCGAGGGAGTGGAGAGTCGCACCTTCAAAGATCATTTCGGGCAATAAAAAATAGTCTGCTCGAAATTCAATTGCAAGATACGTTGCGTCTGTTATAGATGACCGAAGTCTTCGTTCTATATGCCACAAAGAGCGTAACATCTCCCGCAAACAAGATGTACGAGGATAGTAAAGTCTCCCAAACCCAACTTTGCGGCACCATCTGTAGATCTAGCGCATAAAAAAGACTGAAGGAAAAGAAATTGGCAAAAGAGACCACCAACGCCTTGCTCGATGCTTTTATTTGAGAATCCGACTATGCCTCCGACTTGATCATGAAAATCTCCCTCAGCGCCTGCGGGTCCATCGACGCCTTTTTCTTCTGGGCAATATACCGTTGTCGAACAGCGAGACGACCTCCAGCAAAGCCCGCAGTTGGTGTGCTCGTTCCGGACGCTGGGGCCGAGGTATTCGCTGAGGGAGTGAATTCGTCTTCCGAAGATGAGCTGTCCTTGCTTGGCGCGGTCTTCTTATCCTTCTTCTGCTTCTGCTTCTCCTTATCTGCACTCTTCGACTCCTTCGCTTCCTTCTTGGCCAATCGTTCGAGTTTGCGTGCCTTCTTGGCCTCCCTCCGTGCCTTTTTATCGAGCTTTTCCTCATCCTCCTTCTCCTCAGCCGAAGCATTGTCAGTTGAAGGTCTGTCGCCGTTGGATTTCTTGGACTTTTTCGACTTGATTTTTTCTCCTTCGTTGTCGTCCTGGCTGCTCTGATCCGGGTCCTTCTTGAGGTCTGATTTCCTCTTCCTCCCGTTCAGCGACTCGCTCTTGTCATCCTCCGATCGTTTGCGCTTCTTTTTGGCTGCATCAGGACTTGGGTTCTCCACTTCGGCAACGGTTCGCTTCGCGGACTCTGCAGGCGCGGTGCTGTCCTTATTGACGAGCTTCTCGATCTTGTCACCAACCAGGAGACCGCCGCTGACGAAGCGGATGCCACCCCAGCGCTGGTTGGTGTAGACTTGGAGTTTCAGATCCCGCTGAGCCGACTCCTCCTTCTTGAGCTCTCCATCGCTCTTGCCGTTCAGCCTGCCGAGCAGACCCTGAAAGGCGCTCAAGCCGAACGTCTCGTTTTCCGCCTTTCCTCGCTTCGCGCCCAGACCGAGCGTATCATCCTTCACAGCGACTCGGATATGAGACGCGTTGGCGGCCGTGTAGTGAGAGGCGTGCTTTGCATCTTTGGCACCAAGGAAAGATCCCGGGGTCCAGCCCTGCTTGAGCAGGATCTTGTGGCCGAAGCGGTCGGTCGACTTGCTCCAGTGAGTGTTATTCGGGTCGGCCGAGATTTTTGTGCGACTGCAAGCCGTCAGCTACTGTGCGGAGGGGTGGTCCCCGGGAGTGTGACGTACTTCTTCGGCCCTGCGAGACCCATTGTGAAGCTGAAGCGGCGCGCGAGCGTAGTGCGTGCTGGGGGCTCGAAATTTTTGGCGCGGCGACAAGACGATTGGCAACCTAGGCGGAGGTGCTCGGCGTGCGGAGCTTTTGTTTCGCCGACGGGCAGCTCCCGTTGCCGCCAAGAAAAGGTCCAAGTACAACTTCGTCTAACCACCACGATCCCAACCGCGGCTTTGCACAACCTTCGCAATGTCCGGACACGCCATGGATCAGCACAGAGCATGGAGCCAGTCTGCTTTGCACCACGGGGAGCCAAGCCAGGAAGATGACTTGAATGGCATGGTCGACAAAATGCTCGAATCCGTAAGCCGCCGATCGGGCTGAGTCTTGGATTTCACTCTGGCGTCTAACGCTCACGCCTCTGTCACCTGTCGCGGCTCGTTCCCATGTGGAAGATCTATCGTTGACATGGGCAACGCAGACAAGAGACCGCCGAGAGGCCAGACGCACCAGTCTTGGGAGTCAGCACCATACTCGCAGAGCCGACACCGAAGAGAGAGTCGACAAGTCTTTTGACGACCACGGGATGCAGGCGTCGGTTGCCAGTTCCTGCACACAAGCACTAATGCTAACCGTGCTCTCAGTCTCCAGCTTCGCAATGCTCAGACTGCACGTTTGATTGAGCTCTTGAGGCGGCAGGATGAGATTGAGCACTGCATGGCCGCCAGCGTCAAGCTACTCGAACGAGCCTTCTTATCGCAGTCGGTAGAGCTGAGGACCGCACTGGGGAGTCGGATGGCTGAGCTGCAGTGAAAGACGTCATCTCGAACACCTGCACAAAACTTTTACGCAAAAGTGGAGACGAGAAGCCTTGGACTTTTGCTCGTCAGAGGCGGGCTTGCTTTGTAACATTGCTGATCATTGCTGGTCTGACTCGCTGGCACATTCTCGCAGAGAAGACCGGACCACGCGCCGTCACATACGTAGGGGGGGCCTTGTGTGCGCTGACTCTCAACATGCTTCTATTTGCTGAGGGCGTTTCAAGGAAATCGGGTAGCCATGCAGGGAGCCCAACCGTGTGCAGGATGCGAGGAACACGTTACATGGCAGGCAAGAAGAAAGAGTCCAAGGGGAGGCTCTGGCCATGCGTGAGAGAAATGACGGGTCGCGGCAGCTGCACGAAAAGCCTTGCGAGGCACAGGTGTTTCAACACCACAAGGGCCAGGTACTGGCGCACGACGATAACGGCAGCCTCCCCGCGGCAAGTGATGCAGGCGCCCGCAACGCAACGCAGGGTCGGCATGCCGCGTGCCCCGTGCGCGGGCCCGTGCGCGCAGGTGGGAGATTGACAGCTGAGTTTTTCCTTGTGGCCCGCGTCACATGGGATTTGGCGGAAAAGACGGTCGTGGGCGAGTCAGGCGTGCATTGCGAGGCCGGCCGTGTTTCGGCGGTGCGGGAGCGTCGACGTTGGCAGAGGGAGAATGACCTTGCAGCGCCACAGCCTGGCTTCAGGGTTCAGCAGGGCAGGGTCCGTTGGCCGGGCCCAGAGGTGGCGACGCCGCATCTAGGCCCCGCCCGCGCCCACGGCGCACCCGGCGTCGCCTCCCAGCGAACCACATCGCAGTTGCAAGCCTTCAAACCACTGAAGCCAGCTCTTCCCATCTGGCGGGTGCATGCCTCCCCATCGCACCCAGAGCAGTCCATCACGACGGCCGGACGTGGCGCCGCGTTTTGCTGCCGCCCCGTTACACGCCGCACTAGGCGACGATGGTCCAGCTGCTGCATGCCATGGCCTGATCCAACAAGTGGATTTTTGCTCTACCGGCTGCCGCTTCCCCTTCGCCGTCGGTAGCTGATCCTTCTCGAAGCCCATCTCTTGTGTTTCGTAGGTTTTGCCGCCGTGGTACGCCAGAGGAATCTACTTATGCTTAGTGCATTTGCTTTTGCATCCCCGGGCCAACTGCGTTCTCAGAGCGACCTCGAGCTTCGGTCACTCATGGAAACTTCGCCCTGTGCTGCTCGCTGCGGGGGGGAAAAAAAAAGTCCCCGCCCCACCGCTGACTGGAGCACTTCGGACTGCTCTGGCCAATCTCGCTGCCGGCCTTCCCACCGCCTTCTGTGCACGCCCGTGGGCTCCACGCCTGCGTGACTGCGGAAATAGGGATGTCCAGATTTCGTAAGCCATCCTCGGCGCCCTCGCTGCTAACCGGCTTTTCGTCGACGCCACTTCGTCATGGAAACGTGGTCGGAGCTCTCACCAGTTCCACAAAGCCACAGCAGCGGTCCGGTCGACTTCCCTTTTAACTGCTTTCGCACTGGCGAAGGTGCTCCTTGCTTTGGGTCAGACGGGGGCTGATGCCCGAAGCGTTGCGACGGCATTTTGCACCAGTCCGTCTCCGGGACGCAGGTCGCGTCAATGGCAGACACCCTCGTGCCTTTCGCCCGGATTGGCGGGTCCTGTCAACGCTTCCATCATTTCGGCTCGCCTGCTTGCTGACCTTGCCGTCGCTGGCGAGATGGGACGGGGTTCCAGGAGGCGGGGCAGCTCGACCTGAAACTTGCATTACGGGGGGGCTTGACGTGGGAAGATATCAAATGGCTAGAGGATCGCCGCGAGATCTAGAGCAGGGCGAAATCTGAGCACAAGAACCGCCATGTACCACGGATTATAGGAAAAACGAAAGCCCCTTGAAGGAGACGAGGGAGCGAGGTGAAACCACGGGTGACTGAAAATGATTGGATAGAGCAAGCTAGATACCTACAGAACATCAGTCCGTACCGGTATACATTAAATGACTTCTGCAGCCACAGGATGTCATTAGAATCGTTGCTTTGGTGCGCCAAGGAGGGCTGCGACACAAGAAAATAGCATCCTGGCCCGGCAGGATACCGCTCTCATAAAGAGGAGGGGGAAAGCGGACTGAGAAATAGTGGCGCTCATGCGATGCAATTGCCGAGCTTCACAATGGTCAGGATGACACGAACCTATCAGAAAGGCCGCATCTGCGGTCCAGCCACCTGACTAGGCATCGGCATAAGAGGCATCGAAGAAGTCCCAGCAGCCGGAGGTCCGAGCCGGTGGAACATTTGGACGAGACGCTTTCCGACGCCCGGTTCAAGTTCTGTTCCGTCTCTTGCTATCTTCACTTCTCTGTTTGCGTTCCAAGGATTCCGGAGCCCTCGTGTCCTGTAGAAGGGGAGTCGGTTCGTTGAAATCCATTCGATCCTGAACGGCTTGCCCCAGGTTTGCGGTGCGTTAAGACCATCCGCTTCGACCGGTTGCACCGACCCATCCGGTTTGTTTTCTTCCTCTTCGTCTTCAGAAACATCGGCTTCCCAGAAAATGGTGCCGCGTGCGGAATCGTCAATGATACGTCCTTTAGGAGCCCATTCTGTCGCGGCTGTGGGTATCGATTTTGGAGTGTCCGATGCTTCCGAAGCTTGGGTCTCGGGGACAGAGTGTATGAAGTCAATGCCATCATCACTGATCGCAGAGGCCATGCGGGCGTAGCCAAAGTATTCGCCTGATTTGTTCGCAGAGAAAATCAGGTAGACGTTCTCGGCAGCCTGTTCGCAGTCAGCAACGGGCCCTAGACCGCTGATGGGGTGGCGTGGGCAGTTTACGTCGTAAGCTCTGTTGAGAACATCTTCGTTATGCGATTGAGTCGCCCAAATGCCATTACGGACACTGAGCTCCAAGTCTTGAAGGGTCAGACTCTTGACGATGAAGAACTTCTCTGCGACCTTGTTAGGTGGCCCATCTTCCTGGACCTCGCCCTCAACGGCGCGTTTGGCCCCTGTTTCGGTGACCGTGTCTGCGTCATGGATAGCAGGCCTGGGAGGTGGAGGAGATGCGCTCTGCTCAGGCGATCGACTCTGCTGACGGGGAATGGACATGGCAGACGGGCCAGTCGGCACTCCAGAGGCGGGAGCAGCGCTTCTCCGGAGACGACATACGAGTCGAACGCCATGGAACCGCGAGTCATGGAATCTGTGCATGGCAGCAGTGCAGGAGGCTTCGGTCTTGTAGTTGACGAAGGCACAGTTGCTTTTGGAGATTAGAAACAAGCTCTCTATGTCCTTGCTGGCTTCCCGAGAGAAGTGATCCTTGAGGTCTACGACAGTGGTGCCCGGGGGGAGATTACCAACCCACAGGGCGTGCCCAGACTGTCGAGGCTTGCGAGGTGGACCGCGCGGGAGAGAATTATGGCCCGAGTCTGACGCAGCTTTGGCGGTGGCTGGGGGCACGTTAGCTAGGGCCACCTGAGCGCTCTCTGGCAGCGACTGACCTTGGACTGCCGCATGGAGGTCGCCAGCGGGGTTCAGTGCGGCGGCGGTGGGAACAAGACCAGTCGTGCGGAGGGTGTTTTCTAGACCGGAACCAGCGGCCGGATGAGCTGTGGGCAGACTCGCTCGTCGGGAGGCGGGGTTCGTACCGTAAGCCACTGGCGGCTGAGGAAAAGGGCCTGGGTAGTACATGTAAGGCTGGGGATATTGCACAAAGGGCTGATGCAGTTGGGCATGCGCCATGGGGCGCTGCTGGACGGGAGCGAAGGACGGGTAGGAAGGCGAGAATTGGGAAGTGCCGTAGCTGGGGCCGTAGGCGGGCTGGGGCGGGTAGGCCATGGCGGGCTGGGGGTACTGGGCAATCTGCTGCAGCTGGTAGACGACAGCTGAGGTCGAGGCGCCTGAGATGGTGCGGTGGGGGGACATGGTCGAGGTGTAGTCGGGCAAGGCGGCAGTCATGGCGGCCATGTTGAAGGGCGCCGAGGCTGGGGCCTGGCCGGGAGGCATGCTGTAGGCGTAGGCGGGCTGCCGCTGGACTTCTAACGGGTGCGCGTCGGGCGCATGCTGGGGAGCAGGCTCAGGGCCGCTCTCGCTTGACGCATCGCCCATTGGATCCTCCACAACCACGGGCAGGGCAAACCACTGCTGCACCCAGACAAAAGCCATGTTAGCCCATGGCGGCGACAACAACGAAAGACGACGTACCAGCTAAGTATGCTCTCGCGCTGGGCGTGGCGACGGAAGAGGGAGCAGCCGGCGCAGAGATGCCAATCACGAGATGGAGAGAGCGGAGGAGAGGGCGAGAGAAGAGCAGGGCTCGCTTGGAGCGGGTCGAGGCAGATCAATCTTGCGGCGGGCCAGTGAGAGCAGGCAGAGGCGCGGTAGGCGGTGCTTGCAGGAACTAAGAGGCGGCAAAAACGGTCAGACTGGGAGCAGCCGAGAGGCGCGTCATCCTGACAGGCACACACGCCCTGGGACTTACCTTGCGGGTCCGGCGGGCGGGAGCAGATGGGCGGTGATCGGCCGCTGGGGCGCTCGTCCTAAAATAATATCACCCTCGCGCTGCGGCTGGTGTGGTGGCGAGTGAGACCCTGGGCCCGCACCACGGCGGCCCTCGTTCTGGACTGCCGTCCCTCTGCGCGTGCGAGCCTCAGCGCTGGGCTCGGCTAAAGGGAGCCGCTGAGATCTCCAGGGCCCGTAATTTTCTCCTGGCCGCGCCGGAGTCATGAAGCACCCGCCCAGGCGCCCTGGATGCCCGCCGTGCGCCGTGCCGCCCGACAGCCTGGCGTTGAGGTCGACGCCACACCTAACAGCCCGCCGCAGCCCCAGACGTCAGGACCGACGAAGAACACTCCCCCCCCCCCCCCCCCCCCCCCCCCCCCCCCCCCCCCCCCCCCCCCCCCCCC